TGAGGGAGAAAAGAGGAACGAATTTGTGATGTTAGTTATCGCTTCTCGGCCTTTTCGGCTAAGATCAAAGTGTAGTATCTGTTCTCGTCGGTTTGAAAGCCGGCGCTGGTCCCATCGGGGCCAGGCTCTTTCAAGCGGATTTTTGGACATGGGCCAGGATCACCCGGGTTCACTCGGACCTGTGCCACGGATCGTCTCGACACTGCAGTGCCGTCGAGTTCGGTCCACTCCTGTTCCTTCGGGAACAGGAATTGTATTATTCAAATGTAAAACATGGAATCAATTTCTTCGATTATGGATTACATTGATAGATAACTCTCTATTATACTTGACCATTAGTTGGTCGTTGGATTTATTTTCGAGAACTCATCGAACGATCAAACGCAATCTTGTAAACAATCATCTTCGAAACCGGTTCCATTGTATGTCTTTTCCCACAAAAACTAGCACTTACTGTCACTGCATTGGCAAGGATTGTTGATGATCTATTAAATATAACAAATTAGTTTCTTAATAGAAATTCCTCATCAGCAGATGATAACATTATTCATTGTTATCTTTCGCAAGTGAATAAAGTATTTTTTTATTCGTCAACACTCGACAATCATTAATCAATTCTACCTTATATACATGACTGGATTTTAGTGTAGCAGTGTCATCTCATGGTATCTGTCGAAAGAATTTCTATTCAGTAGATGACAGCTATAACAAGACATATGGTGTCAACTCATGATTTGACTTTAACTATTATGGTTTAGGTTCAAAATTGATCTTTTTTCAACTACTTACAGATAGTCCTTTCTTTCGTATATTTGCACACAATTACCAATATTGGTATTCAAACATATTCGAAAGAAAAAATCCGGAGGAGAGAAACTAATAGATGAAGAAGAAAACTTCGTAGATGAGAAACGTTTTTCAACAAAATGAACTTGTATATAAATAGAGAGAGGTGAGTTTTTGATATTCGCCACGTATAGTCTGTGCATCGATTTTCACAATGATTTTATATCTGATCACTCAGGTAAGTATGATTCATAAAAAAATTATTTAAAAGTCATGTTTGTCAAGGTGTGTACTCAAATTTCTCCACTTCTTGCTCAGTTGTGTTCAATGTTAGAAAAACTGTCAGTCAGTTTTCTCATTTCCGATCTCATTGTACTGTATTTGATTGGAATATTCACTGCTCTGATCGTGATTGTAACTCAGTTAATTCTTCCACTTAACATCTGACAAGAGAGTTCCTTCTAATTATTCTTCGTTGGCTACTTCGTACAATAACACCGATGCGGTGTATTGGAACATCGAGGACTTTTCAGAAGCACACACTTATTTTCAACGTGCTCTGCACATTCGTCGACGTAGTACATTACCTGCAGATCATCCTTAAATAAAGAGTGTGATGGAAATGGATTGAAGTTCGTAAGAAAGAAACAATGAAAGAAAAGATTGTCACTTGTCCATTGAAATCATTTGTAGTTACTTGCATAAACGTACATGAAGAATAGAGCTCTGTATAAATAGTAGTAACAAAACACTAGGAACGCAGTCGGACCAATAGAAGCAATGCAAATGCATTCATATATATGTACATGTATCGAAGGGCTGCATAGATATATAATTGTGTTAAAGATATATCTAATGTTTAAAACGAATAACTCACAAGGTTGTGTGGCTTTACAGTTGAGCCCGGCTTCCACTAGTGTTACAGGGATTATGGCGAATAAAAGTAATGTTACTGCAGCGACTGAATGGAACTAGTTCGCGTTCACATTCACTGCTGCAGTCGATTGTATCTACAGGACCCCTCAAGTAGAATCACCAGTACAACAATTATTTGACTCCGTGCTCGATTCTCACCAAGAAATAAAAAAATATACGAGATAGAATGACTAAGAACCGGTGTGATATCTTATTCAAGCTATGAAATTTCTATATTGCATATAGTTTAGCTGGAGTATTCAGCTACTGGAGTACCTCCTTTCTCCTAATAAAAACCTTCACTGCGAAGTGCTTGATTGATTTAATTCATGAACCAGTAGCAGTCTGTATCTGTTGCTATAAATCATGACCAACATCATCACATTGTTTCGTATTTGTTTTCTTTTTGGTTAAAGTCAAAGTGTTGCTCTGGTAGATCAGTACTGTCACCGATCCACTCATGTTCGCCATAACAACATGTGTTTTGAACTAGTAAGATCGTTTACCTTTTGACACAGATGTTGCGTTAAGCAGATTTTGTTGACGATGAGAGAGGCACGGGAACTTTTGTGCCTGTATGTTTGCGACTGTAGAAGAAGCCAAAGGGGAAAGCAAAACGTGTAGGGACTGGCTAAATGTTGTGCTTGGCACACCATGAAGAAAGTTGCTTATTACAACCTACCAAGAGGTATATACCACATCTTGAGGGTTCTTGTTGCAATGATGAAAACGAGTAGATCGGTGGCGACACTGATCTGCCAGAGCGACACTTATCATTCAATTAAAATATGAATGACAACAAAATAGTCTTTTTAGACACGTGGCTACTGTTTTGCGAAGTGAACAGAGCGAAAATTCAATCATGCGGAACAGAAAGTCGTCGTCGATTACTGAAACATATTGATAACACAAAAGTGTAATGTCAGATGGGATTTTGCGCACATTTCACTTATCAAGAGAATGTAAATATCGGCATCTTTTCTTAGGTCTTTCTCTATTTTAGTATTACAATATTCGACTTGAGGAAATGGCGATGGACAAATGTATGGTGATGCAGAACGGATTTCAATTTTCTGGTCGCGATACAAATTGTATACTTTTTCTATTTCCCAGCTGGAATATTGATACGTCGATAAAATATGCTTTCGCAGTTGTAGGTGTTTTTTGTTTGGGGCTATTGAACGAGGTATTAATATATAGCCGCCAGCTGTTGGCAAAAAGGATGAATGGAAGGTCATCCTTAATCATCTCACAACTATGTCTGTCTTTACTTTATGGACTGCATATGCTGCTTGCGTACTTTGCCATGTTGTTAGTCATGACTTATGAAGCTGGTTTTTTCATTAGTCTTTTGGCCGGATTGGTTCTCGGTCATTTTATGTTCGGTATTCTTCGTTCTCGCGAGAGCGATTCAACAACTGAAAGAACACCGTTGATAGGATTTTCAAATCAGAACACTTCACTTTCTACTCCATGTTGTCAATCAACGAGCTAATTTTAAAAAGAATTTATATCTTGATAGAACAGGCACTACCATAATGGTTCGAAACTTCGTTTAATAAATTTGTTTCCAGTCACATTTGCACAAAGAATTAGGAGATGCTTTTCTGATGATATTTGCTATTCCTCTTGAAAGTAATTTATGAAAGACTAATACATTTTTTCATCGCCGTTATTACCCACGCCAGAAAATCACGTTTCAAAGTTGATTGATAATTGTTTTGTAATATATTCAACCGACTTGTGTCCTACTGTTTTGTTATATTGATAAAAGCACTACCGCCGACGATTTATCATTCTGCTGGTTATTCGCCAGTTTGTCCTACTGATATCTAGTAGTCAGTATATCATTAGCGGCAACAATATGCATGTGTGGATGTCAATGCTCCATTGAATCATCATGCATCATAGACAGTTATGATGATAATGGAATTTGTAATCTTTATTCTTCACCATTATTGCAAAAAATAATTTCATTTGATGCCAATTTTAATGATGTATACGTTCAATAAAACGGTACCTTGAGGGACATGTACGGAAATTCATTATCGAATCTTACCGATCTTTGGTCATTTCCGGGGATATGCGGGGCGTGGCGGTGTCATGAACTATTCCTCCAACGTAACGATACTTGTTAATTGTTACTTCGACTTAACCGCGACTAGTTTTACTGTTTCTGCTTGGATCTGGATTTTGAGATCTTTTAATCCGAATATAGTGTATCATTATCTCATGTTATTCAGTCATTGCGAGACAACGGCTAATGATAAATGCCTACAGATAGCTGATTTGATAGATACAACGCAAGTGACATTACATCAATGGCTCCATGTCGTTTATATCTATGATCGGTTAGCATCGCAACAGCTGATTTTCCTCAATGGCCGACATGACAACAGTCGATTTTCAAGTTCATACGTAAGAAATGCGAGCTAGCTGTATCTTGTCCCAGTACCATACTTTGGCGCAACTTTTTATCGCAATGGTCTTCTTGACCAATTAATATTTGTGTCACGCATCGAAACTGCCACTGTAATTCTTGGTGAAGGTACTTTAGTTGCCCACTATTGATCCGATGGTTCGAATCAAATGAATAGTATAAATACTATTTCAACAATAACATTTGATACAAATATTGTAAATTTAACCACTGGACCATGTTTTTAAACAATAGACTTCTATTATCTGGGCCAGTCGGATTATTTATTTTCATTTTTTCCCACTATGGATCTATGTCTGCATAAATATTGGTACTATTCTCCGAATTAGTACAGCGAACAATAGTTAGTGATAAGTTTAATACGTTTATTCTTGGAACTTGTTATTCACTGAACTTTTGTGGTGTATATCAAAGTTCTAGACGATCGAGTCAGCTTCAAGGACCAATTGATGAGTTGAAAATCTTTTCACAAGAATTATTGAAAAATGAGATTTGTGTAATATATATTAACACTTTATATCGATATATTTTTATCATCAATAATCAATGACTATGTTCTATAAATAAATTCATTTGCTCATTGCTTACGTAGGAATATTTCAGTGGGTTATTTCAAGGTCGATGATTACCTGTAAACTGTTCGAACTGAAGACGAAGGATGCAAGTTTCCCATGGGTTTTAGGTCGTCGAACAACAAAAGCAAAATAATCAATTACGCACGTATTAATCGATCAAAATAAAAAAATGCGTCATGTAAGGACAAAATCTATTGCGAATACTGTACTCTCCACTCACCGTATAAATAGACATCAAGACAGTTTTTCGTTTGTTATCTACCTCATGTTCAGCTTTCGCACGCATGAAGACGATTATTTATTTGCTTGTGTTAACTAGTTCGCTAGGTAAAGATTGAATGAATGTATTAGCATAGACTTTCAATGAGATATTTTTACTCTTGTTCTAGTTAGTGGTCAAAATTGTAAAACAGAAGGATGTTCTGACAATCTTTGCTGTTCGGAATTTGGCTAGTAAGAGAATGATTTCTATCGAATATAAATATAATTCTGTGAATCTAGTTGTGGAAATACGCCAGAGCACTGCAAGAATGCCACAACATCACCGCCGAATAATCAACCAACGATAAGCTGTATGATATACGAGATATGAACAAATCTTTCGATATATATATTCTCTTCTAGCTGGTGATTGTCGAGTTTGTGGTTGTTCTGCACTTGGCGACTGTTGTTCTCCATTTGGATTGTGAGTATTGAGAAATGTTTAGAATCAAATAGGAGACATAGATTTTGACGTAAATTTAAAGCTGTGGAACTACAGCAGCGCACTGTTCGAATCAAACCATTGAGACCCCTGAATCAGCACTGATCGCGCAAACTCCAAGTAATTACTTTCCTTTTTTCTATCATCTACTTGATATTGATCCGTTTATCACGTAGAGGGTGACTGTAGAATATGTAACAATTGTAATCAAACACAAATCTGTTGCAATAATACTGGATCGTAAGATTAATCGAGCATGTTCTGTTGATTGAAACTATCTTCCTCTTTTCATGTAAAGTTGTGTTAATGAACAAAGGCAATGTACTGAAAGTGTTTCAACGCCTGCTCCTCGTAAAAAAATCTCTATTCTCTATTAATTCTAATCTTAATTATCGATCTCTTCTTAGCTACTACAAATAAGTGCCATCCAGATCCATCTAAACTTTATGGAATACTTCACAGTGTTAACAATAAATTTATCGATTGTAAAGAATTTTCAACTAGTCTCAATAACACTGCAATCGTTCAGTGGTCGGAAAGTAATACACTCAATCAACTATGGCAATTTGTTCCTGTCAACCCAGCAGCCAACATTTATTTGATTGTTTCAATTCAAACTGGTAAAGCACTAACAGTGATATCGTCCAGTAGTCTTCAACAATGGTCCTATGAAACAGACAATGCAAATCAACTATTTCAAATCCAACAGGAAAATAATGGAAATGATCAGTGTCGAATTGTCAGTATGCAGACAAACACATCGATTACAGTTGATTCAAACGCGAATGGACGACCAATTCAAATTGGTAAACAACAACAAAGCACGAGTGATTTCACATGGAAATTAATCGAAACAGGTAATATCAATTCGTATTTAACAAATCATACCTAACTACTTTCTTTTCCATCGATTCCAGCAAATGCAACAAATCGCTATTGGAAAGTGTATATTGATGAAAATCTTCATCAGATTTGCGATGATAAAAACAGTGTAAAATCGACAGAAAAATTAACATTACAGAGATGTTTATATTGGTGTGACATTGAACAACGAAAAAGATTTTGTATGTGGAATTATAATGACAACGATGGTCAAACAGGTTTTTGCATTGGAGCAAACGACTGTCAAAATAGATCGACTGTCGTAGCGGGAAATGAAGCATATCGAACTTATATCGAACGTGAGTTTAATTCAGGATTTAAATGCAATAGACAACTTGTTGTTCTTGCTTTCTTGCCTAGGACCGGAAATGGATGTTTTCTCCACCGATGATGATGGAGATGATGTGCCAATTTTTCAAACTGCTCCGTTTACGAGTTATATTGACTATACGAAATTTCTTCTCATTTCAGCAAATGGTTTTGCCATACCATCTCAACCATTGCGTTGCGTTGATCTAGATCCTCAAAAACAACGAGTACTAGTTTTCAATGAAACAAACGAAGGAATACGATTTTGTGATCTATGTCCCAATCTTCCACCATATCATAAATATCCCGATTATATTATCAGAGGAAATCCATTAACAACGACCGAAAACGCACGATTCGATCAATGTTTTCTCCAATGTGTTCAAGATGTTCGATGTATTGGCTATTCATACAATCAACAGAATTCTACATGTCTAACGTTCAGCCAAACGGCCATTAGGGGAACAAATGGACTAGTCTATCAGCAATACTGGCAAACTATTCTCATCAAACAACCGATTGGAACAATACAGAATTGGCTGTATACAAGAAATATGAAAATAGCAATTCGATTCGTCGATGATAATAATCGAACCGAGTCTTCTGACACATTCTTAAAATGTTTAAATTCATGTAGTCATTCTCAAATGCCTTGCATAGCAGTGACTTACGATTTCGCTTCGAAACTCTGCTATTTGTTTGCAAATATTACTACAGACAATTGGATACAGTTGTCTTACGGTTTTGTATCAGCCTTTCATTTTTCACACATCTATGGAAATACATCGAGTCAATGGAAATACACATCCGAAGATGGAAACAACGGCTTGATTGCCAATGCCAATCCTTCGGCAACAAACTCAAGCAAATCATGTAACTTACCAAATGATAAACCATCAACTGAATATGGAATTTATTATAATCCAAGTTGTTTAGTCGGTGGTAAGAGAAAGAAAACATTTGCTTCGATTTTTTCATTATCGAAATGCTTTCCTAGGTGGCAATGGTTGTGATCAGAATGGCTGTCAATTATGTTTACAATACAAAGCGAATTTCGAACAAAATCTTCCATTATGTCCTGCAGTACAATCGAGTCCTGATGATCTCGCCAATGCTCGACTTCAGATCGAAAGTTGCATACAAACTTGTTCGAATCAATCCAATACATGTTTAGGATTTGATTATGATCCATTAACCGTGACATGTGCTTATATTTCCACATATTCAAAATGGACAACGAATAAAAACAATCAAACGAAACGATATTTACTCTCTTACCCATCGAAAGCATTTCAATTTCTTCCTGATTGTGAACTGATTTCAACTACAGTTTCAAAATCAGCGACGATAGATGACTGTTTAAATACTTGCAAGACTGGATGTCAAAAGGTTTCTTATAACTATCAAACATCTCAATGTAAAACCGGTGGATATTCAACAGGAACGTTTCGATTAAAGCCCGACGTCGATTCTCATTGCTTTATACGAAATTTCAACGAAAATAATGATCTAACATCCATACGTATGGCATTTTATCGTTACATTGGTGTTGAATTAAAGATACAAGTGCTCGCCGAGTCATCGTTTCAATGTCAACAGGATTGTGCCAACGAGCTGGATCAATGTTTAGGCACTTGTCTAGCAGCTGATCAATGTCAATACATATCAGTTACGTTTACAAAAAGCAATGCATTTCAATGTAAACTATTTAAAAATAATGTCAATGAAACAGTCGATTTTCACCCAAATAACTCCTCGGAAATCTACTATCGATATTTTGATATTCGACTAAATCAAACCACACTTGATTCTATGCCAGTATTTCAAGTTGATTCAGATTTAGCCGAATGTTATGATCAAACAAGAACCTACAATAAATACGAACAAACATATTCATCTTTAGAAGGCTACTCCGATTCATTAGAAAGTAAGCAGACACATATTCATAATTAAACGTATATTTATTCTTCGTTGTGTAGTTTCAAGCAATGGTACAGGACAAAATCAGGCTAGTTTAACAAGAAAACGTCGGCGACGATCGATATTTTCTGATATTGGGAACTTTTTCAAGAAGAATATCATCGATCCTGTTGTCAATACTGTCACAGATATCGTCAAAACTCCCATTCAGATCGGAAAAGCTATTGGTGCCGCAATATCTGGTGATACCGAACAAGCGAAAAAAGAAATTCTCGATATCGGAATTGTGAAAGATGCAATTAGTTTAGGAGAAAATGCAGTTAATTTCGGCAAAGCATTAGGAAAAGGTGATCTGGCAGGTGCTGGGGAAGCTTTGTTGAATGTTGGAGCTGATGCATTAAGTTTTGTGCCTATTCCTGGAGGAAAAGTTCTTGGAAGTATTGGAAAGAATGGAATTAAGAACGGTTTAAAAAATACAAAGAAAGACTCCAAGCCGACGTCGAATGATAGAAGAGATGATGATAATAAAAATTCGAAAGACGAAAATGATAGACAATGTGAACTCGTGAGTGATGTGATATTAAGTTGTTTTAGAGATGGCGTGTACCGTACATTTTTCTAGTCGCGTCGAAGAAGAGACACTGGCAAACGTAAATGTGATCAAAATGATAAGGACGACAATAATCAACAGAAGTAAGTTTTTACTGATGAATTTCGAATAATACTCTGTAAATTCTAGTAACAATCCGAAATGTCGAGAACCAAAGATAAACAAAATATTGAGTAAGGGCGATTGCAATATGAGATCAGTTGGAAAGAAATGTGAGTGGGTATGCAATCAAGGTTATATTGAGTCGCAGGCAAGCGGTGTCACTTGTACGCGGCCAAAACCTAATAGTAAAACAGCTGACTGGGAACCTAAACCATCATGTTCGCCTCAAGACTGTGGCACAGGAGATCATCCATATATATCGGTTGAAACAGATGGAATCATTGCCTATACAATATACTTTGACAAAAAACGACGATTACCTATATGGTCATTCTCTATTCATGATACACACAACCGTGTAACAGCTGCAACAAAAGTGGGTCGAACTAAAAGTTTTTTCGTTCATCCATGTTCACAATTAAAAAAAGATCAACCCAAAACAGGACAATATACAAACTCTGGCTACGATCGTGGTCATCTGAGTCCATCTGATGCTCATCGATACTCAGAGAAAGCATCGAGATCTTCGAATTTCATGATTAACATAGCACCGCAAGATCCTATTACCAATGAAGTTTTATGGGCAAAAATCGAAGCACATATATTGTGTCACAATAATAAATATAAAGCAAGTTTAGTTGTAACTGGTGTTTGTCCTGGAACAATTAAAAAAACGTTACCAACTGGTGGCTTAGATGTTCCAGATTGTTTTTGGAAAATGATTTGTTATATTCGCGACGGCAAAACTCATGTGGTCGGTTTTCTTTCAGAAAATACACACATTCCTTCGACAGATTCCAAAGAATATAATGACACAATAAATGTGTTGTTTCGGCCTGTTTCTCAAGCGACTATTCTCGGACGTATGAAATCGGATTCGAATTACGCGAAAAGTCCATTCCAGGCAACTGTCATGTCAAAATCGAATAAAGGTATAATACTTTCAATTGTGAAACGAAATGCTTTCTATTTGTAATTGAAGGTCGTGGAGCAATCCTCGTGCAGCCAACCTTATGTGCACAAGCATTGACATTGGATCAAACTGAATCGGATGCTTGGTACAATGATCTTGTAGCAATAAAAAAGGATTCGAAAACTAAGAGACAAGTGGGTGATATTATGAGTGCTCGAGGATGTTCACCATCAGAAGCTCAAGCTATGGCATTATTCATGGGTCTAAGCTCGCTTGATATCACTGACACAGCAAATACTTTACAAAATGAAAATAATGTCGACGATAGCGACTTGGGAGACATCGATGATGATGGTGACGGCACGGATGGCCGTCCGGAGGCAGTCAATTGTGGTAAACGAGTCATCGGTTATTATCCAAGTTGGGGAACAGGAAAAATCTCAGGAAAACATATCCGCCGTTTGACACATATTGTCTATGCATTCTTCGAAGTTGATAGTAGTGGACAAGTGTTTCTTGGCAGTGCAGACCGTACGCATAGTCAAGACGTATCAAAAGATACGCAAGTTGCCAAAGCACGCTTGGATCATTTATTAAAATTGAAACGAATCTATTCTGAACAGAAGTATATGTTTGCTGTCGGCGGCTGGGAGAATTCTCAATATTTTAGTTCAATTGCTCAATCTCCTGATAAACGCCTTCGATTCATAGCATCATCGTTGAAATTACTCGATGAATATGATCTTGATGGTATTGATATTGATTGGGAACATCCGGTTACGGGCGGAGCTGTCGAAGGTATCAAAGAAGATAAAGAAAATTATGTTCTATTCATGAAAGAGATTCGCCAAGCATTAGATCAACATGGTGGCAGCGAAAGAAAATACCTTTTATCGTTCGCATCAGCTGCAGGACAATGGACACTTGATCCAGGCTATGATCTTCCTGAATTATTAAAATATGCTGACTATGTTAATGTGATGACATATGATTTCTTTGGCGCTTGGGATTCTAAATGGGGAGCATATACGGGACCACCAGCTCCATTGTATTTTGGTATGCCACCACGATTTTCCGGCAAAACAAATGTTGATTGGACAATAAAGTATTATGTTTGCAAGACGAATGAACCACATAAGATCACTATGGGTGTTCCATTCTATGGTCGATACTGGATAAATGTTCCTAACGAACCAATCGATCCTAATGATGGTAAGAAAAACATAGTTGATGGAGAGCAAGAGGTGATCCATGATTCTTTTAGGTATGTGGCATAAAGCAAATGCAGTTAATGGTAAATTCGAAGGTGGTTATGCCCCATGGAATGAAATCAAATCATCTTGGTTAACAAATCCAGCCTATAAACAACAGAATCACGAAAAATCGAAATCATCCTATGCCTATAACGCTCAAGAAGGCATCTTCTTAGGTTTTGAGTCACCGGAATCTTTAAAAGATAAAGCAAAATATGCTGCTGACAAAAACGTTGGTGGATTGATGATATGGGCAATCGATCAAGATGATGACGATTTAACCATGATGAATATTGTTGCCTCAGCTTCATTATGTCAAAATACAGATCCAAAAGCGACGTTCTATAAGTGTTCACCATTGAAAGGTGAAAAACGTTGGTGGACATTGGAAGACAGTGAAGAAAAAGCAGGCATGTGTGGTCGATCAGCACCTTTGTATAAAGGTTACTATCCTGTTTGTGATCCTGACGATCCTGGCTATAGTTGTTGTAGTCCTGAAGGTTTTTGTGGATTTTCGGATAAACATTGTAAAAGTCCTGGTGTAAATTACGGTGAAAATCCTGATCTCTTAGTTCAAGAACCAGTTCGTCCAACCATCAATCCCATTCTTTGGTATACACTTGATGCGCCTGACGGTAAACGTGGCCGTTGTGGACGTAATGTTCCTAAACTTGACAATGGTGAGTATCCAATCTGTAATCCTGATGATGCTAACGCTCATTGTTGCTCAAATGGCGGCTACTGCGGAACGGGTAAAGAATTCTGCGAATGTGAAGAATGCGTCGATTTCAAAGCCAAACCAACTTTTCGATTCAAACCGAAACAGTGGAATGACGATGGAAAATGTGGCAAAGACGCACCAAAAGTTAACGGTCAAATGGCTATTTGCAATCCTGATTCTAAAACAGCATACTGCTGTTCAGCATCGGGTTTTTGTGGTTCAGGCGCTGACTTTTGTGATTGCAAAGGATGTGTTAATTACAAGAAATAACAATAAATCGACTACAACGAACGATAAAGACTCTTTTTGTTAATATGTATTTATTTATTTTTAAATAAAACTTTCGAAAATATCAGTGTTCAAGATGAATTCTTAGAAAGCTGCAATACCTCCATATGTCGCTAAAACGAACATTTCGTTATCATTGTGAACAACAGATAGATGCACATGAGATAGAGATATATAGTCCAGAAATGCGAACTGATTGACTCTTATTTTAGGAAATACGCATTGACACGATGCATGATTGAAACCTTGTGTTTTCTCAGCTAGCTTTTCAATATTTACTCGATAGAATGAGATGGAATTATTACCGGGAGCTAAACTTTGCAATGCTATGATATTTCGACGTAAATATGATTGTGTAAAAATATTAAAACTTTCCGTCGGTAATTTTTCGACTTGTAACTGATGTGTATGAAAATCGAACACCAAGTGATTATAAATTTGTATTGAACCATGCTTTGATTCCGAGTCATGATCTACGATGCAAGGGCCGCTACGATCGATGATCTGATCCTTACTTTCCATCATTCGGAATAGACTCGTGCCGGATTGTTTTTCTAGTTGACTACATGAATGTTCACAGAAGCCTTGATAACCGTCTTTTGAAAGTAGCTCTTGATGTTTCGAATCATTACGCAAATCTGAAATTTGTTCAGCATTACGTCGTTGACCATGTAAAACATCATATTCATCAACATCTCTAGAAAATTCTTCCAGTTCATACTGTCCAGCTGGTTCTGCCAGTTCGAATCGTAGATGATAACGTGAACGAAGATCTTCACCAATAAACTGGGAATCATGCCGATTACTCATATACGTTCGGTCAACGCTCGAGTTCAAGTCTTTTCTGGGTTGTCGGATGTTCTCATCTATTTGATTTACTCGGTACAACGCACCGTAACAATTGCGGTTGTAAAATACATCTTCAAGCAATTTTTCCATTTCTAGTTCGCATACTTCATCAGTATTTCTATCATATCGAACGACGTATGTCGTTGCGTCTTTGCTATGTCCTAACAAGAAAAATGCGTAAACAGCCGCCACACGGCAACATCCGTGAATGTGTTTCAAAAAGAAATCTGTGTCGGGAAAACGAAATAATGTTTGGCATCCGAATTGTTGATGAATATTTGGAAGATATTTAGATCGAAGTGGATTGTCTGCCACAAATGCATTCATTTGAGCTTCCCAAACCATATGCAAAAATTGAAATTCCGGATAAGCAAATGTGAAATACTGAACATCGTTTTCATTCATAAATTGGAAAATGTGAAGCCAGAGTTCAACTGGGAGGCGTTTTATTATGGATTCTTTGTTAACATTTGATGAAGTTAATTTTGATTCAAGTAAACGTGGATAGCAATATCGAATTGATAACGATCGTTCATATAGTTCTCCTCTATAAGTCGCTTGTTCAGATTCATAAAGTGCATACGTATCTTTCAATTCATTTTGCTGTGCTTCGCGAAAGAAATTCAAGCAAGCAAAGTAATCTTCTTCTTCTTCCGGGCAAACTGCAAATCCCAAAGGTTTTCCTGTTCGTTTGACTAGTATATCACTTCGAAGGACTATTCGTTGCATCAATTCCAAGCCATTTTCTGTTTTCGGTGCTATCGCTTCATGCAATAGATTATGTGTAAACAGAATGGCATAGCCTTTCTTCGGCTTCACACTGATACATTCGTAGCCAGTTGTTAACCCACCAAACGCATTAATTTCTTCTCTGATTGTTAGTCCCTTGATATCCATCGATGGTTTTTGTTTGGGAAAGTAAAATTTTGTTTCACCTTCATCATACTCGTCCGAGAGATAAATTAGGAAACTGAATAAAGACCGTTCATCACCACTTGGCGCATATTGTGCATCTTTATGAACTGCGAAGTGTTCGTTTTCTTTGTACTTATTTAATCTCATTGCTGGATTGATTCCATCCAATTGCCATTGGCCTTGAACATTAAAACCTAATGGTTTCATATTTCTACTAAATTCAAGCAGTTTTTCATCGGACTTCAAACGTTGCCACAACATATCGGCTAACTGCTCGTCCATGACAATTAATCGCGAATTGTTTCGCCTTCGAATATCATATTTATTGTGCATACATTCGAATGTTTGATGACGAGTGTTATGTACTATTTCGTTGCATTCGTTGGGAGTCAGCAGACGTCCTAGTTCAATCAGCACAAGATCATTGTCGTGTTTAATTGTTCTAAATCGAATATCCGCATCGGTTTGAGTTGATTCTGCTCGATAATTTTTTAGTAAAGATGCACTGACGCTCAGATCGATGTTGCCAAGAAATTCTTGATGTGACATATGTGTTCTGATTTGGAAAAAGTCTAAGAGAATAAAGATAAGCTTTTCGTCAATCTGGATTTTGAATAAATGAATAATTCTACATTCGACAGTATTTTACTCTACCTTATAGGAAAGCTCACCTTCATTATCCCGCTTACATTGATACTAGCGGGAGTATCCGGTGATAATTGAGAAAAAAAACATGTATGCCGAATGATTCACGTGTTGAAAAACTGTAGCAAATTTCAATTGTATCTGTTTATGTAAAAGAACCATCAAAGCTAATTTCTGTATCAAAATTTATTAAACTTGCTTCTTCCACTAAGATCCATTTACAACTCCAGTCGTGCACTCGTCAATCTTATTCTCATTGTCACGCGATACTATATCTCCTATCTTTCATTCTTACCCTGAAATCTTACTCATCCGTTCCATAGATTACCTGTAGTAAGGGTGAGGTTTATTGTTTTTCTGAGCAGGGTATATGTCAGTCTTTCTCTGGGCCTAAGAAAAATTTATGAAAAGTTTGGCAACGATAGCTATTGCTGGGAATGAGTGCATAATGGACAGCCGCATTTTCTTCTTGATATACACAGATTGCATCACATACAGTCACTTCCTTCGTCTTTTGACAACGTGTTTATCGCACGTGTCGATTGAATACATTTGTTCGTCACGCTTTAGCAAACTGACTTGCTTACTTTAATGATTATCGGAATCACGTAAGAAAGTAACTAAGAATGCTACAAAATTCAGGCGCTCTTGCATTTTTTTTTGTATTTATCGATGTTCATTTCTCTATTGTCATATATTGCATTACTTAGCATTGCAATACTCAATAAATGGCAGTCAGTTGACGCTGTTCGTAATCGCAAACATCGTGATAATTTGATAGATAATCCGAATTTTGGTCCTCTTCCGCCTCTACCAGGTGAAGCAGGTTCACAGGTTCCAAAGAATTGGCAAACGCAACCTGTCCCATTCTATGACTTCTATCATGACGATGCTCGCATACAAGAACGAGCTTTTAAAGCCTACTGCAATAATATGGTAAATGCGTTCAAAGCGAATGAAGAAATTGAAGCAAGAAAAGATTATGAAGCTAGAGAACAACAATATATTTTTAATAAACAAGCACAATACAATGATAATATGAAAGATCAATGGAAGAAAGATCGAATGAAATCATTGCCAAAGAAATGTATTCTTTCAAGGTAGTCATGTACGAAATTGAGATTCTGTTCGATTATCCGTCTCATTGAAATGAAAGTTTTTTGTCTGAAAATGTCGAAATTCGCTCAAAAACACAACAATCTTTCGTCGAATGATCGTGAGTCTATCGATGTAGACATATATGCATCAGCTATACGTGATTTCTCTTCTACGAAATCCACTGCATTCAAATTGTGTCATATTTACAAGTAGGCAGTCGATCATTTTTATTCTACGTACTATTTATTGTAAGCATTGAATAAATCACTTGAAAAATAACAGCATGATATTATCAAAAATCATATTTCCTCATGTTAAAGAAAAGTGCGATTACTCTCATTGACATATCTACTCGATCAGAAAGAAAATGCCAACTAATTACTGCTTGTATATAAAGATAGGTATTCCAAGTGAAATATCGGGAAGTGACTAGTTCACTACAGCTAAATCTGTTAGTAAGTGCAGAGCAATATTATACAGTAATACACTGCTGTAATGAATAACAACACGACTCAAGCTTCGCTTAGCAAGACTTTAGAAGCGTTTCATACTTTCTGCAATGATCAACAATCAATAGCTGCCAAAAATGAACTTGATGCTGCCAAGCGTCTTCTGGAAGCTAGTTATGGTCATGCGAAAACCTCTCAACCTGAATCAGGTGGCGCTTCGAAATCCTCTTGACCAGTATCAAGCAACATGCTCATGAATAGAGACTTCTCATCACATCAATCATAATCAATTGATATACAGTCACTAATATATATATTCTTTATCGCTTGAAAGTTTTGTTTCTATATTTCTGATATGAATCTAACTGTGAATTGTTTAATTACATTTCGCATTCAACAAACGGACGTGAGTGAGTCGCTCAGTAGCTGTCATAGTTGTTTGAGACATTTATCGTGTGATTTATTCCATGTAATTCTTTATCAATAATATAAATAAAGCCTTTCTGTAAGATAAGAACATATAAAAACGTGCATTGTGTATCACTCTATATATGCCCATTTGTTACATCATATTTGCACAACCTTGTAGTTGCTTTTTGTAGTGTTTCAAAGTAGAAAAATATTAGATTCGAACAAATTACAGACTCAGTGGTAGCTATGGATGGAAGAATTGAAGCAATGAAGGGTATTTGGGATTTTGTATGCTGTTGAAAATCAGTTGTGAACACATGTTAAGTGATTCGTTTTAAGGTAGAAAGTGATAATATGGATGAATACTTAAAAGAAATAGGCGTGGGTATGATGGGACGTATGGCAGCAAAAGCTATAAAACCGCGTCTTATCATCAGTGAAACTGATGGAAAATGGACAATACGTACAGAAACAAATGTGAGAAGAATGAGTATAGAATTTATACCAAATGTCGAGTACGAAGAAATAACAGCTGATGGGCGTGAACTCAAAGTAATTGTTTTCGTAGAATATTGCAATCGATGTGACTTGAACTTTTTTCATTTAGGGAATTGTTCGATTCGAAGATGGAAAATGGATTCAGACAATGCGTGATAAAAATGGTAAAGTATCAATGATCACGCGTTGGATTGATGATCAAGACCAACAACAAATCGTAAGAGAGATCGTAACTTTCTTCTTTCTCTGGTCTAATATGTAATTCATTGTAGATTTTAGAGTGTGGCAAAGCTAAAGCTCATCGAGTTCACAAACGTGTTCGAGAAGAATAAAGAAAACATTTCAAAATATATTTTACTATTTCATTCTTTTCAATTCTTTACACTTGCAGAATATTCTCGTCTTTTCATATAAAACAGACAAGAAAAAAATTCACATGTGTTTCTACACGTGAAATAGTACACAACTAGAGTGCACTCATTGCATAGTTTACATTACAATTTGTCTATATAAGCTCAGTCATGTCGCCAAGACGTCATATTCATGTTCTCAACACCACATGGGCATTCAACTCTCTTCGACGCGTTCAAGTCAAATGAAACATCGTTCAGGGAAAGTAGAGAACTACGTTGGTATCGGAGCATCCGATACCGTTGGACTAGGCACGTCGAATCCATCGGTTGATGGTTGGGTTCCACGATTTGCTTCGTTAATCTCCGCACAGCAAACCATCAATCTTGGTCGTAGTGGATCAACTCTTGACGATGCGTTAAAGCAACAACTGCCAAAAGTGTTCGACAAAAAACCCGATGTCATAACTATATGGCTGGCTGTGAACGACTTCAATCAACAAGCTTATGACCGCTCCATTCTAACGAGTTACACAGCCAATCTGCAGCTAATGCTATCTGAATTACGAACGAAATTAGGTGACAATACCCGAATACTTGTAGGGAATATTCCCGATTTGACTAAAGTTAATATTTACACCTCACTGGGCATTCCAAAGCTTCTCCTCGGTATTCAAGTAAAACGGTGGAACGATGCGATTAAACATATCGTGAAAAAGAATCATTGCGATTTAGTAGATTTATATTCTCACTGGAAGGAATTGGATGAACATCCCGAATACGTCTCTTTTGACGGATTTCATCCATCCGTAGAGGGTTATCAAAGACTTGCACAAATCTTTCATCAACAATATCTCAAATAGTCCTTTGATTAGAGCACTCTTAAACAAATATTAAAAAGGCTTGGGCATAATTTTTATAATAAATTTCTATTCAATACAAAACTTTTTTGACAATTACTACAAACTAAATAGTTTTATACATAAAAAACATTCATATAAGATATAAAAAATCAATTGACTGAGATTATTTTCAGATGACTGTATATGACTTGTTTATGAATTTAAACATCACCTTCGACTAGAGTTGAGAGAGAAGCTTGTTTTGCAGTAGAAGATGAATATCGACGACTTGTCGTTGTTGGCATCAATTGCCCATAACCGTTATTGTTTTTCTCTGTTGGGGATTGTTGCGGGAGTGGAAAGTTTGTACTACGACGTCGAATGGATTCGTATGTTTGTGATAAATCAACAGGATCAGATACTTGACGTTTGACTTCATTTGTCGTTAGATCGCCACCTAATTCACGTTTTAGCCGACGTTTCAACTGCTTAGGATCTTTTGAATAGAATGCTTGCCATAGATGATTGATAACCTAAACGACATATGGGTGTGTGAGACAAGCCTGAAGTCGAGTTCTTTTTTGTCAGACTGGTATATACCTCTGTACAAACAAAATCACTTGTGTTTGATGAGAGTAGACGTAGCATGAAGATTCCATCTGGTTCAAGATAACCGAATATGAATTCTCTGTACCAATCTTTGACATATTCCGGCGGTTGAGAATTGAAGTCGGTGTCACGTTTCATTAATTGTAAGCGTCGTTTTATATAGTTATACTGTTTATCGGGAAAAAAGCGAGTAACCCATACAACGACATCGAATATTGACTAAAAACACCAACGAAAAACATCAGTCGACTGACACTCGATAAAATCACTTACAACTATGAAAACCATCATATACCAAAACCAGATAAAAGTAAAGATCTAAAGGAAAACAAACAACTAATGGAAACGAAACGAAATAAAAATGAGGAGAATATACTTGTTGTGAAAATAGATTCAATGGAAGAACACATTGTACTGTGTAACGGTGCGAATCGCGTGGGTGTAACGCTTCTCGAATTTGAAAATCGCATAGAGTTACTTTAGGAAAGTACGGAGATTGTGTATCCCAACCTGTAAACGACACAAATACAAATGCTATCCTGTTCATAAACTCTCTCCTCCATACCTCGCCCTTCGATAATTCTCGTTAACACTTGGATGCCAAATAAATGAAATTCTTGTCCCAGAAATAAATTCAATAGAAATATTTGACAAACCGCATTCGTAATAAAAAGTGCTTTTGTTGTAAAATATACAATAATCAGATAATTACCCAAGTATTTACCCATAAATATACATATGGTCATTAAAATGCGCTTTATGCTGATACGAGCTCCACGTTCGTCGGCCTGTCTTCTCGGATCGTCCACATATTTATCAATTGCTTCAACAATATAATCCATTAATTCATTCTTATGCTTATCATCTTTTGTTGCTGTATCAACTGATTTGTAGTTGATCGCAGCATCGACAATATCGCGTACATCGATTCCACTACGCCGTGATAGTGATCGCCAGACGATATGTGGGAAATAGAAACAAAATGCTTGGAGAAGTAAAATAAATGGAATCCATTGATAGTAACGTAGTTCATTTTGACGACGATCTCGTTCGATCTTTGGAACTTTCTGGTCAAGTGGGATGTAATATGTATTCGATACCCAACATATATCATTCACATATTCCTAAATGACGAATTAGTTGAATACGAAGAGAAAATTGTAACGATATTACCTCATAGTTTTTCGTAAACTGAGCTGGTACCCAACCTAAAAGAATCGAACGCTCAATTTGAGATGCTTGGAATGTCGTTCACTTACATTGAATATGTTTAGTTCCAAACTGTTTATTAGTGACAATAATAGCGAAAAGAACAAGCATTAAAACAGTGTATTTATAGGAGAGACGATCGGCGAAACTGTCATCACAACGTGATGCGCCAAAGACAAGTGATGGCAAACGTGTAACTATACCAATGATATCCATGAGAATCAATCTGAAAAAGAGAAAAAAAAACATTATATATCATGTTGTAGTACAAAAGAAAACAACAACATAATAACAAAACAAAAGTTATAACTAGAAAAAAGATTAATCGTCAGCAATGGATGCATTGGAATCATCTTCTTTGTTTTTCTTTTTCTTTTCTACTGTTGGTTCAGATTCTAAATAGGAAAAAAACAAGTCATGTTTTGACCAAAATTTCCAAAACACCGAACCTTTTTTATTGCCACCCTGTTTTGTTGAGTACTTTTTCAATTTTGCAACAAAGAAACCATCCAAATTATGTAAATGTGGATAGTATCGACGGCAATATTTCATGAACGGATGAAACGATGTTCCTTTGAAACTGTGCACGAAAAACAAAGAATTCTTTGTTAACTTTCAACTATTAAGATTCTTACTTGCTGAAACCTTCGACACCAAACTCTAAACCTGTTTCAACAAGTTTCACAGGCCGATTATTCAATGCATATTGAACGACGGCTTCATTTTCTTCAACCTGGAAGCAAAATATACTATTCATTTCGCAATTTTCATTCCACTTACTAAGATTGAACAAGTTGAATAAACGATATATCCACCCGTTGCTGAACTTTCATTTACGGCATCGATGGCATTCAACAAAATTTGACGTTGAGCAGTAAAGCAACGTTGAATGTCTTTTTCATCCTGATACGCATAAAAAATTGGTTTAGATTTACATCCAAATTTCTTCCGAGATATTACTTTCGAATTTTTTACTGCTTGATCTTTCGAAATGACACCTGTACCACTGCAAGGCGCATCGACAAGACATCGATCGAATCCACCCATGTGCTAAAACAGACACACAAAAATGCCTAACTACTCATACGTATTAGATTTTTAACGAGTATTTACTTCGGAAAAATGCCGACCATCAAGATTTGTCACAATTGTGTTCGTTAAACCCAATCGATGTGTATTAGCAATGATTGCTTTCGCACGATCTTTATTCGCATCATTTGCTACCAATATACCGCTATTTCTCATCAATGCACCTACAAATATCCAACCGTTCATGACTGTTTTCATTTCAAAACTAACATTTACCGATATAACTTGCTTTTCCACCTGGCGCAGCACACATATCCAGAACGCGTTCGTTTGGTTGTGGTGCTAATGCCATAACAGGAAGAAAACTGGAAGCACCTTGCAGCATGTAATGTCCGCTGAGATATTCGGGTGTTGCACCGATGGGCACTTGGCTGTTGTAGATAACTAGCCCAACCTTTGTCCACTTATCCAATGGATCAACATTAACACCACGGTTGATTAAAGCCTGAGCTAAATCACGACGACGGGTTTTCAATGTATTCGTTCGAATAGTCACTGGACGTTGAACTTCATTGGCTTCCAAGAAATCAATGATCTATGTTCAAGTGAAAAGTGAATTACAAAACAGAAACTGATCAGATTCCTAAATACTTCGGCAAGGGGAAATAGATCCAGAAGTTTATTCATAAGAAAATCATTGTATGAATAGTAGTTGCATAGATCTTGTCGAAGTAGATCCAAGTAATCTTTGCGTGATCGATTCGGTTCACGTTTAGTTTTGAAATCATTTAAGACATTGATCACTTCGCGAATACGATGCATGATTAGCTGTAAATCAGCTTGTGGTGCTGAAATGAAAAGAGAAGGGCATCCGTGAATGTAAGTTATCCTATGCGTTTTCGACAAACCATCTTTTGTAACTTCTTGTCCACTTGGAAATTGAATCTTTTCTTGTTGTTGAATGTTTGTTAATAATTCTTGCTCTGAACGTTCTTTTGCTTGACGTTGCTTTTCACGTAATTTTTTCGATTTTTTTTCAATATCAAGCTAAGGTTTAGTAAAAAAAAAAACAAGTTTCATATCGAGAGAATGAATCATAACACACCTTAGGCTCGTCGTCCACATCGTTGTCTTCGTCGTCATCAGTCGTACTTTCCATATCATCGAATTCATCATCGTATGGAACTTCTTCATCCATCAATTCTTCACCTTCGCCCTCACCCTCGTCATCGAATAGTTCCTAAAAGACACGATAGAATAAAGCAGCTACAGTCTTATTTAAAATACTTTTTTCTTCTTTGGTTTGAGCCATTTTTGGTTTTCATCGGTAAATCCATTTGTTTCCTGTTGTTCTTCTTCTTCATCCTCATTCGATTCACCATCAGATTGACGCTTCGTCACTCGTGTTGCGAGTTCTAAACGAGAAAAAATGAATTTCATCAAGTTCGGAATCTCATTTTCGATGTAACAAACTGGAATTCTTCTTATTTGCTTCTTTCAATTGGTCCTTTTCCAAACGTTTACGTGCACTAAAAAGAAAGCCGATCACAAACACGTATTTGAAATCATCCATGCATCGTCATCATCCATACCGTTGTTTACCACGGCTTGATAGCTTCTTTTTTTCGTTCGAATCTTAATGTAAAACGATTTTACGAAATGAAAAAAAAAGGATGAACGTTATTCATACCTGCTGGTAATAATTCTTTAGGAAATGTGGGTGCACCCTGTTTTTTTGCTTTTCGTCCAGGTCCGCGAATTTGTTTCGCTGACTTTTCATCGGTTTTCTTTCGTCGTCCCATGGTAATTAATCTGAAAATGAAAAGTTCGTCTATTAGCCAACAGATTTCTCTCAAATAAACAAAATAAACCATCTACTTACTAGAAGTATTTCATCATCATTCGTTCAAATCGATTCACCAATCAGAACTCCTACAGTGTCGCTAGTAGTCGAACCGTTTAGATAGCAATATTCTTTATAGTATAACATCCTTTTCCTTTTCCTCTTTTTTTGATAGAAATCGTATTAACGACTGTTATTTCAACTAATCATATAACCATATGTCTATATAGTAATTTTATTAAAAGCAACTATTATATAAATATAGAAAAACTCTTTTTTCTGTCTTTCTCGTACAAATAGAATAATACGCCGCTTGTTTTTCATCCTGTTGTATTGTATAATCTTTGACTGTTTGCCGTTGTGTTAAGATGAAAGAATATTTCTGTTGCTCGATCACTGAGACCGAAGATTTTCGGCATCCACGTGGTTGCAGCAAAGAAAATGACTAGAAAGCCGATTATATTCATCACAATACCGCTCTTTATCTATGATAATGAAAAACAATCGATATGACGACTGAGAATCAAAAACGACTTTTACCATATCAATAACACGAATAGCTCCACTGGCAAAAACAATGGCATTGGGCGGTGTTGCTGAAAAGATCATTAGAATAGATTACATCGCTTCTTTCCCGAAGAAAAATCTTTACCTATAGGTAACATAAACGCTAGGGAGACTGCTAATGTGGAAGGAAGAATGAGAAACGCAGGATGAATACCAGACGAACGTCCCTGATAAGAAAAAATTCGTGTAGTGCATAGATACAAATTTTACTCTTCACTTACGACGGAGTCCAACACAGGAAAGAATATACTTGCTGTACTTAAATTCGAGGTTACTTCAGTAAAAAGTCCGCTGATGATAATAATCAAGAGGATAACAGCTGAACGTGGAATTCCACTTAGAAAGCTGAGTGCCCTTGCCACACTTTGGGATAATTTCGAAACCTAAAAGTAGTTCACTAAACACAACCAGCTCTTTTTTCGATATATATATATCAACTTGAAAAGCATCTGCCACAACAAGACCAGCACCGAGTAATATCAATGCACCCCATGGCATGTTTTTCGCCAGATCATTCCAGCGAACAATTGGGTGATACGACCACTCTTCTACGAAAGAAAATCTTTTCAAAATTCCCCATAAACACTATAGTATAACTTTGCAGTGGATTAGCATTTGGTAAAATCATTGGAAGTATGCCACAAAGTATGGCCACCGTTCCATCGCTGATATATTTCCGACGAAAAATAACATCCCATCCTGGCGTACCAGAAAAATCTTTGGTAACCCAGAGAATTATCATGAAAATAAATACAACTGCTACAGTTATTTCATTCCACCTAAAATACAAAGAAGAGGAAGTTCAGTCGGAAGATCAATGGTGTTCTACTTGGGTCTTCCAAGATCTTGATATTGTTTCACTAACATTGCTTTCAAATCAGCTTGGATAGATTGAGATTCGGGATCCACTCGGCATTGAAATAATCTACGAAGAACAATATTGAAAAAGCGAACATGTTTTAATTGAAATTCCATCGTACTCTTTAGCATTGTATTGAATTTGTAACCATAGCCAGCAGAGAACAAGCATTAACAGTGCAACTGGCAGAGCAAAAAGTAGAAAATTAAGAAAATTTATCCGAAAGGCACTGTTCTTGTAATGACTGAAAATAGAAGAAATCAGATACGAAAATAAGAGAACGTGTTTCTCTTATTTTTACTTATCAGCAAAGCCTTTGACAAAAATATTTGGTGCTGTTCCGACTAAACTTGATAAACCACCAATAGTGGCTGAATACGCAACAGACAAAAGAAAACCTACATAATGAGTGTTTATTCATCATGATTGAAAGAATTGAAACACAAACCCTTTTTAGCATTTTCATATTTTGTCTCTTGGGCAGTTGTAGGTATTAAACTATTGCTCTTTTTCCATGGCAATCGAAAACGTTTCTTGATCATTCCAGATTCTGTTAGTTTACTAAAAGAGAAAGTCAATCAACAAAAAGAAAATGAGTTTGTTCCGTACGGCTCTTCAATATGCAATGTATTCAGAATAACTTCCGGACGCTGTTCGTGATTCAGTTCAGACTGGGTTAAATCCAACACTTCTATTCGACGAAAAGTATACTGATTTAGTCAACAGAAATTTCTAGATTGTCAATTTACCATTGGCTGCAGATGTGGCTATTTTGAGTGCGTTTCGTTTTTCATGAAAACCCTTCTGATGGTTTTCAAGTTCACGTGTAATCGCTAGCACAACAGGTAACATAATAGATGTTGCTGCTGCATTATTAATCCACATCGACAAAAAAGCAGTCACACCCATTATACCCGCCATTGACCTACAATAGCCAAAAGCAGACCAATTCGAATCTAGATTTCACTGATTTGTACGTCGATTTACCATTTTGTTGAAGTGCCAACAAGACTCAACACAAATAAAGCTATTCTTCGATGAAGATTAACTGACTCAACAGCATAAGCAATAGCCATACTTCCAAAGAAGAGTGTAATTATATCTTCGAAGTAATGAGGTGCTACTTTATCTGCGGATAAAATACCTGCCTGAATAATTAAATAATGTAGCAGGAAGATCCCTAAGAATAGAGCACATACCATTGGGAAAAGCGCGAGTGGTAAGAGCGATGTAACTGGTAACGGTATCGCTTCGAATATCCAGAAGATGGTCAAGATGAGAACGATATAACCACATCGCGCTTGCTAGAATAGAATCGACAATGTAGATATTTAGAAACTTTCACTAATTATCATTTACGGATGAATTGCCAACCAGTGGAATTGGAAGAAGAATTAATGGCGTTAGGAAAACTAATAATAAACGCCATCGTTGTTTAATCCAATTGAAATATTTATTCAACATCAATCGATCCATGAGACACGTTGGCTGTTCTCTTTATGAAAAATAACAAAAGAATCTGATTACAATTTGTAAACAGACTTGATCTGGTTACTGAAAGTTCGAAAAAAAAGATCATTAAATCCCATATTTATACAAATCCAGTTCGGGCCAATCACAACATTCATCTGACCTTCAAACAATATTTCAAAATATAGTGAAAATGTCGAGAAGAGATATAATATTTAAGACCTATCATGTCCACCAAATGATGTTTGGATCCGAATCATGCGAAAAGAGTACTCGAACAATTAATTAACAAAAAAATCTATTATATGCCTGACATATTTACAGACATATTATATCAAAGTTGAGTCAGTACAAGACTTTTTCGATCACTTCGTGTCGAGTAATGATCAGATGATTCATGAATGCAACAGAATGTTTCATCAAATAAAAACTGATTACTGCTTGTTACGAACACAATGATCGTTAACTATTTTCATGTGTGTACGTTTGTCAATCATCGACCGATTAAACCTATGATCATTGGTGTCATAGGCCGTAGAAAGATAGGCTATTGAAGTACAATGTTATTCATTTTGACTATAAATGCATTACTTAGGTGCGCAAACCGAAATCATTCAAGCATTCATGGTTTAGTTGGCCTCAAAATCAAGAAACGTACACGTGGAAATCAGCCATTGAATCATATTATCTGACAAAACAGTAAGATTTAAGAGATAAAAAGGAGCAGTAATTAAAAGTTAACAACTATCTCGTGCATTCTAGATCAATACGATACAAAACTATCTTAATTACTAATTTTTCTAATCATTATCAATACCTTTGTGGTTGAACAATGCGGATGAAGTATAAGAACTTAAACGATGATACCATTAAAAAGAATGTATCTGTCAGTAGCATTCAGCTAGTAGGCATATTAGAATTATGTTGTGAAAAAACACAAAAGTACATTCATATTCTCTTCTTAGTTTCGATTTGCTGATCGTTTGGATCTTTTTCTTATGTTTATCGCCATATGTTTCATGGTGATACATGTTATTTGTCTACTAGCCAACTTAGTCTATTTCAGTCGTGTATCTGGACTTTTCGCTGTTGGTTCATTTACTGCTCATTGTTACGAACATGAACAGCAGCACTATTTCAATAGTTCAATGGCACCTCAATCGAACTTGTCCAACTCTTATCAATCAAAAAGGTAAATGATAATGTATCTAATGTTGTTTCAATTGTCATGTAATGATAGTGTAAATCATACAACAACATTATATTCACAAACGGTTCTATTTCGAGCAAAAGTTATGCCTATAATTCGTTGGTTATGCAGTAAGTTGAATGATACAAATAATTTTATTTCAAAAGTTTGTCCTATTTTTATGTTATTTAAGTTATTGGTGTTGTTATATGCGTATGTAGTTTGATGGAATATTTCGTCTGGTCGATAACCATCAAACGACAAACATCGCGAATGAACGTTTTGCTGTTTCGAGCACTCTTACAGCGGGTGAGTTGAGATATTTGTATGACATTTATGGAAAAGTAAGCTTGATTTGCCAGAATATGGCATATTTAGATACGAATCCAATAAGTCATTTTAATACTAAATTCTTTCTGTAAGTGAAAAGTGTATTATTTATTTCCTCTGTCGAAAATAGTTCATTGATTAATTCGTTAATTTGTAGTCATATTGAAAAGATTGAAAAAGGCATTGGCTTCGATTTCCTGATCTTTTCTGGAGTAGTTATGTGTATATTCGGTAGTTTAGTTGTATCTTTTATTACTAATTGGAAACTGTCCTTGATTATACTTTGTGTAATACCTATTTGTATCGGTAGTTCATTACTATTCGCTAAGGTAACGATAGATTATCATGTCATTAATATGATGTTGTTTCGTGACCGATAGTTTACCGCTAACGAAACGTCGAATGAATTGAAAACATATTCAAGAGCTGGACATATTGTTCAAGAAGTGTTTAGCTCATTGAAAACTGTTCATGCACTTAATGGAAGCAAATTCGAGCAAAATCGGTACTTATCTGTAAACGAAATCATCGTAATAGAGTCTTGATGTTATTAGATATGAAAAAGAATTGAAGCCAACTCGTTGGAGTAATATTCGTAAAGGTGCTATATTTGGTATCTACAATGGCTGGTTATCATTTATCTCGTACTTGGTTTATTCAGTTGGTTTTATCTTTGGTGTCATACTGATGTCTGATGTAAATCAATCGTCACTGAGCCTTACCGATGTACTTGTTGTATGTAATGATGAGAGTGTGTTAAACACTACTGTCGATGTTCTGTTTAGATTGTGACTGTATCGGCGCAATGTGTGAAATATTTCAGTTTAATCGGACCTTTCTTTCAAGCTTTCTCGGAAGCTCAAAGTGCAGCAGCATCTATTTTTCCAATTATTGACGACGTAAATTCAATAAGAAAAAGTAGTTCTTTAACTACTTGTTCTCTTTTCGCGCAGATGCAAAATGTAGGGATAAACGAAGTAGACGTGTTCACAGAAGCTACATCAAATGAAGAATCAGACGTCGATGTTCTTGGCGATATTGAATTTAGCAATGTCAGTTTTGTTTATCCATCACGAAAGAATACTTTAGCTTTAAGCAATCTTAATCTTTGTGCTCGAGCAAATCAGACAACTGCTTTGGTTGGTCTGAGTGGATGTGGTAATCTGTTTTTGAATACACAAAGATACATTTAGAGTTTTTGAATCGATTTATAGGGAAAAGTACTTGTATATCACTTCTGCTTCGACTTTATGATCCATCAGCAGGTCGAATTACAATTGATGGTCGATCTCTAGCAGACTATCATGTTAAACAGCTTCGACAACATATTGGAGTTGTCAGTCAAGAACCTGTATGTGCACAGAGATTCGTCACTACTGGTTTTCAAGTTTCCTATTGAAATAGATTTTATTTGGCATGAGTATCTATGAAAATATTCGTCTTGGAAAATTGAATGCTACGCGTGCTGAAATCGAAACGGCTGCAAAAGAAGCAAATACACACGAGTTTATCATGCAACTACCAAACGTTTGTGTCCGACATGTCGATAGTCTTTGATATACATGTACGATGATTTATAGAAATATGCTACACTTGTTGGTGAACGCGGTATCCAATTGAGTGGAGGCGAAAAACAACGAGTTGCACTAGCACGTGCTCTTGTTAAGCAGCCGAAGATTCTTTTATTGGATGAAGCAACAAGCGCACTGGATAATATCAACGAAAAAATCGTTCAAGAAGCGCTCGATCGCGCATGCAAAAGTAGCTAGTGTTTATTTTTTGTATACATCTACTCAAAATGTTATGTAGATCGTACAACGATTGTTATTGCACATCGTTTGTCAACAATTCAGAATGCTGATCAAATCTACGTGTTAGACAAAGGTTGTGTGGTTGAAGAAGGTACTCATAGAACATTGATGAAAAACGAAGGCGGGACATATCAGCAAATGGTCAATGCTCAACAGACCGGAAAAATGCCCGACAATGACCTATCAAGCGTAGTAGCAGATATAACGCAAAGCGATAAACAAGACCTATGTACGTCCAACTTTTGATGCTCATGAGAATCATTCATTTATAATCTCATACGCATTCTAAAAATAGGCGGACGATTTCCTTTGAGTACGAATAGTACAGTCAAGACGGACAAGGTAAGAATCAGTTGCTAAATATTGTGAATAATAGTACTCTTCCTTATTAGAAAACAACATCAGAGAATTCACAATCGATCTTTCGAAGGCTTTTGATGATGAACAGTCCAGAATGGATAAGTATCCTGATTGGATGCATTGCGTGTATAATTAACGGATTAAGTCAGCCGCTCTTCGCAATTCTTCTAGCTGAAATCACTAGTGTAAATGATTTATTCTATGTAGATATTTCCATGTCGAACTTCTCTTCCGTATAGAAATTCGACGATTGTAATCAGGCGAATGTATTTCGAAAAGTATTGTTCGCTAGTTTCCTCTTCTTCTTGTTGGGTATTTTAGTATTGATAATGCGTTTCATTCAAGTAATTATTTCACTCATTGAAAGTATCCAGCAATATAGAATGAATTTTGTTCATAGTATGGATCATTTGCAATCGCAGGGTCGAAACTGACTCAACGAATTCGTTCAAAAGCATTTGCATGTCTTCTTCGTCAAGAAGTTGCTTACTTTGATCAGCCACAAAATAGTTCAGGTGCAATATGCATCCGTCTTGCTTCTAATGCGGCTGCTTTACAGGATATGGCTGGAACAAGGCTAGGTTTCATTTGTGAAGCTATCGCATTATCTTGTTTTGGTCTTCTGTTTGGTTTACTTTATAACTTTGAATTAACCATTATTGTTGCCGCACCCTTTTTCTTTCTGATGAGCGTGGGTTTTCTGGATGTACGATTGAGAAAGTGGTGGAAAAAACGAGCGGATGTTTTCCTTGCACAAGCGAATGCGGTAAGAAATTTCACGCTCGTTTCACCATTCATATGTATTGATCTTTAGCTTGTGGTCGAAGCTATTCATAATATGCGTACAGTAAAGCCATTATCGATCGAAAAAGAACTCTTACGGCAGTATTCTGATTTGATTTATGGTGTATCAAGGTTGTTTTTTTTTCTGTGAATATAACGTAAATGCATATGTTTTTAACTGTTTTTATTTCATGTAGAACATTTTGGATACGTGAGTTTGCAAGTTCAATCATGTCAAGTGTTATATGGGCGTTAGATTCCTTCATTATGGCTTTACTATACTGGCGGGCACTTGTGCTCGTTGAAAATCATGAATTACCGACAAGATCTCTGATCATGTAACTAATATGAGGGTTTTCTCTGGAGTAGTGTTCTATTTGTTAATCATTACAGGGTCTTCGCTTTTGCAATGTTCGCCTTACAAGCATTGCGAGTGGTTGGAATGCTGTAAGAAGATCACGCGAGACTCATCTTTCACCTTTTATGTATATTTTCAGATCACGAAGAATTAGCGCATCAATATCTGCTGCTGAAGTATTTTTCGATTTATTTGATCGCAAACCACTCATAGACAATACGTCGGACACCGGACATGAACTAGTAAGATCAAATCAATCTGTCTTAGACGTTTTCATATTCTTCTACTATTTGCATAGGTTAACTTTCGTGGTGAGATCACATTTGATCGTGTTCACTTTGTATATCCAGCTCGGCCGACGACTGTCGTTCTTAATAAACTTCAATTGGACATCAAATCTGGTAAGTTAGAGAACTATACCATGTAAACATTGTATTCTTTGAATTGTAAGGTCAACGTATCGCTATTGTTGGTATGATTGTATAAACGATCGTTTTCTATTTACACGATTAACTAAAAATCAAATAGGCGCATCTGGATGTGGAAAATCAACAATCATTCAATTACTAGAACGCTTCTATGATGTTACACACGGCCAATTAGTTAGTAGAAAATGAAATTTCTCATACTGATATAATTGAACAGAAAACTTTTGTGTGAACTTCAGTTTTTCGATGGAGTCGATATTCAACAATTGAATCTTCAATGGCTTCGCTCTCGTCTTGGTCTTGTCAGTCAAGAACCGATCTTATTCGATTTGTCTATCGCTGAAAATATTACGTATGGGTTAGAAAATATTCCTATGTCGGCGATCATTGATGCAGCGAAAAAAGCGAATATTCATGATTTTATTCAAGAATTACCAAAGGTTATATGACTAGATGGACAAACTCGGCGTGTACATATAAATTCCTATTTTCGTTTTTATCTATACAGGGTTATGAAACAAAAGTCGGCATGAAAGGCACTTTTCTGTCGGGTGGTGAAAAGCAGCGTATTGCTATCGCTCGAGTTCTTCTCCGCCGTCCGAAAATTTTATTACTCGACGAAACTACGAGTGCCATGGATTCTTTGAACGAACAAGTCAGTTTTTCAATGATTCTTACATTTATTCAAATTTTTGCTTTTCACCGATAGATTGTACAGCAAGCTCTCGATCAAGCTCAAGTCGAAGATTCCACTCGAACATCTATCATCATTGCTCATCGTCTGTCTACGATTCGTTCATGTGACCGAATTTACGTGTTGGACAAAGGCCATGTAGTAGAAAGTGGTACACATACAGAACTAATACAAAACCGTGGAGTCTATTATAATATGCTCTCTGTACAAAATAATTCCTAGAAAATAAAGAAAATAGATAGGTTAACATAATTGAACTATGTTGTTCTACTCGCGGTATATGCTTTTGCTTATACAATCGAGGTAACACATGCTGTGTAAGATCGATCACGTGTTCACTTGGTGCGTCGGGTAGAAAGAATTCTGTTTAAAATCATCGCATTCTGCATAATAAGCTGATCATGAAAGGATTGACTTTTGTTTGTCTAGTTATCTTATCATTGACTGTTCACTCATCTGCTTGTATCAAAACTTTGTTGGATAAATTTTCATCGAAACATATATGACCCATTCAATTATACAAGTCGAAACACTCATCCTTTACTGGTCACACTATTTATGCTAATGCTCAAACATTTCATCCATTACTTGATACTGTATCGGATTACGCCAACGAATGTCGTGTTAAAATCAATGGGAAACAATCATTTATTCATCAAGATTCATCGAAATCATTTCTGATGCTTCGTGATCACAGTTCTATGGTGTTTCGTCTAGGAGAAGCCATTGAATTTGAACTTATGAATCGTAATGACAAGATTCTATGTAATCGACGATGTATGAAAAAATAGTCTTCAGCATTTGGCGGGCTTAACTGAAGCTCAATGTTTTCTACGCAAACTTTCTCGTAATTCAGACTTATACATCGATCCTCATCAACCAACAATCGTTCTGCAACGAACACAATTGAAAGAATCGCTGATGAATCTTCATGACAAACGAAAACAGTTGCAGAAGCAGTGTAAGAAACTTAAAATGAATTAATTACAAATGTAAAATTTTTTCTTCTATGAATAAGATTTCCATTACTACGTAGGTGTGAAATAAGTCTTCTGTTTCGTTTTCGGTTCGATAATTCGACGAAAGAGTTCATCCTGTTTTTTGTTTTATTATTCACATATCAAAAAAAGGAAAGAAAGAAAAAAAAAAGAACTCAACTTCACAGTTGAGAAGAACAACAACAAAACCAAAAAATGTTCAAGGAAAAACGACAATGATTAAAAAAAACCGAAAGAAAGAAACAAATCAAACCGACATACACACGGTTCTTCTCGTTTAAGTTGTTGTGTGTTTTGTTTTGTAAAAAGGAACGTGAATGAAAGAAAGCAAAGCACGTCACAAACAACACAAAAAGAAAGAAAAACGATAGAAAAGATAGAACCAAGCGCATGCTGATGAACGAATATCTCAAGTTTATGTACATACGCACAGAAGTTCTTCTTTGCCAGGCAGAAAAATAAAATAAAATCGTTCCTGTTTCAAAAAGTAGCTACTTTTTATTTTTTTCATGTAGGAAATGAACGGACATACATACACACGCGCACATATAAGCAAAAAAAGACAAACGGAGGAGGTTAATAGTGTGTATCAAATATAGACGTAAAAAAGAGAAAAGAAAGAGAGAAGGACAAACGCAAAAAGAATGAAAAGAAAACAAGCATGTACAGACAAAACCAAAAGTGAAAAAAAAAGAGAAAGAGAAGACATTAGCGTATAGATGGATCCTGCGATGGTGGTGGCTGTTGTTGTTGTTGTTGAGAGGAATACTGAGGTCTTACCAATGGTGCTCGAGTTATATAAGGTGTGCTCGATCTCAATGGTGCTAAAAGTGTCTGTGGAGATGATTGATTTTGTGATTGTTGAGGCATGACAGATGGAAAGCGAGGACGTGTTGCAGTTGAATAATTCGGAGGAGGGTTAAATTGCTGTTGATTTGTTGAGGCGTACCAACCTTGTTGCGGCTGTATGTACGTGGACGTTTGCGAACGATTAGCTCCGGCTTTATTAATTAGCGGCGAAAACATCGGTTTTTGCTGTTGTTGTTTCGTTTGATCATTTATGTCTGATCGTTGTTGATCATCAAGTGCCGGGTCTTGTTTAACTCGATTAATCATTAAACTCACTTGACTTGATGGTTGTTGTTGAGATAGACTATTAAGTGGTTTACCATTGTTCGGCTTTTGTGCCATAATATACGGTTGTTGTTGTTGTTGAGGTTGGTTATGCCACGTCGATTGTTGCTGAGGGGTACGCACAGATGTTAGTGATGGTTTACCTGATGAACTGTTTAATGATGGATTTGCTATAGTCGAATCATAGGATGAAAGTTGAGTAGAGTTCGACATAGAATCAGTACGAGTTGGTGTAACCGTTACTAGAATATATGATGGATTATACAAAGAGGTAAAATAGAATGAAAACTAAATATACCTTGTTGTGCCTGTTGCATTGTACTCGTTCTCTGCTGCATCATCGCTTGCATGCGACGTCTATCAGTTTGTAAGCTAGTCGCTTTCTGTTTCTGTATCTTGGATTTCAAATTTGTACAAAATGGTACTTGACAATGATGATCCATACAGCTCTTAGCATGATACCAGCAGAGAAATATCACTTGTTTACATACATTACATTGACTATTTTTGCCTTTACATTCTTTCGTATGTTGTATGACGCGTTTATAACGAAAACAGCTGCGATTAACGCAATTTGCATTTCGACAGTTAACTGCATGTAATAGTGCTTCAATACAACGTTGCATCGATTGTTGCCGTTGTAGTTGTGTACTAGCAAGAGATTTGCCGTTCAGATTAGATGAATTTTGATCACAATCTTCGACGATTGCTGGCACCGAACGGTCCATTTTATGTTCGTGCTTAGGTTCAATCTCGTAGCATTTCTCGCATAGATCGAAATCTTCACATACAGTACAATGGTAACGAATTTCGCATTGTTGTCGGCATTTATTACAATTATAAGTAAATTTATCTGTAGTTGATGTATGCAATTCGTATAAGAGAGCCATGGTCGAGAATTTCGCACGACGTAATGAAGAAAATTCGTAGTGTTTATCACGAGCAAAGTTTAGAAATGCATCTCGGGTATCCATCAGATCACATTGAATCAGAGCATCAGTATCGTTGACCGCTGGATAAGTTGCCATCGGATTACGAAGACGAATGACGAAGAATGCCTAGAAAAGATGATCGACCGAAGATAATTGTGGCTATTCACATTTCCTTCGTCGTGTACATACTTCTTTATGTTTTTCCATCGTGGCGAATATCTTCGATATTAAGTCAGTGCAATTCGACATTTGCTTTTTCGCTACTTTCCGTTGACTCGAAGTTGTTTTCTTTAAATTTTTCTTTTTATATGTCGTAGTAGATTTACGTTTATCAGATGTCTAAAAGAAAAGAAGAAATGCATAGACATGCGAACAATTTAAACGTTTTCATACATCTGTATGATCTTCTGGTTCAATAAGATCGTCCAGACCACCATCTTCCATCGCTCGTGCTGCTTCGACTTCTTGTTTCCTTCGATCTTCTTCTTCTTGATCAAGTTCTAAATAACCAGTCATTTCTACAATATTGAGTTTCACTCACAACAAAGTAAACATACCCTTTATGCTCTCTTCGATAATATTTGACCAAAAATCTCCTTCGAAGTATGGAATACTCCAGGCATTTTGCACTTGATTATCCACACAATCTTTCATCACATCCTAATAAAAATTAAGAACATTCGAATATGATCATTCACTCTCAGAATGTCTACTTACTTTAAAATCAATAACAACACCTTCAGTCACAGCCCTATCGAGCATCTTCTTGTACCAGTCTTGCAAACGTTTCGGTTTCGGTACACGTTGTTCTGGTGGATGACAATGAAAGATGTAATCGTCCCCTTCACTTGGTGGGCATGCCCATATATGTGCATAGACATAACCTAACTGTTTGGCATAATCCAAATATCCAATTAAGATTTCGTGATATACTTCGGTTCGATATTCTTTTGGCCGAAAGAAATATACTGAATCCAGATATGAGACATAGACACGACGCGTATTCGGCGCTTGACATCGTCCATCATATTCTTGTACGTGCATGCCAAATAGAACGACATCGACACCTTCGATTTCTTGAAAAGCAAATATCGCTTTTGTTCGATAAGGATATCCATCCGGTACTTGATTTGGATAGTATTTTTTCAAACGCGGCTTCACTTCACAAATTTTATCACTTGCTGCTAGTATTCGTATTGTCACCCGACCAGTGTAACAACCTTCGTTACGTAAGAAATCATTGACACGTTTTTCTAGGCGCACTGCTAGATCTGTCACAGTTAATCTCGGTGCTGTTTGACGATTATCTTTCCGTTTGATGTTGTATTCGTGTATACATGTTTTACAAATGAAACCTTCGGGCCATACTTGATCCAAATGTAATGCACATACTTGATGCCAGCGACGCGAACAAACGATACAGTCAACAGTTGCCTCAGGTTCTTGGATATCATTTTTAGCTGATAGAAATTGATTTTTGGGTATTTCGACTAATGTTTGAGCGGGATCATCACCGACGAATATTGAATCACCTTTAACCGAATCGAAACATTTCGAACAAAACGTATATTTATCACCGGATAAATTCAATCGTGATGGTTCCAGATTGTTATAATAATAATAATTTCCATCACGTGGAATTTGACAACATAATTGATTTCCATAGCAAAACATGACTTGTGGTAAGTAAACATATTGTCGACCACAACAATACCCCAGTGTTTGAACAACAGGATCGATTGCATCAGCGAACACTTCCGATAGTTTCGTACACATTTTATATACTCGTGTTGTTTTCTTGTTATAGAGCCAAGCATTATTAAACATCAACCAGGCATCATCACAAAATTGCAATGGAGTTTTGTATTCTCTATTCAAGAGTTTATTATGCATAGTTGATATATCCATGGGATGTTTAATAATCGTTGGATAATCGAGAATATTCAATGCAACAGGATCGACTGGCTGTCGAAACGGCGGCGAATCTTCACAGGCGATCATTTTGTGAATAACTGGTTCGAGATGTGCGCGTAATTCTTCGGGTGTAAATTGAACGGGATGCTTAGGTAACTGTTTACTGGATGCTTCGATTTGAGGAGGTTTTGGTTTGGTGTCTTCTGCTAATGCAGAATCAGAATATGGTTTCATCATCACTGTAGTCGCTGCGGAATTCAAAGGATAAGTACTATCACCCATAGATTCTTCCTGTTTAATCGTACCGGACTAAAATAAAAAAATACAATTAGGAAATGATTTCTCGTTATATCTTTTGATTTTCATGCGAATTGCGTACCGTATACGTTGTTTTAGGAGAATACGGTTCGTTTTTGAATTGATTGAGTCCATCAAGGCTTGTTCGTGTTGTATCCATCATATCGATTTCGTGAGATTGATTTCCTGCTGTCATTACTCCATTGAGAAGAAAACTCAAATTTTCATTCGACGGTACATTTGTTACAGAAAACGTTCCCGATGTTAAATTATTATTATTATTATTCATCATTGTTCGATTTGCTGTTGCCATTGTTGTTTCGGATTTAATTATATGTTGTTGTTGAAGAAGATTACCAGCAGCGGACGACGACCCATAGTCAGCTGCTGGTGCTATACGATTTGGTGGACCTTGATCACCGGCCATTGCATCCATAGTTGAATGCATTTTTCCATTGAAATCATTAGTTGAAGAGATTTGAGCAGTTAACTGGAGGTCTTGTTGACGCTTTTTTTCTTTACGATCTTCTAATTCTTTTTGAATTTTGTAGATTTTCTCTGCTAGTTTATGAAAATATTCCTCTTGATTATTTGCAACGTCGAATGTTTCACTTTCGACACGTCGAGCATAATTAGCTAGATTATTAATACGTTTATCACGCACTGTATACGTATCAGTCATAGGAATCAAAGCGGCTATGATTTTTTGTACAAGATGGTTTCGCATTTCTTGAGTTACACGTCGTTGCCACTCTTTATTAGTAGTTGCCGCAATTGCCGTTGCACTTGGTACTACTGTTGATAGAGACAATTGTAGTTGTTGTTGCTGCTGCTGTTGTTGTTGCTGTAGTGACTGCACTGACGATGGTAGATTTGCATTCGAATTATTTGTTGCTTGATTCAGTTTCGCTAATGTTGAAGGTGTTTTCAGTGGTTGACAGATAGGACATTGAGGATTGTTACATTGTTTCCAATGTAAAATAATTTGACGGGATGTAACACAATGTGCAACTGTACATGTTTTATGATCATTACATTTCGTCATATGTTGAAGAACGCTTTTCATCGTACTACAATGTGGCAATGTGCATGTACTTGGACGTGGTGGTTCACCGTTGATTGTTTGTTTTTCACGTTGTTGACATTTATGTGCATGAAGCAGAAGAACTAGTTGCTTTTGGATGAATTGTTTTCGTTGTGCTTCTGTATGCTGTTGAGAATTATTTGTCGGAGGTGGAACGTTCAACGGATTCGATGACGGACCGTTGGGGAGAGTCTGTTGAGGTTGAGTACTGATGATATAATTCGAAGGATTTGTTGATGTCTGATCCATCATATTTGACTGGAAAAGAGAAACGAAAGGAATGAGATCAACTAGATTAGATAGTAAAAAAATCTATACTCGAATATTGAAGGATTGTAGAGAATTTTGTTGTTGTTGTTGCTGTTGCTGCTGTTGTATATGAATTAATTGTTGAGATGTCAATGAAGGTAAACCTGTTGAAATCGGTTTATTTCCTTGTGTCACTGTATGTGGTGATTGTAAGCCAACCAGCGTTGATGATTGTTGTTGCTGTGGATTCGGTACATATACACTATTATTATTTGGATCACTTGCTTTAACAATATTCATTTGTGTTACGTTTTGATTCATAGGAACCATACTCGACTGATTGTACTGCTGTCTGACAAGTGCAGATGCCATAGTTTGTTGTGGCTGCTGTTGCTGTGACGGTACAGGTATACGTGGATATGCCGCTCGAGATGTGTTCATAATCTGCTGAGAAGTATAAATAGTCGGTTGTTGTTGAATTCCATTGGATATAACGTTAGGCGATCGAACGATTGCGGATGTCGGTATCGTTGGTATACGTTGTAAGTTCGGTGTTTGATACGAAGATAATTGTTGCCGAGGTTGGGCTATGTAATTAACTCGTTGTTGCGGTTGTTGTACTTGTTGTTGATACGGATTTTGCTGTTGAGTGATGGGCGTTTGTTGTGAATTGTCCAATGGATCGGTAAAATCATTAAGATTATCAAATAGATCTGAAGTGTTCGCTGGCTCAGATCCGTCGAATTGTGTCATCATTTTAAACTCATAGTCTGCTAAAATAGAAAGAAGTATTCAGTTGGATAGAGGAAAGCAAATTCCAGGGAATGTTTTATGTACCAGCATCGTTCGTATTCGTGCCCGAACGAAATCTTTTCGGAGGCGGTGGTTGGGAAGCAAATAAATCAGCCATCATCCATGGTTAAAACTAATCTATCAAATAAACAACAATCATCTATAAAAGATGAAATTTTACGATTGACATCGGTTTTTCGTGGAAAATTTCATCCCGAGACTTCTATACATACGTCCGAATTATAGAGCATACATAACATACAGTACAAAGCGGAAGTACTAGCGACAGCTGGTGGACGAACGATCATGTTATGTATATGATTGGTGCGAGACTTTTCAAAGTGCATTAATGTGTCAAACGAATTCTTTTCGAAAAGGATGAATGTGCAAGCGAGATTGGCTAGTTGCCTTACCGATGAAAGTATTTCTAGTATTTTTATACGAACAGCTGACGACTAATAGTAAAACCTTTAGAGGGAATAAGAGGAGAAAAAGAAATGAAGGTATTTTATATAAAGCATAGAAGTATATATAATATGACAATGTATGACTCATTCGAAATAAAAAAGCGATGTAATTTCCAACATTACTGTAGCGAATGGGTTTGTCTTTTGCCAGATGTAGGAAGATAGAAGAGCATCGATGGAAAATATTAAGATTTTTCCGAAAATTTGATTCAGAACTATGATGTACATAGTTGCACATTAAAATATAAATTCTCTATGGTGTATTTAATTAAATATTATGGGCAGGATTCGCTAAATACAATTGTTCTGTTTCTCCTTTTGTAATCGACTCAATTATAGCAAAAAATTCTCCTTTATATAAAAAGACATTAGTTAAGATTGATTTGGATAAAATTTTTAGTCAGTGCCTCACACTGTGAGCGATATTTAAATAACATGGACTGTGCTACAATTCAATGAACTATATCACGATGTTTTCTATGTACTCAGACATGTAGAGTACTTATTTTCCGTAGGATTTTATCCACACAAGCAAATAGATTGATTACAACCGACTATGTGTATGTCGTTCGTGTCAATAACTAATGAAATAGAACGTAACGATATCTGTTTGCATTTATTTGATATCATGTGTGAAATTAAGAGATAAATACTTGCTTTTCGAAAACTATCAATTTCTATTCGATCCCAATTTATTCGATATAGTTTTTTGGCAGAAATCAAGAAGAGGTAAGTCGTGCTTTATGTTGACGTTGTTTTCAATCATCCTTCATCACGGATTAAAATTGCTCAAATAGATTCTTCTAACTTATAGAGGTATAGAAAACATATTGGTCAACTTGCTCGTTTGGATGTTTTCTCATCTTCTATGCCACAATCGCACGTGTCGAAATGATACTTTGAGATCACGATGTGTCGTTGATCTTATTTATGTACTCATGTAGAGCGATAGACGTATTAAATTCATTCGAAATACTCATCTTGAGAATACATATTCGTTTGTTTTGGACTCGCTTAGCTATTACACCGTATCGTATACTAACAGAATACATGATTTTTTTTTCTTGAATGTTCTCATATTATGTGCGTCGAAACATCAGGAAGTAAATGCATCTTAATAGACACTATTAAGCAACTGATACACCCAGTCGTATATTGAGTCGTTATTGTGTGAGATTTTTTAAGATGATTTTCTTCTCAATATCTTATAACGAACAAACTAGGTTAACTATCGAAACATAGTTACGTCGTATAGAAATACTATCTTTTTAAAATCAGCACCACAAAATCATAGAATACATATCTCACTGTTTTGTTGTATTTTATTTTGAATTTGGATTGCTTATCGATGTTAAGAAAGTAAAATATTTATCTGCGACTGTCAGACAATCACTTCATGAATGATGTTGTTCATCATCTACCTGTTTAATAAATGGTCACTATCTTTTCCTAAAATCATGCAGTTGTAACCTCCACTACTTTCATAAAGTAAATCAAATACGATAGATAGTTCAGTATATCAACAAACAGTCGTCTTTTCAATTTCGTATGATACGTGAGGAAGAATATAACCTGTTCCTACGGAGTAATGTAGCGAACCGTGAAAGATACATAACGTTTTCTTTTGCGAGCTTGTTTTGATGATGTTTTATTGGTCACGCTAATTACCTATGACGAAAGTACAAGAGCAAACTAGGAAAAAACCAAGAAGGAAATATTGATTGTATAAATTCTAATGCTCTGACTGTTTCATTACAATCATTACTGCTAAACAATCCCGTTTTCACATAGTTACATATACGGTCATGAACAGATCCACTGAGACAGAAAATCTCAGACAACCGCGCCATGTGAACGATGACGACGATGATATCGCAAGAAGACGTGAAAATCTTCGATGTGCTCAGCAGACTATTTTCATTTGGTTGAAGTCTGATCAAGCAGATTCCCAACCAACAACTACACAACTTGATCGTATCGTTGACAATGCCAATACTTTCGATGATGCTGATGAATGTGTCGATTTTATCACAACCATCACAGATAATCAAGTCTGTCTGATTATTGACGAATCTCTTGCAAAACTCATATTACCTTGTGTACATGAACTTTCTCAAATTCATCACATTTTCGTCGTTGGTGCTTCGCCGACAACTGATGACAAATGGATTCAACAATGGTCGAAGGTGAAAGGTATTTTCACGGATATGACACTTCTCACTGAAACAACCACACAAACAAATAGACAAAGTGAACAGAACAACATACCGATCAGTTTCGGTGAGCCGGATAAAAAACTGAATAAACTAGAACCGAGTTTTATGTACACACAAATAATGAAGGAAATATTATTGGGTATCGACTTCGGCGAACAAGACCTGAAGGAATATTGCAAATATTGCTGTGATATGTTTGCAGATAACCCACGGAAGGTAAACGATGTCCAAGAATTTGAACGTGATTATTCTTTAAAATCACCGATATGGTGGTACACTTGCGAAAATTTTGTTTATCCTATGCTCAATCGTGCCTTGCGAGTTATGGATGGAAATATCATCACACGAATGGGATTCTTCATTTCAGATCTTCATCGAAGTATCGAACTGCTGCATAAACAACAGTATCTTGACAACTCATCCCATGGGACGTTTACAGTTTATCGCGGTCAAGGATTGTCTCAGACTGATCTCGACCATTTCGTCAAAGTCAAGCATGGGTTAATCGGGTTCCACAGCTTTCTATCGACTACCCAACAGTACGAACACGCGCATATCCGAGCTGAGAGCAATGCAGAGAATCACGGTCATGTAGGCGTTGTCTTCATTATGAAAATAGATCCAACTCAGGCAACAACACCATTTGCTTCTATACGAGCCTTCAGCCATTTTCCAAATGAGGATGAAATCCTTTTTTCGATGCACACTATATTCCGAACAGAAAACATACAGCCTGCCCCTAAGACTAATCGTGTATTACATGTTTCCTTGTCACTTACGACTGATAATGATCCCGACTTATATAAACTTACACAGCATATCAGACAATCCCACTATTCTTACACGCATAGCAGATACCAATTAGCTGACGTGCTCATAGCTATTGACCAACAGGATCGCGCAGAAGACATTACCCAGTCTTTACTTGGAGATGCGAGTCATCCTAACCAAACCGCCAGCATTATGCTCCAGCTTGGTATCATAAAAACACATAAAGGCAGCTACTCCACTGCACTTGAGTATCATGAAAAAGCGCTCTCAATCGACACGGAATCGCTTCCACCCAATCATCCTAGTTTAGCTGCGCCATACTCAAACATTGGTGTGCTGCATCGTGCAATGGGCAAGTACTCCACTGCACTTGAATACCATGAAAAAGCCTTCTCAATCGACACGGAATCACTTCCTCCCAATCATCCTCGTTTAGCTGTATCATACGCAAATATTGGTGTGCTGCATCGTGAAATGGGCAAGTACTCCACTGCACTTGAATACCATGAAAAAGCGCTTTCAATCAAGATGGAATCACTTCCTCGGATTCATCCCGGTTTGGCCGCATCATACACAGATATTGGTCTCGTGCATTGTGAAATGGGCAACTACGAAAGAGCACTTGAATATCATGAAAAAGCGCTTTCAATCGACAGGGAATCACTTCCACCCAATCATCCTAGTTTAGCTGCATCAAACACAAATATTGGTCTGGTGCATTGTGAAATGGGCAACTATTCCACTGCACTTGAATACCATGAAAAAGCGCTTTCAATCGATACGGAATCACTTCCACCCAATCATCCTAGTTTAGCTGCATCATACACAAGCATTGGTCTGGTGCATTGTGAAATGGGCAACTACGAAAGAGCACTTGAATATCATGAAAAAGCGCTTTCAATCGACAGGGAATCACTTCCTCCGAGTCATCCTAGTTTAGCTGTATCATACACAAATATTGGTGTGGTGCATCGTGAATTGGGCAAGTACTCCACTGCACTTGAATATCATGAAAAGGCAGTTTCAATCCAAACGGAATCACTTCCACCCAATCATCCTAGTTTAGCTGTATCATACACAAATATTGGTGTGGTGCATCGTGAAATGGGCGACTACTCCACTGCACTTGAATACCATGAAAAGGCAGTTTCAATCCAAACGGAATCACTTCCACCCAATCATCCTAGTTTGGCTGCATCATACAAAAATATTGCTGTGGTGCATCGTGAAATGGGCGACTACTCCACTGCACTTGAATACCATGAAAAAGCGCTTTCAATCCAGATGGAATCACTTCCACCCAATCATCCTAGTTTAGCTGTATCATACACAAACATTGGTCTGGTTTATGATGAAATGAGCAACTATTCCACTGCACTTGAATACCATGAAAAAGCGCTTTCAATCGACAGGGAATCACTTCCACCCAATCATCCTAGTTTAGCTGCATCATACAAAAATATTGGTGTGGTGCATTGTGAAGTGGGCAACTACGAAAAAGCACTTGAATACCATGAAAAAGCGCTTTCAATCGACACGGAATCACTTCCACCCAATCATCCTAGTTTAGCTGCATCATACACAAGCATTGGTCTGGTGCATTATGAAATGGGCAATTACGAAAGAGCACTTGAATACCATGAAAAAGCGCTTTCAATCGACAGGGAATCACTTCCTCCGAGTCATCCTGGTTTGGCTGCATCATACACAAATATTGGTGTGGTGCATTGTGAAATGGGCCACTATTCCACTGCCCTTGAATACCATGAGAAAGCGCTTTCAATCAAGACGGAATCACTTCCTCCCAATCATCCTGGTTTAGCTACATCATACGCCAATATTGGTGTGGTGCATCATGAAATGGGCAACTACTCTACTGCACTTGAATATTATGAAAAAGCACTAGCAATACAGACGGAATCGCTTCGACCCAATCATCCTAGTTTAGCTACATCATACGCCAATCTTGGACAGGTGCATCATGAAATGGGCAACTACGAAAGAGCACTTCATTACCACGAAAAAGCACTAGCAGTGATGACGAAATCACTTTCTCCAAATCATCCTAGTTTAGCTGCATCATACACAAATATTGGTCTGACGCATCAGAAAATGGGCAGTTACCAAAGTGCACTTAAATCGTATGAAAAAGCGCTAGCAATAAATATTCAAGCACTTCCTGTCAATTATGTTAGTTTGGTTGTAACTTATATTCGAATGGGTTTGGTGCATGAGTGCATGGCGGCTTTTGAAAAAGCGTTCCATTACCGGCGTAGAGCGATAAGTACGTGGGAACAGTTAGATTATTGTGAGGCCTTGAGATTTTTTGAATATTTTGAAAGATTCGGTACGGTTTCTAGGAAACATGGTAAACATGGAAATATTCTAGAATCTTGTCGAATCACCGGAGATGAAGCGAAAAAATGCGAGTTGAATGGATACTTCGGTACCAAATGACATAATGGTCACTAGGAAGCAATGATAGGAACTGTGACAGTCGGGGACGTTGTAAACTAATACAGTAAAATCGGATTTTGTTTTTGTGAAATATAGAAGGAAACAGTTTGGTAGCATTTATTTAAGACTTTAAGGATTTGTCTTTTGAATTAAATATTATGTGTGCTCGAGAATAATAGTGCATTGAAAAGCGTGTTCTCTTTGAATATGGTTGACACTGATATCTTGTCTAACTATTTCTGTCGCTTCCCTCGTGGAATACTTGATCTTGTAGTAGGTCAGTGCAGTATTTTAGTCAAGGGATTTCCACACAGTTGAACGCAATGTAACTTCCTGTTTCGTCTCGACGGTACGGATAACAATGATTCTGGTGGTTAATTGTTTCGAAGATCTGCGATGAAAGAACTTCTCACATCTGTTATTCACGTGACTTTTCAGATGACTTTCTAGAGACTCTTCATCTATTAAGTACAGAAATTAATTGTGCATGTATACGAGGTATAATGAGTCAAATATCGTGCTTTACTAGACTTCTGTTTCAGTAGTGCTGATATAGTGGGAAAAGCATTTTTCAATGATGTTTGTTGAGAGTGTTTTATCACTCCATAACCGTTACATCTTACTTGGCAACATTTTTTTTTCTGAATATCTATTAAAAGAGAGTTTTTTGGGGAATACTCACTGATTCGCTTGGCACAATTTAGAATTAAAATGAAATCTATGTGGAAACTTGAATAGCAATTTTGTCAAGATTAGTCGGTTATTCTTGATAGTTTCAATATTCAGCTAATGTATGGCACGTTGCACTTTGCTCAGCCTTTGAGTACCTACTGTAGCGAACATTTTACTGATGAAAGCTGTGGAAAACATATGGTAAAGAACGCGAACTAATCTATCGGTAGTAAACACCAATCTGACAGTGAAAATATAAAAATGAGCATTTTCTATTGTGTAGATCAACAGTAATCATTAATGAGTTGCATCTATCACTGGAAAGGAAGCACTTTTTTTCTATGCATACTGTTTTTCCGTATCGGAACATTCGCATAATCGATGACCAAATTTGTCGATTGAGTATGGAACTTACTAGTGATCACCATAGAAAAGTAACGGAATACCAAAAAGAAACTGTGACGAAACTATTGCCACATAATGGTATCGGTATTGAATATGAAAGTCCTTGTCGGTACTTCAAAGGATTCTGATATCAATCTGTTTTATTCCAACAAGACTGCCATCTATCATAGATGAAGTGATTATTCGAAGTATTTCGTAACTTGCATTAGTATTTGCACAGTAAATAGAACCATGGTTGCCTTTTCATCAATGCATTCGTTGTCGGAACATGCCGAACATACAGATTAGTGCTTTTCTCAATGTATTCAGAAGATAACCTATCCACTGAATATTCATATTTATATAACGAAACGAAACGAAACACAACGAAAACGTTCTTGAATGTTACAAAATTAAATATTTACTAACAGCTCTTATTAAAACAATTAATTACTGAGAATCCAAATAGACTGAAAAATAGATTACTAATTTGTATGATATTCAAAAATAGAGTCTTATTTTTGGATAGTAGATGATAATTTCGAAATCATACGTTGCAAAATACGCGTCGACTAATTTTGACTACGATGATCTCGACACCGGTGACCACAGCCAAACGAACATTCGTCATGTGTTTTGAACCATGCTTCGATATGTTCAATATGGCCGCCGTGAAAACAAATACCACAGAATGAAAATAAACCATGACAAGGAATTCGACTGGAAAAGAATAACCATCATTTGCATGATTCCTATCTTGGAAAAAGACTTACCAAATCGAGCAAACAAATTCTCTTAGCACAGGTTGAGCATTTTTCTTTGGAAGAGGCGTAGGAGGAGAAGCAAATGAAGGTAAACGTGGGAGTGATGGAGGTTGCGTTGGAAGAATAATTGTATCCTCATAATCAGCAGCATTGTAGTGCAATGGGATGCCTTCGACTTCAATGCAATGTTTGATAATTTGTTTTGCTTTTACAAAGAGCCGCATCTTCTGTAATAGCTCTGAGTGAAGAATAGACAAATCAACTCTTTTCGTTGAATCTGTAAATACATACCAATATACATGACAATCCACTGCAGGTGCATTCCATTGAATAGTTCAACTCGTTTCTGTTCACTCAATTGCGGGTACAACGCGAGAAGAAGATGAACAGTCATTTGAAGTTCGTTCTATGATAATGAAATAGAAAGAGAACGTGCATTGCAGACAACTTACGTTTTCGACATAATAATAGAGAGTATCTCGGATAATCTGATCGAAATTTAATGAATATTTCTGCACTGTAGGACAATAACTTTCATCAATGGTGAAAAAAGTCCCTGAACTATCAGGCAGAAGCGAATGTGTCGATGTTAGCATGTCACTGTCAATACTAAACAAAAATCATATGGAATCTCTTTAGAGATTCTCTCACTTACTCTTCGTATTCCTCATCATTTTTTAAATCCTCGTCATCGATCATGACGATATCAGGAGACTTTCGCATGATTCGATCTATAGAATAATTCGCATAATCACCATCGATCGTTGGTGTTGCGCTTGGTGTTATCGGTAAGGGGAATCCAGTACGCATAGTTTCGATATCACACTATTGAAAAAAGAAGTATTATTGATTACAATGTCTACACATATATACACTTTCGTCTTGAAATTCATCGACACTGTTACCATTGGCAAGCAGATCTTCAGGTGAGATGAACAGAATATCGTCGGTGAGGATGTCTCGAACGATGTACGTGTCTAAATCGTCAATCACCGCTACAAGTGGTGCCAAAATTTAGATTTACACTATCACGTTCTTGTTTAGTTGAAAGCAACGTTCTCTTACTTAGTTTCGAATCAGACAACGTTCTTTGTTCTTTCGATTTGACTCTTCTCTCACTGTTAAAGTTGTTATTCAACTTGTATTCGTCGAGCGAGAGTTGTTCGTCAATGCCAATGGATTTCTTTGTTAATTGATGATGATGATGATGATGTCGACCACCACCACCTGTTGAATCACTGGAACGAAAACCTTTCGTTAAGGATCTTGATGTTTTTGAGGATCTAGCGCGACGTTTTCTCGACGCTTCACATTCGGGATATAACATTTTAATAACCTGCCATGTTGCTCGTAAATCTGGTCGATTGAGATCTTCGGCAACAATACTATTAGTATCACATATGTGTCCCAATGCTTTATAGGATTTTTCTCCTTGGCCGAGTATCCATCTTCGAGCAAATTGATGAAACAATTCAACAGAATCATCTTGAGAAAAATTCGTATAAATTCCTAGAATACTTCTGCCTTCAATGGCCTTATTCCATTTATTAAATGTCGACATTGTTTCGTGTGAGTATAATTTGGTGAGACTTGTACTTGCTGCGGAGATATGCTGTTCCTTGTATAGTGCACGTACGTAATCATTATCGATATTTGGTTGAACAATTTGTACAGAACCTTTCGAAGTAGCATTCAAAGAAAAAAGTGAAAGTAATCGATCACTTTTAATTGCGCTTGAAAAGTGAGCATGCACTAAAGACCCATTCCGATCGATCGAAAGCATATTATCGGAATTAGGTCGCCAAAGGAAATCTTCCACATCGCCTGGAATCAAACATCGACGAATTGAAATTTCTATATTGACAATGGAGTTTTTCTACATACTTTGATGGTGACAAAATAATGCTTGTGGCAAGTAAGGACGTCGGATATCCCAAACATGGATACGTTGGTCACGGAAACGTGTCACAGACGCAATATGGTATCGACATGCTGGACGCCAGCTAAATTTTACTATTTGACGAAATGCATGTACCGTAAATAAAGGCTCTTGACGAGAGTCATTGCCATCTGTATCCCAGATCTATTCAAAACAGATTATTTGTTCGAATTGATCGAATATTGACTTACGCGTATTGTTCGATCGTGACTGCCGATACCACCGGTAGCTAGCCAAGACGGCTCGTGAGGGTTCCACAAAATGTATGAGACTCTATCTCGTGTAGATACAGAATAGACTGGTTGGTGATGCAGCCGAAAATCCCATATCTTTAAAAATGAATTCGATATGCCAAAAAATAACTTTCAATTAGCTTACAGGTACTGAGTGCTGATCACTAATAACAGCTGCGAATTTGTCTGTCGCCGATGGATTGATATCGATATCACGAAATGCCTCGGCACTTGAGTGTCGAAAGGATTTTGCAACTCGCTCAGTATTATCAATTCGTAAATCAATTAACTAAAACATAATCGAAAATCTTATTCATAAGTAGACTCGCATTCGCTTTACTTTTCCATATCCATCCTGAGATGCTGTTAACAGTAGATCCGGATCTAAATGAAAGTAAGTAAAGAATACATTCAATTGTGTGTTCCGGTTTGCGGTGTAATCTACTTGTCGGGTGAAATTGAATCCGATTAATAATGCCATTATGAACAGGTAACTGATCAGTAACACTTAATCGTGTTGCATCCCAGATATATAGACAGCCAATCGTACTATTCGTTGTCGCGAACTTATGTTCTGCAAAGAAAAGTAATTATGATGATGGTTGAGTATAAAAACAGATTCACTTTACCATAACGTCGATTCCAACTGACGTCTTTCGGTTGCAAGGCATGACGTGGTAATGCTGGTTGTTGCTGTGTCGCACGGAAGTCACATAGCATACTCACTTGTGTACTGTGATCAATTTGTTTGATAGAAAATAATTGGAAATCTAAATTGAGACAACAAATATAGAAACGATTAGTTGGTGTTTAAGTCATACTCTGGTGTCCAGCTGTTATTAACAGATTATCTGTACAGTTGAGAGCGAGTATTGATGCTCCACCTAATACAGAATAAGAAGAGATCACTGGCTGGGAATTTTGACTAGTTTCATCCATATCAATCGATCATTTTTTCTTTGTTTTATACAATCTGAAATAAAGAATTTGATTTATTGTGAATTGTGAGAAAATAAATAAAACATCTAATTTGACACCGGGAGATTAGGATGACTAGTGAAGAATTAAAATGTACGATGAAGAAAGAAGCGAACGTGTTCATAAGTTATGAACAAGGCACCGGTAGCGACGAAAGTGCGAATTAACGTTGGTAATAAACCAGTATAAAGTGCTAGAAAACCTTGAAGAATAAAAGTACGTTTAGACAAGTAATCGGAGTCGAACATGACCATACCTTCGTTTCTGATTATCTGTAGAGTATATTTCGGAAAAGTGACAGTTGGTTTAAAAACTTGTATACGTGACTTAATTGCATCAATAGGAAACATGATTAACCAAAAACAAATACCAGCCATTCCACCGGATATCCATGTTTTTATAAACCCTATTTGAAGTCACGAACTGCAGCAAAATTCACAGATAGATATGCCATTACCGATATCACCTTTCTTTTGATTCTCATGAATCAAAATTGATCTAGATAGTTCATAACCACCAAAAAAACAGCCATAACCGGGACATTCTCTCGCCAATGTAGTTGTTAATCCACGGAACAGTCCTCGAAAGCCTTCTTTTCGAATTATATCACGTGTGATATCGATTGGTGAACTAGAAATCAAGAAACATATCGCGAACTATCGACACAATTTTCTTGTATGTTCTTACACTTTTTTTGTCATCTGACTTTCCATGGATAATGAATTCATCGTTTGCATTTCTTTTAACGTTTGTATCCGACATTTGACTAATTCAGTGGGACATAAAGCCACCGATGAAAATGCTGCTGCTAAACTTCCTGCTGCCATATTATCAACTGTTGTCAACTGATCATTGTCTGGTCTATTTCGTAGAAAAGCAATGAAGTTTTGACATTGTCCGTATGCCATAAACAAAATTCCATTTTCTAAATATTTTCATCGTTCGATGAATGAAATAAGAGAACGATATAGTAAAAACCTGCAGTATTAGCTAGTAGTGATGGTAAAGTTCCCGCATAGAGTCCTCGCATACCATCCTGCTGAAAAATTTGCTTTCCACAATCGAAAAAGTTCTTATAACGATTAGGAAATGTTTGTAATTTAGTTTTAATCGTATCTAATGGTTGGCCAACATACACTGAAACGGCCGCACCTTGAATAATAGTAAGAGTGTAAAGCAGGGATTATATTATTGGATATTTCCCTTCAAATAGAATTTGATATCTTACCGGAAATTCCACTAAAAAAGTCAATAATTGCATCAGAATTCATACTCTATTTCAGTTTCATGTGTATCAACAATTAGATCGCGCTACTGGTTACTTCGATCATAATTTATATCCGGATTTCGATTGGTTTACACTCAAGAACCAATAGGATATGCAAAATACGTTTCTTCGTTCGTTTACGCTTTTGTAATGGGAACATTCCAAACCTTTCGAAAAAAAGAGGATCATAGATTCGTTTTTCTAGTCTAAATTTTAACAACAGCCACAACGCACTGAATTCATAAATAACTACTGTGTTAATTCATTTTCTATCATTAACGGTTTACATTGATTTGAAAGTTAATGGTGAATAGCAATGTCACCATCTGATTTCATGTCCATTTATTCATTCAAGCATTAAATTATACAGAAAGTCTGATGTTCTGTCATAGAGCGAAAATATTCACCTCTGAAAAACTTCATATTTCAATACTATCATCGTTCGTACGTTCCCCACTGGAACATCGGTGGGGGTTGAGAAAAGCATTGACGTCCAAGAAATAATATTTTGGTGAAGAATAATCGAATCATTTGCTCATTAAAAAATCTGCTTCAATAGTTTACAAATCATCATCGCTGCATCTTGATTGAAGCGTTGCTTGCTTTGATAGCTTATTTAGATTGCGCTAGTAGACATTACAAGTGTGTACTTCAAATTTATTGCCTATTGGTAGATTTTTATTAGCCAATAAAATGTCATAGACTTGTTTTGTCTCACATTTGTTCCTTTATACTGATTTGAGCTAGTTCGGACAAGGAAATGTTATTACGAAAGGATCCATGTGGAATTGTATGTGTAACATTGACTTATGCAATGCTTATGCATTGCCTCTATGTGATCCTGTTCGTTATGATCATTCCATTATTTAATGACAAGTAGATCTCGAAATTTACAACTGATTTTTTCATACGATATCTATTGATAGTTTTTACGGCACTGTAAATGGTGTTATCATCTGTACACTTGTTTTCCTTGCCATTCTTTCGCATGGTCGAGCCGCTTACTTCGATCCTGGCTTTGTACCGTTAACCCGAAAGCTGACTGATTCACCCAATGGGAAAATAACGGATAGTAACAATAGTCTTTTGAAAGTAAATAAGAATAATTTGTTTGATCTCGAAACGATGATTCTTTCTTTTTAATCAGCCCAATGAAGAGGGATGGACAGGTAATGAATAGCAAATTTTTGTTTTAAATGATATTTATATTGTTTTTATTAGCTTGTAATCGCTGTGAAATATATCGACCAGCACGTGCACACCACTGCAGGTGAGTTTTGATATGCAGAGGTGTATTTGATGCTAACAGTGAATTTGTTTTCCTATTTAGAATTTGTAAACGATGCGTTCGAAGGTTAGTTCGTTTATATTGAGGTTTTCTCTGAAAAAACTAACTGAAAGGGGCAAAGTATTATGAGTAAACTCTGGATGAACTTGTTCCATTTCGTAGTTTAATTTATCGATAAAAATTTCTTTCTTTTGCTTTTGTAGACTCGATCATCATTGTCCATGTAAGTAAAATCGGACTCGAATTAAACCGATAGCTAAGTTTTTTCGTTTGTCTTGTTATAGGGGTGAATAACTGCGTTGGTGAATTCAATCAAAAGTATTTCATCTTGTTCCTTTTCTACATTGGTAAATCTTAACACAACATCAAAGTTTTTTCAATTGTTCATTTTTTATCATTGAGGGGCGACAAGTGTGTATTCAATACTATTCATCATTTGGTCATTAGTTGTTTTTCCACAAAAAACCGAATCTCAAATGTGAGTTTCTCACAAGCAATACTTTGTTTACGAAGATCATTTGTTTTCATTGGATAGTATTCATTCCGTTGTCATATGCGTTGAAGCCTGCTTGTTCGGTATATTTGTCCTAACTGTATTTGCCGATCAAGTACAATCGATTATCACTGATCGAAGTTTAATCGACACCCTCAAGCTTGATCAAAATGCACAAATGGCACCACAGATCCTACCACCAAAACGTATTCTTTTTCGCAAAGTCTTCGGCTCCGGTAGGAGAGAATTCTTTGAGTAATTGAATTCTATTGACACAGCTTTCGTTTAGGACCAATGATTTGTTGGTTATGTCCATGTGATTTCAAGAAACCCAGTCAAATTACTGCTTCGGTCGATATGTATCATGTCTAATAGAAATTCGTTGCTTTTTCGATTGTGAATCCAAATTTGATCAAAACGATCTCTGAGAAACGTTTTTCTCTCCTCATAGTCAAAAATAACCGATCCTATATTTATACAATTTCATACAGTTTTGCCTTTAAATAAACGAATCTTTGTAGATGATATAGACTACGATGACCCAGCCAACAGGAATTGGTTTTCGACAACGATTCTTCGACCTTAGACGACGGACAGCACACGATGCACCGTCGATGCCATTGAATACGGAAAATCATGGTCAAGATCGTCCATTGTTCTATGTTGATAAACCGTTAATTGACAGAATTTGTAAACAAATAGATCGCATTAGAAAATACTGCCAATCACCAAAGATGCGTCTGAAAACGTCGTCGCCCTGTATACTTGATATTTTACCAGAATTCGGTCAAACTTTTCGCGAAATTCTGGCAAATTACAAAGATCGATTTCATATATTAAATGATATTCAGTATTTCTGTATATTTGTTGGCAATCTTAATGAATTGTGTGCTAAAACGGTCGAGTGTTTCAAGCGCGCTGGGCATCAAATGCATAAAGAACAATCTAGTTTCCGAAGAGAACTCAATAAGCTATCACTGTACTTTTCGCACACTCTAACTGAGCTAAAAGCTCTGTTTATCAATGGAACCTATCAAGGAGAACAATTTCGATTAACAAAGCCAGAAGCAACGGACTTCTGGAAGCACAATTTCCAAGAAAAGTAAAATAGAAGAATAATCATTTGTCTTAGCAGCTTTTTCCGTTTAGAACCATTGTATCGTGGGAAGAATTTCAAGAGAAACTCAATTTTGTTCATCCAGTAGGATCACTGAATGAATCAACAGCTTTACAAAAGACAATCGACTTAACCAATGATAATTACATATCAATATTTGAGTTCGACGTTTTCACACGGTAAGAAGAAATGACGATATGTTCATTTCCTAGGAATTGTTGAGGATTGATTTTCAATATGAAGTCCACTATTTCCCCTCGAGCGAGTAATAATCATCCGAGTCATTGACTAGTCTTCTCAACAGCACTCTCTCAAATGCAATAACCTACGGAAGTGATTCTTTGTCCGCATATTACATTTGGTTTCTTTTGAAATAGATTATTTCATCCATGGTCATCACTTTTGACGAATTGGAAACTACTGACAATTTGTCATCCTGCTTTTATGGCTTTCAAGACCTACGACGACGTGCAAGAAATCCTTACGAATCATCTTGAAAAACCAGGTAGCTATGTATTTCGACTGAGTTGTACACATTTGGGTCAATGGGCAATTGGGTATGTCACGATGAATAATGAGATCCGTCAAACTATTCCTAGCACAAAATCACTGGTTCAATCATTAATCGACGGAGAACAAACAGGGCAGTAAGTTATACAGACTTACTTCTTATATATTCATTGTAGAAAATCATTTTTGAACAGTTACAAATATCCGAATGGAGAGAACAATCGCATAGATTTATCTGCTGCTTTGGGAACAACGCAGTCTGATCGTATTTACGTATCCGAAGAACAATTCTCATTGTACAGTAGTATGGGTACAACTTTTGAACTGTGTAAAATCTGTTCAGTTAATGATAAGAATATTAAAATTCAACCGTGTGGTCATTTAATGTGTCGAAGTTGTCTGACAGCATGGCAGGTAAGTGTACATTCTGTACTTTCCTCTTTCTTAAAATGTGTGGATGATTTTTAGAAGCAAAGCAAAAGTAAATCAGCACCATTGTGTCCTTTCTGTCGAGCAGGAATCAAAGGTTTTGAACCAATTGTTGTCAGTACGTTTGATCGTTCGATTAAACATAACAGACAACAATCAAATCCAATTGAATTCGATGATGTACGTAGTTCTTAGTTTAAAATAAGCTTGGAAAAGAATTATTTTCTTTTAGCAAAGAGCCGATACTAATCCTCAGGTTCAGAGTTTACAACCACTGGCTATTGCAAGTCTAGTAAACTATGAGAATATTGCTAGTGTAGACTCGTCTGTAGAAGACCTGTCTTTTTCTCCACCACCGATTCCAGCTCGATTAGTGAATACCAATCAAGCAACACCGCAACATCATCTACAAGCTATTTCTCCACAATTATTACATAATAATTATCTCCTTGGAACGCAATCGCTACCAACAAATCAAGAAGCATTGTCGTCAAACGAAAGTCTTAGTAGTTCATCAGGTAAGAGAACCTGAAGAACTCAATGCCAGATCTACATCTTTGGAATCATTCCAGATCAAATTTCGGCCGTATCGGACAATTGTTGGAATTCAGAAAATAACATGATAAGGTAAAGACAATTTTTCATTAACTTTCGTTGACGATCAATGATTTAGTCTTTCCACGTGCACTGACACTGATACCATTGCCCAAATTCAGTCCATCGATGATATACGTGATCGATTACATTCTGACTATGACTTCGATCCTATACGTATTGATGCAGCATTAGTACTAACTGAAGGTTTTCCATTATCACAGCAATATGAAATGTCGAAACTATTTCTTGAACATGTCAAACGTGCTGAAGAAGAATTTACCAATCCGAGTGATACTTTTTAGTGTCAACAGAGGTCTCCGTTGACAAACGCAAACGTCCGGTTATTATTGGACTTCTCCTCCCTCTCCACGAATACAAATACACTAGTCGGACTTTCCATAGTTTATCTTTTCGTTTTCGACATTTTCATCGCCGTTCATCTCTTGATTTTGTTCTTTTTCTTCTCTTTCACATTCGTCACATACTCCTACGTCTTTCGAGTTTTGTTGTGAACAAAATCTCTCATCATTTACCTTCTAGTGCATCAGAAGTTTCTATTTCTTTCATGCGTACTGTCTGTCTAGAAAGATAAATGATAGAGTTGCAATAGAAGTCGATCCTTTCCAGAACCTGACACAATATTTTTTTAAATGAATCTTTTCAGTGAATTTGAAATTGTATTTTTACCTGAGTTTGTTTTGATTTTTGCTAAATTATCTTGACTCTTTCTTAAACATATGTGATAAATAATTCTATTTTCAGATACTAAACATCATTAGAGAATCAAACAATGAAAGAAGACATTCCAAGTACGTATCTATCGAATTCAATAAGTTGCCGCTCATTTTCTCGGGTAATTTTAGCTTCATGCGTTGCTGCTGTTTTCTCGGACATCGAGCCTGATGCACAAGTAAGTTCCCATAAGACATTCTTGAATGTGTCAATTGTTTCGTTTATGTTTAAGTTGAAAGATATCGAAAAGTTCATGCGTGATCATGGCAGTGCGATCAATTTAGATAATATTGCAGGCGAATTGGAAGATAAACTTAAATCAATCATTACCGATTTGAAGAACATAATTGGAGAATCCATTCCCGAAGGAGGTGAGAACAAATTTCAAATGATGAAAATAGTGAATATATTGTTGTAGAAATGGAAATGTTCCTTAACTCGGTGATGAGTTTGATTTTACTTATACCGGAAGATAAAATCAATAAACCAATTGTGGAATTTGCCGAAGCAATTACGAGCGCTAATGTACCGGAAAAATATGGACCGATGCAACTTCGAGTGTAAGAAAAATAAGTTCGTACATGAGAGCAATATGACAGTGTCGCTTTCGAATAGATTAACCAATTTGATTTATGTTGTGCCGGAACGTATTACAGCAGAAAAATATCAGATTTTACTTAATTTAATCAAATGTGCTCGTGATCATCGATGTATTAACGCCGCTTCAGTTGGCATCAATCAGGTACGGAGAAATTTGCTTTTTATTGATTCATTTGAGTTAATTCTGCATATTCCCATTCGGACATTAGGTCAAAAAATGGATCAGCGATTGGAAAGTCCCAACCGAACAAGTTCAAGAACTCTATCGAAGTATGCACGAAGCTTACACAGTTGCCGGTGATTCGTATGTATTTATTTTTCACATGAAAATTGCAATTTTTTCTCTCGATGAACATTTTCTATTCAGTGCGAATGCTTTACAAATGTCACTTGAGCTACTTGGTACATATACAAAAGAAACTGCATTAAAAGCTCGTGCTGACGCCGAGAAGTACGTTTTGAAAATCGAACTAGTCATTGGAATATTCATTGAAATTTTATAGATGTATCATCACTAGTATAAATGATCCAAATGTCTTCGTCATGGATCATTTACTTCTGCTTGAACCGGTGAAAGTTCTTGAAGGTGGAACCATTCATAAGGTAAATCGAATCTTCTATCCGATAGCCGAAATTCATTCTCCTATACTTTTAGCTATTGAACATCTTTGTTTCTGGTCGATTACAAGATTATTTAGATTTTTATGCTGCACAAAAAACGGCTATAGAATCTCAAGGTACACTTGATCACTTTTTTTTCTCTAAAGAACGTCTTTGGATACCGAATTTAGGTGTTAAACATGACCGAAACGTCGCGAAAATGCGTGTATTAACATTTCTTCAAAGCGCTGAAAATCAAAAGGAAGTTACCTTCGATACCATCGAAAAAGAAATGCAAATACCCACAGATGAGATCGAATCATTCATTATCGAAGGTAAAAACATAAATCTATGTCACTATGTCATTCTATGAAAGTGATTTTCAGCTGTGCGAACGAAAATGATACGTTGCAAAATTGATCATCTCGCGCGCAAAGTCATCATTGACAGTACTGTTCAACGAACATTCACAAAACAACATTGGGTATCTTTGAAAGAGAAATTGGAAGCTTGGAAAGCCAATTTAAATATGATTAACAATAATCTAAAGACAATCGTTGGAACGAGCAAATAGAAGAATTCAACTTCCTCCTCTTGGAAAACAAAACAAAATATCGATGAAGAATAGTTGTTGTGATTGTTGTTTTTAATGTTAAACAAAGACATCAACGATTATTTTTTTCAAATATAAACATGAAGAAAAAAAAAGTTTTACCGTTACGAAACCAATGCCTTTTTATTGCTGATAGGACCATCTAATGAACGTTACAAGTTCTCTCTCGTCAATAGTGTTAAAGAAGCAAAAAAAGAAGTTTAGAATGCTAGATAAATTTATTTAGAATATTAAAGACAGATAAGTAATTAACATTTAGCTGGAAGAACATTTTCTCGATATTGATTTCCGAAGTTGCCTGGTGGTGAGTAATAGGCAATGACATATTCAGTTTGCCCATCGGCGGTATAGGCAATACCAACACCAATTCGTTGAGAATTTTTCCAAACAAGTTGAGTAAATGAACCTGTTTCCATTGAAAAACCTCCTCGATTATAATTGTAAGATTTTCCGCCACGGTACCATTCGTTGGCAACTTCGTCACCTGCGATGAGAGATAGGCGATGTTATTTACTGTGAAGAAGTTATGTTTACTCACCGTGAATTTTCTCATTAGTACGACCACCAAACACACTCTTCATAAACATGTTTTGTCCTAAATCACTTGGACGACTTTGTGACATTCCATTCGAATCAGCTAATCTTTGAGCTTGTTGTTGAGCTCTTCGGCTAAGATCTTTGTCAAGTCGAAGAGGTGAAACGCAGTGACGCGCACGAAGATCATTATGTGCTCGTAGTAATTGTTTTTCGAACTCTTCATTTTTGCCTGTAAATATACCATCATGTTAATTTGATCTTTGATAACTAGAAGGAGCAATTTTACCTTTTAGATCAATGAGGTTGGCGTCGTCGTCTTCGTTCGTCGACGGTCGAAGTTTGGATGACTTGCCATATGATAAGGCACTCAACATAAGCATACCAAATAAAACACAGAAGACTTGCTTGAACATGGTAGAAAGATTCGAATGAAATGAATATGCAATTCAAGTAAAAGGTTCGGATATTTATAGACGGTTAACAGTGTGAGCCATTTTGCCGTTTATCGACTGACGAATTCTTTGTTTCTTTTGTTAGTTCGTATTACTACACTGTTCACTACTTGAATAGGCTGATAGAACATATTACGACCCATATATTTTCATTATGCAACTGTTTTGTAGAACGATCAGTACTGGTTGTTGTTGTAACTCTCTGCCTATAGTATCACGTTAAATTTCTCTCTCCGTCAACGGATGAGAAAATACGCGCAAATTTTGTCTAATGTGAAAACATCAGGGTAGATATTGATAAAATACGACTTATGTACACATGATGCATAATACTCGGTTCTATTTATTTGATTGGTTCATTTGATTTTCGAACGGGTTATCTATTCGTTCTGTTCAGTTCTCTTTTCACATGCACAGACGTGAAAAGTCGTGATCATTTCTTTTCGAAGATCAGCCTTGTTCATCATAGACTAACATTATGCGCGATATGACTGCCTTAACAAACGAAAATAACCTTACTGAAAAAGTTATTTTGAATGTAAGTTAAGTTGTTCAAAGCTGACGGTTTTAGTTTTCCTTTGTGTCTCTTCGAAGAACGATCACGTGAAATCTGTCGAAGATGATGAACCACTCTTACGTGAAAATCCTTCACGTTACGTTTTATTTCCAATCAAATACCATGACATATGGAAATTTTACAAACGTGCTTTAGCATCTATTTGGACATGTGAAGAAGTTGATCTAGCAAATGATATGAAAGACTGGATACGGTTAACATCGGATGAACAATACTTTATCAAGAATGTTTTAGCTTTTTTCGCAGCCAGCGACGGAATCGTTGGGGAAAATCTCGTATGTTGACAAACGATTCATACTGTAAATATAACTTTCTATGCCTTTGCTTGACATACTTTTCAGATCGAAAAATTTTCATCCGAAGTCCAAGCGCCCGAAGCACGTTGTTTCTATGGTTTTCAGATAGCAATGGAAAATATCCATTCAGAAATGTACAGTTTACTAATTGATACGTACATCAAAGATCCACTTGAACGGTACGTTTCGAGCAGAATCGATTTTACCATTTGTTTTTGTTTGCAGAGATATATTGTTCAATGCAATTTCTACATTGCCTTATGTTAAGAAGAAGGCCGATTGGGCTATACGTTGGATGAATAAGAAGACTCCATTTGCCGAACGATTAGTTGCATTTGCTTGTGTCGAAGGTATTTTCTTCAGTGGGTCATTTGCATCAATATTTTGGCTACGTGAACGTGGCGTTATGCCTGGACTGACATTCAGCAATGAACTAATCAGTCGAGACGAAGTACGTAAAGATTGAATACGCAGCAGAGCCAAAATGTATTTTTGTTCTTAAGGGCTTACATACTGATTTCGCTTGTTTACTGTTTGAACATATCGTTCACAAGCCAAGTGTTGAACGAATCGAAGAGATTCTTCGAGAGGCTGTCGATCTTGAAATTGAATTTCTTACCGATGCATTACCATGTTCACTCATTGGTATGAACGCTGCAGCCATGGCGCAATACATCAAATTTGTAGCTGATCGTCTTTTAATTGAACTTGGCTGTTCAAAAGTAAATTATTTTTTTCAAAATTCATTCATCATTGATTCTGTTTGAATAGATTTTTCATTGCGATTGTCCATTTGATTTCATGAACAATATTTCCATTACTGGCAAGACAAATTTCTTCGAAAAACGTGTTGGTGATTATCAACGTGCCGGTGTAATGACATCGATCAATGAACATCGACTAGCACTTGATGCTGAATTTTAATCTGTTTTCTTTTTTGTATCAATTTCTCTTTTGATCATGTCTACTAATAATTGTACATTTTCTTCTTGTCTTTCAATTTTCTATACAGTGTGTACAATGAGTACTTTAGAATAAAGCAAAGCAAATAAATTTTAATGAAATCATAACACTGAATTGAATGATAAATATTTGTCGTTTTTCAAAAACGAAGAAGTTTCTTACGATTGGATGTCATAATTCGTAGAACGACACAATCAGTTGTGTTTTTTGTTATCAAATACTTTTCACCCACGTGAGAAAATATTAATCAGGCACTTTATAACCCGTTTTCATTCCATTCTGATTTTAAAAAAGAGTACATTTGCCGTTCTGTTTTCATTTTTGTAGTTCGATATGAATCAATTGGTATTGCTATTGATTGTGTTGAGTTCATTAACTCATTGCGCACGATCGTCTGTGTGCGAATTGCCACGCGCACCAGGTCCATGTCGCGGAATGTTTCCTTCGTTTTATTTCAATTTGCAAACAGGTCGATGCGAAGAATTTATCTACGGTGGTTGTGATGGTAAGTACAATACTAGTGTGTGTTGAGATTTCAACTAGTTTTTATTGATTAGGTAATGAAAATCGTTTTCAAACAGAGCAAGATTGTCGAGCTACATGTGATGATCACAAGCCTTCGAAAGAGTAATTAACTATTTACAGTTTTCTGTATTTATTCGAGAAATAAATACCTGCTGAATAGATGTCACTTGTTTTCGGTTGACTCTTTGAATTCTTGTCATTGATTGGTTGAAAAACGAAAATCCGTGAAGCTTTTCCTTTGATGTGAATATTCATAGATTTCATCATTTAATAATCCAGCATAGAGACAATTTGGAAATTTACCATTTCACTGGTCATGCGCTTCTATTAAAGTACGTCATTGATTGATTACTCATATCTATTTCAAACTTGTCTTGCTAATGTAGAGAGCGATAACACACTATGCCAGAAGAATCTATTCCTCCTTTCACGATCAAAGATGTTTGGGCACACAATGTCGAAGAAGAATTTCGTGCAATTAGAAAACTGATTGTTAAATATCCCTACGTTGCTATGGTGAGTTATACTCAATAAATTTTTCTTGACAGAGCAAATCGTATGCTTTTTTTTTCCCTAACTTCTTCAGGATACCGAATTTCCTGGCATTGTCGTTCGGCCGTTGGGAGAATTCAAAACCACCGCAGAATATCAATACCAATGTTTGAAGCTAAATGTCGATTTTTTGAAAATCATACAACTTGGCTTGACATTCATGGATAGTCAAGGCAAGAGTCCGCCAGGTGTGTGTTCCTATCAATTTAATTTCAACTTCAATTTAACGTAAGTTGAACAGTAGATTTTGTAACTAACGTCTATTGAATTTATTGATGATATTTTAGAATGGATATGTATGCGCAGGATTCAATCGAGCTTCTTCAAAAATCTGGTATACAATTCAAAAAGCATGAAGAAGAAGGTATCGATCCACATTTGTTTGCTGAACTGCTAACTACATCAGGTGTTGTGTTCATGGAAAATGTCACATGGCTTTCATTTCACGCGTATGTATTCATAGTTCGAATGGCTTGATCAATGCTTGTTTTCATATGATTTAGTGGCTATGATTTTGGATATCTTCTCAAGATGTTAACTGGAAAATTACTACCCGATACCGAAAATGAATTCTTCGAATTATTGAAAATCTACTTTCCAACGATCTATGACGTCAAATATTTAATGAAAAGCTGCAAAAGTCTCAAAGGTGGTTTGGAAGAGGTAGCAAAACAACTTGAAGTAAATATTCAATCTCCACAGTGTTCTGTTATATTAATAGATGAAATATTATTTCAGATTGAACGTATCGGTCCACAACATCAAGCTGGCAGTGATAGTTTAATGACGGGCTTGGCATTTTTTAAGATGAAAGAGCTATTTTTCGAAGATTCTATAGATGAAGGAAAATATTCTGGCCATCTCTATGGTCTTGGACATTCGGCATTTCCAACTGGTGGATTTGGTTTCGAAAACGATTCTGTAAATTGCACAGAAAACGAAAGTCCATAACAAAGATTCTACATCCTTTGTTTGTTTGTTTCTTTTCTGTTTATTACTTTCGTGTTGTGTGTGCCATTTTAGTTGATCACTTCTTTTTTTGCGTTGATTTGTTATTAAATCCTGTCATTTGTACAGAAGAGCCATGAAAGATCGAAAAAAAAGTGAAGCAGAAAGGACATCAATCATTGTTATTTGAACTGACATCACTGTACTTCAAAGCGGACTGTGTACATTTCGTCGGCAAGTCAAGCAGTGAGCGTTTTAGTTATAACAATATCAAGCGCCATCTACACCTATATGTAGGATGATCGCTGTGCTGAAATCATCGAAGTAGTATTCAATATATGCGGGCTGTACAGGCTAAAATATCACGTTATTGGTCTTGTTACAAACTAAATCAATGGTATGTCGCTTTATAGTTTGTCTAGCTCACATTTTTTATTGGTTCTCAATGGAATTTTGATCGTTCGTTATGTTGCGTCGCTGTCGGAAAGATATATTTTTACACCTATGATTTATCGTTCTCGCCTAGTTCTTTTTTCTTAGCAAGCATTTCACAACTCAGAATAGTTTCAGCTGATCGTGAAATTCTATTGTTCGCAACGTGCAATAACATGACGTATATATAGTATGAATTCATTTTTATCGAATGTAACTTATCTACTCAATAGTGCAGATAAAATATTGACTGTAAGGAAGAATTTATTTTTGATGATAAAAATTCTTTATTATTTCTTCTAGTGAGTGTAAAGTAAAACGACAAAGATTCAAACTACTTTACAATGTACCGACTCGATGAATTCTAAATAAAATGTGGAATGAAGAGCGAGAGAAAAACTTATCTATAATAAGTGATTTATCAGAATATCTGTTTGGTTAATATACAAAACACAAACAGAAACGACTTTGATTTTATCATTTCAGATATGATTAAACGTTGCTAGTGTTTGTAAATCCTCCATCACCTGGTCGTCTATTTCGATCATTTTGCCAATAATTCGAAAGAATAACACGAGCGCCCGGTCCACCATTTGATATCGGCCGAGGTTTCATTCGAGTGTTAAATGGTGCTTGTGGTATATACGTAAGTTTAACTAATTCGTCCTTTCGATGTTGATTTCGTTCAACAATAATCGCTTGTATACGTGCGATTTGCAATAATATAACAACGATGTTTTTAAAGACGAAAAAATAACTGGTATAATCATGTTTTCCACATCCGAATATCGCATACAGTCGAACAACAAGGAATGGGATATCCATGAGAAATGTAACTAGAAATGAATTAGTCAGAAACGAGTGTAATTCCTTGATTTTATTATCTTTCACTTCCGGAACGTAAATAACAAATTGCAAACAACTCACTGACCAAACGGATAAGGTTGCATAAACAAGGCGTGAGTTCATATAGAGCTGGGGATACGACAAGAGATCAATGAAATCCAATAGGTCCATACCAGTCGCAAAATATTTGAATAGCAGATCTGTTTTACCAAAATAGGATACCGAATCTTGTTTAGGTAGTAGCGCACGAAGTATCAGTAGGAGAAAGAGATAAACTTGAATCTCAATCTGTGACCACACATATTTGAAGTTTTGTAGAAAGTCCTTTGGTTTTACCCAAGGTCTAGGAACATCGCCGAATCTTGTCGGGAAGTGTTGGAATGAGATAGTTACCGTTTTCCACGCATCTTGTTTAAGTTCATTGATACGATGCAATTCAAGCACCCAAATAGACGCTATGATTGTTAACGAGTAAACCAAGACAAGAATCGAGAAACCACGAAAATACTCCTTGCATCGATAAAAAACGAGAGAAAAAACGGCTTCGACGCCAAATAAAATCGTGCCAAACATCGGAATGAAATATAAATGTGTTTTATCCTTGATGGTATAAATCACATAGATCGATAGTCCCATATGTATTGCACAGAGAATATGAGCAATGATCAGACGAATCAAGCGATGACGAACGATTGGTTTGGTTTTCATTTTATTTGATCAGAAAATCGAAATCTAACGAAAAAACATTTGATTATGAATCAGAAATCTAATATTTATACAGTTCCAATAAAAGGTCGACTTGGTATTTCATTTACACCGTTTCTTCTCTGTAATGAAGCATATGAATCTTAGAGAATGTTTCGTTTTTTTTTCTCGTTCTCTCCATCCGAGAACTTTTGTACCAACGATTGGCAGAAAAGAATAAAACACACACACACACACACACCAATTCATAGTTGATTTTTTTTTCTAGATGATGAGTCAATTGTAAAGAACACTTTTGAAAATGGATGAAATGGATATTATTACTGAACAACATCCACTTGATTTCAATGCCACGAACGACGATGCTTATGATTTTATTCCAACCTATGCGCCACGAACGATCGAACCTATTGTTGTTCGCGGTGCTGGTCATGTGACTGTTTTTGCATTAAATAATAAATTCGATGAAGAATTTCCTCAAGGTTTAGCGCACAAAGTTTCCCGAGAAGAATATCAAGAAACAATCAGACGTGTGAATGGTATTCTGAAGAAAAATGTTCCAAATCATTTCAAATGGTAAGTTTTGACAACGAATTCGTTCTCTTTTTTTTTCTTATCAAATGTTATCAGCATACGAGAGTAAATCGAATACAAGGTCATCTATTCCGTTCATCTGTTTGTTTAAGGTTAATTTTCGGTTGTATATGTTGTTGTTGTACAATTGGTCTTTCACTGTGTCCTGTTGTATATCTGAATAAGCGTTCGAAAGCTGCAGTGAAGAGAGCTCTTAGTTCGGAAAATGCTCGGATTTACCATCGACTTGGTCTGCATTGGAAGTTAATACAGCAGAAATGTTCGAATAATAATGCTGTACAGGAATATGTTCTTATGATTGAATTTTGCTCAGCTTTGTCGCTTTCGTATCCAGATTGAATTCTTTCTTTCCTATTTGTATGATTTCTTTTTTCCAGCTTAGAATTATATAAACGAAACAATGTCTTTCAGAAACAATCGATTTTTCTATTTTAGATAACAGTCTATGTCATTGACATCAGTACAACATGCAGTTGTTAAGTCAGTTCTTTCCGGTGATACACTTGTCATCAGACCGATCTCCCAGTCGTCATTGTATGATAAAGAACAACGGATTTCTTTAAGTTATATCAAAGCACCAAAGTTAGCTCGTCCATCGGGTGATCCAACAAACAAAACTGGATTGACTGTTGATGAACCGTATGCATTTGAAGCGCGTGAATATCTTCGGAAAAAGTTAATTGGACAAAATATATGTTATACCATTGATACTCAAGTATTCGAACAGAATCGAAAGAGATGTACAGTTTATTTAGGCAAAGATGTAGAGACAGGTGAGAATATCATTGAATCATTAGTCTCTGAAGGTCTTGTGAATTTACAGAAACGAAATGATATCAGTGTGAATAACATCTCATATAAACGTTTAGTAACACTTGTTGAACAAGCGAAAATGAATAAACGAGGGCAATATTCTGATGATCTCATTACCAATCATATTCGAAACGTGAATTGGACTTTGGATGATCCGAAACGATTTCTTAAACAGCATGAATCATCGCCACCTTTGGATGCTATTGTGGAATTCATACGTGATGGAAATACCGTTCGTTGCCTATTGTTGCCGTCTTATCATCTGGTAACGATTCAAATAGCAGGTATTCGATGTCCTATGATAAAAAATGATGGCCATTCTGAACCGTTTGCTGAACAGGCTAGAGAATATGTCGAGTCGCGTTTATTACAACGTCAAGTGAAGCTTATTGTCAGTGGTGTTAATAAGCAAAGTTTAGTGGGAACTGTTTTGCATACGAATGGCAACATTGCATTACACCTATTGAAAGAAGGTTTAGCTCGATGTGCTGACTGGAGTTTGACTTTTTTAAGGTCAGATTGGAGACAACAGTATCGACTAGCAGAAACACTCGCCAAAGATAACCGCTCGAAGATTTGGCAAGATACCAAAACAGATCTTAGCAGTACTGATGCAGCAGAACCCAATGGTTTCTCATCAGATGAATATCAAGTGAGTTTCAAGTAGACAAAGTAGATTGATTGAATCTTTCGTACATGTTTCCTTTCCAGGCTAAAGTGCTGGAAATTGTAAATGGAGATGCTTTGATTGTACGTGATTTACGTGATAATCAAGTGAGAAAAATCTATCTTGCTTCTGTTCGTGCGCCACGTGCTGCTGATTTTCACTTACCATCGAACACAACTACTTCCCGATTGAAAAAACCTCTGTACGAAATTCCGTACCTATTTCAAGCACGTGAACTACTTCGAAAACGACTGATTGGTGAAATTGTTCGAGTGATAACTGATTATATTCAACCAGCAAATAACGAGTATTCTGAACGATTTCGTTGTACGGTCTATATCGACAATGTGAATATCGCTGAGTCATTGATATTGAGGGGTTTAGCAAAAGCCATTAGACATCAACAGGATGATAAAAAGCGCTCGTCACATTATGGTAAGAAACTTTGTTAGCTCATTCGTTTACAAGCGACAGTTTTGTTTTCGACAGATGAGCTGCTCATAGCCGAACATCGCGCGGAAAGAAATACACTTGGACTATTTTCATCATATACCGGTCTTCATCCAGTGACAAATTTCATCGGCGATGCAAATAATTCAGGAGCAAGAAGTTTACTGAGCACTCTTCAACGTAGTAATTGGATGGAAGGTATCGTGGAATATGTCGTCAGTGGCTCACGCTTTAGAATACATTTATTGAAAAGTGATTGGATCATTTCATTCCTACTATCATCTATTAATTGTCCACGTTTTGAACGACATTCATCTCCGAATAACGCATCTCCAAAACAAGAAAGTGAACCATTCGGCGCTGAGGCATTGGCTTTTTCCGAAGAACACTTTCTACAGCGGTGAGATTGAATTGAGGTCGATGATCTTCGAACCAGCTTTTCCTTTGTTTAGAGATGTCTATATAGATATCGAAGGTATTGATCGTGGTGGTAATTTTATCGGCCGTTTATTAACGACGCAGAGACAATCAGCGGTTTTAATGCTTGTTCAAGCTGGTCTTGCTAAAGTATCGAGCTTAGCACGTGGAGCAGCAGATTATAACGAATTGTTGCAAGCTGAAGAGAGAAGTCGCGAGGAGCATCTCGGTATGTGGACTAGTCGCGCAGAATCGGTGATCGAAGATACTGATAATGAATCAGAGAGTAACTATTCTACCGCAAGTATGTTGAATCGTAATGAAAAGTAACATTTAAAAACTTCTTTTTGTTTATCAAGATGAAAGTCTTTGTGAACCCAATGGAAGCGATGAGAACGATTCAAGTCTTCGTCGCGGAATCGTGTCTCACATTTCATCCGATTTGAAGGTCTATATTCAATATTCCGATCGAGCAGAAAACCTTGAACAATTGCAGACTATGCTACAAGTACTTTTGAATCAGAAAGCATTACCTGACGGATATATTCCTGAAGAAGATGACCTATTAGCAGCGCGTTTCTCAGTTGATAACGAATGGTATCGTGCGCGAGTGGAAAAGATTGACGAGAACAACCAAATTACTGTTTATTTTGTTGATTACGGCAATCGAGAAGTAATTACAGACTTGAATCGTCTGACAATATTACCACCTGGTACGTACGTTTTTCTTCTCTTCACTTATACTCGTGTTCTTATCACAAAGAATCTTTTCTCCTCATTGAATGGACATAAGGTCGAATGTCCGAAAGATTATACACTTCATCTTTGTACTCCTCTACGTTGATATCTACACTCACCATCAAAAGGTGATGAGCAACGAATGTCAAAATAGTAAAATTCATTGATTTCGTTTATCATACAACTATCGATGTTATAAAAAAAAATTCACTGAATAGGACATTAAATTAAACATCTCAAGATCACTTTAAAACTCATAGAAAACCTTACTCATTTACCATATCTATGTAGATTATACACAACTACCTGCTAGTGCACATGAATATCAATTCGCTTATGTTCGAGTGCCTTCGGATGATGATCAAAGAGAAAAACTTCGAAATGCGTTATTCAATCTTATCGGCAATGATGAATGTTTCATAAAAGTTGAATATGGTGAGAGTACTACTGAATATATATCACTGTATCGTACAAGTACGAAAGAGAATCTTATCGATACTCTTGCTGACCGAAACTTGATTGTACGCGATCAAGGACATAGCTATGATGAGCTTCAACAAGTTCAATCAAATTTAATCATATCCGATACGGTCTTCGAATAAGATCGAAGATGATATAACTAAACTTCTTCTTATCGCTGACTACTCAAGATTATTTCATATGTGTAAATAAAAGTTCTTTTGTACACCTAGTAATTGTTTTTTTTTTCATTACGCTTCTGTGAATATTGTCTACAGGCGTAAAACAATCTCATCTATTTTGTAGAAGCTAATTTATTAGAAAGTCGCCTGCTTTGATATATATTTTTCGATATGCTTAATAACCGGAGAAAAAACAGACATCAATTATTAGCTCTTCAATGTTAAATGAAAAAACAAAACATATTTAGAGGCAATTAAAGTCAAGGTAAAAATACTTTCTACTTGTCCTTTTTTAGGAATACTTAATTTGAAATTTCAGGTGATTGTAACGTACATTAATCGCTTGCGTTGTTTATTATTATCTCGATACCTTGATTGATATTTAAAGTATATTTATCTTATCAAAACTTACCTTGTCGTTCTTTCCCTACTATCCTCATACAATCGTTACATGTGTCATCATCTTTACGTTCATTATTCATATTATCTAGATGCACTGCTGGTACGTAGGCGTGCATGAGTGCCCACGTACTATTCTCATTCGAAATAGTATAAACCTGCAGTGAAGGGAGAGAGAGGGAGGGAGGGAACGAGCGAGCAAGCAAGCAAGAAATCGAGAGTAAAGAGAGGAGAAAAAGACGAAAGAAAGAACATAAATAGAAAGCGGGACTCGAATCGAACATACATATATATATATACATACATACATAGAACATTTGCATCGTCATTTGTTCGTCTCGTTTCTTATCGTCATCATTCGATCGATCGTCACCCATTTCTTTGCATACTGAAAATGTCTCATATGAAACCGTTGCATCCAACCGACGCAACAAATCTTGCGCAAATCTTGGCTGCTGAAGCGCGTCTTGGCCGTATACATCGATTATTCAAAACACATTTTAATGTTACGGAACCATCATTGATTCTCGAACCATATTTATATCTGGGCAATTGCATATCTGCTCACGATACAAATCGTCTATCAAAATTAGGTATTCGGCATATCTTAAATGTTGCTATACGAGATGTGGAAGTATGCCCATACTACTCAAGTGACATACGTACGTTAACTATCGATCTTCGTGATGACGATCGAGAAAACATCTTACGAGCATTTGATCAAGCATTTGCATTTATTGATGACGCGAGACGAGTTAAATCTCGTGTGCTTGTTCATTGTAGTCACGGACAAAGGTAAGAAAACGTGCAAACGTCTAAGAATACTATTCAACTTTAAATTCATAGTCGATCACCTGCTATCGTTATTGGCTACTTAATGCGAACATACAACGTTTCATTAGAACAATGTCTCGTTCATGTTGTTAAAGCTCGTCCATGTGTTCTACCTAACGATGGTTTTCTCAAACAATTGATTCTTTACGATCGTTTTCTCGTTGAACGTCGTCGTCAAAGAGAAGGATTAGCGGCAACAAATTCCACTAACAATACTGCACCAACTTCCGAAATTCCCGTTCAACGAAAAACACCTGTGGCTCATCCATCCACCGCTCCTATTATTCTAGCACCACCACAATATCCAATAGTTGAACCTTCCCCTCCACCGACGATGTCGTCAGTTGATTCATCAAGTTTAGGGAACACATCAAACCTTCAATCATCAGCTAGTGCAGATTCCATTCACGTTATTCCGATTCAAGTCTCATCCAAAACGTCTCCACACGAGCAAGTAGGGAAAAGTCTTCTTATTCAGTATATGAACTCTTATTCGCTATTCGCTTAGATTGAAACAATTCATATCGACCAAAGCCCGGTTAGAGTTATACCTGCTGTGAAAGAAGCACAAAAAACTGTTCATCCACAACGAGAGAAAATTCAAGTAGCTGATATAATTATTGAGCCTAATGAATCTTATGATGTAGACCTAGCTAAGAAACGACAGAGTCTTATCATATCCAATCTTGTTAAACGTTCTTCCTCAGAAGCACCTCGTCCACACCCTAATCCAGTTGGTCGTATGCAGGTCACTTATGTCGATCAGTTTCCATATACAACATTGGACGAACAATGGGATATAATCACACCTTATCCTTCACATCAACGATCGACTCATGACCAGCCGCAACGAAAATATATTACAGAAATTTATGATAAGGCAACGAAACGTTTCATTCCAGCATCCTGTTAATATGAACATTTTTCAGATTTATAACAGTGTGAATATTCCATAATTTAATATAGAGGGTATTAGGCACATATATAGTCAGCATAAACAGAAAAAAAACGAACAATAATCTCATTGGACACATCGCGATGATTATTCGACACAAGGTTTAACGTTGTTTGTCTCACCTTCTCAGTATTATTTAGACTTTTGACAAGAAGAAAAGAATCAATTAGCTGCTTGCTAATCAAGTATTTTAATTTCGAATAAACGGAAAGAAGAGTTTGAGTTAGAAATTGAACTGATTAACCGTCTTAACCTTGCTGCAGTCGAATTGAAACCGTATCAAATGAGACTATTAAAGCTTGAAATTGTTTTTCGGATCGATCAAACGTAAACGAACATCGAATTTCGAAAGATAATTACAATCGAAGTAATTATAATCATCAATTCAGCAATATAATCAAATTGAAAAGAAGTTTTAATATTAGATTGATGATTATGTCTCATTGTCTATGTAAAACTTTCACTGAAGCATGTCATCAATGGTTAGACGAATGAGTCAAGGTTTTTGTCTTTTTACTATCAATAGTTTGTGAACTGTAGTTCGATGTCTCTCGTTATAAACAACAGAAAGTCGACAGGCTTGCTTTTTCTGTATTCGTTATAAAAATCATAATGATTACTTAGAAATTCAAGATGTTTATTCATACAAGTCACATGTTGTGAAAGTTACATATAAAGACGTAAAGAAAAAGGAGTAGTGCTTTACAAGAAACAATGATCTGAAGAAGAAATGAACATGATTAAATAGAGTTTAATATCGTTAAAAATCTGAAGAGCACTTTTAGCCAAGTTTAACATATAGAAATATATACTATTTTATATGACCAAGCAATGAATATTAAACTTTTGAATCATTTGTGGGATTGAGAGTCGATGTTCATAAAAGACATCAATGATCTGACTCTTGTTTAATATACTAGAGTAGATTAAGTAGAAAGAGAAGTGAAGCTCAACGCATTTGCAGATCTGCTACTGAAATCATTTCTTGTCAAGTTTTAGAAAAATTGCGAGAAATATGATCTTCGTGTTGCATCTCTCTGAGAACTGTCGTTTTTCAGATGTTCTTTATGAACGGTACCTTGAAGTAGTTGCGTCATTCTGAAAGATAGAAGATTGTTTAGTTAACAATAGATACATATTGTTTATAAATACCTTATCATGTCACGATGATAACCGTTGCATTTCTGTTTATTGTTATAAATGAAAACAAAAGGGAAATCTGCTGTTTGATATCTCTTGAATGTTAAATATTTATTTACATAAATGTAAATTCGTATATTTGATTTGGTTTTTCTTTCTTCAATATTAGTACGTACAAAAGAAGGCGAAATCAAACGGAAGAGTAGAACTGAAGATCTGTTTTTTGTTCGCAGTAGACAAAACAGTACACGTAAACACAGAGAAAGAAAACACAGTTGATTGTACATGATAGATAGATAGACAAAAGATAGATTAAGTACGAAAATCTAATCGAATTCGATTCCTGAGAAAGAGAAAAAGAGACACCAAAACGAAATTACAATAATATGTATATGTATATATATATAAGGGTATTCTTTTAGTCTAGCACAATACATGCATCATCGTCCACTGGATCTAACGATGTTTTACGTACTTCTTTCGAATTTAAGATAAATACAGTTTGAATTTTGCCCTCAAATGTATGTCGTTTAGGAAAATGGAAAAATTCGACTACACGAGTTAGAATTCCATCAAGATCCGAATCGTAGATATTCAATGATAGTTCATTTCCATGCTCAAGCCAATGGGAATGTAATGTGTCACTATTCGTTGCTTGAGCATCAATATATTCGCGTTTTGAGCAGACAAAACATTTTAAATAAATACGTTCATATGTTGAAGCGCTTGTTTTATCTTTATCAGGAAGTATGATGGAATTATTATTCTCGGGTGTATGTTTAAAGCGTTTGCAATCATTATATGATGTCGTGGTCAGTTTGTGTTTGACCGTTGTTCTTTCGGTGGTCATTGTTGTTATAGTTGTTCGCGTCGTAGTTGTTTTTGTCGTTGTTTGACTAAGCGAACGTCGAGTACTCGAAGACGAAGATTTGGAAGGACTTTGTGAAGATAGTGTTACTTGTGACTATGATGGAAAAGGAACAATCGAAAGAAATTAACAAACAAAATACAAACCGAAGAAATGGTATCATCGGTAGAGTTTTGCATTATCTGATCAATAGTGGATTGTTCCAAACGATCGAGAATGACAGAGCATTGGATAGTTGAGTGAATGTATTTAGCCATAGGCGTTCGCCGTGTATTATTACGAAAAGTAGTGGCAGCCATTGTGACGAATTCTATTAAAAGAAGAAAATGCAATCTATCTATGACATGAATGCTCATCGATTCGATAGAGAGAGGTCGCAACGAAAGGTACGGCATATTACACTTTCAACATGAAGATTCAGGTTCGAATTTGATAGAAAATGAGCGGCTTACTCCGAACTTTTCTAAGGTGACACCTCGTACTTTAAGGTCGTTAAGTGTATAACCCAGAAATACGACAGGGCGCTATGCGTCAACCTATATCCAACTGATCTTATTTTTTGCAAACAGTCTCTGCAATGAATATGATTCTTTTGAAACAAACGCCAAAAGCTATTCAGTGGATTCACAAATGATACATAACAGCGTGTGAAATTAAATCTGAAGCTACCCCCGAGAATTTTTATGTACACAATTCTATCCCATCGATGTAACATAACTACATGTTGAGAGCGTTGTATTCGATCATGAACACTGATTGCTGTTGTCTGCGATTGACTCAGAAATAAACGGTCGCTTTTTAGACTTTCCATATTCACAGAATTGTCAGCGAACAATGTTCGAGCACAGTGCATCTTTCTTTTTCCACATGCCAGTTTTTGTTAATTACCTGCTTTCGACACTTTTCTCTTGCCCTTTGCTTTGTTTATGGTTTTGGTTGTTCGTGATTGTGCCAATGAACGTGGCAGCAGACTTTGAGCTTTTGCCTTGTCATCCGTTGAACAAAATAGTTCAATATCATTTGTGATTGATAAGAACTTCAAAAATGGTAATAGAATATATAAAGATTGCCGGACACGTTCGCCATTTTTGGCCAGTGGAAGTAAACAAAGTGGAGCTGTTAATCGTTTCGCCAATGGCCGTAGTTTTGGCAAAGACACAGAAGATCTTTTCGTTTTTCGTCGTAGGCCAACAAATGAAAGGAATTCTTCTTCATCAATTGTGGCGTCATCGCTTGCGATATGAGAGCTTTCCTCAACGATGTCCTCAGAATTATTATTGTTATTTATGTCACTTTTCGATTGAATTGCTTTGGCGATTTCCGATATGGTGAGAATTGATGACGAGGATGGCGAGTGTGAAGTTCGAGGTAGAATTGCGCTAAATTGTGATTTATTGGAAACGGTTTGAATTGGATAGATAACGGGGTTCGATGTACAACATGCAGTTGCTGTCATATCAGTGGAGATTATTAGTAATCTAAATGAGAAAAACAGCGGTTGATTGTAGATGACGCTATGGAATTCGATGTTGAAGAAATCATGAGTTAAATTGAGAAGAAATCAAAGGTTCCCCCTGATCAAGATATTCAATCAAGCATGACCCGACAATTTAGGGAGTTTTATTTTTCCGACGATTCATTAGTCATTGACTGAAAAAGTTTACGGTCGTCCAATGATCAATAGATGAATAAAACTCAAACAAACATACATACAACATGATAAAATACCCCAATGTAAACCGAATGGTTATTCTTTGTCAATAGTCGAGAGTAGCGCTCGTCGTAACCCTGCCTGATTCGTAGATTTTTTCGCATGAAGAGATAAAAATAAATTTGACTAGCAAGCTGATCAAAAAGGTTTGTTTTCCTTAAATCTTACCGATCTATACACTTATGAAATTTACAGCGACCTCTATTGGTTGCCCGAACAACTAAAGCATGTTGTAGCAGTTATATGGTGCTGTCACCACCAAACCATTTGAATAATTTCACATACAATAGCAAAACCTCTCATTGTTTAAGTCACCCTCTTCGCTTATCCCTAGATCATACACACCCAAGCACTTGTTGACTTCTCCGCACACTACCATGGCAGCTTCCGCTCGTCTTCAAAAAGAGCTTGAAATAAAGTCCAAGCAAGCTTTGGCAACAACCAAAGACCCTCTAGAACGCTTACGTGCCGCATGCCTAGCACGGGGTGCTCAAGGTATCAAAGGTCTCTCCATGTATGTACTTGCATTGTTTCTAATCTTTCTATGTCAATTCTCATTTGTGATCCGTCATTTTAGTTTATTTAAGATTATGGACGATGATAAGAACCGAAAGTTAAGCTTAGAAGAATTTCAAAAGGGTGTTGAAGAGTACGGTTTGAATTTTTCGAAATCTGAGATTTCCGAGCTGTTTCGCTTGATTGACATTGATCATAGTGGATCTATCGACTATGAGGAGTTTTTACGTAAACTACGGGTAAGATCTTTTCCTTATTCATTCTAGCTCTAATGTATCTTTGTGTGCTTAGCCTCCGATCAATAATTTTCGTCTCGATCTGATCGCCAAGGCTTTCGCTAAACTCGATAAGTAAGGAATTCAATATTTTGAAAAACAAAGAAAGATTACTTTCCAATAGGAATCACGATGGGCAAATCACAGTTGAAGACTTACGTGGCGTTTATATCGTGAAAAATCATCCTAAGTATGTGAATGGCGAATGGAGCGAAGATCAAGTTCTGCGACATTTCCTCGATTGTTTCGATTACGGTAAACACAAGGATGGTATCGTACGTATTTTCTCTATCTAATTTCGTTTTTCCATCGTTACTTGCATTCGTATCTTCAGGTAACACGTGACGAGTTTGTTGATTACTATTCGGGTGTTAGTGCATCAATTGATAACGACATGTACTTCGACTTGATGATGCGAAACTCATGGAAAATCTAAGTGAACTGTCTTTAGTTTTTTTTCATTTCGAAACCATCCAAAAAGATTTAGGAATTTCATTCATTCAGCTCTTCTTCTAACGTTAGTTGTGTCTGTTGTTTTCTTCTTTTGTTTTGTTTTATGGATACATGCTTATTCGTAGATGTGCAACGACGATAATGACTGACAATCGAATATATTCATGTACGAAGAGCTTTTTTTTTAACCTTAATCAAGTATATATGTACTTTTAACAAGTGTTTTTTAATTGAATAGAAAAGAAAATAATGAAAGGCGATAATTTCATTTGAAAATCCAATGCTTTTCTTCGTAATATTTATTTTGATTAAAAAAAGTATTTCCGTACAAAACTTCATTCAAGAAGTGTCACATATTTCTGCAACCATGAAGGTTCGCTGGTTGGTTTTAATCCTTGCCATGTCTTTTCTTGATCAATACGAATCAATTCACGAATATTTTTGTATGAGACTGCCGCTGGAAGAAAAACGCCTTGAAAGAAACCGTGAATCTTTGCTGCATAAGTTGATAATGAAAGAACGGACGGCTCGATGCTACTTGCTTGTCCGTCATGTTCTGAAAAGAATCAAAATAGATTGAAAACGAACGCGAGACAAAGCTCGTACCATGACTCGATGAAGATCGCGGTTTATCAGGATCATCAGGCGACTCGGGTATGAAATCAGATACTTCACGAACGACAATCGTCGGAAGTTCCGATACTCGACTGTCTTGGTACTGATCAGGAACGATTGGCTAAAAGGAATCCATATTGTTCTCAACAGAACGAAACTGAAGTTTATTTTCAATATTACCGAACCGATTGATGGTTGAGAGCCTAGACTATGTTCCGAGCCAGCTGTCTTCGAAGGTCGTGTGTAAGCGTTATAGAGTTTATTACTCGGATAAATCAGAGCACAGGCGATCAAGGCTTCGTAAAATTCGAGAAAGCACATCTGAAAAGTGAAATGTTGTTTATTGATCAGTGTTTCTCATGCAAAATCGAATCATAGTTTACTTCGATGTCTAAACGAACGTCTGTGGTATTTTGTAGGCCGGATGGTCGAATATTTGGATCATCTTCCGCTAATATCGAAATGACACGGGATGCGGTTAGATGTGTTCGATCAATCAACTGAAAATGTTTTAGCATTAGTAGAAAATCACGTTTTTGCATAGTCATATCAAATGGCTTGTTCTGGAAGAAAAATCGTTCAATTATATGTAGAGAAGACAATTTATCTGACAAACCTTGTTTTTTGTACAGAACAATAAATAAATCTGGTAACATGGGTCTTTATATTGAGATGCTTGAAGGTATTTTTGTGCTTCAGTAAAGAGATTCCCTTCAATACACAACATCAAAGGCTATATTCAAGACGTCTACTCAAGACAAACCTCGAACGATGCCTGCATGTTCTAAAATGTTCTTTTCAATAACTGCTTCCATTGCTGTAGCAACCTGTAGACTGGTCGGCAGTTTGTCTATTGGCGTTTCGTTTTCTCTAAGAAAACCAATCATATGTATACTGCGTTACATAACTTATTTCGTATACTTACATCTTTTTTAATCGGTGCAAATGAAAACAAATAATTGCAATAGCATTGAGAAATTCTCGTACTAATATTCCTTCGTCTGGTCCGTGAATATTTTCTGTTGGTAAACACTCCGCTAGAAAAGAAAATGATTCAATGACGATCAAGACCCTATCAAGAGATACCTACCAATCATTCGGTCATATTCAATCAATGTAACACCATAGCTATGTAAATTACAATCGAGAATGAAACGCCAGAATTGCATACGTGTCATAAGAAATGTATTATCAACATTTGTTTGGATATCGACGCCCAGACGTGCGTAGAGTCGGTAGAGTTGATTGAGTTTGGGAAGATGACGAAAGAGAACATGAAATACCTAAAGAGGACAATTGGGACAAAAATGTGTATGGTCACCAGTTCAATCATTACGAACTTGTTCGGTAATTATCTTTTTCTCGTCTTCCATAGCTGTGACGTGATCGAAAACTGGATCGAATTGTAATTTAAAGCTAGGACCAATGGTGTTTCGACTTTCACTTCGTTTTATGTTCATAGGATCGAGAGTATTTGATGCTATTTAACAGACGAATTAGTTATGTTCGAGTAAAAGGGGAAATCACACTTTTTTACCAGATGGTATTGGAGTTTTCGATGCTATTTCAGGTAACTCAATAAGCAACATTGACGTCATATCATCTGTCAAAGATGTCATAATACGATCATATGAGAAATCTGCCTCGATCGTTGTTCCATTTCTTAAAATAACTTTTCCCTAAATAGAATGTGGTTCATTTAATCTCTATCATATCAACCATTTCCAAATGTACTTTTCCATGCTTTTGATCCTCTTTCCATTCTCCTATGTATTTCGTTCCACTTGAATAATAGAACGTGCCAAAACCATTTCTTCGACCATTAACAAAATTTCCTTCATAATAGTTTCGTAGTGCATAATGCGATTCTTCATCGCGAATGAGATACCAAATATGAATACCATGTCCTTGCTAAATATACATCCTTCGCTCCAATACATCGAAAACAATGATAAACACACAAACCTGAATGCCATTCTCCCACTGTCCGATGTATTCTCCACTTCCATTATTCCAAGAGAACACACCATAGCCATGCCGTTTTCCATTCACCCACATACCTTCGTAAAAGTTTCCTGAAGCATACTGTCGACGACCTTTTCCGGACGGTATGTTCATGATGAAATCTCCTGTATAATAACTTGCTCCTGAACGATCGAATTGTAATGTGCCCTGACATCAATTCAGACAAAATATGTATGCAGGCATAGGAGACATATCAGAATACCTTTCCATGCATATTGCCCATATACCATCTACCTTCGTAAGTGAGTGGACTCTGCCCGTGTCGAAATATTCCTGTACCATGACGACGACCACGCAGGACATCACCATGATATTCACTATAGATAGAACATTCTCGAATAGGATACGTAGTTGATTTGTTGCTTATTACCTTCCATCTGGCCATTGATATGTACCAAGACCCTCGATTTGATTGTTCACAATCGAACCGGTATAGACAACTCCATCTGCCCATTCGTATCGACCTTGGCCGTGCATCATATTTCCACTCCAATCGCCCTAGTAATAAATCGATACGCACCAGACTTGATCATCCACAATATCTTACTGTATAAGTATGACCACCAACATACGTTGCCGTTCCATGTCCTTCGTACAGACCTTTTTCTTTTCCACCTTCATAACTAGTATAAATAGAAAAGATGATGATGAAGAAGACTTATGCCTGTACTGGCTATATTCATACTTTAGTACAATTAAATTTGGTAAAATCGGTTCCTCATATTTAATATCTGCTTCTGGAACAGGAGCACTTGCAGCATTGTCACCTGCTTCGCCTCCTTCTCGATTTCCTTCTGTTTGCTGTCCAGGCTCTATTGTTGACGTACCTGGCTCTTTACTACTCAATTCATCCGTTGGTGTTCCTATTTGTGATGCGCCACGCGCTAGATTGCCTGCTGGTGTTTTCGATGACGATGTATGTCCAGTTGTGGCTGACCCAGCTTCGCCTACATCTTCAGTATTTTTCTTCGAACCTTTCGTTGAGTCTTTTTTCTTCGGTTCGTCATCGGATTTTGGCGCTTTTTTACCACCTGCTTTTGCTGGCATTGCCTAAGTTTGATCAGATACAATAAAACTATCCTCGCCATTCTTTTCTCACCTTTCCATGGTGATCGTATGTTTGAAAAAAAGCACTTACTTCTAGCGACTAATTTTCGATTGGTGGATCGTTCTACAAATCTTCGATGCCCTTCTTTATATATATTTCTTTCTTTCATCTTCCTGTTCTGTTGTGGTATCGAAGCTTCTAGACGATTCGACAACATTCTTAAATAGGTTATGAAAGAACGACAAACAGAATAGATGACGAAAGGGAAAAAACAAGTAGACACGCACTTTAATTGTTATGTTAGTTCAAGCAGGAGAAATACCGTTACTTTTCTTTTTCTTACAGATTTTTGTGTTGTTACTATTCGTAAATATTCGATGGGAAAAGATTACTATAAAATATTAGGTAACATCGGCTTTATTTTCTGTTCTTTCTCGACTAGTATTTTACTTCTGTTGATTTCTAGGTTTAACCAAAGGCGCCTCTGATGATGACATAAAGAAAGCTTATCGAAAACTGTAAATTACAAATAGAAAAGGTTCTGTAACGTTGTATGTGTATTTTTTCAGTGCTCTCAAGTATCATCCGGATAAAAATAAGGAGGCGGGTGCGGAAGAAAAGTTTAAATCCATTGCTGAAGCATATGAAATACTATCAGATCCTAAGAAGAAGGAAATATTCGACAAATATGGAGAAGAAGGTAAAAAATTTTGACGAATAGTTCAACTGGTACACACCGACATTTTGATTAGGTTTGAAAGGTGGTATGGGTGGTGGTGGCGGCGGCCCCGGTGGTGCTGGCACACATCAATTCTACTCTAATGTCGATCCGCATCAAACCTTTCGAATGTTTTTTGTAAGACAAGATAGTTTTTCGTACGAGTCTTATCTATTCGTGCGGTTCGACTCTAGGGTGGAGCTGATCCATTTGCAATGTTCTTCGGTGGAGATGATGATGAAGGACCCGGTGGCGGTTTCGGAGGTTTTTCGAATATGGGTGGCTTTAACTTCGGTGGCGGCCACCCTGCTCAACAAAGTCAAATGCCAAGAAAGAAGACCCAAGATCCTCCTATCGAGCATGAACTGTTTGTGACTCTAGAAGAAGTTTCAAATGGTACAACAAAGAAAATGAAAATATCTCGGAAAGTCCTCAATCCTGACGGTCGTACAACACGAGTGGAAGACAAAGTTTTAACAATCGATATAAAACCCGGATGGAAACAGGGTACCAAAATAACATTTCCACGTGAAGGTGATCAATCTCCATCTACAATACCTGCCGATATCATTTTCATAATCAAAGATAAACCACATCAAACATTTCGACGAGAAGGTGCAGATCTTATTTATACCGCGAAGATTACTTTGAAAGAGGTAAGTTGATCAGTTCATCTTTTGTCGAAACTAAACTCCTGGCCTCTCAGGCATTATGTGGCACAACTATCAATGTTCCTACACTTGATCCAAGCCGTGTGCGGAAGCTACAACTGAATGATGTCATCAAACCTACAACTGAGAAACGTCTTTCCGGTGATGGTCTTCCGAACACGAAGCAGCCAAGTACACGAGGCGATATCATTGTTAAATTCGATATTAAATTTCCTGACACGCTCAGTAAAGAACAGAAGGAAACAATTGGATCAACGTTACGAAATTAAAGCAGTGAATGAATAGCTAGTACTCTGTCTCTCGTTCTTCTATGTATAGTTTCTATACTACGTTTCATAAGACAAAGAATCGGACATGTCTATAAAGTAAAACATGTTCATTTGTTGATTATAGCCAATATCTTTTTTTTTACATTGAATTTCTTTCTTCGTCGCGCATGTGTGCTTTTTTTGTATCTATTTTCTTTACTGAAAAATGACAACATATTCTATTGGATGAGGGATTCATTTGCCTTTTGTGAGTACGATTATATTTGATAAAACAGAAAGTAATTTATTTATGTAAATCAGCGCTCGAATGTGTCCAAAACTGAGTCAGATTCCATTGACAAATATGCATAACAACGAAGCAAGACCAGTGGTTTGTATTGTTATAAACTTAGAAATCATTGTTATTTTCTAAATAAAATCAAACGAAAAACACTTCGATGAAGTCAAAACGACTGAAATATCTTTACCTGACGTGTCTGTATCTTTGTTATTTCGACAGAACGGGCAAACACCTTGTTCCAACAGAGCTAATTCGAATTCATCGTTGTGAAAAAACTATGTATAACAAATGCTCGTGCCTCCACAATATTACAAAAACCTTGGACTCTTACTTTATTACAATGTCGACATCGACCAACAGGTTGTTCGGGCACAATAATGCGATACCATTTCCATCTCAACGGGAACGGCCATTTACAGACGAAGACCAGAGAAGGATCCATCGCTTTAAGCAGCGCTCGATCAACCACCACAGGTCGGTAATCATCTGGATTTGCACTGTATTTACTCATACGTTTCAAAAATGGATCTTTGTCTTCAGCACGCGTGGTGTTTCCTTGTTCAGTAATAACAAGACGATTAGCTGTGGATTGATTCATTTTATTAGATGGATTGACGTTTTCCAATTGACTATTCGGCACTTGTTCAAGCAGATTTAGTGCATCTTCATCATTAATATCCGACGGCAGAATAAACTCCACCAATGGCAAAACATCGAATGATAAAAATGAAAGAACCTGAAAAGAGAAGACTGTACTGAGTGGTTTAATAAGAAAAACTTGAGACGTACAAAAGGGCTTCCGCAACTTGAACAAGAATTTCCTCGTGCATTCAACAATTCATTATGATGCGAACATCGATAACATAATGGTAATAGATCATGATCGTCGGTGAATGTTCTCGCTTCCATTTCCAACGCTAATTGTTCGATTTCAACTCGCTTACTTCCTAGATTATGCGTGAATGTCAAATCACGCATCAAATAGATCATCTGTCGACTAAACTTGTTCGCATTCAAATTTTTTGCTATTTTACATGCAGCATAACATGTTCGAAATTTCGATAATGCCGGTGGAATATCGCCAGCTAAGTTCGCTAATTTGTGATAAATAAATCGCGCAATGTTAAACAAGATAATCGGTGGAGTATCAACAAATGGTTCCGTTGTATATTCATATATATATTGATATGCATAGTAAAGTTCGGATAATAGCGAACAACGGTTATAACGTTTAAATAAATCAGTGCGTAAGTCGTCATTTAAAGTTTCACTTAATGCAATTAAATACTCTTTTGAGAGCAACCAATTGTAATATCCTGCATCATTGAAACGCGTCTCATTGACAGCATTGTTTGTCAATGCTTGAAGAACATTTCGTGCTTCATTGACACGACCAGCTTTATGAAAAGCACGTTGCGCATCAACAAATCGGTCTTGTTCGGCTAAGTATTGACCATAGTTGTAGTATGCATCCGATGCATACGCTGGATAACGACGAACCAAGGCAAAGACTTCATGCCATTGCGAAAGAATGATACGCATGTCCACTAAAGATTTGATATCACCCATCTTTTCATAAACATCTGCAGCATAGGTGTATTGTTTCATTTCTACAAAATAACGTGCACATCGGCGAAGAAGATCTGTTTCATTCTTGTCTAATTTGCCTGTAATAGTTGCTAGTCTAAATGCGGAAATTATCGCTTGTATATAAATGGTTGATTTGAAATCAACATACAAATCTGCCCATTTATTTTTTCCTGCTAGATCAATTGCTTTTTGAAAATCATTGGCTGCAACAAACAATTCCGCTGCTCGCCGTTGCTCGTTCATGGATATGGCCCATTCTGCTTGTTTATTCAATAGTTTTTGCTGATCAACGTCGCCTGCCACCATGTACTCCTAGGTTATGAATGAAACAACGTACAGAAAAGAAAAAGATTAGGATTAGATCTACCTTTGCCTGATCAAACATGCGCAAATCAGAGAACATTGTCATCGCTCGTTCAGGTGCTCCTGCATGTTGATAGTTTCTTGCTGCATCTGCAAATCGACCACTATACGCATAGTAATCACCTAGATTGACGTTCATTTTTGTTTCACCACGCTTGGCTGCTTCCTAAACGAGTCATAGCAAATAGATCATACATTTGATCAAATGAAAATTGTGAACGAAATTACCTCAAAATTTGCTAATAAGTTCAAGTATTTCACATCTCTTATTCGACTGAAACATTTCTTCGCCAAACGCAAGTCTCCTTGTTCAAGACAAGCATGTCCTAATGCTTCCCAAGTTGTGCTTGTTTCGCCTAACGACGCTAGTTCATATGCATTTCTAACGAAAAACAAACGTGCACACTTTCATGCAATTACAAATGACGTTACTCACTGAAGTTGTCGTTTTCCCATATAACGATAGACAGCATCGGTTACAGGAACAGTAACACCACTCATCGCACATAAATGCAATAAATATATTGTACAACCATTGAAACCAACGATCAAACCCTATTACAGACATGATAAACGAATGATCTCGAATAGAATTTACTTGACTAGCTTATATTAGTAATCATGCATAGCATTAGTTTATGATTATTATCTAATGATACGTACTGATTGGTGGTTATGTCGATACAAATGTCGAATGTGATTAGTTATAGAACGCTAGATAGGCACACACAAAAAATAGAGACGTATTAAGGAGTTTCCCAAACACAAGTGTTCAAAACAAAACAAAATAACTCTCTTTGCCATTTACCGAAACTTCATATTCATTTATAGGGATCTAGATTGATTGTTTTCGCTCTTGATTATTTTCTCTCATGTGAACAAATACAAACTTACTTGTAAATTTTGTCTATAAACTGGAAAATCGGAAACTTTTATGTTGATAAAGCCATCGCCAGAGAAAGCAAGCATGTCAGGAAATGATGTATTCCATGCTACAGTCTGAGCATTTGGCTCCTTCAAAACGAAAATGAATAGTTTTTAGAAAAAACAACAACAAACCTAACTTTGGAATTTTTCTCCTACCTGATAGAGCAACTCTTTCGTTTGAACACTATAAACATAAAGTGTTAATGTGTCATCAATAACTGCAACTTTCGTTCGATTGATATTCATGTCAACACAATAGATAACACCATTCTGTTTAGCTAGCAATTGAGGAAAAGGATTGTTAACGAAAACTTGATAAACTCCACCATTTTTCAAGCCAATCAGTACAGATTCGCAATCGCGTGGTCCACCAATTAATTTTAAATAACGAATTGGACTATCCATTTGCCTAGAATTTCATAAGTGTGAGAAAAAAAACAATCTCAATCAAATGTGGTTGTGGCAACAAACCAAATACGTATTTCTTCACCCGAAAAATTATAACAATGTAAACGTTTATCTTGGCAAGTGATGATATATGAAGCTGTAACAATCATTGAGCTGCATTCGAGATTTTTATTAATTTTAAATGTCGATTTATATTTCATATCATGTGGAACATCACCAGGTGCTTCGTAAATAAGAATCTTGTCAAGTGTTTGAATCTAAAGTACGTGAGATGGAGGTATGTTCGAAGAGATAAATGGATATGTTGATTTCTTACGGCAAGTGTCGTCTTGTATGTTGCAATCTTTTTAACTAATTCACGACATTTAACTTTAACTAGAATAATGAAGAAAAATCGAAGATCGCTATTATCAATTCAATCATTTCATTTCATTTTACCTTTCTGATCGGTTGCTAAATGATGAACAATAACATCGGTCATGTTATCTCGATATGCATATCGATCTCTATGTATTCCATGTACAACACCAAATTTGACATCATACATTCCAATAAATCCATTCGTAGTACCGATGGCCTAGAAAAAGACCCATGTTGACTTCAACTGATCTATATCTGAGAAAAATCTATACCACAGCAGAACCATCCGGTTTTGCGCAACAACACCAAATCCACGCGTCTTGCGTACAGACAGTACCTAATTTGAATCCTTCACGGCTGTATATGATACATTCCCTATTAGAGCCACCGACAAGGATAAATTCAGCACGAGATTCGAGTTTATATGCGTCTTTAACAAGCCAATTGACTGCACATGGATCAAAACCAAGCTTACGTTCTTTTCCAGACTAAACGATAGAATAGTAATGACGTTCTTGTTTTTCTTTTAATCAAACACGTGAAGTACAGACTTGTTTAGCATCTGTTGCTTGGTACAGTGTTAGTTTCTGACCCCAGTCTACCGCAGCCAGTAGAAGTTCTTCATCTCTATAACGCGAAGAAATGAATTGTAATCGATCGAACGAATATTTATCATTTACCTAATTGGAGACCAAGATATATTCCAGATAGGAGAATTGATCGCCTCAGCTCGATCAAATTTATATTTATCATTACCTTCCTAGAATAAATATTTTGAGAACATTCAAAAATATGAAAGAATCGTTCTATACTTTGTCGCGAATATGCACTTGTCCATTGTAGAGTCCAAATGCTAGTAGTTGACCATCTGGACTCCATGCGCAACAAGTTATTCGACCAGTTAGTTTTGATTTCGTCACATTTTTCTGATCTGGTGACCAAAGACCGAAATCGGTATTCGAACAACTAGCTAGTAAATGTGAACTAGGATGATACGCAACATGTTGAACAGAACCATCGTGTCTAGCAAAACGAAATCCGCGTTCTTTCATTCCGATCGAGCAAAAGTCACATACGCGTATTTCAACATTCCTTGCAGCTCGCTCGTCCATATCACAACTAATTTGTCTGCACCACCAGATGCAAAACGACTACCATCAGATGCGTACGATATTGTATTGACTACATCACCGTGTCCTAAGAGATCGTCGCATTGAATAAAGGCAAATGGTACGAAGAAATCTTTACTTACCACTAAGAGCACTTTGCAAGACTCCATCAGCAGTGTTATACACTAGTATTCTTAAACCTACGGCAGCTAACAGTTGAGATCCTTCAGGATTAAAACATAGAGAATTAACGCTACAAAAAATAAGCATTTAATGAAGAAAATTTCTAAAGAAAGAAAACCGATTATTTACGTATGTTCTTCGCCATCTTCTTCCACAGGCTTGTCGCCCCATAAAGCAACTGATTTCATTGATACGGAGAATAACTTTGAATGTATACAGGTTCAGTAACAACTCAGCGAAAGAGAGAATATCACTGTATAACAGCCATGAACGAGTCATTCGTCAAAGAAGTACCTTTAAGAAAAATAATCATACGAAACAATAGGTTACACGCCTAGAAAGATGTCGCTCACATCAGTGATGTTCAGTTCTTTCGTTTCATTATTTTCTAGGTCTTCATTTTATTTCTGAAAGTAAAGAAACTCAAGAATAGAAGACTTTTTATAGTCATGATCACAACACACATCGATGACACCATCATCAATGTTTGTATTTAGCAAAAATTCTTTGCAATTGATTCTATGCCGTGTTTCAATAGCATTGATTATGATCGTATACATATACATTTACTCCCAAAAGCAGTCTGATTACGATACTGACCGGTATTCTACGAAACCAGGAAGCATATGTTGTTTAGTATTAACATCACCGAAATACTTTTTCACTCGCGCACGAGCGATCAATGCAACATGGGGCCCACGATGTGATCGGTTCTTTTTTGTAAGTGAATTTTCACACAAAAACATGACTCAGAATCAAAGACGATTTGCAAAACGATTACCCATCGCACCGATTGAAAACATTCAACCTGGCTATGGACACTTGACAGAGAAGACTGTTTTAGCATTCTTGTTTGCTTATCGAAACTATTTTAATGAATTCGACTGGTTTGTCAAAGCAGACGATGACACCTATTTATTTGTTGAATATTTGAAAGAATTTCTAAAACTACACGATCCACTGGAACCTATCACATTTGGATATAACTTCAAAGTACGTCTCATTGAATAGGGAAGACTTCAATCACATCACTATGTACTAATTAAGGTTCTTGTCGATAATGGATATCATTCTGGTGGTGCATCTTATGTGTTAAGTCGTGAAGCACTACAACGTCTTTATCGAGCACATCAAAATCCTAACAACAAAACTTGTCGAAGAGATGGTGGAATGGAAGATATCGAAATCGCTAAATGTCTACGAAAGCTGGGTGTCTATCTCGGTCGGTCAACAGATGAAGACGATCGCGATCTGTTTCATCCATTAGCATTACCGGAGCATTTTCTCGGTATATTTCCGAAATGGTTGGAGACATATGCGGAAAATCCATTGAAAAAAGTGAGTCACTTATGGGAGATGTTTCGCCAGTATTTTCAAAAATCTATTTATAGCATTACAATTGCTGTAGTGATCGAAGCGTTTCATTTCATTATATGAAACCTGAAGAAATCTATTTGATGGACTTTTTATTCTGTGGTCTTAATCCGTAACCGAGAAGGTCCGCAAAACGATATGTTCTGCGTATCATTTCAAGTTCAAATATTCTGAATTTATTGATATGAAAACATTGAGATTTAATCAATTGAAGAAAGCACATATAAAATTTGCTTAAGTAATAAAGCTCTGAAGATTACATCGATGGGTTCATTTTCATTGAATAGTATTTACTTTCCATATTGATCATCGTTTCATGTATTTTACGCATCCATTCTCTTAACAATCGAATGATTATCACCGCATGAACATCATGAGTCATCGATGGTGGACTGGTATACTTTTTTCGAGAGAACTGAACCTCATTTACTTGATCGATCGATGGCCATGCATGTGAATATACACTCAATACATTTCGATAACCACAGATCATTTCATAACGAAGATTATCAGCGATCTGTCCAAACCATAAGTCACTCGTAAACGATGATATATCCCTCATGCTCAGCATTCTATCAATAGATCTGTAAAAGTAGCTTAGAGCATTGTGTGCTTCCAGAAGCAGATCATGTAAAAAGTTCTACAGATACAAATCAGAGAGATTCAGAAAGAGAAATTTAAGAATTTGATCCATATTACCTTGTCGACATAGTTGACTTGAAAGAATTTGACATGATATCGCGGTAGTGGTAGATACACTTGAATGACGCCCATTTCATAGTTGATGTACCGGTTGAGTGTTTCGATTTCTTGATATTTCGAGAGAATGGTGCGTTCTATTTCATTCGCAGTTCTGTTGATACTACGAGCGACGGTTGCGATGGTTAACAACGTATCTTTGACACAAAGAACATCACGTGTAGCCGGACACATGTTGTCAAATTTGGATTGCAGCTCGGCTGAGATAAATACGACTGAAAGGACGAGAATATTCAATAATAAAAGCATCGCAGTTGAATAAAAATCAGAAGAAAACGGCTTGACAACGATCAACGTTGTTGAAAGTATAAGATTCTGAAAAAGACTTTAAGACTACGATTTCTTTCCTGAAAACTAGATATGAACATATAGTTTTATACTCTCCGAGTATTTCCAAGACTAGTTTTAGTTGGAATAAACACCTTGCATCTCCCATTGAAGGTTTTTATGAAGTGTTTTCCCATAAGCTTTGATTTATTATCAAAATTCATATATTCAACCAGGTCATAATAGACGAAGGGGAAGAAAGAACCGAGAAGACGTCATATTATTTGGAAGTACTGTGCATGATAACTCTCCAATGTACACGGATACCGACGTTGTGCACACTAATCAATCAATTCTTTCTTTTCCATTGTCTACTATAAAGACAGAAAACAAATTCTTCGTCATTCGCTGGACAGAAAACCCATTTTCACTCTTTTTTACATATCATACGAACAACAAGATCTATCGGTTAGTAGTCATCAGATTAATTCTCAGCAGTTTTCAAGGGATTTCATTGTAAATGTTCTTGATGATGTCATTTATAATTGATAGATCAATAAAAGCAGACAGCACGCCTTGTTATTAATAGTAGCTTATCCTATGAAGGAAAATCATCGGAAGAGAAAAAAATTTCTTTATGAATTAATAAAAATATTTATTGACGTTCTTATAAGAAAGAAGCAAAAGTAATCAACAAGTATAACAAGGAAAATGGCCGGCATTTATCCTGCGACACTCAGCGTAAGAGCTTGCTATCGAGATCTCTAACGAAACTGTTCACGTTTTGCATCCATTCATTCAATAATTCAACAATAATCATTGAATACGAATTGTGCATCAACGATGGCGCATGACGTTTTCGTCTGTTTGTCACTTGAATTCCATCGATTTCATCAACAGATGAGATCGGTTCTGAATAAGTATAGAAGATATTCTGGTAATTGCATAGAATGTTCTTTTCAATTTCCAATAGAATCGCTTTGAATGATTTGTCTACAGACGGCGCGAAGATATTTCCTAATTTGAGAACACTACGTATTGAATTATAGAGATAACTGTAAGCATAATGTTGTTCTTTTATTAAATTCAGAAGACCAGTCTAAAAGAGAAGAGAACATCCATAGAATTGGAACCGAAAGATAATGGAATTGACATACTCGGTTGATATTATTATGAACGTGCATATATTCAAAGTGGTATTTTGATTGTGGTAGGAAAGTTCGTATCGAGTCCATTTTATGTTTTGTATATTCATTGATATTTGACTGCGTAGGTTCGCGTTTAATCTATAATAAAAATAGATAAAGATTCGATGAACATGAATCTGATTCGAGACTTACTTGTTGTTTGATTCGATATGCAATTGTATCGACTTCCTTTGCACCATTCGCAACTTTTTCTAGTGTATCCTTGAGACAAAGTACAGTACGAATCTCCGGACATATGCCATCAGATTTCGGTTTGAGACCATTACCCTTCACCGGCGAGAATATGATTAATACGGAAATCAGGATTAAAATAGAAGGATTCGAAATAAAACGCATTTTTGTCAATGTATGAATGAGTGAGACCAGCTCGTAAGATGTATAACGATCAACGTTAAACGTAGAAAAACTGGGTTGTGTGAAGATTATGAGCAGAAACTACCACTTAAATAGTAGACCTGTCAGACTACCGACGCATGATGTTTTCCTTCAAAATACTAATTCATGAGAACTGCAAACATAAGCAATAAGCGTCACCATCCTTAAAAATTTCTTTAGACGTATTGGAATATCACATTTCATGAGTTAGAAGTAATGCGTCAGTGAAAACAAATATTGATGACTTATCGCTACTGATATAGCTCTTGTATTCAATATGTCAGATTTCAACTTCAACGCCTACACAGCGACTGGGACGCAGTGAAACGAGATATTGGATTTTGAGCAATACGGATGATGAATGATGGAAAGACATTCTGTTGATCCTTCTATTTTTTGAGGTTTTCTATGGTGGTTTCAGATGCGACATGCATAGCATTTGTTGACAAGAAAAATGGTATTGTTGATAGATGGTATATTTACCGAAAGAGAAGAACGAAAAAGATGTTCAGAGAAGATGTATACTGGTTAAGTGCATTGAAGTACAGATTTCCTTTCCTTGGTATGAATACCCAACCATCAGAATTTTTTCTAAGCACATACGTTTGTCATCGAGTGAGATACCGGGTGTACCAAAAGTTTTGCGACACTTTTTATTTTGGTGATATCTGGACTTGAGAAAATGGTAATGCATTGATTCCTTTTTTGAATGATAGAGCAAGAAACACTGTATAAGAAATGTATGGAAGAATCCTTAGTCTTTCGTTGGAAAAAATTTTGTGCGGTCAGCATTAAGTGTCTATCTGATACGACGGTGTCCCATCGTAATCCGATGAATATGAGTGTCTTAAATTCACTTTTGTTGATCTTTTACGAGCTTGGACAGACAGTTGCTATAGAGGATCTGACGATACATCTTGCAGAAAAAGATGAAGTTACTATTATACAAAGAAGCAAAAACGTCATAAATGAGACTTCATAGAACTTATTTATCAGTTGTACATCTTGAATTTAAAAGAAACGCATACGTATAAATTCGCATGAGTTTGTTTTGACTTGTTTTGTAGCGCTTTTGACGGCACATTTGGTGTACACAAGAATCATATTCTATCATTTCTGAAAACTAAAATATCTTGAAAATAAAACTGAAGTATACCGTAAAAATGGGACCGAGAAATGTGCTTTTTCAGTTTTGAGAAGACGAAGTACGCCAGATGCTAGTATTTATGATTGTTCGATATAGCTCTGAAGAAGCTCTTCAACGCGCAAATTTTAAAAGAAGAATCAGACGGATATCTGTTTCAAATGCCAAAATATATAAGAAACAATAAAAAATATGCAGTTAATTTTATTGCGCGGGGACATCGTCGTTTCAGACAGATACTTAATGCTGACCGCACAAAAATTTTTCCAAAGAAAGACTAAGGATTCTTACATACATTTCTTATACAGTGTTTCTTGCTCTATCATTCAAAAAAGGAATCAAAGAACTACCATTTTCTCAAGTCCAGATATCACCAAAATAAAAAGTGTTGCAAAACTTTTGGTACACCCGGTATACAAAAGAAAGTCTTTTCTGACTATATGATATGATGGATTGTTCAGTCCAATTTATTGTAAAGCCATAGATGAACAGCTTTAATTGAATCACAAGCATCGCATCCACAAAAAACGCCCCAATCGTTTCTAAGTGTATCATCTCTATTCATGTTTTTCATCCATTCAGCGATACCATCTGAAAACCTCTCACCCCTATAGATTGGCCGAAATGTAACACGTGCCAAATATTTATTATGTTCTAATACTGTCTTGGCATCTTCCACATCCTTAACTTCAATATCAAGTGTTTTGATATGACGGGGTAAATTCAAAGCAATACTATTGCGAGTTATGAACATTAACTTTTCAGAATAATCACGTACAAAGACTTGCATACCAATGTCGTCATTACAAATAATTCGTATTGAACGTAAATTCAATGTTTGCTCGAATAGTGCTTTCACCTCGGTGTCTAAACTGACGATGAAATTGCAATCGGATTTGAAGTTTAAGCATATTGTTTGAAGAGTTAATAAATTAACCATTGTTGAAAGATGTTTTATTGCATTGATCGGCCATTCTTGCTCAATCAATAACTCAAGTTCCGTTACTTTTTGAAATATATACGGTCGTGTTAAACTAGTCTAAATAAACGAAATTCCATGCTTGTGTAAAAATCTTATACCATTAACAATTCACTCAAAAGCTTCAGAATGTTATTAATACTTACGTTTTCTTGGATGCTTGTGTTTGTTGTTGGATTTAAATCTAGAGTTAATTTTTTCGTATTGATGATGATCGGCTGATTGTAATCAGCAATATTCGATATAGATTTGACGATTGTCTTTCGTCGATGAGAATAATCGAATTCTTCTCGAGATCTCGGTGTTGAATAAAGATGAAATTTGTGATAATCATTCTCGTATTCTTCATCGCAATTAACAACAAGATGTTTCACTTTTTTCCAAAACAATGAGCGAAATGGAGCAATTAATGATTCAACTGTAGGAACGTTTTCACCAATTCCACGTACAGAGCAGACAAGATCGAGTTTGATTTGATCCAATAGAGGCAATTTCGTTTGAATAAAATCTTCCCATCTACGACCGTCGAATAATGAGTAATTAGCTCCATCTTTTAGACAAGCCAATTCAAGATAAGTTAATTTAGGAAAAAGCCCGAGAAATACCTCGACATCTTCAATAGTTAGATCAGTCGTTACACATAAGGAAAGGTAAGATAAATGATTGCACGGTTTCATATCAGGTAATAGAGTTATCGTTTTATCAATGTCATACTTTAGAATACATCGTACAGTAAGTTTTCGTAGATTCGACGAACATTTAACAATAAAGTGAGCTATGTCCCAATCGCATCCACGAAAGATAATCATATTCTGCAGTTTACATCGCTTTGGCCATCGTGTGCCATTAATAACCCAATCTCCATTTCCAAGTTTCAATGTGCGAAGGGTTTCACGTACTAAAATTGATGTTAGAAATTGCTTCGCTTGATTCGATTCCGGATCCATAAATGATATCGACACAGTTCTAAGAGAAGATTTCTGAATCAGTTTTGCAAATTGATCTAACTCTTCATCATTTAAATAAGTGAGCGTTAATGAATGCAATCGAATGAATCTGTCAGTAGAAAAATGAGAAAGAAATAATTGAATTTGACCGGATGTCTCCTCTACATCAGCAAGTGTAAGTGAAATAACATTTTGTGGATCGATGAGACGTGCCATCATTCGCATGTGAGATTTCGATATATAACGGAAATCTAATTGCAGACGATTATAAACATTGGTAATTGAATAAAATCTTTTGGATACGATTCGCATTGAAAAGACAATTGTTTCCGAATCGAGTTCATCATAGATTTGATGAAGTATTTCAGTCGGTAGTGTTTCCAAAGAAGGTTTTCTTGTTGAAGACATTAATCGTAATATCTGGAATAAGAACGCATAGGGACTGTTTGAAACAATTCTGAAGTCTACTTAGTGCCTATCGACTTAGAAAGTAAATCGATTATCACGAATGTAACTTCTCTATAGGTAAAGTATACTAACAGGGTAAGGCAGCGTTTCAATGTAAAAATGATGTTAGCTGTCGTGTATTTATAGTCGATTTTATTGCATATTTATCATCTACAAGACTCATGGACTTTTTTATCTTTGTGAAGAATACGGTACGATCAATAAGTGTGGGTTTTTTCTTTCTATTCTTTATCGAAAGTATGCACTTGTGAAGTTTTCAGGTCACTTTCTCTTTCACATGTTATTTCTGGCATACAAGGCAAGTATTGTGAAACATACATTCGGAGTATTCCATCATTTTTGTCATTGCCAATTTGAAATTTTCAGAAATTACCTTTAAGTATGAAACGATTGTTGGCAGAAACATACAAATCATCGAACTAACAATTAATTTCATTAAATTCGTTTCAGTTAAGTTTATATATACAAAAGTATATATGAGATTAATGGATTTTTTATTACAAAACAAGAAAAAGGATTGAGATCGACAGTATTTTTGAAAGTCATGTGAACAGCATATGTCACAAAGCAAAAAATAATTTTGTATTCTTCTATTCTAAGTGAAACGATTTTCGATTCGCAATAACCAACAACTAGCATTCACTATGTATCGAGCTGTTCCTGCTGCATCCCAATTACAATACAATTTTGTGAATCCACAATCGAGACATATTCGCCCTTCACTCGATGTTGAACTTGCTGGTGGATCATAAACAGCAATGCATGTGTTTCCATCGCTAGCTGTTGCAATCGGAACAAATGTCTTACGACTCTCTTCGGTCGAATACACTGGATGGCAGATGGTGACACCTTCGTATAAGTTTTTCACTCCAGTGAAGATCTCATGTTGACCAAAGTGTCCTTTTTGTTGATGGCCATTCTCTGCATAAGTCAATGTTGTTGCACCATGGTAATCTCCCTCGACAGTCACACCAAATTTTTTACCAAGGAACTCATTTGCATGAGAAACATATGGCGTATTATCCGCAAAGAGAAATATTGCACCACCATTCGAATGAAAAGTTGTCATCGAGGGAATGATATTACGATTTGTGATGTCCGAATTACTTATGATCCATGCGACTTGATATTGATTTGAATCGAGTTCTTTAATACAATCATCTTCAGTTTTGACGTGTTTCACATGAAATCCTTTCACTTTCAGTGCATCAATTGAGTTTTGCATCTGAGTATCGGGGATACCTATATACAACTGTCCGATCAGAATACTAAATCCCATGAATGCACCATCTCTTCCAAGATCGTATTCTCTTCCAATTGGATTCCAATGACAATCGTATGCCAGTGCATCGGTAATGTCACTTTTGCCTTTGACATCATTGTATGCTTGTAATGGAGCAGAAATAGTTGCAGTATTGCTACTAACAGTAGTAGTATTAGATGATGATGATGAGGGAGCTGTTCGTTGTTTAGCTGTTCTTTTCTTTTGTTTGGTAACTTTGCCTTTTGCAGCACGTGTTTTATTGGTTTTTATGTTTGACGATTGTAGTCGACTTGCTAGAGTCGCTCGAGTGATCGCAACCATATTGTGATATGAGGGAGTTAACGAAGTGTTTTATGAACTCTAGCTGCAAAATGAGAGTTTATATAGTGTAAAAAAGCCATGGAAGCCATCGTCAAAAGGAATGTCACAATCGTATACCATCATGGTGCAATGACACGTTATTGCACAACGTTCATATTATTTATTACCGTGTGCAACAAGTGTGTGAATATCTGATCTGTATTCAGATCCTAGTAAGAGCGAAGATGATCACTAATATCCTTTGATTTTATTGAATAGTTTAAGCATCAGTACATACTGCCGAACGCATATTTAGATAAAAACAAATTATGACATCTATGTTATTGTCGTTACATGATATAACGAACATGTATATGCGAGATGTAAATTAGATATATATAGACGGGCAATGATGCTTATAAAAATATCCAGTATGGGAGAATCGTAGTGTTAATCCCAAGAGGAAAAGGCAGACTTGAAGTAGAAAAGTAGCTCCAAGTAGCTTAAAGTACTTCAAATCCACAAGTCTGCCTTTTCTCCTTGACCAATTCTCCTAATGAGAGAATTGAAAGTACGAAAATATTTATTTGCATGCTGAAAATGTATTATTATCGTACTACTGCATATTCATCCATTAATTCGCTATATGACGTCTATACGTAGCGTGAGTTCCAACAGTCTATTCACTCGAAAGTACTAACTTTTCTTTTGTTCGAAACCTGAACAATGCCATCAACGAATATACACTAGTCATGTATAGCACAAAGTACGAACGCATATGTCGTTATTCACAACAAATACCTAGACCAAACTTACAAACTTTAACTGTAAAATATATTGAAAAGACAACCGTTAGGAAAGAAATTGAAGAGGTACAGAGCAGAGCTGGAACCAGATTGGAATTGATTCATATAAGGCGAACATGTCGAGACTATCAAAATAAATATATCGATGATGATGTTGTATACGTATTTATTGATATGAATGAACACGATTTAACTAGTAGAACTCATTCCAGCGGCAATTGAAATGTACACTATAGTATCGATTCTGAATATTCCCCCTTTTACAAGCGAATCAAACGCACTTGAGATTCCATTCTTCGCACCATATTTCTAATACTAAAGTCGCTGATTAGTTTGTTCTCTTGAAATAATGAAGATGAATTAATCCAATAGATCAGATAAGTTAAATTTTTCTCTTTCCATCAAGCATGAAGAAATGAACGAGAACAAAACTTGTACTCACCTTATTCGTTCAAATTACACGACTTTTATCACATGTTTTCCATATCGGTAGCGTACCGATCTACGGATATGGCATCCCACTAATCTAAACTATNATGGGACCGAGAAATGTGCTTTTTCAGTTTTGAGAAGACGAAGTACGCCAGATGCTAGTATTTATGATTGTTCGATATAGCTCTGAAGAAGCTTTTCAACGCGCAAATTTTAAAAGAAGAATCAGACGGATATCTCTTTCAAATGCCAAAATATATAAGAAACAATAAAAAATATGCAGTTAATTTTATTGCGTGGGGACATCGTCGTTTCAGACAGACACTTAATGCTGACCGCACAAAATTTTTTCCAACGAAAGACTAAGGATTCTTCCATACATTTCTTATACACTGTTTCTTGCTCTATCATTCAAAAAAGGAATCAAAGAATTACGATTTTCTCAAGTCCAGATATCACCAAAATAAAAAGTGTCGCAAAACTTTTGGTACACCCGGTATACGTAATACGAACAAATGAACTGTTGTCAATATCAGATCGATAAGATATCTTTTATGTTTCGAATCGTTATTATTTATTAGTTAAAAGAAAATTTTAAAATCAAAATTCGAAAATATCCTCGTTTATGTTGAAACTGCCGTTGTCACCGAATAGTATTTACTTTCCATATTTATCAGGACATGGTGCACCTTGCTCATCCAATCTCTTAGCAATCGAACGACTATCATTGCACGAACGTCGTGAACCATCGATGGCGAACTGAGATATTTTCGTCGCGAAAAACGAATTTCGTTCACTTGATCGATCGATGGCCATACATGCGAATATACACTCAATATATTTCGATAACGACAGATCATTTCATAACGAAGATTATCTGCGATCTGTCCAAACCATGAATCGCTCGCTAATGATAGGACATCTTTTAAATCCAAAATCGCATTGATTGATTTGAAATAGTAGCTCAAGGCATTATGTGCTTCCAGTAACAGGTCGCCCAGAAAATGCTAAAAAACGCAATGGTAAAATAGAAGAGATTCCTTTCTGAGTCTTACTTTATCGATATTATTCAATTGAAAGAATTTAACATGATATTGCGGTGTTGGCAGGTGCGATTGAATAACGCCCATTTCGTAGTTGATGTACCGATGGAGTGTTTCAGTCTCCAGGTATTTGAAGAGGATGTTACGTTCGATTTCATTCGCTGTTCTATTAATGCTGCGAGTCACGGCTGCGATAGTAACAAGAGTGTCTTTGACACAGAGCGTATCACGTATGATTTTACACATATTATCATGTTTAGATTCATGCTCAGCTGAACCAACCGAAATGAACATGAAGAATACGACTGCGATTGCAAACATCTTGTGAATTCGATAGAATTGATGTACATTGTTCGAAGAACGATTGGAGAATCTGTAATTCAATTTGAATTTGTTAACTTGCCGTACCTTTCTCACTGCAGGTAGGCATGTCATTTCAGATAAATCCACATTCATACTTGACATCTCAGTAAATTGCAGAAATGGTTTGTTGTACTACTGAAGTAAGAGACCAGCTCAAAGACGATCAACGCCGTTGAAAATATGGAGCTGTGAGACGTTATTTAAACGATTTTAAGGATGCTGTAGCAGAAGTTAAGTCAATTTAGACAGTCTGATTTTTATTTTAGTCAGTACACTGGAATTCATCGTCTCTTAGTTGTTTGAGAGATGAGAAATCGTGTCGAAGAATCTCACTTGATCACATGTTTTTTCTATGTTTTCTAAGCTTTGATTTATTACTAATACTCATATACATAATGATGTCATGGTTTATGATGGAAAAAGAAAGACTTTCCGTGAAGTTCAATTCTTATGTCAATAATGAGTTAAGTTTTTCTGACAGTACGCATGTATGATAACTTCCTGAAATCAGCAAGTGTTGTCTAATATTTTCGGTGCTACTTCTCCAGTCATCACAACAATGATTTCAACTTGCCACAGTCTGCTTATCAGGTTTGCGATTAATGGACAAAGTAGACTTTATTAGATAAAATTAGTAATAGTATAACGATAGGCAAGTGAAAAATTTTATCAAACAAGTCGTCCAATGTATTGCGTTTTCGGATAACGTTCTGTCAATTGCGGCCATTGAACAAGAATATTTACAGGTAAATATTGAAGAATTTTACCAGTTAACGACAACGATTGCACTCGACATATACTTTCAACAAAAACAATCTTCGGACGACGAATAAGAAATAAGATCTACAATAATAGTCAAGAATGCATCATTTGGAAATGCATGTGTACATACTGACAACAACAGACTAGCGATAACTATTGGAATACAAGTACCCGGACCGTTTATAAGAATCTAAATGACAAACTAAATTATCGCAAAAAAAAGATCAACGATTATGATGCAATAGACATACAAGTTTCGGTCGAATTCGATAAACAAATGGAATAACGGTGAAAAACGCCCATAGCGTCGTGAAAACTGAACTGATATAACTTTGTCCAACATGCCGACTGCGATTGATGAAAGTGACATCCATATCTTCTAGAGTCTNTCTTGTTTGGCAACTTTCGGTGTTTGACCTTTGACTTTACCAGCACGAGCTAAGGAACCGTGAACTTTACCACCAAAAAGCTTCACGGTAGCATCGAGCGTTGCACCAGAGACGAATCCGAGTTGTTCGACAGTTTGTTCATCGTTCATGGGTGTTCCATTGTAACTTAAAACGAGTTCATCCATGTCAACATCATATTCTTCAGCGATGTATTCCTAAAATGAACAGATGAGATGCATAAAAGTTCAGAGTATGTCATATGAAGTACGTACACGAATGTCTTGGACTGAATCCTCTTTTTCAAGATCGAGCGGGATGAGCTCAGCGGCACCGCGAACGAAGATTTGCATTTTCTGTTGTTTTTAATGTATCTAATAATGAAAATGGTAAAAAGTTTATATAATTTTCAGTTTGCATCATGCAAGACATCGAAGAAGAAAAAATTACGAAAGTTCTATTTCTTCTATGTTTTATTATTCACTAGTCATTTCTGCTGGGTAATCAATGGAACAAACAAAATATATGTATGAAGAAAAATGGAGATTTGTTATATTTTTCACGTTTATCTTGCAAAGATTCACTTCGAGAGAAAATTACTTGAAAATTAATATAAACATAAATAAAGAATTTTCGAGTTGATTAATAGATGGCACTAATTAACACGGACCAAGAACCACTCATGTATTTACGACATCTATTAATCTCGCTTTCTTAGTTCTGAACTAAGATCTTCTTCTGGAAAACTAAGCGCGAAAATCTTCGTCGTTGTGGATGAAAAGAACTGATAATAAGGAATGCTTCACGGTTGTTTCTAGGTAACGATGGTGAAAAAACCACGTACATCGTATCGAAAAGACAGTCAATAGCAACAGTGCTTCTCTTTAATAGGTCTTGACAACTCGGTGTCGAGTGTAAAGTAAATGGAAGGTTTATCACGTTTACCCGGAAACACATTTTCTGATCCAACTGTAGGTAGATTTATCTTTGTGTGTGCACATCTAAGCAAATATTGATATTGTAGCAAACTAACCATCATGTTAGTCACACACTCGAAATCAAAAATGGACATCGAATTGCGAAGTGGCCTGAAGTTGGTTTGGGTGGTGCACGAATTAATTATAATCGTATGGGAGAAGATGAAGCAGAACTTCTTCGGAATTATCGTCCCGAGTTAGTCTACGGCAAAGTTGTTGTTCAACATCCTGATAATTTCGTTCCAGCTGTGTTAGCATATGATAAAAAAGTTCTTCGTTTCTTCGGGTACTTTAAACAATCGATTCCTGAGAGTCCAAATGAATACTATCGTGTCCGACCAGTTAAAATCTTCTATTACCTAGAAGATGATAGTTTAGAAGTGTTCGAAGAAGTTCAAGAAAACAGTGGTATTCCTCAAGGCAAACTGATCCGTCGTCATCGTTTTCCCAAGAATGATCACGGTGAAACGTACAACTTTCGCGATTTGAATCTTGGACAGAATTTAGCAATCTATGGCAAAGTATTTCGCATTTGTGACTGTGATCCATTTACTCGGGTAAAGCGAAATTGAATTGCGAATTTGCGTATGAAAAGACTTTGCTCGTTGATATAGGAATGGCTGGAAAGTGAAGGTGTTCACGTCAATCAACCTGAAATGATTCCACGCGATCCATATTTAACAAAACGTAACCAAGCAGCTGAATTAAAATCGTCTAGAACCAAAAATGATTTTGATAAATTGAAACAATTCGTTGAAATGGATCGGAAAGTTCTTCGATTCTATGCCATTTGGGATGATCGATCACGAATGTTCGGAGACAAGCGAGAATTCATCATTCAGTATTATTTAGTAAATGACACGATGGAAGTACGCGAAGTTCATCCGATCAATGATGGACGAGACCCATTTCCTATTTTAATTAATCGACACAAGATACCAAAGGATCGTTATAATGTTAAAGGTAAATCAAACGGTTTTATTCCATGAATTTAAATTTGTGAAATATAGGTACTTTCCCACATGTCTTTCTCGAATTAAGTGATACGGAAGTAAAAGATTATTTGAAACCATCGGATCTAATGGTTGGAAGAACTGTGACTATATATGGTCGAGATTTTTTTATCTATGACTGTGATACATTTACCAAAACTTTCTATACGAAAAACTTTGGCATTAGCGATTTCGGACCGGTCGATGTGCATCCGCCACCAGAAGAAGACGCTAAAATGGTAAGATTCATCTTGAAGATATTACTTACAGTTGAACGGCAATTATTCTAGGAAATTCCACCTTATAATGGATTTGGTTCATTGGAAGATTCGATACAAAACTGTTTGAAACTTCAACCAGACCGGCCGAAGAAAGATTATGTAAAACTGATGGAGAATGAACATCACGTACTTCGCTATGAAGCAGTTTTGGTAAGAATTGATTATGTATTTTAAAAAAATCATAACAAACGTGAAATTCTTTTCAGGATAGTCCACGTGAGATTGATAAATTACGTAAATTTGTCATTAATTATCGTCTTGGTGATGACACAATCAGCATTTTTGAACCACCTCAACGCAATAGTGGCATTATTGGCGGCCGATTTCTCGAACGAACACGTGTATCAAAGCCAAGTAAAGGATATTCATAGTCAATGGCTATCCCTATCTTCTCTATCATAGATTCGACGCCTGCTAATCCTCAATACTATGGCCCATCCGATTTTTATATTGGTGCAACTGTCGAAGTATTTCGTCAGCGTTTTATTATTCGTTCGGCTGATTTATTCGTTTTGAAATATGCCGAAGAACATCCTGAACAATTCACTCCGTCTGTCATCGATTCCTTACGGCAGCATTTGAGCGATCAAGGTGGACGACCTGATGCTCATCTCGCGACTAACATACAAGTTCAACGTAAACCGGGTGATTTCATTGGTTTATATGCAGAAATTCGTAGTAAATTGAAAGGAATGCGTATCACTGATCGTTCACAAATTCGTGAAATGTTTTTACGCTACGATAAAGATCGTAATGGATTCATTGCACGAGAGAATATTCCAGATATCTTTCGACAGATTAATCTTCCGATTGAAAATGATTTAATTGATGCGGTAAGAAAAAGGAAACAATGTAAAGCAAAGTATTTCCTCTCGTTTTGTTTAGATGATGGCAGAGTGTGCGACCAATGAACAAGGAAAAATCAATTTGTATGACTTTCTACGATTTTTTGAAGGTTGATTTGAGATGCCTTTCTTCTTTTATTACTATAATAAACAAAGTGCTCATTTCTTTTTATTTTTCAAACGTTTCATATGTTTCATTGCCGAAAAACGTCGACGATTTGTTTCTTTGATTTCTGTATAACGTTTTTTACTAAACCTAAACGAAGCAATCCTCAACATCAAGTGATCCAATCGAGAAATGACATACTTTTTCACTTTAGTATCATTATAGAGCTCTTCGAGAATAGTCTTCTTGCGATCTTTCTTTGGTATGCGTCGATAGAAATCAGCTGGATTATCAACAACGGTTCCGGTCTAAATGACAGAGAATTGTTATGTTATATGATTTGCCCGAGAACGTCAAAATTACTTGGAAGTATTTTGGAAGACCTTTGGTATCACTTCCTTTTTTGAAGAACTTATCTGCATATAAACCACCGCGCATTTGAATGGCGAGTAGATCGTTTTTCTTTTCTTCGGTCAGTTCGGGTGCGGGCATGTTATACCAATTTTTACCTTTGGATTTACTTCGTTCAAGCTAGAAAGTAGCGCATTTGACAAAACTTATTATTAATAAGAGAAAATGCCGTACCTGGCGTTGGCGTTTAGCTTCACGTTGATGAACATCATAAGATGGTACTTCGCTTTTCTTCACAAAATCGTCGGTAATAACACTTTGCGGAATAGACTAGGAACGAAAAACGTCGAAGAAACCGATCATAAACGATCATAAACGATAAGATAATCTCCTACTTGACTGGTAGTCAATGCACTGACTATGTTCGACGACCGAGATTTAGTTTGTCGAACATCCTAAAGATACAATTTCAAAGCGAGTTGGATCATTTCGACCTTATCTTACACAATTAAGTATATCATAAGTCTTAATAGTTACACCTGGATCGATTACTCGATTGGACATCTGAAAAAAGATCAACTTATGTTTATACGTATAAATCTGTACACCAATGGATTCTATTTTATTGAATAGTCGACTAGCGCATAAACAAAAACATCAACAAAGAGAAAAATAGAGAAAGAGACACATCAATGCTGCTCTTTTTTTTCCTAATAGATTTGTTCCGAAGGTAAATTCGGACCATTAGGTCTAGGTTGTCTCATACGTTGTTGTTGCTGTTGTTGTTGAACCTGTGCGTTGTAGTTATTTCGTGAGACTTCTTTAAGTTCAAACATCGATGGATATTTTGATAGAAGTGGTTTCAAATCAGCTAGCGGCGGTTCAGAATAGAAGAAATCTGAATTGACAGCATTATCAGCATCGATGCGTTGTTTTGGATCTAAGGTCAGTAGTTTATCGATTAACTCTAGTGCCAATGGTTCTTGAATATATGGTTTCATTCGTTCTAGGACTCGGCGGCGTTCGTTCTGCGGTAGTTTCAATTTCGTATATAACGGCAATTTATTCACACCCGGCCAGATGTTCGGCTCGATGCTACCACATAAATGAGAGATTAGTTCCAATTGATGCTGTTCACTATTGCCTAACCAAATTGGAACGGATCATTACCGATGATGAGCATCGTTTTTATCAATGCTTACCTTGCATAATAGGGGAACGAATCCACATTTCAGCAAAAATGCATCCAACCCCTGGTTGAAATCAAACAATAAAATTCACATCTTTCCAAGAAACTTACCCCACATATCAATAGCTGGACCGTAATCACGTTCACCTACAACAAACAAATAGAATAGGTCGCAGACTAAGGCATTCTTGCTTTTACCTAACAGTAATTCTGGTGGACGGTACCATAAAGTGACTACTCGACAAGTATATCGGTTCTGATGATTAGCTACAAGAAAGGAATGTTTGGGTAAATTGATGAACATCAAGAACTTACGTTTGGGTGGTGTGATTACTTTTGCTAAGCCAAAATCAGCTAATTTCAGTACACCGTTACGTGTAATAAGAATATTTGCTGATTTGATATCACTAGAATGAAATTTCAATGTTCACTCAGATACTTCACATTTGTAGGAAGTTTACCGATGAATAATATGATTTTTATGGATAAAATATAGACCTAAAGGTAAAGATTGGCACCGTACTTCTCATATATATATATATCAGTTACCATCTAATAATTGTTGCATAATTGATTTAATGTGTCCGAGACTGAATTTCACATTTGCATTGCGTAAAATACCGGCCAGATCATGATCACAGAATTCAAAGATAAAATAAAATTTACTTCGTAATGATCGATCCACTAGAAAAAAACTCAAAGTCGATGATGGAGGGATCAGGGAGAGAATCCACATACTTGCTGATCGACAAACTTCAATAAGACGCACGATATTATCATGTCGTAATTCTTGCAAGATTTTTATTTCACGTAATGCTGTTATTGGAAAGCCTTCTTTCTCTTGATCCATCAATATCAATTTCATTGCCACGAATTCATTCGTTTGTTTACAACGAGCTTTGAATACTTCTCTAGAGAGACTCTATCTTTAGAGATCGTTCATGTCGCAAAAATCCTTTCTTCTCACCCAAAAGTTCCTTGACCGATTTTATCGATCCGTTCATACTGACTGACATCACCTGAACGAAATCGAACAAGGACTGTGAGCTTCACCATTCAAGGGAAATCTTACCAATATAGGGAAATTCCAATGGTGCTTGTTCCGGAGGTCGATTTGGTTGAGCCATCTGAAAAAAAAGAGAGAGAAAAAGTAAAGTATATCGGTTTTTTTTGTGCTTTAATCAAAGAAAAATCAGGACAGACAGAAAAGTACGGAGTATATTAACTACTTCTGTTTAGGGAAATAGATCTACAGCGTTATGGATTGAAAGTTGGGACAAGAGAGAGAGAGAAAGGAACTGTTCGAGGATAGTTTATTCGTCGAGTTCTGGCTCATAGTCGCTCTTCTTCAATTGGCGATAATCATTAATTTTAAGATATTTGGCATGCTTAAACGTTCCATCGTCGTTGACTTGGGTTTCCCATGGTCGTTCTGGATTACGTCGGTTAACTTTGACATCAGTTGAAAAAGCTAATGAACGAAATGCATGTCCAGCTGCCATAGCCATACCAATTGTAACAATGGAAAACAGTGGTATCAACGAATAGTTAGCTTTCAATGATTGCCACGATAAACCTTTGAGTACGGCCATTGTGTAATACAAGTGCAAGAATCTACAAAATGAAGAGACAGGGGAATTTCATACATATACGTCAACGTTTCATTGAATGTACTCATTGGAAAGGGTTATTATGATGACTGTTGGTTGTTTGTTACTATTCATGCAATTGGGCTATTCGTTCGTAGTCAACGTGTAGCAAATAAGATAGATAGATGGCGGTACATAGTGTATAGTTTAAAAATAAAAAGAATATGTGACTCCCTTTTTCTTTCTCTCAGCAGAAGTTGTATTTGAACACATACGAACGAAGAGTATTGCATTTTAAAGGCAACGCTGCTCTGGCCTGGATAAGGTAAATATGAATTTTGTATGTCATTCTTGTCTTTGCCTTTTTATAAACCATGGCAGGAAGTAGAGCATTATACTGAGTTGATGAATTGAATCAATACATTGTACTAACGTGTCAAAGTTTTTGATTTATTTTATATGTTCAGAATATTTTGGTTTTCAGTATGAATAAACCTTCAGCATACGAAAGAGAAGAAGTAATACAACGCTTTCGACGCATAACCGATGCTGCTCAAGAACCCAATCGATTTGTTTTGCCTATCGATGGTTACGAAAAACTACCTGCTGTTCCACTTGAACAAACCGTAGAAGAACTTGTTGATCTAGCTCCCATGGTGCAGGGATGTGAAGAGCCAGCTGATGGATTGACACAAGATGAATTCGCTGCTATCATGGTTTACACTATGGGATGGAAACCACTCGACGAATGTCTCTATGCTGACCTCAATGCTACTCTTCGGTCGGCAAATCGGGCAAAAACTCAAACAATGGCAATTGTATTTGAGACTTCTTCTTGATGGACTGTTTCGTCTTTCATCATTGAGTCGAACTGTTTATCGAGATGTTAAATTAGATTTGAAGGACGATTATAACTTAGGCAAGACAAATACGAGAACAATGTTTGCAATCGAATGTCAATCAGGCAAAGATATTCGTCATCATTCCTTTTTTCCATCGGAAGATGAAATTCTTCTTCTACCGGCAACTCAATTCGGAGTAACTGGCTGTCTTGATCAAGGTTCTCTTCACACGGAGTCATGCTACCGAAGGGTAATCTTGAGTTAACTCAGTACTTTGTTTTAGCGCCAATGGTGTCAGCAACTAAAACATCGCCTACAAGTCCGAAACCGGCACAGAAAATCGATCAATCACCTTTTTCTGCACCAAAATCGACTGATGTAATCGAGAAGACATATCCATCATCAAAACCTCAATATCATAACAATGATCTGGAACAGTTCATCGCTGACAACAAGAATAAATCGTACTTACCTTTGCCATCTAAAAATATAACTGATCAAGATGTGGAAATTGTTGTTTACTATGCTTTGCGCAATAATCAAGTAATATTATGTATTTAGTGTATTGAACACCTACGTATAAACATGATCATCGATGTTAAGAGAGTAAGAGCTTTACTAGCACACTTTGTGACGAGATATTTTAATAACTCTCTCTATTCTATCTAATGTGTTCATGTATTTCAGGAGCAGGACACTCATTTACCCGTCCACTCATAAAATTGCTTTTCGAATAGTGTCAAACTCCAGAAACATCATAGTCATCTTATGTTTTTCTACTCTGAGTTTCATAAACACTAAAATTAATAATTCACCCAGCATGTATTTGACACATTATGAGGAATCTTCATGTAGTATTAAAATAACTTCTCACACAAAGCAATTTTTTACATATTTTTCATCGATAGAGTCTCAGTCATTCCAAATGCATATTTCCCTGATACAACAATCTAACAAAGAATTACTTTCATACAAATAACATTGTGAGAAATACATGATTATCATTAATGACTTTCGAATATTACGGAAAAGAATCTCAGGTTTAGTTGGAAATTAATCTGACGCGGTTAGACTGTATTCTATATGACGAATTACGACCAAAATAAGTTCGACACTACAAATTAGCCACTGAAATACAAACACTCACTTCGGTTAGTTTAGTTGGAAATGAAATAGGAGACGAAGGAGTAAGACACTTGGTCAATATGCTGAGAAGCAATCAAGTGAACGAAGTTGATGCACGCTGATATTGATGAAAAGTGTTTTCATTTTCATCAGACTATATTGACTCTGTGGTTGAGCATTAATAGAATTGGTGGTGAAGGTGTGAGGCATCTGAGTGAAGCACTGAAAAATCAGAGTGTAAGTATAGAATAGGTGTCAGTTCATAATTCTTGTGCGCTTGTTTCTGTCTTTTTATTGCAGGTACTAGAGACATTTTATATTGGATATGATCAATTTGGAGAAAATGGAAAAGCATATTTGGTTACCTTAAAAAATTGTGACAAACAACGAAAGATAGACTTTTAAGACAGCATGGAAAATTTTAACATGATGCGGAATATTCGAGAACATCAGATAACACACTTCGCTTTTATGATTCTAATACTACTTAAAGAATAAATAAATAGTCTCAAACCAAATCTTTAATGGTATCTGTAGTTTCGGTTAGAAATTAACGATTATAACATCGTATGATTTTGAGAACAAATTAATTTCCATCGTCATAGTATTATTGAAACAACTCGCTGTTCCTTTCCCGCAGTTAGTCAATCATATTAGTAATTCTTTCCTATGCCACATGCATTCGAAGTTATTCGGAAAAAACATTGAAATATCAATCTAGCTGAATTATATTAATAGATTTCCATTGGACAAAGTGCATTTTAGAACTTAATCAAGGAAATCACCGGTTTTGTTGATTATACGGCAAAAATGAAGCATAATCAGCACAAAATGAAATGATTGAGAACGGCTTTTTGATAAGTATCACTACAAATAAAACTAAATTCTTCATCAGTACGATGGCGCCAGGTAGTTCTACTACATGTTGGCTTACATCAGTATCGGCTATTGTCTGACTTAATAATCACGTCATTTGTGACACAGCTGAATCAGATCATAGTACTAATCAAGTAAGTACTTTTTCACGAACTGACAATGAAAAACATTCTTATCACGAAGATAATGCAATTATATGTCGTTTAAATGTGGTTATAATGATAGACTTTGAAATATTGTGCGTTGTCTGATATCAACGTAAACAAGAAAGTACAAAATGCTCGACAGATGAGACTGCTTTTTTTTTATTAGTATCTCACACAAAACGATATTTTCCTGTAGAACTTGATCTGTTCCTACTCTTTCTTTGTTTTGATTCTTGGACATGAATTCAATAGCTTCTTGATTTATGATATGACGCATCATGACATAAGAATTAGTCTTTCAATTGACAACAGAAAAATAACTGTTCATTACTTTCTATGATTGATATTTCTTAACGAAATGTCGATTCATCGAATCCTATCTTTTTCATCCATCGTTCAAAATAATATACTCTTTACTGAGTGAACGAAATTGTTGACGCGAAATAAATAATTATCAACTCGATCTTAAAATACCTCTTTATACCAAACAAAAAAGAAAGAAAAAGAAAAGCGATGTGTCCGTCTACACACATGTACACTATTCAATTATCATTAGTATGTCCTTAATCTCATGTCCGAACAATTTTCTAAGGTGCAAATGTCATTGACCATTGAAATTTGATGAAGCGAAAACGAAATATCTTTCTTTTGTATTTGTCAAGTATTCAACAGACACCATCCATTATTTGAGATCAGATCAAACGATGTGTACATTCAAATTCGTACACGTGTATACTCTTTCTTGTTGATTTATTCGAAATGAATGTGATGCGCACTGAAATATGCATCCGTTTCAGGGTAATACTTATACAAATGATGTAATCAATTTTCTCTCTAATGAGTCAATAACATACTTGCACGTCGTTTAATAAAGCTACTTCATCATCGGTTGCCTTATAAAAATAAACTATCTTAACATCGTTTTTCTTTCTTAAACGCGATAAGAGAGTATCTATCGTTCCCTTTTCTTTTCTTATTGGTGAAAATAGAGAAGTACTGTTTTACAAACATTGGCTACCCTCGACACAGCAAGGAGGAGAAAGAAATATTTCATTCTCAACCAACCATTTGCTGTGTAAACTCTTCTATTATTGGCGACCTATAGCGCAAAGGATAAATCATGAACATGAACACTTCACGTTTTGTCTGCAAATAGAATATAGAGAACGCGTGTGCGCGTAAAAGAGAGAGAGAGAGAGATACGCGACGCTTTTGTTGATCAAACAGGCTGTTACTTCTGACACGCTGTCATAGAGAAAGAAACGATATTATTACTGGTATTATTTTCTCCTTCAGACACAAAGAAGTATTCGGAATGGAAGAACGTGTTTTTCAGAGTTCGTTTTCAATTCGCAGTGTCCTTGGAGAAGATCCTTCAGTGAAAAAACAATCAGCAATCGAGGACGACGACGACGGCGGCGGTGAGGAAGAAGTTGATATCGAAAGTTCGGAAGACGAAGAATCGAAATCAGCAAAACAATCGACATCATCCATTTCAAGTGAATCGGGTTCTGATGGTCCCAACGTTCAAAAAGCTCTCGCTGCAACTCCGATTCTGAAAAACAAGTACGGTATTAAACCAGCTTATTCATACAATGCCCTCATCATGATGGCTATTCGCTCGTCTCCACACGACCGTTTGACCTTGAACGGTATCTACGAATATATCATGAAAACGTTTCCATATTACCGTGAAAATAAACAAGGATGGCAAAATTCAATTCGACATAATCTCTCATTGAATAAATGCTTTGTTAAAGTTCCACGACACTTCGATGACCCCGGTAAAGGAAACTATTGGATGCTCGATCCGTCTGCTGATGATGTGTTCATCGGTGCTACTACTGGCAAACTTCGACGACGAACATCCACATCACGAAATCATCGTTTAGTTACATTCAAACGTTCGAATCTAAATCCTTATTCATCGGCGTTCTATACTTCTGCCGCTGTCGCCGCTTTACATCAACAACAACTATTGCAAGCAATTGCTGCTAGTGAAGTTATCCGACATCAACAAACATTTCTACCAAGCTCGATTTCACCGAATCAAATGAGGTCAGTGGTGTAAAAGATACTGTCTTTCTCTTTTTTTCTTCTTCATTTTTGCTCTTTGTATGTGAATAAAAGTAATAATAAAAGTCTGTCAAGCTGCTACTACAAATTAGATCTCATTCCATTCTGTTTGTACTCTAATGAAGAAATGACGTTGAGCACACATACAAACTTCTCATTTTTTCCTCATCGTCAGCATCTGTTTCATACATTCTATAAACATACGACTTGATATTCATCGTTCTCAATTTGTCGTCGTTATGTTTTCCTCTGAATACAAAAACTATTATCATCAAGCCGTCAGCTTGCTTCGTATCCCCTAATGATTCTACTATCTAAAGTTTCACAATATTCACATCGAGAAAAGCACAAAACAAACAATTGAATTTAACGCTTTCTTAAATCACTACGTTAATCGTTAGGTCTGCTCTTTCGCTTCATAATGACTCGTCCCATCATTAGTCGATTGTGATCAGTATGGAGACATTTCACGCTGTTCGCTCTAATAGGTGGTGTGTAACGATGCGCGAGAAATTGAAATAGAAAATACAACGGGCTTGACATTCTTTTCCTCTTGTTTTTGATCGATTACGCGATGACAAGACGAAATCACAGATCAAGGTATGCATATCAGATAAGTCTTGTAAATTGAGAAGAAAAACTCAGATCGATTGGTAGCTAGAAGCAATCGAAGATCAAACAACAAATGTATGTTGTTCAACGTAATTGCCTCGAGCAATTGAAATCAGGGCGGCAACTAATGAACAAGAGAATAAGTCAATCTCCTGCTGTGTGAACAGAGGCAAAAAGAAAGAAACGTTAGATCTGCTGCCTATCGCAAAACTTTGTCACACTTCACATTTCGAGTACGAATCACTCAATTAATTATAGATGTTATTATTAGTGTTGAACAGAAGGACTTTTCTCCTGAAGTGCTGCAAATACGAAAGCGAATGTTTGGAAGAGAACAAGATTGATCAATATTGTTTTTCTTTCTAATAACTAAGGATCGTCTAATCTTTCCTGCTAATAAATAAACATTGAGTAGAAGAATAACATGGGTGGATACATATCAACAGAAGGAGGAAAGAGAAACAATCGAATAATGTACATATAAGCAAACGATAATTCCTTGTATATGAGCTTGTTAACATAAATGTATACAAAATGTTGATGATGATGAAGTAGTTTATTGATTGGTCAATAAACAAATCTGATCTGTGTCTAATCGTGTTTGCAAGAGAAAATGGAAAATTTAGAATCCATTCCAATTGATTGTTAGATATTCGATTTCATTTGTAGATTTTCTCGTTGCTAGAACAGATATTTTCTTGACATTTACCGCAACACGACATCGAGCTATCAGATGGGTTAGTGGGATTGCTGTTGAATTCGTTTGAACTTCGTTTCGAAGAAAACATGTAACAATAAATGAAGAATGACATTTTGATGGATCATCTAAGTAAACGAGATAGTCGCCACCGAATTTCATTCCGTCGGAAATCCAATAGTTCTTGGCATAGAGATCGGCGAATACATCGCATTGCAATTGTTGAAGGGGCGAAGTCAAGTATCGCTTAAGCTGATCAGCAGTGATCGACTGCACGAGATGATCGCTTCGTATGGATTCCAATGGTTGTGTGATCAGCATATGATCGATAGTAAACTGCTGTAAACGTTGCTTAATGATATGAAGCAAAATATGTCGTTCATGGTCGTCCATTGACCGAGAAGAATTTTGCCAAGCATTGTTGGTTTCGAGCAGAGATGAAATGGCCGGATCGAGCTCTGAACTATCTCCGAACGATGAGTGACGATTGGATTGAAGAATGTAATCACGGTTGAGAAGGATTTCATTGATTCGTTCGTGACCATTGGTGATTTTCTGATCTTGAAATTTGTTGTCGAGTTCGGTGAGATATGCCAAATGATCTTCTTGCTTGTCCGTGATCGGGAAAACGATTTGATACATGCAAATAATGTTGTGTGTCGATAGAAAGTGACATTGTTGAAGGGAAAGTTGCAATGGAATACCAAGCTGCTGATTTTGTCGAGGATATTGTGGAAGATTACCTGTTAGCAAACCTATGATGCGATGCTGCTGCCGAAGAAGACGAATGGATTCAGGATTAAATACGAGACCGTACTGATTATCAATTAGGAAACAATGTATCGGAGCTGCCATTTTATTCTGAAGGAAATCGAGATATTTGTTATAGGAGTTCACCAATGTAGTTGTGGACAGTTTATTAGAAAAAAAAAGTTCAAAAGAAAAAAACAGCTTTAAGTCGAATGTGGTGTTTGAGCCAAGATTTAATATTGTGGGTATTGATAGGAATAGCAAGTTGCGGGAATCGGTTGTGGATTGACTATCTTTCGTGAATAGGCATAGGTTGGCGCCATTGTTTGCGTGTAACTAACACTTGGCTGTAGATTTACGGATGACGTGAAAACATCCTGCTGTTGTCGGGGTTGTTCGTCTTCGGGTCGTAAATAAACGTATCTAGAATAGCGGGTGAAATGGAAATTGTTTGAATTGCGCTTAGATTCGCTTTACTTAGTTCGAACGATTGGTTTCGATGGCCGTAAGATTTTCTCGCGATGGATTACTTTTGTTTTTTGTGGTGGAACTTGGATGATATTTTCAATGATTTCCGGCGCCGGACGGCGCACAAAGACCCGTTCGATAATTTTCGGCTTTGGCGAACGTGCACGATGATAAACTTTTCTAACTTCCGGCGGTGGCGTAGGTATTCGATAGACTAAAACAGCATATTGCTTCTTCTAGCATACAATCTTCTCAAAAGCAGAAACGTACCCTCACGAACATGTTGATTATTAACTCTGACAACTCCGAGCGGTTTATTTGGATCATCGTCAGCCGACGATGAGTATGAATCATAGTCATAGACATATTTCTTTGATCGATGGTGGAGCGATTTTGATTTTCGCAGAGCCGGTCGTTCATATGTCACCAGTCGACCCATGTAAGTGTATTGAGGTGCTGGTGAGGAACTATAATTAAACATCGACATGAAACTATGTGCCTATTAAGCTTATCTTACGTCTGTTCTTCGCAATCACTCGAAAGCGGCTTCGAATACGGCATTGTTGGTGAAAAGCAAAGAAAATATGGCTGATTAATTAATGTATTTGACACTCAAATAAAAATTGCCGACAGATAAGCAAATAATATCATACTTCGACGCGGTTGACTGAGCATTGTACGATGTTTTTTTCCTCTTCACTGACGAAAAGACGAAAATTTGTAATAACAACAGTTTTATTAGAAAAAAAAACGTTATAACATATAACATGTACTAAACCATTCTAAAGAATTCATAGAATACTTTTTTTTTCATAACAAAAAAAAACAAGTAACATTTCCTATTGATTATTTTTGAACACTTTGTTGTGCAAATAACGATAACGAGCAGCAGATGATTCTATTGCAGATAATTCATAATAAGGAAGCTAAATAAGATTTTAAAATTCAATTATTCTGATAAAAGGATAGACGATCGATCACTACTCACAACAACAACACGGTATCCTAGTTTCTTCAAATGGCGAAATGTTATCTCTACAGAGCCAACATAATGATTCGTATTCTGACAATAATGATTCGGTGTTGTTAATTGAATTGCCACTCTACATCAGCAAAATCTCATTTTATAACCCATGTTTTCAATACCAACGAACATACCGTTCACATCCTTCAGGAATCTCGAGTTTTTTGTCTCCGCTGATGTTCTTCATCAAATCGTACTGATCGAACCGAACTGGTTTACGATTATCCAGTCGTAGGATACATTCGAAATCTAAACAACAATTCAATTCAAATTTCAATAATCATATCAAATACTTTCCTACCAATTTCATGAAAGTATGGCGAAACTGGCAGTTTTTGCACATATTCTCTTCCGCCAAGAATAGTTGTTAAATTCGATTCCACATGATCAAATACCGTATGTCGCGTCTGCCAATGGCGACGCATGTCTAAAATACCGAACGAATCGTCTTTGTCAGATTCTATCGAAATGAAATGTTTACCAGGTATAACAACTTCCAATCCAAAGCGATCGTTAAACCACGGAATATTCAATTGAGGTTGATCGATGCACACAATTTGATTTAAGCGGAATAGAGATTGGCCTAATGGATTCGTATGCCTTTTCATCGAAATTTGATCGATGCTATCGAGAAATGACAACGAAAAGATATCATTCAATAGATGTTCATCGATTTGATTGAACAATCCTGTAGTTGTCATGGCTAACCAGAGCATATCGAACGAACGTAATTCGTCCTTATTTTCATAGAGATGTCGAGCTAATGAACATAGATCGTTGATTTGTTCGGGCTTGTAATTAACTTTGAATAAGCAACGAAAGTATGTTGAAATTAATCGTAAGGAAGTGGATTGAGTATCGATCAAGGTTGAACACATAGAATCGAGTAAAGCTGGATAGAGACGTGCTGAATGAGAAAATAACAACGAAAGACTATTCACATCACGTAAACTTAACGATGTTTGATTATCATAAGAATTTAGACGTTCAAAAAATGGTTCCAATAAAGGTGTACCAATATTATAACGTGAAGAAGTGATATGACTAAGAAAATTGACTAGATGACTCAATGGATAGATCGATAAATTCGACAAGTGTTCTTTCTTTTGACTGACAAGTGTTCGATGGATCTGTTCAATTTGACGTTGAAATGTCATATTCGCACCATGAGGAGATAACAACGATGCTGCATTGTAATAGCCTACAGACGAAGAGAAGTTATATTTAATTGTTCTTTTCCAACGGCAACAAACAGACCTGCTAGGAGTGTGCCAGTATCTTTTAAATCAGCTTGGGATATCACACCTTCGGCATTGCTCATGATATTACTTGGAATTGCTGTTCCGCTCAATGCATATTTTAAGTAAAATGTTAAAATTGTCAGATGTTGATCCCGAATAAACCAGGTTTCGTTCGGTCCCGATTTCATTCGTTCGATTTCTCCACGTAAATGCATGATGAAATCAGCTCCAGCTGGTTCGGATGTGTAATAATCAATGTTTTTGTTGATATGTTCCGTTAGAATGGTCAACATTGGCCAAAAGTCGCTTTCATCTATCAAGAAAAAGCAAAGAAAAATCACGTTCATCAATTTTTATCGGTTCCTCAGCAGAAGTTTTACACTCGTCGTTCGTCGGAGAGATTTGCTTGAGCTTAGAATGGATTCGCGCTAGTAAATCCCAATCATTACACGTATCTGGATTGATATGTTGATAGAGAAGACACATTTCATGTGGATCGAAACGATCTAAACACATGTGCAAACGCCTGTTCAATCGAAGTTTCAATTTGATTTTCGAGTGTCGGTATAAAGCACATATCATGTAGAGAACATCGTGATCGATCAGATCTTGCTCTTGATCCAGTTCAGAATTACAACGTGCGACGGCTGATTCGAATAATTCATTCAACGGACGGAAATGTCTGCAACAAGAGACAGAATTCAAAATCGAAAAACGGAAAAAGAGAAACAAACCGTTTTGCCGATGACAGTATCAGATAAAGATCAAACCATAGAATTCGATTTAAATTCTGTAACCAGTTGGCCATGACATGTGGTATCCATGTTTTCATCTCTTCAGGAAACATTCCACCTAATGTTAACAAACGAACAAAGATGTCTGGACTTGCTAAAGGAGCAAGTTTTTCGATGTTATTATTAATTATATTCGAAACACAAGTTAATAACTAAAATGAAAGAAAAAGCCGTTCCTCGAATCTATTCTTCCTGAAGCATACGTGCTTGCGTATCATCGGACGAAGAGGATTTGGACAAAGGTATAGCCATACCCAACAGGTGTGTTACTCCAATTGTACACTTTATACTTGCTGTGTTGTGATTAGGACCATGATCGATTAATAATTGATGAAACCGTTCGAGTAATGGTTTGTATAGCGGAAGAACTAAACAAGAATTGCTCTTGAAACAGACTAAACTTTTTCTATGTTAGACTTACGTAAATGTCGATTGGATTTTTTAACGACGGCAATGAGAAACCGATGCAAGAGATTCAAATCGAACTTCGCAATGTATTCCCGTTGTGCTAATTCAGTAAATAAATGACGGAGAAATGGACTTTCACTTGATGACATTCGAATATCTAACTTGACTAACGCTGACAGAATATTCACATGATCTTCGAAGTTCAATTCTAATAGGCGATGTTCGCATAAATGGCAAAGAAGATCAAACATCGGATGATTCAATAACTGCTGACGATAACTTTCCATATGAATCGGATGGAAATAGGCACATGAACGAACGATATTGCAAGCTCGAAGCAAAGCCGAGGCGATATGTTGTGCTCGATGTTGCGGTAAATTTGCACGAACCAATGGAAATAACGTTGACAGAGATGAACATGATTGAATAGCAGTCATCAAAGAATCATTCGAATCGACCATGAATGGAGCGGGATCATCTTCTGCACTTTTAACTGCTTCCGAAGTTATACATGCATCTGTTAGTGTACGAATTGTAGATTTGATTGTCCATAATGGTTGTTTAAGACGATACAGAGATGATGGACGGAAAGAAAACAAGTGCATTGGATATAATTCTAAAATCATATTCGATAGGAGAAAACAAATCAACGATTCACACCTGTCTCTTGTCAGACGTCATTTTACTGGTTACGGACGAACGACTCGTTTATTTACTCAACAAGAAATGTGAATACACCGATGTGTTTGTAGTAAATGTATGCGAAATGACTAAGTTATTTCGACGGGTAACGAACATATTCAAAAGGAATCCTTCGTAAATGAGCTCTTGAACTATTAAAATTTGAATTCGATATTTCATTTTGTTAGTAGTCCTCGTCAAACTTCAACAAAGCCGACTTCGAATCCATATGATAGACGCAATCCAAATCCAAATAGAGTTGCGCAAACGAAAGTATCTATACTAATTAGTTTTTTTTACTAAAGACACATCTAATTTTGTTGAAGGATGATGACAATGACGACGACGACGACGACGACGACTACGATGAACGACCTATTCGAGATGAATACGCGTCTACACCATTAGATATTAAACCGCAGGTAAAGAAGGTTCTATACTCAATTCGTTACTATCCTTTCATTAGCGTACTACGCCAAGATCACCAAATCCAGTGAATACTCTGCCTACACCGCTACCACAAGTGAATAATAATGGTATTCCTCAGCATACGCCACAACCACCTGTCGAGGCTCTGCGTCCTAAAAGAACTCCTAACCAATCGTCCATTCCAACCGTGTCTCGAATGCCTACAGCACCTGTACGACGTAATCTACAACCGCTTTTCGATCGACCTCACCGTCCACTGCGTATTAGCCCTAACTCCACTCTAATTAGTTTCCCTTCACATGCAATTCAGCATGATATCTCAACTTTTCGTCAAGGCCCGCACTCTCAATTTGTTAACTATGAATATGATTATCCGATTGAAAATGTTGTTATCGATGGGAATATACCTTCGTCAATGGCCATGAAGATCAATCGAGCAGTCGAACGAGATCGATTTGGTCATTCTCAACAGATCAAACATCCTTATCGCAGTGGAACACGACGCATACGCGAAATCCCTCTTTACAATAATAGCACAGTCCCTCAACTAGTTATCCATAGAATTCCTCGAATAGATGATTTCTACCGGTACGATCCAGTTTGTTATCCACGCCCTTTTCATCATTATGTCGCACTCTCTCTCTAATGATCCAATGCAGTACTATTAAAACAGTACGAAGAGAAAATAAATAATTGATTTATTTAATTAAAGAAATCAAAAAGAAATTCGTTCTGTTTCTTCATTTAGCGACGAAATTAAGTGCTGCACCATTGATGCAGTAACGAAGACCGGTAGGCTGTGGGCCATCATTGAAAACGTGACCGAAATGTGCTTGACACTAAAATTATCGATGTGAAAAGAACTTTGTAACATTCAGAATGTTTTCCCTTTCATACTTTAGCACAATGAACTTCAGTTCGAGGGTAGCCAATTTCGTAATCGGTTTTCGATGCGATATTTTCTGTTTTCGCTGGTCTATAGAAACTAGGCCAGCCAGTGCCACTATCAAACTTATGTTCTGAACTAAACATTAAATGCGCGTAAGGGACATAAAGTGTTGACATTTACGGCATACCTAAAGACCGGAGTATTGCATACGATACAATTGTATGAGCCGGTTTTTTTATTGCTATTTAATGGACTCGAGAATGCTGGTTCTGTGCCATGATTTTGAGTTACATGACGAGACATTGCTGAAAGATGATTTGCATTCATTTTGTCCTCGGATGAAGTAGATGCTGAAATAAATCAAGTCATTCAACGCAATACTTCTCGTTATGTGTAAACATACAATCACTCGTAGTTGTTGACACGCTTTGGAAAAGTTTTGAGAAAAATTGAATCATGGAGCGTATATATATACACAGATGGGCAAATGTTGCTTACGCAACCACAAAAATGCTGTAGCCTCCTACGGAAAGATGCAATTATTGATTACATAACGGTAGAAATGATTTCATATGGAAAACTGACGTGCGTGAGTAAAAGTCAACGCGACATCTGTATTGTAAAATAGGATTTACATTGGTGTGTTACACGAACGAATGACAAATAGAATTAAAATCGATTGTCTCTACTTGTCGGTTTGATTAAGGCACAGAGAGAGAGAGAAAAAAGATTTTTCTTCTTGTATTCAATTGAAGATCGTCAATGTTAGAATGAATATTGAACTACTAACTACATTTCAGCAAAATTATCCAGAAGAGTTCGATGGCACGTTGGATTGTGCATCGATGGCTGTATGCTGTGCTTTTAACAAAATCGGTAATGATACTTCGTTTTCGTCTTTTCAGAAATTTGTTCTAATTCATTTCATTTCAAGGTTCTATGCTAGCTGTCGGTTGTTCCGATGGTCGTCTTGTTATTTGGGATTTTCTCACGCGTGGTATCGCGAAAATAATCTCTGCAGATTGGTCGCCCATCTATTCGATATCATGGTCGAAAAAGTCCGATTTAATCGCAACATCATCGACGGATAACACAGTTTGTGTCTGGTACACATCGACAGGTCGTTGTCGAACACGCATTTCATGCATTCAATCGTCTATTCTCAAAGTCCAATTTCATCCGAGAAATTCCTCCTATTTACTGATTTGTCCAATGAAACACAGTCCTGTACTAATTGATAATACTGGCAAGCATACAATCGTCACGATTGACGATGAACCGAACGATATTATTTCCACATTCGATCGCAAAGGTGAACATATTATTCTCGGAAACAATCGAGGATTAATTGTAGTGAAGACATTTCCTGATCTAAAAACAATTTCATCGTTTCGAATCACCACTGGAACGAATGCAAATACTGTTTTGAGACACATTGAAATACCTCGTCGTGGTAAGATTAACTCTTTACATTCTATCAAATCTCTGTGCTTTTTCTCAAAGGACAATACTGTCTGATTAACACAAGCGATCGTATCATTCGAATTTACAATTACACAGAAATGTTGACATGTGGCAATGTTCGTGATCTCGAACCGAAACAGAAATTGCAGGATTTAGTTAATAAATCCCTCTGGCGAAAATGCTGTTGGTCAGGGGATGGAGAATATATATGTGGTGCGTCATCGCGGCAACATTCGTTGTACATTTGGGAAACTGTTTCGGGTAATCTAGTCAAAATTCTTCATGGAACAAAGGGTGAAACGTTAGCAGACGTATGTTGGCATCCAGTGCGACCGATTATTGCCAGTATATCGAGTGGTGTAGTATCAATATGGTCACATTCTCAAGTCGAAAACTGGTCAGCATTCGCACCGGATTTTCGTGAATTAGAAGAAAACGTTGAATATCATGAACGCGAGTCAGAGTTCGATATTAAAGACGAAGATCGAAGTTTAGATGGATCCGATTATGCAAATTCACCAAATAAAAAACAACGCTTAGAATTAAATGGTCCAGTGAAGAAAAATAATGATGACGACATCGAATTAGACGTTGTTACTGAACAACGTATTGAAGCGTTAGTTTCAAGTGACGACGATGATATTAACGATCAACTTGTTTATTTACCATCAGCGCCCGAAATTGAAGATCCAGAAAGCGATGTTACGCCTGCAATAACAAAGAATCCAGTAGTAAGTCAAAGTTCTTCCGTTGATGCCGATCAGAAGTTTGATATTCAACTACAAATTCCACCTGTTTATGACACACATCCGTACTATGGTGGAACTAAACAAGCACGAACAGTTGGTAATGCTCCTCTCGTGCCTGCTCAAGATGTCAAACGTGACGGAAGACAACGACGAAAGGGACAACAGAATGAACTTGAGCAACAAAATGTTCTTCTGCCTAAATCGATCGATGCAGCGGTGGCAACAGTTGCGAATAATCCGAAGCGTTTAACGCCCACGAATGGTAGTGGTACAACAGCCGTCGCACCGAATGTCGAAACCAAAGGACAACGAGCGCGTTCAGCACGAATCGAAGGAAAGAAAGCCTCGGCTGGTCAACATCGATTATCAACAGATAATGACACAGACTTTCTGCCGCATTAAACGGCATTTTCTCATGTGTTTCCTTGTCTGTAAACATAATTTTCCCCCTCTTTTCTTTAACGTCCTAGTCTCTTTTTTTCTCGAAAAGAAAGATCACATTGTATTATATTGTATAGAGATCTTGATTGAGAAATAAAAATAAATCTCAAAGAATTTGAAAGCAAACAGAACAATCAGCCAACATCTTTCCCTTCCACTCCAGATGTCCTCACATATGCAAGTTTTTTATTCGTTGGTACTCTTTCTCAACCATTCACTATTGAACTGTCTTGACGACAGACAGTCAGCGATGAAAGTAGTCGATTAATCATTCGTGTCTATAAAACTGAATGTCATTTTCTTGACGAAACGAATATGGCAGCAGGAACAGCTAATCGTTTAGATTTCGAAGACGATGCTTGCAAAGCACGGGAATACTATATGTGTAAGTGTCGGCTTGTTTTTTGGTAACTCAACAAGTATGAGATGTAATTTAGATGGCGATTACAAGATGGGATTGGCGTTTTATGACTTAGCAATTGGTAAACTTCGAGTTTATTGTCAAAAGTTATCGAATCCAACAGAAAAACAGCAAGGAGCCAAGGTTTGTTCGTCTACAATGTGACGTGATGTAAAACAACAAGATTTGCCTGTTTATTTAGTGCATTACTGAACTCGAACAGGAAGCTCGAGCAACTAAAGAACATGCACGTTGCCTCGAAGAGGCACAAGAAAATTTAATAGAGCTTATGGTGAATAAAAACAAACGAGCAGCAGAGGATCGCACTCCGAATTTAGCTTTCGATGATCATCCAGTAAGAGATATCTGTGCCGATCAACGTCGACCCGCTCACAAACCCGCACCGTAAGATAGACGTTCGATATCATGTTTGTTTACTATAAAGCTATTTTTGTGCAGATTTCAACCACCAGCGCCGCGCGCTGATGTAAAATCTGCGAATAATAACAACAATCGTGGCAAGAATGCTCCATCAAGTGCACATGGAAATCGACATAACTCACGTGATAATAAACCTGTCAATAATCAAGTGAATTATGCTGATGATTTATTTCAGAAGAAATGATTGATATTTTTCCATTTTTTTGCAGGAGAAGAAGTATGTACCTGTTGGAGCGGAGAAAGATCTTGTGGAAGGTTTAGAACGTGATATTGTTCAAAAGAATCCTAATGTTCGATGGTATATTGTATTGATAGAGATTTCATTTGCTAAAAAACAATCTGTTTTCCTTCGAAGGGCGGATGTGGCCGGTTGCACAGGTGCGAAAAAGCTCTTGCAAGAAGCCGTTGTTTTACCGCTCGTTATGCCTGAGTTCTTCAAAGGTCTTCGCCGTCCGTGGAAGGTAATGTTCAACATAAATCCTATGATAATGCAAGATCGAAAATCATTTAGGGTATTATGTTGTTCGGTCCGCCTGGTACAGGCAAAACGATGTTAGCTAAAGCAGTAGCGACAGAATGTAAAACAACATTTTTCAATGTCGCCGCAGCAAACTTAACATCGAAATATCACGGCGAAGGCGAGAAACTTGTTCGTTTATTGTTTGAAATGGCGAAATTCTACGCTCCTTCAACCGTCTTCATTGATGAAATCGACTCTCTATGCTCAGCTCGTGGTCAGTCGAACGAACACGAAGCAAGTCGTCGCGCAAAATCCGAATTACTCATTCAAATGGACGGTGTAGCCGGTGCTCTTGGTAAGACTCACTAAATCATCTCTTTATCAGTTTGTACTCATACTTGTTTACAGGTGGTGATGATCCGACGAAAATGGTTATGGTACTCGGCGCAACTAATCATCCATGGGATTTGGACACCGCTATGCGACGACGTTTGGAAAAACGTATTTACATTCCACTACCTGATGTTGAAACCCGCAAACAGTTATTATAAATCAATCTGAAAGATGTTCCACTTGATAAAGATGTTAATTTGGATGTCATCGCCGAGAAATTATCTGATTATTCCGGATCGGATATAACTGGTGTTTGTCGGTGAGTAGAATCGATCAGATTCGATTATATTAAATGACCTTGTATACCTGTGATTACAGAGATGCAGCAATGATGCCAATGCGTCGAATTACGGAAAATTTAAGCATTTCACAAATACAAGAACAAGCTCAGAATTTGAAAGAAAAACTCTTGTCGCCAACAACAATGAGTGACTTCGAAGCGGCAATATCGAAAGTTTCTTCGTCAATATCAAAAGAAATGCTCGATAAATACGATCAATGGATGAAAGATTTTGGTTCAACTTGAATATTTTCTATCGACATATACATATCGAACTATACATTTACGTGCAAATGTACGCTGAAGATGTTATCTTTCTATATATATTTTTGTGCTTCGAATACGTCGGAATAAATAACAAAGATGTTGATCTTTGTATTCGCCCTGTTGTCTTGATTGAGTCTGCTTCGTTTTTCTTTGCATGCAGCATACAGATTTGATCTATTCTGATGTTGAGTGTTGACGGATATCAGAAGAGCAAATAGAAATTTCTGTTGTTTTTCTTGTTGGTATTTGGGATACATACATTATCATTAGTGAAAGAAGAAGAAGAAGAAGAAAAAGGGAAACCACAGAATATCGCGCTGTTCTCTCGTTCGAGTGCTATCCAAGGTCTCGAAGTACTGCTGTTGACTTTTCTCGACCATCCAATATGACGATAGAATCAATGATAATTAGATCGAAAGAATAGGAAAAGAAAGAAACGGAGGGAGAAAATGGCAAAGATGTGTCTATGAGCTTTGTTTCTTATCATACAACAACATAATTCATCTTTGCCTCTCTTTTTCTTGTTTCCGTATCCAACAAACCGCTAGTGGAGAAACTTTTTTTTTCTCCACGAATATTTATTTACGGACGAACAATAGGATTTCTCCTATTGTTATTTCAAGGTATTCCATTAGTGGACTTACTTGATTGACACTGACTGCGAATATTCAATTATTATTATATATATACATTGATCTATTGTATTTTATAATACATATCCTTGCTTTTAACCGTACAACAACAACATACGGGCGGAGATAATACACTGCAAAGAGATTAAGAAAATATACAAGTATAAAGAGAAGAAAAAAACCTATAGAGAATAATAGAAGAGCTATATCTCTTCTATATTGCCAATCATTCGTCGTGCACGGTTGGATGTCATAAAAGACAGCCATCAACGATACGATCATCATTACCGGTTATCAACGCCCAAAACAGCAGCAGTAGTCAACAATTTTTTACGTATCTATACAGGGAAAGACATTCGTGTCTGTGTGTGTAGAATTATAAATTATTATTCAAATAAGCATGAATCTTTCCCTATTTTACTTCACATGTTTTCTATTTACACTACTGTCAATAGCTAATCAAACTGAAGTAAGAATTTGGACATTATTGTCTTTCATACTACGATTGCGATTTTTAGTTAACTTCTAATTCATGTCCAACATCTCGTCGCTTATTATTCTTAAACGGATTTCCTTTTCTTGGAGAGAAGAAATCTGAAGCGATTTCTTCATCTTCAAAAAGTCATTCAGCGTCGAACCATCCGCGAGCCGACACCCATCACGGCCGTACTATTTACATTCAACCTCAAACATCCAATGAACTTGGACAAAAAGTTCGTTCTTATAGTCATTTACTTAAAGCAAAATTGTTTACGAAAGAAGAACGAGCAAAATTGAAGAAACTTCAATCTGAAAAGAAACAATCTTCGAACTCTAAAGCAGTCAAAACGAAGACGGAATCACAACATGCTCCTAAAACAAGTGATTTAGTAGCTGTTGATGACCAGGAACGTGACCGATGTCGAGCATTACTTCATCTCAATCAGGAGAATGGCCTGGTGCCAGTTAAAGATCTAAAAAAAACGAAGAAACAAAAATCGATCGTATCCAAAGTGAAAAACACGACAAGTCAAGCAAAGAAGAAAGTTGCTAAGAAAGCAAAATCTTTGCTCGCCGATAGTAAGAAAAAGGCCAAACAGGAGAAACCGGCGAAGGCCACGACAAAAGCTTCGGACTCGAACGAGAAGAAAAACAAGAAGAAACGATCGAATGATTCGCAACCACCTATTTCATCTCGTACCGATGAAACACCGGTGAAACGTCAATCTACATATTCATCAACATCGCCACCGCCTTCAACATCTCCTCCTCCATCATTATCATCGAATGGCAAATCAAAACGAGAGAAAGCACCACCGGCAGTCGAAGAACACTCTGAAGTACCCGATGAAGTCGATTCGTTTGACAACGATAGCGAGGAGAAAAATAACTCAGTTGTTGGCCGTGCTTATCATTTCGTCAAAAACATGTTTCAATTATCCGATGATATTCTCGAAAACAACCATACTCATGATGACGAGCCAATTCTTGTTACAGCAACAACGACCAACGAACAACAACATCGTCAGTCTCGAAAGTTGCTTTCTATTGAGGAATTTGATAATCAGAAATCTGTCGATCTGATACCTTTGAATGTTTTTTCATCATCTGGTATTCATCTATCAAGTCGACGATTATTGTCTGCCAAAACAAGTAAACGTACGACATCATCAAAAGAGAAAAAGACAAATTCCGATGATAATAAACCGAAAGTGGGATGGAATTATCGTTATCGAATATCGCGATATTTAGCCGATAAAAAAACGAGACGTTCGGGCTATGGCAATCGAGCACTAACAAATGCAAAATGGAAGCAAAATCAGAAAAAGACAAGTTCATCAGCGGACACTAAAATCTCCAAACGAAAACTTCTTGCATTCAATGAAATCAATTCGAATGACAACGACGTGTAAGTTCATCTATCAATCAGAAGTAATAGACAAGCTAGCGAACGATTGTTTTTGTCTTCTCAGAATCTATCGTCTATCTTCGGTTACATGTCTTACATTTAACATGACATTTAGTGTGCGTTATTTTTCATGAGAGAGGACCATAGGCGTTTGCCCTAAAGATCCGTCTCTATATAAACAAGTATCGTTTTATGTTCTTTGTGTTTTTGCTAGATCGAATCCAGAAATCGTCAGCTCGGTTTTGATCACTGAAACTTTCGTTCCTAAACGTCAGTTATTAACAGCATCTGCATCGTCGTCAAAGAAGGCGAAGAAAGTGGAGAAAAAGGTCGCGCCTGTAAAAGTCGATAACGATGATAGTGATGATGAACATGATCTGGAAAAGATGAGCGAACGTCGACGAATGAAATCGTTAGAAGAATTGACAGATCCTGTTGAAATTGTCCGCTCATACGATCAAGGTTTATTCAAGCCACGTGTCGGCTGGCAGTTTCGTTATCGAGTCTCACGTTATGTTGATTATTTGCGTCAAAACATTCGAGAAGATCAAGAACGATTGAAATTAGGTTTACAAGCAATTAAACGTAAGACACCACAAGAATTGAGTGGACGCCGAAAGCGTGTTCTTGATAAACCATTCGCATCCGAAGTTGAAGAAGCACCAGTAGTCGATGTAAGATAAACTTGTTTGATTCGACATGAGAAATTCGGTTTTGATGCTGTCTAGGAAAATAAACCACACGTGGGCTGGCGTTATCGATATCGTATAAGTAAAATGAATGAAGCTAAGGAACGTGGCGTTTATGTTGATGATGAAGAAGAAAAGCGTAAGGCACGTTTGGCACAAAAACAGAAAGGCCCTGGTAAAGGCCATGGTAATGACGACGAATGTGTCGAATGGGAATATGACAGTCTCGATCCTGAATTGAGAAAGATTGGCGAAGAGGGTAAACGTGTTGGTTGGGCATATAGATATCGTATTCGTCGCAAACTTGATGATTTGAAACAAAAACAAGCAGGTAAGATGAACGAATGAGACTGATCATGACAAATCTCGCTGGTTTCTTTTCGATAGAAACTGGAATTCCATTTGATTGGGAAACATTAGGCGGTGGAGGTAAACGGGAGAAGAAAGTCACAACAACTACGGAGAAGAGTCCAACTGTTACGCCTGAAGAACGCAATAAAGAAGGAAGTAAAAATGTTGGATGGAAATACCGATATCGCGTATCTAAAATGAAAGAAGCACAGAAGTATGAAGCAGCCGAGTCATCGAAAACAGCAGCACAGAAACAGGACCGACTCCCGCCACATGAAAGACTTGACCCTGTCTTAGCGAAATTAACGCCCGAACAGCGATCAGTTGGCTGGCAGTATCGGTTCGTTGAAGTTTCAAACGAAATCACCACTTCATTTTCATTCTGTCTTTAGATACCGCATCCGACGTAAACTTGATGCACTGAAAGACATCGATCAGGATACAGATAGTGGTAGACGTCGCAAAAAACGAAAAGATAAAGAAAAAATCATTAAACAAGTGGAAGAATCGATTGAAAAGATTCTCAATATTGATGACATCGATGAAACGCCCTTCATGGAATATTTTCGTCGAACATCAAGCTATGTCTTTTTTGGTCTCCTTCCAACCGCACGAAAATCACTTTGCCTTCTACCATCACCTGTACCATTATCGTTTTGTAAAGAGAAAGATGAGAATGATGTCAAGGCAAATCCTAAGAAAACTGTAACGGCAACGAAAGCACCAGAGACCACTCAAGCACCATCGACGAAAAAGTTACAAACAAAGAAAGAGAAAAATGCAAAACAATTCATTCATTCACGTCCAAGGAAACTTGAGACAATTGATGAGAAGATCGATGAGCCAGTTAAACCTTTATCAAAATCATCACCGCCACCACCACCTGTCGTTGACAAGTCTCCAAAGAAACCCTCTCGTCCACGCCCACGAACATCATCACGACGCAGTTCCAATGAACAAGTCAAGCATTTCGACGAAGAAGAACTTCCCGTGAAAAAACTTGTTGGTGTCGAATCAAAGAAAAAGAATAAAAAACGCTACCAAATCATTGGCCAAGAAGTCAAAGTTAAACAGAAACACATACCACCTGTAACAACAACATCTTCCACGCCAGTCACCACAACTGCTGCTCCCACACCAACTGAAACAACCACTACAAGACCACGCACTGTCGTGACGACATCTCCTCCCGTTGTCGAATTACCCACGACGACAACTCCACCACCACCCCCTCCTGCTCATAAACCAGAAGTCGTCTCAACTACTACTACTACTACCCCACCGCCGTCAAGTCGGTCCATTCTAGAAATGATTGAAGAAGACGAAGCAACAACGTTATTATCAACAAAATCTACAACTACTGAAGAGCTCACCGAAGAAATCAATGAAACAAATGAAAATCTTCAGACAACAACAGCAGCAGCAGCAGAAACAAGTACATTATCTAGCATTACTGATGCACTAAGTTCAGCTACTGGAGGTAGTGAATCAAGTTCGTCTGACAGTGAATCAGATTCAGATGATAGTGACTCAGCATCAACTGATAGTGATAGCCATTCTTCAAGTGAAGATTATGATCCTGCACCAATGCAAAAAATCAAGCAACTTTATGAGAGTACAAAAGAGAATGTGCATGGCGTGTTTGATTTGAAAGACGAAAAAGATAGTTCTTAGACGGAAACAGAAACAATTGATTCATTTTAATTCTTTCTCGAAATAAATATTTTATATAGGAAACCCATCGTATCAATAGACCTCTTTTCTTTGTTCGACAGTCAAGTGTCCTGGCGATGCGATTGGACTTTCCGAGTAATTGATCATCTCAGTCGAGTCAAGATATTCAATAGAAAGTTGCCGATGAATCCGTCCTGGACGACTGCAAGCAACGTAGAAATAGATCACAGTAATGATCAGAACTAGCAGTAACGCAAAACCGGCACAGATTGCGAGTATAACAAGTAGTTTGGTCAATAATTTCGCCAATGTGTTTTGCTTTACTGTGACATTCGTTGTTTCCTGTATGTGCTGATGACTATCGTCATTGTTGAATACTAAGATGTTTCTCTTGATGTATGAATGTTTATAGCGACGATTTTGACATACTAAATAACAACTTGTCAATAGAATCAACCAGCCTTGTAAGAACATGGGCAGAAATTTTTCGATACCCGCCTTTTTGTGCGCTGTAAAAGACATGAATAAATTGGAGCCTTCAAAATTAGATGATGCTTTTCTATGCAGTGCGAAAACAACTACCAGTTCATAGTCGATCAACTCGTACTCATCAGATGAGATGGTCAGAGAGATGTCTGTTAGGTGGTCAGTAGGGTCTTCTGACCCCCATGCCACTTGTAATTCATAAAAACTGCTATATCTTTTACCATTGAGATGAATTCTTTGTAACAACGCTTTGTACTTTTCTTGCTGAGTAAAAGAACGACATCAACGCTCAATCAACTTACGTTGGTTGCTCATAAGTTGGATATCATTGGCTAGAATGTGTATGAATTAATTTTAACGCTCTCTATCGTTTGTTTCTGTTGCGCAATAAAATGAAGAATTAAAATTGAGCCGAAAGAACATACGAATGAATTTTCACATGCGTTTGTGCAAAAAAACATGAAATCATTAAAAAAATCTGAACTCTACGTTCTCTTAGCAACCAAGGCATGACGTTGAATCTCAATGTCGGTTGACCTCAGCAAAAGGAATAGAATAAAAGCTTGCTGTTTTCTTACAGGACAAAATCATCTGTATTTTTGCCTCGATCAAACAATTCCGCACTATAAACACAACTCAATAGCATTTTTTCATATGAATGAAAACGGTTATTCATTTCCAAACATTTTCTCATTTTGATCCGCCCAATCTTCGAGCTGGTAGGTTGCATTGAAATTGAGCGTATGTATAACAATAACCTTATACATTCACAGGTGTCAGATTTATTTTTTATTGATATTCGCGAGAGATTTCATGTATCGGACTAAGCTCGCAGGATAGTGTGAATCGTTTTGTCATTCGATCTCGTGTCTGGAGGTCTTTTTACATACGCGCGAGGAGATACATCTGCAAATGTCTGATACCTGTTATTTGACTTCATTTACATATTTTCTCTCAATTGAGAAGTCAATAATATATGCTAAAAAAAGAAAGAAATCATCGAATTCGAAAATAAAAAGAAATGAGTAAGAAACGAGTAAGACTGTACCAAAATACTTTTGTTTATTGTTGAAAACCTCGGCATTTTTCTTTGCAGATGAACGTACCAGTTCATGATCGAAGTTTGAATTCTCAATTAAAGAGCAAAATGGATTTAACCAAAGATGAATTCAATATTCCCAATGTTATCCTTGATCCTCGTACACGCACTCAATATATCAAAGGCAAATTTCTTGGCAAAGTTCGTGCACTTTCTTTTGATTTTCACATCGTTTTCCTCCGAATCTTTTAGGGCGGTTTTGCACGCTGTTACGAACTTACCGATGTTCAAACGGGTCAAGTATTCGCCGGTAAAGTTGTTCCAAAATCTCTTCTTATTAAACCTCATCAACGCGAAAAGGTATGACACATGAACATTATCTTTTTTGTCGATGTATATATCAATGATATTCGTTGCAATAGATGCAACAAGAAGTGTCCATTCATCAATCGCTTCGGCATAAGCACATCGTTCAATTCTATTCGTATTTCGAGGATGAAAATAATGTTTATATTGTCCTTGAGCTTTGTCGGCGACGGGTAGATGTTCTTTTCTTTAATCAACTTCGATTGTCATCGGGTGTGTTTAGTCGTTAATGGAATTACATCGTCGACGGAAAACTGTGACTGAACCTGAAACCAGATACTTTGTGAAGCAAATTGTTGATGCTTGCGCATATTTGCATGAGAAAAGAATAATTCATCGCGATCTCAAATTGGGAAATCTATTCCTCAATGATCAGATGGAAATCAAAATTGGAGATTTCGGCTTAGCAACAAGAATGGAAAATGATAACGATCGTAAACGGTAAGACATTGACGATTATTCAACGAACAGTCTCTTGTGAAAACTTTCTGTTTTAGAACACTCTGCGGCACTCCGAATTATAGTAAGTTGAGTAAAAATCATATTTATTCAGTAAGTCTATGTTTTATTTAACAGTTGCACCGGAAGTGATCAATAAAAAAGGTGAATATCGTCTTACGAAATGTAACATGATTACTTTTCATTGTTTTGCGTTTAGGTCATGGTTATGAAGTCGATATTTGGAGTTTAGGTTGTGTTCTTTTTACTTTATTACTTGGCAAACCTCCATTCGAAACGGCGACGTTGAAAGATACTTATTCCAAAATACGTAAGAATGAATACAAAATTCCCGAGAATCACATCAGCCCTGAAAGCTACTCCCTCATTCAACGTTGTTTAAAACACGAACCATGTGAACGTCCAACAATGCGTCAAATAGTCAATGATCCTTTTTTCTCGGGTTTCACTCCGGCAACTTTGCCAACTTCTGTTTGCACAGTTGCACCACGTTTCGCTGTCATGCCAGCAAATGCTCAACCCGTATCCCAAACAACTCCTAATCAGGATAAACTTTCGCTATTTTTACAACAACAACAACGGCGTCCATTTACTGAGCAACAGCAAAACGATCAGGCATTGATTGCATCACGACATCAACAACCGGTTTCTCTACCGACTGCTCAGCCGGCTAACGAACGTCCGAAAGAGATCAATAATCCATTGAACGCACGTATCACATCAGCTGTGACGAATCAAGCCGATGCAATATCGTCCTCATCCTCCGCACAAATGGTTCGACAATTGACGAACATTGATAAACAAGCATTTGTGCCAACAGGCTCAACCAATGAAGAGGTTCAGGATGATCTACATTTAGCCACAGATCTTCATCGACAATTAGAACATTTAATTCAAGCAAAACCGAATGAAATATTGACTAAACATGAAGATGAAGCGGAAGACCCGGCATCTGCTCCTATGCTTTGGATATCGAAATGGGTTGATTATTCGGATAAGTATGGTTTAGGTTATCAACTATGTGATGATTCAGTTGGAGTTCTATTCAACGATTCAACACGGTTGATTATGACAGCAGGTGGATCGGAAAATCTTCAATACATTGATCGAGAAGGTTACGAACATTTGTGTACAATGAAAGATTATGCTGATCAATTGAAAAAGAAAGTGACGCTACTAAAAGTAAGAATGGGCAGAAGGTTGAGAGGACTCATTTGACGGCTCTTTATTTGCTTTTTTTTCAGTATTTTACGTCTTACATGGATGAACATCTACTGAAAGTAGGAAATGATCGAAAGAGAAGAGCATTGGAATGACACTGGATTATTTTAGGCTGGTGCTGCCCAAGCTCCTCGACCTGGCGATGAGTTATCTCGACTTCCATTTGTGAAAACATGGTTTCGTACACGTAATGCCATCGTGTTTTATCTTTCCAATGGCACACTACAGGTTAGTCATCGCCATGCCATCTTCGTTTCGTTCAATAGGAAACCTTACCTTCCCATTTCTAGATAAACTTCTTTCAAGACCATACAAAAATCATTCTATGTCCACTGATGAGTGCTGTGACATACATAAATGAACACCGTGAAATACACACTTACCGCTTACCAGCAGTGGAACAGTGTGGTTGTTCGAAACAATTGTTTACACGCATAAAATATGCTAAAAGTATGATGGATCGAATTCTAACATCCAAAGGGAATCAAAATCGAATCCATTAATTGTTCTTGTGTATCAGGTTTTTCAAGTTGTGCAATTTGTTTTCCGTTTTTACTCAACCGCATGAATATGATCATACTTTTAGCTTATTCATTTTCACTATTTCCGTTCTTATCATCACTTGTGTGTGTGTGTAAAAAAAAAAATAAACGGTAATTTTCAGCAATGATAATGATGACAACATTGACATAAAGAAACCATACAATCCATTTCGGTATTCTGGCGCTTTGAAACAAGCGCTTCAAGTCAATTGAAGTCACTTTTGCCTATGTCTGTCATTGAGTCACTCTGCAAGCAAATGATGTTTGTAGTATGAAAGATGTTATGTAACGCGTCACTTGAACTAGGCAATAATTGAGTAAATAAAGTCAAACTTGATCGTGATTGACTTATGCGAACGTCAGTCAAATAAAATTCACTGCTGGGATTTGAATGTGATGCATAATCATCAATAATTTCACTGAGAAGCAATTTTGAATTACGTTCGCATTTATTTTCTTACAAAATACAAGAAAAAGTAACAACGTTCGATTTTTTATGCTCGTTGACATATACATACACACGCATATTGGTGGATATACGAAAAAAAAACCTGCTCTTTTTCATTGATCGTTCTTCGTTCAGGTTTTCTGAAAGGTAGAAGTCTATTTTTCAGCGAATTACTTATATAAAACAAAGCCAAATTTGCATATGCATATATCACTAACACTTTGTACTACTAAATCGAGATGATTATTGTTTATCTGATGGAGCTTCGTCTGTATTTGCCCAAGTCAAACGATCTTCGTAGAAATGAATGACCTGTTGTGGACTGCGAACATTCGCTAAAAACAAACGATCGAATGAACTCAACGTCCCAATGATATTTTACCTATTCGAGCAGGAACTAATTCAGGCTTTTCGGTAGCTTGCCATTTAATTCTAGAGAAGGAATATTTCGTAGACGAAAGAACCAAATTTCATCCTTACAGAAACATCAATTCACCGTAAACATCAGTTGCTCCGAGAATTTTCTCAATTTCTAGTCCTCTGCCATAGCCGAAGTCGTTGGCACGCTTGACTTTTTTCATTGCATCATTCGTTGCTGCATCTTGAGGAGCGCGTTTATTCGAATCAGATAATTCACTGGACTCTAAAGATTTTTTTGATCTTTTGTGATAGTCAGCAATTAGTTCTGGACAATCTAGATTCATTTCAGGTTCCTAAAGACAAACAAGAACGTTTCTTTCGAAAGAATCTCTTTGATTTACCCAAGTATTTTCAGTATCGCCAAAGCCTTTCCACTTGAGAAAATAATAGACTTCTCCATTGACCACTTTTCGATCGAGAATCTTTTCAACGATGAATTCTGCTTCGTCTAATTCTTCGTCGTCAGAATTATCCTGATGTTTACCCATGATTGAAATCCTATTTAAGAATACGTATGTTTGCCTAGGTTATGTTAACGTGACTGTTATGTGAAATGAGAATTTTCATTGTTTCGATTGGAAACATCTGATTGGCCAATGAGAAATCTGGGATTTTTATTCTTCCGATTTTGCATACACGCTTGTTATTCATGGGCGATACGTCCAAATCAATAAAGACGGATTTTGTCGATAAAACAAAACGTTCTGTAGAGTAGCGCTTGATTACTATTGGATGATAGGTAATCCATGAAATGATGCAGCGGTTCTTTGTTCAACTGATGAAAACGAAGAAAAATACCTATCTGTTCATCATTGAATAAAAGGAATGGATGACGAAGAATTCGAAGAAAATATTGGAAATACCGATGATTTGAATGACGATGTCACCGCGTCGGCTGGTCTTGGTCTGTCACTGGAAAAACGTTTTGAACGTTTAAATCAGTCCGACCGTATTGATCAGTTATACGGTTGCTCACGTTATACAGCCTTCGAAGAACGTATAGGTTGGCTATATAATCTTCAACCATGTGAAATCTTTGATGAAGAACGCCGGAGATTTGTCTCTGCACTTGATCTGTACTTCATTGGAGAAGTGGGCGATCGATTTAAAATTTCAATCGTCTATCCGCCCTATTTCTATGTCGGAACGAAACTCGGACGAGAAAATGACGTCTACGCATATCTATCGAAACGCTATCACAATCGGTGTTTATCGTGCGAACTTGTTGCAAAAGAAGATCTGGGTAAGAAAATTGTCATACAACAGGAGACTAAGAAGAAGATTGACATTTGTAGATCTTCCAAATCATCTTGCTGGAATCAAACGCACGTTCATTCGTCTTCGTTTTCACGATATCGATGATTTAATCAAAGCACGCAAAGAAATACAACCAATTGTCAAACGTAACACAGAGCGCGAAAAAGAGCAACAGTCTCGTCCGGAATTGGCGGTGTTAACTCGCGCAGCATCTGCCAATTCTCGCAGTAGTGACTTAATTATCAATGGTCTTTCGAATGCTAATGTTGCCGAAAAACAAATTGATGGAATTATGGAATTACGAGAGTTCGATGTTCCCTATCACATTCGAGTTTGTATTGATTTAAAAATTAACGTCGGTCTTTGGTACGTGTCAATGAATGAAGGTTGTGAAATGGAGTCTTCTTTGCATTTGCATAGGTACGGCGTTCGTGGACAAGCAAGTGGTGGACCACAGAATCAATTAGTATTAAAACCCGAATTAATCGAACAGCCTGAACCTATTGTTCTTGCATTTGATATTGAATGTACAAAAATGCCGTTGAAATTTCCGTCAGCTGCAACTGATCAAGTACACATCTTCTATATGAAACAAGTTCGGTCTGATGTAAATCAAATTCCATTTTAGATTATGATGATATCGTATATGATTGATACACAAGGTTATCTCATCATCAATCGTGAAATCATCTCGCAGGACATCGATGGTTTTGAATACACACCGAAGAAAGAATATCCCGGTCATTTTCATGTCTTCAATGAATCGAACGAATTCGAACTGCTCAGACGATTCTTCAATCATATTACTGATGTTAAACCGCATATACTAGTGACCTACAACGGTGATTCGTTCGACATTCCATTCATTGAACAACGTGCACAATTCTATGGTTTGAATATGTTCAATGAAATCGGCTTTCGGAAAGATTCACAAGACAGTTATCTTTCACGACCATGTGTTCATATGGATTGTATTCGATGGGTCAAACGCGATAGTTACCTTCCAGTTGGTAGTCATGGTTTAAAAGCAGTAACAAAAGCGAAACTTCGTTACAATCCAATTGAAATCGATCCCGAGGATATGTGTCGTTTAGCTGTCGAACAGCCTCAAACACTATCGAATTATTCAGTGTCAGACGCCGTAGCGACTTACTATCTATATATGAAATACGTTCATACATTTATTTTCGCTCTGGGAACGATCATTCCAATGAGACCTGATGAAGTCTTGCGAAAAGGTAATCTGGAAGTGAATCAAAATATGCAATATCCTTTATGATAGGTTCCGGAACATTATGTGAAACACTTCTGATGGTACAAGCATTCATGGCCAATGTTATCTTTCCGAATAAACACGAAGATGAACAGTACAAATATACAAATGATGGCCATTTACTTATTTCCGAAACATATGTTGGTGCAAGCGTCGAAGCACTTGAGTCCGGTGTTTTCCGTAGTGATATACCTTGTCGATTCAAAATCGTGCCGTAAGTTACCCATATATATATATATATTCGATATACCTAAAGAAATCTATTTTAGTGAAACAGTGCAATATCTTATCGATAATATTGACCGTACACTCCAACAATCGATCGAAGTTGAAGAAAAATTATCGATTGATTCCGTAGAAAATCTCACTGAAATTAAAGAGGATATTCTTCAGCGATTGCAACATTTGAAAAACGTTCCCAATCGTCTAGAGAACCCAAACATCTACCATTTAGATGTCGGTGCGATGTATCCAAATATAATCTTAACAAATCGTTTACAACCGTCAGCTATCGTCGATTCAACGATCTGTGCTCAATGTGATTTGAATCGTCCAAATGCGCGTTGCCAGCGTAAAATGGATTGGATATGGCGTGGAATGTATGTCCCAGCGACACGAAATGAGCTACAGCGCATTCAGTTACAACTTGAAAACGAACGTTTTCAGTTCAATGGACAAGCAATCGAAAAGAAAACATTTCTAGATGCATCAAAGAAAGGAACAAACACTAGTAGGTCTCGTTTTATTATGGATGCTTTTCAAATGGTTGATGTTTGTTTGTTAAGCGAACAATACGTTATCGTTTCATGAATTGCCACAGGAAACTCAGATAGCCATTGAACGTAAACGTCTAAACGATTATTGTCGTAAGGCATATAAAAAAGTCAATCATACACGAGAAGAAACTCGCGAGACTACTGTTTGCCAATGTGAGAATTCGTTCTACGTTGATACGGTGCGAGCGTTTCGTGATCGCCGTTACGAATATAAAGGTTTGCATAAGAAATGGAAAAAAAATCTCGCCAATGCAATGAAAAAAGATGAACTTAGTGAAATGAAACGATGTAACAATCTCATTGTCATTTACGTAAGTGACATTGCAAACATCTTCAATTCAAATCATCTATTCCATATTTAGGATTCGTTACAATTGGCACACAAATGTATTCTCAATTCATTCTATGGTTATGTCATGCGAAGAGGTTTGTTCGAATGTTGCAGACACCTTTTGCACTCGTTTTGAGTTGATTAGGTGCACGTTGGCATCGAATGGAAATGGGTGGTATCGTATGTACAACTGGTTCGACGATCATCAAACGGACTCGAGAACTCATCGAACAAATCGGACGTCCATTAGAACTTGATACCGATGGTATATGGTGTGTTCTTCCGGCAACATTTCCTGAAAATTACGAACTGACTACAAGCGACCCATCGCGTCCGAAAGTCGTCATTTCGTATCCATGTAGTTTATTGAATTTGCTTATTAAGGATCATTATACCAATGATCAGTATCATGAACTGGTTGATAAGGAGAAACATGCATATGATATACGTTCGGAAAATTCGATCTTTTTCGAAATTGACGGTCCTTATTTAGCAATGATTTTACCGGCATCAAAGGAAGAAGGAAAACGTATCAAAAAACGCTATTGTGTTTTTAACATGGATGGTTCCATCGCCGAATTGAAAGGTTTCGAAGTGAAACGTAACGGTGAATTACAACTGATAAAAATCTTTCAGGCAAGTGTCTTCGATGCATTTCTCAAAGGCACAACATTAGAAGAATGCTATAACCATGTTGCCACAATTGCCGATTATTGGCTTGATATGTTATATTCACGTGCAAAAGATATATCGGATAAGGAATTATTTGAATTGATCTCGGAACGACGAACAATGTCGAGAATGTTATCCGATTATGGCGAACAAAAATCCACATCGATATCAACAGCGAAAAGGTACGAAAACCGGCTATTTCGTTAATATTCTCTATGGAGTTCTGCTTTAGACTTGCTGAATTTCTAGGAGACGATGTAATCAAAGACAAAGGTCTCTGTTGCCGATTTGTTATTGCAAACGTTCCTCGCGATGCACCTGTCACCGAACGTGCAATTCCATTAGCTATCTTTCAATCGGAGCCATCGATTCGCAATCATTACTTACGTAAATGGTTACGCTTATCATCAGTTGAAGATCTCGACATTCGCGAAATACTTGACTGGAATTACTACATCGATCGTTTCAATAGCTGTATTCAAAAGATCATTACCATTCCAGCCGCTTTACAAAATATTCGAAATCCTGTTGTACGTGTGCCACATCCGGATTGGTTACACAAGCGTTTAGTGGAAAAAAACAGTTTATACAAACAGAAACGTATTACCGATGTATTCAATGCTGTTGACAAAGAAACGCACATTGAGCAACAATTAGCTAATGATATTGAAGATCTTGGTGGAGCGAAAAAAGCGCCCACAACAGCCGCATCAACAAAAGTTGTTCGGAAACGTAAACGAGATGAATTGAATGACAAAACTGTCACACGACAATGGAGAATCGTTCTCGGGCCACCACCAACCTTCGGTCAAACAACAGGCCAACATATCAAATGGTTGAACTATCAAAAACGAAAGTGGGAAATTCAACGTGAACAACCATCAACCAACAATCCTGAAGGAAATGTTCAAGCTGCAACAAAACCGAAATCATCCACAACAGGAAAAATTGATACATATATCCGTCGCGCAGCTGAACATCTGCATACACGCCCATGGCAGATCATTTCGTATGAACTAACGGATCAGCCCGGTCTATTCAAAGCCTGGTGTTTAGTCGAACAAGAATTAGTTCAAATCAAAATCAAAATTCCACGTATTTTTTATGTAAACTATCGCACGCCTATTGAAAACGCTTCGAATCAAACACAACGATCAGTTGGATATGAACGTGCGATTAGGGATTGTTCACATAAAGTCAATCGATTATTACCACGATGTTCACAAGCCTATCATCTATATGAATATCGTCTCGATGAGAGTCATTTTCGAGACTATTATACCGACATCATGACTGATTTGAGCAATCCGAACATTGAAGGTGTCTATGAAATGAATGTTCCGCTAGAATTTCGTCTTTTACTTACTCTTGGCTGTATCTGTTCATTACGAAAGGAACATCATCGAACAAACCTCCTTTCCAATCTGTACGAATTTGACGAGCTAGAATTCCTATCTCTGTCCGAACAAGCATATTTACAAGCCGGAAGTTTACAATGTATCTATCTATACGTCCACCAAGATAGCGGCAAATTATTCATTGCGCTGTTCATACCGAAGATTTGCCGAGTGTTCGTTGGAATATTGGATGACATACGAGAAAATCGCATGCCAAATTTGAATAAGTTATTGAAAAATGAATGTGAAAAACGATTGCAAAAAGGAATTGATGCGAATCTGTTACCGATCAACGAACATCAATTCGAAGTCAAAGTCGATACAGATTTACAGAACATTTGGAGAAGATTCAATAAAATCATCTCCAGTCGTAAGTAGAACGCATAGTTTTATTTCGAGAGAATGAAATTCTTCTCATTCATTTTTTAGTTCGCGATAACGATATGGCAACTCGTGAATTACCAATCTATTTGGCCATTCAATCTAATATTCCCCTCTCGGATCTTCAAACATCCATGTTATCCACATTGTCCGATTATCCAAAAATAACGCTATCGATAAAAGACAAACCAAATCTATACAGGGGTCTGGACTGGCAGCGAACAGCTGCTCGTCATGCGCTACAACACTATGCCAATGCAAACATCATTCTCGTTAATATGCTCGAACAATGTCGGTATTTGCATATACCATTAGGCAATTTTCCGGATGATCCCTGTTTGTTTGCATGTGATCTCTTCTATGCTCGACATCTGGTTAAACATAATCATTTATTATGGTGTTCATTAACCGATCAGCCTGATCTGGGTGGTAAAGAACAAGATGATTATCGAATGTTATTAACAGCAGATGTAAATAGTAACAATGAAATACACAATGATGATAATATTTTTAAGAATGACAATGAAGGAATACATACAAACAAACAAAATCATCCATTTGAAATCAATCATTCAGGATTTTATCCAACATCATGCATTGAATTTGAACTTGTTGGTCTAGCCATTTGTGCCGTTTTAAATTTTCAAAAAATTCACGAAGCGGAAGGATCAAATTTTGATTTAGGCTTCGGCACAACTGTGCAAAATCCTCTAGGTGGTCCCGGTGTAGTTCCATCAATTAGCAACACTTCTCTTACTGCATACGATGAAACTTCACAATGCTTACCTGCCTTACGTCTTCTACGACAGATGGTTCAAGTGTGGCTACAAGATGTTCATTCCTACACAAATATATTCGCTGACATGCAATTGAATCATTTCTATCGTTGGTTGCAATCAACGAAAAGTCTTCTTTACGAACCAGCACTGAAACGTACCATTCAAGTTTTCATGAGAAAACTACTGTAAATGCATATTTTCATATCCTGCGTATGTTTTATTCGTCTTTTTCAGTGTACAATTACTAGTTGAATTGCAACGCATCGGCAGCACAACAATCTATGGAAATTTGAATAAAATCATTCTCGCCACAAAACGATGGTCACTTCTCGATACGCGTTTGTATATTAAAGTCATACTTGAACATCTTCAATTGAAGGATTTAACGTCAACGATATGTTTGGAATTGAAATCAATTTATCATTGTCTCTGGTGGTTCGATGACAAAAACTATTGCGGATTTCGGATCTGGTCGAATGCAAAAGGACAAATCGATGATAATTTCGATAACGACGACGAAGAAGAAACCATCTTCGATTGGAATATGATTGTATACTTACCAAGAGTGGTTCAAGATTACTTTGAAACGATCATGTAAGTCAAACGAAAAAAGAACAGCATCAATTTCGATCATCATTGCAACTTTTTCAGGATTGGTTTCGCTCGATCCATTTACGATCGACTTCGTGATGAATACAAAGATGCGACATCAGTTACTCAAACAAATCTACCACCAAAAGTCCTAGAATACTGTCGTGGTCTATTCACTGATGAGCTCTATCAACAGTTGATGTCCGTCACAAACCAAATCGAACGAAAACTAACAAAGAGCGATTTTGATTCCACCTTGCCAACACCATTGTTAAGCACAAGTCCATCGTTAGAGTTCGTCAAAGCTGTTTGCTGTCTATTATTTCTTTTGCATGACATGCACGATGATGTCTTGAATCTTCGACGAGATTTATTGAAATTACTCAAACTGAGCGAGTAAGTCGGCGTTGAATTCTGCTCGACAAAGTTTCGTATCTTTTCTTTTAGATATTCTCAAATAACAACAACGAATCTTTCGTCATTAACTTCATTTGTTATTCCTCAGCTAGTCTGTTCGAATTGTAATCATTACCGTGACATCGATCTGTATCGTGAGATCAATTCCACCAGCGACAAAGACTCGAACAACGATAATGATGATCAACAACGACAGTATCAATATACATGTAATCAATGTCATACAACTTATGATCAAACAGTTATTGAACAATATTTATTGAATCATTTGCAAACCTTACTTTTAGAAAACGTTCTTCAAGATGCAATCTGTCATAAATGCCATTTCGTTCGAAATGTCTACTACAAAGTCTATTGTGATTGCGGTGAACTGTATCAGAATTTACATACGTCCAAGCTGTTGCATGATACATGTATAATTCTCTCACAGATCGCATCGAAACATCAAATGACAGCGCTTTTACAACAAATACAATTTCTCAAACGATTAAATCATTGGAATGACTAATGAATATGAAATATGACTTATGATGTAGATCTATTCTTTGCTATATAATAAACTAGCGGGCGTACCCGCTGCAAAATAAGAAATATCTATGTCGAATGCCTGACGTGTTGAAAAGCTGCAGCAAATAGAAAAATCAATAGACTCCAAGATTGTATGCTGGCGGTCCTAATTTTTCCCGCCGTGCATCGCACAAAACGACAACTTCAATTATAGCTCTTTATGCAAAAGAGTTACCGAAGCTGATTTCTGCCTCAGAACTTATTCAAATTTCCTCTCTCTCTCTCTCTCTCTCTCTCTCTCTCTCTCTCTAATATTCATTCTACACTCCAGCTACTCATTCATCGACCTCTTTCTCACTATCACGTCACTTCATACCTTATATCCTTCGAATTCACCCACCCTCGACATTTATCTTCATTTTTTGAGATCCTGTAACGCTATTGGTGAGTTTCGCAGATTATCTGTAGCATTCACCGAACTATTATAGGCGTAGAGATCACGTGGATTGTTGTCTTTGAGCACTCAGACGGTCTTCGCTACCGACCCGCTGCAATTTTTCACATCTCGCAATCCAATTGGTTAGCGTCCAAGGTTGCTTGTAGCGTGCACAGGCAGAACACGTGGATTGATGTCTATGTGCGCTCAGACGGCCTTCGGCCGCCTTCGCTACCGACCCGCTGCAATTTTCACATCTCGCAATCCTATTGGTCAGCTTCGCAGGTTGCTTGTAGCATGCACAGGACTCCCAAGCACAGGTCGAACATGTGGATTGTTGTCTTTGAGCGCTCAGACGGCCTTCGGCCGCCTTCGCTATTAATTTTCTCAATTTTGGAAATCTCGCATTCCTATTGGTCCGTTTCATATATTGCCTGCAGCAAAGGGCTGGCTCCTTTGTTCTCGGGGAAAAGTAGATGTCGACCTTCCTCTGGGCCTCAAGAAGCATTGTGGAAAGTTCCACGCCGATAGCTGCTACAGGGACTGAATGCATAGCGAACAGACAGACAGACAGACAGACAGACAAACTTTCTTCTTTATATATATAGATATTGAAATGATGAAGAATAGAGACGTCTTGAAGTGGAGTATGAATCATATATCAATAACCATTTATATATGTGTTTGTTTATTTTGAAAGAGAAATGAAATAATATGATAAAAGAGCGAGCATAAGTCTGCAGCAGAAGAAGAACAAAACAACAAATTTCATAACAATAGAAGAACTTCTATGCGCAATGCCGAACTCTTGTATTTTTTTTAAGCAAAACAAAAAACTCAACCATATAAACAATACTGGCTTTCGTCAAAATATCCAATGAAAATCACCACACTAACCGTGCGCTCATTCTCGACTGACGAAAACGAATGAACGCATGACATCCCCGATAAATAAAAGAAAAATAACAAAAGACCTGCTTCTCACAACGACTGACAAGTTTGAAACTAATAGCTTGTGGAACAATGCGAAAGTGATAGAAAAAGACTGGGTATGTACATATAAATGAGAAGAGAAAAGAACGTATTGCATAATGAGAACCGAATAATCACCCTTAAAAAAGTCTTCTACGCATGCGTTTGTTCGTTTTTAAATTCTCTCGCAATAAATATCGAAATCACAACAACCCCTAAGAGAAGAATAATATGTTGAAGAATATAAATATATGTATAGTGTGCGAAAGAGAGAGCGGAGAATATAAGAAAGTAAGTTTATCAGATAGAGAATAGGTTGAAGTCAGACAAGTTGAGCAAAATACGGACAAATATGTAAATAAGTTCAAATAAAAAGAGAAAAACAAAACAAAAGAATCACAGTTTTTTCACGTGATATTTCACGATAATGCATTTTCATTTCTTATTGTTTTCGTTTCGGAGGACCCCAAACGACAGGTATTCTGCTCACCGTTGTTTCATGTACTTGAGAATGATTACCATTTGTTGTGAGTGTATGACCATCGGCGAACGAAGGATATTCATCTAAACAATCAAGCATACACGTACATTTATCGCGGAAAAATAGATGACATTTTATGATAACGTAACGGTTATCTCGAGAGTCGAAGCGACTGAATACTTGCTACATATCAAAACGTGATGAAATTTCCTCGAGATAATGTGGGCGGATGAGATTCGAAAAAAATTTTGTGTATTTCAAATCTACGAACCTAAATCGTCTTTGCTTGGCGCCTTTTTCGCCGGTTTTCTGTGTCCATTTCTCATTGCGCCTTGTTCATGGTCAAAACCATTTTGTTCACCTGCTGTCCATGGTGCATTTTTTACTTTAAATGGTGCTTGTTTTTGCTGTTTATTTGCGTTGTTGTTCTTTGCTGGTTGAATTACTGACAAACTATTCGCGGAAGGCACTTCTTGTTGGCGAGTCTGATGTTGAGCATTGGATAGTTGTTGACTAAATGTTGATTCACCTTGTGCTTGAGATCGATGCGGAAGATCTTGAACGTAATCGTCCTCAAGCGCTAGTAAATGATCGATGCAAGCGTCGATCTTGTCTTGATCTGTTCCAATAACATGAACGCTGTCGCTTTGATTATTGGAAGGAAATTTGACGTCAACGCCGTATTCTTTCATGATCTGTTGTAGTCTTTGTCCACCTGAACCGATAATACGTGCGTGAATACGATGATCGATTTCAATTTCCATGGTGATTGTTGAATCGAAGCGTTCTATGAGTTTGAGAATTTCATCTCGGCATGCTAATGCTTTGCTCTCATAACCAATAATCAAAATTTCGACATCATTCGACGTGGATTCAGTTGATAACGAATGATTTTCTTGTGGAATCGCTTGTTGGTCATCATGTAGTTTATCTGAACCATTCGATTCTGCAGGTGTGGGTACTACAGCTGATGTTGGCATTTGACTATTCGATATAAGTATATTAACATCGTGTTTTTGTTTCAAGTTATTGATCGTTCGTCGACGTGAGCCGATGATCAATGGGCGGTATTCTGGTTTAATGGTAAAGCGTAGTTCGAAGGATCGGGCGACTTTATCAGCTTGATATTTCTCATAACGATCGAGTAATTCTTTCTTTAAACCTTCGACTTGGTCGGCTTGACCGCGTAGGTATATGGTATTTGATGTTGACTGTAAAGGTGGAAAAGTTATTTGTACATCTGGATACTGTTCGCTTAATTTTTCTAAGTCACTACCATTTTTACCAACCAATGGCCCATGCGCTTCGTATGGAATGTCTAAAGTTGCTTCTAGTGGAATCATTTTTTCAAGAGCAGCCATAGCTTTATCGATATCGTCTGTTCGACCGGTGATTCGCACGAGATCACCATTGCTTGAATCTTTTCTCGGCGGAAATTTAATTTGAACATTGTGTTCTTTCTCTAAAGGTTGAATATATGAACCACCTTGTGCAAGTAAATAACCGTAATGCCGTTGGGGAATCGATATTTCTTTGGTGGTTGTGTTTTGCCATGTATCAATCAATTCTTCTAAACGCTTTTGTACTTGTTCAACAGCTCCTTTTGGTCCACGTAAGAGAACTTGATCAGACTTGGTGTTTCGTTCAGGTAATTTGATCAGCATATCGCCATACTGTTGTTGTAATTCATTCAACAATTTGAGTTTATTTCGAAAGAATCGACTATGCCATTTGGGATCAATGGTCATATATTTCTCAGCGGAATTTTCGACTGAAACACTTAATTGGGCAATGTGATCGTCGAGCAGTTTACGAGCTTTGTCAACATCAGCTTTCTTTCCGTTTAAACGAACCATTACGGAGTCTTTTGTCTCATCCGGTACAGGAATATCCAGACGAACATCGGGCATTTGTTCACGCAAACGTTGAATATTTGCGCCATTCTTGCCGACAAGGAGAGGATACAAACGTTTGGATATTTCGAATTCTGTCGAATATAGGTCTTTGATCTTCTGTTGTAAAAATTTCGCACATTTTTCAACGTCATCCTTATCGCCATGTAATGTAACTTTATCACTTTTGTTCTTGGCATCAGGAAAGGTTATTTGTACATTGTGAAATTTCGAACGAAGTTCTTCCAGTTTTTTACCTTTAACACCAATGATTTGTGGGTAATATTGAGGGTCGATACTGACACTTGTCGTGCGCTCATTCGACTAAATTAACGAACGTTAGATAATCATCAATGGTGAAAGACAAGCTGAGTTGTTTAGCTTACCAGTTTTTGAACTCGTTCAAGAAGAATCTGTCGAGCTTTTTCTACACTTTCTTTTGTGCCCATTAATTTAACCAGACGGCCTTCGTCTTTCGGAAACTTGACATCACAACCGGTTTGCTCTTGAATTTCACTCAACCGTATTTGATTTTTACCGATCAACTGTTTGTAATACTGAGGATCGATGTCAACTTCTAAGTAAGTTGTATTCGTGTTGCGTAGATCGTCGATCACTGTTTGTACTTGACCACGAACAAGGTCGACTTCTTCAGGTGGACCTTCGAGTGCGATATGATCATCTCGGAAGAAGAGTCGTACCTCCGGATGAGACTTTCGAATAATTTCTAAGTTCGCATTACGATCACCTCTGACAACACTGTGCATCCAGTGCGGCGCATTAATTTGAACAGCAGTTAAAGCATTTGCCTATTCAAAACGAAATCAAAGTTCAAAAGGATTTGTTATCGAAAACTGTTATTTTACCATTTTATAAATCATGGTAATCGCCTCGCCAATTTTATTCGTTTCACCGATAACTTGAATTGTTGGTGAATTGTCCTCTTGGTTGGGAATACGAACGACCACATTTGTTTTATCGAAGATTTCCTTCAAACCAGCACCTTTTTTACCTAAAATAAATCGATGTTGTTCACATGGAATTTCCAGCGGAAAAGTCATGATTTTTCCTTCCTAAACAAAGCCGAGTATGAAAATATCTTCCAATCAACGCATGATTATCCTTACCATATTGTGAAAGAATTGCATAATTCTCGTCTTCGCCTGTTCTACAGGTTCTCGTTCGCCACGGATCGATATTTCATCTGTTTGTTTGATCGGTGGCGGTAAATCGATTGTTACTTTCAATTGCTTCTGCAAATCATTCACTAATTGATAGCGAATCCACGGATGATACAAATAAGGAACATTCAAACGTTCATAACCTTTGTTCGCTTGGATATGATATAATTCAAGAATTCTTTGTTCACATAATTTCACATTGTCTTTGGCACCCGATATGATAATTGCATTTGACGGACTGTCTTGCCGTGGTACAGCGACACGCGTTAGAGTTTCTTGTTCTAACAAGCGTAGAGTTGCACCACGTGGCCCGATGATGAAGCGATGAAAGTCCAGTGGAATTTCAACCGCAATTTTCACTGGTTTTTGTAATTCACGAAGAAGTTGAACTTGAGCTGAACGAACTTGTTCAGGTCGACCGGTAATTGTCACAATTAAGTTTTCTTCTTTATGGAAAAACGCTATATTCGTTGCTAAAACAACGCAAAAGCAATATTTCTTCCTACAGAGAAATTATATTGAATTTTACATGTTTCTTTTTGAATACGTGTGCATAATTTTTGTAGTGGTTGTCCATTTGTATTGGATGGATTACTGACGCCGTTATTTCGTGTGGACTGATTGCCACCACGTCGTGAATGGTCCACAACTCGTTCCTCAGGAGGAATTTCAATCTAATCAGAAACAAAAATGCAGTTTCTATTTCGGTAAACATATTTTCAATAATTGAGAATTTTTATGTCCTCTCGACTTTTGGTTTGTTTATACTGAAATACTTTTAGTGTCGATTTTTCTTCGTGACCTGAAGAAGTACCGTGGATGTGAAGTCATATAAGTGAGACTATCGAAACTTTGTAAACAACGTACAATTCTGGTTGTTGCTGACTTTTCATGAATCGCTAATTTACGTCGTCGGTCTTCGTCAACTTTCGTTGACGTACACGCTGATGCCGTTGTATTGAACATTCCATTTGTTTCATTCATGGTTGTTGATGAAAATGGTGCTGTGAAAAATGTGTGCGATCGATTGACATCGAATTGTCTCGACGATAATTGAGGAAATGCTTCATTGTAATCTGGAATATCATCGACTTCATTCTTGTCGGATGATGGTGATGTTAATGTCACACCATTGGAATCTTTGAAGCCGTTTTCTCTCAAATAATTCTCATCCGTTACCATCATAGCCATGATTGTTAAAATACCTGAAGGAATAGAAAGACGCGATCAGTACAATTTTTTTTTAAGAAAAACAATAAACAAAATGTTTTTCTCTCTTTTTCTATTTAATAAAACGCAAACGAAACGAAGAATGTCGAATTTCATTAGAATATTTATCAAAAGATGCCTGAAAGCACAAAAGTAGTAAAACCCATCTGTTCACATTAATGATCGAGATATTCTATTCTCATTCTTTTACAAAATCAAATCTAACCGCTGGATGTTAATAATAAAAAAAAGGAAAGGAGAGAGACGCTCCTGGAAGTCGAGGTATTTACACGTCAAACAATCGTCACTGTTTTTATTAATATTAATTCACTCCAGTGTTGAGTGAATGATCTCAAATTAGAATCTGACATATGTTTATTTTATTTAACTTTTATATGAAAAAAAAGAGATAGTTAATCTACGAACGAGAGAGCGAACGAAAGCAAGAGAAATAGGGGAGAAGAGAGACAGACACGCATAGCAAACGCGTCAATATGATAACACACGCACAGAAAGTTATACTGAATGACGTCAATAGGTAAGGTAAAAATTGAGCGGCGAATCAGCAGAGAAGTTTTATTTGTGAGGATTTTCATTCTAGCAAAAGTTTTGTGACATTCTCATTAGTAAAGAATGAGATATTTCGAAATCAGATAAATTATCTATGCATTATGATCTAATGAGGATTGATGGTATATTTTGATTGGAGGAAATCCGACTAATAGAAAAGTGAAAGGTACAGGACCAGCTGTATTGAATAAAATTTCGTTTTTTTCGACCTTTTCAACTAAACAAAAGTGGAACAATTCACATATTTCCCTTAGCATTGTATGAACTTTCTTTAGGAAAACTCGAATCGTGCAAAAATCATTACGCATTTGTGAGTACCGAGACCAATCGATCATGTGTAGCGCCTTAGGAATGATGACCACTGAAGACCGATTTTAGACTATTGCACTGCGCAGGAAATATCACGGTTTCGATTACTAATCTCTTTATGAGGCATAATGTCTGTGTGACATACGATACTTCTTTGAGAAATCTTTCGGCAATTACCGTTGCGCTCTGTTGTATATTTCGTACATATTTCAGAATTTTCAAACAGCTTTGCTGTACATCGGCAGGACTTTCCAAAGAATTCCAATCTGTAACGAGTTTCATGAACATGAGGTGTGTTTGTCAAAATTTTCTTCATTCATTACAAATCGCTATGTTCGCTGTCATCTATTCATTTGTATTTCAAATTCTGTATTTGATATTTTTCTAGATTTTGTCTAAATTGAAATGACGCTCAGTCTCTTTTCAATAATAAACGTATGGTCTCGAAATAAACAAAACTATGGTAAAATTGGAGAGGTAGGTCTTTCCTTGTTTTTTTTTCTTCTAGCCAAATCATTGCTTGTTATTCTCTGCTTCTTTTTTACATATTAGATTGAGTGTATCGACACGAATAACGACTCAACACCTTCGACAAATCCATTCGCTATTCGCACGAATGATTTATATATTGGCACTAGCGACGGGTAAGTCATTATTATTGACTTATTGAACATCTAAGTATGAAAGCAAGCGGAAAAAGAAGAAGAATGTCAATTCCATTAAATGTTTCTATCATTCGTTTGCTTTTCTTGTCCGGTGGCGATGAGTGCCATTCAGTAGTAGTTCGAGGTCACAATAAGGATCACATTCTTTACATAAATTGTGCTCATATATATAAACACCGGATCAGAGTTAATTGATTTATTGATGGTAGATTGCTAACTTGTGTATTACTGGCGTCCTTTGCCTTTATCCTTGCCTTTTCATTTAGTTTTTTTTTGCCGAAATAATCGCTAGTTGAAAGAATCCCATAGAGATTTCGTTTCGATTTTGTTAATCGACATGCATGCATATCCAATGAAAGAAAAGCAAAATGAATCGTTCGTCCCTGTAGGGTTGCGATGCTGAATGGAAAGTTCGGCTCCTTTTCCTTTTCCTAGAACTTGTCATATTAATCATTCAACGAAACGTGTAACTAGAGGAGAAAGAAAGATAACAGAAAATATCTAACACTTGTGCACAATTTGGCCAGTTTCCTTATGGAGATAAATTATCCGATGGTGCGCTATCAAGTTTTGTCTTTCTACCATGCAATGCGATGAGACAAGTCAATGTTAGATGAAGAATCTCATGTCTGCAAAGAATAATTTAGCAATATCATCATGTGGTGAAAATCGATCTCTTGCATAAGCGTTAAGGAATGTACATCGATCTCAGCACGTGTAACCTTGAGACGTTTCTCCTTTTAATTGTGGTCTTTTGAACTTTTTCTCACTTACGCATGCATACATTAAACAATTCATTTGTTCAACAAGAGGAATACATTATGAATATACCTTGGAAACAATGACGGTCTCATCGAAGATGCTTTTACCGCGTTGATTTCTTTGTTTGAATAGAGAATGATGCAAATAGAAGATGTTGGCACATCCTTGAAAGAATAAGGAAAGGAAGAGCGGAAAGAAAAGAAAGCGAAACAAATTGAACTGTCACACGATTGCCTGATGTCCGTGATTAGAACTGTTTTTCTCTTCTCCGCTTCTCATTTTCTCATGTCATTCGCGATCAGATTAGAATCCATATTAAAGAAAAATATAATCAGTACGTTGTCAGGCAAGTCTTAATTCTGCTTGTTAAAGTCAGAATTCTTTTCGATTTTACACAGAAATCGATGCAGGAAACCATTCCTGACAAGTTGAGATCAAACGATAGTCGATTTTTATGAATGTGTCGTTCAATGAGAGAGGGAGAAACAGAGCTGATTGAATTGTTTTACAGAAATGACTCTATTTCGTAAGTGAATGACTCTCTCGAGAAACAAGATAGTGATCGATTAATTGGCCTGGTATGAAGCTGTATTTTCCAAACGGATCTTGTCTCATGCTGACAGCTAATGGAATCTCTCCACTCCGTATGATAACGATCGCTGATGGTCATTTTTTCATCCATCATAATCATCAGTTAACATAAAGCAAAATTCTACGTGTATAAGACTAGTAGAAATGTCGGGCGGAGAATTTTCTTCTTCTGCTCCTTCTTTATTACATGAATAGAGAACAAAGAAAGAGAAAGAGAAAAAGAGAAACAGGTCCTATCGTATTTCTTTTCGTTTCTTCGCCTTCATCATTGTCTCATCTTCTTTCTCGCAGTATGTTATGTCCTACACTACATAAATGACAACTTGCTTTCTGTTTATATATATGTGTTCATCGTTATCATTCTAACTGATTCTTTCATGATTGTCACTCGAACTTTGTACTTTATTGAATCGATCGTCATTCTGATGCTCTCTGTATGTATTCTAACCGAACAACAGCAACAGCAGCGATCTACCAGTCAGTTATATCATATTCTTACTTCGTTAAAACCGCTTCGTCCTCAAATATGTCAGTTCAAATTTGAAAATTGTATTCAAGACTCTTCCTACGCTGATCAACTAAATACAGATTGTGATATCTATTCGCGTCTACGCGACTGCTTCCGATCCTTGCTCGACGAATCTCAATGTTCATCAACGCAACTGAAACGCCAATATAAACAAGCAAAGAAAAGTGAATATGAAGCATGTGGAGTTACATCAGTGTATGAAAAGACACGGTCATCTTGGTATACTTCCTCATCAACCAAATTGCATACTACCTGTCAAACACTGCTGTCACTTGTACTACTTCAATCATTCATTTGACCATTTCTCGACACTCCATCCGGTGATTTCATACTCGACTGCGTTTGATGCTAATTATTTATTCGATCTTCGTACCACTAAGCATTTCAGTTTGGATCAGCGACAATTCAACGTACTTCATAGACACGATTATTTTGTTAGGAAAGTGTTTGTTTGATACAACGTCTCGTTCATGTTTGTTTAAAGACATGAAGAAATAAAACTTCGTTCTACAGACGTATGGATGATTAATAGACATTACAATTACACTCTTGTATGCCACGCGACCGATGTGCGTTAGTCTCGAGAAGCATTTTGCCTGCTTGTTATAATATCATTGAAGATGAATGTGATCAGAAAACGAGCATTGAGATAAGTGGGTACTTCTATTCTAAGAGGATATTAGAGACACCTGTTACAACTGCATCAGCTAATCATGAATAAACTAGTTCAATGTTAAATGTAGTCTTAACCATTTATTTCGTAAAGATGCATCATAACGTCGGTCGGCTTTACCCGAGAATGAATAAGCTATTCACACTTGCTTAGTTTCTACAAGAACAATGATGTTCAGCGCATATTTAATGGAATAGAAAAACATGTGTTACATAAGAAGAGCTTATCAATGAAAGATTGATGCGATTTCTTTCTAGTTTTGTTCACAAATTTCGTCTACGGGAACGAACCACCGATGAATCAAGGCCTTCGTCTCTCCAAGACAAAGGATACGAATGTCTCTGCATTGCCAGTCAAAATCTTGCAACAGTAAAAAATATATTTGGAAAAGGAATTTCCAATCGGTTGTTCTCATTCATAGCATAAGCCTGTGATGAAAGTCAAAGTTGTGACTGTAACTCTCCATCGGTTGTTTACATTAAGTGATCACTGTGTCCAAATACTTGATAGCGATAATTTACAAGTACGGATGTGAATTTCATTTGACTGTCTATTAACTCAATCTTGAGTTTAGTTGATTCCAAATATGAAATTGAAAAATATCTCCACGTTTGGAATCTCAAGTGCAACTGATCAATATCAAGGAGGATACATCGATGTAACGAATGAAATAAGATAACCGATTAAAATTACCATCTGTGATCTAGATGTGTGTGTCAACGAAACGGAACAGAATACAAATCTATCGACTAGATAAGAACAACATGAATTTACGGTATGAAATGTCCGTTCAAGATTCATTTACATCAGTTGTAAGTTGGACATTAGCGAACTCGTTCCTTGATTCATATTCATTATTTTCTAGGCAATGGATGATCGCGGCATTCTAGCGTGTACAGAAGCAGAATACTTTGCTTACAGTCCATCAAGTGGTGCTGATCGCCGATCGATCGATTCATTCATTAGTATATTCAGGTTAGATGATCCTAATATACCAACATGTTTCACAAATATCTCTCCAGTAAGTATGCAGCGAACGATTAGATCTGAAAGTGACCATGGCCAATTCATTTCTAGGGACAATATTTACTCAATGGCCCTAATGTTGGTGTGACTACTTCCCTACAAGGTATGAGTCAGCGCGCGCCAATAATGTTTGTCAATACACCGATTGAGTTCATCTATTCTCATCCTTATTTAATTGCTCTTGTTCGAGAGTCTATTCACATCTATAGGTAATCCGTCTTTTTGTTTAATGTAATTATTGATAAATGAAGAAGTTCTTTTCGAAGTTATTTGGATGATCAACTCAAACAAGAAATTCCGATAAAATTTTGTCGAACACTAACAAATATGCAACAGGAAAATATCAAGACTATTATAGTTACAAACAAAGATAACATTTACCTACTAGAACCATTGAGTATCGAGGATCAAATCGATCAGTTATTGAACAGTTATCGATTACAAGAAGCTTTAACATTAGCTGAAAGTAATTGTACATCAATTAAACAACGTCGCACAAATCCATTGGTTATTTCTACTAAAAAACGTATCGCCTTTGTTGAATTCGGTGCTATGAATGTTGTTCGCGCATTGACATTATTTGATGATATTCAAATTGATTTCAACGAGGCATATCACACCTCTTTCATCATAAAAAGCAACACTTTTTGCTTCTCTATCATAGATTATGACCCAAATTCCCAATTTCTTACCTTTGAATTCGCCTTGGCCAACGATAGATGAGAATCTTATCACTCAATATTGCCAATGGTTGAATGCATTTTGTGATTACATCATCAAGCGCTCAGCAGAATTCTCCCGTCAACCAGTATGAAACTAGCGGAAGCATTCTGAAAATTTCGCTTTTCCTTCTTTAGAATTATTATCCAGCTTTACTGAAAGCGTACATTCTCACGAAATCTCGCGAAATACTGAATGATTTCCTCGAACTACACGCGTCTCAAATCCCTGCTGAATATTGTAATATCCTCCTTGATGCGAAATGTTATCATGCTGCCGCTTTACTCTCTTCTGCTCACGAAAAACACGAGCAAACTGTGAACATCTGGAAGAAGTAATGCACGCATGTTTTTATGTTTTGGTTTGACAACTATCTAATAATCTTTCTATTTAGCGTAGACTTGTCTCGAATGAATATTCTCACGATGAGACATTTCCAGGCGTTTGGATCCTGGCTAAGTATATCATGGAAAAAGACATCGATCGATCGGTAGCGTTTTCAACAGCTGAATGGCTGTTAGAACAACACGAAGAAGAATTAGCGTTGAAGGTCTGATTGAGTTTTCGGAAGATTCAGCAAGGAATTAATTGTTTGTTGGTTTGTAGATATTTACCAGTCAACATCGAACTGAAGCAAAAACTGATCCATTTTGTACAGATCGAGTGATTGGTGCGATCAGAAAGTATTCCACGATGTTAACGCTGTACTTGGAACATGTAATATTCAAGTTGAAGATTGAGGTAAGGTTGAGTTTTATAGTGTACAAATCAACAGAAGAGTGTTGAAATTGCGATAGGAACCTGTTCGCTTATTTTTAGTCGGAACAAATTCACACAATGCTGGTGAACATCTATCTTGATCAAGTTTTATCGAAGTCTGATGATGCCAACGAACAAATTCGGTATGATTCTATAGAACTTTCCCTCTATCGAATCATCTCTCCATTAAATCGATTAGCTCCAAACTTCAAACATTTATTATTACATCTAATTCATATCGCGTCCAATCGGTGCTAAATCGGGTCAATCAATCGAGTCGATTACGTCGAGAAGTCGCTCTTCTCCATGGCAAAGTAAATCTCTTCGGTGCGATTGTTCTTTTCTCAAAGCTCTCTCTTGATTGCAGATGAACCACTTCGATCAAGCTTTTCAAATTCTTATCGACGAACTGCAAGATTTCGAATACGCCGAAGATTATTGCATCGCTCTATCTCAAGACAAATCCAGTGGCGATCGGAAGATCGTTGCTCATATCTTATTCAAAGTTCTTCTCAATTCATTAAACAAGTAACCAATCCATCACTTTTCATTTGTTTTTCACTCCGTTCTGATTCCGACTTAGAAATTCCGAGAAAATCACGACGGTGATACTTCATCTTCTTAACAATACTGAAATTGAATTTGATTTTATCGAAGTTTTACAACAATTGCCATCACACTGGCCTCTTACTTCCTTATCTCACATTCTCCTTCGTGCCCTACGTACCTATTCCTATGTTCAACGTTCGAGTAAAATCGAATTAGCTTTAACTCGCGTTCAGAATCAACAGTTACGGTTTCAATTCAGTCAATTAAAATTGAAAAATACACTCGTTAACGAGCATCGCCAATGCCATCATTGCTGTCAACCATTTCACGAAACATCATGTGTACTTTATCAAGATGGTCACCGAGCTCATGTTCATTGTGCCAAAAAGTATCACCAGAATCATTAACAGCTCTTCAAAAGATTTTCTTTCTATAACGATTGTTTTTTTTCTTATTTATAAATATATAAACTTCCAACAATGTGATTTTCCTCTCTGGTTGATTTGTATGTTTCGAAATGCATGACAAACTTCCATAAGACAGTACTGACATCTGTATCCTGTGAGTCATACGATTGTCGTCGACTCTTCATCCATTGAATACCTTGTTTGATCAATGGTTTTAATTAGTAACTATTCGCTCATTGGCGATGCGAATGAGTAATACATGTTGCTAACTCATCATAGCTGAGTTCCTCCGATGTTCGTTAGAAATAATACGTAAAATACGTTCTATTTTATGATTTTCCCCTGCTATTCATAGACTCTGATTACACATTCAGATCATGAAACAAACATTTGTCCATGATATTAGTCATCAATTACAATCGGCCGTATTCTCATCAGGCTTAACAACCAAACTAATATGTCTCTTCTGTATTATTGGATACTGTCTTTCATTCAGTCCTCAATGCGTTCGGGTACTTGCAGTCATTCCGGGTCGTGTCATGCCCCCAAATTTTTGGATATGGTAAATTTCATTACAGCATACTTCTCCTCGTCGTACACTCTCACCCGTTCTCTGATTTTCTAGGACCTTCTTCACACATAGTTTCATTGAACTGCATCTATGGCATACCATTATCGATATTATAGTTGTTTTTCTCTATTCGAAAATGATTGAGCCACTATGGGGAACCAAAGAACTGTTGAAATTTTATTTTATTGTCACAATACCGAACGCACTGGTAGTGACATTTGCTTATATCATGTTCTACGGTTTCACTTTTCATGAAGAATATCTTTTCGAAAGGCCCATTTACGGTTTGGCATCATTTCTCGGTGCTTATTCCGTAGTTATTAAACAAATTATGCCTGACACAATTTTAGCCACTACACCATTGTTGAAACTCAAACAAGATCATGTGCCTCTGATAATTGTGATGACATCGATCGTACTTTGGCTTCTACGAGCCGTTCCCATTCACTTCGTAATTATGCTTAGTTTTGGTATTCTGATTAGCTGGACGTATTTGCGATTTTTCCAACCACATCACAATGGAACGAAAGGAGACATGTCCACGACATTTTCGTTTGCAAGGTAAAGAATCGAAAGTTCGAGGTACAACATTGCATTGATTATTTCTCTTTTCTAGTTTCTTTCCGCCATTGATAGCACCGGTTATCAGCGTCTTTGCCAATACAATTTTTGAACTATTCGTTAAAATAAAATTGTGTCAACCTTATGTGAAGAAAAGCAACGTGATGTCAACATCGAGCTTGACAATAACCATTCCAGGTGCAGACGCAGCTGATGCTGACAGACGAAGGTTTGTTTATTAAATTTAAGTAACCTGAGATCTTGAGGGTAAAAATAAACAAAACTATGTATGTAAGAGGAAATGAGCTTCACATTGATCCGTCAATAGTTTCGTTCTATCACTTATCTTCGATGTAAGGATCTCTTGGAATAAGTTGATTGTTTTAATTTCAGACAAAAAGCATTAAAAGCTTTGAATGACCGTATGAAGATCAAAGACTCAACAACTGAAGCATGGCCTGAACTAGATGATGCTCAACAAAGTCCATTACTACCTGCCACAACGCATCAAGTCGACAATTCATCTGTAAAGATAGACATGAATAATCTAATGGACATTTCATCCTCGAGAAAAGATGATTTGAATCAACAGGCGACGACATCGTAAAAAAAAAGAGAAACTAATAACGCTTTATTCGTCTTTTACCTGCTTTGTACAATAAAAGAAAAAGACTGTCGAACAAAATTCTCATCTATTAGAAAAGATTCCAAATTGATGTTCAATCTCAGCCATCAGCAAAGAAAAGCTTTCTAATTCACTCTATCATTTCCGCCCTCTTCATTCTGAGAAAACGGTCATTTCATTTGTTACAGCAGAAAAGAAACTCTTTTATCCCAACTTAGTCAATGGAATACTTCCACTAATTACAGCTTTTTTTTAATTTCAGATATGACATAAGATACTGTCGTCTGCCATCGTTCTTTCTCGGAAGACACTCTTATCATCAAGAGCATTGAAACAAAAATGGACTGATTTAGTTCGATAAGTGGCTCGTAAATGCTTTACAATCAAACGAATCCAGATTGACGGTAGGATGAAGAATTCGTCTGTGTGTAACTGCCAATCGCTTTTACCTTCGCAAGTACATGTGTCAGCATGAAGATTTCTTTTTTAGCAAAACCTTAAATTTAACTTTAAAAGATTAATCAAAAAAGAAAGGTCAAGTGAGCAATATGTCGAAGGAGAACATAAACTTTAGAGGATTTGTGTCAATAAAAAAATTATTACATCTAATCTTTTTTTCTCTTTCAAATTTCCTACATATATATATATATTAGTAATATAAAACTTCCGTATGCACTGATCAAATATTTGGTAATCATATCTTTTTCACTTGATTTTTCACCGATATGTATGTGCATGTCGATGATTCTTTTTGTTTGAAATTTTCTTCTGTTCGAACTCGAAATCACATGAACCAGATGATTTCAAGGGAACGTATTTGTCAGCATTGAAGGTCATGACGTAGAAATAGTTTTTCCTTGGAAAAAAAATGGCGCAATTCGTCGATCTAATTAATTCTTTGTATAGCATAGTATCACGTCTTTTCTTTCTTTTTTCGTTTGTATATGTATATGGCATCATATGTATACTTGATGAGAGCATAAGCAGCAGTAACCCTATCATCATTGTCANTGTATGTGTTCCCTATTCAGGAAGTCAAACTGCTCAAACATTTTTCTTGTTTGTTTGTTTTTTAGTTGTAGGTATCTATCTCTATATGTATGTGAGCTTTGAGCCTAACTTATTTTTTTCTGTCGTTTCTTTTTGTTTGTCAACACAAGTCTAGGCGCGTAGATTTTTTTCTTTTCGGGTGTGTGTTTAGTATGAAATACCTGTTTGTGTGTTTAACAAAACAACAAAAAAAAACGTTTATGTGAAAATCTTGCACACATATCTATCACTTTATTAGTTGCTATTATTCTTCTTCTTCTTCTTCTTTCTTATTTTTTTTGTATTCTCCGCATTATTCAAGAGAAAAAAAGCCGAAAATATACAATTTCAAAGGAACCTCCTCTCAGGTATAAAAACAAATCTATGTGTACGTGCGTGTAGTTCTTTTTTATATTTTTTTCTCTTGCTTGAATAAAACATGCAGGGACACTGATGATGTCTGCCTATCTCTATCTATTGATTGTTTTTTTTTTGATTGATGATACGAAAGGAAAGATATGTCATTATGTGAATAACTGAGAGAAAGAGAACGAAAGAAAAGACCCTTGAATGTCTATGTTTTTACAATAAAGGTTAATGTCCGTTCTGTCCGTACGTTGTTTGATCTAGTCAACGTACGGTACCGTATGTGTGTGTATATAGACGAGTTCATCGAACGGTCAAAGTCAATTTGGTCGCTTCTCGTTTTTCTTTCTTCTCTCTCCCTTTTCTCCTTTCCCTTCGACTTCACTTGTTTTATCATATTCCTGACGTTTTTTTATTGAATATTTACCTAGGAATGAATAAATTTGAAATGATAATGAAAAGGGAAAAACTAACACTTGTGTTTGAGAAAATATTCGCCGATAGTTTCTAATCATGTCAAGATCGTAATCACATTCATCTTTTCATATCGCCTGTTTGATGATGATCACGAGTAATTACATCTGTGTGTAGATTTCATACTGAGTTCAATCGTTTGAACTCATTTGTATTCAAACTCATCATCGACAAACATAATCATGTTGATCAGTTTTTCTTAAGATGAAATAAAAGACAACTACAAACACTGTTGAAATCGAACGATCATTATCGAATGTTTGCAGTTTCGTCATGTTCATTTCCTGTTGATTAAAATTGACAGTTAATAGAGATTCGTCGGTCAGGTCGAGAGCGAAATGTTCGTTTGATGTTGAAAGTAAAGCTTGCAGTTGTTTTCTTTGCCTAATTAGTGCTGCTAGTGTTTCGATTGGAATGTGTTGGTTTAATGTATTTCACGCGATATATATTATCGAATCGAAAAAAAACTAATCAGCGGATGTGAATTTTGTTTTATAGATAAACATGACTTTTGTTTGTTCGGCCTGTCGACAAACAATAGTGAATAATTCTTTGAGGAAAATTTGTGGATCTTGTCAACAAATCTTCTGTTCGAATTGCGCCTATCAACGTATTGCTGTGCCGAAGTTAAGCTATCAAATGCATGAAGTTTGTTCAGCATGTTTTCATTCCATTAGTACACAAATGATGTTACAAAAGCCACCGAAAGGTTTCATGCAACGGCTAGAACAACAACAGCCACCAACAGTGCAGAGAAGAATACCAACGAATGAACTTGACCCAGAAACGCGAGCATTGGAAGAACGCCTTCAAAAACTTCGTATGGCTTTTCCATCAACGTCATCAGCTGGAGTAGGTGCAAGTGCAATACCTTCGTCAGTAGCTGAAACTCCTGATGATCTTCTTCAACAAATGAATGACGCATTGGCTATTGAACAGAATGCAAAGAACCAAGAGAAGGATCTAGAAGAGCGTATGCGTATTCTCCATGCAACATTACCACCGGCAACACCGGATACCGTTGTCTTGCCAAAGCCTAAAGTTGAGGATGAAGCGAACGATGAAGATGAGGAATTTCCTTGGTGTACAGTGTGTAATGACAATGCGACAAAGCGGTGTCTCGATTGTGATGAATTATTTTGTGAAGCATGTGTAAGAAAGATTCATCGGCAATCTTCGTACAAAAAACACGAATTGGAATCTTATCGACCCTCGGCAAAAGCGAGGAAAAAATATAATTATTAAAAATCATTTGGTAGCATATGGGTTGATTAATACATTGAAACGAAAACAGCTGGGGATGTACTTAATTCAATCAAGAAAAGAAAACATCTGTTTCTTTCGTTCGTTCTTCTTTTTTTCTATAAATATTTTAAATAAAATTACCATTTCCATATAGACAAACAAAAGGCAACACTTGAAAACAGTCGTATCGAGTCATTAGATGAGTTCATCGATGTTTGCTTTCTATATGCATGAACACAAATGAACTCGAGTCTATTTACGGTGAACAGCTGTTGACTTGAAATTCGACACGTACGGCTTTTGTTTTACGTATTGTTCTATTCTATCAAGCATAACGAGAATATAAGAAAAATGAATTCTACAAGATTTTTGTATCGTAGATCGTATCGATGAAAAACTGATATGACAAGTACATAAGATAAATGCGAGGTCAGGGAACGCAAAACCTTGAACTGGATAGATAAGAAAAACAAAAAAATGAATAGATTATAAATGAACGCGTATACCGAACGTTTGAGAATGAAGTCTGTTCGATAGCAGGTGTTTATTCGATAATCGGGAAGTGAAATTTATTTTAAAAGTGCTAGCGATAGGGTGAATATTACTAAAGCAAATCTTGAAGATGGAAGGAAACAATGGTTGAACGATTGCGCGACGAAAGCACAGGAATGCCGTACTGTGAGACACAATCATGTATTCGGGTGTCGTTTCATAAAACCTTCGGAGACAATCATTTTATGCCTAATTAATGCCAGTTATCGAAATAAGCGTATAGTGGACTTTTAGTGCACACGAGAATATTCCAATAGATGACCATAGCCAAAGCCAATGGCAATATTTTCGTGAGAGCTTTAAATTCGAGTTTCAAGCGTTCATGGAATGACAGATTGTATGGTTTTAACTTCTCCCATCAGGATAATATTAACTGAATTATGGGGGTCAGATATGTAGCTAACTCCAAGAGAAAGACAGCCGTCTTCCATTTTTCAATCTCTCATGGTATGTAAAGAAATTAAATTTCACCTGCTTTCACGCAAGTATTTAACCAACCATGAACAGCATGTTACTGTATACTTTACCCTTTTGTTTTGTCGATATTCGATTGTCACACTAATTATACATGAAGAAGAGATAAAAACAAACTTGAAAAAAAAACCAAGTAGGAAATATCGATTATACAAATTCTACTACTCTGTGCGTTTAAGCACAAGCATTACTCCTGAACGGTTCCATTTCCATACATTCACATACTCTCTCACAAACCGACTCACCACTATCATTTGTTTGATAACCAATCAAGCAGATTTCCAACAAACCACTACACAACTTGATCGTATCGTTGACAATGCCAATACTTTTGATGATGCTGATGAATGTGTCGATTTTATCACAACCATCACAGATAATCAAGTCTGTCTGATTATTGTCGAATCTCTTGCGCAACCCATTTTACCTTGTATGCATGAACTTCCTCAAGTTCATCATATTTTCGTCGTCGGTACTTCGCCGACAACTGATGACAAATGGATTCAACAATGGGCGAGGTGAAAGGTATTTTCACAGGATATGACACTTTTCATTGAAACAACTACACAAACAAATAGGCTAAGTGAACAGAACAACATACCGATCAGTTTCGTTGAGTCGATTAAACAACTGAATAAACTAGAACCAAGTTTTATGTACATACAAATCATGAAGGAGATATTGTTGGGTATCAACTTCGGCGAACAAGACCTGAAGGAATATGGCAAGTACTGCTGTGATACATTTGCAGACAACCCACGGAAGGTAAACGATGTTCCACAATTTGAACGTGATTATTCTTTAAAATCACCGATATGGTGGTACACCTGCGAGAATTTTGTTTATCCTATGCTCAATCGGGCCTTGCGAGTTATGGATGGAAATATCATCACGCGAAAGGGATTTTTCATTTCAGATCTTCATCGAAGTATTGAACTGCTACATAAACAACAGTATCCTAACACTTTATCCCATGGGACGTTTACAGTTTATCGCGGTCAAGGATTGTCTCAGGCTGATTTCGGTCATTTGGTCAAAGTCAAGCATGGATTAATCGCGTTCCACAGTTTTCTATCTACTACCCAACGGTACGAACACGCGTATATCCGAGCTGAGAGCAATGCAGAGAATCCCGGCCATGTCGGCGTTGTCTTCATTATGAAAATAGATCCAACTCAGGCAACAACACCATTTGCTTCTATGCGAATCTTCAGCCGTTTTCCAGAGGAGGATGAAATCCTTTTTTCAACGCACACCATATTCCGGATAGAAAACATACCGCTTGCCGCTGAGACTAATGGTGTATTTCATGTGTCGCTATCACTTACGACTGATAATGATCCCGACTTATATAAATTTACACAGCACATCAGACAGTCCGACTATTCTTATAGCCATAGCAGGTACCAATTAGCTGATGTGCTCATAGATATTGGCCAACAGGGTCGCGCAGAACATATTAACCAGTCTTTACTTGGAGATGCGAGTAATGCTAGCGAAACTGTCCACATTCTCAATCAACTTGGTGTCATAAAAACATATAAAGACAACTATTCCACTGCACTTGAATACCACGAGAAGGCAGTGGCTCCGTAGGGAAAGGAGTGTATGGATGTATATGAATCAGATACTTTGTTTTTTTCTAAGAAATAAAAGCGGTGTCAGCGATATGTTTGTGAAAGAGGATAAATAAGACAAATGATCGAACGCATTTGAGCGTTGAATTATGAAGTTTTCTTTCAAAAGGTATCAGTTAGAAAAGTCTGCCGGGCTGGTGCGAGAGTCCTGTCTCTATGATGATGCTTTAGATGAGAGAATTATTCCAGAGAAGAACGCGAGGGAAAGCGAAATTTCTCAAGAAATGTGTTATGATGATGATAAATTGCAAAATATCTAAATCAACTACGTGATAGATTAAACCCATGTACCAGGATGGAGTGGGACGCATCATTATGAGGGATTTGTGGAAGGAATATTCCTTTCGGACGAGAAGTCGGAGATAGTTGAGTTGCTGAATAAAACTCTAATGTCTGCCAAATAAACAATTGTGCTTAATCGTAGAGTAAAGTCGTCAAATAGGAAGAGATTCTACGTGGAAAACGTGTTTCTTTGTCACTATCAGGTATAATTTCTTCGACACGTCAAATCTTGCTGTCGGACTATGCGATCGAACATGATAACACACAAGAACATTTGTCACACTTATAGATTAATGATCTCTTGACCCATCCGCAACCAAATACTGTAAAACAGATTGCTTTTGAGTAAATAAGAATTCAAGCATTGCTTCACTTGGCAAGTAAAGAGTACGACCTATGAAAACTTTGTAGAAACGTTCATTTTCTTCAATTCGATATTCATCGCTCGATGGTCGCTGCTGAACGAGGTTGATAACAAATTTGGATCGTATCATTTGAATCTCATTAGTAAAATCGTGCTTCACTACTTGTCTAATAAGGCATTGCCAACGTTGACGCGACCTAGAGACCGAGCTACTAGTAAGCTTTTTCGTTGATCTCACATCCTCTATGTGAGCGTTCATCACCATCAATAAATAGGAACAGAAAAGCAAAACGCGCTCTATGAGAAACTCGTGCAAATTTTATTGTAGAAAAAAACCTATACAAAACTCTTTGTGTCGAGATTCATACTCATGGTATTTTGAAAAAAAATTTAAGATCTTGGATATGTTACTATTGATCGTCCAGGACATAGTAACATAAAAATGAAACCAATTACAAAACAAATTCCATATGTGGCATAAACATATAAATATCCATATCTCCTTGGAGTTGAAAGAATCGTCAGATGAGCACTTTTCGTCGCTAAATAAATCAAAAGAATCATCATGCTTTTCGAATCTATAAAGATAGTCTTTATCTCTTACCCGTGTCGAGTAGAAGAACACCGTATCCAATTCGACTCACACCCATTCGATACGAACATGTTGGAATACTTATTTCATGAACATAACGAGTTTGAGCGACATCAATTGGAAGAACTGGTTGAGGAAGAAACTCTCTAGCCAACATCTCCGTGACGGACCGGTTTCGATCATGTAAATGTATTGTAAACTAAAACGTCCAATCTCTTCAGTGTAAAGTAAACAATTGATTTAGAAAATAATGCACGTACGTGATGACTATCACCTTTGAGAATCAAATTTGGGTTCAGATCATGTAAAAATGATTTTGTGAAAGTAGCACTACGGGTCAGCATTGGCCAATGATTAAGTACAATACGAAATGCAGATGTCATAGGCCGACTTTGTGTTTCTTCAAGAACACGACTTTGTTTTGTTTTGAGATAATCATCGCGCAAATCGATATCTAACTAAAAAGTATTCGAATCACATTTTCCGCAAGCGGATGATTGTTCATATTACTCTGAGAATTTCGATATCCTTCTGTCGATACAATTGAATCATCCGACCAAAATAACTGCTAAAACGTTGCCGTTGATACGGATTTTTATCACCGTAGTATTCTCCTCCAACATCGTTATCTCCCGGAATGACGATCGACTTGTTACCACGACTTTTGTATTGAAAAATGGTATCGAAACGGTTAAAATATCGATTGAATTCATCGTCAGATGCAGATAAACCTTCATCGAATATATCACCAAGGAAAAGAATTCCATCAGGTTTCACATAATTATTTGCGCGAGAGAATGTGTTCGCTAAATATCTGAACGAGCGGCATTCATCAATAAAACTGTCGCACACATTTTTTCGCAGATATCCATACCTATCAGCATCATTTCTTGTGATCAATCCAAAGAAGCCTTCGTCTTTCTCACCAATCAATTGTGGATCAGCAACCAGCAAAAACTTTCGCACAGTTGATCTACTCAGAGTAAAAGATTCACATAGTTCGATGACTTCTCGCTGACTCACTTGTTCGCTAAGGAGTCAATATTTGGCCATGTCATTACCATCCATTCGTAGCATACAATTTCATTCATACAAATAACTAGACAAGCAGTCAATAGCACAAAGCCATATCTCGATATCAGCAACCGTTTCAGTCTATACAACATCGGAAAAGAGGACATAAGCGAATGACAAGCTCGTGAAAGTTACTTCGTGGTCAGTCGTGTTCGTCGGCACATTGCTTCTGAGATTTGTGAAGGCTTTAGCTCGGATTCATGCTCTTTCCTATGTACAGATTGATGCCGATGAACTAACATCGAATTTGATCATTCAATAGACATCTAGAATAAGAAAATGTCGACAAAAATAGATTAAAAATCAATTAAAGAAGAGGAAAAAACTACACGAAAATTCAATCACTGATCGTTTTCTCATGAATTGTTTTCAGACGTTCGATTCCATCGTATAAGTCCTTCGGAAATGTCACTGCTTTATCATTGATACGCAATGCCAAACTATACATTTCTTTATAGTTCTCAAAAACTCCTTTCTTATTCGTTGCGGTTTTAATGATTTTGACGATTTCTTTGAGAAATGTTTGAATTCGACCGTTCAAGATCGACAGAAGTCGTTGTGATTCTTGAGCAAACGTTTCATTATAATCATCCGGGTCCGAACTAGTACGATGTTGTTCAATAATGCCGATACACTGTTGACATTGAAACGATGCACGTAGACCTTGTTGAGAATATTTCAATCGAGAAGGATTGTCAGTGGCGTCTATTTAATGATGAAAAAAGAAGATTATTTTGAATGGAAAGCAGAAAATCAGTTACTTTGTAGTTCGAAATCAGCTAGGGCCACTTCTTCGATCAGCAAACGAAGGTATTCAAGTGGATTGTCATGTGGAGAAAATAGGTCCAACGCTTTTTGATAATGTAATGATGCCAGAGCACGCAAACGTTTCCGCCGAGCAGAATTGTCCTAGAAACTCAATGCTTGATGAACCTTACAGCAACTCATTCGTGTCTCACTTGTGTACGAAAAGAATTATGAAGTAATGATGCTAGACGATGATGAATGGTAGCTGCTCGATACTTCGCAAGTGAATAACGATCTGATGATGGCGTACTTAGCTCGATTTCTAAGTACTTCAATGCACGTGTCATACAATCAATGACCTCTTTTTCAATCTGAAACAAGAAGTCTTCATTCAAAAAGAAATCTATCATTATTCATCTTACGTCGTCCTGAGATGTCGAACTTAATGGTGCGTAATCTTGTAGTGATGTTGCCATGGTAAAGTAACTGTTCGATAATTCCCATGATAGTGTGCGATAAACTTCGATTAGATCTGGTCGATTTTCAACCAATTTCAGTCCTTCAAGATAATAATCAAATGCTTTTTGATAACTCTGCCGTTCTTGTTGAGAAAATTCTTGTCGAACTCCATTGACTACCGGAGCATAGAATTGTGCGTAGTATCTCATCAAACGGCCAAGATTTGAATGTAACAATGCAATATTGGACAAATCATTAATCTTTTCAAATGCTTGAATACTCGCATCGAAACTTTCGAAACTCTTGCGAAATTGATCTTTGATTTCCTATAGAACAACACATCTACAATTAAACTCTGCTTGTCTTGGGATGAATCTTACTTTCGCTGCTTCATGATCTAAATTCTTCACTGCTTGTGCGCATTTGTTCATCCAATATACACCCATTTCATTGCGAACATTACCGAAACGTTTGGTTAACAAATGAAGGCGTTTCTTTTCGTGATCACCGAGATTTCTTACAATATTAATCGCGTACTCGTACGCGTGCACACTGGCAAAGAGGTTGCGATCGATAATCGGTGTTAATTCTGACACCCAAGAAAATTCTACGATAGAAAAATCAAACGAAAATGTAAGTATACAAGAATGATATGTGATTCTTACCGGAAGAATTTCGATCGATTCCAATTTCATCGATTACTTTCTGAACCTCTAAATCGACATCACTCATGACTTGATACTGTTCACGATATTTTTCGATTTCTTCAGCAGATGTCACATGGGCAATCATCAATCGACAATCGCCAGCGATGCTCATGATATACGAGAGTAACTTCTTCGATTCCGCACTACTATTACTATGATCCATGGACTGATATTTCAGTTCTGCACCTGTATAGAAAAGAAAATCTTGTTTTTTTAGAAAAAAAAAGAATAGAACAATCTTACTGTAACAATTCAGTGCTAGGCGAAGGTAACGTAAACAGGATCCATAATTCTTCTCTTTCTCATTTCGATCGACTAAACAAAAATACGCAGCTGCCGCTTTGTGTAGTATAATTGATTTTAAACGCGCATCCGTTGTCAGATGATTTTTGTTGTCGATCAAAATCTTCGATGAATGCCGTGTGGCTTTGTATGGCAATGGCACAATCACTTTGGATTTTTCATCAGAGGGTGGTTTCTCTTGGTCATTTGCTTGTTGAGACGCTTCCATTTGACGATGGATTGCATTACTTCGGAGAGCCTATAGAAAAGAAGAGTTCATTGGATACACATGCACACATGTCGAAGGTGGAGGTGGTATTAAATACTTCAACGAGATATTTAAGGGCTTCTATCGCTCGTTTATCTAAATTTCCATGTATTGGCCTTAGGCGTTCGATATCAGGACTTTTTCGAAAACGATGTTGTTGCTGTTGTGTGAGTGTTTTCATATCAATACAGGTTTGAAAATGTTGTTCATTGTCTTCTTCAAATGGTAACTAAAAGACAAACAGTAGAATGACTACATTCAAATAGAACATTTGCAATCTTACATCGTCGTTCAAAGAATCAGGATCTTCCACATCACTACCATCCGATGTCCAGCTTTGTTCACTAACATTATCGTCAATATACAGGTCAGACATCATATATGCTGCCGCACAATGGTATTCAGGAAATTTCTCCGGATTGAGCATATCGAGACAATGTTTCAGTAATGTACGAATCGTACCAGATTCCTTGGAACGTGTTTCATGATCAGATTTTGAGACCATGTTATGGGCCATTTTGTAAAACAAAGTTGCTACTGGCAATGTGTATGGATTGTCATCTTGATTTGGTTCGCATAGGCTTGTTAAGTCATACAATTTGACAATATCATCATCAGGACCTGGGAAAGCAAATGGTTTTCTTTTCTGCAAAGACTAAATATGAGTACATCTTACCTTTGAATAGCCAATAGGTATGTCCTTCTTTCGTCGCATTAGCCTTGAGAAACGAGAGAAGATTTGTTGCTAAATCACGTATGACAGTCGGATGAAATTCGCAGCCTTCACGATATGGAATATCTTCTGTTTTCACTATTTCATATGATTGAACAATACCATCGACGTGATAACACATGGCTAATTCAGGCACGTTACACATTAAATTATCGAGCCAACAGTCAATACCAGTCAAAACATTGATCGGTTTGTCCATTTCTCTGTTAAAAATGAGATAGAGAAAGTAGAAAAGATCTTCCATCAACTACCTTAAACGCAAACTAACAGCTGGGTGTTGTTCATCTCCGAAGATGGGCAGATCAGAGCCAATTAACATTTTCATATTTTCAAATGTCCAATCGACCGTTCGTTGAAATGGCGATGATGAAGTCGAAGTAGCATGATTAGTATTATCTTCAAGGTGATTAGTTTCGTTTACGATATCCTTGATCTGTTGAAGGAGTGCAGCTGCAGTTATATCGTTCGTTTTTGTCGATGATGAATGAGATTCCTCATTATCAGCACTCGTACGAGATGATCCAGGTAGCTCAACACTAGAGGAAACACATGATCAGAAAGTGCAAATCAGTGACATGTTGTACCTTTGACATAAGAATCGAACTAGACGATCTTTTCGTATAAGTTCATCGCGTGTCTTATTCTTTTTATAGAGATGTTTGACTGAAATATTTCGTAGAATCGTATCGAGAAAAAAATCTCGAAACCATGTCCAGTCATTCTAGAGTAACGAAATTTCTCTGAAAAAGATAAATACAAAACAGACGATCTTCTACCTTTTCAAGACGTAACAAATGTGAATGTACATCGAATTCATCCAATAATATCGTTCGACCAATTCGATGGACGATCATCGATAATTGACTATGTTTATTAAAGGATATTTTCAATAGTTTTTTTATATGCTATAAAAATCGAATGATACAATATTGTTTTGTTAAATATTGATTAAGCGAACCTCAGCATCGGATATAACATCGACTTCACCCAAACTGTCAATATGTGCGTTCGCGGAACGAAAGCTAAATAATAGAAGAACGAATGATGTACGACTGTTTCAGTGTAGAACTTTTACCTTCCGAAAATATCATCATGATTAGCTCGTTGTTGAAGCCAGTATGACAATAAGATGCGAATATCATTATTCGAGATCGGTATTTCGTTCAAATCTAGAGGAAAATCAAGCGTTCAAATAGAACTCAAAAGCAAAATGCAGATCTGTACTTGTGTCTTTGTCGAGAAAAGTGCATTTGAACAAAGGGCGAGTCGATGATGAATTCAGAGAAACCAGACTTGATGAAGAAGTCGAAGATTCAGCCATCAGAACTCGAATGTCTAAGATCGTTTGTATTGAGAAAAAGGACAATATTACATGTAAGCGTCAAAACCGAGCCAATGCTATTCGCAGCTAGATGTCAGCAAATATTTCAAGCTATCGAAAAAGATTGGTTCAATTCATTGTCTCGAATTTTAATTCATATACAAGCAGAAATATGGATGATTACCGTCAACGAAAAGAGTCCTTTGTGAGTAATCTAAATGGCACCACTCTTTACGAAACGGGTGCGATGATGATCAATATATGTACAACATATTTTCTATATCAAATATTGCAATCTTCCTTTTCCAAATCACGAACGTGGAATTACTTTTCGGAATACATCATCGTTGTCATTCCCTTGATATTCGCTACTACCGCTTTGTCCTCATTCAATCATCTGTTACATTTCATTCTATGCGGTATCTCATTACTTATCTACCTCATTAGAAATCCTTCGTCAAGTTCTGAACGGCAATCGAGCCATCCAAACTCGTCCTATTCTCGAATACTCGAAGTCTTTCGCGGTCAGATGTTCATTGTAACTTGTATATGCATACTTGCCGTTGATTTTCCTATCTTCCCTCGACGTTATGCAAAAACGGAGAATTATGGGTATTCAACTATGGATTTAGGTGTGGGGTTATTCGCAATGGCGCACGGAATGGTCAGTTCTGAAGCTCGAGATAAACAGACGAAAATTAAAGATCTTTTCTTGGAAAATTTCATTCTTCTACTCTTGGGAGTTATCCGTTTACTTTCTATAAAATATTTTTCATATGTTGAACATGTCAGTGAATATGGTGTTCATTGGAACTTCTTTCTGACATTATGTTTTATGAAACTATTTGCAAGTTGTTTGTTATTCATCACAAAAAATGTGCCTTTATCGATTGCTGTCAGTTTAGTCTTTCATCAAATGTTTTTATTGCACTATTTACAATTTGATACTTATTTAATCAATTCAAATCAAACAAGAATAGGATTTATCGAAGCGAATCGTGAAGGAATCTTTTCGTTAAGTGGATATGTGTGTTTGTACCTAATTGGTGTCTATATGGGAAAATATGTGATTAGGAACGAACGTGAACAATGCTTTAAAAACATTATTTTCAAATTCACCATTGCGTCAGTTATTTTATGTGCGATTAGTTACAATTCGTCAAGAAAATTATGCAATTTTGGTTATATAACGAGTACAACAGGTTTAGCGTGTATGACATTAGCAGGTTTTGGTGTTACTCAATGGTTACTAGTGAGAAAAGGTTATTCAACCGAATCAGCATTACTGAAGAGTGTTAATCAAAAGGGACTAGATGTCTTTCTACTGGGTAATGTTTTAACCGGCATGATCAATTTGAACATAAACACAATCGATACGCCAGACTTTCTCGCGTTGTCTATTCTCATAATTTATACAATCATCATTACTTCATCGGCATACTTCTTACCGTCGATAATTAAATTACTTATGAAATACGTGAATTTATCTAAACATTAATGATGTATATTATATTTGGTTAAATATCATCATATAAGATGTGTCCTTAGCGAAAATCTATGTTAAAATTTGTTAAATATGAGCCATGATAAGTTCATAGAAAAGAAAAACTAAAAATTCTATCCTCACACACACATTGAATGACAAGAAAAGAGAAAGAAGATCTTTTTTTAACAACTGCAAACTGAGATAAAGATTCGTGAATAAAGTCTTTCGATTAAATTGTTTTCCATTTAAAATTCTCGACCGCCTAAAACAGATTTCAAAGAGATATGAATCAACATTTTAAACATTTTCTCGGAGTCTTTACCTTCAACGGAAACAGTGCATGATTTTTCAACTTTGCCCAAAGCATTGCTCGCAACGCATGTATATGTACCTTGATCGTTACGTTGTAATGATTGAATTTGAAGCCATGATGTTAATACATGAGCATTAGGTCCACCTCGAACTAATGTTGAAATACGATCATCATCAGCTGAAAATACACAGAAGAAAATATGTGGTGTTTCGATAGAAAAACAAAGTTCGTACTTGGATAAACAATTTGTTTTCCAGCGGATGATGAATAAACCCATTCAACAACTGGTAAAGGTACGCCAGCGGCTTCACATGTTAAAAAGACATTGCTACCGGTGCGGTTTGTTACGCTAGCAGGTGGTAAAGTAATTTCAGGTGCTAAAAGAGTATGTCGTAAAGATACAAGGCAAACGAACAACTTTATCTCGCATACCTGAGTCACATGGTTTGCGTTTAAATACTTTGATGATTGGTTTTTGTTCAGCTTTAGCCAATTTGCTTGATTCCATTAAGTGACAATAGTTACGATAGGTTTTGCCATCGGAGCTGTATAACGGTACGATGAATGTTCTTTCAGATCAAGTGGACTCGTTTTTTTATAGACACTTACCCGCACATTTCAATTTGATCATTACATTCACATCGTGCTTCACGAGGTGCGCCGCGACTATCCTTACGAATCCTAAACGCGCAGATCGCTGAATGGAACACTTGAAATCCTAGTTCGTTCTTACTTGCATTGAAGATTTTCACCACAAGCTTCGTATTGCTTGCTTGATGGGATATCGGGATGGTTGCATAATTCACTCTAATAATTATCAAGATAGATACGAAACAAATACGTATCGACAGCGTACCTCGCGTTGAGCGCAAACTTGACAACAACCGCATCGATCGAGTGTTAATCCGGCAAGGCATTCTTTGTCCGATGTCTAGAAAAGAATACAATTCATGAAAGAACAGAAAACGTGAAATTCAATACCATCGGGCATTTCGATGGATCGCATTGTTCGCAAGGTTTATTTTGAGCAGTAACTGTTGAATAGATAACTGCTAAAACAAGAACTGTTAAAACACGAAGAGCAGCCATTGCTGATGATTAACGTTAATAGAAAGATATGTTATTTGTTCTTTCTCTTCGTCTCTTATGATATTATTTTGTTCGATTGTGGCTAGAAGAGAAGACGACGACAGCGAATCCGCTATGTTGACAAGTTTCTCCTCATTATCCGACGAAGAACGAGAAAAACCTTAGCTGTACAGTCAAAGGAGAAAAAGCGACGGCCTCCTATCTAGACCTACATGTATTAGAGATAATCCATATGAGGATATTCCTATATACTAATCAACTTCTTCGAGATAAAATCATGTCCTTCTTCTTTTTTTTGCTTTCCTACTAGCAAAACATCCACAATTCTTCTAATCAGCGACGAGCAGCTACATCAGGACTTGTTATTGCATCAACTTTGCTCTCCTTCTCTCTCGTCTGCATGCAATGCAATCAGTCTGTATGGATAAGAAAAGATCAGACCGCAAAATAATATATGGAAGTAATAATACAAAGCAAGCAGACGATACGCGACAATTGTCCTTCAGCGCTTGACGAAAAACAACTAACATAGTTACTAAACAAAATAGTATTCTTATTTTTGTTTTTTTTTCTTTCTGTGAATGAAGTATATAAGTTCATCAATACAACAAACATCCGATATTGTTTATATAGAATCGCGTCATTTTACAAAACAGTTCTGTTTAAATCAACAACAGGTTGAATCTGTTCAGAGTCGATCACGTTTTTGTAGTATTTCAATCATTAAATCCAAATCTATTCAATTGGATGAATATTTACAAGAACGGCAAGATCGTATTCGTATTTTTAATCATCTTCTAACGAAACGATTAAGAGCAGCTCTGAATTTAACCCTTGATTCCTTCCAACTTCTGCGTCCATTAGGCGAAGGAGGTTATGGTTCAGTTTTTCTCGCTTACCATCCAGATACGAATGAATATCTCGCACTAAAAGCTATCACAAAAAGCTCACTAGTCGAAACTAATGAACAACACATCATACTTTCTGAAAGACAATATGCATTTGCACTGCAGCACCCGAATATAGTAAATGGACAAATTTACTTAAGCATAATCCCATCTTATGCTAATTGTTTGCTCAATGTGATAGGTTCAATTTCTAACAAGCTTCAAAGATAATGAATACGTGTATTTAGCTTTTGAGTGGTTACAGGGTGGGGATCTGTATTCGCTAATGAGTTGCCACCAGCTTACTGAATTGCAAGCGAAATTTTATTCAGGACAAATTATCATGGCTTTAGATTATCTACACGGGGTATGCATTTATAGGAGGAGTCCGGGGGAAATCAAATCATCAGGTGCACTTCCATGAGTAATCTTTTAACCGAGTTTTCATGATATTTGATGGATTAAAACTGACACGCGCATGTCGGAGCGAAGAAAAACGTTCATCTAAAACACAGGTTACTCTTCGTATATGTTTGTTTTCTTAATATCCTCCTACGTTGTTTCTATTTTTAAAATTTGACAGTAACGGATCTCTTACAAGGAAACGAGAATCATTTTTCTACTCCTCAGTATACTTAATACTGATTATTCGGTGTTGCAAGAGTATTTAAATGCTTTTCATCTTTGTTTTTCACCTGTTCTTTCAGTGCAGCATTGCCTTTCGTGATCTCAAACCGGAGAATATTGTGTTAACAGGACATGGCTATATCAAATTAATTGATCTCGGTTTAGCAAAACTTATTCGAGGCTTTAGTCAAACATTTTGTGGTACTCCGCACTATATCGGTAAGGATTCACCTATGGATTCACTGTCTCGACAAGACATCCATTATATTTGAGCCCCAGAAATCATCATGCACCGTCCGTACAAATTCTCGCCTGATTATTGGACATTAGGTATTATCATTCATGAAATGGTGACAGGTTCTGCACCTTACGATCGGACATATCATTTTCATGAAGCACAATCGATTGAAAGTCTCGAAGATTCTCGGTCTGAAAGTACAATTGAAAATGATTCATCCGACCTCGTTCGAACGTCGTCAAAGCACTATAACATGTAAAGGCTATACTTTGAACTTGTCTGTGTTAAGGTTGGTGGGTATCCTTGATATGTTCAAGCCAGCAGTTAATTAGAAAAATCCAGATGTGATCTATTTCTGTTGAGAATTGTTATCTGTAAAATTACCCAGAGACAAGTGACGTTTAATTAACATAAAAATCATCATATTTTACATATATAAATTATCACACTTTTTGACAATTTTTATCACTTCTACAGCATGTCTGAAAAAGTACGATTTTGATTTTCCGTAAGAATACGCAAGGTTTGCTTTAGAGTAGGTTGACGAATCCTTTGAAATCTTGATTATATATTTTTTATGATTAACATAGTAGGAAGCAGTGCGTGTGGGATGTCACACGGGATCACTAATCAAATACAAACAGTCTTACATCTCCTTCTATATATCTACTCGGCAAAAATTAGAACAGAGTACTCATTTCTGTTTCAAATCCATATTCAGGAAGTTTGCTCTCTTACTCTTAAAATCACACAGTTAGTTACTACCTTATCCGATTTTCTACACCTGATAAAAAAAGACGCACGAGTTGATTCTGTTGGCAGTAGTACTCAAATGGAATTAATGCATATATGAATTTCTTTTTAGGTACCTGCGTATTATCAACGGATGTTCATTTCTGCATTTAACAGATATGACCGAACATTGCGCATCACTTATTCGCGGTTTACTTCAACATAACATCGAACAACGCCTTGGCTGTGGACAACGCGCAATGCTCGACCTGCTCGAACATCCGTGGCTTACTGAAATTAATTTCTGGAGTTTATACCGACAGAAATATATAGCACCTTTCTTACCTGCTCGAAAGCATTTTCTGCAGGTCAAGGATTCTGACGAAGTACATCTGAAGTTTTCTGCCAAAAATCAATATGAGAGCGAGTTTAATGACTTTTGACATCAGATGGGAAATCGTGGGTAGGCAAACGTTCGTTTGCGCCGTGTTAAGATAAGAAATATATGAAATCATTAAGCATATGTCTTTACTATTTATAAAAGTGTGATACGCACACAGGAAAATGAAGGTGCCATTTATTTGCATGTACATTAACATTTATTTAAATACATTGAGTTTACTTCCGAGGTCGTATCATGCTAGAAGCTAAATCAATGTTCTCATAATCATAATTGCAATTGCAGTGGAATGTTGTAGTTAGATGAATGTGAGCTATTCCCTACGTGTGACTTTTTCTTTCAGATGCCGTCTTGTTTTCTATTATCGATAAATCTTGTATCATTCCTATTACTTACTTCATTGATCTCATGTTCGTCATTATTTCTTCCTTTGAACGCTTTATCGTATTACGACAATGATCGATATTTGCCTTTGCCGGACGACCATCAACCTTCAATTAAGTTTCTAACATCATTCCGAAACCTCCGTTCAACGTATTATCCTCGTGCCAATCGCAATACCTGGTTTCGCGTATCAACTTATCAACAGTTCAAACCGTCGGGATCCGAAGAAACACCTAACGGTGACAATCTGATGCGATGGGGGCGCTAACAATAATATCAATCATTGTTGTCATATTCAGCGGGAAAAAAGTTTTCTTTTTGCTTTAATAAATATGAAGTGACATGCAAAAATTCATCTGCAGACAGTTAGAAGATGTTTGAAGAATGATAGAATAGGACAATCAGATGTTTAGATTTAATTAGATTTTCTGCCTGTTTTTAATAATCTTTTTTCTAATCCGTGGGTTTTATGGATAACTGTCATCTCAATCAAATTTCGTCGCATATGAGTATATAGAGTGGAAACTTCGATTGAATTGAACATTCAGAAAACGCTAGGAGTGAGAACAAGTTTGAAACGCAGATGAAAGCTATGCAAAATTCATTGCTTATTTTACTGGTCTTGATGATCAACGCCTCGCTTCTTATTGCTCGACCATGGCCCCATTTTTATCAGAGCGATATTGTCGAAGAAGCTGAGAATTCCGATGACATCGAAACTCGAGATTTAGTCAAACGATTAGAACTTTCTCCCTGGGTACATAAACGTAATCCCGCACTATGTGATTATCGTCTCCAACTTCGACCATTACCACTCACAAATGCTCTTTGTGCCTATGGTTCGTAAAGCTCTTTTCTATTTCCTAGGATTTCACCGGTTTCCGCCATCGTTTCAGGTCAAACAAAGGACAACAGTCATCATATAAATCCATTCAAATATGGTTAATCATTTGTCACTCATTTTTATTGTATGAAATCAAACCTTTACTCGATGTCAAATAAAATTTCATTCCATCATACATTTCACGCTCAGAAATATGTCTTCTTCGTTCATGACCTGAATAATATCGACGCAACATACGAGAAATGACGAAACTATTGCTAACTAGTCATTCGAATCACACAAAAAGCACTTCGGTGAAATAATTCCAGTAGTTTTATCTTTGTTTCACTTATTTATAGCAATTTCTGTGCATTACAAGCGAATTTAATCGAAGAGTCGATTGAACTTCCACCACTATGAGAGTATTCATGTTTAACATAAAGCAGCCGCCTCTCTTTGATCGACCGTCATGCAATCATCAACGTTAATTTATACGTCTATATACTTTTAATATTTATATGTCACACATATGTAAATTCCTTGCACACACAACAACAACAACAATAAAGAAAGAAAATGTACCAACTAATAATAATAATAATAATAATAAATGACGAGCAGAAGAGAAGAAGAGACGAAATGTAAACATGTACAGGTGATTGGTTTGAATAGACGAACAGACAGCTAGTAGACATATATAGTTCGGTAGAGAGATAGACAGATTTGCAGATCCGATCATTGGATGACAGACAGAGAGAGAGAGAGAGAGAGAGAGAGATTTATTGAGCGAGATTTGGTGTTGAAGATTTTCGTGAGGGTGACGAATCAACGGATGTTGTCGATGCACTTGTTGCTAAAAAAAGTCAGTTGAGAAGGTTTAGAAGTAAACAGAGAACAAGACTTCATTTTCTCATTCATTGTGACATTCTTTCTCATCGTTTATCGAATAAGAGGAAGAACAGTCAGGCTCGAAACATTCTTATGAGCATAGTCAGATTGAAAACTAAACTAAACATCATCTATCTTTTGGAAGATATCAGTTAAATGCATCTTGTTCAACAGTTGTGCTACAAATAAGTTTGTTTCGGTGAAAGATCTTTCTCTTATTTTTACACTTGAACTTAAACTTGCATGAGTAAGGAAAGTTTTAGTTGGTTTGTAATCATCGAAAATGAGCGTGTTCTTATCTATTTACCTGTTTTAGACGTGGTGTTGGTTGTGGGAAGAGCAAATGGTCCAATATAGTTTGTGTAATTGGCATAAGCGTAACCGTTACCATTGGTAGTAGCAGCTGGTGTGGTTGACGTTGTGGTTGCCGTTGTTGTTGTTGTTGTTGTTGCTGCTGCTGTTGTTGTGGCTGATGGTGAACCAGAAGTTTGTTGTGCCTGACCATTTGTTAATCGAGAAAGAATATTTCGTTCCGACATGTTCAATCGTTGCGAAACAGGCGGAAGTCGAGCTAATGTTGCCGGTAGTTTATTGATTTCCTGCTTCATATCACTCAGTAATTCTTCCAATTGCGTGAGAACTAAACATCGAATGATAGGAATAGTTAAATCAAGCAAATCCATCTTACCTTTGTTCAAGACCGCATTGGCAGGTTTATTACCAGCTAAGGACTCTTTGGACAAATGCTGATGACATTCAGCTAAACATTCAACCTCGCTAAAACGTTGTGATAATGTCAATGCTGGGTTGGTTTGTTCCATAGCTAAGCCTAGGAAAGCAGCACGACGTAATTGTTCTTCAATAACAAGTGCTTGTTCGAGTAGTTTGAATCGACGGGCAAGAAATTTGTTTTTCATTTCTAGAAAATTTCCCTTGCCCATATCCTTTTTGAATGCTTCATTGATAATGGAAAATTTCGGATCAATTTGAATATCTTGCCAACGTGAATAGCCGTGGGTCACCACACCTGCTAATAACCAATAATCATGACGGCGATGCCAAATATCATGTTCATGATTCAGCACTAATGCACGTTGTTCGTTTAGCCACAGACAATGAAGTTCAGTGAAACCTCCATCGGCGATATTGAACATAAATTTGAAATCTTTTAGCTTCTCGCTTCGATTCATTTGAGATTTACGATTGTTTGAAGTAGGTTTGTTATTTTCAGCAGGTGGATTGGTAGCTTCCGGCTTTTCTTCTAAATGTAAATACATAAACATCGAAGTCATCTTTTCGAGTTCTCACTTACCAGTGATTTGTTTTTCACTACTAGGTTTTTCTTCTTCATTCGTTGCTGTGGTGTCTTTCATTTCAACATCATTTGGTTCGTTTTTGTTATTGATTAAATCACTTAAACTCATCGATTCGCCAATTAAATTATTACTTGAACTGGCTGTTGTCAATGTTTCATTCGATTCACTTGCTTGAGTATTCTCATTGGTGGCTGGTTTGTCATTGTTCGCTGGCTTAACGTCCTCAATAGCATCATTGGAATTCTCATTCAGTGGTGCTTGATCTGGCATCGACCAAGTTCCATTGACAGTTTCGAATTCTTGAACTTTCTTACGGATCAATGACATGATACCGATACGAGATAGAACATGATGTCGAGATAAGCCTTCGCGTGGAACACCGTCAGAAAATGTTTCCGTGTTGTCGGTGATATTTTCGCATAAGTGTTTCATGAACAACGAAACATAAGCACGGAATTCTTTTTCCGATTTACAACGTAGGTCTCGGACTAACCATTGTGATTTGAATGCATCGGGCGGTGGAATGCCGAAACGCATAATTGCATTTAAGAACGCTTTGCGTTGTCGAGGATTGAAGCCTAAGATTTCAATATTTGGACCTGACTTGGAAATCAATGGTGGTAATGGACGATCACGGCCTGGTTTACGTCGTCGATCAGGTGTTTCATCGAAGAAGTCAACATCTTCATCTTCGCCACCAGCTGACGGTGCGTCGTATTCGCTAGCAATGTCTGAATTGTGTTCATTCCAGTTTTCATCATTGGTTGGCACCGCGTAATTAACTTGACGTTTCAATCGTTTGCCTTTACCATATGCATGACTTTCTAATTCTCTTTCTTGTTCGAATTGGACACGTAATAGTTTTTCCCAATAGTTTGGATCAAAGGCTTCTTCAACAGCCGGTTGCTCACGAAAATCTTCTTCTTCGTCTTCATTCATTTCACGTGTAGCATAGGATGCAACTTTAAAACTGGATAAATATTCATTGAGACCATCTTCTTTCTCCTGAATGCCCTCTTGAGAACGATCGAGTAGTTTTTCGATAGCGGCATCATCGTAGTGAATTTTTGCACCACTTCCACCTTCACCACCCTCACCATTACCGACAACTTCATCGTCATCCTTGAATAGGTCTTCTGTACCAAAACGTAAGATATCATCGAGCTCCTTTTTACTCATATTTGTACCGCGACCAACACCCGGTCGCACGACCAAATGGGTTAACATCATTTTCTTTTTGGCAACTTGTGTTATACGTTCTTCGACGGTGTCACGCGTAACAAAACGATAAATCATTACTTTATTTTGTTGACCAATACGATGAGCCCGCGAGAGAGCCTAGAACGAAAAGAATACCATAGAGATGTTCTTACTAAAGCTAAATTCTTACTTGAATATCATTGTGTGGATTCCAATCACTATCATAAATAATAACTGTGTCAGCTGTAGCTAAATTAATGCCCAAACCACCAGAACGTGTCGAAAGTAAAAAGCAAAATTGTTCGGCACCAGGTGCATTGAATCGATCGATGGCATCTTGTCGCTCAGAGCCACCTGTTTTACCATCCATACGTTCATATTTATAACCTAGATATTCTAGAAAATCTTCTAGAATATCTAACATTCTGGTCATTTGTGAAAAGATTAAAACTCGATGTCCTTGTTCTTTCAATATCGTCAACATTTTAGCTAATAAATCCAATTTTCCACATGATTTTATCAATGCAGAGCCTTCATATGCTAAATTTGGTGTACGTGGCGCGTCAAAATGTCCAGCAGGTAACAGGTATGGATGATTGGAACATTTCTTCAATTCCATAACAATGTTTAACAAAGATACTTGTCCACCGCCGCCTTTGACATTCAAAGCGTCGAAATTCTTGGTTAAAATAGCACGATAGTATTTCTTCTGTATCGGACTTAATTCGACTCGAACGATAAATTCAGATTTCGATGGCATATTCTTCAAGACATCGGCCTTTAAACGACGCAGCATATGTGAACCTAAGATATCATGCAATTTGGCGACTTGTTCATCTTTTGCTAAATCACTGAATTCTTTCAAGAATCCATCCATATCACTAAATTTATCAGGTTTTAAAAAGTTCAATAAATGATAAAGTTCTTCAAGATTGTTTTGCAATGGTGTACCAGTCAAAAGTACTTTGTATCCAATATTGAACTCAAATAATGTTCGGAAAAATCTTGATTGATTATTTTTCAAACGATGAGCTTCATCAATAACCAAGACAGCCCAATCAACGGATGACAATGTTGCTGAATCCACACTGACTAATTCATAGGATGTTAATAATGCGTGAAATTTAACTTTCGCACCCGTTTTGATTCGACTTGCGCGAGGACCGGCACGAATAGCATCATCTAGAATAAGAAGTATAGAACAGATCTTATAGATACAACTCTATCACTATGCAATTTACCTTCAAAAGAAAATTCATGTTTACGAATGACTGATCTGGCTTCTCTGTCTCCAGTATATGTGACAACGTACATATCCGGTGCCCAAAATTCAAATTCACGTTCCCAATTGATGATTGTTGCCAATGGCGCACTGATCAAGAACGGTCCTCGAGAAAGGCCTTCTTTCAATAGTGCCTGAAGAAATACGATTGTTTGCACAGTTTTACCGAGACCCATCTCATCGGCAAGAATAACATCGGTATTAGAAGCAAATGAATATCGTAACCAGTTTAAACCTTCTAATTGATAAGGATGAAGTGTACCACCCGTGGCATCGATGAAGTCGGGCTGTTTTTCGTAACGTTTACGCGGTGGTGGATATTTGCCCGAACGTTCAGACTCGTCACCTGAATCACCATTAGCATCGGCCAAACGGTTTTCTTCAAGTTCACGATTTGATCGACGTGTTGTTTTTGATGAACCGGATCTTTTCTTCTTTTTCTCTTCGCCCTCAGGTCCGTTTCTTTAACACAAAAACATAACAATTATTCAGTTTTTTTTTCGGATAGAAAATCTATTCCTTACCTTAGTTTCCAATAGTTATCAATGTGTACTTGCCAATTTTCAATTTCATGAGTATATTCGCCATCCTTCTCTAATTCCCATGTTGCTTGTTCATAGCCCAATTCTCTCCATTTAACGAGGTAGTACATCGGAGTACCTTTCTCTTTTCGGTGGTTCAATATACGATGTACACACAGCCATTCTGGTCGAACGCCATTCTTATAATATCGTTGTTCTAACTTGGGATTATAATATCGTCGAGATACTTCATCGTCAACATCTTCAGTTTCGCCATCCATATCAACAGTTGGTTGTGGCTGCTTAGCATCGCCAACTTTCTTGATATAGCAACGCCAGAGCGATGATTGATGAACTTCGACTTGTAATTCTGGCAACCATTCGCATGACCAGTATGATAAACCATCGTATTTAACGAAGAATTCGCGTGTTTTTGGTGGGCCACGTGGTGCGCCTGGTACCCCATTTAAGTCATAAGTTGGAATTAAACGTTGTTGAACGTCAGCACCAGCGTCAGCACCTTCCGCTGGCGGAACAGCATCAGCAGCTGTTGTTGTCGTTATTGTATGCTTTTCAACGATCGTCGTCGTCGTGGTTGCCGTTTCACCGTTTTCGTCAACTTTAGTTGTCTCAGTTGTGGTTGTATCAGTGGTGACGGATGAATGAGGATCTGGATGAGTGACCCAACGCCAAGTGAGAATTTTCTTAACAATATTAGGTGGTGGTTCAATCTTAAAAAGATGTAAATATATCAGAAATAAGTCGCCTTGTCAGCCGCGTAAAAACTCGATACTTACAGTACATCGTGGACAAAACCAATCGTCTTCCGGTATGACTGTCATTGGAGGAATTAAGCAATGCATATGATATGATGATGGACATCGATCACAACATAATAGTTCACCACCATCTCGGCAAACTCGACAAAATTCCATATGATTGTCGTCGTCTTCTTTCGCTTGTCGAGCTGCGGCAATAGCTGCAGCCTGTCTTGTTCGAATTGAGATACCATTCTTTGTACATTCGGGACATGACCAATCACCTTCGGGCGCTTGTTCAAGTTCGGGGTCCAGACAAACAAGATGATAAGCTTTGGGACATGTATCACAAAGAATAATTTCTCCACCCTGTTGACATACTTCACAGTAATCCTGATGATTTGTTTCGTAGCCGATTTGATCGAGTTGTAAATTTGCTGCTTCTTCAGCTGCGGCTTGCAGTTGTCGACGATTGTTCAATCGGGCAATACGTTTGGGTGGTTTAGGAGGTTTCTTCACACGTTTCTTCTTGGGCACTTCTTCTTCCTCAGTCAGTTCACTCTGTACTAACATGGCCTCAAATTCCGCATCGGATTCATTGGCTGGATCGTCGTCGTCACGTCGTTTACGTTTTCGCTGTCGACTGGACTTCTTCGTCGTTTTCACTTCTTCCTCGTCATTTATTTGTTCTTTGGCTGCAAGCGCTGCAGCTTGGTCTTTTTGCAGTTTGATTTTCAACGAAGGAATCTTCTTATTGTTATTCTTTGATGACGACTGTCGTGGCGAAGCAGTTGTATTGAGATCATCATCATCCTGCTGATCGCCTCCTGTATCATCTTGATCGTTATCATCTTGTGGAGCTGTTCGACGACGACGCGAACGACTCGATCGAGGCTCATCGGTGTCCATTGCATCATGATCATTGTTCGAGTCGGTCAATGTGTTATTCGACGCATTTTGTTGTGCACCCTTCAGTTCGAGAAATTCGCGCCAATACGCAGCCATTAAAGTCATGATTTTTTGTGTCGGTAGCTTGGGATAGCGAGAATTGATAATTGGACGTACGTTTTGAGAAAACAATTTAAATGTTGAGAGATTAACATAATCATTCTCTGTATATTTCATTGGAATATATTCGATTCCACATTCATCGCAAACATCTTTCGAAGACTTTTGATCCTGAAGACACGAGATATTTCGATCGCATAGATACACGGAAAATTCACTTACTTTCGACTTTTTATTTCCATTATCTTCATTCGAAGATAAATTATTCGGCTCGTCAGACATGATATAAAAACGTTTTTTTTCGGTATTAGTATATCATCTAGAATAAGTGGAAAGAATGAAAGAAAGACAAACGAAATTTATCTCCCATCTTGATTTTTTTTCTGTTCGTTCCTCTATAATGCCGTCCGTCTATTAATGATGATGAGTTAACTGACATTAATTGAACTCTTTCTATTTGGCTAGACATACAATGCCCTTAGATCAAGCGCCACATTCAACTCGAANCAATTACCAAAGTGTTTTTTTTTGTCGCTGCCGTCGCCCAATCAACAGCTATTCTCTTCTCGAGGACAAAGACTCACTTCTGAAAAGCTTATGCCATGATCGCCGTTTAGATCGAACGCACGAAAAACATTTTCACTCAAACGTTTGACATTTTCGGTCGGCCGAAGTTCTTGGTAGAATTTACAAAACTGTTCTTTGTTCATCTTGTTTGAACCAGGATCGCAATGGTTGTTGAAGCGATTCTCCCAAGCCAGAATATCATCTCGTGTTAATTCAGTGTACTTTGCGATCGAATTATATACTTCAGGACTAATTTTACCTGCCGATGAACCCATGTCGAACTTCTAAATGAATAGAAACGATGCACTAGATTCCTCGAGGAAATATTTTCACTTATGTCCTTGTTAATAAACGAATAGAAGTAATTTCTTCTTGTCTATCCTTCTCCGAAGATAGATCATTTGCATTTATATATGTTCTATGTCGTGAGCACTCGCGTCGAGATATTTTTTTGCTCGAGTCGTTCTTTTTTCCCTCCTCCTATTCATGTTAGAGAAAAATAGAGAACGGCACGACTTGAAAGTCTTGTATGTCTCGTTTTCTTTTTTTTTTGTTCTCCTAGTCGACAAGCGATGCGATTGTAGAATTTACCCAACCTAGATGTTTTCGCGAAATATAATCAACTTACTGATTAAAGCAACTAATAGATGAATGAAGATTTAGCGTATTTAATATGACAGTCTTCAATGGGGAAATTATTTCGAGATGATGAGAAATTTTCCACATGTTGGCAAGTCAACATGCTGATGTTGATATTGATCGAGTCGGAAGGTCGAAAGTAGTACGGTTGATTCTATTCGAATGAATACTTATTAGCCTTGATGAAAAGAAACTATATTTCCTTGGAGATTTGAAACTAATTCACTTGATCATCCCGATTCGATAATCATGCAGAATACTTTCTTTTTGTCTCGTCATCTGACAATAGAAAACACAAAATATTTATTGTTTTGTTTTTTCATTTAAATGATTAAAGACTAATCATCTGATATTTTCGAATTCTATCGTAAGGAGAAAATATACAAACAAACAAACAAGCAAAGATCAAAGTTTATGTAAGTTAACACCGCGTGCTGTCGATATCGCTAACATATCTTGATTGAATAGAACGGCACAGAATGGCGGTGGATTGTATGTTGTCGATGCTTTGACTTTACCATCTTTGGATATGTGAAGAATTCGCGATGTATTCCTGTCGACAACTAACCATTGATCGTTGGAAAGTAAACAGCACCTTGTACGAATGTTTTGGCTATAGGCAATGTTTAATCGTACGGACCATAAGCGATCTAGTGTCGCTGCAGATCGCATTTCGATATGAACGGTTTTTTCTGATGGATTTTTGATCATAATGACCAATGTATCGTTGTTGTAAACAATTCCATTGATAACTTCATCACGTGCGCACGTATCTGGTGATTGCCATTGTTTAACAAGTTCAATCGTTGGTACGAGACTGAACTCCATGATGGATGAGCCCCAGACTTTTGTCGAAAGAAATAAGGATGTTTCCGATGTTGTGCACGATAACCATTTACTCTTTTGAAGCATTTGTATATTTTCAATCGACATGTGCGTTTCATCGACAAGAAAAACATCACTGCCATTGATAACAATAAAACGATCTAACGTCGCTGACCAACACATATCATAAATAGTTCCGTAAATCCAGGAATTTTGCTTGACAGTATTCAAATTTTGATCGATCAAACACAGGTTTGGTTCTAGATGTATTAGTAGATATCGACTGCTGCATGCTAATGGCGCCCAGTTTTCTCGAGGATAGTTGATTGTTTTGTAGATCGGCGATAATGATGTTAAGTCAAAACGATTGATATCCAAATTTTCAATATGGATTAGACTGTCGTCTAGGACTAACGATTTCGTTTCGACTTGGATCGATGTCTCTTCGATTTGGGCAATTTCACGTCCGAGATCGCGCACAGTGACCGTTAGAGAATCTATATCTTGGTGTGTCGCTTCTTGTTCGTTGATTAGTTGTGACATTTTTGTGCGCATACGTGAGATTTCATCACGCTGTTTGTCCATTCGTTTGGAAATGTATCGATCGAGTTCACGACATTTTTGTTCGAAAAATGTGTCGATTGTCTTATGGCAATCCACTCGCCATTGGTTCAGTTTCTGATGTGTTATTCCGATTGCTTTTTCGAGATTTATGGATTTTAATCGTTCACCCAACGCATTAATTTCATCTGAGAGAGGATTCAACTGTGAGTTCAATGACAGATCATGTTCGATCATATGTTCACGACAGAAATTCTGATTACATTCATGACAGAGCGCTCGGGACGCACGTTGACACGCAGAGATCGCACACTGCTGAGCCATTTGTTGTCCAGAAGAAAAACTGCAACTGTTGTTACTTTTTCTCTCGTCGATTTTAAAATGATGAAGAAAGAAACATCAATAATACCTAAGCAAAGCAACTCCCAATTGTTTGTTTAATAAGATGGCAGTGATTGCTCGACACATTTAAGTAATCGAAGTGTCAATATATTTTTTACAGTAAAGTCTCAGCGAAAAAATCGAAATGGGTGGAAAGAGAACATTTTAAGTAAAAAATGTTTTGTTCCTGGTAAACGATGAATCACTAAGGAAACGACGCTTCTGTTCGATATCTAAACACATTCTAATGTGTCAATCCGCGAAAAACTCTCTTCTACTTTTAGAAACCTTACAGTTCAGTTAATTTTAGCAAATGAAGGTCAATTTGACAAGTCAATCGATAAACTCTGTACTCATCTGTTATCCATCGAAATCACATACATCATCGAGAAATTATTTTCACGTATAATGCAATTATCTTGATAGAAGACAATCTTCCACTCTGGTAATATGTAGATTTATTCCTAAACTAAGACAGTCAATTGTCAACAAACCAGATATGAAAGAGAAAGAACGTAAATATTTGAAATCATTAGGATATGTTACATGTTTTCGTTTTCTGCTGTTGTTGGTGACGGTGAGGATGGAGTCGTTTCTTGCTCGTCGGATACGACTGCGGTGTTGGGTGCAAGTATTTTACGCAATAATTCATCGCGAAGGCAACCTTGAATGAATTCATCGCGAATTACCACATCTGAATGTAAAAACAAACACTTGAGTGAATCAATAGATTTTATAATCGAACCGTCTTTTTCTTTATTCAATCGTTGCATGATTAAATCTACACGTCGATCCGGTGATTTGTCGCCACTTCGATCTTCTTCATTAGCTAAATCGTACATTGCTTCGATGATTTTTATCATATCTTTACGATTGATGACTCCATCTTTGTTTTGATCTAAACACGAAAAATGATCACCGTTTGTATTTCTGTCAAATTCAGAAATATCTCTCTACCGTAGATATCAAAAGCCATCTTTAGTTTCTCTTCAAGGTTTCCATGTTGAGATACACCCACGGCTAATCTAGAGGACAAAAGTTTGCCGTCGATACAAACGAATAAGTTCTTCTCCTTACAAAAACTCGGTGAAATCAATCCAATTATTGTTGTCAGTATCGAATGCTTTGAATACAAAATTACAATATTTATCTGCTTTACCTTCCGGATAGAATCTCTACAGAAAAAGAAAACACACACACACATCACAAGAATGAAATCTTTGTAGAGAAGGTTATGATTACTCTATACACATGAAGAAATTGTTTTTTGTCGAGTTTACCCGTTGGACAATCTTTAAGAAAACCAAAATGCCATGCGCGAATTTCGTCTTCGGTATATTGTGTATTTGCTCTCAGTGTTTTCAAATCTTCATCGCTGAGTACAGTTGGGTCCTTCTTCCCTTTGCTACTTGCTTTATTACCCATAATATGATAATAATCTAAAGATATATCTGTTTTGTCAAAGAAAGAAAAGAAAGGAAATCTCCGTATTGAATGTGTTAACGAGTTATAAGATGTCTAAACCATTTATGCGCGATAGTGGACATATAGGCAGAACTCGAACGAAAGAGATGGGTATATCCTTGTCACATGCTAAATGTACATTACGAGCAAAGAAGTCGGAATAAGAGTAGCAGGGAAAGTGGCAAAGAAACAGCGAGATATATACATATGGATGGCGAGAAAAGCAATGTTGAAACCTTAGACATATATGTAATGTATAGAAATAGTTATGTTCTATATATACGGAAATGACGCCTTCGTATGCCGAGATGTACGACGCAATATATAAATACAGATCTGCCAACTTTTGGTTTTTCTCTCGAGTAAATCCAATGACAGATAGACGAAAGTCGAATTCGAATATGAAGGTCAATATATGTATCGATATCATCATCTATCTGATGTCGAAACCGAAGGATAAGTTGTACGATACTTTCTCAAAGTAATCAGAGATAATAATGCGCATAATATTTTCTCTCTTGCGACTCGTTCTATGGGTATAAGAAACCATTTGTTTATTGGATCAAAGACAACATCATTCTATCATCAATTGCATGTCGAATCGTTATTGTAACAGCCCTATGCTTTCATGCATGCATATGTCGCGAAACAATCGTCAAACAATCTGATTGACAGTTCGAATAGTTGTTAGAAGTTATCTGTTTGACATTATGGATTATTTGTTAATAGACTCAAGTAACTTTACTGGAATTCGTCCTCAAGCCGACGTCGATGGATAGTTCGCTGGGATTTTTCAAATCGTGCGAAAATATGCATAGAATTCTCCAACAACAAAAACAATCCTATATGGATATAGATCAAATGCCAATTCATCACAGATAGAGTGTGGGAGATCTTCTTGTTAGATATTTGGTAATGTCAGCCAAGCTATTGAATGCAAACTAGAGTTTCTTATAGAATCAAAATGAGCAATACAGATGTGACCATCATTAGAATTCCTGCTCTCTCTTACACACACATGTTCAGTGCAAGTTGGTGCATGATCGAGTGAATAAAAGCGACATCTGTCAAATGTAACTCTGCTTGTTCGAAACCTAATCAAATTGAAAAAAGAATGTGAATGATTCAATACAATACAATACAAATGATCAATCATCTTCTAAACGATACAGTTTAATGAATGACAGTTCGATGAAGAATGATATAACTGAATTTCAGTCCAAATATCAAATCTCATTCATCATTGTCAATATACGTTTTTTGGTCATTTGCTTTTGAAATAAAAGATTTTATATGATGATTTGTCTCGAATACAATATTATTATTGCCGACAGTTGTTGTTTGATCAACAAGATAATATTGAGAATGAAATTACATGGAAACACCATGTTTGTTATTGTATTTTTCGAAGCATAATAATTAGCTGACACATATCTTTGTTTTTAGCATGTCACAGTTCTACTCACATCGTCAATTAATTTTTTCCGATGAAAAGAACGATAAAGAATCGATCACAGTCACTATACTAGAGGTGTTTGAATCGAAAAACTAAATCAGCAAAATCGCTTTATGCTATTTTCAATCTAGACATTTGATACATCATCATCGTACGGTCTTTATCTCTGGCCATGTTCACCGGTACTTGCTCAATATATTTGGTATCACCGAAGTGATTTTATCGGCAAGAAGGTCCTTGAAGTAAAATGGAAAACTTTCTCGTTCATTAGTAATTAACTTGTCCTTGTCAAGATCGGCGCAGGTACTTCATTACCCAGTCTCGTTGCAGCCAAAATCGGTGCTCATAATGTCGTGTTATGTGATAATCCAAAAATCGACAAATGGTCTCCATTGATACATGAAACGCTCGCTAAGAACGCTATGATCGCCGATCGAATTCGTGTTGAATTTCTAGATTGGTATGATGAAAGGAGTATCGATGATCTAATCAAGAAACACTTCCCAACGAATATTGATATCATACTTGGTTCAGATATATTCTTTCACAAAAAAGGTACGAGAAAGCCTTGTGATATTTCAACAAACGAGATGATTGTCTGTAGACTTCGAAATAATTCTGACTTTGCTCGACAAACTCTTTTCAAATGGGCAATCAACGCTGAAGTTTATCGGAACTATCGAACGACGAAGGTGAGGACAAATCATCGTTGCTATGTTTAGAAAAATTTCTAATTTGCGTTGCTATAGTCGAAGTACGATGTTGAAATTGAATCACTTGATCGATATGTGGAATTTCAAGTTCGAAATGGTGCCATTGAAGAATTTCAATGGCGAAACAATTTATCCAAATATTGTGGCAGGACATGACATTCTTCTTTGTCTAATCACGAAAGAATGAGGTGATCAACGCGCAATGTGTCTGTTTTTTCTCGAAATGTTTATATAATAATGCTTCTAAAGTATGTCTGTTTGACAGAACAAATAAAAAAAAAGGGTTGGAGCGAGTTCTATCCATGTTAGAGAGAAGACGTTGGAGGCGGACGAAGTAGACGGAGGAAGATGGAGAACGAGAAGCAATTGTGGGGCGGACGTGACAAATAAAAGAACAGAAGAAACGTATGGTTCGATGTTTGAGAATCAATACTGATTGGTTGTATCTATCATAACAAAAAAAAAGCAAAGAATGAATGCGTAGTGCGTACAGCTGATAATACGACTATAATATATATAAAAACACACGAAACGTTTTTTTCCTTACATCAAACATCCTTCATGTTACTCATCAATACTCTACCGAGATTTACTCACATACTATCTTGACAAATTGACGTCATTCTTACATATACATATACGAAATCTCGCCATACGTTCCGCACTGCATTCTATTAATTATGTTCCAAATCATAGTTCTTATTTTAATCATTTCGTTACCAAATATTAATTCAAAATGCATTTGGTATGAAGGTATACGTGATAGTTATAATGAAGTGTATCTCAACGGTCAACCAAAACCGTTGCCGTTGAACGATACGAATCTCCTCAATGAAATGTGTCCTCATATTGCCACACAAAATGGTACGTAATTTGAGTGATTGTGTCGTTCGAATGAATCATCGTTGTTATTTGTAGGTGCTGCACCGAATCTGTGTTGTGACGGCAAACAGTTGACCGAAATGCGAAAGTTCAAATACATGTTGGACAACCTCATCGGTCGTTGTCCATCATGTTATTACAACTTCTTACGAATTTTATGTGAAATGGCTTGTAGTCCTGATCAGGATCAATTTTTATGGCCTTTGGAAACAATCAACATCACTCGCCCGAGCCATAATGGTCAACAAGCGAGTGAGGAGCAGGCAAGCAGAGCAGATTGGGCATTGCCAGATTATGAAGATCCCGAAGAGGAAGAAGAAGAGACAAAGGCTGTCGCAAAAGTTCCACCGAAACCTATTGAAACTGTGAATGTTGTTAGTAAATTACGATACTTCCTATCGGAAAAACAAGCTCAAGAATTCATTGATTCGTGCTGGTAAATCTACTTGATTTGTTCGTCAATTTCCATTCCGTATCGTTTTCTTTTGTTCAATAGGAGTGTTCGAATCAATTTTCAATATGCGATTGATATTCTTTGTGGTTCATTAAATCGCGCTTGCGACGTGAAAAAACTCTTTCAGTACATCGGTTTAAAAAACACGCAATCGCCGATTAAAATCGAATTTGTTTTCATTAATGATACTTATCATGATCGTGAACTCCAACGAACATTTCGCCCATCGCAAGCAACCATGTTCGCGTGTGATCAAGCAGTTATTCTACCACATGTTTCAAGACAAAAGTGTACCTGCATGGTATGTAAATGCTTTTGCAAGTGACTAAACGCCTCGATAGTCTGATCTAGAACAGATGTTGCTGGTAAACTCATTAGGACAAACATAGTCAACGGGTTTTGTCTTCTTTCACAAAAATTGATTCTGATGTGCTGTTGCTATCTGAAGCATATTCAGAACAGATTTCCTCTTATTTGATTTCGCAAAACAAATGTTAATAACCTTTTCGAATGACCTATTGACAAAGTTGTATTATTGCTGTTTTTATCACTTTTCCGACAGTATAGTAGGTTAGAAAAGGGCAAAGGCAAATTAGGAATGAAATACGTCATTGACTGCACTTGAATTTGGCAATTTCAATGGGTTTTATAGGATTGCAATGCGATGTGCCCAAGGGTGTCGAACCACACTAAAACAAAATCGATGATTACATCGAAAAGTACGCTCATCGAACGAATGAAAGCCAAATTGGGAGAATTTCATCGAATAACCATCGCTGCCATCGTTCTCTACTTTCTTTTTGTAATTATTTTTACTATTGCAAACGTCCTTATGTGCGTATGGAACGTGAAACTCAACCGAAAGGGAAATTCCCGTTCGAGTAAGAGATAATTGATGAGTCATTTTGTTCTGAATAAGATAACATTCTTCGTTTCCAATCTTTCAGGCTTTCGAAATCGTAAATCCAATGAAAGCAATGATGATGTGAAGAAATTTTCTGATCATCAACATGTGCCAATTCCAACAAAAGATGAAGATGAAGATGAATCTGAAGCATCATTTACTGACGATGATAATAACGGTTTATTAGATCGATTAGGTGTGAAAATCGATGATCGTCTCCATGCGACATTTACAGCGTATGTTGTTCCTTGCATTAATAAGTGTAATTGACATGTTATCTCTGTAGAATTGGCCGATTCTGTGCTTACAATCCATTTTATACAATTGTACCTGTTTTAGCGATACTTTTCGTTATGTGTTACGGTAGCCGATATTACACAGTCACAACAGATCCAGTTGATCTTTGGGTAGCACCAAATTCTCGTGCACGCCAAGAGAAAGCCTACTTCGATGAGAAATTTGGGTATGACTTTTTTAGAACTTTGTTACCAAAATTCGAATGTTTTCATTTTGAATTTAGACCTTTCTATCGTATAGCTCATTTGATTCTCGTTCCGAAAATCAAAGATAACATTGTTCTTCGTTATAAAACTCCATTAGAAGCAGAAGAAAAGCATACCTTCGGACCGGTATTCGAACGGAATTTTCTTCTCGATGCCTTACGTCTACAATTAGCCGTGGAGAACTTGAACGTAACAGCTCGTTCTGGTCAAATCATCTCATTGAACAAGACTTGTTACAAACCACTCGAGCCCGATAATAATCATTGCGCGATCTTTTCTCTTTTTCAATATCATCAGAATAATCTCACCTTTCTTCTCAACGAATCTTTATACTCATCTCAATATCTCGAATGTATGCAATCGCCGATCACACAAGAGACCAAATCATTTCAACGAACATGTATGGCACAATTTGGTGGGCCCGTCGATCCCTACATGGTTCTTGGCGCATTTCCCACACATGATAATGTTCCCGATTACACCAAAGCACAAGCATTAGTAATTACGATAACGATCAACAACAAACGACAAGGTGAACAACTAGAAAATGCTCTTTTATGGGAAAAACAATTTCTTGAATTTATGAAAACATACCGTTCGGAATATTTCGATGTTAGTTATCGTGCTGAACGATCCATCGAAGATGAAATCGAACGTGAATCGAACTCTGATATAAAAACTGTGGTGATTTCGTACTTGATCATGTTTTTATACATTGCTGTTGCATTAGGACGAATCCGAAACTTTCGACACATTCTAGTCGATATGAAAGTGTCGTTGGGCATCGCTGGTGTTGTTCTGGTAGCATTGAGTGTTTGGGCTAGTGTGGGCATATTTTCTTATGTACAAATACCAACAACATTGATTATTTTTGAAGTTATACCATTTTTGGTCTTAGCTGTTGGTGTTGGTAAGTGATGATATCGGCACAGATTGATTTCTGATCTCTCTTTTCTCTAGATAATATTTTTATTTTAACGCAAAGCATTCAACGTGATCATCGATTACCTGATGAAGATATTGAATGTCAAATTGGTCGAATCGTTGGTCGTGTTGGTCCAGCTATGTTGCTAACATCGGTTTCAGAAAGTATCGCATTCTTTCTCGGAGCATTGACGCCCATGCCTGCCGTTCGATTATTCAGTTTATACGCTGGAATGTCGGTTTTAATCGATTTTCTTCTTCAAATCACCGTTTTTATTTCCTTAATAACTCTGGATCAAAAACGTACTCAAAACAAACATTTCGATGTCTTCTGCTGTTTCAAATCATCCAAAGCTCACCCACCAACAGAAGTCCAAGCCAACGAAGAACTAACTCCTGAACCAGAGGGGATCTTATTTCGTGTATTTAAACGTTATTATGCTCCATTTATAATGAGCGACTATGTTCGTCCATTTGTTATCTTTGTATTTTTTACCTGGCTTGCGTCAAGTATCGCTTTGATACCCTATGTGAAAATCGGTTTGGAACAAAACATAGCTATGCCAAAAGATTCGTACATGAACGATTACTTTACATCATTAAAACAATATTTCGCTGTTGGACCTCCCGTCTATTTCGTCATTAAACCCGGTAAGGATTTTTTCATTCGATGTTGTCTCGTTGTTTTTATGAACTTCTTCTTTTTCCAAGGAATCAATTATGCTCGATTGAATGCCAGTAATATGATCTGCTCGAGTGCTGGCTGTTCGTCGCAATCGATCGCGAATCAACTAGGTATTGCTTCACTCTCTCCAAGCGAAACACGTATCGCACAAATCGGTACAACGTGGTTAGACGATTATTATGATTGGCTACGTCATCGAGGTTCAACGCCATGCTGTCGTCTGTACGACGAAACGAATGGATTTTGTTCAACAAAAGCACCTTCCCATGCTCAATGTCACGTGTGCACACATGGTACCACACGAGAAGAGTTGAACGAACAGGAATTCAAAGAGTTCCTACCATTTTTCTTGAAAGATAATCCGAACTTAAAATGTGCCAAAGGTGGACATGCTGCACATGGTAGTAGTGTAAAATTATTTGAAGGTAATCAATCAGTTGAGACAAGTCTTATCATGGGTTATCACAGTCTCCTGATTAACTCGAATGATTTTATTGATGCTATGCAACAAGCATACAGTTTAACAGATAATATTACAAAAACAATGAAAAACGAAGGTTATGATCTGGAAATCTTTCCCTACAGGTAAGAACATTCGAGAGAAGACAACACTAAACGACTATCTATGGTTTTACTTTAGTATATTTTATGTGTTTTACGAACAATATCTAACCATTTGGCATGATGCTTTTATGAATCTAGCGATATCCGCAACAGCAATTTTCATTGTGACATTCATTCTACTTGGATTGGATATTATTTCAGCATTTATTATTACGTTAACCATCACTATGTAAGAACGCTGATCGTCATGAGTCAATGTTCGATTTTCTTTTGTTTAGGATCACTTGTGACATGCTCGGTATGATGTATTTATGGAATATTGAATTAAATGCCGTTTCACTCGTTAATCTCGTCATGTCTGTTGGTATTTCCCTTGAATTTTGTGCGCATATATGTCGAGATTTCGTTCTCTCATGTCAACGCTCACGACTGAAACGTGCTGAACACGCTCTTGCTGATATGGGCAGTTCGGTAAGTAACAAATAGAATTGATCGGAGTTGCTGAATATCACTTGACTTGTTCTGCATAGGTATTCAGTGGAATAACTTTAACGAAAATCGGTGGTATTGTCGTTCTTGGCTTTTCACATTCTCAATTGTTTCATATATTCTACTTTCGAATGTTTATTTGTATTGTTTCCTTTGGTGCCGCGCATGGTTTAATTTTTCTACCTGTTTTACTTAGTTACATCGGTAAATACGCAAACAGCAAGTTTTTTCGATTTATCTCCTGATCTTGTTCCGTGTCTTTTAGGTCCTCGTCCAAACCGGGCACGGCGATCAAGAGCAGAATCAATTCAATTGCAAAAGCAATTGTCCCTAAATGCAACTGCATAGAAAGAAAAGCAAACCTTACGGTCTTTTATTTGTACCATACTCCTCTCTCTTTACAAGAAAATCTCTTCGGGTAGTTTTTCTGTATTTATTTTTATCTACCGTCCGTTCCAAGTCTCATTGTGCTGATAATATCTGCTTTGCACGTGTCAAACAAAGATCTGTTTATTTATTTGTTTTCTTCTATCTCTCTTTTCGCTCCCCTTTCTATGTACGTGCGCATTCTTCCAGCATCAACTCGTGTCTATGTCAAAAGGCAAGTCAGATGACGAGATTTTCTTGTTTTTCTGGAATTCCACTTGATCTTTAGTTTATTTATACTTCTATTTTTTTGTTTTCAGCCTCTCTCTTTCTCTATCTTTTTTGTTGTTATTTATTACATATAATTTACGTCGGCATAGAAAGGAAATATAATCATGATCAAATATTGATCGCATCTTCTGAATAAACGAAATTCCATTAATGATATCACTCGAGTCAGCATGATTCACAGTGAAGGTTTCGAGTATGTGGGCGACGTGATTCTGTTTACTACTGAGATGAATCACTCCACCGGTGACTATTTCCATATGAAAACAACGCACAGCTTGATGGAATCTGAATATGAATTCTTCTTGATCAAGCAACGAGCATATTATTATTTCAATTATTATCAGATACAAGAGAAAAGAGAGAAAAAAAGAAAGAAAAAAAAAACATCAACTGATACAATGGGTTTTGAAATATGTTTTGAGCGTTTTGTTTTTCGTACATATGTAGAAATGTATACAAATCTATATACAACTTGTAAACAGACAGACAGAAAGAAAATCAAGAATTATAAATGTTGATTTGAATCGTTTATAATCAACGGTTTGTTTAGATACAGTTTTTGATTTGGATCAGCATCGAATACGGGATGTGTTTTATAATGTTCGATAAGGTCATTTAGTGATTTAAATGAACGTTTACCGATTATAAAGCGATTCCCGTCATCACTTGATTCAATACGAAAATGACGAATTAGCTCTTCTTCAGCCCGGATGCTCAGAGAATAATGACCAATCTAAGAAACGAGAATCAATTATAGAAACATTTCGAACGCTTTTGCCTACTTTTCGTTCACTGTTTCGAACAAGAAAATCTCCTATTTCGACTCCATCATATTTCAACAGCTTCTCCGCTTCATCACGTGTTATCGATCCATAATACCAACTTTCGTTATCGTAAGGCGAATCATTCAAATATTTTTTGGATGACTTTAATGTTAATGTTGTCAAACCATCAACAACATTCAATGGATCATTACTGATAGCAGACGACGAAGCGTAACCTGAATTGGTATTATCGTATTGGAGTAAAGCTGACCAGGAGCTATTCTTCTGTTGTGGATTGTTGCATGTTAAACATGAATCGAGTTTACCATCGGAATGAGCGAATTTTGATGGTTTTATAACGAATGCGTACTCATCAGTTGTATTAGTGATATGAGGAGGATGAGAATTGTGACGATTTTGTTGTAGACTATTGTTATTTGTTGTCGTAAGTAGATTTGGATGATCGGTTTCAACGATATTGGAATTCGCACTACTGGATGACGAGAGGCCATTGGATGATGAAGATGAATGATGATGTTTCAATTGATTCAGTAGGGAGAGAGAATTTAACCCATCATTCGTTTTCTAAACAAAACCAAAACCAACGAATCGAATATTTAGACAAGTTAGAATGGTGCTTACTTCAATGAGATAATTTGACGGAAACCATCCACGTTGTTTTTCGTATTGTACAAGCCACCAGCCATCGTTTTTCTTTTGTAATACATTTACCCAAATACCTTTGTTTAAACTGATTTCATCTTCACTGAAAAATAAAGAACCCGAAGGAACGTTTCGAGAGGAATTTCGTCCATTGAATCGTTTACCTTTCCGCATCGTATCGAAATTTGACAAGGGCTAAGGAGAGTACTCGTTCCTGATTATATCCGTTGGAGACAGTTTGTTTTTTATTGATCCGTTTCGAGATGATTTTATCGAGTAGTGAACGTTTTTCTCGTCGAGCAAAATTTGATGGAATGTATCTAAACAGATGAGATCTCTATCATACCGTTCGGCAATTTCACCTAACAGAACAAATATGATCAAGTTTATGATATTAAATGATCAAGGCTAAGAGTTCATTTGATTTGCGAGATGTATCATGTCAAGGGTTTACTCTCAAATTAAAAAAGAAACGAACGGCAAGTGTAGCCTCGAGAGATTGCCAACGAATGATTTTCATTATATATGTGTATATCTGCTACCATGAACAAAAGAATGTTTCATTTACCCAGTATCATCGGAATCGACACGTTTGACTTTCCACCAAAGACATGAATCATCAATTAAGATCAAGCGTTCGTTTTTCTGCACGGATAATTCATGATTTTCTTGTGCGGTATAGTTGAATTTGGCAACGACAACCTCATTTGCACCATCTAAACAGATCATCATATAGAAGTCTAATTGTTGCCATACACACTTACTAATGCTACTATTGTTTTGTTGCATATTGATGCAGGAACGTCGACGGCATTCGATCTATATTCAATATATATATATATGTGTAAATAAACGTATTAATGTCTATTCCTGATGAAGAAAAAACAACACGAGCAGAAAGATAGTATTAGCGATCGACATCGGAGCACGAAAATAGGTTTTGTTAATAGAGAAAACAATAATTAAATGCGTTATGACATCGCGAACAAAAAACGTATTTGACGCGTCAGGTAACTGACTGAAATGTATGAGGTACAAAAAAATGGAGAAAATGATACTGACAGTGCAATTGCATATGTATTGGTCGTTGTCGTTCATTTTTTTTGCCTCTTTTTTTCTCTTCCTTTCTGTACTCGTCTCAAGACGACATATATATATAACAACGTCGTTGATACACAATGGACCAAATTTGTTCATAGAAAAGAAAAGCCTTGAAAAAGCACTTCCTTTTCAATCAACTGACTATTTTGAGATAACTCCGACGAGCTCGGCGTATATGCACACACATCTGTCAACAACTACTCGATAATCTCTTAACTCAACACAAATGAATGAACACATTCGACACTATCAGAAACGAAGAAATGACTTGAATTGCATCATGCACACGATTTACGGACATAGTGTCGAATGAGAAGAAAATTCTATGTGGTCATTAAAGAAGAGCAACGAGACGATGATAGTACAGTACGAAGGTGACAGTAAAGAAGACGCGAAAACAAATAGATGAAGAAAACGACGAGACAACCGGATATTTATCCGAACAACATCGTTCTCATTTACGACGCATAAAGACATTGATCATCGTATTGAGTGAGAAGTGCATAATCTCTCTTGAGGCCTGATCACTGGCTCGCTCATTGGCTGACTAGATAAATATGTTTTCGTCAGGCAAAAATACCAAATATTAATATGTATTATTCTTGTTGACAAGATCGATGTGACAGATGGTTAAAAAACAAAAGTAAAAGAGAAAAACGGCTGTGATACTTGTCAACGATCATTATCTATTCGTATATTCTAACGAGAAAATATAAACAATACATTCGAGAAGAAAAAGAAACATCTATTCTTTCGTGTCTCTCTCTCTCGCTCCTTCTTTTTCTTTTTACAAAAAAAATACGCATAATGCTTACTTTAAACCTGTGTTAATCTCATAGACAATTACGCAAAAACCACAATACCAATAAATATCGAAGTTCTATTTTTTTTCTTTCCTTAGAAAATAAACATTGATCGTTGATAAGACAAAAACAGAAGGTCAATTCATTGGCGCCACTATCGCCGCAAGTTTCTCAATTGACTGTAGCGATGTCTTTTTCGACACATAAATTATATCATTGGTCGATAATTATAGCAATCGAAACTGAAAATAAGACTTTCTTTGTCTATTTTTCTTCTAAGAAAATAGTTTCTCTCGGACGGATATTGTTCATTCTCACATATCAATCCATAGTTAGCAACTTTAGTCCAACGATGTCATTACACAATACTCCAAAGTATAATTTCATTTTTATGATTAGAAATAATTAATGGAAAGATTGTTTTTGTGTTTAGTCGACTACATCACACACCGAAAACTGCTCGTGGTTATCACTCAAGCGACAATGCCACGCCGAGTCCAATTCGTTTTCGATCGAAACGAAATTGTCAGAACGAAAAGTAAACATTTCTTCATTACCGATAGGTAGAATTCATCGGTTCTATTTAGTGTATATCCAAAAACTAAATTCGATGTCGATTTCGATGAAAATGCGAATGACCAATTTCATGCGGAAAACACGCCGAATAAACTGCATGTGAAAAATGAGAACGCACCTCGGACGCCGAAGCCAAGGTAGATGGTGATCGTTTGATGTAGTTTAATACATGTGTGATTTTGTGTAGTTTCGAAGAAGAACAAGAAGAATTGAAGAAGACACTGTCGAAAGATTGGTGTGATAAAATGGACAATGAAGAAGCAGAGGAAAAGAAGCTTCATAGGTATGAAGAAGATATGTTTCCTGTTGAAATTTTACACGATTGTTTGTTTAGTTTTGTAATATATCTTAAACAGTTTCCAATTCACGAGAACAAAACGACAGAAGAACTTCTAGCTTCGATTACGTGTTGTCCGAAAGGTTGATTTGATTAGACAAAAAGCATTGTCATTTTCTCTTGTCTTTATTCTAGAGCTTCTCCGTCGACAAAAAGAAATCAGCAAGGGAAAACTATCAAGTGCATATCAAAACTACGTCACCACTGTTCCACGGTAATTAACCGTGTGCTAATCGGTTTTAGTCGAAGGAATTATTTCTTTTTCAAGGAAATCGCGCACACGACAACATCCTCGTACGCCATGTAAATATGCAAAGATGTCTCGACGTGGCTTCGATGGCGCTGTCAAAGCATGGCGTCGAAAACTTCACGAGTTCAATGGCGACAGGTACGTTCATACAGATCAAGTGATTCTAAACTTCGCACGAAAGAAATCAATTCGTTACATTTCTGGTTTCGTCAATTACAGTAGTATGCTTTTAGATCACTGCGAGCATGCCCATTACTAATTTGACTTTCTTTCTAATTGGAAAGAGAAAACAACGTAGACATGTCTGATGATCATAACCTTCCGTTTAATTAGCGTGTTGATCTATTTGTCATGCATTAATTTGCCTTTTATATTGTTTTAGAAGCAAAGAAAGTCAAAGTACGAATGATGATTCTTTCTCGTCATCCCAACGTAGTGACGATTATTCAACACCATCTTCCAGATCAATGAGCATTGACGAAAGTGACGAAAATTTCCTTCCAGATTTGTACGATTTCGAAGAGGCAATGGGCAATCTCGAGCCAAAATTCGGTGCAGCGGTGGATGTCGAAGTTGCTGATTCTATGGATACAATTGTTAACAATATCGACTCTCGTTCGGCTATGGCATTCGATTAGTTAAATTGCAATTGTTGTACTCGGGCGAAACAAACAAAACTACGTCAGATATTTTCTTGTTTTGTTCTCTATTTGCTGTTAGATATACGCACGTTGTTTGGATATATATTTTTTTTGTATTTGTGTATTATTATTTTGTACATGATTATTCATTGTTTACTTCAATTGGTTAGAAGAATAATATAGAAATGAAATGCGCTTATGTAATGGAAATATACTTTCTTGTTTAACTTGCAGATTAGGAAAATATGATCCATAGTTTGTTCATCATCAATGGATCAGGGTAAATATTCACGAGTAAAGGGTATACTATTCATGACTGATTCTTGCTTTTAGTGAGATATTCATGGAGAAGCATTGGAAAACGGTGGTGAGTAAATCAATCTGTGATTATTTTTTCGAAGCTCAAAAAAAAGTAAGTAAAATACAATCTGCTCCTGCCCAATCACTTGAAGTTCCACTTTTCGTAACAGTGCGGTAATCCCGAAGATGTTTCGCCAGTTATTGCTACGCCTCATCATTATCTGATAAATATCTGTCGAAGCAGTCTCTATTTCGTTGCTGTATTAACTAATGAAGGTAATGACTCTTTTCATGAAAAGAAACTCGAATAAAAGTAGATCGTGAATTTAGGTGCACCATTGTTTGTTATCGAATTTCTTCATCGTATTATGGACGTATTCGAAGAATATTTCGTGACATGTACCGAAACAACGTTGAAAGATAACTATGTGATTGTTTATGAGGTAAGGAAAACCTTGACAATGAAAGTTCAATTTGTTTTGTTCGGTGTTTTGAAATAGTTATTAGATGAAATGCTCGATTCAGGTTTACCGTTAGCCACAGAAACTAGTGTGCTAAAGGAATTGATTAAGCCACCGAATTTATTACGTAAAGTAGCTCATCTTGTCACCGGAGATAGTACAAAGTAAGAGAATGGTTCATTCAAAGAGACGATCAGCTCGTTTCTTTAGTGTTAGCGATGCTCTACCATCCAATCAGTTATCAAACATTCCGTGGCGTCGTTTAGGCATTAAATATACCAATAATGAAGCATACTTTGATCTGATTGAAGAAATCGATGCTATTATTGATCGCAATGGTGCGACAGTTATGGGTGAAATTCAAGGATATGTAAGTAGAACAGATTCATTTTTTATCGTTCTAAATTTCATAAACTTACCCTAAAGGTACAGGCCAACTTTCTTGTAAAGTAGGTGTTGAAATAGGACATGTCATGATTGCTCATTGCTGACATGATAAATTGATTCTGTACATAAACGTCCTCATGGTATCTGTTTCTAATTTAGATTGATTGTTGTGTGAAGTTAAGTGGTATGCCAGATTTAACATTAAACTTTATCAATCCGAGACTGCTCGATGATATTAGTTTTCATCCATGTGTACGATTGAAGAAATGGGAGGTGGGTTCATATTTGCATCGAATGAGAAGACTTTTTATAGGACTTTCGTTTAGAGTGATCATGTCATTTCGTTTGTTCCTCCAGACGGTAATTTTCGCTTGATCTCATATCATATTGGATCGCAAAAGTAAATCGAAGAGATGAATTCATTCTTCATAAAATAGCGAACGAGTTTTTTTTATAGTTCGATATCGATTCCGATATATGTCAAATCTAATATACAGTATCGTGAAGGTAGCTCAGGACGATTTGAATTAACTGTTGGACCGAAGCAAACTATGGGCAAACCTGTACGTATTTCTTCCCTAATCTGCCGAATTCGATTCGAATTTTCTTTACAGTTGGAATCAGTTTCCATCGAATGTGCAATGCCAAAGAGTGTTCTCAATTGTACATTGACTCCAACTCAAGGTAAATGTACATTTGATCCAGTGAAAAAGCTTCTCGTCTGGGACATTGGTAAAATTGAAAGTGACTCTCAAAGCGCTGGACGTTTGCCAAGTATTCGCGGCAATATCATTTTATCAAGCGGTCAACCCGTTCCCGAAGGAAACCCGACGTTAAACGTTCGTTTTACGATCAATCAAGTTGCATTGTCAGGTTTACGTGTTCAACGTGTAGATATGCACGGAGAGAAATACAAACCATTTAAAGGTGTGAAGTATATCACTACAGTAAAGCATGGACGTTTTCAAGTTCGAACATAAATATATATTTTCGTTTTCTTTTGTGTTTATACATATATATATATCCGTATCGTATGATAAGAATTATTCGACAAATCTCAGTATTTATTTGGTTGTTTTAGATTAAGAAATGGGTAAACGTGGTCGTAAACCGATCAAAAGTGATTTGAACACACGCTTGGAGAAAAGTCGTGAAAGTGCTCGGCAATGTCGTCACCGAAAGAAACTTCGTTATGAATATTTAGAAGAGCTTGTCGGCGACCGAGAAAAGGCCATTGTACAATTACAGTGTGAATTAGAACGTCTTCGTTCAATTTGTCAACAACTCGATCAGTTCAGCTTGATGAACGAAATCCAGCAGGAGTTAATCCAATGGAAAGACGATCCAGATGTTCTAAACCTCAGCCAATAATAGACAACTTTTTTTCCAAGTATTTCGCCCGGTTTTGTATTTTTTCCCTGGAAAAACAGTGAACTTCATTGTGCAATAGATTTGCACGAGACAGTGCCTTTTTTAAAATAAATTGTGTCTAATCAACAAATAAGGTCAACGCGTAGGTGTATGTAAAAAGTGAAATGACATAATGATTACGATTCTTGGCGCGTGCTTTGGTAAAACTCGCGAGAAAAAAAAGACAAAATTTCGAATCTCTTAACAATCAATGACATATACTTCATTCCTCAATCTCTCGCAAACCAAACGGCTCATCGCGCTGTTGAACTCACCGATTTTAATCAGTAGTCAGTGTTCATTACCGACATTAACCGTCGTTCCATCGTTGTTTCTTATCCGATTAAAATGTGAACTTAAACAACAAGGTTTAGTCATTGAAGACATGCGATTAAGTGGCGGTGCTGCTTCATTTGTTCTCGATCCGACAGGTGATTTAGCATTTCGTGATTTAGACTTTCTAATCTTTGTAAATGATGTCAGATCGGAAGTGAATTGGTCTCGTATAAAACAAGCTGTGTTCACTTCCTTACCTTTATCGATGAAAGATAATCAGTGTTTATCAACGGAAATTTACGCCGATAAAATGATACGCATTTTGAATGATCACGACCAATGGGGTTTAATTTCCTTACGGAATGTTGACGGTCGAAATTTGGAATTAGTAAAAACTTCCTTTGCGAAAATCACACACCGTCACTTGTCGTTTGTAGAAATTTGTTGAACACATGAAAAGACAATATCAATTTTCTGTTGATTCATTTCAAATCTTACTTGAACCTTTACTGAATTATTTCTATTTCACGAAAAACTTCGATTCGTATCCACCTATCCTCGTTCTTTCGAGTTACGGCAACTTCTTCGAAGCATTACAACATTTGCATTATCGTCTAATCGCAGTGAAATCACCAGAAGAAATCCGCGGTGGTGGTCTTTTGAAATATTGCGATCTCATCGCGCGAGGTTTTCGACCAACCAATCCCAATCAGATGACCGATTTACAACGTTATATGTGCTCAAGATTCTTTATTGATTTTAGAGATTCATTAGCACAAGAACAAGTCTTATTTAAATATGTCAACAGCCATTTCGGAATAGATTACGATGTTCGATATCGATTCTTGCGGTGCTTGTATGAGGTAATCTCCACCGATAGTGTCTGGTTAAGTGCATACGAAAGACTTGCATTTCTAAAAACGATCTCGACCATGAGCTCATCGATTATGCCATTAAAACTCGCCAATCATCTAGTGAAATCATTCTCATCAACGGGCTATGTTTGTTCGTCAAAGAAAGTCACACAACTACAGAAATCATTACCACTAAGTTCGACAGTGCAAGGTTTATTGAGCAAACAGAAATGGCAAATGTATTCATGAATTCTTTTACTCTTCCTAGATCAGTTAATACCATCGGTGCCCTCGTCGAATACTTTAATTAAGTCTTCATCAGATAAATCAACAAATGTTGTTCTGGTCTCCTCGTCACCGATGACATCGTTATCATTCGAACAAATAGATGTGTTTGTTCAAATTGTCAACAGTCTCCGCACTGAACTCTTTCCTAAATTGAACAATTTCTTGTCGTCGATGTAGAACGGACAAAATATAATCACCGCATTGTACGTCTCGTGTTCAATGCAATGAACAGATGGTGTTGTGTATAATCACTATCTGATTCGAATGAATTATCATACTTCTCCCTCCCTTCCACATCCCGATTGATATATGTCAAAGTAAAAGTAGAGAACAGGAGAAAAAAAACAAATATTGATCGACGGCAAGTCTCACAGAAAAACCTTCATTGAGGTATCGATTACTTCTATTCTCGTACATGTGAAGGCTTGCCGATCCGATTACCTGTATTACATAAATACGTCTCAATGAATCTGTCTTTTTTAATACTCTTTGGCAATGTTCGTCAACGAAGAACGGAAATCGAATGTAAACTTGAATCAGATGTGTTCGCGATCAATCGAATGCGCTAACGGAACTTGTTTTATCTTGAACTCGTGTAGACAATGAACGTTGTGTTTGCTCTGAACAAACGTCGAGTTCAGCGTTGATCACGATCTGAACTTGATGTATGATGATAAGGTGTGACCATAGTTTATTAATGAACCAACCCTTTTCTTTCTCCACTTTCCGTATTGACATAGCTTGGAAATCCGAGGGAAAATTCTCCATCTGTTGAAACATTCTCGTCACATCGAACGTCTTTTCGTCATTTAACAGTTTTTCTCGAGAAAAAACTGTCTGTTTGTTGTCGGTAGATGATCAAAAGTGATTGAGATGTATAACGCAAAAAGGCAAGCATCAAATCACTTTGCCGAAGAATGTTTGTTTTCACTTAGACGAGACTCATCATCATCATCATCAACACTTTTTTGGCAGGCTTGATTAGAAACGTCTTTGATCCAATAAAATATTATTCTTACGACTTGAATCATATTGATTTTCTCAAGATTTCGCCGTTCGTTTTTTTAAAAGCTTTTTTTTGATGTCCATCCAAAAGAGAAATCAATATTGATTCGAACCTTTTTTTTTGTCATGTAAAATAGAATACTTACAAAGTCTTCTAATCAAGTCACTCGTTCAACTTCATTTAATGGCACACGAAAAAGAAACGAACGATTTTTGCGTGCTTTGCAATGCCTTACATCTCGAATTACTTTTGTTCTCTTATGAAAGATATTTACCTTTGGCAACCGTACTGAGCACATTTTTTTTTCTTCTTTCATTTCGCTCGACTTCTGAACATTCAACAAAGAAGATTCGCAATATATGCACATCCATAACTAATATTCTTAGACGATTATGCTCTGAGACGAAACGAAAATTAATCTTCATAGTTTCGCTTATTTTCCTAATCCAATCGAATGCACCCGGACGTGATTATTCAAGGTATTCGAAGCTTCTTCTTTGAGCGGAAATGCAACAATACATCGTCGTTCAAGCCAACACACGTCAAGGCGGGATTAGAGACAACGACTACCTCGTTCTGTTTGTTTAATTTGCTCAGGCATATACTGAAGATGACCATCGATCCTCATACAATATACATTCTTGTTAGATATGACAAACATTGAATATAATGTTTATCAAAAGGATTTATTCATGTCAGGGCCAACTATCGAACAGAAGAAACAATTATATCACTGGAAATTTCAGGGATCATTTTTTTTTGTGTTCTCGAACGATATAAAATAAACAAATACTATTATCACGGTTACTTGAAAAGCTGAAGAAGAATTTATTGACACTTCTGCACATTCAATTTTATCAAGTATATAATAAATTCATTTTCTCCTACTTCAACTCTGATCACATCGATTTCAATCAGTGCAATTACATACACACACACACACACACCTACTCAGCAACATTTTTTTCCCAAAGGATTTTTTTCATTCGTTTACCAACGTTAAAGCATACGATTGGTTAACAGAAAACAACATTACGATTGGATGAAGGTCATAAAAAAACATATTGTATTCTCTCTGTCTCTCTTTCTCTGGCAAACATCGCATTAGCTTTTTTTCTTTCTCTCCCTCTCTCTCTTCTTCCGCTTGAGAGATGTAAAATCTTTGCATAGGAACCAATATTATTCTAGCAGGCAGTCACCAACACACATCAACGTACGAAGCAAATATTGTTTCCATTTATTTGTAACGCACAAACATATCCACGCGCGTGTACGTACATATACACGTACCGTACACATAGAAGGATTTTTTTTTTGAAGAAAATTAAAACAAAAGTAAGAGAGAACAACAGAAAGAAACAAGATTATAAGTACATATTAACAAAACTAATATAAATAACTTTATTGACAAAAAGATCTTTTTTGATATATTCATAGTTTCCATGTCATCGTCATCGCCGAAAACATCAGGTAATTACCAAACAAACTGTTGCTACCAGCAGTCAGCTTATGGAAATAACGTGGGGCAATATTCACTCTTACCTCCAACACATCATCCTCATCAGCAACAACTAGTCAATAACAATGTTCAAGCCCTGTCGCCAACATCTTTGTCTATGGTTTATGGAAATCAGCAACCAACGAATGCATCGACTATGTTACAAGCGCGTTATCAGAATGAACAAATCAATGAGAAAACTAGTAACAGTTTAACATCAACGTTAGTAAATGGACAGCAAGCATCTATGCCAAATAATTCCGCGACATTGGCAGCTACGACGAACTATCGGAGAAATTTCAATGCCTGTGCTAAACCACCTTATAGGTAATTGTGAAACATAAATCTTGTGAGACGTCTATTGAGAAACTTTTACTTGTAGTTATATTTCATTGATTACAATGGCAATACAATTATCACCAAATCGCATGTCTACTCTAGCTGAGATCTATCAATTCATCATGGATTCGTTTCCATACTATCGTCAAAATCAACAGCGATGGCAGAACTCTATACGACATTCGTTAAGCTTCAATGATTGTTTCGTCAAAGTACCACGAAGTCCTGATCGGTAAATGATTTAGCATAGAATTTCCTTCTTTTTTATTACGCCTTATGTTCTGCATAGACCCGGTAAAGGTTCATATTGGGCATTACATCAAGAAGCAACAAACATGTTCGAAAATGGATGTTATCTTCGTCGACAAAAGCGCTTTAAATGTAATTTCAATCGACTTTTTTCTCATACTGAAGACATTCTTGTGTTGTTCTTATAGGTACAAAACGTTTACAACACGATCGTGATTCAAACAACAATAGCCGACGTCACGGAATCAACAATAGTCTGGATAAGTCAACAACATCAACGGGCAGTGGTCAACGCAGTCCACTGTCATCTGCATCTGATAAATCATGTGATGAACAATTGTTAGTTCTCCAACAACAACAGAGACCTAATTATATGCAGCAGCAGCAGCAGCAACAACAACAACAACAACAACAATCATCGTTGGAAACGTTAGACTCTCGCGATTTACAAGTTCTACCAACGGGAACAACTATTGGCATCAAACAACTCAAACAGGAACAGTGTGAATTTAACCAGATGCCATTTGATCCGCACACATTTCCTGGCTATTCACCGTTTGCAATCAATTCACTGATAATGCATCAAGGCTTCGGTGACAATCCAGCAGCATTAAATGCTTATTACGCATCGCAATTACCCCAAACCGCGTTCGTACCGTCATCATCATCGGATTACTATCATCATCCGGCAATGTACGCGACTCAACCGAGTACATTGTAAAGATCGATGTGTAGAGAAGAAGTTCTGTTCGTTTTTGTTTTGTTTCTTTTTTTTTGTTTCAATTGACGTCGTGTAGATATTAATTCAAACAGATCAAACATTCCATCCTAGCCCATGCTCTCTCGCTTGACTGTTCTCATGTTTCTTTCGCTGCACTCTTATTATTTGAAACAGATCTTTTCTTTTTTGTTTTTCGCTCCTATTTGCAACATTACAATAAAACAAAATCTATTTTGTATTAAACATCTCGTCGGTCGAACTTATTTCTTTGCTAGAAAAGAAGGCCCTTGTTCCATTGAATTTGTCAAGGACAACTTTAAATTAACCATACAATACATAGAAGACATTAAATTTCAATATGATTGTAGTTAAGTAAATATTGTAACAAATAGTCTATTTAGGTAAATATTGTTTCATGAAAAAATGTATATCGAAGGTTGTCTATCCTCGAATATTCATCCGAGAGGTACAATTGAAAGAGATCAGATTTTGTCTGTATCTAAAATACTATTCGATTTTGTTTTTCCATGATCATACGTAGTATTGAGTATACAACAGAAGAAGAAAAAGAAGTCAATGTTACATTAAACAGAAAAGGAGAGAAGTAGAACAAATTAAGGTGCCGAAACCTCATAGATCGAGCCAAGAAAAGCATCAGCTATACGTCGAGCTTCACGTAAGCCACTTAATAATGCACCGTGAACCGTTGCTGGATAGTTTCGATTTGTATGTTCACCGGCAAAGTATAAACGTGGAACGCGATCACCAGGACATTCCACCGGACGACTCAAAATATCATAATCGTCACCTGAAGCACCAACCGCAACATATGAATAGGAACCACGGGCAAATGGATCTGATTTCCATCGCGTGACTAACGATTCTTTCGGCTAGAAAACAAGATGAAATACGTATTCGTTAGACAGAATGGCCGTTTTCTACATACTGAAGGTACGGCAGCTGAACCGAAGATATTTCTCAGAACAACTAATGTGCGGCCGATAATAACATCATCGGTGGCGCATTCGACGACGTTTGCTGCGTCACCAGCAACTAAAGCAATGAGTACTGGTGGTTTTGTGAAACACCAAAAGAGAAATAATTCTCCCCGCGATGATGTCGAAGCATTGACATGTGCAAACAAAGTATGATTCGAATCCCAAAATACTTTATCGAAACAGAGAACGACCTAGAAATGCCAATTGTTCGATGATAAGATCAAGAAACAAAGACATGCTTACTTTGTTTAAGTTTCCGAAGCCAAGTCGATCAATTGCTGATTGTTTTTCTTCTAACAGAGGTGGGTCGAATTGAATAACATTCTCTTTCAATACACCCAATGGTACAGTAACGAGTACTGATGCAGCTCGATACGTTTCAGGTACTTCGTTTTTAGGATCTTCTGCATTCGTAACAACGACTTCAACGCCTAGAAGGAGATCAGCATTGAGATTTGTCTGTTTGTTGTCTTAGTTGTTTAACCTGTTTTATTGTAAGAAATCTTCTTGACTATCCGTTTCAATTTTATATTTTGGTTTTCACACAGTGCCAATGGTAAGATCGAATATCCATTGCGTACTAAATCCAATCGAGATGAATTATCTTTTTAGAAGCATACGTGTCTACTTACCAGTTAAGTGACAACCCGTAAATTCATATTCATCATCTAAGCAATTATAGTTGATAGGCAATGAAATGTGTACACATATCAAGTTTACCTTGATCCCAGTATTTTAATGATAGACAATTCAACGGTGCTGCATTTGCAAATTCTAAATTGGCAATATGCCAATCAAGAATACGACGATCAGCAACACTTAGATAAAGACGGCTAAAATCATGAAAAAAATTGTCTACGGAGTTTCTCGGGCGAAGATCTAAACCTACGGTGGTGGATTCTCTTCTGCTAAACGAATTTGGTCTTTCAATTGTTTAGCTTGTTCTTCAAGACGTTCATATTCCTACAAAAAGCATTGAATAACTGCGCACACATTCAGCAATGATATTCTAACCCCTTTAGCAACGGCTAAATTATTCGCTACATCACGTTTCACGAATTCTTCAAGTATATTTCCATTATCCGGTGCGTGTAGGACATCGGTATATTCTTTTTCCAATGCAACGTATTTATTTCGAGCTTCACACATCTAGAACGAAAGATATTTCAACTCTAACAGAAATTAGATTGACAAATCTTACTGATGTTAACATGGCTTGAAGTGATTCTTTCATTTTGGTGATTTCTCGTAGATGTTGAAGATATTTTTCTCTGACAGCTTTCTCCTGAGCACGAATCAATTGTTCGAGAATGTCACCCAAGGAATAGGGCTGTTTCTTTCCATTGATATCTTCGTCGAGTGTTTGAGCCAAATACGAACATGCTTCGAGCAGTCGATTGAATTCTCTTTCCACGACTTCATCTTTGGCTTTTGGTACCTTCCGCAAAATGGAAGAACAAAATTTATTTAGATTTTTTCCGTAAAGTTCCTCTTTGAGTCAAAATCAATTGGCAAAACTATGCGAGAAATTCTATTAACCCGCAAATATCGACGTCGATAGTTAATTAGTTCAAATGGTTTTAGAAATGAATTTAGTAACTGGAAGGAAAATAGCACACGTGATAGCCTCTCTAAACAGACGTAACCTACCACATTCTGTGAGCATTCGTACATGGGACATTTGTGTTTGACAGGAACGAGATCAAGATTCGTTTGAGTTTGTAATACTGAAACTGGATTACCACCTTGAAAAAGATTGAAGACATTAAAACGACATGAAATCGAAAGGATTCACCTAATCCTGTGACGACCATAGCACCTAAATCGGCGATAAAGCCGTTTTTGCGAAATGTGGCAATGCGACCACCAACACGACTCTAAAAGGCTAAGATAATTTCGCTTTCACCAATCGATAAAAACCTCTTACACGTCCTTCGAGAACGATAGTATCGAATCCAAAATACTGCAATTGACGAGCAGCGATTATTCCAGCAATACCAGCGCCAATAATGATAACTCGTGGTTGTTCCTTTTTACCTACATATAAACAATTTCAAAAAGACTTATCGACATACAAATTCGTAAGTCAACTCACTTCCGAGTGGCGCTGTAATTCGTTTGAAAACTCCAAAATTAATGTAGCCGTAACGTTCCAGATACAGAAAAATTTTTCCAGCAAGAACACGTTCCTCTACTGATAAGTAGAAAAAGATTGAACTAGAATATTCGAAAAAGTCATAAAATCATACCAGCAGCATATCGCGGTTCGATCTGACTCAATTTCTCCATGACTTTTTCCAAGACGAGTTGAACTCGAGGTTCATCAAACCACATCCGAAGCTGAAAGAGCCATAAATGTTCGTCGCGCAAATCAGTGACACCTCACGGCTTACTCACGATATTATTTCGGATAATCAAAAATGCTTTATGCCGTTTAATATCACCTTTACAAATATCAGGAAATAATCGAGATTCTTCCGCTGACATTCGGTCGTGTGTAAGTCGACTTTGTGCAGCAGCATCTTCCAAACCTTAGGAAATAATTAGATAATGACATAGATGAGCACGATGATAAACTTGTTCCTATTACCATCGGGATTAGTTCCATCCACACGCCGTGCTCGAAATTCGTGATGGTGTCTACCATCATCACCCATGCTGATGATTGTCTATGTATTCGCTTATATTACTCGTTCGAGATTGTTCATTTGAAAATAATGGACGACAGACAGATGTGTCGCCATCTATTGTTAGACAATTTCCTTCTAAATTTTTCATTTCGTAATTTTTGCTTTCGTGAAAATGAAAAATCATATGTGAAGAATGATTTCTACGAGGAAAATTCTTCGTTACATTACCGATCGAAAAAATCGACCAATCCATAGGAAAACCACGTTAGCAAAGTAATCGTGTCGAGACTGGAGAGAGAAATAAAGAGGATTATTATTTTCTTCGATATCGAATTCGACGAGTGATTAATTAAAACCATGAATTTTGTTACACCACAAAAACGTCGAGAATGGTTAAGTCAAGCCGAAGATTATGCTGACGTCGTAAGCACAAATTTTCTTGAACGACATTATCTATTCTGTTTCTCGTTTAGTTCCTTCAAAAAACCAAATATGTCCTTCCACATTTGGCACGATTATGTTTAATCTCAACATTCATCGAAGATGGCATTCGTATGTGGATGCAATGGGGACAACAGAGAGATTATATCATGTCCTCATGGAATGTTGGCTGGTTTCTCGGTACACTTTTTGTCATTACGAATCTCTTCGGTCAATTAGTACCCTGTGGTATGATCTTAGCCAAAAAGAAGACCGATATCGCATGCGGAATATTGTTTTTCATCATTGCACTTCAAGTACGTTTCGCTAATTGTTCTCTCGATATTCGAAAACGACATTTCTTACTTGTAGTCCATTGCATATCGAATTATCTGGGAGCCACGTTTCATGCTTAGGTAAATAAGTGCATGCACTACTTTTCGTCACCTATTTTTACTTATTTGAAAACAATAGTCGATAAAGTACCTTTGTAAGTTCGAACGACGTAAAAACAATTCTGACATTGAAACAAAGATTTTCACTTCGAAAGTTCATTAACGCTCGTCTTTTTAATATTTTCTTAGATCTTTATCACTTGTGGGTGGTTTAATCTTATTAATGGTTGAAAATCGTAAAGAAGCTCGTACTTTATTCGCCGGTGTACCGACCATGCATAATAATGCCCCGAAAAATTACATGCAATTAGCTGGTCGTATTTTACTTGTCATTATGTTTTTAACCATAGTTCGTTTGGAACTGACATTTACCTCCACACTTCAAAATCTCATCAGCGGTGTCTGTATTTTATTTGTTGCAATCGGTTTTAAAACGAAATTATCGGCTTTGTTTCTCGTTATCTTTTTATCCATTGCCAATGTCTATGCGAATCGATTTTGGAGTGTACGAGAACATCGTGCATTGCATGACTTCTTGAAATACGATTTCTTTCAAACGATGTCGGTTATTGGTGGACTCTTATTTGTGGTTGCACTTGGTCCCGGTGGTGTATCGGTCGATGCAAGAAAGAAGGAATGGTAAAGAACAGTAATGTTCAGTTTGATTTATTTCGTGTTTGTGACCATTTGTGTTACCGATTACATCTAGTTGTTATTTTCTTAAAGACATCTTCTGTTCTCCTTATATATGATTTGTTTTTAAATATAAGAAAACATCTTGGGACAAGATAGAATAACGAACATCTGTTGCTATTCTCAAACCGTTTGCCGAGTGACTTTATCAGACTGGCTGTGTATTACTATCAATAAGACGTTCGGTAGAGCGATTTCACTGTATTAATTTATTTCTGTGAAATAGAATATCGAATGAATATTTCCAAAATAAAATTTGAGACAAACTGTGTTCATGACTTCATCTTGATGTTGTATTGAATTGTGCATGGTACGCTGCTGTCGGTTGATTCGTGTAGACAACTCGATCAAGGTATTCTTTGAGATTCCGTTGTTCTCTTGCTAAGCGTTGATTGTCATTGTAAACGTCACGATCGTACAAATGTTGTTCACGTTCCATTTGCTTTTCAGCAACCATACCAGCTTTCGCTTCCGCATGACGTCGTCGATCCCATTCATCATCTCGTTGCTGCTCTTCTTCATCACGACGCTAGCATGAGAGAAAAAACGAAAAATGCTTTGGAAAACGAATAACAACAAACTTTTTTCTCTTCGATTTGACGTTGTTGTTCTTCACGTATTTGTCGTAATTGATCTTCATTCATACCTTTCCATCGGTCAGGTACAACACGGTGTGGTCCGAATTGGCTGATTGCTTGATCAGGATTTTCAGTTAGTAGATCACATGAGATCATATTAGCCATTTCAGCATAATTATCATAATCTTCTCGCCGTTTTTTCCACGCGCGACGTTCTTGCGTTTCCCGAAACTAAAATTAAACAAGTTCGAAGTGAATATCATGTTTAATCACACATCTCAATGCACAAGCGATAGTAATTATAACTATCACTTCTAATCTAACAGCAGGAATACAATATATAACGTTGATTATGAGCGTTACATCTCCCAACGACTGGTAAGTACATACAGAGTACGTAAGTATAAAATGTATATTCTCTTGTCTAATCAACTTACCAAAGCATCGTTGTAATTTCTAACTGTTTGATTGATCGCATGTTGACATTCTTCTTCGGCTCGTTGAAGTTCCAATGCACGCTGATCCAGCTCGCTTTGTTTAGCATCATATAATCGATCAGCTGTTTGTTGCTGTTGCTGTGCGCGTCTTTGATCTTCTTGTTGCATTCGCGACCATTCTCGCAATTGCTCCATTTGATATTTCGCTCGCGCACGTGCATTGAGATCTTCACCTTGGAATTTCTGTAGACTAGCTGGACCACAGCGTGGATCGTCGTCAGAAACACGTGCTGGTTTATCCTTTTTCAAATAATCCGGATCATTCAAATCCCATTCCCCTATTGAAAAATACGGTCGTCGAAAAGACTAGTGAAGGGTGGTGTGTCAATACTTTGTGCAGATGGTTGTTGATGTATGGCACGATATTCATTCAAAGATCGATTATAGTCTCTTTCGTCGTTTTCTTGTCGCTGCTGAAGTAATTGAGCGATCGTGTCATTTCGAATTGCATCTTGAGCTAGGATATCAATGAAAGATGTGTTGTATTTATGAAAAGCTAGATATACGAATCTTACCGAATGCATTGGCACGTTTTCGTTCGAGTTCTTCTAGCCAATTTCGTTCTTGAACTTGTTCATCAAGTGCTTCTTTGTCGATCTTTACAAAAGATAAGAAAAAAAAGGTTATCAATAGTTTTTTTTGAATATAAATCAACGAACTCCTATCTGTCGATATTTTGCATTGAAGACTCTCCCTTGACGTTCCTCTTCTGCTCGACGGCGACGTTCAACTGCAGCTTTTTCTCGTAAATTCAATGGAATATCGAGTTTGTACATGTCAGCAGGTCTGATACTCTATATTGATATACAAAAATATGAAGTAGTATGTGAAATATTCTTCTGCCATCGAAACTACTCATCGTCATGACGACCGAGAGATGGAAGAATCGAGCAACATCTCGTTGAATAGTGACCTCTTTCAAGCGACTAACAGGTCACACAGCAGTCAATTTGTTCAAAGTACCTAAACTGTGGTAATTAATTGATAATACCAATCCCAATAAAGAATTCTAATTGAGAAGATGATTCAATTGCGTGTTAGCTTACGATAATAAAAATTAACATTCCAATAATGCTACGAAAGTCAGAATGTCAATGTAATGATTCTCCAATTCTTTCCTTAACTATTCCTTGTGATATTATTGCAGATTGTTATGTCTACGTCGAGCATATCCTGTAGCTTCTTTAGAACGATGTTCCCAATTCTTTTGATTCACATATTCATTGCAGGTAAAGCTTTTTTACTAAGAAATCCTTCGGAAGAACTGAATATGAGATGATTTTAGAAGTTACGTGTGATATGGAACTGAAATTAGTTCGAACTTTATTAAATTCTACGATTTATGATAAATCGATTCGACCAGCTTTGGATCATCGCGATGTAACCAATGTTTCATTTGATTTATCACTTGCACAATTGATCGATGTCGACGAGAAGAATCAAATCATTACTACAAATCAATGGTTAACTATGGTAAGTAACTTCTCATCAAACAAAGTCCGTGTCATTCACTAAGTCGTTCCGAGTATAGACTTGGCCTGATCCCAAATTGAGATGGTCTCCACTCGACTGGGACAATGTTAGCTTAGTACATATTAAATATGATAAAGTTTGGTTGCCCGACATCGTTCTCTACAACGTAAGTAATTTAAGTTGTTGGAGAATAATTCATATTCGTACGAATAATGAACAGAATGCCGACAATCTGGCGGCATTGAGTCAAATATCCACGAATGTGATGGTTTCATCGGAAGGGATTGTAACATGGCTATCGACAGGCATTTTTCGTAGTTCATGTTCGATCGACGTTCGATATTTTCCGTTTGGTGCGTAGGCAAATCTTATTAGTATTCTCTTGTTTATTGTTGATGTGTCTGCAGATGAACAAAATTGTACATTGAAATTTGCGTCATGGACTTATGACAGTGCTCGAATAGATCTCTCGCAAAAATCACCATCAGGCGATTTGACTAATTTCATGGCGAATTCCGGTAAATGACCATGTTAATGATTGCAATCGATTTCCAGTTCACGTTTTTAGAATGGGAAATTGTTGGATTACATGTGAAGAAAAATGTTGTCAAATATTCATGTTGTAAGTGAATGAAATCCTCAGTGATTTCTCTATGAAATGTTTTAGGTCCAGAAACGTTTCCAGATTTAACATATACCGTACAAATGCGTCGTCGTCCATTGTTCTATGTATTTAACATGATGCTGCCATGTTTTCTCATCACAATAGTGGCTTTTCTTGGTTTTTGTGTTCCATCCGATAGTGGTTTGTTGACTTTTCATTCTCCTTCGATTGATCATGATGTTTTCCTCGTATCTTGTTGTTTAGGAGAAAAGGTTTCAATTGGTGTAACGACCCTTCTTTCAATGACCGTTTTTCTCATGTTAGTCGCCGACAGTATGCCACCCAATTCCGATTCGTTACCATTGATTGGTATGTCGATGAAAAATCCTATTCGAGCATCCCGATAGTGACATGAGAATTCAAGAAGTTGTCTTTGATTTCTTCTAGGTGTATACTATTTTTCTGCGATTATCATCGTGAGTATCGCCACAGCAATGTCAGTTGCGTCGCTTAATCTCTATCATCATGGTAAACATTATCTTCAACCTGTACCCAATTGGATATCACGTTTATTCTTCTTCATTATTCCAAAACTTCTTTTCATGAACATCGATCTGCCTGTGCGTTTTCAGAAAGAACACAATCATACAGTAAGAAGATCAGCAGTCTCTTTTCTGTTCTTCTGACCTTTTCTTCTCAGAAATTTCCAAGCTACAAGAAACAAGCAAAATTGACTCCTACAAATCATACAGAACCTTCTCAAAACGGCCTGTTACCCTTAGACGAAGATTCGAGTGAACATGAAAAGCTTACCGTTATCTCTTCTGACAACAATCACAATCAATCGAGTCCCTTAGTGCTTCGTTCGCACACACCAAAACCGAAATCCAGTGAAAACAACCATTTTAAAGCATCTATTCCTTATATCTACCGCTTCATGGAACAAAACGAACGTCGATGTGAACAACAAGAGCACAATGCAACTATCGGACAGGAATGGCAGATTTTAGGACGAGTGATCGATCGATTATTTGTTGTTTTATTTTTAATCGGCACGATGCTTGTTTTTGGATTCATCTTTCAGCAAGCACCTGATTTGCGACTGAAATAAAATGCTTCACTTTTACTATACCAATTAAGCACAAGACATTCCCTCAAACAAGATCACGTATGAATTCCTACATCCTCTTTCTTGTCAGACGTGTATTTAAAACGGGTTCTAGTCATACTAACAACCGCTCTCTTTCTCACAGTTTCTCAAACAATGACACTTGAGTTGCTTTTTAATTAAAAAAAAAGAGAACTGCGCTTTTCTCTTAAATATGAGACGTGCCCACGTGTTGATGCACAGATGGTTTGCACTCTTTATCTCCGTATCGGATCGTCGACATCAGCACGTAACCGTTTCGCCCGGATATTCTGAAGTGATTACTGAACACTTGTGCTACCTAATTAAAGTAGTAAGAGAAAATGGTTCAACCAGTTGAGTCGTCAACTTGACAGTTTTCTTCGTTTTATGATTAAACATATTCCTCCATTTAAACGTGATAATTACGGTTTTCTCTAGATTAATTCATTTAATTGTAACTTTTATTTGCCGATCATCATAACAAACATATACATAAATATACAAGTCCTAGGAGATGAGAGCTTCGAGCTTGAAAACAAACTGTTCTGCACTCTTGGCTCGGAAGCGAACAAATTGTTTTCATTAGACGACTATTAAGATGGGAACTTGCACTCATAATTCTATTAATCTATACTCGAGATGATTCGCATTCCTAGGACGCTAATATAACATTCAAACGAAAAATAACAAACAACGAAAATGAAGAGAATAAATACATCACTGCACATGTATCGGACTTGAAGAGAAAGAAAGAAGAATTTCTCTAGAAAAGAAACGCATCGGTTTCAATAGTTGATTCCGTTGATCGTTTATGTATTTTCATTTGAGATCTGTGCTCGTCTTGCGGACTACTACTGGAACCATTGACAGCGCTAATGCGTTTCTGTTGTAGAAATGGATGATTTTCGTGTGGAGAAAATGCTTCACTTACACCACTCATTAACGAATTCTTCGGTCGATAATTTTTATTCAATAGTTTATCGATTTCTCGTCGAAATAATGATGACGATGCAAAGCAGAATACGAACGATGCACCGTAATACGTATTGATGAGACATTGATAAATATTTCCTTTAATAATGAACGACTTGGTACGTTCATCTGTCAACAAGTTCTGTGATGGATCAAATGAAAGAGCGAAGAATGTTTGTGCAGGTGCAACGAGCGCGATGAAGCCTAGATGTGATGCCAGTAACATAGTTGTCACGCGCCGTGTTCGACTTTTCGAGCGAGATTTCAGATGTTCGTTATTGATTGGAGATAAGAATGAATTTTTTATAATAAATATGTTCAAAATTAATGTGAATATACATGGCTAAAACGAGAGAAACAAAAAAAAATAAGTCTTTTCTCATTGAAAACTTCGTTAATCGCCCACAAAGGAGCTTTTAAATAAGAAAATCGTCTCAAATGTACTTACAACAATAATATATGTTACTAGTTCTTGCCATGTACTGGTTGACGCAAAGAATTTATGCATCGTATCGTTACTCTGTTTGTTAAAGATACATGCTAAGAATTTGGTATTTTCTAACAGCTCGACATTTGAACCGGCAAATAGAAGATAATGTAAATTCAATATAAAAAGAATAAAACCAGTTACACATATGGTAATAGCAACTTTGTAATCATCTTTCTTTTGTGCACGTGGAACCGTTTTCGATTGTTGAAAACGGTCAAACGCCACTAAAACAAGAATCCATGATGCCATGCCACGGATCCATTGAGCAATGAATGCATTCATTCGACACCAGCCGACATCGAATTGACTGCGTAAATGAATATTGAAGCCGTTTGTTAGCATCATGTTTAATGTATTGGTCAATAGAACACCGATATTCAGCAGAGCACAAACGGCCATGTATTGACATGTAGTGTATTTACGTAAACGAGCTCGAAGAAGTGTGATCGCAGTTAATAGATTTCCACATGTGCCAGCTATGATGAGAAAGAGAAAATAACCGCGATAAATAATTCGATTGAACAGCAAGAACAATTCCCAGTTTTCAGGTGCCGAGTAATTGGACTGTGATCTAGTGAGTAGAAGATATTTCGAAGAATTGAACTTCTTCTATTGATACTTACATATTCATTGTTGATGTTAGTCGATAATAAGCATGAAATAATTCAACAGACGGCGAAGGAAACAAAATGAACTCACACCCTCAAATACAATGGTTCGTATCTTAAAAGGAAAAAACACATACATTATTAGTCGATTTCTCGCCCACATAACTCTATTGGCAGCACAAAAGAAACGACAAGTTATTTTTAGTCTCGAATGACAGTTCTCATTTGAATATCATGAAAGAGACAATATGAATACGAATCAGTTCGATTATTGTCTTTTTTCTTCTTCTTCGAATGAAGTAGATCCCTATTCAAAGCAGGCTAATCATGTCTGCCATTAGTTTATGAAACCTGAAGAACGAGACGAGAAGTCGAAGGGATATGTTTCTTTTCTCAAATGAAGCCCATTTAGTGTTGAATTCTTCTTGGCAAACGACGCTTTATTGCGATTTCAATGATTAAGTCTCGTTGAAAGTGTTCGGAAAAGAACAACTCTTCGTTTGCTTATTATTTATGACGAAAATAATTGAGCAAATTTGCTTCCGAGCAATTCAAGATATACTTGAGAACCTCTACACGATCTACACTCTCACATCTATTTGTCTACTCGGCGTCATTAGGAGGAATAGCAAAGAAAAATTCATTCTAAAACGTAAGAAATCGCGAGTGAAAGGTGAAATTACTTTCACGAAGGCAGAGTCAGACTTTTTTGAAAATTCGTTAGTAAATCTGTAAAAAGATGATTATATTCATCTGTCTAGGATTGTTTTAAAACTATATCTTATTTCATTACTTCGACTTCGCGGATTCTCTTTTGAGATTTCTATTCTTAGCATTTCTAATCAAAGTCAACTACTGAAGTCCTACCTGTACATTGTAACAGATATTCATTAAAAAAGGAAATATACCTGAATGATGCTGCAAGGCCTCTTTTGCACTTAACTTACGTTTCCTTTCCTGTTGTTGATACAAATACCTGACAAATGTATATTTCAATTAGATATATTCTACTTGCCGTCAACACACGGCACAGATGCCTTTCCGAGTTTATTTTTCGAACTTTCTCGTTGACGAGGTAAGTTAGGTAAGGATCTCATCGACTTTCTTTTTAATCAAATGACGAGCATTTCCTTCTCACGAATGTCGGATTTCTTTTCTTCGAGGGAAGAAGAAAGTCAGTCGATACGAAATAATTCCTGATTTAATTTGCCGCGTAGAAAGAATATAGCATCATGCTGATATAGAAAAAAAAAAGAAAATTTCAATAGAGGCACGTTTGTGCGTGTGCAAGCTTCGATGTTATTAATGAATAACTGGATATGCCTACGCAGAATCTACTTGCTCGTCTAGAACAACGCATATCATTAATCTAATTGAAAACAGTAGTGAAGAAAGTCAAGCGAAAAGTTCGATCTGCCGGACGGGAAATCAGAACAACTCAACATTACTAAAAATACGAGCAGCAATATACACCTTCTCTTCTCTCGCGTTCAAGCAGCATTTACTTGAACAAAGAACCTTATTTTAGAGCATACCTGACAATAATGCACTAATGGAAATAGAGGAAAAGGAAACGCAAAGGTCTTTTTATAGTTGTAGATGATTTCAGCTCGTGCTACTTATGTCGAATCAAAATCAATTTTGTAATTGTTTATCGTTCCGCAGATGTTTTCAGTCGGAATGCAGGAAAAAAACAGAAGAAAACGAGAACGACGAGTTGCGATGTCCGACACGGTTATGTGCGTGTGTACAAAACGGTATGAAATTTAACCAGAAAACGAAAGTCTAGTAGGTTTTCGTTGATGAATCTGCATAGTAACGTTAGAGCTGTGAGCGAGAAAAAACAACGCTACGACGAGTGCAACGCTAACGAAAGAATATCCGACAAAATCTGAGATGCCTGACGTTGTGTGCTTGAGAGGGAAAGATGAGGTTTTTCTAATAGGTCGATGGAGTGTAATTAAAAAATTACAGACGAAAAAAAATGAAGATTTAATTATTAATTGAGAGGAAGTCTTGAGTCTAGTATGTTTCATTCCAGATCTCATATCAACGACGAGGCTTCTCTTCGAGAAAGACATGTCTAACTATCTGCTAGTTATTGATGAACACCAAATATTGACATGAGAAGTAAGCAAAACAGAACGAGAACGAATATGTCTGTATTCTTTTTCAATTATCGCCGAATCTAATCTTACTAAGAGTTCATACACCTTTGAACACCTAGAAGATGTTGAAAGAATAGAAGAGTACTCATTATTGATATCATAGCTGTGAACCATTGAGAGGACCGAGCATAATATTAGAAAAGAATTCTATGATGCGTAATAGAGATAGGAGAGAAGACAAAATATCCACTTGATTAAACAATGTAGTATCAATTACAACTTCGATTATGACGTACCACCGGAAAAGTATTCGTTGACGTGATTTACTGATGTATCGTGATTGTCAATTAGGTGAAAGGGTCTTTTCTTCTGCATGTGATGCAGATCTAACAGAGTGTGTCTAATTATATGTAGTTAGATTTGAAACGATGATAAAATTATGAGAAATAATCAACACAATGACGTAAAAGAAAAAGTAAAAGTAGTTTTGTAGAGTAGAAGGCAAAAAAATCGTCAAATGGTATTCTTCTAAAGCAAACAGATCACTTGCGGCGCACTCAATAGTAGGAAGAAAATGCAATTCTCATTAGAATACAACTCATTAAATCAATAGTATGATTGATCCTGACTCCCTGAAAAATTTAATTGCTCTTTTGTATGCGTAGAATCTGAAAAGAAGTAGAAAAGGATGTATAATTACAACAATAGTAAAAGTAATTACTATGCATTCTTAGACAGTATCATTCTGTACTCATGCAAAGGTTTTTAATCAAAAGAATGAAAAAGAAAACCGATGGAAAGTTCGTATCGAGACGATGCTTCACATATCCGTTCAACATACAGCTACTTCGTCAAATCAAATGTATCTTCTCGAACATGGCAAAACCAGTTGGCTACTTCTCGACGAGAAGAACTTCTCATTAGTTTTTACATTACCTACGGTTTCTATTATTTCCTCGTTACGTACTTTTGTTAATGACATACGAAAGTACTTGAGCAAAGTCTAACCTAATGTTAAAGGTAAAAGCAATATGAGAGGAGGAATGTTATCCAAACACACCGATGTTTAATGATGAAATAAACAAGACAGTAAATATAGTTACTGCATCTCGAGGAAAAGATAATTTCCATAATGATGAAACAAATCTCAGCATTTGAGGCAAAGTCTTTTCCGCCTATTTTTAGTCGAATAACAGTTGAAAACAAAATTATATGAAAAGAAGCCAAGGGAATTTCTGAGAATTGCGTTCATGAGAAGAAAAACTCAGCAATCTTCCGGCTACTATATTTTAGATAATACATATATTGTTCTTTATTATCTTCATGTAACTTCTCTCACATGCTCACCGGGTACAAGTCGCTTTCCAGTCCGAGAACAAATACATGCTTCCACGAATACTAATGATCATTTATTATTTTTAGTAACGGATTACCAAGAGAAAGGTAATGAACAATTAGATATATATATATGCCCGGCTGTAGTGCTGTCAAGTAGACAGAAGTTACATTCATGAAAGGAAAATATCTTAAAGACATTCGCATGAAAAAACAATGCTATCGATTAACGTTCGAATTCTAAAGATAGGAAGGGAAATTACTGTTTTCTAGAGTCAATGTACTCGACGAGCCGCCTCGAAGCTGTTCTCCCGACGTGTATAGTTAGAAATTGATAGGTTTATAGTCTCATCCGGATTGTCAGCTATGAGAAAAGGTTCTGAAAATGGTTGTATCCGATGATTGGTTTGAAAATAGAACTTTCATGTTAATAAAATATCAAGAGGTCGACAAATCTTTCGTTGCGGATCACATGTAAGCGTTTATGACTTTGTATTACATAAATGACAATAAACAATGAACAAGACTCAATTCGGTTTTGGAAAACAAACTAGATTTTCTGACGTTTAACTGTTCGATCATTGTGAATGTGGTCAAGTAGAGAATTCAAAAGATCTTCTATCTCACAATTTATCACCAGGTCATGTTTGCGTTTGAAATCTTCATGTTGTCGGGTAGGAGATGATGGACTAGTAATTGGTGTCGAACAATTACTTGTAGGAATGTCTGCTAATAAGAAATCAGTGTGATCATTGGAGTAATGGATTGTTGTTGGTGAAGGTGCTTCGTCACTTCTAAATGTTCGAGCGAAACTAAAGACGAGAAGGTCGAGAAGGAGATAGGAGTTTACTCTTGCTTGATGTTTGATTGAAAGAGAATTTGATTGATATTCGCGCGATGTTTTCGATGTCGAAAAGCATGATCGATAAGTTTTTCCTCACAGGTTTGATCTAGGCGCCAGAAACTACCTTTACCAGATTCATTTTCTTTTCGTGCTAGACGAATAAAGTAACGATTTAGACTGAGATTATGTCGTATAGAATTCTAACACGATGAAGCAAACAAAACATACTTTAAATCAGTTTTTAGTAGGAAACTCACTTGCCAACCGCGATTGCTCGTTTCATAGTATGGATACTGTGCCGATATGAAGCTATATATCTGACTGAGTGTCATTTTTTTATCAGACGCTGATAGAATTGCTTGAACGATTAATTGAGCATAAGAAAATGGTGGTTTGGTTCCATTCTTACGGTAATTATCATGTTCCTGTGTGAAGTAGTCTTGACCAACGGTTTGAGATCGTTGATTACTCGGAGAACTAGAACTGAATGTGAACCGTGTGACATATGCATGGAGTCCAGCGGACTAATTTACTTTACAATTGGTTGATTGTCATTTGAATCATTCTTTGAGCTTGTGGAGCACGATCTACTAGATACGAAAAGCAACCAAGTTATTGATAGCAAATGAAAATATACACAGAGCAAAAGAATAATCTCTTCATGAAAATTTACCCTAGAAAAGAGCTTTGCTTGGTAGTCGGACTTTTCTCTTGAAACTTGCCCTGTTCAATATTACTGCTCATCGAAAATGACGAGTCGTTGGAAGATGATGATGATGATGACGACGACGACGACGAGAATGATTTTGATGGTATGTTCATATTCAACGATGAAAGATCGTCAGCTGGATTATTATCAACAACAAGAATAACTTGTTGTTCAGATTTTATAGTTGGAACAGATTGTAACGATATCGAAGGTGTTGGCTGTGCTGGCGATGCCACTGTTAAATTCTGTTGTGATGAATCACTTGAAAGATGACGTGAGTTGTTGTTCAGCGATACTCGATCGGTCGGATTACTATTATTAGTAAGTAACGAAGAGAATGAAATACACAAATCTGTACTTGGAAAGCGAATTGTACATCTACAAGACAAGAGAAGAAGGATTTGATTTTTGCACCAGAAAATGAAATCTCTTACTGTTTGGGTAATATAGCTGTGGAAGACATTTTGATATAGTTATTGTTGATGAAAATTCCATTTTTGCTCAAACATTTCAAATGAAATTCGTTTTCATTTGCAAGTAAGATCTCGAAATGAACACGAGAGACAACAGATGATGAACCTAGAAGAGTTTTCACGAATGAAACCGGATGAAAGTGATTCTTTTTACGTACCGATATTGACATCGACTTCACGTCTGTTATTCTTTCTTCCCACAAGTATTCTCTCTTGCCAAACATCGTACGTTCCAAAAAAGGTCGAGTCTAAACGGGCGTGTGGTAACTGAACATGATCGTTTTCATTCGTATCAGCTGCGGCTGATGTTGTAGTCATAATTGTCGTTGTCGTTGTATTCGAATAATTCGAATCGTAATAGAATCGCTTGACAATTGGCAGTTTCTGCTGAATATTCGATGATGGCGGTTCGACAAGTGATAATTGATGATAAGTTATCGGTTGAATTGTTGGCACAGGAGTTCGTCGAGAAAATTTATTCACAATAGTTGTTGTGTTCGCCTGATCAAGTTGATAGTACGTTATGGAGTCATTTGTTGGTGAGGGTGGCGAGCAGGGCTGAGGATAAATGATATTATCAAGTAGGTATGGTAAATGGTCTGATTGTTCGCTTTTTAACGACGTTAAGTACTGTTCGTACACAAATGGTGTTTGAAATGAAGACGATATATCATAGGATGGAATTTGTGCATTTGGAGGATGACATACACACGTATCTGATGCATTTGCACGAGAAGCAAATACAGGAGAATAGACATGAGTATGATAGTTGTGAGATACAGACGAGGGTGGTAATGAAGTATTCTGATTTCGTTCTCTATTCGACTGATCTTCGACGTAACCCGGCGAAGAAAAAAACAAAAATGAAGATGATTCAGGTGGTGGTGGTACTGACGGGACAGGAGGTTGTACATCATAGTTGTGTGTGGCTGATGATGGTGAGAAAGTCGATGATGAGCCACTACCGGTTGACGATGATGCACTTGACGTACAGCACTTTCTATCCCAAGACATGTTTGAAATGAAAATCGGTGTCTAAAAACGACTGTGAAATATTATTGTTTGAAACTTGCGATACTTATGAATAGATTTGAAACGAAAAGAGATATATATTTTTGAATGGTAGACAGAATTCTCCGGTATTGGCTATCTCGTTTCTATCAGTTTCATTTTTCTTTCGAGAGAGAGAAATAGATAGATAGATCTATAGAATTCGTCTTTTGTTCTCGATCATGTATAATGTAACATGTATTATCAGAGATGTCGCCAGTAATCTGTATCGAAATATTTATTGAATCTGATATGTAAAGAAAACGAAAAAAGAACACAAATAAGCATAATCCGAAATAAAAATAGAACTATCTGACAAAGAGGAATATTAGAAATCATTTTTTGAGAAAATAACTATCAATGCCGTTTACGTGTGGTGGTGGTGTAAGATCCAGTTTTTTTCGTTGCCGTTTCGCTGGTGGCGTCGATTTCGATTGTGTCGAACCAACTCTGGCAAATGCAAACATTCAAATATATAGAAAAGCAGAAGAGAGCAGAATCATACCGTTTAGCATGATTGATTTGGGGTGATGTTCGTTGATCTTCCTCTTTGATTGTCGTTCGAACCATTTCGCCATTTAGACATATATCAATGTGTTGATTGATTTTCTCGTTATCACCTAGAAGCATCTTGTGACATACTGGACATGTGGTAACACCCGAGTTTGAATCTTCTTCGTCTTGATGTTTGTGAATAGATGGACAAGTGTCCGTGTGTTGATTTTCTTCCGCGGAAAACTCTTCGATTTCATCTTCGTCATCGATATCTTCAATCATATCATGCGCATTTTCTGTGCTTGCTGTATTCGATTGTTTGGAGAAGAAATGAAGTAGTGGCAGATCAGAACTTTTCGTTTTGAGATCAGCAACTCGAACGCCTTGAAAATGAAAACAAATCAACGGTTCCTATTCGAATTCGATTCTTTACCCATTAATCGTAATGCTGGTAGTTCGAGATCTTGATCAAGCTCATGTTTAAGCAACGTAACTGCTTTGTCTGTAATCATACTCAACGAGTCTGTATAGGATGAAAGTGTTTTCGATCGTGTTAAGATTTCAAAATTGGCGGTTTTAATTTTCAGCGTCACTCGTTTGCATAGAATCCGATCGCTAATTAATTCATCCACTGTCTTCTTGGCTAATTCTTGGCAAATAGCTATCAATTGTGACGAATTATTTGTACTATTGAACGTTGTTTCGTGTCCGACACTCTTTTGTATATCATCGTGTTCAATAGCTGTCGAACCGCATCCATTGCACACGCGCATGAGAAAATCAAACGTTGTGGGATATTCAATTAGCTTTAAAATACCACGTTTGATGTAAATATCATTGACTGTTTCAATATGAAGTGATTCGAGATGGAGAGCAGTGACTTTTCCAATGCCTTTGATCTAGATTGTCAACTTGAAGGCGCAGATATTAAAATGTGAACACTACCTTTCGTATTGGTAGATTACGAATAAAATTTAAAATAACGTCAACGTTTGATTCTAATTGATATTGTCCGTTAGGCTTGTTGATATCTAAAATTTCTTGAATCAAGCAATGACATTCATGAAAATCTCTACCTGAACATAGTTTTGCTAAACGCATATTACACGCAATCCCAGCACTTGCTGTTAATCGCGTGGCTAGATAAATTCGATGACGCATCTCTTGCACAGTTTCTTCTGCTGTGAGACCAAATGTAATCGTATCAGTTGAGTTTTCCTAGTAGAAACTTTGCCGTTCATTTTATCGAATTAAGTAGTAGACATTACTTCTTTCGGAAATGTTCGTTGTTGCTCGGACGATGTCGCTCGCTGTTGTAAATGATTTGTTAAATCCGCAAATGCTTCATCAAGACCGCATGAACCATAATTATCATCGTATTCACTGATAATTTTCCTGTATAGAACAGACTATCGATCTTTTCCTTTTTCGTCGAAAGTTGTCTCTTACATTACTTTTGAACTGTCGATTCGATATTTTTCGAAATCACATGGAACAATGACAAGATTCGGACATAGTTGCTTTGCGATGAAACCAGGCATAGCGGCACGTACGCCAAATTGACGGGCTAAATAATTCGATGTTGACTAAAAACAAGAGGTATTATCTAACTTATTGTGAACGGAAGTCGAAGTTTCATTGATTACCAACATAGCGTCACCGCCGACAGCCATTGGAACATGTTGAAGTGCTGGATTATCACGCATCTAAAACGAGCGATGGAAAACTTGGATGAAAAGACGTATTTATTCGGCTTACTTCGACCGAGGCATAAAAAGCATCCATATCTATATGGCAAAATGCGCGCGATAAACGTCGAGTTTTGTCTAATTGATTTAGATATCGGTCTGCCTTGAAGTGAGTGAAAAATAATGTATAGCAAGATGTTTTGCGGCGGTTCTTACTGCTTTTTCTGCTTGTTCAATTTGAAAGGGAGTAAATGACTTTATCTTTGATAATTTGACTTCAATTCGCCGACGATTTTCCTGGAAAGATAAACTACACTTGATTTTCAGGCTTCGTTCGATCATACTTCTTCACGACGTTGTTGTTGTTTGAAAAATTTTGAATCTATTCCAGTAAAATTTCATCGATTGAGCGAACTCAGCATTCATATACCTACTTTTCGATGCTTCTAGAATCAATCTGTTGATTTTCTCTTTATCCAGATCTGCCATACCAGCTTTGGTATCATCGACGTTCAAAAACGTTGTTCGACTCATATTTTCTGAAACAAAAACTTTGATCGAACTATTCCTTTTCTTCACCCGAAAAAGAGAAATCTCCATATTAAACCGTACACCGACTCGATGACGAGTGAAGTTGCTTTAGTTAATATTCGTTTCAATTCCAAGTTTGAGATCTGCGATTATATAGAAAAGAAGTCCAATATCACATTATAACAAAATCGATACAGTTCAACTGGCTGGATAGACAGAGCATCTAGTCAGCTAGTAAGAGAATAGTCCAATGGAGGTCGCTGCTAAACAACATGAAATCCTGTCGGATATGTGGTTTTGAAAAAATAGCCCCACAGGCAATCTGTCAAATACTGTTCTGCTGACCATCCTTGAACTTTAAGCAATATCTGTCTAATGCTAAGTCATTTTTCATCCATCGTTCAACTTTTCTATTCAAAATCATGTCAATCCTATTCGTTGCATTGCTCTTGTATATCTTCTTGATAAATAAATCTCGACAAGATTAACCTTCAAATTCCAAGCATTGGAAAGAAAAAAAACCTTTTTTGTTCTTTTTCATAGCGACTGTAAACTATGGTGACCGAAGAAAGAAACGTGGTAGACAAACGTTAAAATTTTCTCTTCACTAAAGAAGAAGTTTATTCATGGCACATACCGCAGATGCAAAAAGAAACTCTGTAGAAAATTTCATACTTGCCTGGTTAGACCCAAATGGCACGGAACATCGACAATCATCACATCTATTTCAATCTTATATTAATACAATAAAATTCTATTCGTCTTCGAAGGAATTGCTCCAATTTGTGGAAGAGATTCATGATGAAGAAGTATTTGTTATCATATCAGAAGCTCTAGCTAAAGATATTGTTACGAGATTGGAGCCATATAAGCAAATATATTCAATTTATATTCTTTGTAATGATCGACACTATCAAGCTGATTGGACCAAAGACTATTGGAAAATTCAAGGAGTGTATGCAGACCTTCGTCCGATTCATGATGCCATTCGACGGGATGTCCGTCAAGCAACAAATGATCTAACTTCGATTGGGATGCTTTCCAACAATCACTCAACGACGTTTTACAATTCGCTGCTATTGAGAGAAGTCCTACTTCATTACCCGTCAGATGAACAAAAGAAAAGATCGTTGATTGAATTCGCACGTGATCATTATAGAGATAATCCAAACGAATTAATCATCATTGATCAGTTTGAAAATCACGTTTTCAAGCAATTATCACCTATCGAGTGGTATACTCGCGAATGTTTTCTTTCTTCGATGATTCATCGAGCTTTAAGATTAGCCGATATGGAAATTCTTTACCAAACTGCTTTCTTCATCTCTGATTTACATAAACAAATCAATGATTTATACACTCAATCCACGGATCCTCAGACTTTATCGGTTTATTACAGTCAAGCGCTCTCGAGTGACCGATTTCAACGTTTGAACATGCAAATCAACGATTTCATTTCATTCAATACCTTTTTACGAACGACGATCGATCGTGAAATTTCGTTGAGCTTTGCAAGACAATCTGCAAATAACTCAAATTTGACATCAATTTTCTTCGAAATCGATATCGATCGGGCAACCTCGTCATTTCCATTCGTATCTCTGGATCAACTGGATTATTTCCACGACACCGATCGACACATACTCTTCTCATTGAATCCAATTTTTCAAATAAAACTAATCGAACGATTTGAAGATAAACTATGGCGAATCAATTTGATCTTAGTCGATGATAAACACGAACAGATCAAAAATACCATCGATTCCATTCGACATAAGCATGGAAGAATACAAGAGTTTTTTACCTTAGGTCGATACATGATCGAAACAAACCTATTCGATAAAGCGACGAAAATTTTCGAAAGCCTTCTGAAAAACACTGACGAGAAAGACTCGAAACAATGCGCCGATATTCATCGTTATTTAGCATATGCTTATGAAAAATGCCAAGACCATTCGCGTGCTCTGTATCATTACAAATCTCATCTGGATATCGAATTACCGTTGAAACCAGAGAATCCATCTTCAATAGCTTCAATTCATTCACATATTGGTACCATCGAAAAAGAACAAGGAAATTACGATCAAGCTCGTCATGCATTCATCTCTGCCTTGAAAATCGTCGTTCAAGCTGAAAAGCCCGATTCAAACATGATCTCGCTTCTTATGTATTACATCGGCCAAGTGTATTTATTGAAACAAGACTATCCAAAAGCACGCGAATGGTTTCAGAAAGCTTTAAAACCATCGGCAAAATCTGATTCGACTAGCAGGACAACACGTGCTGATATTCACCGAGATTTATCAATAGTATTCGATTCTCTCGGATACAACAACGAAGCCATTGAACACGCGTTAAAAGCGATAACTATTGCTAAGGAAAAATACGGAGAAAATCGTGAAAGAATAAAAATATATCAAGACCAATACGATCAACTGACGAACAAAAAACAATAAATAGGTTTTGAACTGTTTCTTTTCTACGAAAAAAAAACGCCATTTGTCTAGTGAAGTTCAGTTTTGAATGATTTCTTACGCTGAATTTGATGTAAACCCATCACCAGTATTTATTTGTATCATTCAAAGTTATCACACGGATATATCGAGAACATTCTGATCGTCAATCAGATCTCGGAAAAGTACATTGAAAATTTGATTATAAAAATTTGGATAATAAGTACATGCCCGATGACAATCGGGCGAATAATTAACTTCTAATAATTTTGGTTGAATTTCATGATTATTATCAAATTCTAAGATTAAATCAGCAGCGTAGAGTGCGCGGGATGAAGAACACGAACTAATGCCTAGTGGTGGCTCTTCGCTTGTCGCACAATGAAACAATTCTCGAAACATTTGAAAAATCCGTTTTTCAATCACCGACCAATTTCCACTCTTTTGACCGTGTTGTTCATTGTATAAACTAACAAATGTGTCACAATCCATCTGTCGTAATTGCGCATCGACTCGATAGTTCATAACCGTGAAATGTGTTTCGTAGTCGTCGAATGTTTTTAGAGAAAAAGGTTTATTAGCAAAACGAAGCCAGAAAACCTTTTGAACGTATAATTTCAACGGGTGAACATTTCGTACGAGTAATATGTAACGAATATCGAATTTAACACCGTTACCTTCAACGTCAGGCACATTGAGTAAAACGGGCGTCGACACGTATTTACAAGCGATTTTGGAGCCTGACTCAGGTAAACGAATAATCATATCGAAAAGATTGCTTACCGAAACATCGATCGATCGTGTTAAATTGATGGGTTTGACAATCCATGTATTGTCAATTTGTTGATCTTCTCGATACTAGTTTTGTCAAAGAAAACGATTCGATAGATGAAAGAAAAAAGCAATGCACTCACTTGAAAATAGACAGCAAACTGTGGTAATTCATACGTGAGAATGAACGTTGTTGGTAACCACGGTGGACTTCCATGCGAATGAATATACGGATCCTCGTTCGTTGTCGATGCGCTAAACGTGAGACGAAGTTGAAAATGCGCAAAAGAAAAAGAGACAAACAGTCATTAATATTAGTAGAAATATCTATCAAGAAGATATTCGTTCAATCCTGGCGAACTATTACTTCACCTCAAAGGTCACTTTGTCGAAAGACAAGTTCTCTTGTCTAAATAATTCAATTGTTGATTTTCTTCAAACATTCTTTCATGTCTCCTCGCAACATACCTGTATAGAGCTTTCCATCGTCGAGAGACTAATGCTAATAGTTCTTTATTGGTGAGAATGTTTTCGAATGGAAATTGATTGATCAATTGTGAACGTAAAGTTTCGTGACGAAAATCTTGTATAACCTTTTTAATAAATACGATATCAGCTTGATCGGAACTATCAACCAGTTGATAATGTGGATCAGTTAGATGTTGTTTAATCAGATCATGATCAGTGTAAACTTTAAACACACGATTAAAGTCAGAATTTGTGTTGTTAGTAGGAACGGGTGTTTTATCATAGAGATCGTTTTTATGGCACTCTTCGAAAATTTCCACATCCTTCGAGCGTTTCTTCTCGAAAATTTCCGGGCAATTGTCAATGGTTAAACTTCGAAGCACTGCCTTACGAAAATGAACACGATTCCATGGTAGTAATTTGATATTCCGATCCAATGAACTACTATTATCATAGACATAGTTTCGAAAGATTTCCGTATACGGCTGTTCAATCCGAGAAATCGGATAGAGAAGTGTAAACATGGTTTGCGTTGGCTCAAAGAAAAATGATGCACAGTAGACATTTGCATTTGTTGACGAATGACGAATTGACGAGCCAAACTCATCCATAATATACCTAAAGACAAAACGTTTTCTTTCAATTGTCAATTCTTGTCCCCTACCAATAAGGTTCTTGCGCGGCTTCGACATCGATGTGCGGATCGATCTGCGTCGATGTTAATGTATATGTTTGATTGAATTTCCACATGCGCTGTAAGATTAATTCTATACCATCTTCTTTAACATCAGAATTGACATTCATTAACGATGCCATACGTTCGTATAATTTAGGAATTGTATGTAAATCATTCCGTGCATCTTTAATACGATATGTCCATGCGTGATCGATAAGAAAAATGGCGTTTTCGTCTTTTTCGGGATCGAGCACAACATTTTCTAATGTTGACACATAAAATCGCCGTTCAGGATTGTAAGCTTTCTCTAATTCGTCATCGTCATCATCTACCGGACACAACTGAAAATATGATCCGCTGTCAAATATTTCATTTTTCATTTTCTCGTATAAACGACGGTAAAGATGTTTGGGAATATTATTAAAAACGAGCTGTAATTGATGTGTTTGAAGAAATTGTTTATAGTCACTGTCTCCGTCATCGATAGCATTGTCAGTCATGTTTACGATCTAGAACAAGCCTTATTCTGACAAGTAACAAATTTGACGATTTGCATTGATGAAAGAATTTTTATAAAAAGAAGCGTAAAGATTAACTGACATTCTGTCTAAATTCCATTAATTGAAAATGATTAATTACAACAACAACGAACGCACGCACGAAAGAAGAACACACGCACATGAGAATCAGAAAAGTAAATCCGTAGTCGTTGACATTGTGCTCCACTGAATGTTATTTGTCACTTCGAATGGTGATTTCGTTTGTTTGAATGAGGAATGATCTGCAAAGTTGAAATAATTTTCACGAGAAAATATATCTGACGACGTCGAGTACGGGAACGAATCATGCTGGCTACCTAGTTCATATTGATCGAGATGAGTTGGACGAAACGTGTGCAACGTGCCTAGAGAAGAAAAGAACGATCATGACAAACTTACTTTTTAAGAATTCGCGTCCTATGAGGAATTTCTATGCTTGGTGAAAAATTACTCTTTGAAATCGCTTTTCTCTCTCTTGGCTTGCGCCGCATTAACTATTTGCCATGATGACGTCTGATGTTGTTTATGACAAATGAGAAGGATCGAACGGAAACTAAGAGAACGTAAAGAACGAGGAAAATTCTCGAAGGAGAGAAAAGAACAGTGCTTCATGCGAACCAAACTGAAGTGCCAGATGACATGTCTGGAGAAAGAAAAAAAAACAGATAAGAACCGCTACCCTTTGGTTGTAACGCTTTGTCAGCTGAATTAGTCGTATTAAATTCCGCATTAATACGTGCTAATTGGTCGAGTTCATCATCGTTCATATCATCGATTTGATCAGCTATATTTTCGCCCATAGGAACAATTTTGATGCCCTTTTCTTCGTCTTCATCATATTCATCTTCATTATCTGATGCACTAGTACTAAATTCTGCCATGATAATATTAAACGATGGGTATTCAAATGTATGGACATTATCCATAAATTGAACTCGAGCTTCCTAAATTGAATGATCGATAGCATATATGTCGCACGGCAGTATTCGTTTACGTACTTTTTTGATTCCAGAGGAAAGAGATGATTTGTTTAATTTGACGTATCCACCAATAATATCTGGAACATACGGCAAATCAACACTTGACTGTTCTTCTTTAACAATCGTCACGAGTACTGGTGGAGGCACGACAGATGCTGGTAGGCTTGATTTGTTAGCTTCATTCAATTTAGTCCCACCAAAAAATGTTACTGCTTTTGATGTGTTTACCAAGGTATGGATAGCTTCATCCGCTGATGGATGATCAGCTTTTTCCAAATGTTGATTATGATGATGAACGACTGGTTTTGTGAGAAAATTCGGTGGTGGAGGTGCTGGTCTTTTCGTATTTGTTGTCGTTTGATTAAACAACGCTAGACGACTCTTGAAATCTAATGGCTTGTAATCAGAAGTATTTGATATTGAATTCGTCGAGAGTAAGAGATTAGGATCTGATTTCATACTTGTGGTTTCATTCGAGAGAGCATCTTTCTTTTTATTCTCATTGATTGTTTGTTCTGTAGCACTTTTATTAACTTCAATTTGAGACGGAATCGGTGGCGTATGAGATGTAACAAGGTCAGGGTATGGCGTAGCAACAGGTAAGGATAACGTTGGCGGTGCAAGCCCTGCTCGACGTTGTCGTAAAGCCATATCATTTGGAGAAATACTACGTGAACGATTTGGACTTAAGACGTCTCGGTGGTGTTGGCTATTCGTGTTACGTGATGTTGCATTCGACAGTTTATCACTATCAAATCGACTTAAACGAATTTGTCGTTCAAACATATTCTTTACAGTTGTTACCGTACCTAATCGAAGGAAAATGAACGATGACATGTCTATCAAAGAGACAACCTACCAGGCTTTGGTACTTCATCAACATGTAATTCCGTATATGAATGTCGATGGTTGGAAATGTTTTCTTCGTTTGATATGTCAGCATCGACAATAACTACTTCTTGTTTTGGTTGTAAATAGGATGTAAATGCTTCGATATTATTATTGTTATTGTTTAGCAAACTATCTTGACTACGCGATAAACGTGTGGAATGTTTCAATGGTGATATGGCTGATTTTGTTTGTAACAAGTTTTCGTTCGAAGACAGACGTGCAGATGTTTTCGATAAGGAATGACGTACCAATGTGGAATGATGAGTTGCTAATAGCGATTCGTTTACTTTATCAAGTAAACGCTGTTTCATGGAACTAACAACACCGAATGGAACATGATCATTCTCATTTTCATTCGTTAATTTCAATGTAGAACGCGTCTTGAATGGCAACGATTTCGTTGTTTGATTCGAATTTCCGTTAGAAAAATAATGATGAGGAGTATTTGTCGATGATGGAATGGATGGCACAAGGACGGACATAGTTGAGAAAATTTACAATAAAATAAATTACATAATCTAGAGAAGACAAAATAAAGATTCTTTCGTTCACAATTCTCCTTCGAAACTGAGAGAATGCAATCATATCTATCATTGAACGTATCCGAGTAAACGCATACTTTCACTTCTCAATTGTAACATTCAGACAGAAGACACTCTAAGGTAAGTTCAATCGGAATGTTATGAAGAAAAATAATAACAAAGAGTCAAATGAAAAGAAGTGCATTTGTTTGCGTACTTCTCATTCTGACGCTATTAAATGTATAGAACTAGACGAAATGACATGCGCGTATTGGTTCGTTTATTTGTCTATGTGCCTTTCGGTTTCTTTTTGTAGTACAGACTGTTGTCAAACAGATTGTCTCTCTTTCTCTATTGATAAAACGACTAAATACTCTCAATTACACCTCACTCGTCGTTTAATGAAGTCAACGAATGTGTTGCAGAACCTGAAAAAGACGTTGCGAGGCTTATCTATGCTGCAGTCAAATAAGATTTACTTCACTTTACGATCCGACATCATTTTTCTCGTCTAACCTTGTCTGAATCAGTAGGAAATCAAATATTTGAATGATTCGATTTTACTTCGGGTAGTATAATTTGATCATATTCGTGAATTTAATATCCATGCAAGGAAGAAAAACGAAATCATGTCTTTGTAAAGCTTCTCAAGAGTAAAACAAATAGAAAACTGATTATTCAAGTACGCACTCCAGTCTGTGGTATAAATAAGACTCCTTTCCATCTAAAATCGTGTTGATGAATTATTTATTATGACTTCAAAATAAACATCAAAGACATAGAACAGATCTACTGATCGAGATTTCATCTGAAAATAAAACAAGGCTATTATGATGAGAAAAGAAAAAGGCAATTTTTCTCAAATCGAACGATACGCTCGCTCTGAGAAGAATGCCGCATGGGCAATTTTGCATGAAAAGAAACAGGAAGTAGACTAAATAAACTATAGTTTATTATATGAATAAAACAGTAAAATGGATACTCGTTCTCCGAATTAGTTTTGACAAGAAGAGAAAAGAACAGAATAATATATGCATATGTACAAGGAGACAAAATCAAATGAACTTCTAAGTTGTCTATTGCGTGTTGCTGTCGTTTTTCGATAATAGTACCATGTACAAAGAAAATCACTGTGTAGTAAGATGGAGGTAGATTTACAGAGGCGAAATAGAAAGGTTGAATAGTGAATTGAATGGGTTTTTTTCTTCAAAGTTTGTTTTAGTCAAAAATCGTGCCTTTCGAATTCATTTGATTTGCTTGGAATTGTCATCGCCACTTGTTAGGCGTTTGCGTCCCTTTTGAGGAATATTGGATATGATATCCTGATTGAGGACTTTGTTCTCTTCTAATTGTTTGGTAAGTGCTTGTAGTTGTTCGTAAACATTCGGAACATCTAACTGAATGTCTTCCATATCATCAAATAAACGAAACATGCCAGTTTTCAATTGATCATAGGTAATGATTGCCGTCTTGGTCAATGTTTCAAGTAACTCGATAGTTAATTGTTGGGCACTAAAATGTACGCAGTGAATTTTGATAAAAAAGAAAAAATGCCAATTCCACTAACCGTTCTGTATTTTTTTCTAAGCAGAAATCAATTAATTTGTAGATGAACTCATGAAAAAAATGTGGCACATTCAATTCTTTCAAACAACGAATCGTTTCACTACCATCACCACTGTCATAGTATTCATGAATAATCAAATTCATTTTATCAGCTAATTCTCTCACAGGTCGAAAGCCACCTAAAATACAAGGACACATTCGCTGATTTGCCTTCTCTCGGTGTTAAAACCTACTTGACCGGGCACCCCAAACATTATTAAGAAAATAGAAGTCGCCCATTGAAACAAGTGTCTCAGCTTTATCAAGAGCAGCTTGCATCTTAGTGCATTTGACATTGCCTTTGTAACGAGCAAAATATTTGCCATTCGTGTTATCAATACATTTATCAGCTATTGAACGAGCAATAAATTTGCCTTTAAAATAAAATCAAATCAACTGAAAATACACAAAGCAAATCGTGAGTATTTTACCAATGTCAGTTGAACATTCAGGATTATCAAGTGACAAGTCATTCAATGTTGTCAGCAGTGTATTGAAACAATTGATATAATCATTAGCGCGAAACATGACGCCATTAAGATCATGTAAAAGACGTGATATTAATTCTTTGTGAACATTCGATTTTTCTAATGCTATTGTGACTATGTACGCAAGCAATTCTCCATCGCCATGTTCTCGCAAATCAAATTTACGTAATGATTGCACGACATCATTCGCATCACCATTGACAAAATACTCGTCAATTATTGGTTTGATATCTTTATCGAAGTTTTCGATTGGCTTCAATTGGCTCTGTGCAGTTTGCGTGAGATATTTCTCCTTCGCTTCATTGTATTGCAAATCATCAAGATCATCTTCATCGAAATCTTCGGCGTATTCATCGAGAAATTCCGAGCCCATGGTACCCCATGTGTAGTTTCCACCACCGCCGCCTTTCTTAGCTAAACCACGACCTTTTCCTAAAAAAAAATACGATCAAGTGAATAGTAACGATGAAGAAGTTTTGATGTCATTTTTAAAACGAACCTTGTCGAGATTTACGATCATTCTTCTTCGAAAGTTTTGCATTTTTCTGTAACAAGTGTTTGTGTGCATCCGTTGGCGAGCCAGAGAAATGATTGCTTGAATTTGATCCTGAATTTTGACGAATATAGACACGTTTGCGTTCAGACGATGATGTAGAAGCATCCGGGCTACTACTCATATTTACTGAAGTTTTTCTCTCATGATCTTGCGAGGAACTTAATTGAGCAATAAGTGCATCAACTTCGGCTTTCTCGGCGGCGCTCGTTGACATCTTGGTCTGGATGTAGATATCTGAAGTTGTGTTTTTTGTTCTCAGCAAAATTCACCTGGTTTAAACAATCTCTCTCTTCTTTTCTCTTTCGCGTTTTGTCTTATGCGCAATAGAGCAAGAGGGCTGGAAGGAAAGAGAAAAGAAACAAATAAATAAATAGAACAAGCGTGAACTCTCTCTCTTCCCATTGATCGTTTTACAACAAATGGTAAAATTCGAACGAAATTACTAAAACAATGCTTTCAATGCAATATGCGCATGAAACCGAAAAAAGAGCAAAATAATATATATTGAAATTCTTTTTATAATAAATGTTGTTGTCTATCAGTAGGTGGCGCCACTAGGCACGAAGAAATTCCGTCTTATATATGTGGTTTTAAGGATAAATTATTATGTTAGCGATTGTTTCTAGTTGATACTTTATTTCATGATGATCATGTTTCATCGATATAATCGTCCCGATCACGAATAGACAAGATATAGACAAATCATAGAGGAAAAGACAAATTGGATTTTACAAAACATCGACGAACAGAGAAAGAAAGAACAAAATGTAATTTTAAATAACTTTATATCGACCGCGATTAACAAGTTGTAAAGCTGGATTTTGCTAAACAAAAAAGAACAACAACTCATAGCATCATTTTTTTCCTGAAATCATGAAGTAAATTTACCATTTTCATCATTTCTTCTTTGATCAATCGTGCCACTTCTGCTTTAGCTAGTTGTAAGCCACGTTCAGTCAGGGATTCGATTTGGAGATAAAGTTTTCTATCACCAGGTGCAACTTCCTTATTATTTGGGTAATACTGACCACGTACAGACATGCCCACATCAGCATAGTCACAGATATGCGCTAAGGTTTCCTAGATTATCAAGCTCACATTAATAAGATGAACAATTCGAACTAACTTTACTTACTTTACTAGTTACTTTCCATCGAGCATTCTGTGGGAAGTCATTGATTTCGAGTTCTTCTTCAAAAACTTTGAATGCATCTTCTGTTACTTGAGTTTCTTCTTCTGGTTTTTGATAATTTAGTTTTTGATTCAATTCACCAGCACGTTGTTGAGCAACGATACGACTCTAGAATCAAACGAGAATGATGAGGAGCCATTTCAAACAACGAAAGTTTTTCAAAAAATAATTACCGAAACAGATTGATTCAATGTACCGCCACGTTGAAACAATGATGTTGTTGCTTCTTGTATCGAATCTCGTGTTTCTGATTTTGTAAATGTCAACCTAAAAAACCAGTACGACAAATCGTCTCCGGTTAGTTTCAATGGCCACCACTTACCGAGCGGCAGCCTTTTTTGCTAATTCCAATTTCGATGCTGTGTCATTGGCGGCAGTCGCAGCAGAACCATCGTCATTTGAATTCGTTGCAGCATTCGGTAAGACGGGCGCATCACCTTTCGCTTTGATTGATTTCTTGCTTTTAAATAGGGAATTGATTTGCTGATCAATCTAGAAAAAAAAACGAAAAGATATATATTTGTCATGTAAAGATAGAAAAAAAGGACGCATACATCTTGACTTTCTTCATCCTCATCTGAATCGCCCAAGCCCATGACAACCTTCTGCATTTTCTTTTGCTCGTCTTTTAGGTCCGTTTCAGATTTATCAAATTTATAACCATGTCCACCGAAGCCAGCGAATTTCTTCACTTGTTTGCCCATGGCTTTCATTTTCTTCTCGTAATTGTCCCACAAGTCCACTAATTCTTGTGGTACAGGTGCACCAGCTGTTCGCAATGCTTCTATCAAAGCGCCGGCATACCGGTCTTGCTCTGGCGTTAAAAATGTATAAGCATAACCAGTATTTCCTGCGCGACCAGTTCGTCCACATCGATGTACATAATCTTCATAATGATTTGGACAGTCATAATTCACGACGAGAATTAAGTCTTTAACATCTAAACCACGTGCAGCAATCGACGTGGCAATAAGCAATGGCATATTGCCATTCTTAAAATCGATTAAGGTCGAACCACGATCATCTTGATCAATGCCACCATGTAATGACATACATGTATACGAATGTCTCAATAGATTCCGCATTAATTCATCGCAGTGCTCTTGTTTATCGACAAACACAATAACTGATCCTAACGGTTGATAAATACCGAGTAGTTCAAGTAGTTTTAAAAATTTCTGTTCGTCATCAAGAATGATAATATTTTGAATGACGTCTTTGCAAACAACACTTCGACCACCGACGGTTACTTCGATTGGTTTGTGAAGAACTCGACGTGCTAACGCTTCCATTTGTTTAGGAAACGTTGCAGAAAACATAACTGTCTGGCGATCGGGACGAATACTCTCGAGAATTTTGTTGACCTGCAACAAACAATAAGATAGTTTCATATGTAGGATTTCTTTTCATTTTCATACCTGTGGTTCAAATCCCATATCAAACATTCGATCAGCTTCGTCGACAACGACGTATGTCACACGTCGAACATTCGTTACTTTACCTAAAAGCGATCAGATGAATATTATCATCGAATAGCTAATCAAAAATCATACCGCCATTAGCAGCAAGCATATCGATCATACGTCCTGGTGTACAGACAATGATTTCTGCGCCGCGTTTTAATTCTGCCTGAAAAAGAAACGATTCGTTCATATACATCATAGAACATCCGAGGAAAAAATGTCGACTTACTATTTGAGTCGATATTTCTGTTCCACCGTAAGCCGCAACACAACGAATGTTAAATAATTTTCCAAACTTGCGACATTCTGCTACTGTTTGTAAAGCTAATTCTCGTGTTGGAGTCATAATCAGAGCTAAATAGATACAGAAGAAAATAATTGAAATGCACATTTCTGTTTGTTCCTACCTATTGGACCATCATCGCCTTCAAGTGGTGGCTGATCTTTGATATGACGAAACATTGGTAAAACAAAAGCTAATGTTTTTCCGCTTCCCGTTTTGGCGATACCGATCATATTTCTACCTGACGAAATAATTGGGAGTGCTTGAGCTTGAATAGGTGTTGGCTTTTCGTAATTGTACCTGAAAGAGAATATAGTGTAAGAAAATATTATTGAATGAAAACTGAATTTTCATATCTACTTTTTTAGTGTTCGCAAGATTTTATCAGAGGTTATACATTGCGACCAGGTTTTGATAGGTCGAGGACATCGTTTGCCTACAACTTTGATGCCATCAAGTTCTTCTCGATAAGCGGCCACTTCTGGACAAATTCAGAAAACATTCATGAATATCACGTATTCTAGTTCAAATCAACTTACCGAGGTCAGTCATGTTTGCTATCTCTGGCACGACAGTGTAGAAGTCTTTACGAAATGGTCGATAATAGATCTTATCATGATTGGTTGTAATCATTTCCTATGTAAAAAGGAATTGAATCAAACTTAGTTATTTGAGGTTTAATTTCAACTTACCGCTTTCGATTTCTTCGTACTCATTGCAAAAAGATCTTCGAGTTCTTCGCTGGGCTTTGCAGCTTCTTCTTCGGATGAATATTCTAACCCATCGATGTCTTGTTCCATAATGAGACCTTTTTCTTTGGCACGTTTTGCAACACCACTTCGAACAGTGACACGGGATGCAGCCGCGTCCGTGTCCACCGGTTCGCTTTTCATTGCAGACGAATCTTCTTGATGTCCATTTGTTTCCAGTGCAATACTATTGTTCGTTGAAGTAGTAGCCGGTTGGGCTGGTTCATTTTTAACAACTTTGGTTATCACTTTTACAATAGAACCTTTGCCATTTATTGATTGCTCTTGTTTAATTACAGTTGTATTAGCATCGTTGGCTTTCTTTGAGACAACTGATGCAGTGTTACCGCGATAACTTTTGGTTTCTTTAGCAATATCTTTCATGTATGCATCCAATGGATCTTCTTCGTCATCCTCGACCTTTTCATTATTGGCACAGAGTAACGATGCAGCTGCAGCTGCAGCTGCTTGAGCAGCACGTTCCATTGCTTCTCGTTGTTTATCTGCATGGAACGATATGGCTGCTTCCCGTGCCGAAGCAATTTCACGTTTAACATCAGTAGATGATGCTCCAACACTTTGAGATTCATCATCTTCATCATCACCTTCGTCTTCCAGTGACCATGTTTTACCCTTAGCGATTTGTGCAGTGGACTGTTGCAGAACTTTATCAATCCCGAGCATACTTCGACGTTCGGCTCGCCATTGTTCAATTCGGTTCTTGCGTTTTTGCATTTCTTCTTCAAGACGTTTTCGTTCTGCTTCCTAATTCCAATATCAAAATTGAGAAAGACGTTCTGTATACAGGCGAGAGTACAACTTACTTTGTCGAGTGGTTCGTTAGAAACTATTGCTACTGGCGTTGCTTGAGCCGTTGAAGTTTGAGACACTTTTCGTTCTTTGTCGACCGTTGATGAATCTTCTCGACTTCGTGATTCAGATCGATGAGATTTACTGCTCTTTTTCGAGTGTCTGGAAAACAAGGAAAGTATATACATAAGATCACTGATATGGGAACTTAAGGAGGGGGGCGACATCCCCTCTACTCTTAAAGTAGATTTCATTACTTTTTGGAAGATTTTCCATCGCGTTTGCGTTTTTCTCGACTGGAAGATCGTCGAGATCGCTTCTTATCTCGTTCGGCAGTTGATCGATGTGATGAAGAACGATGAGCAGGAGATCCATCCGATGACGCTGTGCTCGATGAACGTTTTCTAAACAAAAATCAGACAGGATTATCACTTATTTAATGACGAATAGACAATGCGCATGGATAGGGGAGAAGAACAACTATAGAAAGATAGAGAAAAAGAAAGATTCTTTGTTATATATCCAACCAGTAAAGTCATCTTCCTTGTAGTATTGCCCATCGAATACGTTCAATTGACCTAGAAAATACAAATGGAAACATTGAATGAAACAAGTTCATGGAAACATATCGATAGTAGTTATCCAGAAAACTAAACTAGACTAAATCTTCTTGTTATAGTGAAATCATAATTGAAGAAGGAATACTTTGAGTGTAGATATTCGATCAACTTTGTGACACGCACTCTCGGAACTACTGGCGATCAAAGTATGCTCTACGTAGGAATTAATCTTGCTTACCGTGGTCATACGGCTTTCTGCACCTATCGACATTGAGATAATCCAACGTTACAGATGAGGAAACCTGTAATAATTGAAAGAAAAACATCTTCAGTAGATAATGGTACTGATTTATACCTGTTTCAATCGGTTGCATAAGAATATTCTGGATATTTACCATGCACTGAGTCGATGTTGACGTTGGTCTAAAATACGAACGGGGCGCGCTTCTCATTCCGAATATTCAGACGAAAAGGGAACAAATAGAGTCTTGCAACGCATTTGACAGAAAAAATTTCAGAGAAAAAGACGTGTTTACAAAAAACGCTTTTCAGTGGGAAGGTCGTTGAGGATCAGAAAAATGCTTACCGAGATGGCATAATATTGTATGTAAATCAGCGATGCGATCTAGAAAGATTGTTAATCAAAATTTGAAATCGATTTGGATTTTTGAAAATATGACTGAAGATTTGTTAATATTGAATGAGGAAAGCGACAAGAACTTTCTTTCGAAAGAAGTAATGAAAGTCACACACGATCAATCATCATTCGCATAGATAGATGGCACTAGAATACAACTGACCAGTGAATAAGCTTCTTCATTTAAGTGCAAAATCACATCCAAAACATGTATATATATATATTTAATTCACTTTCAAACACAAATTACAGTGTACAATATACATTACAATAATCGCATCATGTTCTACGTCATGCGCTGTGCAGTAATGGTGTTATTGAAGTGTTGTGGCTGGATCACTTTCTTCAACTTTTTGCAGATCTCAGGCGAAGATACAAGACATACAAAAGGCATGCATAGGATAATAAAATATGACAAAAAGTAAACGAACATTTCGAACTGACCCGTGGCGCCATATGACAAACCGATCGCTTGAGCCATATAGATACTCATTAGCGGTATATCGAAGAAAAGAAAGAGTCCTGTACAGGAGCCCATCTGTATAATCATCCTTCGATACTTACGCCAATCAATCCGTTGTTGAAGATGTTGTTTTTGTTTAATGACGCGACAGAGCAATAGAATGTTAAATATCATGATTAGAAAACATGGAACAACGCCATTAAGAAATCCATCTGTCAAACCAATCGTTCCAAATTGATAAGCGCATGCACCTGAACATACAAACTGGTCATAGTAAAATACATTCTGGCACGGTGCAAAGAATATCAGAATGGTATAGAAAGTGCACAGGTACAAAATGACGGCAACAATTGGCAAATAATGAAGCAAGATGCGATTCTTTCTACTGATAAGCCATTGATTATGAAAAACTAGAATATGCCTTTCAATCGATGCCCACGCCATCAGTATACCGATGCCGTAGAAACACGCAATGTCAACGAATAACCAAATAGAACAGTTCACAGGTGATTTGATTAACACCGAACCAGAATAAAGAACTGATAGATAGTTTGGAAAGTCAACAATGAGCATAAGGAATGACAAGACGAGAATAACGATGATGACATGATTGTTCAGGGCTTTCCTTTGTGTTCGATCAGAACATAGGCCGTAGAGAAGAAAAATGGAACAAAAAACGGCTGGAATTTCAAAAGCTAGAAAAATCCAGAAACGTGTTTGCGGAGATAAAATGATTGTCAAAGTTGAAGATGATGATTCATTGGATATTGTCGTGTCGCTAAATGTTTGATTCAATGTTTTAACGATCATCATTTGAGTGAAGGACGACATGCGAAGAGTATAATCGTTGTGATTTTGAGTTTCGACTGCTGCGAGATATTGATGAGACAGAAATGCAGTACAAGTCTTTTATTCTAGAAGCTTTAATTGGAGACCGTACGTGATAAAACAACTAAAAAGTCAATCTTTTTTTATCACCGATTCTTTGATATGATCAAAGATATCTTCATCATTATTTTACTTTTTACAAGGCATCGTTATCGCAACCAGACGTGTCGACTTGTTTGGGAACTGTCAAGGAACGCCATAAGAACGCTTCTGCGCTCTCTAGTGAATAGATACCTCAGATCGCAAGTCTAAACAAAGTCTAGTTACACTTTAACTAAACTCGGAAAGAAAAAAAGCACATATGTGTGTATAATTGCCAAATTTCGCGCTAAACACATATCAACCATCGATCATAGGTCAGTTTTACATGCTGTAAGCGATAAGGGACGATGAAATTTTTTCTCTGCTAATTTTAGGTTTGGATTCATTAGATTATAGCTGAAGGTTTAAGTATATTGCATAAAATCTAATTGGAGTATAACAGATTTTGATGAGATCAAACAATCTCTTTTGTCGCACTGGGATTTAGTTTGGAAAGATGTCCGAATACGTTCAGTGAAATCGATCTATATATGATCGTAAATTATTGAAGTAGATAGCTTTCTTCCAAGGTAAAACATCTATGGTAGAGTCGAAGAACTGTAACCTGTCAGCAGTATATGTGATGTTAATTGCAATATCATTTCCCACGTACTATTCAGATTTCACTATAATGCTCTCACAATATTTATAGTACAATTTCGAATGTAAAAATAAACGAAATATAATCATTATCACCAGTAAACAGTTCATGATGCTATAGAAATGAACTGGAATCAGCGATCATGAATTTGCTTATCAATGAGACGCTAAACACGCTACAAAGTGCGCGAGTTCATATATATTCTTCAAATATTCGTTCAACATCCAGCTATAGCTAATTGTTTTTGCATTTTATGCATCCATGAATGATTTTTCATGTAATAGTTGGAAAACCTTTATACTCATTCGGACCATATGTAGTTAAAATCAAATGTGAAGGTCGCTTTACGAAGTCGTGCGTATCAACTACGAAGCGTGAACGGGAATAATGAATTCTTTTTTTACAAAATTTCTATATATAAGGAACAAACATCAACCGATGTATATATTCATTCAGAATGTCTACATTCACAGTACTTTCTTGTTGACCATGACATCAGCTGTCTGCATCGGACAGCTGAGTACAGGCCTTCTGTATTATATAATGAGCACCGGTTTTGCCTACGATGTGTAGCTCGAATGTCGATGTTTTACTGTAAACTCCGATGGTATATTTTACCATTTTCTGTTTTGACAACATTTACATGCATATGAGTTTAGCAGCAGTCGACCAATTCTTTGTCACTTGTTCACATCCTCAATATCGACAGTATATTTGTAATGTTCGTTTTGCTCGTCGGATACTACTTTCTTTTATTTGCCTTTGGCTTCTTCATGGAGTAGCATATGCGATCTTCTATAGAACTGATAGAACGGCTTGTGAACCGGGCAATATCGTTTTCTCTCAATTACTTTTATCTATCTATACTTCTGAGCCTTTTACCAACGACTGTTACAGTTTCATTTACAATAGCAGTATATTGTAATGTACAACAATTAGCTTACTGAACAGTTCCCATTGTACGACGTGAGTTAGTTTTGAGCAAAGTGAGATTTCATTTCTTTGTTGTAGAGCCCATTTTACATATACATTTGTGTATCATAGAGATTTCAACTTCAACTGGTTCATGTTCTTACGAGTATCTGTCGAAATCAATGGTTTTGTATACGTAAGCGTGGAGATCAAATTCGACCACAAATTTAGACAAAGTCGTGGATGATTACGAAAAACTTCATTACCTCTCTTCAATTTAATAGTAAAAAAACAAACTTCAGTCAAGCACTCTACTGTGGAATGTCTTCGTCTTCTCTAATATCCGACACAAACATGTAACCCGGCGAATGTGTTATGCATGTCACCTTATCCGTTTTACTTATTTCAATGGCAGCCATGATTCCTGTCACACCGCAATACCAAAAACATGGTGTTTCAGTTTGTTGATTGATCGTAACTGATTCACCGAAATCCACCTGATTTAAATCTTCATTAATACCTAACTCTTCCACATAATTGTATCCACAATACAAAGGTGCTCCATGTGTTTTTTGAAAATGCGGCGCACCCGTGATTTCCTTTGCTAGTTCAACTTGATCATTTCGTATAGGTCGCATGGAAACGACTAATGTAACATTATCAAGCGGTCCCGGACATTGAATCTTGGAACATTTATACATCGCAACATTTTTGTTTTCATCGACGTTTTTAATACGAATACCGTTGCTTTGCAAAGCATGTTCAAATGAAAACGAACAACCAAGAAGAAATGTCACCATCTCTTCCTTACAAAGCTCTTTTACATCAGCTACTTCTTCAACTAATTCTCCATTTTGGTAAACACGATACTTTGGTACATCCGTACGTATGTCAGCATCAGTTTTGGCTAATTTTCTCGGTTGATACGTTCCAGCTGGCAACATTTCCAGTAGAGGACATGCTCGTGGATTGGATTGACAAAATTGCAAGAATTTATCGGAAACAGTCTTTGGCAGAATGACCATATTGGCTTGAACATACTGAGGACATTGACTACTAGTCGTGGATGTGAATTGGCCGGAACGAATGGCCTGACGCAGTTCGATGGGATTTTCGTATCGAATATAGCTCAAACTACTCATTTTTGCGGATCAGCAAACGGAATTTAAATGGCAACTCGATGTTTTTTTTCTCGCAGGTGAAGACAAAATCAAGTGATAAGAGTGATAAGAACGAAATTTATTTTATTCTTCTTTCTTTATTCCAAATAACACTTAGCCCAGTCACGTGTACGGATTGTTATTATTTTCCACTTCAGTGTGGAACCGTTCGTGACACGGCGGATTTCATTTATTTAAATATGTAGCCTGACATCGACGATAATAAAATTAGACAGTGGTTTACATAGTTATGAATCAATTCAATTTTCCAAGAAAGTTTATTTATCCCATCACTAGACACGACCAGACAGATCTAAATACCCAAAACAATAAATACATTTGTTTTTCGCATAGGATATGATAGATATATAACTAGATATACCAGAAAACAACAAGAATAGATAATCATAAGGAGAGAAAAAGCAAACAATTATATGTATAAAGTATTAATCGTGCTTTAAAAATACATCACTGTAAACAACAGAAACATATCAGTCACAATGACTAGGTGATTAATCTGTCTTTGATCATTAAGCTGAACCCATATGCCATACAATGAGATAAGATACATTTCGATTGGTGTTCTCTGTCATAGTATTGCTACTTGGACGAAAATCGAGGTAACCGTCACCACCACTAACGACGAGAATATCACCGAATGGTGATGTAGAAGAAACAGTTGCCAGAGATTCTGATGTGGTCTCATTATGAACAAGTGATTTCGAAGGTGATTGTCCGGGAACGGCAACGAAAAACTTCACTGCATCTCGATATCCGTGGAATGATAATTGAGCATTATTCATGCTGCAATATGGAACATAATTTGAAGATGGTGTTTGGTCAGTAATACGAACAACTGAACCAGGTTTTACCGCTGCCGATTGAGAAGATCGAGTAATACCTAGAATAAATCATGCATGATCTAATTCAATCTTGTTTCATCACAGAATGACTTACTATCCGTTAAAGGAACTGAAATAACGATACCATTACCAGTACCAATCCATAAACGACGGCAGGCGATATTCAAGGCACTTATATGAACAAAATATGGGCCTGTTTTTTCCGTAACTACAATTATACGCATGTAAATATTCATTACACCTGTTCTGAAAAACGAACCAATCATTTTTTCCACATAGGGTTGTATGTCAACATCTTGTAAATGTTGGTATGTACGTGCGTGATACAACTGCAAAGTACTAGATAAACGAACGGATAACCAAACGCCATCACCAGACCAAGTCATGTGTTGAACCGAATGTTCTGAACGAGAATGCACTTCAAATTGTTTCTTTGGGAAAAAGAGAAAACGAAAATGAGTTTCTATCATAGATGATCAATTAAATATACTTGAATTTCTAATGTTTGAACATTGATCACATAGACACGATTTCCAACACCACACCAGATGGAATCTCCAACATTGATAGCACATCGTACTGACTCTCGGCTTTTACCAGTTACGATCAGATGGAAATTATTCAAATTCCATGTACCATCTTAAGAGAAGATTGTAGATATTGATCTACTTCGGAGAATTATACCTGTATTACGATGAAATACAACAACTTTTTCATTTGCTAGCGTAACAAAAACACGACCACGAATATGACTAAAAGAATTCAATATTTCTTTCCAATACAGCAACAGTTCTTCAGTGAATTTCTTTCTTACATAATACTGTAAATAGCATGTCGAAGCCAGAGTTTTGCAAGCGTAGTTCGATGCTCACTAGTACTTGAATGAATGTAAAGCCTAAAGACGAATTATCTCGGTCAAAGCACACGTCAAACTATATATCCTTCTCACCATCCGTCGCTTGAGCCTAGCCAGACCGTTGGGTACTTTGTCTTATCTATATCGACATCTGTAAAATCACGATCACATTTCATTATGAGCAGATTTATCTTTGATACCAAACTTACTTTGTTGAGATGTATCAGCCACAGCTGATTCTGATATGTCGATAGTATTCGAACGATCTATGCATATGCATGATGAGTTGCAATTTTCTTACGTGAATAATAAATACTTACTTCCACCCGTAGCGAGTGATGCTGTCGTACACGAAGTTATCTTCACATCTAAAAAGAATTTGAAATTCTTTTTGGAATAGGACTCATATTTCATCTTACCACTTATTGATGTTATCTCATTTAGTTTTGACTCATCAAATGATAGATAATCTGAAGTTGATGAACCTGGAATACTACCCATTGCATATATAATAGCATTTCCTAATGTAAATGTATCGAGAATTTTCTCTGGTTTATTCGAATCGATGATTGTAATCATGGCTGTATCATTTGCTTTCGCAGCTATCCATACAAGTGACGATAATTTCAAACACTGTTCGTCTACCATTTGATGATACGACTCAATCAATTGTTTGTTTACAGAATCCACGGACGTTGCTTCACTGTCTAACGTTAATCCACTCATATCAATGCCAACAGCACACCAAATCTTCGAAATACGAACTCTAAGTAAGAGATATTGAAATTCTATTTCGTTGCTACCTGTGTGGAATCGTTTATATTAAATATCGGTCGGCAATAGATAGGCATCGGCACATTAACTTGAAGTTTACCATCATGATCAGACGAATGAACTTGATTTTTTGATGAAATACTCCAGCCATATGCTTCGAAGCGATTGTTTTCATCGGTATCAGAACGTTTCATTGGGGATGGTTTCGCAGTTGATGAACTAAAGAATAAACAAGTGTTACATACCAATACACGTTCATTTCTTTTTCCGTACCTTTCATCCACTGATTGCTCTGACAAATAGTTTTCGTTTGTTAATGATACCGGTGCAATCTGGTCATGTGTCAAACTGCGTTGTATAGATGTTGAGGGATTCGAACGTTTCATCGGCGACTCTTTGGCATTCGTACCGAATAAACCCGAAAAACTACGAGGAGAAAAAGAAAACTCAGTGAGTGGAAGGATTGCTGAGCCTTTAGAGATGACTAGATTAGTTATTGAAATTTGACGTCCTTACAACTCAGATATTTGCGTTGTACCCTCTCTCAAATCGCTCTGTATGTCAGCAACAGGTACGCCCAAAATATTCGTAGGCACCATTGTTGTGGGTAGCCAGTCTTCACTGAACATACGCCACAAGGACTTCGATGTCGATGACGCAGTTGTAGTTTCACTCGGAACTACTTTGTTCGTAGACGAAGAAATATCTTGTGTCGTTTGATGATGATGCGTACTCGTTTGTGTCCCTTTGCTTATCGTCAAAGGTTTCTACAAGGGAAACAACATCGATTCGTATATTCGTTCGTTTAGCTGTTTAGTCACATCATGCAGAAAGTATTAGTTGGGTTATGGAGCTAAACTAAAGTATCAAATGTACCGAACAGATAGATAGAATGCGCGTGATTCGAAACTGAACACATTTCAGACAACGTCGAGATGTTCACTCACAGTTTGCGAAACATTGGTCGATGTTTGCTTTGAACTTGATCGAACAGACTATCATTCGTCGTGTTTACGATTGTTGAAGAATGCATCTGTTCAAGTTTGGATGCGCGCAATGCATCTTGTCGATGAATAGCTTCTTCCAGTTCAAATAAGCGTTGTTTGTATTGATTACGTTCGAGAAGCACACGTTGCATTTCCATTCGAGTGAAACGCTTTCTATCTGCCGTCGGTACATTCTCCTGAATTAAGTTAAACGTGCATCATTCCAACAAACAGATTAAAACGAAAGAAAATCAAGAATCAAAGGAGCATTAATCAACTATGATTCAAGCGAAAAAGAGTGACTTACATGTTAGTAAACTATGTTTTTTTTTATATGGACATGCAATAGAGTCAATGAAATGTTAGACTGCTTACCTCTTCTTCCTTTTTCTTTTCGAGTTCTTCACGTAGTTTTCGAAGTTCTTCTTCGACTTCGACGTTTCTGGAGAAAAAAAAAATATTCGTTTCATTTTTGACTATTTCGAAACAATGTGAGCTTACCTGGATTGTAAACGACTTTTGACCGTATGTAACGATTCCACTTCTTCGCGAAGAATCTCTTGTTCACTAAAATTGATCTCAAATTCTATTTTTTCCAAATAACAAATCAACCTACCTGGCCAGTTCTTCAATTTTAACAAGTAAATCATCTTTCAAGACATTCAATGCATTTCTAAAAAGTAACAGAATGAAACATCCTTGTTCTTCTTCGAAAAAGGCAATTTTTTCGCCATACTTTGTTTCCAAAAGTTCGTTATTTTCTTTAATTAGATTCGATACTTCCTTTGTCATACCTAAATTTATCAAAGACAATTTTAACTCATGTTCATAAACCAAACAAAATGGTTATAACTGAGCACAGAAAGACCTCTATCCCACGTTACAATATCAAATCTCACCGTAAAAACTTTGTCGAACTATGATATAAAGAACGAGAAGTATTCTTGAAATTCGAATCAATTTTCTTTATTTCTTACCGAATAGATCAGCTGAAGCATCGACATCTGATATATCAATATTATCATTACGAGTTTCCTTGTCGAATGCTTCCAAGTTCTTTCTAAAGAAAACAAAAGTAGTAAGGCACTTTGTTCAGAATAGGTCTGGTCAACGAACGGATCATCAATGGATATATCGTCATCATCATCACTAATCGCCGGATCTAAGCAAGATAGAGAAAGAAACAAATATGTCAGTTTCCTATTTTCCATGTTAGATGAGAATATGATTGATATAGACACCAAATCTACAACCATCACCTGTCGTATTATTTGTATGTTCAAATTCATCTTCAATATCACAGAATTGCTGTTCATCGAATGGTTTCGGTAGAAGATTGAGTCTTCGCAATTTGGAGAAGATCTCTACGAAGCATGCAACATAGACAAACACAGATCAATTACGAAAACAAAACACAAAAGCAAAGCAGAAGAGCGCATGTCAAATGTTTGAATTCAGTTAGATCGAATAGTGAAAAATCAATTCCTGTTACATTTTGTTTTCTGGTTATCTCATGCGATAGGTTGGTAGATGACATCCAAGCATGAGATATACATCTGCTGAACTGGTTGCATATGATTCTTACCACGTCTATAGCTTTCAAGATACGATTTGTCATCGTCTAGACAAAACAATAGAAATCTCAATTGCTAACTATCTAACTCAGGAACACTTCACAATATATAAACAACATCGAGTACTTTGACTTTTACAATATCTAGCGAACCTGATGCAAATTCTTTGAAAGATATCTCGTCAATCATGGACATCTTTGCTAATTTAGCTGAAAACGTTCCGAGTGTATTTCCGGGTCGGCGCTGTGAGAAGACTTACCTGTATTGACAGCGACATCATTACTTGCCATTGATTCGGTTTGTGTATGTGTACCATCAGCAATTTCGCTTTTGGAATGGAAATCCGTAACAGCATGAATAGGTTCTTGTATTCTGAAAACGAGATAATTACTTTTTTTTTGAGAAAACGGAAATCATCCTACCCTGATGGTAACTCATCTGTTGATGGTTCAAGTGTAGGTGATCGTTTTTCATCCGATGAACGAGGTAGTTGAAGATTTCCCCTACAAAAGTTGCAAAATAATCTAATTTTCCTTTCCAGAAATGAGAAACATATTCAATCGATTATGCCCGACAGATATTTTTCTAATTTAGAATCAACTTCCGATCGTTTATTACACTAGAAACTAACCGAGATGGCGAATGAATTGATAATTGATCCAGTCGATCTGTCCCATACAAAATTTTCGTTCGTTCCATGTAGTCACAATGTGCTTTGAATAACTATATACATCGAGTTAATAGAAAAGATCCGATCGAATGTTTTATATGACTAGAATTTACTTCACAATATCGATCATGTAAACGCTTGTATTCTTGTTTCATATCGGATTCTTTTTCTTCCAATCTACCGACGTGATCGGATGTATTTCGTGCTTTGATTTCGAAGATTTTCACGATCGATTCAAGACTTTGTAATTTCTCTTCATTCTCTCGTTTGATCTCTTCCAGATGATCTTCAATTTGTAGGTAACGCTAGGAAAGAAATAGAATTAAATCAAATCAAATCGAAAAACTTCCTCTCAAGATTTACTTGCTGATATTCTTTGTGGAAACCTTTCTCTCGTTCATATTGTTGAAATAATTGTTCATTTTGCTCTTTCAATGATTCCATTTCGAGTTTACTAACTTCACGTTCATGCAGTGCATTATCCAGTGATTCTTAATTAGAAAGAAACAACAACATTCTTTTCAATTTTTCATTACATAAAGTGTATCAGTTCATTACCCAACGTTGAAATCATCACAGGCATCAGATCTTTGACGCTATTTTCACCAAAATTTTTTATAATACGCTCTAGTTCTTTGTAAACATTACTAGCCAATGTAGTCACCGTTTCCGATAGCGGTGTATGGCTATCTTCACTGATTGTTGAAGATATCAATTCTTGTTCATTGGCGTCACTATGAACCATCTTGTCTCGATTTGTCGAAAATAATATTGACTCGGTTGACATAGGAAATGAGTTAGAATAAAAAGAAGAAATATGTGGTGTTTGTCATGTCTACTTTCTGAACACGTAAACAAACGTGTAACTCAATTTACGCTTCTTCTTCTTCTTCTGTGCATTTGATCAAACCATATCCTATGACCTCATCAGATGATGAGTCATGTCGACGTCGCAAACAGCTTCTGATTGGTCGCATGATGGCAGATGCAATCAATCGAAGAATGATTTTAGTTGATTTGCATTCTATTAGGATTACAATATAGTAATTATTTATGCAAATATCTCAATAGCGGAGCAAAAGAACACATATCGATAGTTTTTGTCGTGCAATTAGAGAAGATGGTAGATGAAAGGTGGCGTTGTATGATTGCGTCTGTTTGTGTTTCAGTTGTATGTCAATACTAAACGATTCTTTGATTTATATTGAATAAATGAATGAAACCGGATGTGCGGAACAATACGATATGATCGATTTATATCGGAATCAAAGACTCGCGTTAATCAATCTTTTATTTCTTGTTCGATGATAACAATTTCGGAGATGATTATAGAAATACTTCAAACATATAGACACGACACCGTATGCCACCTTTCGAAAATATGTTAATAACCAATCAAATACGTAATTGCATCGTGTGCGTGTGATTCATCTCGATTACATAGATGGTGCTATGACATTGGTGAATTATTATCTGATTCGATTTAGTTCATGACCGTTCAGATTTGAATTAAAACTAACAAAAACAAAATTTGTTGCGTAGTCAGATAGAAAGTCTTTCCTGTTGGTACGAACTACTTACTCATGTTTTCTTTTCGATTTGGACTAGTTCCTTAGAGACATTGCGTCACGCAGTAGATGTTTCGTCCTAAACTACCTGATTCGACCTTCAAATTTGATCAAATAGATATCTTTTGTATTTATCTGTTGTAGATTAATACGGATCGTGAGATGAATTTTCAATGACGACGGATAATAAAGTGAAGCAATGTTTGAAAAGATTTGGTTTCGACAAATTTCGATCTGATATCCAAGAGAAAGCCATTCTAGCAATTATCAATGGTTAGTTTATGTAAATCTTTAATATTACATGACAAATATTTTTTTTGTAGGAAAAAATGATGTTTTTGTTTCACTTCCAACCGGTGCTGGAAAGTATGTATTGAATTTCATGCGAACTTCAACTTAAATTGACTTATGACAGATCATTATGCTATCAATTTCCTGCTGTATTCAAAGAGGATGGTCTTTCATTGGTAATATCTCCTCTATTAGCATTGATTCAAGATCAAGTCAATGCCTTGAATGAAAAACAAATCGTTGCTCGAACATTGAATTCCACGTTGAGTCCGCAAGAGAAAAAGATCGTTTTGGGAGATCTTATGCAACGGCAACCATCTACACGGTTACTATACATAACACCAGAACTCGCTGCTACTCAAAGTACGAAGAGGAATCTCTAACTTCATGTAGATGTATATTGTTCTTATTCAAGGTTTTCTATCCATCATCAAAAAAGTTCATCAACGTCAATTGGTAAATTACCTCATCATTGACGAAGGTAGATATGATTTGCGTGGAAGCAAACAAATTTAGACCTATCTATTGTTTACAGCTCATTGTGTTAGTCAATGGGGTCATGATTATCGGCCTGATTATTTGAAATTAGGTACATTGCATGATGAACTGAGTAATGTACCATGTATTGCTGTAACAGCAACAGCATCTCAACAAGTGATCGATGATATTTACAGGTATATTGACCGATTTCTTATTGCCCATTCTTGCATTGATATTTTAGTTCATTACATTTAAAACAACCCATTCTCGAATTTAAATCATCAGTATTTCGTCCAAATCTCTTCTACGACGTTCAATTCAAAGACTTGCTTGACGATCCATTTGTTAACCTATGTGAATTTATCGATGAAACAAAAAGATCATCGGATGTAAATACACATGTCTCTGTTTTATACTATTTCACATTGTCTCTTTTCATAGACGCCATCAATCAGTGGCATCGTCTATTGTCGTACGCGTAATGCATGTTCAGAGTTAGCTGATAGATTAACCCAAACGAAAAAGTACGGAGCAGTTAAAGCATATCACGCTGGTTTAACAAGCGAAAAACGTACACAAATTCAAACAGAATGGATGGACGGTTTAACAAGTATTATTTGTGCGACGATTAGTTTTGGGATGGGTATTGATAAAGGCGATGTGAGGTACGTATTTGAAAAGATTGCTCGTTTCGAGCGATGAACTCATGAGAATATTGTATAGATTCGTTGTCCATTGGGATCTGGCAAAATCGATCTCAGGTTATTATCAAGAATCTGGGCGAGCTGGTCGTGATGGTAAACGATCCAATTGTCGAATGTATTACTCAGCACGTGAACGCGATACACAATTATTTCTGATCAATGAAGAAATAAATGAAAAAGTAAACAATTAGCAGTGAATATCCACTTGATAACTTTGAAATTCTTAGAAAATTTCCGATGAACAGAAAACGTCCATGTTGAATGGCTTCAATACACTTGTTCAATATTGTGAACAAGCGAAGTATGTAATTATTGAGAACTAATTAATGAACTTACAGAGTAATCTCTATTTGCAAAGGTGTCGACATTTGGTTATATGTAATTATTTCGGTGATATGTTGATAAAGCCCTGCGAAATTATGTGCGATGTTTGTACGCAACGTGAACTTGTTTCAGCTAATCTACAAAATTTGAAAGTAAATTTTGTTGACTGATAATGGATGGTGTGCTTTATTCGACCATTTAGAAAAAGAAAATCGATGATACGAACAATAGGCGTTCAACAAACCGTATTATGTTTCGCAATGAAGGCAGTGAAGAACAGTATGAAGGTGGTCGAACTGCCAATCGACGCGACGAGCGTGACTATCGAGATGCCAACAATGATTATCGTTGTGATACAGATGATAATGATGCTGAATTAGCCAAGATGGCCACTAAACTTGTTCATGATGAACTTAAACGACGCGGAGCAGTAAATAATTGCTCACAGCAAACAAACCGATCGATTTGTTCGTTTGTTCTAGACGATGGAAAGTAAACCGAAAACATGGGCGGCAGCTAGTGCAAATTGTCCGTTGATTGATCCAAACAATCGAAAGATTCCCAATGTTACTATTCAACTTCGAGAACACGTTTGTCGAAAATTGAAGGAAACTTTGATTGAAAACATTGAAAAACATTTTGTTAATGATGAAGCACAAAGACTTGCCAAGTAATTTGCGCCATACAAATCTACAGGTGTCATATTTCGAATTCTTTTCAGTGAAGGTACATGTTTGGACAAAGCTGTTTGGCTTGAACATCAAGTGTTTCTTGCGACGAAAAGTGAACCCATGTATAAAATGAAATATATGTCCAAAGTAAAGAAAAATCATAAGTGAACTTTAAGTTGTAACGACCTTCCATAAATCTAGTGTAATGAAATTACCAAGGCAACAAAAAACAATGCCAGTTTGTATATAGTCGAATCGATGCCAGCTAATACTACAATGGAATCAGTATCTCTATCTACATCTACGAAGCGTAAACTTTCAGAAACTGAATCAGCCGTCGAACCCGAAACTAAAATACTGAAATCGAACGGACATACTGATGCCGATCCACAAGACAATTCCAATCAGCCGTCATTGTCACCGATTAATATGGAGAACAAATCTCCTAGTCGAAAACGATCGTTATCTTCTTCTTCGTCATCATCAACATCATCATCATCCTCTTCTTCTTCATCTTCTTCGTCGTCCTCGTCTTCCTCATCTTCTTCATCGTTGCCAACGAAGTCAACTTCGATTAAAAGTTCGTCAACAAAACCAAAAGTCACAACTACTGCTGAACCAGCAATAATTCCGGTATTGAAACAACCAAATGGTGAACGAAAGAAGTCCAAAATACTTCATCAATCTTTAACAAATACAACATCTCAATCGACAACGCACTCTCGTCATCATCGTCGAAATACTCTACCTATCGCATCGACGAATTCTTTCGATGTCAAAGCAAAACAAGCGCGTGGCACGTTGAAAACTTGTCTTGAATCGATGTCGAACTTTCTCCATCAGAAATTAAACGAACAACCGTCCATTTCTGTAACTAAACAATCACCAAACGAAGACTCTACTGCATTACCAGGCTCTTCTTCGTCACCCTCGATTGCCAATGAGCAAGACCAACAGATAATAAATACCAACGCTACGCAACGACAAACAAGTCTAGATGATCGTATTCGTTCACTCCTAAAAACTGACAAATCGAATGAAGACAAAGCTATCGATAGCAACAGCGAAAAGAAAGAATTATCACCAACCAAAGTTCGAAAATCACTACCATTACCACCTGGAACATCAAGCTCGACAACGGATCGGAAACATGCATCTTCAAAGAAACGTAGTCACTCTTTAGGTGACCTTAAGTCCAGTAGTAAAAGATCATCAACAGCTTCATCATCGATGAAGACAAAACGAGTATCATCTACTACAGCTTCTAGTAGTAGTCGAAAACCATCATCATCATCATCATCATCAAAGAAAATCCGAGATAGTAAAGTAAGTTCACACCTTGTCAAAGATATCTCTTCATGTCAATAACAATGATTTGCTTCAGCTTCCTGTAAACATTAAAACAATATCCGAAGTTGTTGTTGATGTTCTTAATCCATTTTACCAAGCAAATAGATTTTCATCCAAGGTCTAGTCGTCTATTTGACTCTCGAGCTAAACAAATAACGTTTGATTTCTTTTTGTAGGAGTTATTCAAAACACTTGCTAAACGCATTTCGCAGCATTTAGCGTCAAAAGAATTTTCCAATATAGATGCAGGTCAGTAAACAACTATCGTTGATGTCTGTGCTCTAAAATACAATTTTCTTTCAGTACGTATGGATGCAAAATCATTGATTAAACCAGCATTTCGGCATAAGCATTCAAAAATATTAACAAATGCAGATTTGGATCTCATAGTCCCGAAATAATATCAAATCATCTTGTCAACATTAGCGAAAATACATCCATATTTGAAAAAAAAAGAGAGTCTTCTGTGCAAGAGAATGGATCCGTCTAGTCATATGTGAACACTTGTTGCCGGTGGCTCTCGTTTCGTGTCATTCATCTTTGTTCGCTTCTTTTCCTCTTTGATTTCTTTTTTCTTCTTCTGTTTGCTTGTTTTTTTTTCCACGCGCATTTCGGGATGAATGGTTTGTTTATTCTCATAATGTCAAAGACAAACATTAGATTATCCCGAACTGCTTTTAATAAAAACAAACGTATTAAGGTCTTGAAAGAAAAATAAAAAAAAACCAGCGCCGTAGAACTTCTTCTACATGCATTCCATACCGACGAGTTTTAACAGTATACATACACCGATCTATGTGCGTGTATCTTCTAGATGGGCGAACTATTTCCTCGACACAATTTTCTCTTATTTGATAGAATATGGTCAACGATTTATAGAAGTCGAATTTCGTGTTATAATGAATGTCTACTATTTGTCCTAATCAACGGTATTGGAAACAATGTGACGCCCGTATTTCGAATGTGCACATTCTGATATTTTCTATTTGTTGACTTCTAATCATCCCTCGTACATTGTTTTGTTGTGAGTATAATTGTATCTGTTATGGTTTGTTTTTAGTGAGTACAGCTGAAGTTCGAATGAGAACATCATAATGTTCTCAAAAGTATCCAGCTCGAAAGTTGAATTCAACTTCATATTATAACCGGAATGATTGAAAACAAAACAATGTTTATATAATAATAGAAGAATAAATAGAGAACGTTATGTTAAAAGCTGTTGAAGAGGAAATTTAATGTGAAGATGTTGTAGGAATGATGTTTGATAAGGATAATGAATTGAGATTGAACTAAAATTAAAAAAGAGAAGCAATTTATTGATATAAATAAAATATTTCGAAATCAATTATAAGTTCGCTTGTAAATTGGTTAGAAAGTATTGATGTTTAACAGGACGAGGAGCAGAAGAATGATGAAAGGTGTTTGAATATTGCTAGACAGAATTATAAAGAGATATGATAAGATACACAATCACTTGTCGCTTGTGATCACATATAAAACGAATAATGTAATCGCAAAGTTAAGTGATCTAGCGGAAAAACTTTTCATCACTATTGACACAAAGGCTACATGAAATGCCAGAGATCATCTAACCTGAAATTATGGGCATAAAAGGTTCGGTTTAGTCAGTTGTCCAGTGACTTTAGCTAGTTAACCTTGTAAATAAAAAACCGAAAGTTGGAACATTATCAAAAACACTACCTAACAATTAGTCTTTCTTTCCGTTAGGACTGAAAAAAGAAAGCCGTATTGGCAGGATCGAAGGCATTCTTAGCAATACCAGTCTTTGAGTTGTACGTTAATGAATTTGAATCTTTGAAGCCTTTGTGAGGGATGAGGGTGAGTGACAAGTTTCTGAGTCCACGTCCTCAAGAAAAATGCATGACAATTCAAAAATAAATCTCTATTGTTAATTAGAAAATATTTTGATATATTCATTTCGGAGAGTAAACTATTCACAACGGCAGCGAAAAACTAAAGATCTACAATTTATGTACAAAAACAACCAGTTACACATGGCATGATTCTATTGTATTTTAATTTCATTCAAATTTACACTGATTGCTGATGACCTTGTCTAAATATACCAATCACTCTAAGACCAACAATCAAGGTGAGTACACATTCCAATCACATCGCCTTCGGAACAATATCTATTTTTGTTTATCCTCCAATCATTCTAAATACACTTTCTTTAACCTTCTCTGAATACGCTGTTTTGCATGAGCGATGAATAAAATCATTCATATACAAATATACAGAAAAACAGCGAAGTAAATATATATAGTAAGTGCGTCCTTCGCAGTACACTAGTATAAGTGAAAAATGCAATATTTAATGTTCATCACTTTTCATACGGATTCGATTCCACTTGAGAATATAAGTAAAAATAGACTCCATAACATATATCAAGGGCTATGGTCCATACTCTCCTTCGCCTTCAATAAAACAACAAGATAGTCAAGATAAATGAAGCTGATAGGACCGCAAAGATGATTGACCAAAGTTGATGAATATATGTTTCGCCGTATGTCGCGCTTTGTTCATTTTATACGATTGATCAAAGTAAGAGTAACATCTAACCGAAAAGAACCTGGCAAGTCTTTCATAGATGTCATATTCCTACAGCGCAGAAACAATTCACATCTTGTCTCTATTCAAGTCTGTTACTTGGTGACGTCAATTGAAAATGTTTGTCTATAAGTTTTCTTTCAAGGAAAAAAAGAAGCCAAACAATTTCATTTATTTTTCAACTGATAAATTAATTTAGTATATCGTTATTATCAGAAAAATGTTATCGACAGAAAAGTATGAGTTCGATCCAAGTTATCGTGGTCAAACTGGATCAAGTATCGGTGTATCCACAGTTGGTTTTCGTTCAAATAAGTATAATCCGAATGAATGGCATGAAAATAACTATGCGAAATATTATCAAGCATTTACTGATCGTGATGAAGCAGAAAAACAACGCTGGCAGGCCACTCGAACTGAAAATGAAACACTCGCACTATCGCAGCAAACACAGGCACTATCGACAAAAAAATTACAACAACGGTCAGTTGCTCATCGTTTGAAATACTTGTATCTACCGAGTGTTTATTTTGTAGTTTACATGATGTTAATTTTTGGAAATTCGAACTCAATCGAATGATAGAAGATGTACGCAATGAAACTGATCTACTTGTTGCACAAAAGAAACGTTTAACAAATGCATTAGATGCTACAGAAGCTCCTTTGCATATAGCTACCGAATGTTTGGCCAATCGAGAACGTCGCTATGGAGAAGATCGTGTCCACGATCCAGTTGATATCGCTCTAATGAAAGAAGTTGAGATCATCAATAATGTACAAAATCTTTTACGACAAACAATAATGACTTCTGAACAGCAAATTCGGTAAATATCGAATAGAAGATACTTGCATTCTAGCCGTTCAATCCAAATCGCCAACATAAATTTAGAGCCAATCGTAATGCGAAGCAAAATCTTGAGATGGATTGGAGTAACAAATGGGAAGCATCTATTGCCGATGCCAAAGCAACAAATCGTCGTAATGAAGATGTTGATATCATGTTCTATCCAGGTGTTGCTCGAAATTATGACAAGTAAATCAGATTTTTCTCATAATTCTTTCTAGTACGTCGTGTCAATATCTTTTAGTCAATCCACACCTGAATCGTGGGCACAGAATTCTCACGATAATATTGTTAATGGACAAAATCAATTGATGGCCTCAATTCAACTTCGTTCACTCATCGATAGCATTCTAGTTGACATCTCACGTGATATGCGTGAGCAAGCTGATGTAGTAGAAACCGAATTCGGTCGACGTATTGCCGAAATGTCGGATGCTATGCAAAAAATGATTTATAACATGCGCGAAGTAAAAGAGGCTCACAAAGGCTAGTTTCTACTAATTGGTGTGTAATAATTTAGACATTGAAAGCGATAGCCGAGACTGAGAAGAAGATTGATTCACTTCGTGCATCTATACGTTCGAAAGAAGCACCACTTAAAGTAGCACAAACTCGTCTCAATGATAGACGTGCTCGACCTGGCATTGAATCTTGTCATGATCCGGCTCAAGATCAGTACGTAGATCTAATTTCTCTTGTGAAAATATCTTTCGCATGATTATTTCAGTTTAATCGGTGAAGTTTATCAATTATCGCAATCTATTGATAATCTAACTGGTGAATTACGTGAAGCCGAATCGAACTTGAAGAAACTTCATGATGATCATCAGATGTTCGTGAAGGAAATTGAGATGAAAAAGAATAGTCTCTACATTGATCAGCAAAAGTGTATGCCAATTCGAATGCGCTATCCAAGTGTCCAGCGCTTACTTGGCTACAATTCATAGAGATAAATTGCTAAACATTTGTTTGTCTAGTTCCCATAATATATCTTTATTATTCATTTTTATCGATTAAAATGTTCGAGTAGATCATCAGATAAAGATCTTCACGAAGAAACTCTATGAAAATATATCCGATAGTACTGATTCAATCGTCAGACGAAGTAAAGCGATTTCCTCTCACAAATATTTGACTTTGAAAGAAATGTAATACTCTTTTCATCCGCTTATTTGATGTGAAAATTTATGTCCTGTATTACAAATATTTACACTGTCAACATCATTTCTATGCATGACTATTCTCACGATAGCTATTGATCACGAAACGTTGTCCATGGTGACTGTCATTATTCTCCAATGCATAATATCATTCATTATAACTTATGAAGAAAAATTTTTACCAGTGGCATTTATAACATTCTAGATAGAATTTCGAGTAAAATAAGGTTAGCTTTTGTATTGATAAGGGTGAAAATGAATAGACGTTATCTTATACACTTCTATTTGTCTGTAAAATGTGTATAGAGAGCGAATTGAATTTCGGCATGGCGACTCCAATGAAGATCATGCTTTTCAGTTCTTCACGCGTTGGCCTCATTTTTTTTCTTTCTTCATAATTCCTTTTTTTTCTTTCTTTATAATTTCTTTTTTTCTCTTCCTGTCGTCGTTGTAGTCTCATTTACATAGCATTATTCTTTGCCTGTTCCTTGTTGTTCTTCTCCTCCTGAATTTTTCTTTCTCCATCTCGTTTTCTTCGTTTACGAGAGCAAAACTCAACACTCTTAGTCATTTCGACATCTATATTGATATTCATAGGATAAACAATCATCATGAGCAACGTTTTGATTCTCACCAACGAACAAGACAGCCGTGTGAACAATTAAGGTGAGTCTTATGCATATTTTCATGAAACATATTTTGTTAGTGACAATGACGAATAGTGCAGATTATAAAACACATATGTGCATGCAAATATTTGCTTAAAGCTCCGTAGTAGTCATATTACCGTAGTGCTTCTCCGTATTCAACGTTATTTGTCTAGCATCCGGATCGTATGTTGACTTAATTGAATAGGAAAACTATTCTTAGAGAGTAAATACCTCAAAATTTCAAATTGTCTTTTCTAGGCTTTCTTTTAATGGACTATCCAAAATACTTCAAATATTTCTGTATTTTCACTTTATTTATTCTGATCGTTTACGCAGTTATAACTAGACCATATTCGTATGCATTACGATCACTACATATATCACTTGTGGAACTGTATACCCGCAGAGATCCTTTCTCGACAAACACGTCACTGGTTAATGGGACAAATAGTGTAGTTAACAATGACTTACCTTTGGTAACCAGTGAATTTCATACGCGACGATCGGTGTATCATCCTCAGTTACCGATACATATTTTTACTCAAAATCTATCGTTGATTGGCAATAATAGTAAATTAATCTTGTTAGGCAACGGATTTTTCGGTGATCGTACATGGGAAGGTGCTGGTTCAGGCGGGAAAACGTCTGCTCAAAGGAGTAAGAATGTTCTTATCTTCTCACATATTAAAAAAAACATGTGATTTTTGTTACTATTAGTGACGTCGCTTTATTGCCCATTTCTGTCCGATAGATGTGATATCACACATGATTTTAGTCGTTTTTTACAAGCGGACGCAGTAGTCTATCACCTACGCGATGGAATTGATATGAATCGTGCAAAGGAAAAACGTCTTCCTAATCAACGTTTCGTTTTCGCTCTTTGGGAATCACCAGCACACACGCCAAATTTGCAATCCTATCGTCAATTCTTCAACTGGACGATGTCCTATCGATTCGAATCACATGTTATTACATCATACTATTCCGGTAACGCGTACGTTCATACATCGAGTGACTATTATCGTGCGATGCTAAATGAGAATTCTACACGAAAGCTTAATTTGAAAACAAGATTACCCGATCATCGACCGTCGGACGAAGTTTTACAAAAGAAAAAATTAGGAACGGCTGCCGCTCTAATATCTAATTGTGGTGGAAGTAGTAAACGTTTGGAGTTCATACGAGGACTACAACGATACATCGATGTGAAAATCTACGGACGGTGTGGCGAATCGTGTCCACCAAACATAAATTGTCGACAATTCATTGCACAAAATTATTATTTTATTTTAAGTTTTGAAAATAGTCTTTGCACAGACTATACGAGTATGTATTATAACAACCGAAAAATCGAATAATATATTTCATTTGTATTTACACTCTAGCCGAGAAGTTCTTTGCCGCACTTGAACATCCGGTGATACCTGTTGTGTTCGGACGAACAAATTATTCTGCTTTCATTCCATCATCGGGATTTATTGATGCAAAGCAATTCTCTACGATGAGTGTGTTGGCAAAACTGTTGAATGATACGCGCAATGATAAAGAGAAATATTTATCTTATTTCGCTTGGAAAAAAGATTATGTTTGGGGCCTTGGAGCCTTCTTTACTCCTTTCTGTGATCTCTGTCTAAGACTTCATCTCGATTCGAAAACTAATGTTATTGATGATATACACAAATGGTGGTTTGATGGCACTTGTGAATCAGCAACTATTCCAAAATAGAAAGCTGTAATTATTCTTATAGAAATTTGTTAAATTGGAGGCGTGTCGAACCTGAGAATTGAATGCATCCATTCAAGCTGAATTCTTCCTTTTGATTCCATTAAAATGCATTCAACTGGTTGAATTCAACTTATACATATCCACAATATTAGGAAAATTTTGTTCAGAATCGATCTTTATTTTATGGGATAGGTTGCAATCGGTCAACCTGACGGATTTTATATGTGAATAGTTTTCATACAATTATTTTTCATGTTTATTGTTACAAACTTTGTGGGATAAGGCCTACAGTACTAATTGAATAAAGTCATGTTGTTAGAAAACATCTGACAAGACCTACTCGATCAATCGAACTGATTACTCATCAGTTAACGTGATTTTTTCCAAAAGAGAAGTACAAGATATCTTTCTCACACATGGTTTCATCAGCTATCGACCTCTGTCGTCCAATTTGATACGACAATTTGTTATCTGCATTTTAAAATACAGATGCTATGACACAGACCCACACACATGTTATGTTATGTTTTTGCGTTGATCAATAATTGAATCATAATTAGTCAAATGACTGCCCGTTTATCTCTTTATACTTGCTGGCTTCCACGAACAACTAGTTTGCAACGAATTTTCATTCGTTCATCATTTTCTGATGCATCAGAAACGAATCCATCATCGCATCGATCCGCTTCACGGTTTTCCCTGAAAATCGCACGATTTGTTTTCAAAAAAGATCGTTTGGAACAGTCTGCACGTCTATCAACCCATGCACATTACACAAAATCCGAAACACCCGGAGATATTCACGAATTAGCACGTGATTTCATTCTTTCACTTGAACCAGGTGCAATAAGATTTTTAAAGTGCACGAAGTAAACTGTTAGATATGTATCCTAGATCATCGACGTATACTTTCGAATGAATTAGTCCAAGTAGAAAAATTAGCAATCGGAACAACAGCAGCAGTTCCCATTCTGACTTCTCAATTAGCCGTCGGTAAAGAAAGGTTCCTGTGTCGACATTCTTCGAATGATTTTCCGCTTAGTTTTCATTGAAACGGGACTTCCATATATTGGCTTTGGCTTTGTTGACAATTTCGTGATGATTGTAGCTGTAAGTAAACAACAATGTAAACAAGAAGAGAAACTGTCGATTTATCTAGGGTGAAACTATTGAGACATTCCTCGGTGCTGCCTTTTGTCTATCTACGATGGCAGGTAAGAAGAGATATTCTTCTAATAACATTTTATGCGATTCGGTTTTTGTTAGCTGCTGCTCTGGGAAATGCTGTTAGCGATGTTATGGGAATCGGGTAAGTCATTGATCGAGAAAGAGGATTAATAAGCAATTTCTTCCCATTAGTCTAGCAGATCGTATTGAACGAACATGCGGCCGATTCTTAAGTATGTTTGGAATAAATCCACCAAAGTTAACCACCGTGCAATGGTCACAACGATCTGTACAAGTCACGCAACTCATGGTAAGATCTTTTCTTTGTTATTATCATCCTGTATTTCAATTGCATTCTTTTCCTCATTTCAAGTCCAAGATTATTTGTATTTTTGTCGGTAAGTGTGTTGCTCATAAATTTCATTCTGAATCTAATTCGATGTTTTCTTTCTTCATATAGGTTGCATATTAGGTAAGCTTCAATCGTGAATTCATCAGATGCATTTTTGATTGTGTACATACCTAGGAATGTGTCCATTACTGTTCCGCGACAGTTCTGCAAAGAAGGATAAAGACCATGACAAAGATTAATTGGTGATTCGAGTATCAAATCGTACATTTTCTAGTTAATTTATGTTTGTTTTTCTCCATCTATTTTTCTAGTATTTACTTTACTTGTAACAGTAAAATAAACGTATTTTATTAGTACACTACATTTGTTTGTTGTCTTTAGATGAATTTCTTACGTACAGTTTATTGTCCGATTCGTTCGGTGGGACGTACTCTTATTCGTCAATCTCATCTAGAATCAACCTCTGAACAATTACCGGTATGGACTCAACCAAAAAATGAACCGCTCGAAGTTCAACGCCGCCGTCTTCTCTATCAAAGTCGAAAACGTGGCATGCTAGAAAACGATCTTCTACTAAGCAATTTCGCGTCGATACATTTACCGACAATGAATGCCAAAGATTTGGATTTATACGATAAACTGATCAATACACCTTCGAATGATTGGGATCTGTATTATATGGCGATAGGGAAAATAGATACACCCGAAGAATATCAACATCCTGTCATGGATCTATTGAAAGATTTCGTCAAAAACGAGAACAAACAAATACGCATCCGACAACCGGACTTAGTACCCGTTTAATAGAGAACAAAAATCATTTGATGACAGTTTTGAATATACTTAATAAATAGATTTTTACTTCCATTGGTCATTAAAGACATCTTCTCATACAGTAATATCCCTCTATTCTTTTTATGAACGACATTTTCCCCTGTTTATTCTAATCTTATAACAAAACAAAAAACAGATCAAGGTTCGTCCGGTGGTGCTGGTTGATCCTTTGGATTGTCGCATGAATGTAATGCATGTAACAGTTTCTTTTCGATCTTATTCAATGCACGAATTGTCAACACTAACGTTGTATGTTTCAATATACTATAAACGTTCAAACCTAAAGAGAAACATTATTTTAAGTGAAGGTTTCTTCTTATGTACTTACCATAAACTGGCATCAATGTAAATCCCTCAGTTTTTGCGCTTGCAAACATGATATTATGCGGCATTATATCCGTACTGTAAAACCAAACGAGAAGATAACAAAGATCGAGAGAAATTCAGTGACATACTCATCAACGAAAAGCACGGATGGTCCCCAGAAACGATCCTCAGCTAGTTCTTGAAGGTACTACAAGAAAAAAGGAAACGATTCTTCAATGAGAATAAATACTTTCTTACTGTTGGTTGATGAGTCGGTAAATCCAGTGAATCAACAAAGTGGACATCATTCTGAAGGAGAGATTGAAATTAATACATCGATACTAGTAAAGAAGGAACTATACCTGATGTAATTTGACGGTTAATGCTGTACACAAACCTTCGACACGTTTTTCTTTTGGAAGAACATAGAAGAACGATGTTGGACCTTTGGGTCCATGAACTTTATAACCACCTTTCCATTGTGGATCGAATTTTGATTTGTGTCTTGCTCGACCAGTTCCTTTTTGTGGCCACGGCTTTCCTCTCATACTAGGATATTCATGGTGTGGAGGTGTGTACGCCCAATCCTTGATGATGAGAAAAAGCTCAACTTATGTCTCAAAAATAAACGAAAACGTACGATCTTTTTATAAGTTTTTTGCCATTCTATATTTTCATAGAGAATGTCCAGTCTGAAATAGTCCTATTGATCAGAAACGATTTGGAAATGGATTGATAAATACCTAGGCGAAGTTTGCCAAATTGATGGATGTAGATCAACAATACCTAATTTATCATCACGTTTCTGTCCAAGAGTTTCAAGCCATGCTTGTAATGGTGGATAGCGCGTATGAGGATATTCAAGTTGTCGACTGACGATTAATGGTAATTGTTGAGGAATGGGATTCGCTGATGATTCAGCTTTGAGGAAAAAAGATCGAAATAACAAACAATTTCGAATATTTCAATAATAAACCTACGAGAAAATGATGACGATTGTGTTGAACTCTCAAAGTATCTGATTGATTGAAGCGAACAATTCCGAAGAATCTAAGTTAAATGTATACTTTGTTGGTGATTCATAACGTATAATTCGATTTACTTTGACTAATGACAAAGATCTCAACATTGTTCAGCTATGAAGATACGAATGCTAACTACCTGCTTGTAGAAATCGAAATATGTGAATCATATACATCATACATCTATTGGTCACTGACAGATAACAACTTTCAACAGAGGACGTGCCAGTCCGATGTACCATTTGTACTTTTCCTTACGCGAACAATGTAGTTCTATGGTTGTTATTATTTTACTAGTATTTGATTAAGAGTAAGAAAAGATTTATAGCAGAAGTTTTGAAGTTGAATGTTCGTCGATTGAGCATCCTTAGGCCATCTTTACCTGACAGTATTAGCAAATCGATATTATCAAACTAACGCTGTTTGGTAAGATGAAATGTAGCTGCTCTTTGATTCGAAAAAGATTGAATTAAGAAGATTTCGTCATCGGCGTACTTACCTTTATGGTCTCATCTGACTCGAATGATGAATGTTAAAAGAAATGTTGTCTATTTATACAAAAGTCAGTATTGACCAACCCTCTCCCTTTCCTTCGTTCGTTTCGATGATAAAGGGCGTATTTTGAACGAATTATATTGACAAGAGATTATCGTTGATAGGCACGAGTTCGTCCGCCCTATCCAACGATTGGATCATTCGTGTTCAATCTTTCAATCCTTTTCCTAATATATACAACAGACAGAGACAAACGGCACGTGTAATTAGTTTGCCAATTAAGTGATGGGTATTAGATGTTGACATTTGTGTGTCTATGCACACGGATGTCAACAAAATATTCTGTTTGCGAAGATGTCACATCCTTGTGATATTTGCTCGTAGGAACGAGAAGATGTTCATTGCATAGATAAATCATGTTCGTTAGCGTAACGTTTCAAATAAAAGGACATTTTTCATCGAAGTACTTCTCGTTGTGTGATTTTAGGATCTATCGGTGTAGAACGAGTAAGAATATAGAAAGCGTTCCTCGAGCATTTGTATAACGAACGCAATCGATTTAATATTGAAAATGATCATTGCGAAGAGAAAAGCTTCTTTCGGCACCTTGAACAAGTCATTCTTTTCATCAACGAAATGTTTTCTAATGAAACTTATCAATTATTAACTCAATCAATCAATATATTCATATTTTCATTTCTACTGATTGCACTTCATCTTGTTGCCGTTCGATGATTGTTATGAATTGAATGGTAAACTTTCTTGATGTACACGATACCAAGAGAGAATAAAAGCTCAGTACAGCACAACCCGTGATTAATTCTGCTGTTGAAAGAACAGCCGAGAATCCTGCTGATCAAAAACAAAACTATTTCTTTCATCAACACCTCCGTACATTATTTCTCAATAATTGATCGCTTTTTTTTTCGTTCGTTCTTCTCCTATCGATCATGAAATATCTCATTTTTAACACTACACCATCAAGATGATTATAAAGGCCATATGGATGCATTCGCAGTTATTATCATTCGAAATATTGTCCGCGTCAAAGCGGAGAAAAACTATTTTTATTAGATAAATAACACGTTCTCTAAACGGAGTAGATAATGTGATATAACACAATTAATAGTGTTACTTCGCAAAAGAACACCCGCCGTCAATCTAATTATATCGCATGAGAGTAGGCAAACGTTCTCGTCTGTAACATATAAGCACATTATTAACATGTCAGAACGACACATACATATAGTGTCAGTTATTAATTAAGATTGTAAAAGCTTCAAACTCTTACCGATAGCGTAGATTTCGGAAAAATTTTTAGTCGAGAGTTCGCTACTGATTCGACTGTTTCGTAGTGACGTGGATAGTGGCAGCGAGTGAAAAAAGAAGGAAGAGAGTAATTCATGACATATTAATTAGTATTAGTTTGTTATCTACAATTTTATTTATGATAGATTTTGATTTAAATACTTTCTGACAAGAGAGATAAACAATGAAGATGTGAACGTTGAATTGCGCTTTCTTTCTCTTTGTTCTAGATGGACAATAACAAATAGTATCACCTTTAGTATGAATGTGAACGCTGCTTATGTCTCAGCAAACGTCAACGAACACAAAGTCACTCATGTATGTAGATTTCCTCGAAATCTTGTTTACTTTTCTACTATTCATTTGTTCGTTACTTAAACGCTAATTTCTTCTATAGAAAATCTTCCATTCTCTTTCTATTTTACTCTCGTTATGTCCCTAAGCTGTTAGATAGACAGACTAACAGTTCCTATGTTGCCAATGCACCATCAGCAACGGATCATATTAAGTAGAAAAGACGGTTATTTACTCTCATTCACTCTTTTTTTTCTGCTCGATCCTTTTCCATCGTTTACATATCGTATTAAACTTCGTCCTTTTTTAAAAATTTCTATCGCTGACTATATGACGTTTACATCACGACAATAGCGCTAATAAATAACAAACGTGTACAAGATAACGATTTTTTCCTTTTCTACTTCGATCGAGGCATATAGTGATATACATTCGTTGACCGTTATCGAATATAAATGAGAAATGCAGATCTCCACAAGGTAGATTTTTTTACTCGTTTTCTCGTTGGGGGAAACGAATGTTTTTCTTTAGGAAAAATAGTTGTGGAGATTTACAAAGTCGATTAAAAGTTCGGAAAGTCTTGGGTGTAGGCGACACAGCAGGATCCAAAATTAGTCAAATACTCGGCCATTCAGACCATTTGATTTTTCAATTACCGCCTAAACTCGCAACCTGGCTTCTATTAACAACCACATTATTTAGTTGTTTCACTCTCATGGTAAACTTTCGGATTTGCTCTGAAGTAAACCCAACGTTCTCTTTGCTTTCATATAGGGCTTTCTCTGGCCATCATGTTTACGTCTTATATTACCGGGTAGATTTGAATCAACATTACATCTCGGTACATCTTATGCATGTAAATAGATTCTCTTGTGGTTAATGTTATACACTTTCGAGATATTGTTTAGTTTTGGCAACTATGCTTGGTTTAACGCTTCGATCGGGTGACAAGACTTCTCTGCGACTTGTTCTCTTCTCCCTTGCGCTGTTCCATGCTCTATCCTTTTCTAGTAAGTACTTTTGTTAGTTTCATTTGCGAACTTTCTCTTTCTCTCGGGACGTTTTAGTCTCTATATGGTTCCTGAAGACAAGCGATACGAGAATGAAATCAATGGCATCAATTATTCTTCATTTGGGTTGTCTATTAATAAATGCACATTTCTATCGATCAATAATTCGATCTGTTTCATCGACTCGATCGCAGAGTAAACTAACAACATATTTTCATTCACTCTTAGCGTTTCCATCGACAACGGACAATAATGGACATGATTCTTCTTGAAACAAACTAATAAAATGAACTTGTACATATAAATCAACGATTGTTTTGTTTTGTCTTCAATAAGAAAACAAGGATAGAGGATGAAAAGTTCGTGTGATCATTATATACTGTGCCGGCGACAATAGAGCATTCAATAGAGAGTTTTCTGAGAATAAAAGTGTGTGTGTGTGTTTAATCGACTTTGTTTTCCTTCTTAGAAATTCTTTGCTTGTTCACTTGGATTTTTACAACCAAAGATAAGATCAGCGAATACAAATACACAATTTTCAAGAAATGTAACGAATGCTACAGAGAACAAAAACATAATAAATGAAGAAGAAGAAACGAGAGAAAAGACTGGTTGTCACTTTGGTTACCATTCGACATGTATTTTGCTTCAATATGTAGAAAAAAAACAGAGAAGAATATCACTGGAGTAGACATATGTTTGCGCGAAAAAATTCTCTGGTATAAATGAGTATGAAAACGAACAATCTTTGAAATTGGCAGCACTATCAAGAGCAAACATCTTTTAACGACAAAAAGATCGTCTCCATCAGTAGAAAACGAAAAATCGAACAAATAACAGGAACAAATTTCATTATACATTAGCTGAATTTGTCTTTCCAGTAAACATCGATAAGGATCCATCGTTAAAGCCGACCGCCAACAATTGTCGATATTGGTGAAACGATAAAGAAGATACTTGAGCAAATTTTGAATGTTTGATATCAAATAGAAGATCGCCAAAACATGTTTTGAATTGAAGAGCGTTCGTTGTTGCTAATGCTAGAACATTGCCTGTTGAATGAACATCAGCTGCTAAGACATTCTGCGATGTTTGGGGAGCAAGTAACTCAGCACTAGCTCCTGTCTCAATCTCCCAGCGTCTCAATTGACCAAGATTACTTATTGATAACAAACGATCATTAGTGTTCATATTTAAACTGATGATAGCAGAATGAGGTTTCAGTGGTGTTGACGGAGGAATTATAAGTATAGGAGCTTCGCGAGAACGTGCATCGAAACAATGGACAGTGCCATCGCCCATGCCAGCTGCACAAAAACCATTTGAATCAGAAATAAGACAGAAAATACCACTAGAACTATTTGTATCCATTGTGTATAGACAACGTTCACGTTCGACATCCCAAAGGGAGATATAGTTGATATCTGTACTCGATGCGTATATACGACATAAGTCTTGATTCCAATCAAGAACGAATTTAGTTGGTGGTGTACTGGAAGGACTTGCTGGATTAGAAAGATTTGGTGTTGAACGATGGTGATGTGATGCATGAGCATGGTTATGTTCATCGTAGAGAGCTATCCAAGATGATAGAAGACGATGAGTCGATTCATCGAATATACGAATGGCACTGTTATCCGTTCCCACACAAATTAACGTTCGGTGATGAGCATTGATATAATCTAGTGTATTGATTGTCGAACCAACAGAGCCAATCTAAAGAAAGAAGATGTATCTATTGAATAGTTGTAGTCGAACGAGAAACCTTTAATGTTGGTCGTGAGCGTGGTGTCCCATCGACTTCGTAAAAATTTAGATTTCCATGCGAATTGGCCACTGTTAAATAATCTTCATAGGGATGTAAACGTAAAACCAGTGGTGTAGAATTCGATATTCGATTTGGAAAGACTGTCTCGCGCATATGTTGAAAGTCAGCTAATCGACTTGGGTTGGCACGTATGCAGTGATTGTGCCAATAGCGACCACTGCGTGCAAAATAATCTTCATCATCTTCATTGGTGAATGCACCTCGTTGTTGTGAGATACCTGAACCTAGATCGCGCGTGATTGTATTTGATACTCGAAAACGACTACAGCACCATTGAAAGAATTTCGTTTGAATCGACTTTTGTAAATCAGTTATGATCGTTTCGGCTAATTGAACCATTTCGTGGCATGGATCGGATGCTACCACAGTCTGAATGGCTTCCGTCACTTTGTCGAACACTGTTTTATATAGAGAATTAACGTTTGCTCGATTGATGTTACTCGTCACTGTTGTTCCACTGGTTGTTGATTGAGTAAATAAAATGAGAAAATGGCGTAAAGCTATGAGAACTTCTTGTCGTACTAGCGGCGAACCATCATGAAGACTACGAATAAGAATCATCGCGGCTTCTTTAGATTGTTCACTTCGACGTTCGCTTAGCTCATTTCCCGACGTTGAAGATGACAAATAAGTACCAAGAGCGTATGCACAAGCAGCGCGAACTTCAGGTGAATCATGTGTGAGCAATAAAGTTTGTAAAGTATCTGGTGCACGACTGAGCACGGCTTTTTCACAAGCATTGGCGTTCGAACGCCATGCTTGGCCAAGGAATAATGTTGACCAAAGGAATAAAGCCGATGTTTCACGAAAATGTGTAGTAGATGTATTCAAGATATCGACAACACGAGGCATAACTTGGGATAATTCTTCCTAAGAAAACAAATCGAGGATGGCGTCATGCAAGGAAAGAAAAAATTGCCCGTACTTGTCCTTTGGTGTAGTTATCAACTAGACAAGTTAAATTGAATGCTGCTAATGCTCGAACACCGTTCGAAGACCGAACATCAGTTAGTGTGGAAATAAAATATTCATGGCCTTTCTCACGAATAATATCAGTCTGACATGCCTATTCAAATTAGAATTAGAACGAAATAATCTTTCGAAGCCTGGCATACGCGATCAACTGCTAAAATCTTTGCCCAAATGAATACTAAGTACGGTCGTAAATCATCACTTGTTGCTTGTAATAAACGAAGAACGTAGGGAAAAATTCCAACAGATAAAGCGAGATGAACAGCCCACGTTCCGATATCAAGAAATCGTGCTAGTAAATCTAATGCTCGTTGTCGATGGGATTGACTGAGAAGTACCTAAGAATAACAGTAGATTTTTCGAAGAAAACGTGACATTGAACTCACTTGTAAAACAATGGGTAGTTGTTCGGGTTGTTTTAAATTCTCTCTTTCTACTGTTGTTGTTAGCAGAGAATTTTCACTAAGCCACACCGAAAATGCTGTTAATTGATCAGCAAAGAATGAACTAGGTTCATATGTCGGTTCACGTATACCACTTTCTGTTTGTTTCAACACAGATGGTAATTGTTTTAGACACAAATCTAATGCCATGTCCCATGCGTGCCTAATCAATCAAATCGATAGATAGAAGTGTAGATGTTCTCAGAAAGGACGTTCACTACGAACCATAGTCGATGCTCAAACATAGGCGGTAATGCCGGTCGGGAACAAACGTGGCAACCGTATGAGCGCATAATTCGTTCGGCAAGGAGAAAATTTCGAAAAAGTGAAGCCACCAATAGATCTTGTCGAAATAATCGTTGAAATATTTCTTTTGGTAAGGAGTTCCACGCGATTGTATCTGTCACAGCTGTAAATATCCAATTTAATTCTCCAAGCATCGACTTTCGATCAGTGACTGTGCCAGGAATTTTGTCGATCATATCTTGATCAATATTTGGATTCAAACGACTGATATCCTTTTGTAGGACGTACCAACGTAACGCAATTTTAATCGGCGTGGTCAAACACGAAGTAAAAAGATCAGCTGGTAGCTCAGGATTCATCGGTAAAAGTTCATTTTCGCTACAAGCACCAAGTAAGATATCGTGTAACGGTGAGGGTGCGGTAAGTAATGGAGGTATTTGAGGTGTTAAATGGCCAGGAATCGAAGGTAAAGCAGTCTGTAATACGTTACGTCGACCCTCTTCAGGTTCATTATTAATTTGTTCAGCAAATTTCACAAATAAATTCAGAACAACACCGGCATGTGAACAATCGAAGACGTAAATCGATGGTGAACTTATCCATTTTTGCAAATCGTACAAAGACAAAGGAATATATTGCGTAAAGTTCTTGTTAAATACCCAAATCTCACCATTAGAGGTAGGACGAGGAACTCCGTGACCATTATAATGAAAGAGTATACGTTCGTCCTATAGAAATAAAATCACGCAAAAATGGTTAAATTCTATTTATGCAAACAATCCGAACGACACGATCACGATATTTTTTTCAATGATGAACTAGCGAAACTCTATGTTAACAAAGATCGATTGTTCGTCAGACAAAGAAATCACATATTGCTTGTCCTAAACTTATCTACACATTACAATCCAATAGGGCTTCATTCTGAAAAGTCGTTGAGCGTTCTCTTTTTGTCTGTACATACTCGGGAATTTCGTCGTAAGGTCACACATAATTTCTTGATATCGTCCTGTGTTGGATCGAGACTTGACTTATATCTCGCTTTTGATTGCCATCGTTCGTACTGACGTTGTAATTCAGAAGCGATATTTTCTAATGCTCGTCTGGGTGTCATTGAGAATGGATCTAAAGAAATCGCGTCGTAGATGTTTCCAGCTTTGCGAACGTTTTGTTTACCTATCCAACATTCCAATTTCGAACATGGATTGCTTTTTGCTACATCTGGAGGATCAACACCAATATGTAAACACATCACAAGAGCTACACTAACTGTTTTCATCTATTGTGTTCGCAGTGAGAGAAGGGAAATACAAGAAAAGGCAGAAAACGAGTTTATTGTATCATACTCGATCACGTAATCGCCATTCTACTTCAGTCGAATCGGGTACGTTTAAGTTTTCGTGATGATGAGCTGCTTGAAATGCTAAAGGTTTATTCCAATCTTCAAGCTTTTCCAGCTCGCTGACAGGTGTCACGTAGAACGTATCCGTTATCATCGAATCTAGAGTAGGATTGTGTTCAACAGTCAAAGAAGAATGAATGCTGGAACTGGTGAAACTGTTTGTAAACGACTGAAACAGCTGAGATGGATGATTATTGTATAAACGATAGGCAGTCATAATAAGAAGTAAATCTAGAGTGAATGAGTGACTTTTTCACTTTTCATGATCAAGTAGCTTTTCTTTTCGCTATTCATATAAAACAAAGAAGAAGAAGAAGGAGACAAAGTTAACAAAATTACATAGACAATGGACAGAAGTAGAAGGAGAATTCTTCATTATTAAGATGATGTTGAAGTTTGTTTGGCCAAGACTTTCAACACTTGAATAATCGCTTCTGGTTTAATATTCAATTTGAGTAATTCGAGAATGATTTTGAACATTCGTTCATCAATGGTTAAATTGCATAGCCGAGCTAATTCAAATAGTTGAGTTTCATCAGATTTCAAAGGTGTAAATTCAGTCGACATCTGAAATATAGCTAGGTATTAGTTTCATACATGCTTACATAGATTGTCATGTTCGTTCTGTCATGTTCGAAGATTTTGATTAGAGAAAAAAAGGACTTTTTTAACGTTATTTTGAGATTTTAATGATCGAAAATAAAATAAAAATGAGAGATAAACGTACAGAGTTACAGATTTTACAATATCGATCAGGAATAAAATACAATCGACTCCATCGAGATGCGTAGATGAGAAAAGAAGAAGAGAAAATATATAGATATATATATACAATTTCAAAGTTCTGTTCGTTTTTTACTGAATTAATGGTTCATCATCATCGTCGTCATCGCCTTCTAATAAACGTTCAACTGTATATTCTTGAATATTGGATTCGCGAGTGCTGCAAAATTTTAATACAAAACTTCCCAAAAATATCTAGACAGCAAGACGCATATGAATCAATAGAAATGAATATTTTCGCCAAAACTTACGATCAGATATAACCAGCTGAGACAGAAATAGATTGCACCGAAAAACCAAACTTTATAGAAAAATCGGAGTATGATGCGACCCATTACTGTCATTTGACAGTCATCTATAACACGAATTTGTATTAACAATCAGTTCACACTCGTAAATACACAAACCTGTTCGAACAAACTGTGTACACGGTTGAACAATGATTGTACCATTCTAAATCACACAGAAAGAACACCATTTAATCGTATGATATCTGTTTTCCGAAAAGTAGACATACCGTATTGATGGATGTATAATGCTGATCTCCATAGATGGCATATTGTGGTATAAGCAGGTAAACGAATACATTGATTGCCACAACAATGAACATCAATAACGAGCAAAGCATTAATATTGCTTGTGGCTTTGTTCGGCGCCGAGAAAATCGATACATCTATTTTATAATCGAGATAATCTCGTAGAAAAACACTTTGAAATGCAACTTCAGAACTTACTCGAACCCAAAAGTACCAGATACCAAGTTGTTGTAGACCGTAAAGAGATGTAAAGATGATGTATGCAAGTAAACCAGTCAGAAAAATATAGCTGATCGGATAGTACTAGAAGAGAAAGAAAAGGAGAGATGACAGTCCATTGTACTTCATCGAAATATTCGTTCTTACTTGTCCTGTCCATGTTAAAACGCGATCGATTGGGTTTGGTAATGTTTGATTTCCTTGTGCGAATATTTCTTTGAAACTGACGAAATGTAAACATTTATTGATATTACTCAATAGGAGTGAGATAAATATCAACGCAGCGATAGCAAAGAGAAGAAGCCCAATGATAATTTGAACTGGTCGATAGATATAACGACATTTGAAGAACAAACTTTCACGGACAATTATAATTGATTCTTCATTGCGACACAAAGCTGCGTCTTGTTGTTCAAGCTCGTTTAATTTACGTTTTTCGCGAGCTGGCATTGGCACATGACGTGGATACTGTAAAATAGTTAGAGATGTATGAATTCTGAACGCACGAAATTCTTACTCGAGCTTTCAATGCGCGAATTTGATTTTGTAGTTCAAGACGTTGTTCTTCAATACTTGCTTGTTGCAAACGTGCACTTCGTTTTCCACGAATCAATGATAACGGACAAGCAATGGAACCATAACCCTAATTCGGTATAATCATGGAACTTCGCTGTATTTTATTCGAGTCTTCTTACTGTATAGACTGTCAAAAGGAAGAATCCAATAATACTGATGGTAAAGATTGCAAATGAAATGGAATCTTCGACTTCTAAACAATCCAATGCATACATACATTAACAGAAATATTGAACTAAAATAATTTACTTGAACTATCAAAATGATCGATTAGATACTTCACACGATCCCATTCCGTTGTCGAATTATCCGATGGTAATGTTGCCAATTGAGGAATGAATATACTGAAACGATTTTAAATCTTTATTAAGAGAGGTTATCAAAGAAATGACATACCCAAGAATGATCAAGACAATGAGAAAAACTAGAAATCCAAGTGTCCATAGAATTGCTGATCGTATGCGCTAGACAACAAGCGAATCATATAGAAAAAAAGATGTGAGATTGTTTGCTTTCACTTCTTACTGTTGCTAGTCGTTGTTCTTCCTGTATTTGTTCTTCTTGTTTTTCTTCGTAGTAGAAGAAAAGGAAGGGATTGACGAGAAAAGCCAAGAAGATAACCAAGCCATACAGAACTAGAGAACACACCGGAATGAGTTTATGTCGTAGAAGTCAGGTATTCAATATATTGGAAGTAGTTATAAAATTCTTCTAATCTCTTTTAAACTTCAATAGTCAGGAACAAACACGAGACTCTTCAAACAATTCCGAAGGTAAATAGAAGCATGCTATTGTGTCTTTTCTTTACAATCACGCATGCTTTACATGTAGTAAAGGCAATCTATTATATAAAACGGATTTCAAAGCATACCGTAATAACCAACTTCAACATATTTTTGAATATGATCTCGTGTCGTTTGATTAACAGTCCATTCCTACAAAGAGATTTCTTGTTAATCGTTCAATTCTCAATCGAACCGTTTTTCTTCGTACTTTAAATGTTCCATTGGGATATTTCATAAACGATACGAAGATAACATCCGTTGGCAATAAACTTGCTGCCAGCAATGCGATAATTAATGAAACTGAGCAAATAAAAGTTACAAGATAATCTCGATGTCGTTTCTGTTGATAACGTAATGTAAATAAAACTGAGAAGAATATAATGATCTAAAAAAGAAGAGTATGAAAGGCATTCGAAGCGACAAAATACTTATTGCATACCAAACCAACGATGGCAAATGGTAGCCAGCTACCCAGTGAAGCTAATACCAACATTGGAGTTTGTAAAGAATCTAGAACGATTATGTAAAGTGATAAGCTTAGACAGTTGAATAAATGTATGCTCTCGTAATCGAACATTGTCTTGTGTTTTCGATTACATGATGATAATAATCATACGAAAAGACAAAGCTTTGTCCAGACACAAAGGTGTTGATCGATGTTCGTATGTACTTTTTTCAAGATAGTCAATTGAACAAATGTAAAGACATAAACAAACATGACAACAGTTGGATCAATACGGATTTGAATATTTTTAATCATGTACATCAACTATATAAGAAAGAGGAGGACAACTTATTCCGTTCATTCTTTACTCAAATTACGATGATGAACAATCATCGCGTTCTCTATTTGACTATACTAGTTTTGTCTCAATTTGATTTGACAATATCAGCAACACCTAATTGTCCAGTTGAAGGTAGGAAAGGGAAACGTTCGGAATGTCAATGGAACTTTTCATGAATTTCTATCTTAGCGGACCCAACAACGATTCTTAGTTGCGTAGCAATCGATGCTGTTGGTCTTGTTCAAGCAACAAAAGGAAACATTCGAGCTTTTTGCACCATGGCTGAACGATTCATGGAATGTCTTAAAACTAAAACAAGAGGCTGTATTGGTGAAGACGTAAGAATGGCAAAACTTTCTGCAAACAAATTCATGCTTTCTCTTCTTTATTTAGTTCGTTCGTGGATCTCTTTCAGAATTAATTGAACTTTCGCAAAAATGTTGTGTGAACAGAGGCGAAAGAATGAGTGAAGAGTGTCCATTCGTCTGTAAGTTCTATTTCTCAAAATTTCATTTCGTCTAAATTCTTTCGAACTATTCTAGCTAAACCACAATGCTTCTTCATGAACGACATGGCTCAATCGCCTAATGGTATCCACATACCAATCAAAGATCTTCGAATTGGTGAAAAAGTTCTCGCCATTGATCATAACGATCGGATAGTTCCGACGGAAATCGTTTCGTTTCTACACTATGAAAATAATTCTCAAGGTACATCTGATTTCTCATTTCTTCCTTTAAACTATTTTCATTCATTTCCCATCGTAGCTTTCTTCTACATATTTACATTGGAGACAGGCCATCAAATTTCTGTTACATCAGATCATCTTCTCTACGTTGGTAATCGTACTTATGTTCAAGCACGTTTTGTCGATTCTAAGCAGCATCACCTTTACATCATCGGAAGAAATGATCGTTTGCAAGCATCACGTATTCGTAAAATTGATGTCCAACTCAAACAAGGATACGCCACGCCAATCACTCAACACGGAACGCTGATTGTTAATGACGTGGGCGCATCATGTTACTCATCTATTTATCATCAGAATTTAGGTCACATGGCCATGGCGCCTTTACGTTGGTATCACAATGCCAAACAACTGTTTGGCATGACGAATCCTAGTTCAATAAATACAAATGGTATTCATTGGTATCCGAAAACATTAAACAACATGTTGCACATGTTTCGACCCTTAGCAAATGTCTTTACAAGTACAATGGGAACGATCTAAGAAGCAAGGGAAACTGGAAGATATTCATGTAAATAAATGTTCATTTTAGAATCAGAAACTATGAAAGCGAACAGATGTTTAGTTCTTTAGGAAGCTAATTTAAAAAAAGAAAATGAATACAAAATGATTAATTACTTACCGTATATGACCGTATCGTTCTAACGAAGAAAAGTATTTTTTGTTTTTTTTATATTTATGTCTCATTTTGTATCGTAAACAATCTAGAGCAGCGTTAACTAATCGTAACTATTGTCAATAGATGACGCTAGTAGTTGCCTTCTATTATATCTATAAATAAAAAAGCAAATCCTATGACTAAAGCTCTTTTGTTTTATGCGTACTAAAGAAAATATTTTCGCATTGGCCTCTACTGAATAAAAATCTTTAGTCTATAAAACTCCTTTATTAAATTTAAATGCAAATCGAGGCATTTATATAAGCACGACAAAAAAAACTAATATTAGATTTTGTTAACAGTTCACAATGCGTTCAAAATTCGCAGTTTGACGAATTCAACTACCAAACGAAAGAGAAGAGTCTATTGTCGGGACGATGTGCCTTCTGCATAGTAGTTTTGTGGTGGTGGTTGATAGTTATCTCGGTATTCGGTCGAAGCGCGCGCTGCTCGATCGCGTAAATCCTGAGCTTGAGCATTGCGCTCTTCAACTTCGCGAAAATAATTTTCCGCTTGAAGACGAAGACGTCGTTCACGTAAAATATCTGCTAAGCGTTGTCCTTCGACTTCGTGATGTTTCAATTGCTAAAAATCAAAGAAATGCATGTGACCTAGTTCATCCCTCACCAAACAATTTGTCATACATGAATAGCTAACGAGTTGTATGTTCGCTTCTCTCCGTTTTGTTTATCAGAATGACGACCACCGTAGTTAACAAACGGTGGGCGAATTTCTGAATTTTCGTTTCCATGTGTTAAATCACATAGACCATAAGGTGTTTTAATCGCTAAGATGCAAAGAGAAACGAATAAGTATGAAGAAAGTATAAAAGTTTGTTGCAATACCGTATTTACTCTTTCTCTTGATGAAATTACTCCAATTACAGTTATCTGTCAATAAACGTTCGGATGAAACAGGTTTCGGTCGACTCAAACGGTCTAAGTCAGCAGCTGATGGTGGCCTTCGACTTGCTTGGGATTTCGTTCCTGTTGATGGTCGCTGTTCTTTGTTGACTGGTGGCGTTGACTCATGTCGTTGACATGAAGAAGATGGTCGTCTGAAGAATTCCTGTCGTCGGTGAGCTTCAGTTGAACAGGCGGTACATGGTAGAAATTCACGAGACTCTTGCAGATGCGAAAGTGAGCGATTGTTCTTCTTGCGAAATTGATGTTGCTCGTCAAAGACAAGCCGCGGCCGGCTTTTCGAACGGTCAGACTTTTCCTCAATCGCTGACTGAATTGATTTCGGTGGATATACTGCCATGATCTATGTTCGAAAGCGAATAACAAACGGAATGGAAAAGCAAGGATAAACCGCTTCATTTTTTATTTAATAGGGTTTCTCAGAGCAACCGAGAGGATTATGAAATAAAAAGAAACAGATGGCAGTAGTTGATGTTTCGATGTATGATTTTCACTCGATGATTTCGCAAAGATGAATAATTTTATTATGTCGTGTTCGACATTGCATACAACTACATAATCATTAGCTATTTCAAGAGTAGCGAAAGAATAGTTAACATTTGTCTTTTAATTTTTCCCACGTTTTCGTGCCTAGTGCTTTAGCAAAATGATCATCAACGATGGATTCAGTTTTTTGACGATGGACCGAGGTCAGTTCATCTTGATTCAATAATTGAAATTTTGCCAATGAACGGGCGAAATGTTCTTCGATTGAATCAGCTAAAAGTAAAACGTCATCACTAGTACTTGAATAACTCCTCTCTACCTGAAGTTTGTTCAGTTGCAGAACTGTTTGATGATGAGTCATCTGGAGTAAAACAACGATAGGTTAAATGTTCCTGTTGACCTGCAAAAGATTTGCGAAAATGTTCATCTATGGTTTCACCTAAATTAAACTGAACTAAACGATAGCTCTGTTAGTCAACATTATACCTTCACAGGAACATTTTCGTTGTTGATGTGGAAAATTCCCATAAGCGAATGGATATTGATAGTTCTGCGGTTGGTTGAGTAGAGAACTCGCTGGAAAGTAAGGATACTGTTGGCGTAAGAGCTCGATGTGCGGCGAAGAAGGTGGTGATAACGGAACATGTTTTAGAAGTCGATCATGTCGAGAAAAAGATCTAAACGTAAGTATATGAAGTAGAATGTATGAGAGATCTTCTGAACATACGGATTGTTTGTTTTGCAATCATTTTCATTCTGTTCATCGTTTGTAATGGATGAATCGATCAGATAAGTTCGACGTTTTTTCAGTGGCAGAGTTTTCAATATCTGATTTTGATTGCACATAGAATGATTATTTGTATGTGGTTCGTTCATAGTATGTCTTCTAAAATGAAAGTAATGTAGAAATAAGTCTCATTCCTGACATAGTTCGCTCTTTTTGAAGATGAGAGAGAGAGAGAGAGAGAGAGAGAAATGGACGATTTATTAGTATTGTATTTTTCTTTTCTCTCAATTGAGTGACAAACATAAACTTTATACACTTCACGTACGCTCTTGGAAAGGACGAAATATTAGGTTAAAAGGAAAAGAAGAAGTTTGTTACGAGAAAAAAATCGTATGATCGAGAAATGAAACAAGTGAAGTTGTTTTAATGTGTTATTTCAATTGCACTTGATTTGCTCTCTTTCATCGTTGTTGTTCTTCAAGGCGTTGACATCGCCATTCATCCACTCCGCATGTTTTTGTCATTCTTTCACATGTTGACGAAACTTGTACAGGCAATAATACCGTGTCACAAAATATCAAAGATCAAAATGAATAGTCGCGATCTGCTACCATCAAGCTGTGTGAATTGTGTGTGTTGTCTTGATAATTTTGTTTGTCAACCAGATGATTTTACGCATTCCATTCGAATCAACAAAATCATATCCAATCTGTCAGATCTTTAATCACTCATATGCACTTTACTCGAATTTCAATTTAAAGATGCTCGATGATAAGCATGGCCGAAGTCATACCCGAGCCGAGTAGACTATCAAAATATTAGTTCATTTTATTAGAGAGCAAAATCAGTGTGCAAAACATGTTTTATTATCAGTATTTAAGGAAGAAATGTGTGACCAATTACGTAAAATATACCAGGAGAAGACGAAAACAAACCTTGTTGAGTATGTAATCGGCAAAAATAAGTCATTTAATTAGGCAGCTCTTCGGCATAGACAGGTACGTTTTTCTACCGTGCAAATCATTCGAATGATGTTTATATAACCCGTTGCATACATTATTATATTGATGAAATAATGACAATCTTCAAAACCAGATTTTAATGCATTTCTAATGATCTAGGTACGAGAAAATGGGCACGAATTAGTTAATAGACATGAAAATTGCCTAACAAACCTCATAGAAATCATTCCTTCGTCGTCTTCTCTTCCCTAGGAAATCATCAAGCATTTATATTAGTGAAAATGAGCGACGAGATGTCTTACTAAATATTTCATGATATTCTCGATTTGTGTTGTTGGAATTGGTATTCTTGCTTTTCTTAAACTTTCGCAAAACTGATCATATGTTATAACTGTTTGTTCATCTTTCAGTGGAACGAATACATCTTTCAATGTGACATCATTTTCTGTACAGTATGTGTGAATGGCATGTAGAAGATGATTGGCAAATGGTTCGATTGTTTGTTTAATTGGATCAACATAACATTTGAATTGAGAATGTCGCGGAAACAACTTTTGCATATCTAAGTTTTGTTTTGACGTCAGAGTTAAGCCCTACAGAAAAAATAAACTCATTAACAAGAAAAAGAAGATGCCGCTGGCAAAAAAATAACATACTGTTAAATCGAGTTCTTCTAACGAAATTTCATCAAGTTCGACTAAAGCTTCTAATATAATCATCACACAACGTGTGTCAAGGTGATTTTTTCCTAACTAGAAAACAGCACTTATCATGAGTGACGTCATCGGAAATAATCAAAATATTACTCGAAAGATTTTCAAGACTTGATTTGTCATAGCTGCGGCTAACAAATCATACACCGAGGATTGATTTCCGTCTATTAAAATCGACGGGTTTTCTTTGATTTGTGTTGAATATCCGCAGAAAATTTGATTCCCTGATAGATTCAATTCCTTTAAAACCATATTCCGCATCAATGAATCTGTTAACGGTTCTAATGTTTCATTCGTAAAACGATTGTTCGATAAATCAAGCGTTGTTAATTTATTATTTTCACCGATTGCTTTTGCTAAAGCTTGAGCACCGAGTAAACGAATACTACACCAACTGACGTCAAGACTAAGCAAAACATGATTATCACATAGCCATTTTCCAACGGCAATGCCACCTCGTTCATCCAATTGGTTATGACTTAGATTGAGAGTGCGAAGACATAGATGATCCTAGAGAGACATTTTCGTATGAACGGTTACACTCTTTTTGAAATAACCTACATCTAATTTTGTCAATAGAATGTCAATGTCACCTCCTGTCAAACCATTTCCTAAGTAGAAACGTGATCAATACATATATAAATGTGAGTGATTAGCTGGTACGAACCCGCAATATTCAAATACTTCAACTGAACACAACGAATCGCTCCTGCTGCTAATTTACCAAGACCTTTGCCGCCGAGATTGTTGTATGAAAGATCCTAGAAGGCACATTCATTTTCTAAAGTTTTACATTCTACATTACTTACATAGTTTTCAATATAAGAATTTTCTGTCAGAATTTGGTAGATATACGACATACCAGAATCGCCAATATTATTTCCTGCGAGATTCAGCGTTTGAACTGATGTATTACGCTGAAGAAATTATGACAATGAAAAGACATGAATTTGAGTTAGTTTCATACCAATAGAGCAACAGTTAGTGCAGCGGTTCCTTTTGGACCGAGCCCGTAGTTTGCTAAGTTGATTTTTGTTGTGTTCAAAGAACGAAGAATCATCGAGCACATCGATATGTTGAAATGTTTACATGTTTCTTCGTAAACCAATAAACTAGATTTGTTCTTTGCGAGATTCTCCTCTAGAACTTTCGGTCGAATTTTGCTTTCAAGTTAAGTTCATTGCTTTACCTCGTTCAATTTCATTGTTCAACCCTTCGTCCCATGTCTCAGTTTCAAATTCGACGATGGAAGCAAATGGAAGTTTATCCTCGATTGTGGAATCGATTTTTCGTTCTGTTTTCTTTTCGACTTGGGTAGAATTGTCACTTTTCGATGTGATAAACCGCGGTCGAACTGAATTCGTTCCTGTATACGTTGGTCGGAAGACATGTGAGGTCGCTTGCGCTAAACGCGTGTACGAATTTTCAATCACGTTTGATTTGTGTGATTCGATCAAATATTCGATACTCGGGTCGCGTTTGAGATTGTTCGCAGCGAAATTAACCACTGGAGGATGGGAATACTTCAAGCGAATACGTTTACTATCTCTTCGTAGTTGTGAACTAGTCGATTTATTTGTATCTGGTCGACTAGAATAGTTTCTCGAAGGTAAATCGCTAGCCGCTGTTGTTTTCAAATTCAGTTCCTCTTCTATATCATCTTCATCGCCAAAAATAAGCTCATCGCCCCATTCCGATGTCGGATATTCAGTTATATCACCTAGACCCTATTCAACATTCAAACAAAACAACTAACAGAAAATCCCCTATGCTTGCACATGACTACCTCCGAAGAAATCATTGCATTGAATTTCTTGATTCTATCGATTTCTCCTTGCTTTAATTATATGTATGACATTAACATGGATTGTATGTATTGCAACCATAGAAATGATTATGACTTTCTCCCGTAATAAAAAAAAAAGCAAGATGATGATTGAATGTTTTCGTTTCTATCCATAGAGCTCAAACACGTGTATAAATACTCAATATTGATTTATTATCGATAGTCGTTTCACGAGTTTTTCAAAAGATATTTATTAAGGAAAAAAAAAGCACTTCCGACGAATTGCTCTTCTTAGTCGAGCATCGATTCATTCCTGATTTATCCATTTCGTTGATCACCGTATTGTGAATTGAGATCTGCACTGCCGGTTTTTATTCACTGACTAAATTCATTACTATCAATAGTATTTTCCAACTGATCGACAAGTAGCACTTCTTCCGACGCATTGAGGGCGATTTTATGGATGAAAGAAAATCCGAAAAACGACATTGTTTACTGCTTATACCATACGCGAGTAATGTCTGCACGCTACAATGTTAAAAGACGAATTTCTACGCGAAGAACATTTGACGAACTACTTCTTTCATATTGCTAGTGGAGAAAAAATACATTTTCCTAATGGAAACTCGATTAAAACAATATCTAATCATTAAAGCAAACCAGTGATGTGATTACCGCGATCACATGTTGCGCAGTGTCAAGATCGACCCTAGTTTGAAAAAAAAAAGCAATAATAAGCAGTAACTATTGATGAAAATATAACAAATGAGTATTTTATTCAAAGGACAAATACATATAATTAGAGATAATATGTTATGATTGCTTTCTTTGATAAAGATAAATGTTCTAGTTGATCGACGGAATGAATGCTTCATTAGAATCTGTTGAAAAAAAACCTCGGTGATCAACAAAAACAACGAGCCGATCTTCAAGGCCAAAGGGTTATTGGAAAGGATCATTATTATATATTGAAGTAGTTTAATAAAGATATATATTTGTATATTTTTCTTCCGACAGTCAAGGAACAAATAATTCTCTGCCTGATTATTATTCATCTCACTTTCAGAAGAAGAAAAAAAGAGAATGAGAAGATCTATAACTAACAGTCTAATCTAATTAACAAATGATAGAATATGGTTAAAATATATTGAAGAATCTATAGCTAAGTATCTTTTTTTTCCTTTGAAGACGAAACGAGAGAAAAAGAGAGCGTCAATGTAGCAAATCGACCGCTAATCATCAACGAAAACATGTCTAAGGAAAGAATTAGGGAAGGAAAAGAATCCGACGAGAGAAAAATTAGCGAATCTCTCTTTTTCCTTAGCCTATTGTGAATATTTAGATAGTTGCTTGTCAATCAACATAACGACAGCAATCTTGTCTACTCAAACTGACCGTGAAATAATATCTATATATATAGATAGATGAGATATATGTAAAGAAGGAAACTCTATTGCGAGCAGGTGACGACAGCATTCCACAAACAGAGAGGCTCTGTGTATGTTGACAAGTCTTTAGAGAGAGATTAAAATTACGACGACAAGAAATCAGATGTTTAGCTCGCCTGCCTCCATCTGAAATGCTCGATACATCAATGCTCGATGCGGAAACTGGCGGTGCATCGAGTGGATTCAATTACTCATCTCAATATGCATCTCGACGAGCTTCAGTTAATTACCGGACACAATTTGGATCAATGAGTGCCGATGAATACCTCACACCGATGTTACAAGTAAATCAACGTACCGACACCAATGTTGCACGACGACTATCGCGAAATTCATTTCTCATTCCTCCTCAAACATTTGTACGTCGAGTAACAACAGACGGTATGTTGATTAACAATAGATCTTCTGTTTATTTATCTTCTTCGAAGCTCTCTTCCATCTAGGTTAAGTTAATTAGATGAAAACCGATTTCTTCCATTCTTATCATAATAAATAATTAACTCAGTTTTTTGTTCGCACTATTGATCTTTGTTTGATTCATGTCAAAGCTCTGTCGAACATCATTCTTCAACAATGATTTATCTTCGACATTGATAACACATAGACGATATTCCTCTGACCTTGTCAGATTCAATAATGTTTTCATGGGCTATCGAATGTAGCATTCTATAGAGCTAATGATAACAAGTAGGGATGATCATAGATATTCACTTTCATGTCTACCTTAATTCTCACTCTGATCGAAAGGCAAGTACGGAATAATTAGCGCATAGCGAGAAAAAAAGCAATCCATATTCACGAGCGACATTTAGTTCGTTAATGTTGAGCGTGGCATAAGAAGAAAGGCGGAAGAAGATATTTGCAGATGAGATAACAAGAATGTGCACGTTTATCTAATTAGAATGGTAAGAGAGAATGTTTCACACTTAGTTTTTATTGACATTCGAATGATAAAAGAGTCGAGTAAGAAGAACAAGAAGGAAACATTAGGACATTCTTTGTTGTGTAGAAAGACGAGATTAGTGAAAGATGTTGCATCATAATGAACGAGAAATTCGACATGTCACTAATCGGAATCAACATCGATCATCAGTAAGAATGAATATGCATCCGCAGACTGCTTCTATCGGCTATGATTATCAGGCAAATATAAACGGTAAAATTTTCAAGAAGCTCTTCTCTTTCCTTGTTTTGATTTTCTTCGAAGAACGAGTACATTCGTCCAGTGTATCTTCTTGATTTAGATCTCAAAGACAAACGTGAACAATCTGGTTATTGCTTTGGTGTTCTGATTGTCCTTAGTTATTTACTTGTCATTATTACATTTCCATTATCGTTGTGTTTCTGTCTTAAAGTATGTTTCATTGTTTTTGTACATAACCCCATCTCGATTTTGGAAATACATCTTTAGGTTGTACAAGAATACGAACGAGCTGTTATTTTCCGTCTTGGCCGTATCTTAGACAACGGTGCACGCGGTAAGTATGTCGTTTGCATGAAATCCTCTTCGAATAGAACATCGCAGAGATTGTTTCTGTCATGTCTTACCAAGATGAAAAATCGTTTCTACGATGTCACGAAGTCAATTATTTCCGTTGGTAACAATAATCAATCATTGCATCATTGTCGTTCGATAAAATTCCTCGACGTATGAAGGACAATTCTGTCTTTGACAACGATAATATTTCACATTTTTTCTGATAATGATTTTTATCCGAAACGAAACTATGCTTTCATCGTTTCTTGTGTTTCACAGGACCTGGCCTATTCTTTCTTTTACCATGCATCGATACTTACAGTAAAGTTGATCTTCGAACAGTAACATTCGATGTACCACCACAAGAAATTCTTACGAAAGATAGTGTGACAGTGGCAGTCGATGCTGTCGTTTACTTTCGAATCTTCAATTCAGTTATATCAATAACAAATGTGGAAGATGCAGCTAAGTCAACAAAGCTCCTAGCAGCAACAACATTACGAAATGTAAAATACCGACGGCTTTCTAATCTTTCTGTCATGAATGATTATTTTATCTGTATAGGTTTTGGGCACGAAAACTCTCCATGAGATTCTTGCTGAACGAGATAAAATCGATACTGTCATTCAAGTACGAACTACTTTGTGCGAAAATTGTCGACAGATTTTTGTTTGAATTCCAGACGAGTCTCGATGAAGCAACAGATCCTTGGGGTGTGAAAGTTGAACGTGTGGAAGTGAAAGATGTTCGTCTGCCAATTGCTCTACAAAAGGCGATGGCAGCTGAAGCTGAAGCTTCTCGAGATGCACGTGCCAAAATAATTGCTGCCGAAGGTGAAATGAAAGCAAGTCGCGGTTTGAAAGAAGCCGCAGACATTATCAATGAATCACCTATAGCTATGCAATTGAGATATTTGCAAACGTTAACGCAAATCGCTGCCGAACGAAATTCAACGATCGTTTTTCCGATACCCGTCGAACTTTTACAAGCTGTTTCACAGATACATCGATGAAAACTTAGCAACAGTATATTCTCTTCTTCTTTTCTTCAATCTCAATTGTTTTGCTATGTCTGTTCATCCATGTTTGTCTTTTTGAAGTGTTTTCATTTTGTAAGAATTGTATTTCAATCATGTCGATAATAATTGATTTACCAGTATCCAATAAATCATAGGATATAGATGTGTATCAGTTGACAGACGGACGTGTAGAAATTCATGTAAGATAATTATTTCGAAAGATCATCTCGAATATCCGATGACCTTTTGTCAGATAGCGAATCATGTGAATAGCAAAATGATAGACAGTTGATACGACAGAATACGTGTAGTCTAATTAGGTCTTAAGTAGAAAGGACGATTGGAAGAATTGTTTTATCGATAATACAGAGGCGCTATTAAGAAACAATATGTCGCGATGATGAGATACAAACAATCATTAACATTGAAGAATAGAGTTCCGAAAGTTTATCCTTCGTTGTTTATGAAGTAACCAGTCAGATAATTGAACCAAACTGTACAACGATCAATTTTCGATGTTAATTACGTAATCAATTCGCCTGTACACTAGATAAATAATCACTCAAGAGAATTTCTTCGTATGTGTCATATTATTGTTGATTTCAGTTCGACATTTTGATAACCGTTTGTTTTCGGTAATATCTATGAATTAATATTGATTGATGAGAGAGGTGATAAGTGATACTATCGCGGCGTCTGTCGTGTAATTTAACCTTGAAAACATGATTGAATTTGCTGTTTTCTTTTCGTTGATATGCATAACTTTGAAAAACTGTATTTTTGTTTATTTAGAAGGATGATGAGATCTTTAGAAGACAAACTAGGAAGAAGGAACGAAAAAGGACAAGTTGAAACGAACCATATTGAGCGCAAAAACTGAGTAAACTGTGTGGATGTTATAGAAAAACGCGTGCCGGAAGTTTTTCTCCGTTAACAAACTTATTCGTCATACACCCAAAAGAAAAGGAGGAAATATCGTCTTGCTTTTAGGTTTTTCTTTATATGTATGTATAGGATGAACAATAGGTATTGGAACAAAAAGAACGAGAAATAAACAATAAATTGAAATGAATACATAGGTGAGAAGAAGATAGAGAAAGGGAACAAAAAGGAGAGAAAATACCTATATAAGTTGATGTTGACATTCGAGTGAAGTAAATGTACATTGATCTCGTTTAGGTTTTTTTTTTGTCACTCAGCTCAAATTTAGGGAATGCTTTTTCTTGTAAACACTGTTTTATAAACATATATGCAAACGACGAAAAAAGAAAGAAGAAAAAAACCATGCCTGCTAGACTAAATCGATGTGTATCACAGTCAGACACTTTTGTTGTGCTCGTTATGATCCAGTTCTTGTATAGGTATTCGTTTCTATAGACAATACGAGAAGAAAAAGAGGAAAAAAAACATCCGAAAGTGTTCGATGCTAATACACAGCCATGCACATTGCCAAATCATTCATCGAGTTCGCCTGGACTACTTTCATCACCATTGGACGCGTCCTCGTCATCCATATCTTCGTATTCATCAGACATATCATCAGATTCATCTGGATTGTAATCAGCAACATTTTGTAAAATTTGTGGATGACCAATTGTTGCTGATAAGAAACGATCGAGATCATTTGCATGCGAACGCAAATCAAAACCAACAGCACCAGGTTCAAGTGTAGATGAATTTTCTTCGTTATTATTTCCATAACCGAATTGATCCGAATAAAGAAGACCATCACCAGTATTGTTGAATAGCGGTTCACCAGTTATCCTGAAAAGTAAAAAATGATTCGAAAGTGTTTGTTTTTCATGCCGTCATCATCCGAAATAGACAAACCATGGATGGAGTAAACATTCGGTAGCAGTAGCACGTTGAGTAACATCATAGTTTAGCATTGGTTCGAGAAAATGTGAGAATTCGATAGCTTCGTATGCTGGCCATTTGTATTTTTCAGTTAACACATGATATAAATCCCACGGTTTTAATTGTTTTATATTACGCAATTGTCCTAGTAAAAACAAAACGGATTTGAGAAGAAATCAATGAGTTGTTTGTTTTCTCGTATACCTCGCTTATTGAAAAACTCTCTGGAATATCGTCCTGAATGTGCGATTTCAATGGGTATAGGTCCGATTAATTCGATAATGTGGGCAATGTGATCTTCATCGCGACTGTAATCTTCTCCACTGTGTGGTTCGAATAGATAGTCACCAGTAGCTAATTCAAATGCCATACAAGCCACACTCCAAATATCAGCTGATGCATCGTAACCTGAACCGAGGATAACTTCGAGTGAACGGTATTGTCGTGTTTGAATGTCATCTGTAAAGTGTTGATACTGAAAAGAGATGAGCCATGTGTTGACTGAAAAGTTTCATATGAAAAAAAAAACCGTACTGTCCAACAAGCATTGCCGAGATCAGCGATTTTAACTTGAAGGACTTCCTCAGGAACAATTTCGAAAACAGGATTCGGTGTTCGTTCAGCCATTGGTCGAGCTAGAACAAGATTTCAAGAATAAAAAGACGGTATTACATATTTACTTACGCCTGTTGATAGGATCTGGTTCATTTGGATCGGTCGGTTTATCTATATCAGTAGGGGTTGCTGCTGCTGCCACCGGTTTCGTGTCGGTAGCAGAAGGCACAGTATCCGCAGTCGTTCCAGGAGTAGCTGCTGCCGACACTTGTTCGTTATCATTGTCATCATCATTGCCACTCTCATCTGAAGAATTCTTCTTATTATGTCCATTAGTGTTTGTATCATTAGTAATTGATATTTGATTGATGGAGTTAACAAGAGATTGTTGTTTTTGTTTTTCTGCGTCCTTAAAATACCCGACAAAGAAAACAAATCTTGGTATGAATACGAGAAAGGAAAGTGAAGTCAAGGTTTTACTTGAATTTGTTGCTGAGTGATTTCGAGCGTTTTCTGTTTTTGTTTTTCTTTCTTCTTCATTTTCTTCTTTTTATTCTTCGACATCGTTTTTAAATCGGGTTTGTTGACAATATGCGTTGTTGCGACTATAAAAAAAATTGCTAAATCGTACACCGCAAATAGTAACTTTATGCGTACTAACCGGCCGATCCGAGGGGTTTGACTCCGAGCTTATGCCATTCGGCTGCTTGAACAGCTAAAGCGCGTACATGTTCTTCATCCACACACATAAGAACGTTTTCCGGTTTGATCTATCAACAGACGAAACTTTCTTTTCAACTTAAAGACGAAACTTCTTTACATACATCTGTATGAATAATCTGACACTTTCGATGAAGATAATCAACACCTTGTAGAACTTGTTTTATTATCAATTTCACGTTCGGAATCGGTATTCCGCGGTAATTTGAACGTATGATCAATTTTAATAAATTATGTCCGAGCACTTCGAAAACCATACAAACATGTGTACCATTGACACCAGCCACTTTGAAATCATCTAACAATTGTACACATTTAAGTCGATTGGGATCGGACGGATCACTCTCACGAACATTTGTCAAGAGTTTTATCTCATCTAAAGCAGTTTCGGTGTAATGTTTCGCACTTTTAACAACTTTCATCGCCACAAAGCGTGTCATTTTACGATCCCAACATAACCATACAGTTGAGAAATGACCTAACAAGAAAGAAGAGATTAAATCTCGGCTACATTCCAGATTGATCACTTGCCCCATCCTAATTTCCGTATAACATGATAGCGTTGATTAAAAGTTGAACCAATCGTAACAGGATGATAACCGCCTTTGCAATAATCTTTCGGGTCTTCTTGTTCATCGTCATCTGAACCCCGAATGTCATGCTCTTCTGCTGCTCCTTCTACTTCTTCCTCTTCATTATCACTTCCACCACCGCCGCCATTGATTGGCGCCGTATATAAATCATTTTCATTCGCATGCAAAATCCTTGACAAATACAAAGTAAATCGATCGTGAAATTCATTTTCTGCTAAACAGAAAAATAAACTACCTATGTTGAGGCGGTGCACTACTTGACAAGCCACCACTACTAGAAACAGTAAACGACGAGTCGGATTGCGGAATCGATACATGTTCAGCTGTCGATGGCGAAGGAGCAGCCGCATTCGCATTCAATGTATTTCTAAATTCAAAACATGAACTCGATTTATGATTCTTCCTCGTTAGTACAATAAACTAAATGAAGTACTTACATCTTTTTCTGAATGAGATCACGTGGTGGACGAGGTTTGCCTGCATTTTTTGTTCGACGTTTTTTCGCCTGGATAGTTCGTGCAAGCGCTAGAATAACAAAGAAACTGTCGATCGAGACTCGTTTTTATACAAGAAAATCTTACATGGAGCAGCATTGGAACTTGACGCTGCTTTTGGCATATTGAGACAATCTTAATTTGTATGTAAAAAGAAAAGAAAGATAATAAATATTGATTTGATAGTCTAGAGAATATCTCTTCTCGACAGCATTTGAATAAGAAAAACAAACGCAAACAGTATGAGCAATAGTCTAAAATAAACTATCCATAAGAAAAATATCTTCTCCACACAAGAAATGAGTTGTGCACCACAGGACTTAACACCTGTGACGATCAAAAATAGACAAACATGAGCAAATTATAGTTTCTCTGGTCGCATCAATAGTTAATAATTTAACTGTTTTTTCTTTCTTACGATCGAACATAAGTATAGACGTTTAGATTCTATTTGACATATTAATGCATTTCTTTTCTTGTTTGTGATTTGACATTTGAAATAAAACGAATAGAGGATGATGAAGAACAACTTTCGACCAATCAAAAAAATAATTGCTTGCGAATGAGTCATTACCAATCTTACCATTCATTATTATTCTTATTTACAAATTTATTTAAGGAAAGAAAGAAAAAATAGTCTCTGTCTTTCCTTCGTTCTTCTTTATCTCTCTGACGACTGAACACGCGATCGAATTCTTTGTACGAAAGTTCGTTCTTATGATCTATTTTAACTGAAGAAAGAGTACAAAGATTAAAACTTTCCGGAGACACTCTTTTGTCGTAGTTGCTCAAGATAATTACGATTGTCCTGTGTTTCAGCATGATCATTTCCAAAAATCATTTGAGCGACATTGGTAGCCTTTTCCGCATAGAAGATAGCTTTCTCATAATTTCCCAGAGCTTCGTGTGTTGTGGCAATATTGAAATAAATTGAAATCAACGTCGGATGATTCGTCGGAAGAATTTTTTCTTCGAGTACAACGACATTTTCATAATTACTCAATGCTTTCTTATAATCCTTCATGGAATACGCTAAGCTAGCCAGATGATGATATGCATCGGCTACGATCAACTGTTCGATGGGAAAATCGCGGAGTAAAGTATTGATTGACTGTTCATATTTTTTTTCTGCTTCAGAATATTTGCCTTGAGACTGAAGAACAGTTGCGATATTAATCGATTGAAGTACATAATTAATGTCATCATTATTGCAACATTTTATCGCTTGTTGATAATAATTCATTGCTGCAGAAAAATCACCTTGTCGTTGAAGTGCAGCAGCAAGATTCGCATAGGTCGTTGCAAATCCAACATGATTGACCGGAAGAAATTTTTGACAAGTTTCAAGTGCTTGTTTGTAGTAACTGATTGCCGATGGAAGATCGTTTCGTAGATCTTGAATATAACCAAGTTCGTGTTGAAGATAAGCGCGTTCTTCCCGTCGACTATCGTCGGTTTGGGAGAGAAGATATTCGTAGAGGCTCTTCAGTTGATCGTATTCGTAAGCTTCGAGCAGAATTTTACCAAGTTTGTACCAACCGGAAGCGTTTGCTGTCGCTTGTTGAATGTAGTCAACAACTTGACGAATTTGTTCGTCTTTTTTCATCACCGGAATCAAAGTCATTTCGTACAAACGTTCGTTGAGTTTCAGAATTTGATTGATACGAAAAATCGTATTCATAGAGAAGAGAATTTCACCTTCAGTATTCGATAAATAACTGAGATTGTTCAACGAAATATACGGTACTGATGATGATACAGGATCAATATCAATTTTGAAGATAACAGCAACATAGTTGCTATCAGAACGCAACGAATTGGCGAACTTTAATGCCATACTTCGTTCCAATGTTGTCAGTAGAAAATCATTGAATGCTAAAAGTCCATTGGCATTTTTTTCGATATTTGTAAGCATGTCATTTGTTATTCGGGTTGATCGATAGACTGACATAGCACGGTGCTGATGACTATGCATCTGTAAATAAGATTTTTTGATATCTCGATGGAGATCTCGAATGAAGAAAGCAAGTTTATAAAGGATTTCTGCGTCTTGCGTAGCAAATGCTCGTCGCAACATGAAATATATACAACATCGTCTTGTATACCACCAAATAGGTGAATGTAAACTATAATTATCTTCAAACGTGTCAATAATATTCAATTGGTAACTATTTTCACTATAGAATTGCCGAGAATAGTTCATAAATTCTCGTCGAAACGATTTATCATATTGATTTTCAATCAGCATACTTTTCAGCACTTGAAAAATAATAAATTCCTTGTTCGAAGGATTCATTTGCATAGTTGCCGAAACCGGAAGTATACTAATCGATGTTATACTTTTATCATACTGACGAATTTGAAATTTAACGGTCTCACAAAGTTCACGAACTTGAGTATGAAGACTGCGAATCTTCTTGTATTGTTTTGTCCATTGTTCATGATTGGCTTTGTTACCGCAATAGATAAATATGGAAGAAACTTGATTGAGATTTTCGATTTGTGGAGCAATCTTTGGTCCGAGTGAACCTGAGACAATGAGGAAGATTTTTTCATCTTGAACTGAACTAATAAATTGACAACACTGTTCAACATCTGCGAATTTTTTGAATATATCAGTCACACGAACAAGTTGTTCTAAAGCATTTTTCGTCGAGTCATCTGGTTTGGCTAATGACGAGTCTAACCAAATTAATATGATATCCTCAACGAAGCGCAACGAACTGCCAGTTTTGATGCTGTTTACTCGATCCGATTGTCTGCTCGAGCTGACTGGAAGGTTTTTATTGTGACCAATCAAAGGTTTTGCTACAGATTTCGCCTGGTTAAACGAAATGTTCGACGAGCCCTTCCCATTGCCTGCTCCCATCTTGAGACTGACTTGCTAAAACTGAGTATTAAAGAAACAACGAGCGCCTATCACACCGTCATGCTTCAGTGAAAAATTGTTTGTTTTTCAATGCGAGTTATGTCATTCATTTTATTTCTACTTTAATCGAGCGAGAGATAAAAATTTGATTTGCTCTTCTTGATATTGAAGAAAATTTGTCAAAGTGACATAGAAAAATGTATTTATGAGACTCCTACTGTTAAAACGATATGAATAGAATTAGGTCGAACACATTACAATCATCGATGTTCTTTCCTTCGAACTGCGATTCCAGTAATTCACAATTGCACCTATGAGTAACTACAAAGCGTGTTTTTCTACGATACTAAAGATATAGAAGAGGTGATTTATGTCTCTCATAATTAAAGTGTCAAAAAAAAAGGTAATATGCAACGCATTGAGAAAAAAACAAGACTGATTGGACGTCTCCTCTGAAGTAGACGTAAACAAGAAAATCTTGCGTAGTTAATCATGAAGAGAGGGTACCCTACGCATATGCAAATCGAATTTTTGTTCGGGTGAGAAACTGTGTGCTTCTAAATAATCATCAACCGACCACTCGAAAGGGAAAAACATCGTTTTGATTTGTTTACTTCTGGCAAGCTACGCAGACTCGCTCTAATGAACAAACTCATTAGAGATCATTCGAGCTCATAGAAGTTTATTTGTTTTTCATTTATGATCAACGAATAAGTAATAAAAATTAACTGTACAATAGAAAATCATCGCTAATATCTTGGTTTTTTATTTGACGAGGTAAGAAGAAACGACTTTCGTCAATAAGAAGAATAATATGAAGTTCAACTTTTCCCATTTTGCTATACAATTTCTCCGTTATTACCACCCACTAGCAGCGCGCGAATGATGCTCGTGATCGACTGATCCAAGATGATCATCAATTATGTATTTTCCCGTATGATTTCCATAGACATCATTGAGATTTGTTGGACCTGTCGATGATTGTGCAGCTGGCGTTGGTATTTGTGCATACGAAAACGATTGTCCCGAAGTTGTGGCATATATATACGAGGATGGTTCAATGGTTGGTGTTGTTGTGTATGTCAATTCGTAATAGGAGGGTGTGCCTGTCGCTTGATTAGGAGCTGTATGCATGCCTCCAGTCAATGCTGTTGTTGATGTTGCGGTGTTTTGATTCGATATGATTGTACTGAGTGTTTGCGGAGTTGTCGCCGTTGCCAACAATGCTGCTGTTGATGGCTGTTGATAATAGATAGGTTGAATACTGCAAAGAGAACAATGAAAAACAAAACAATCTCCCAGATGTAACATATGCCGAACAGAAGAAGAAGACGATTTATTTATCTGAACATGTCATCATTGTATACATGAACGAAAAAAGAAGAGCTTTCATCAAGTTTATTTTATTGCTCAAGGGAGTTCACTATTCAGTTGCTTGAAATTTCAGATTGATTCGTTTTCTCTGCGGGGTGTATACTCTTCAGTATATGTATGTAAAGCAAAAAAGAGCTGAAAAAGGAAGGAAAGAAAGAAATTTATTCACCCATAAGTTGTTGGTAATGCTGTTGAATATGCTCCAGCAAGATGAAGTGGAAATAAGCCTAGAAAAGAATGGAGTCAATTGATTTCTTCTGTCAATGAGATCGATTCACTAGAAGAAGAAGACATACATGTCCAGAATGTTATCATTGAAGATATTGACGAAAAGAATCAAATTTCGTTCGAAGATAGTTCTAATCGTATATTTCACAACTATCGAATGGCCAACGAAAGCATTGAGGGCACACGAAAGCGAGCATAGAGTAAGAAACATCAACACAACAAGAACAATAACAATAACAATAATAAGATCAGTTTCAACACACTGGAAAGACATTCCATGCCACAATGATTTGAATATGATTGTTATTGTTTAGTTTTTTTTTACGTATTAGATTAAGTAGAAACAACAAATCAAGTAATCGACACAAACTGCACAGTGTCATCCAGAGCATCAACTTACTGTCAATTTTCTTTTCTCCTTATGCTGCTTCGATTACAACTAATGAGGAGAGAGAGACAGACACAGAGATAGGATTGAGTCGACAATTTATTCATGTTATAGTCGAGAGATTTTTCATTTGAAAATTCCAATCAAACAAAAATATCTCTTGAATTACTTACCAGTAGGTGTTGGTATGACACGAGGCTTCGCTCCGAGATAGGCTAAATTCACATTCGCTTTGCGACCATCAATGACGGGGTTGGCTTCTCTTGTTGCTAGATTTGCCGCTTCTTGAGTGCCCATCGTTACCTAAATGTCAAAACGGCGATTGTTTTTCGAGTTCGTCAAATAATCCTGATGAGTATGGTTCATATGTGATAAAATAGATCACACTACTATTAACATGTGTTCTTTCGCTTATCTACGACCATCCAGATGTTCAATCAGCTGAGAAAATCTTCTTCAAAATTCATATTTTTCTCTACCACGAGTCGTCGCTCATGTGCTTTGATTTCTCTTCTTCAGATAAACAACATCACACATATTGCTTCTCATCCTTCTGACGGAACAAGTCTGGCAGAGAGAAAACGATAACATCTTGTTTGTTCATCTAATAAGTGAACAAATCTTAATTAATTTTTCTAAGACATATTCATTATAAACTTGAAAGAATATTTTCGACTATCTCTCTCTTTTGACTTCTGTTCTGATTGATAGGCAGACAAATGATAAGACAAAAACTAATGATTATTTCTCTCAAGACGAAAAGACGTTCGCTCCATTTGTATACACACATGCCGACCGTGATAGTTTACGCGTGTTTATAATCAATCATCCTTTTTCTCTCTTCTCTACTCACAAATCCATAACCACGTGATTTGCCAGTTTGTCGATCGGTGATCACCTATAAAATAGTCCTAAATTTTTGAATAATCAATCAATCATGTTACACTTACCACGGCTTCTTCAATCTCGCCGAAACGTTCGAAAAATTTTCGTAAGGTTTCATCTGTTGTATGATAGGGCAGACCACCGACGAAAATTTCTAGTCAAACGACGAACACTTTGTCGAGAAGAAACGTATCCAATGAGTCTTACTTGTAAATGTTGTGTCCTTATGTAATAGTGACATGATCCTTTCAAGTAAAATAGGAAAAAAAGGGAAATGGTAAGTAAGACACAACGATATCGTGCTCTAGAAGAGAAAAAGAAATTTCTACAGAATGAAGTAAAAAATAACGGATATCGACTAATTCATCACTAGAGAATATGTGAGACGAGGAAGGGAAAATGTGCTTGATTTAGCGGAAGGAACCAATCGTTCGGAGAAAAAAAAACGAAGAGATATTGTACAGTTATCTCTCGTTTTCCTTTTGCGTTTCTGTTCGTTCATGGATTAAATAGAAGGATAACAAATGTTTGCAAGAAGATTTTTCTGCGAATCAGAACATCCTTCTTCTCTCTCTCTCTCTTCGATAGAAAAATAGCAGGAGAATGAAAGAAGAAAATCGATGATATGGAAGAAAGAAAAACGACCTTTTTGCCAATCGATGCCCTGTAACTGTTTGTTCTTTTTATTTGTACACATGGAGTAGGCGAGCATTGATAAATGAAAGTTACAGATATCGAATGAGAAAAGAAATTAAAATCGAATTCCACTGTCGAACAGATGTTTTTACAACTAATATTCTGATAATTAACTCATTCAATCATAATTAGACTGTTATTCTTTTAGTATAATGCGTATGGCATTTGCTCCGTATATCAACCACTCTTCTATCGTGATTTGTTACTGTGAATGGATAGATTAATCGAAAATTTATTTTAAAATAAGACTGTCAGCGGTCGGTTTAGTCTTTCAGAATATGCATTTCGTATGTTGATGAGTTCTACGAAAATCTGGTATATTGATTGATTGATTATTGATTTGTTGAACACTAGATACTCAAGTAAGGTTTCGATTTCATATGAAGTTTGATCATGAACTTACGGGAAAACGTCCTGGTCGACTTGAGACATAAAAATGATTTTCATTGTCAGGTGTTGGATAGTCAATTTTGAATCGATCGGTATATCCGTCAAGGAATCGAGACCATTTTTCACTTGTTCGCCTGCAATGAACATCAGATCTTGCAAGAAAACCATAAAAACCTAGACCATATTACGTTGTATGATGTGGAACAGTTAATGGACGAATTCGATTGTACGAATCCTAAATGATCACCCTCTTTATTGTTATTATTTTCAAGATGACCGATTAATAACTTACAGTTAGATTTATTTCGACACGTGGACGATAATGTGGTCTATATGTATCATATTGTTTTGAAGTAATTTGATTTTGATCAAGCTCAATATTTATAAACGGTGAATGAACATAGTTATGATAGTATGTTGTATGATTTAAATAAGCTTTTTCCCAATTACGTGAAAAAATCGGATTGTATCCATTTACTGTATGTTTACAAGCTGATTGGGAACGAACTGGACGACTAGAATTAACATTTGTATAGGATATAGACATCCCTTGAAAACAAAAATCAGAAATACTAACCGTGCGATGTATGTCGGAAGGCATGGTAATGGAATGATGCGTTCGGATTGATTCATTGTTAGCCGTTTTTTAGATCAATATGCAAAGAAAAATGTCTTCACTTCACGTTCTCCTTTTTCTGCTTTTGTCAACTCAACTGATGTAAATAAGAATTCTTTTTTGTGTGCCCTTCAACTCTTTCAAATAGCAACAATATGTTTTTGTTTTTTTCATATGGTTTCTTAAAAAAATTGAATACTATTCATTGAACAGAACAGAAAAAAAAACGAAAGAAAGTAAATCACGATGTTAAGATTATCAATTGTTCGAAATAGTTGGCTAAAGTCAAGAGCTCCTAAACGAAAGAAATCCTTTGTTTTTCAATCATAACTCTCAATTTGATCACTTGTGTATTGAGTTCTGTATTAACCATTGCCGCATAGATATTTATTCATACTTCTCGGTTTCATTGAATTTGATGATATCAAGAAATGTTTATGAAAGAAGACGAAAGTATGAAGCGTAAAAGGAAAGGTTCAAGCTTGCAAAATTAAACTGTTCAGATCAAAAGATCTTTGTAAATGTTACTTTTACTTTCGTACGTCAACGATTGAACTACATACGAACACTTACAATCAACCGATCAAAATCTTCTCAATCGTTTCACTAAAAAGGGAATGAGATCGTTTTTATTTTATGTTGAATCAAATAAAACGTAAGATAGATTCTTTTGTAAAATCCTATTGTCAAATGTCAGAAAATAGTTGATGTTAGATCATGCCGACTGAAAGATTATTGTTAGTGTTCATTCTAATAAAAGAAAATGGAAATAAGAATTTTCAATAATTAGAATAAATATCCTTTATAAATGTCTCACAAAAACCATTTCTACCAAGAATTGTATTTGATTAAGTGTAGAAATATCAGCAAGATCAAATTCATGTGCTTGGAAATGATCGCCGTCGAGCTTTTTTCTATAGACAAAGAATGAAGAATCTTACCGCTGAATGTAAATTTCAATCTCTTTACCCGTTTTCTCTTCACATCTTATGTTCAATACAATGTCCAATTGTTCTAATGTATCGTATTTCACGCAGTCAAATTCAACTGTATCTTTGAAATTTTTCTTATCATATGGTATACCGTCTACACCTTCATCAAGAAGATATACTTCTATAAGGTGATATATGTTTTGTATTGGATTGATTTGAATTGTAGTCGGATAACATGTTCATATTGACCGTGCATTTATAAAAATAATTCGCAGTAGTCATATCATTCATGGTCATGTTACATTTTCTAGCCGCGATGCAGGATGATTGACCCTCCACATTGAATCGAATTCGAGATAGTAAGCAAGAGTCATCGACATAGGTCTTTTGTCTGAGTTACTTCACTAAGATATAAACTTGCATTTCGTCAAAAATCCACACAAATGGAAGCAAGTGAATCGAAAAGAACTGGACGATTGTCCATAGATATAAATTGCCGTGAGTTGTCCAAAGCCTTACATAAAATGGATCGGCTCCAATACACTATAAACAAAACTCATCAGAAAATGGGCAGCAGGCGGCGAAATTTCGATGACATTGGCATAATCATAAGCGAAGAGTAATGCCTTCTGAAAATGTTTTGACTGTGACTTGAAGAAGAACGTTGTCAAACAAAGCGTTTGTCCACGAAAATGTCGGACATATCGGTAAAAGAAGTTATCAACGAACTGTTCTAGGTTTTATCGTTCGTCTTGTGTTTCTTCTTTAGGTTTTTATTTTTTTTAATACAGTACAAAAAAATTTAAATGTTATATATTGAACGCAACAAGAAAAGAAAAAGAGAAAAGAAAACAGAAAAAAGTTTGAACTGTACCAACAGTCTGACACAATATAAGGTTAAAACAGACAACACATAGACAGAAAAAAAAGCCCGATAATCTCTCGTGCCATCAATAGGATATTAACCGCATAAAGGCGAACAGTTGGTTTCTTCATCATACAACAAAAAATATATGTTTTACACATCGATGTTCAACAAAAATAATCTATGGAGTTGCTTAGTTTTATACATAATAAAGATTTATATACAAGAAGTGTTAGAGACGAAATTAAGATGCACCTGTTGCTCCATAGTTCATCAATTCGGTAAAAGCGCGTTCGAATGCTTGGTGCAATTCCGAATAACTAACAATAATAACGTTCTGTTCGTCGCGTGATGTCAGACAAATTTTATCATGTGAACCAGCATCGAACTAGATAGTAAAAAAGCAAATGTAACCAAATATTCTCGAATGATATTCCCATGGTTTACTTTATTCAAACATTGAACAATATGTGCCATATCGAGAATCGGTTCACCTTCGAAACCAATGGCATGAAATACGAAATCACGAAATAATTTCAGAATATAACGATCACCTGTTTCTGACCAAGCTTGATTCATTGAATATCTAATAGAGACATATACACATAGATGTAAATTCCTTAAAACAATAATACGTACTCAGGTCGTTCGAGAACAGTATTGAGTTTACAAATCAATCGAAATAGACGGCCAGAATCAAGCTCCTGCGGCAGAAAACATTTACAATTCTTGTTTCTCAAGTTGCATTGTTTACTTTTGCTAATTCGTTTTCCAAGATGTCACCTCGCACATGTAAACTATCAATATGTGCATAAAATCTTGCACCTATCATTGGCATACATTCATTAATACTTCTTGGTTTCATGGTGTTCGAAGGTACCAAGAAATGTCTGTAAGAAAAGATAAATTTTAATAATAAAAAAGACAAGTACAGAGTTTTCGACTTACAAAATTAGATTCTTCAGATCAGGTGTATAACTTCGTTGAACGATCTCCAATGATGTTTGTAGATGTTCTTTTTGTGCGCCGACGATCGAATTACATGCTAACATTAAAATCAATCGACCAAAATCTTGCAGATCATTTTGCTACAAGAACGAAACTCAAATAAATTGCAAAAGGGAGTAGTACGCTCGATTTTACCATATGTTGATGAATTGCTCCTTGAATAGTTCCTTCGAGAATGTCAGAAATACCCACACCACTTAACCATATTCTACAATGAAATAAAAAAAAAAGAAACTAGTTTGCCTGACAAACTAAAGATAAACATTAATTATTCACCTCGATTTTGCACGGCCTGTTTTCGAATCTCCATCAACAAGTATTCTGGACAAATGTAAACAACGACAAGCTAACGATGCAGCATGCAATGTTCGAATCAATGATGACATTTGTACTACATATTCCCAGATAAGTGGTTCAGCCAGTAAGCCAGATTGACTCGTTCCTACAAGGATTCTCACAAATCAGCGACGAGAAATTCATCGATTCATTTCATTACCTTTGCCAGCACTGAATGGTCGATCTTCTCCCGAGATATTATAAGGATTGGACCAGCCTTTTAATAAACTATTATTCGCACTAAAATGCCGTTTTTGTAACGTTTCACAACATGGAAGATAGTCATAGACGAAAACAATCGCTAAAACGATTTGATTCTAATGAGAAAATGCTAAAATTAGTTTCTCTTACAAGGTTGATCATCGTCAAAATCGTTCGTTAGAAACACTTCACGTAATTGAACGATGTTTGCATGATTGATCTTTTTCCAAGCTTCGACAATTTCATATGATCGCACCGTGGGCAATTTACAGCCTAGGGAAATCAACAAATTTTCAATCACATCACAATAATTGCTAATCGATTTACCCATAATTCGTTTTAGATAACATATGGTATTCGTTCGGATATGAGCTGCTTTGTAGCTGATTGTTTGATAACGAAAAGTGCGAGATTTATGCGGAACGTTCGCCTGGCTACTATCAAGTGGGACTAAATCATAATAATCACCGACTCGTTCCGGCATAGCTAAAAAATTCAAATCGAGTAATGCAAATTAATTATTTATTTGAAAGGAAAAAAGATTGATTTCTCGTTTTTACTCAAGATATTCTCGCTTATGGTTTGTTCAAACAATGGTCTTCTTTTATTATACCTTCGGGATGTTGTTTTATATGGTCACTTTTTTTTCGATTTGCTCAATTCTATAGAATTTTGCTCTCACCTGCAACTACATCCAGACTTGCGCTAGCAGTCAACATTTGATTACGTCTGAGTAATTCCGTTCTATGTGAAACAAAACGTTCGTATGATTGAGAATGGTTTTTTTTTGTATAAATGTTACCGCAATTCATCAGGCATAAAATATGCAAAATCAGGCCGAGCTTGTCGAACCGATGACATGTCCGGTGGTACAGTGCGTTCTTTTTCATCATACTGACTCGATCCACTCATTAACAAATCATCGTCGGTTAGTTGCTGCATCTATAGATCAATATTTTCTTTTGTCGAGTCTTATCAAAATGTATCTTACACTGTAAGGTGTTGCTTGAGAGTAACCATAAAAGTCCAAGTTATTTTCGGGTGATATACGTGTATTTGCGTCTACAGCTGCTGCATCCACTAGAAAATATTACGAATGAGATAGAGATGAACATCCACAAACATAAAAATCAAATTGAACATGCAAAAAAGATGAGAGAATAGTATGTGCAGCGGTTTTTTTTTCTTAAATTTAACAGATCGTACTTGTCATTTGTAAGCTTTTGCGTACTGAAATATGCAGAAGCATCGACAACAAATGATAGGTGAAAAACTTGGAAAGAGTCAAGAATAATTACCATGACTAGACACTGGACCGAGATTATTGAATGATCCACCGACTCCCAGGTGTGCTAAGCGGGATGCGCCCATCATATGATTGGCCTAGAAAAGGTTTATTAATTTAACATCTGTCATTGTCTATGAACTGTTCGCGCAATTAGCTTTTTTTTTCTTCAGTTCAGTACATTTTCTTGACGTTCAAATTCATTCTCTTCTGATGAGATCACATTTAATAGTATCGGAAACGTCAATCAAAAAGTTACGTCATGTGTTATGATTAGACATGTCAACTATGTTAATTTCATCTATTCTCACATGTGCAAATTTGCTCTGTACTGAATGTGAATGTAAATCCGTTAAATAAGCATTGGAATTGTTATTATTAGTGCCACTAACACTATTCGTTAATGATCCATCACGTCCCATCATGGACGGTTGCGAATAACTCGAATTATTATAAAAGACAGGAGGATTTCGTGGCGGTGTCATAAACGTTCTTCCCTAGAACGAAAACTTTGTTCGTGAACGGAGTCAGAAAGCGAAATAGAAACTTTTTACTTGTTGAAATGGTGAAACTCCATACGGATCTCCATCTAATCCACCGTTGGATATCATATTTGAATTCTTTCTATGTATAGATATTATATGAATAGATACGTATTTTGATTAAATCTATCGTTTGCACATTCGTCACCGGCGAGAAGAAAACAGATGTAATTGCTCTTCTAACAATTCTCTCTATCCATGTCGTCGATAATCATATCTAAAGAGTAAGAGAAAAAGAATTCATTTAATTAGGTTTTGTTCTGTTTACGATATCTTATAAAAAAATGGAATCAGTATACACTGGTCATTCTCGATTATAGACAACACATATGTATATGTATATATATATAAGTCGACACAAGAGAAAACGAACACCGCACGCTTCTCTTTATCTGATGAGTTAATGAGAATGCTTCAGAGAAAAATAATACCAAAAGACAGCACAGAAAAAAAAGGGAATGATAGATAAAAAATGTGTTATGGAAAGTATACTGTTGAATACACAAGACAATAGATAAAACATGAAGAGTTTATGTCAATTCGAAGATTGAAGTTTACCAGAGTGGACCATTGGATTTACCGCCTGGTGGATGAAATACACGAACACTTGTATGGACACTCTAGATGGAAAATGAAAATATCAATATTTGCGAGTGCATGATGAAAAACAAAATCAACTGTTCTCAGGACACAAAGTTGTCAACATAATTTCGTTTTTTTCAGACGGGTAAACGGTGTAGAAATCATCATCGAACAGTTAGTTGAGTTCTATCACCTTGGTTCGAACTCCCTCGATTTCGAGTATTACCATTCAACTAGATATTTGTTAGCCTACTACCTTTTGAGCTGCATTTCCATTAGTTGCTTCAGCAGGTTTCTCTGTTGGTGTTTGCGCATTGTCAGTTGGTGCGTTGTCTTTGACTTCGGCATGTTCACTCTCAGCTGCTTTAGTTGATGGTTCGACTTCTTTTTCATTTGTATTAATATTTTCCTTGGGGGCATATGCTTCACCATTGATTGGGTTATATCCCACTAGAAGAATAGAACCGAAAAGTGCACTGAGAAGAGGTCAAGGAAAATAAATTTCAATAGCAAAACAGCCAAAGCAATAAATCATAGTGTCACTCAAAAGCAGCGGTTTCCAAATCTCTGATATAGCTTTTTTCGAACAAGTCACAAACCAGCTCATTTCAGAAAGCAGCGCGTATTTACATGAACGCATTAAACATATTAGAATCTCAACTTGGCGATGATCATACGTGATGCACACACAGACACACGCACGAAGATGTGTTCATAGAAGATAACGAACATGGGTGCTAAGCACGCAACAAAAAAAAGTAGGGTTAGAGAACATGTCTAGGTAAAATTCAAACAGATCTTTTCCTGTTTTAGTTTAAAGCCAAACAAAAACAACAAAGAAAAAAGAAAGACAACAGCACACTCACTGCGTGATGCATTTGGATCTAAATAAAATATCATTAATCTCGAGTTCAACGAGCCAAAATCTCATGCTAAGAAATGATTTGATCGGATCTACTGGCAATGACGCTTACCTCGAAGACCTTGTCGAACGTTTGACTGTTTGTTTTGTTCATTTTTGTCATTAACACCAAATATATCTGATTTGTTCTTATCCGATACTGGACGTGATGATGTTGGCTCATCACTGCCAAATATATTGGATTTCATTTGAGTTTGTTTAAATTGACCAGCAATGGTACCCGATTTAATATTTGACTGTTCGGAATCAGTACCGAATATATTACTTCCTGTGTTACGCGCTGGTCTATTCAATCGAAAAATGTACTCGAAAAACTAAGAAAAAATATGAATCGTCTCACTTTGTGGCACTTGTTGGCTCATTTGTTTCCTTTTTCGAACCGAATATGTCCGACTCCATATGTTTTTTCTTATTAGCAGCGGATTGTTCGAATTCTGATGTGCCAAAAATGTTATTACTATGACCACCTGGTGGTGCATGTACACTTAAGAAACACCAAAATCATGAAAATGCATATGAATTCGAAAACAAAGCTATAACCGCATACCGAATAGATGGGTGATTTGATGGAATATTCGACATTATGTAAGAATAATTGGAGTGCGTATGAGGTTGCAAGAAGAACGAAGTAGAAAGTAATACTGTTTGTTAAATACTGAAGAAGATAAATAATAAATGCTGGTTTGACGTACAGAAAGAAAAAACAACAACTACAAAGTAATCGTGCCATTACGATGAACTAGAAACCTCTTTGTAAAAACAATCGCTCTCTTGTGCAATGCTAATCCTAAGTTGGTTCAACGACAATTTTCAAATGATCTCGTCTTGAAATTAACTTTTAAGCCATATCCATTATTTAATACCGATATATCCAGACAAATAGATGTCGGTAGATGATGAGTGGACGTGTCTCTTAATTGATGATGACAATGTGGATTGAACCGATCAGAGATATGGCAGCTCAGTGACATTAATTTCTGTTGATTATACACTGTGACAAATGAAAGTCTTGCATCGACTTATCTATATGTTTTACTTTGTTTTCGTCATAAGAACTGCTTGTAGACAAAAAAAAAAGATTAGTTTTTTTTTTAGATTTCGAATGCATAATTTGTATTTCGCGACATTTTCGAACATGTACTTTTATTATTATTGAAGGAAAAAAAAAACTATTTACATATGACTGGAATACATAGAATATCTGCATATTAGATTAGGCACGAGTATGATTATCGTTCGATAAAAGAAGGAAAGAGAAATCTGACAGAGAAAGAGATCCATTGGATCAGAATTATAAACAGAAAAATACATCGCGAAACGAATATGAGATCAATTAAACAGCTGCATGCTGTCGAATACGATCCCATAATGGTAAAGGTAAAACGTCTTCATCCGAAGACTCCTTGCATTCATTGACGATGACGTCTGTGATTTGACAATCGTCATCATCCATCTGATTTTCACGTAAAACTATATTCAATACATCGAGTGACAATGATGTATTCAGTAAAGTCGCCGGTTTTCGAGCTAAAATAGACAGAGAAAAGTTTGTACAGAATTGATAAGTTCAAGATTCTTACAATGAAGAACCATATCAGATTGAGTTTTATGTTTGATCGGACGTGATGTAGACTTTTTCAATGCATTTATATTGATATTCGTTTTTTGTAAAACGTCTAAAACATCAATATTAATCGACGTTGATAATGCTGCCATTGTTGGTCGATGGTGGAACTTTTGAGGTTTTGGAACAAAAATTTCACACGTTTCATCCTGAACCATACTCAACAAATCCAACGACATTGATGTTGACATAGCCACAGCGGCCGGTGTTGGCTGTTTTGTTTTCGGCTTCTTTCTGACAACTACTTTCTTCTCTGTAGTTACTGGTTTCGGCTTTTTAGGTTTTAACAGCGGAGTTTCAAATGCATTGACCACTTCGGGATATGCATGGCGAAAGAGATCAGCTGGTTCAATGGTGATTAATTTTTCTTCATCATCGTCGTCGTCCTCATCGTCAATTATAATGAGACTTAAGTTGTCTAGTTGATCTTCGAGGGTTTGAGTTGATGGAATCTTCTGCTGTTTCCATTCGATTTCGTAGTATTGTTTATTCCTCCGAAGACGAACTTTTTTAATACAAACCGGTTGAAAAATCGCAGAATCCGAGAGAGAAAGAACATCATTTACATCCAATTCGAGCATATTCAATCGATAGAGTATTTGAAAACGAGTTAATAGCGGTAAAATCTTCGAAGAAAAGAAAAGAAAACTTGATAAGTTCAATTAAAGAAAAAACAATTATCCATTACTTTACTAAATGTAAGAGATTCCATCCATTGAAGTTTTTCTTCCATATATTTTTGTAATTCTTTGACTCGTACGGGTTTCAGCCACTTAATCGATGCTATCGAGGCAATCAATTGCACATTATCCAACTGCAATGACGTATATTCTTTAATAATTTTATCGAAATGTTTGATACTATTTTTGTTCTCTTTTAAAAAATTCAAAACTTTTCGTTCGTATTTGTTTTGTGGGTTGTTTCGTAATAGAACTGTACGTAGATATTCAACCGGGTCATGCTGTTCTGGTATTGATCTAAGAAATTTGAGTGCAGATTTTGGGCCAATACCTCGAACACCTTGACTATCATAATCTGAACCGAGAAGCAAGGCAAGAGTTAAGAGTGAACGTTGATTAAGATGACATGTGGATTCAATCTCCCGTCGATCATAAATATCAAAGAACACCGGCTAAAAGAACAACACAATTTCAATTTGAGAAACAAAAGCGGCAACTTACTCTGGTCTGCGCACTGAACTTTCGAATAATCGTCTTAGCACCATACACAAAACAATCACTATCACTTGTAATAACAACATCGACGATCTAAAATCAACTTGTGTTGAGAGAGAAACGCAAAGTTAATGAAGAATACCCTTACATTCATCTGATTCAATTGTGCGCACAGTTTTTCCGCTTCGCCATCGGCACGAATGATGGGCAAACCCAGATAAGTGAGTAATTGTGAACACTGAAGAAAACAGACAAAGAAAATATGCTAATAATATGCGAAAAACCAAAGTATATTCTTTACTTCATCGATTAATACATTAAAATGTGAACGTTCAGCAGTAGTTGATTGATTTTCCGAAGCTAATCGTTTCGAAACAGTTTCCAACTTCAATTCAATTATACTAATCGAATCAAGAACAAAAATCGGTTTGATATTGAAGTGAATCATTTTCAATATACGGGAAAGTAATGTCCTAGAGAGAAAAGTCAAGTTTAGAATTGACATCAGCATACGATCATACTCTAAGTAAAGCGATTTGTGATTATTGTTCGAGACAGACCGACATTCAATGATCCAAATGCTTAAATCAACAGCTACTGTTTTTCCTGCTAGATCTTCATAGGAAACTTGTTGACAAGCAGGTTCTAAGATCGACCAGAGATGTTTCACTCCCATCTGAAACAAAAAAACATACTTGAAAACAATAGCAATAATGTTTACCAATGTTTTCTGAAAAATTTCTGAATTTTATCTTTAAAACGTATTGGTATCAAGGACAAAAAGGCACAGAAGCCCAACATGAGTACAGTCCGCCATGAGAACACGTCCGACGGTGAAGTTAACTGGTGCAAAGTTTTACCAGCTTGAATGAACAAAACTGAGGGCAAAGCAACACCAACAAACGTTCCCGCAAAGAATGGCGCTAGTGGCACATCCAGAATTGGTGCACAAATATTGATAAACCAATTCGGTAGAATTGGTGTCAGACGTAAGAAAATCATAAACCAGAATAGACTATCCGCATGCGCTTGAACTTTTCTTTGCCAAATTGTAATTTGAGTGTGAAAATATTTCAAAACGAGATTTCGACCGAATAATCGCGAAAGTAAATAGCAAAAACTTGCACCTAACGATGAGCAGAGACAGACGAGAAATAAGGCTAATGGAAACGGGTAAAGAAAGCCAGCCAAGATACTGAGAAATATCGAACCTGGAATGGCGAAAGTTTGTAAACTAAAACATCAAAAGTATAAAGACAAAATACTTATATCAACATCATCTTACAAAATATATGTAAGAAAAAATGCGATCATAATTATGTAACGATGGTGTTTACTGTATTTGTAAAGAAGATTGCCGAGAATTTTTGCATCGTCAATGGTTTTCGGAATCTTAAATGCATCTTTTTCATCACTAAATGTAATCAAACAAGAACATAGACATTTGCTTCTTGTCTCATAGACATACGGATCAATTTTGGGGAATAGGATATATATGGTACATAAACTCAATATTGAAAGAAGAAATATAAGTACTAATATCGCAAAATGTTGTCGTCTGACACGTCCACTTTGCGCACTGGTTAGTTGAATTGAAGTGGAGAGATTTTCATTCATATGAACTAATACTGCTTTTTCATTGATGCCACTCGATGAGTCTAAACAATAATTAAAAATTTAAACATAAATATATTTGTGAATTTGTTTACCTGGAACGACAATTAATTGATCATTTGATGAAGTAAACATGTATTTGATCCGAAGGATGACTTGTCATTACAATCATAAATATATGTGCATGGAACATGCACATGTTTCCTTCATTTTTTTTCTCATTCTTCTATTCTTTTTTTCTTTATTGCATTCGCGCTGCTAAGCAATTTTATTTCTTCTTTTTCAACCATAGAAATATGGCTCGTCGTTGGCTTTTCTAGGTACATACTTTCCTAATGAAATTGCTCTATTTTGTTAGGAAAAGAAAGAGAAGTTTGTAGTGGAAATCTACAACAAAGAAAAAATATACATCGTATGTCGGTCTCGGTTAAATATACTTATAATAAATAGCAACATTTTTATTCCAACACAAAGCCATTTACATTTAAAGCAAATAGAGAGAGAGGGAGAGAAATAAATAAAATAAAGCTCATTAGTTTTTTTTTTCTAAATAGAAAAATGCGTCTCTAGAGAAGTATACACGCTCGGCTACGTGATTGTCTATTTAATGACTTTGTCGAATCCTGGCGATCGCTGATGACTTCCGATGTTTTTATGAGCTGGTCGGAGTTCATGGAAGTTTTCATTAGAGAATTTTGTATTAAATGGACTGTCATATCATCCTCGGCAACATGTTTAGTTGGAGCAGATATTTCGATAGGTATTGCTGGCACATTGGGTTTAAGTGTTGGCTCTTCATCTATACCATTTTCCTTGGGTGTTGGAGCCAATGGATTTGCCGTTAATGCTTGAACCATACCGTTTTCTTTCGGTGCTACTGGTGCAGGAGCAGGCGCAGGAATAGAAATGTTTTGACTAATGCCACCTTTCAGAGTATTTGATTGTTTTTTCTTTGCATCTTCAGTTTCTTGTTTTTTCATTGCTTCCAAAACGGCGTGGAATGGACGTGAAATAGCTTTGCCCGAACGATCTTTTTTATTCAAGATGAAATATGTTGCTATTGATACCGTGCCATTTATTGGCATTTTTGGACGTTCTTGAACGTCGTATGATTTACGATCGAGTGATTTATATGTTGCATCAGTAACATGGATATGTAGTGCCTAATTGAGAGAGAGAGAGAAAGACACGATTAAGAGAAGGTTTTTTTTTCATTCGGTTTCAATCATCGAGGTATCCTACTTTACTATGTTGTTCTAGTTTATTTGCTGTTGTTACCGTATCACCGAATAGACAATAACGTGGCATCTTGATACCAGCAATACCAGCGACAACTGGACCACTATGACATCCTAGAAAAAGAAGCGAAAAAACACTCGAGTTAGTGATAAACTAATCAACGAACCAATGCGAATCTTAAGTTTTTCGCCAGTTGTTGGATTTGCAACTGTTACAATTGCATCGAGCATATCTAATCCCATATCGATGATTTCAGCGGCATGATTTCTTGCGCCTAGAAAAAAAAACAGGATATCAATCGTAAGAATTTCACTTCAATTTAACAAAAAATCTTACGTTCAGGTAAACCGCTAACCAACATATAGGCATCTCCAATTGTTTCCACTTTATAACAATTATGTGTCTCTAAACATTTATCGAACTTTGTATACATTTCATTGAGAATAGACACCACTTCCATGGGTGTAAGAACGGCACAGATGGATGTAAAGCCAACGACATCGCTGAACAAAATCGTGCAACTTTCAAACGTCTAAATCAGACAAGAAAAAAGAAGAACATTCGTTTCTGTTCAACGGTCATCTGCTTTCAAAGAAATTCATATTCATTGGTCATTCGAATTAACAATCGAGTAGTCATCTATAGGTAGCGCTTTTGATTCGAATAACGTTCATGTTCCTTTTCGTTTGTTCAGATATTCTCACCTCGCATAAACTAGCAGCTTTTTCACCACTTCGTAATCGATCGGCGATCTTCTTTGGTATCATTTGATATAGAAGTAAATCGGTTTTCTTCATTTCCGCATCTAATTTCTTCATACTATCCTCTAGAGCTTTACTCTTTTGTCTTTCCTAAAATAAACAAGCAAAAGTCACGGAACAGTCTATTTCCTACCAATTTGATCTTATTTCATTACTTGATCAAGCGCTAATTTCAGTTCTGCACTTTGCTGAGTACCAGCTAAAACGAGGTCTCGACTGGAATCATGCATGGATAGATCATTAATAAATAAACCAGTATTGAACATAACATCAAGATTTTCCAGGCTAAAGATGAAAAAATGGATGTTTTCTTCTTGAAATTTGTAGCGCAAGAGACGTACACAGGCGTTGCTAAATAAATAATTGCTTTCCATTCATGGACGTACAACATTTGACCTCGTAAACGCAGATACTCTTCTTGAACATCACGTTGAGCAGTCATTGTCAAGAGCATTTCTGTTAATGCACAATGTTTTCGAAGATGAACGAAAGCATAAAACAATCCTTACCCGAATCGTTTTGTTGTCTGGCATCATTGATTTGTAAATCATTTTCATTCATTTGCTTTCGTAATGGTTCAATGGTTGAAAATTCAAAGACATTATTGGAATGTAAAACAATTTGCGACCAATTTAAGGTAATGATCGGTCTGAAAACAAACAGAATCAAATGATTTAGATATTCGAATAAGATTTGATCGTTTCGTTTGATTACCGAACAAGATTGAAGATGTCACGAATGAGTTCTCCGACGATATTCGGAAATAGTTGAGTTAACGAATCTCCAGCTGAAATAATCTCTAACGTTTCAGAGATAACCATATGAAATGGAAATAATTCGAAAAATATATGACAATCAATCGTTAGATCAAGTTCAGTTGAATCTTTATCTGCTGTTGCTTGTTTAACATAAGCAGTATTTTCAAATTTCAATTCGAAAACAACATGGGTAACATCGAATTCTTCGCGTTGACTGATAATCTCGATCTCTACGTCAGTATCATAAAATCGACGGCCTACCTATTGAAAAAAAAGCAATGGGTTTTATTGATCGGTTCATACGACGTATGAATATCAAACTTCAGTAATTTGTCCGATGACGTAGTGAACAAAACCTCTTCGTCGGCTTCGATAGTGAAGCGTTAAACCATGAGCCGTTTCTTTTTCGACGTAGAATGATGGCGGACGCATCCGAGGGTAAGTATAACGCATATATTCATGCAAGTTATCCAAACCATTGAGAAAATCTCGCATGTTATGCCCACTAGCAAAATAAACCAGTATTCAAAAGCAAGAAATCGAAAGAGAAAAGTAATCTATCTTACAGAATTCGCAAAACACGATCGTAACCATAATTTGATATATAAGAGACAAATTCAAGACCGAAGGTATTCATGAGGTCACCAATCGGTTCATCTAAGCTCAAGATCATGTTGATGAAAGTGTCAGAGAAAATTCAATACGTACTCTTTGTTTCACTTAAGATTTTCGTTATCCGAACGAATAAGGTTTCACCGTATTGTTGAAAAGCCGAAAAGGAATTGAGATCCAGGTGAAGCATGGTTTTGATCTGTTCCCATGTTTCTTGACCATATTTTGCTCGAATAATTTCGATCGCCGATTGTAATAGAAGTCCGTACATTGTCTTACCGATCTGATCGTCTTGTCTAGCAAAACATTCTTTCGACTAATGTTATTGACGAAGGTTAGGAGGGAGAGACAGGGAGAGAATGTGAAGAGAAAACTAGAGATATTACTCTTTCTCAATGATAGAGAAATCACGCGTATTAAACAAAAGGAAATACGAGGAAATGGAAAAAGAAAAATATTTAAGAGCATCAACCATCAGTTGAGAGGTGTTCAATTACTTTTACAGCTAAGCCTAAAGATCAAAATTGTTCTTTTCTTTCATGCATCTTAAATCGTTGAATAACTACGATGAAGAAAACAGAAAGACGAAGCACGCGATTCTTCTCCGAAGATAGCAGCTCAGCAATCAATCTCAACTCTTCTGATTTCGATAAACTTTAGTCGAGAGAAAGAAGTATTCATTGTTCATATCAACAGATTTTCGCTCCAATAAACCACATTGAAATCAGATAACACCTCAATAAGTATCTTTCGAAACGGATGTCATTTTCCGTTTTCAATCAGAATTCCTGTGCATGACTAGTCCTTATTTTGTTCATTTACTATTGAAATATGTCATTCGTGCGAGTGAACCGATTAGCATTTCGTTTTATTATTGTAAAAAGTGTGAAAATAGGTTTCTTATGCACATATAAATTAGCAATTTCTTTGCATGATCAATTTATCAATGAAAACAGTTTACATTTTGAAAAAGACAAATCTTATCTTCACTCCAATGAAAGATTAGACCTGTGCACAACGCAAACTTTTCAATAGCTAACACTACATTACTCATGACTTGCAACAATATTTGAGCTAATCAATGATAAAATAGGGTTGACATATTTCTTAAGTTAGTCAAGTGTAATGATCAACATGGGGAGTAATCTTAGTTGTTTTACTTTTCTGTGTTGAAAATTATAGTGTCATCAGTATGATCATACTCTGATAATGAGATAAAAAAAGAACTAGAGATGCACCAAGCAAAATCGGAACTTTGTAGGTTTCAAAAGAACAATGCAGAACAACCTACTTTTCCCACACTCGATACCTTGAATTGCGTTCGGCGACAAGATGATACTCATCGTAGTGCACTATATCGATAATTACGACAAAACTTTGTCAGGCAAGATTCACTTGCAATTTTGTATGCACTTACAAGGAGAAAAATGTATGTAGATTAGCTAATTAGGATAAAGTTCATTGATTATTTATCGATGTCTTCATTGTGTAATAAGGTTTATTTTCCAAACTGATATGAAATACGCCTGGCTAGGGTAGAGCACAATTAGACGATTTATATTACAGATGAAATGTCAGATGCATTCAATGACCTTTTCACGTTGTTCGGTGGAATGTAGTTTTGCTTTCTTTATCACTAAATAGAAGATGAATTAAATGTCTCCACTTTCCATATTAGATTCTCGACTAAATATTTGCATTTTGGATGCTACAGAGCAATAGAATACGAATCGAACACGTGTTGATAATATGATATACTAAAAAAGTAGTTTCAGACGATCCAGAAACGGCATAATTATATGGACGCTCAAGCTGCATACATTCTGTATCAGTTTTCACTTAGTGTTCAAGAGTTGTTCTACTAGTTGAAAAATCCTACCAGTTCTCTTGATTACTATGAATGAGTGGGGATTTCGTGCGATTATTCTGGAATATTACACATGAATTGATTATAACTGGCTACGGATTAGAGTCTCTCGATTTATGTAAAATGTTGTGCATAATCTTTTGCTAGAGGAGCAGCGTTATCTCTTCAACTTCGATACTCTACGAATTCTATACCAGATGAAAGTCCGTAGAAAAAAAACTAGATCTGCAGCTATCGTCATCATTTTGATTGATAAGATTATCGTCGCAAATTCCTAAGATAGAATTAAATCTGTAGAAATACTTAAATTGACAATACTTAGGATTCTTCACAATTTTCTTTCTGAACACTTCAACATTTAAAGGGAGAAGAAGAAAATAGAGTGAATCCCAGCGCACATCATACATACTACAGAGCGAAAAACTATTTTTAGAAAAAAAAAGGAGGAGAAGAATAGATAAGAAGATGACAAAGAGAGAAAACGCGTGTGTTATTTTGACAATTGAGTATTTCTATAGATTTAATTCTATCTTAGGAATTTACGACGATAATCTTATCAATCAAAATAATGACGGTACCTACAAATCTAGTTTTTTTCTACGGACTTTTAATTGGTATAGAATTCGTAGGGCATTGAAGTTGAAGAGATAACGCTGCTCTTCTAGCAAAAGATTATGCACAACTCTGTATTGCTATTGAACGAACTTTGTGTAGCGCATTGTTTTGTGAATCAATGGTCTTTCAGTTGAAGGAGAATACTGGTCGGTACAGCTGTTTTTGTAAGAAATAAAACGCGTAACCCTACTCAAACTTTTGAACAGCTATAAAGAGCAAAATCTTGTATCTGTTACATTTGTTAAAAGCTTAGTTCGATATCTGCTCTCTTTCTCTCCTACCGAAGACGATAATTGAGAAATATTTCAAATCATGCCACAATCTGTCTTTCGTCATCAAGATCTTTTAGCAGGTTGGCCGAAATGTATTTGATTTTAAATACACAAATAAGAATTTATGTCAGTATCGAATAAACTTTTCCAGTTGTACAAGATGTTATAAAGAATATACGGAAAGTGGCTCAATACGTTATTATTGTATATGTCCATCAAAAGAGAAATGATGTTTCTTTATTTTTTTGATACAATCATAACATGTATATTTCACAATCCTTTCACTTTGAGCAGGTTATGTCAAAGTAATTATTAACATCTGAGTTTCGCGTACTGTCACTTTTCCTTGGCTTCGAATGTACTTAGATAGTATGCAAGCACTTTTCCGTGTTTATTTTCCTTCAGAAATACGTAGCCGAACTTCTCACAGATCCAAAATACTCTGCTATCGTCGAGTGAAAAAACGTTCACGCAAATTTCGAACATTTTTTTGAAAGAAATAGAATGCGTCGGATCAAGCATCCATATTCTCATACACAAGACCAACGTTCGTGTCAGAAGTTGCTAAACTCGAATGGTTCAATGGAAGCGATTCTGTGTGGAGCGCCAGAGTGCGTTTTCATGATATTCCAGTGCCTTTCAATAGTTACCCATGTCACAATGAACTGCACCAAGGTTTGTGTAGGATGCGTTCAAAGTAAAATCATTAGATGTTAGTGACTGCCTAGTAGCGCTTCAGAGTACTGACCTAGTTTGTGTTTTTAGGCAAAGCTCTGGAAATGTTTTCTGCTGACTGGCGTCGACCGGTACCTTTCAGTAGTTCAGCCAATGCATGCCATGGCAGTTGATCAAAGTAGTTGTTTTGCTTTTCGTATGCCATAAGTTAGTATAAATTTTCATCCTTATCACCGATAAGTGATGGATGAACGTGAAATAGTTGATCAGTTCCGTGGATGGAAAATAGAACTTTTCTTTATTTTGAAAATTAGTGATTGCTTGTATCGAAGCGAACGCAGTTGTAGATTGAGTTGGATTTATTTGTATAATAAAGTAACGCCTACATGTTCTGAGCTCACTGCATTACTTTCACCGAAGGCATGCGCAACTTCGTATGTCTTGGTAGTAGAGAAAAAGCTATTGAATGATATTAGTCTATGTTTAGCTTTTACAAATTGATCGAAATCTGATTTAGACAAAGCTTGATCTCGATAGAGTGTAGACGACTCATGAATGATGTTATCAGGGTATTGTTGTCTGTATAACTGTTCAATGTTCCGATGAAGGTCAGCAATAAAGAATCCCATTCTTATGATAGCATTTCCTTCATGATATGTGTATACATGAAAGATGCATTTCATTTATTCAGTTTTTCGTCAGATTCTGCGAAATTGATCGGTATGTAATTCTGTTGACATTGGCGAGTTACTTTTTTGAGTACGTTGCATAGAAGCGTTATTTCGGTGAAAACGCCTTTTATCTTCCACTATTGCTTGATCCACTTCTCATCGTATGTGGAGAAATTACCAAAAACGAAAATAGAGTGTAGATGACAGATGTCATGCACTCAAGGAATCATATGTAACAGATGATATTCAGCAATAACCAGACAGACTCTTTTATCAGTGGCGGTTGTGGTAAAATCGACTCATTGATCGGTATCATGGAAAGTATTGGCAGTACCAACAGTTTACTCAAAGTATGCGGCTGCTTACTTTTCCCGGTTTTATTGAACTCGACTGTTTCACTCAATTCCAATATGTTCATGATCTCGTGTTGTATAAATGTATGCGGATGAGATTGTTTCGAAAGAGATGTAATTCAAACAGTTAATACTTCTTTCTTATTATGTCTTCTCCATATCTAATAAATGTAACGAAGTGAGAAGACAAACACCATTTTTATCCTACGGTAAAAACAAATGACAGGTCTGAGAAATATTCTTCTCTCCTTCAATTAATTTCGTTAGTTATCGGGAATGATAGAGATGAAAATTTAGGAGTTTTCTACCATGATTCAAGCTTTTTTTTACGTCGGATTTGCATAGATCAGTGTCTCAACTCTAGTCTCAATGGCTATGAGTGGAATTTGACGAGCTCTATCAATTCCATTTGTAGTGTTCCATACACCAAAGCAAAACATCTCAAGTACTTTTTTGAGAGTGAGGCGAAGAATTATTTGCGGCGCTTCATCTTGGAGCAAAACCGCACCGACCAGCAAATCAAAGAAACTAAAAACAGTTACTTATGTGCTGAATATATTATAGAAAACGCCTTCGATATCCTTTTATTTTTAAATCTGAGTCAACACCCATGCTTGAACATCATCAATCATCGATTTTTCTTGTTCAGTTTCTACTTGATCTCGTGTTCGTTGGCACACTTGCCGAATACTTTCACCAGTATAAATCTGTCCAATAAAGTTTTCTTTCAAGCGATTGATCATATTAACATACAACGAATCCGAATAGATTTCGCATGTATGAATAATTCCATCACGTTCGGAAACAATTCCAATCGATATCGTGCCCCATGGAAAGCGTCGTTCGTATTCATGAGTGAACGAAAATGTTTGTCCAAACCGCCACTGAGGATCACTGTATAGTTTATAGGCAGCATGCAGTTCCGGAATCGAATCAAGTACTTCTCTTGATAGAGCTTTTGCTGGTGGTATGGAGTCGTTTGAATAAGTTTGCCGATAAGATTTCTCAATCGCTGAACAGAGATCTTTATGATTAATCGATGAATTGACTTCGCATAAGTTAATAACACGTGCTTGGACAGAATCAACACCTTTAGATATGAGTTTTTCTTTATTAGGATTCAAATATTTCTTCATGGCCATGGTATCAACATTGGTTATTAATGTACCATGATGCAGAGCAAATTGTTGTGTATTTTGATAGGCTGAACCGGAGAATTTTCGTTTTTGTGGACCATACACAAGATCATTCCGTCCCTCTGCACGTGCTTCGATATTGAACTCAGAACGCAGAGCATCGAGCAAAATTTTTGAATTCAAATTTTTATCAAGTTTGTGATTTGCTTGAGAAATAAGGAAAGTAAAGCACGTATTGCCAAGATCTTGGTACACAGCACCTGAAAAATTAGATCACCGTTGAAATAATCAATCTATACTTGAAGAAGATGCTTACCACCACCAGATCTTCGTCGTGCAAGCAGCACTCCATCACTTTCCATTCGTTCCAAAAAGCATTCTTTCTAAAACAGATTGATCCCATGGTCGATTTGATATTACATTAACTTCTTACCCAAGGATTTTGATTTCGTCCAATGATAACGCATTTATCATTTTGCCAGAGAAATAGAATGTGTTCATTCGGTTTGATCGTTTTCGACAGCCATTCTTCAGTTGCTAAGTTGAACCAGATATTTGTCGAAGACGAATAGATAATCCTATGAATAGCTTGATTTTTGTTCGAAGACAATCTTCGTATGGATTGAAGCAAAGGATATCGAATCTGTAAGAGCATTACCTACAAAGATATCATATACAACAATATTCATTTCTCTACTTAGAATCCGCTCAATCATGTGGAGATTCTTGCGTTATAAAAAACAAATTTTATTATTGGTCACCCGTTAAATAAATATCTGTATATATATATATAAATGTATTCATATGGAATGCAAAATGAACAATGCGCAAAGGAGAAGAAGAGAGAGTATTTATTTTGAAGTAAACCAACCGCCAGGTGTTAAAGTATTATTCGTCTTTTGATTTTCAATTTTCGCCTTTTCCTTCGCCGAGAAATGCAGAATCGTCATCAAGGCATTGGCCATCGTATGTTTCACTTGTGTGTCATTGGCAAGTAAATAATGGTAAAAAACATTCTTTATATAATCAATGTTATGTTCGTTTTTAGTCAAAACTTCCTTTCTTTGTGTACTCAATTTAATATGTTCTAAATCATCATTTAATTGTTCATTAGTTGCTTGCAATTGACTGATTTCAAAAGAATACTTTTTATGTATATCTCGAATGGTCATTTCCAGTTCGTAGCGTTGTTTTCGAAGTGACATTAGTTCTTGTTCACGCAGTTGTTGCTCTTGAATAAAATACAAAATATTATTCGAATCAGCGGTGGGTAGTGGACTCATCGGTCCGCCGATAGTCGAAGTCGAAAGTTCTCGTGGAAATAATTCGCCAATGATCGTAGTTGGTTCGCTATGTTTTTCTTCTTTCAGATCAGATACGGTAGATGGAGATGTATCTTTATTGAGAGTAGGAATTAGATCGGGTTGTTTTCTTAATGTTTCTAATTCGCGATCTTTTTCACTGAGTAAACGCATTGTACGTTCGCGTTGCTTTTCTAGTTCACATTCGAGTTCATTGAGCTCCGTCCGTTTTCGTGCTAGGAATTGATCCATTTCATGACGATGTTGTTCACGAATGTTAGTTAAACAGGACTCCAGTTTTTCGACAACTTGAGCATGCCGTTCGTTTTCTACGTTGTATAATGATTGACTATTGGCTAGTTTTTCACGTAATTGATCGATTTGATTGCGGAGATCATCGTGTTCTTTAGATGTGTTCGTGTCTTTGAATGCTTTTGCTTTAAATGCAGCAACAGTTTTGTTTCGATATTTTTCCAATTCGGCTTTCAATCGTTCGATTTCTTCGTGACACTTGCTGTGTAATACTTTGTTATTCTCTGAAGATAAGTTTCCTCCGCTGCTATTTGCGGCTCCAGAGGAGATCTCTCGATCGATGTTTAACACATCTATTGAAATGCAATGAATTATCTTGACTTTAGTGCAATTGGATTACCTTCAATAGTTAACGATTGACCAAAACGATCATTAGCCATACGAATCAGAACTTTTAATTTGGAAATGCGCTTCAACAGCGTGTCTAAATCATAATGATTCTCCGTATCATCATCCGTGACGATGACATCGTCCTGTTCGATCGATGTTGATGATACTTTCGTTAATAGCGAGTTTTCCATATCGAGTTGAGCGATACGCTCTTTCAAACGTTGAATAACCATTTGATCTTGTGCACTAGACGATTAAAAATGGGTAATCGATCATTGAGTAACGAAAGAATTACCGTTGTTTTTCAATGATACCAATCTGTTCAGATAGTTCAGCGATTTGTGTTTCAGTTGTGGACATTTTCTGAGCTTGTTCCGTGCTAGCTTCATTGAGTTTCTTTTCTAAAAGTTCATTGCGTTTCGATTCTGTGCGCAGCTGTTCAGTGTATTTAGTCTTAACGAGAAAAATTTCAAACTTTCGATAAGATTGAATTGAATGTTTTATTTACTTCTAAATTGTTTAATTTCCCGATCAATTCAGCAATCTTTTCCTTGGAACGTTTCAATTCTTCGACGTGAACTCTATTCAAAAGATAAATTTTCGAAAGATTTCAGGCGAAACTTACAAATCTTTGTCTTTCAATTCATTTAACTTCGCCTGATATTGATTATTCAATGCATTGTATTGCTTCTTCAAGTTATCGAATTGAGTTTCCAATGTAACAACTTTCGCTCGACATTCGTCATACTATTTCAGATAGAGTTTATCGATGTCTGATCTCGTACATTGTTCGTCCTACTTGATGTTCGAGTGTTTCTGATTTAGTGCGCTCGGTACACAGAAGTGTTTGTAATTCGCGAGTGATCACTTTGCAATCAGCTACTTCACGTCCGTGATCACGTTGACTTTGACCTAATGAATTTTTCAACTGAAATAACAAATAGAATGAGATTTTCGAGATGAAAGATTTTCTTTGAGTTACGTCTTTGATTTCATTGTCCAACTTTTCTTTGATGATGATATTTTCTGCTTTCGCTTCCTCCAGTTGCTTGTACAACTCTTCATTTTCAGCCTAGATCGATAAAGAAGTAAAACCATCATTATTCTTTATCTAATATTCACCTTGAGCTTCCGTTTATCCGTTTGGAACATACGCTCCATGTGATTCTTTTGTTCGGCAATAGCTGTGACATTCTGTTGAAGAGTTTGCAGTTTTTCTTGTAAAGTTTGGTGCTCAGTGACTGTGGGTTGACTATTTTCTCCTTCAGCGCCCGATTCTACATTCTGTACACGAAAATAAGTAGAATTAACGAGGATACTGGATGTATGTATATTTATTTACTTCGGTAGCACTTGCATTGCCGTCATTATCTGTAGTTGCCGGCTCAACAGTTGATGCAGCAGTGGACAGAACTCGAACAGTCGATTCAAGTACTTCTTTTTCTTTCTGTAGATTTTTATAGGCAGTAAATAGATCTGCAAATGAATGAAATTGTCTATTAAGAAAAGTGACAAGAAAGAACATTTCCTGACCAGCAAAACGTTGTTCAAGTCGAGTTATCCGTGACTGCTGATTTTCAATAGTTTTTGTTAGTTCACTTTTCGACGACATTGTCTAAATCATTTCTATCTAAAACTTCACAATAGAAATTTATCATGCATTCTTTTCCGATGGAAGAACGTGTTGTTTTCTACAAATATGTCTAATAACTCTCACTCAGCGATGCTTCTGTACTTTCAGCACGACGTCGAATCCATTCAAATACTTCTCTAACTGTTTTGATCTCATATAAAGTATCATTTGGATAGATCTGAAAAAGACAACAATACAATGAGCAATCTATTCTGGAGAAAATACTTACAATCACAGGTATATATTTCAATTCTTGCAATTGACGTAGTTTAGATTGAACTAAGCCCAATGGTCGAAATGGTTCATTCGCACAGATTTCCTCTTCACTGAGTACTTCTAATGCGTATCTATCTGCATTGTCATTCGAACAAACGATAATATCTGCAATAGTTTCGAATATGTATTCTAACGTTCGAATCTGTTGTTTGCTTACCAGGACTCTTGAAATGTTTTAAAAGGAAGGCACTTTTCACATCCGAACGATTAGGGACACATTCCATCAATCGTTCTACCAAAGTGGAGAAGTATGGACGTTTCCGTTTTTCTATTGACCAAGAACCGTAGAGATGATGTGGTAATGACTTCAGGTAATCCTACTAAAAATAATCGGTGATATCATTGGATCTTGTCAAATCTTAACATACGAACCCGATCAAGTAGTGTTCTCGATGGCGAACAGAGAAGTTTTTGTGATTGAGAAACAAAAAATAACTTTTCTTTCATTCGAGAATCTAAAATCATAGATTATTCAATCGCGGTCATTCTCAACCATCCGTACGCATTACCTTTCAGTCGGCTCAAATTATCTTTCGTAAACAATCTTTGCAATAAATCCTCTGGAAAATGTCCAACCATCGCCAATGGTGCAAGTACATCCAACAATCGATCGGGTTTTCCTTCGAAATGATTCATCTGATCGTATGTCTTAATCAAGTGCATGTAATTCTTATCATATGTCTTCGTATAACCCATAAAAATCAACATGTTCATGATTTGTATTGTATCCTTTGCTCGATAGGATGGTGTTGATGTTCTTGCTTCTAATTCTATTAATTTCAAACAATTAGCAAAGAACCGTTCGGAATAAAATCGAAGCATCGAAAAATAAAGTCCAATTCGCATAGTCATTCGAACGATTTCATAACTTAAAGATTTTAAATTCGATTGAAGATGTTGTTCGAATGATTGATTAAATCGATTGGCGAGAGCATCAGCTATTTCGATCTTTCCGTAATTGGATAATGTTAAAATTTTGATAAAATTTTGTTTATCAACAGCAGAAAGATTCTTCTTCGTCTCATCTTCGATTAAACATTCACCGATCGATTGGAGTAGTTGGCGATTTTTCAGAGACATTTGTAAACGATACATTGCTGAACAGAGAAGACTCAGTTCAGCTAGAGGAATGTTTTTGATCTGCTCGATAGTCAAATTGAGTTCGAATGTTTGTAGGAAATTTTCGAGAGTTTTGTTTGGAACTTTAGTTTGATAATCGTAGTACTTTTGTTGATGAAGAACGAGAAGATTGACAAGTTCGACGAATAGATGCGGTGAAAATTGTTTATGGATAGGATCGACGCATTCGATTAAACGCTTTGTCAACAGATCGAGTTTAATTTGATGTTCATAAGCGAAAAATAGCAGATCGTTTAGTTGTTCAATGGATAGATTTTCTGTAAAATCTTTTGTTGAATTCAGATGAATCAATTGATTGTTAATCGATGAAGTTCTCAGTAATGATTGAAGTTGTGAATGTAAATGATTGGACATTTGCTGTTGATTTCCATTGAATAATTTCAGACGACGTGTATAGAAATAATCAAATGTCTTTTGCTCGAAATTTTTCAATTGATTACTCGAAAACCGAGCAACAACAAATGAGAATAATCGATAATGTCGAATCAATGAATAACGATACATCGATCTAAAATAGTGCAGAAATGATCGATAAGAAAACAATGTATGGTGATAGGATTCGTCGATGTCAAAGCAATGTCATTTTTTTTACACATGGTTGACCATCAGAACGTCAATTTCATTTGGATATTAGTGTTAGATGACTCAATCGATGATAATAGTAATGTGTCGCATGGAATGTTAATGGCTGAAATTTTTACGTATAGAAAATGTGTACGACAGAACCATCTATGAAGAGGTCATGTGTTAGGTTAAATTATAGGACAAGATTCGATTATCATTGAATTACGACGATTGATAATGAAAGTATCAATGAGAAAAAGTGAAAGATGTAATTTTAATCTTTCTTTAGTACGAAATTGATTAAGTCTAAGTTTATCTATGAAGGTTCTAAATGTGTGGTTTCGAAATAAAAATTGATAATTAATAGTGAATACTTGAATAGATATCAAAGTCGAAGATATCGCTTGAACTATGACGTTTAATAATCAATTTAACTATGATGGCGAGACCGAAATTCGACTAGTCTGTGCTGTGTGTGGGAAGAGTTTATGCGCGAACTGCACTCATTCGAAGTAGAGTCAAGATAGATTCTCATGTTATTTAACTAAAACTTAGATTTTCACCAGTATCTTTTCACAAGAACTGAAAACGAATTAGATCAATAATGCTATGGATTTGTTTTGATTAACAGATAATACTTGAATTTTAGTGGTCGTTCGTTAACCAATCGCATAATAGGTGCCTATGTTGTTCTTCTTCTTCTTGTTCCCTCTCGTGGTATTATTTCATGTGCATGTGTACTGAATTGTATTCCTATCGTCGCAATATTCGATCAATAATACTCTATAGCATCGAAACAGAGAATTAGGTCCACGTTTTGGAACTACATCACATTTCGATTTCAAACTACGTCTTGATTGCGCAATATTGCCCAATATGGTATTTCGTTGATTCATTTCCGTTATTGTTTTGATTAATATCGTGAATATCATTTCGTTTCAATAGTTGTCATCGATTAGATTTATTCTCTCATTGCTCTAAATGGCACATGAACACTGTGATAAATGTTTCAGCTCGAACTGCTCTCATACATCGTCTTGTCCGCTGATATTCTGTTCTAATGGATGTTTTGCTCGAATGCACAAATGTAAACATCAAGATCATGAGTACGTCTGTCCAAATAGTTTTATTCCTTGCCTGAATGCTGTCTATGGCTGTCCGTTGACAATTCAACGTTCGCATTTAACTCGACATTTACGTGTGTGTCCGGCAGCTGTGGTTGTTTGTTCATTTATTTACAATCATGAATATCGCTTCGATAAACTCGACGAATCGACATTTGGTAATCTGGTGCAGACGATCGCTATTCGTGATCACATATGGAGTGAACATTGCATGAAATTGGAGCGGCAGCGAGAAGAGATGTTTAGGAAGTTGCGACCGAATACAAAGAAGGTCGAGCAAAAGCCGAAGGTGATTCGCAGTGAAAAATATCGGTATATAACTATGCCCGAATGTGTATTAGACCGAGGAAGTGGGATCATATGCAGCACATGTCGAAAGCATCTTAGAGACCTGGAAGAAGAAGAAGATCAACGCATTGAAGACATGACTGAAGGTAACTAGGTTCGAATGTCGTAATTTAAAGAAAGACTTGTTCTGTTTCTATTTTGTAGATGAACAACAACAAATGATTGAATTCAATGAGAATTATGATGAATCATCCAATTTAGGTACACTTCCATCTCTGTTGAAAACGTCATTGACTTTGCTTAATTCATCCGACGTTCCAGCACAGAGTTCATCTTCACCGCCTACAACAACAGACGCATCTTTGTACGAACCAATGCCGATCATATCTGACATGGAAACGACCTCTTCGCAAATCTATCGACTAAGATTCTTTGCTTCCAAATCGCATTCAATTGATCCCTATTTATTCAATAAAAATTCTCGATTCCACTGCGATGCTCTATGTCGTCGTGATGAAATCGAACAGCATTGGCTTGTCCACTTCCAAGTTGACTGTATATTGAATACATCGTTGATACAACAATGTCCAAAAGCACAGTATGGATGTGAATTTCAATACGAACGACTTGAACCATGTAAAATAAACGGAGAATCGATTGAAATTCGTTATGACGTGAACAATGATGCTATTGCTTTTAACTGGTATCCAACAATAGTGAAAAACTCAAAACAAGTTGCACATTTACTTGATTTTCCAACAGAACTATTGGAAAAAATACTGTCACACTTGGATAGTTTATCCTTGCGAAATTTATCCCGTGTTTGTCAGGTAAGAATCGACGTATTTTCCCTTTCCTTCCGATATGATGTCTGTCTCTGGCATCTTTAGCATTTACGTACTTTGTGTGAACAATTACTACCTTCTCGAGGTGTCGTCGTTGGCGAATATCAACGTCATTCTTTATCACATGGAGAAAGTGTTTGGACCGAACGACGAAAAGTATAAAAACCTTTTCTGAATCCATGCTTGACTAGTGTTTTTCCTTTGAATAGCACTGGCTATTTACGAATACGACATCGGCCATTCCTAAATGGCAATTGAAGGCACCGGATAAATCCACATCATTGAGTCAACATCTGATCACGTGCCCATATGGCGAAAAGAAAGATCTAGAACAAGAGCCACCGTTTCAATTACTGGGATTACCTAACCCCAATGCGTCAAAATAATCACAACAGATTGTGGACATGCAAAGTTTTACAAACCTGTGTTTTCCTTTCTTCTATGCAAATGTTCTCAGACAAAACAAGCGATTGAATTTTGACAATATTTTATAACGCTTTGGTTTTTATTATTTAATTAAATTCTTTACCTTTTCATATTTTTCTAGATATTTCAATTGATTGTAATTAGTGTCGCTCGTCTTCATGTCTCGTCTCCTTTCGAGAGTTATTATTCGACCAGAATCTCGTCGTTGTCTAGCGACATTGACTTCGTTTGAAAAGAAACCCGAAGAAAAAACTCGAGAACTTATCGATCGAATTATTCGGGTCGATCAGGCAGGGGAATTAGCTGCAGATAGAATCTATGCTGGACAAATGGCTGTGCTTGGCCGTACAGATGTCGGACCAACAATTCAAGTAAGCTTTTCTCCATAGAAAAACAACGCAAACAACATTCTCATTAATTTGAATAGCACATGTGGGATGAAGAAAAGGCTCATTTAGCAAAATTCAATGAATTAATACCAAAATATCGAGCACGACCATCGGCACTGTTGCCTGTATGGAATATCGCTGGTTTTGCACTAGGTAAAGTGAATATATTCGATAGGAACTTGTGTACAATGAAAAGGAATTTCTATTTCAGGAGCTGGCACAGCTTTGCTTGGCAAAGAAGCAGCTATGGCATGTACGGTAGCTGTTGAGTCGGTGATTGGCGAGCATTACAATAAGTGAGAATATGTCAAGTATGCTGTTGTCGTTTTGTTTCATCTTAAAATTTTTTTAGTCAACTACGTGACCTAATGGAACATGCAGATCAGACAAAAGATAAAGATTTGATTGAAGTATAGAGATAATTCGATTGAAAAGTTCATTGTGTATTGATTTACTTTGTTTGAAGACAATTAAAAAGTTTCGTGATGATGAAAATGAACATCATGATACTGGTTTGGCGAATAATGCTGAACAAGTAAGAAATCATTTGTTCTTTTTGTGTTTTACATGGAATTTCGATTATTTTCTAGGCACCATTTTACCGTAATCTGACCGGTGTGATCAAACTTGGTTGTCGTTTGGGTATTTACTTAGCCGAACGTATTTAGATAAAAATTCTTGAAAAAAAAATACAGATGAATCTTTCTCAAACTCTTTTGTTTCTTTCTGTAAAAGACGACTCTAATTTCTCATATGAAGAAATTCGCGAGCAGTTGATTGATATATATGAGATGTATCTTTTGGTGCAGGAGAAGGCCATTGAAAAGCAGTTCGTTGTTCACTATTTCCAACGTATCGTTGTCCGCCGTTAGATCGATCACTTTCGGTGATAAGTTCGTGAAAATATTGACTACGAGTCATTCGTTCTTTTCTTGAAGTTGTTCCATATGGAGTATTAGATTGAGATGTTATATGTGACGAAGTGGAATCGCTTGTTATACGAGGCGTACGAAGGTTAACGAAACGGTCTTGATATTCACTTGATTTTATTTGAGGTAACGATGACATTGAAGTCGAAGGTGTTGGTAAAGGATCGAATATATGAGTGGGTTGAGCATGAAAGCAATAAGGTCGTTTAGGACGATGATTAGTAAATCCTAGACCATATTCGGATGTTTTCGACATGTAATTTGGATCGATATCAAATGAGACAAATGAACGACTACGTGATGGAAGCCGATTGGTGCCAATTTTTGGTAGAGCAACGTGAGGTATATAATCTTCTCGTCGCGGTGATAGATAATGTGTTCGATATTCGGTTTCGGTGCCTGAGAAAACACGAATGAATATCTTTATTCATTACTAACAGCTTCTTACTCGTTGCTTGATCTGTATCCGTAGGAAATATGCGATTTCTATACAACGGCATGTTTATTTCGACAGAAGGAGTTAGAAATCGATGTGTATGTAAGTTAAAATTTTCTTTTATTGCGTTTGAACTCGATTAAAGAAAAAATTATCGACAGAAAAAGAAAGAAAGTCATATGCTAAAGACAAAAAACGGCTGTTTTTCTCTCTCTTCATGACAATAAGAAAATGTGTAAATTGGTTGCTACCACTTATGGTTTCGAGTCTTTTTCAGTAATCATCACCGGTAATGCAATGCAAGCAAGCTCACGTCCTTTACCATCGATTAAATAATATCGCATTTGATTGATTTTCACCTAATCAAAAGACATCAGATAGATTCGTAGAGAATAAAGATCATAAGAACCTACCGATGGATATGTTTGACTAACAAACATACTATTTTTATATGTATAAGGCTTGTTAGGTTGAAGCGGACAACCAAGTAATGCACAAACATCATGATTTGGTAGGACGAAATCATGATCAACTGTACCAATGGTAGCGACGACTTTTGCTCGAACTTTCATCGCTTTTTTACCTAATAAAACGAAAGATTGTTTATACTTTTAGAAGAAAAACAGATTTTTCTTACGTAGTGTAAATTGAAATTCAAGACGAGCATCAGTGCCCTTGTAAAATGTGCAATATTCACTACTACACGGTGCATTCACAGATGCACTGAGAACCTCGCCAGCTCGTCTCGCTAAAATAAACAAATGAATCGAAAATGATCTGTTTGACACATGTAAACTTCCATATACGTGAGCATTGTTTAAATGGATGCTTTAATTGAGCTGCATAGACAGTTAAATATAAGAAAAAGAAGAGAAATAGTGAATAGTAACTGAAAGCCATATTTTCTATGAAATATTTGTGTGAAGTAGAACTGTATAGCAGCACTGACAAGTGAAATTATTCATAACTGTACGCTTATATACATGATTAAGATATCTTCTTATCTTTCCCAGAGAAATGCACGTGTTGATGACATTCTTCGTTTGTTGTTTCTTTCGTCTTCTGTTCCTAATTCTGACTCAATGACACATTGTATAACAACGAAGTGATGATAAATAAGAGAAGTATTTTTAACATAGTTATCTCATTTGATCTATTGAATTAAATGTAGATAATACCCACAAAGATATCGGCTAGTTTTCTTTGCCACCTACATGGTTAAATGATTGAATAGACAGTTTAATGTCCTTGGTAAAAAGATAATAAAATAACAAATTCTCTTTGAAAATGTTTTTAGATGAATGACGCAACAATCCTGGTGGCGACACATACGAAAAAGTACAATGTACCATTGAACCACATAGATGATAAATATATTCAACAGTGTACAGATGGAATAGAATTAGAACAAATCTATAAAGAATTAATGTAACAAAACAAATCTTTCGAATGTTTTCAACTGATTGATGTATTTCTAGTGGTGGGGACATAGGTGCACATCCTCTTCTCGAACAACTAACATTCGATCGGATTCGAAATGTTCAACCAAATAGGTAGTGAAGGACAATAGGCGAAGTTCTACATGTGAATTGTCGTTTTTAGTGACATCGTCCAGCACGATAGAAGTTCATCCGAGAGATCACTACAAGTAGGAGTCCATTCGAATAGAAAAACAAAAAAAATTATTTTCATTTCGTATCTTCGTAGAGTAATAATCATAATACCGTTCCGTCGATATCTGTGATGTCAAATGAAAATCAACAAACTGTACCGAAAAGCGCTGATTATTGGGAAAAGTAAGCGAATAAATATTCTCATGCATTCGGACATGCTTTGTTGAATCTAGTCACACACAAAATGTTGCCATTGAATTTAGCAGTGATGATGAAAATGAGTTAACTAGTAAATAAATAGAATTGAATTTCGTAGAATAGACATCATCCTTATGTTTTAGAAAACGAATCTAATCCAACTAATAAACGTCTTCATCTTGCTCGACAATATTTTCTCAATGCAAACACTGCATGCCTGTCTGGTAATTATCAACATGCAGTTGATTTATATACCAAAAGTCTGGCAGTAAACGAAAATGTTATGGTGTTTTTCAATCGAGCACTTACATGTATGTTTTCCACTTCGAATTTTTCATTTCATTCGCTTGATTATTAAGATGCAAAAATGAATGATTACGACGGATCGATTCGAGATTGTTTCCAGATTTTAACAATTGATCCGAACCATGTAAATGGTAAACGATAATCAAGCGAATGGAGAAAAGACGAGATTACTCTTTGTCTTCTAGCTTTATATCAACGCGCACTATGTTATTGTGCTAAGCAACAATACGAGGAGGCCGAAGATGATGTCGAATCTTTGCGAATTATTGATTCACAAAGCCGAGAAGCAAAAGTAAGACATTTTACTACAAAAGAAGAAGAGCCATCGTCTATTTTTAGGAATTATCACAAATAATTACAACTATCAAGCATATGAACAACGGTCAAAATACTCCTTTAGAATTGTACACTCATACCCAGTCCTTGCTGGTAAACTCGACTGATTTTTCTCTACGTGTCTGTCAAGATCTCTATGAGATATTTCTTATTAGAAGACATCTTTGAACATTGACGACGAATTGAAGAATAATAGGAGGACACAAACAACCGATGAAACAATGTCACCCACCTTCAATAATATTCCGTATACATCTCTTTCACAATCGTCTTCTCCAATTCAATTTGAAGATCCAAATACCGATCAGTTCCAAACTTCAACTCTCAACGATGATGATGACGACATGGCGCTAGGCTTTGAAGCTGGTATTGGCATATCAACGAACATCAGTGATGAAGACGGGCGTGTCTCGCCGCAAATGGATGATGATTCTGATGTACCAGAACTGATCAATCAGAAACCGCTCTACACACCTCCAACTACACCGTTATTAAAAAAAGATAATCCACTTGAGCATGGTATGGGATTTTCGAATCGGTCAAATTTCCGACGAAATGCTCTTCTAACATCGGATACTTCGGATCAAACGAATGACAATCACTATGTTTTCAATGAAAACTATCATAATCCTAAAATTTCTCCACAAATTTCAACATTTCAACACAATACCGTTGGTTATCATTTTCATTCTCGAAATGAAACATGTAAATATTCTAATTTTCTTTTCTAATAGAGTTCTTTCAGTCTACTAGACGACACGAATGAAATAGCAACAAAACCATCCACAATCGACGAGATCATCTCAAGCTCAAATTTCGGTCCTCTTATTCAAAACTGGCTGTGTGATCTACTCGTTCAACAATCCACAGATCGTCAATTAACGATTCACGATCGACCATGGACGAATTCAGTTCGACCATGGTCACTCAATAATATTCAACATGATATTGATCGATTTTCTCGTCTTTACAATTATCCGAGTGCTATCGAAGTTTCGAAAAAGATGCTTCACAATGGTCTTCTAGGTAGATTCTATCATTACCTGCTTTCCATTTCATCAAACCTATGCTTTTCTAGATTACCATTACCATGCAGAATATATTACCGAAGCATTGGTTGGCTGTGCTGAGTGTTATCTACAACTCGAAGATTACACACACGCAATACAATATGCTACGGAAGCTCTACAATATAATCGAACATATGGTGAAGCATTGCTTTGCCGAGCGAAGGCATTTGAACAAGAAAAATTGTATGTTTAAAGAAAATCAACAACTCCTAGATAGTATTGATCCTGTTTTAGACTCCTCTTCAGCTATGCTGCCTACATTCGTGTTCCGGCTAGTCATTTTTGCTACTATAGAGCCCAACATGACATCGAAAGGCAAGTATATTCTATGTATAACCGAAAATGAGTTCTAAGATTTGAAATCCTTGACACGATTATCGTAGTTATCAAAGTTCTCCTTTTCCCTGTCAACATAAAACGTGATATTGGATTGAGCGATATCGTATTTGTCAAGTTCGTTTTTCCATTTCTTGTAAACAGCTTGTCGATGTTTATCGTGCAATTGTTTGATTGTCCGATCTTGTTGACATTTAAACGGTATCGAACCCATGCTCATACACGATTCTTTGCATTTAGATTAACAATTCAATTGAACTCTACTGATGGAGACACATGGCGCGAACAATTACCCACCAGTCAAGATGATGATGAACTTTTCTTTATTTATTTAAAACGTCCCGAACAGTCTTATGACTGGCATCAAACGAACGCAGATCAATTCTATCTTGATGCTTGTTTTGTACTTGCTATCCGGTGTTACACTCGCTGTATTGAACTCCAACCCGACGAACCGAATTCGTATTTAAAACGCGCGGCGTGTTACTTAAAAGTCTATGAGGTAAATTCGAATAATAAAATGGAAATTTCAAAATAAAAATACATACGAATCTTTGCATTTAGGCTAAAAAAGCAATTGACGATTGTGATGTCGTGTTAAAAGAAGATCCAACGAATACACTTGCTTTATATCGTAAAGCATTAGCTTACAAGATCTCTCGTGATGATCAATTATATGAATTAACATTGAAAGAATATTTAAAACTTCAACCAAACAATCAAATTGTTTTGACGGAGTATTACAGTTGTCGACACGAGAAAATTCCACGGAAGAAACGAAGAATTCGCATCCATTCTTCATCATCAAAAAGTGAGAATGACAATAATCTTTCTTACGAAGATCTCGAACAAATACGTGAAGAAGACAATCTTATGAATTCACCAATGGATCTCGAACACATCTGTGATTTAAAACAGCAATGTTCAGCAATTCTTCATTCGTTTCATTCAATTGATTTAACAACGAAGAGATCTATTGAAATTGTGATCAATATCATTCGGGTAATGATTCAAGCTGAACAGACTTATCGACTAGAACATCAATTGAACGATGTACCATATTCTTATATCAAATATGCGTACGATATTCTCCTTCAACTAGCAGCACTTCCACACATCGATGTTGTTTTACCGATGATTGATGATAGTATTCGAATAGTACTCGATGAAGAATTAGAATATTATTCATCCGAGTTTGACGATAGTGAAAAATTAAACCGGTTAAAAAGTTTTTGAACTTGATCTATTTTGATTTCGTTTTATATATATATATATGCAGATTTAAAAAAGAAATAAAAATTCTACTTTTACACAAGAATTGTTGCATATTTCATTCAGTACTAGGCAGGAAAGAGTTCGGAAGATGACGAGTTGCAGCAGTATTTACATTTGTGTTTCCGAGATCTATTCATGTAAACGATCGTCAAAGTATCGTTCCGAATAATAAGTTTGCTTTACATTTCTTGAAGTAGTTTGATCCATGCACGTATGTTGATGACGTCAGCATAAATAATGAAAGATTTTTGAAGGTATAAAATCAGTTGAGCAATCATCCTACATACAGCCTGAAAAATTGAACACAATGCATATCATAGCTGTTTTTATCCACTTTGTGCTGTTGTTGCTGAACACTGAAGAATCTCGTAAGAATTTCTTTTCAATAAAATCGACTTCAACAGGTCGCTGCATATTAACTAACCCCGAAAGTAGCTAATTGACATACTTTAGTTTAAAGCTGCCTTCAAAGTCAGTTGCGTATTTATTTTACATCATGGTGTAGGAATTTCATGTTTCATCTCATTCATGTTTTACAGGTTTATCGTACAATCAACCAAAATTGAGTTCTTGTGCGCAGTGGAATATCGATGCAACCACATTTGCAAATAAATCGTATGCAGGGACAACACCTCATGGTATATTTGTCGATGCTGATGATACTTTCTACTGTGCTAAAGTTTCTGCCAAAAGTATTACGATACGCTATAAGAATAGCAGCTCCTTTATCTCCCGATCCTTATACGAAACACTGTTTTTATATACGCAGCTATTCGTTACGACATTTGGAGATATCTATTACGGTAGTAACGAAACTGGATGTATCTATCGACTTTCGTATAATGGTGCAGCGAATAAATCATTTGTAACTCAGTTTGAAGACATGTGTCACGGATTGTTTATTGATCTTAACAATACTCTATACTGTTCGTTAAAGTCTAAACATAAAGTTGTCTCATTGTCACTGAATACAAATACTAGTGTTGTCACAACTGTTGCTGGAAATGGAACAGCAGGATCGACTTCTGTGCAACTGAGGCATCCTTACGGTATATTTGTCACAAGTAATTTTGATTTATACATTGCTGATTCTCAAAACAACAGAATTCAACTTTTTCGACAAAATCAACTTAATGCTTCGACAGTCGCAAAAAATGGTTTTCCGAACAACTTAACACTCACTAATCCAACAGATGTTATAGTGGACGGTAGTGGCTGTCTATTCATTGCCGACAATATGAACCATCGAATTGTTCGTGTGGTAGCTACATATTTCTATTGTGTAGCTGGCTGTTCTGGTGTAAGTGGAGCAACTCCGGATCTTCTATACAAGCCGTATTCGATACGCCTCGATAGTACAGCAAATATGTATGTAGCTGATGAGTTCAATCATCGTATCCAAACATTTATGCTAATTAGCAATTCTTGTGGCAAGTCTAATCGAGTATCGAATGCAGATCTTTTATTTTATTTTCAGAGGTATCCTCAATTGAACCTGCAATAACGTCTGTGATTATGAGCAACACATCAGTACGGTCTGAACAAGATAGAACTACTGCACAGACTATCAGTGGTATAATTTATTCAATCTATTTACACTTAATTGAGTCTGTTATTAGTTAGCACATCCAGACCGATTTTTACTCCATTGACATGTTCTGATGGAGCACTCACCGGTTCCGATTGTAATATTTCTAATCTACCTTGTGATACCATTCAACCGTGTCAAAACAATGGTACTTGCATGAACAATAACACATCTTTTCTCGGTTATTTTTGTTCATGCCTACCGTATATCAACGGAACTCACTGTCAATTCGATCATCGTCTTTGTAAACCAGATACATGTTTGAACAACGGTAACCACAAGTCACTCTTTTCTTTCCTTTCATACAGCATTACTAATAATTGTTTCAGGTATTTGTAGTGAAGTATCAAACAACACGTTTATTTGTCGGTGTGTTGGTGGATGGGAGGGTGGTCATTGCGAAACAAGAGTAGATTATTGTGCAAACATAAAATGCTTCAATCGAGGTGTTTGTCTATCGTTGTACGGTAACTATACATGTGAATGCCTTGGAATAAGTTATTCCGGTGTTCATTGTGAAATAACAGCTGATCGGATACAACTCTATCGAAATATTTCGAAATCATTTGCATATATTGTGATTATAATCATGTCATCTGTCGTCATGTTTATCGTGCTTTTGGACATACTGAAGTTCAGATTTGGTATCGATCCAGCACGACCAGAATTGAATTGGAAATGTCGTCAGAAGCAAATTAAGAAGTCGAAACAACAAATCGCAATTCGTTTTATATACGTAAATTAGGCGCTGTGCGTTGCGATCGTATTTTTAACGAGTAAAACAACAAGTGTTTATCTTTACTTTCAGACAATTAAATAATGTATCTATTACTAAAACAATAACATTTGAAAGTAGTTTCTTCTATTTCTAGAGAAACATTGCATCGATAATCCAGTCCAAAGTGTACTGTCAAATCCTATTCTGATCGAGAAAGGAATGTCGAGATGTTTTTGCTTCACCTTTTGCGCTGTTTTGTTTTGATCACAACAGAAATACATCGATCACTCTTTGACTACACACCTTCATCGCATAAAAGTTCATCAAATGTGAATTTTCTAGAAAATCTAGTTATCGAACTGGACTCATAATGACGTCATTGAGGAGCGATATGAATCCGAATCAATCGAAAGACGAATCGATGATTCACGAGTAGATTACGGCACTACTCTGACATTAGTCATGTACTGAAATGAAAGATTTTGTTTCAATATTACATATTTATATTTAAAAAAAAATATAATTAATACCTGTTAAATGAAAATTCACCGTATAAAAAAATATTTGATCTGACAGTTAAGAAGAGAAAAACGATACAAAACAAAACGAAGATTCTTTTCTTCTTTTCAATTCGTTTCTGATCGTTGACCTTTCGATTGCTTTCGAATCATTTTCGCTAGAAGTGTAAAAGCATTGGTTAAACCATCACCTGTCAGTGCACAGCAGGGCACGATATTATACGATCCTTGGGCCCATTGGTCCAACTCAAGTTTTTCGAGAATCGTGTCAGTCGATAGAGCATCTTTGTTATCTTGTTTGTTTGCAATAATGACCAATGGTACATGTTTCATCGTTTCATGATGATAGATTCCTCTTAATTCAGCTTTCGAAATCGACAGACGTTGCCGGTCGCTGGAATCAATGACAAAAATTAATCCATCGACATGATCGAAATAATGATGCCAGAGTGTTCGTAGGTGATCTTGTCCACCAACATCCCAAACTGTTAATGATACTCCCCGACAGGGAGAAATTGTTTCAACATTGAAACCTATGAAGTACATCATTCCTATGTCATGGAAATCTTATCAAAAGATAAACATACCAACAGTCGGAACAGTACTGTAGTCCTCTGTATGTTTCATTTGATAGAGTATTGTTGTTTTCCCTGCGTTGTCTAAGCCAAGCATGAGGATCCGTTTAGGTCCGTCGGAGGACAGTTTTTTCAAAACTTTCGAGAGTAGTTTGCCCATAGTCGAATGAATGAATAAGCGGGAAGAAGGAGAAACTGCTGAAGGTTTTATACGAAGTAAAAGGAGTGGAATAGGAGTATTAGTCAACAACAAACGTCGAGGAGAAGAGAAAGAAAGAGAATGATTACGACACAGCTGTGTTGCAACACACTCTAGACTATTGTTGATAATAAAATATGTTAATCATCGAAGTCTATTCGATTCTATTATCATTTAACTGTGCGTCAGCGTCGAGATGAATGAATCATAAGTGCAAGAGAAAACCTAGTAGTGATGGTGACAATGAAAACATATTTTCACTTGTCATTGTATAAATGTAATTGAATAGAACAGAAAGTAATATAAAGCAATTTTTATTCTTTTATCGTCGTGCATTTGTCGAAAACGAGACGAATCTCTGTCATTGCCGTTAGTGTTGACCGACAATGAATGAACTTATTTAAGTATTTGACCGAAAGGCGTCGACACGATGTCGAGACTATTAGTTGAGCAATTGTATAGCTGACCGAAAAATTCTCTTTCTCGTACTCTAGATGAGGTCATCGGTTATAACAATAACAATCTTGATTTCTCACTGGAGTCTTTTCTATGAGAAAGATGAGAAACGAAATAAACTGAAATGAATTTGATATTTTCCACTTCGATGCTTATTGAATAAAATCATTTTTGTCGACAAATGACACAAATTGAAACTGATTGAGTAGTCGATGTAATATACATTCCGCTGTCTTTCTCCAATCGCTTATCTTCTTTGAACACAGATGTCTCTACTTGAAAATGATTGGTTAAAATGTATACAAATAAAAAAAAATGACAACAGAATAATCAAGTCATATCAGAAAATTTTCCTTCTGCCAAAGATTTTCTTTTGTACAAACGAAAGATTCGAATGAAACATTTGATATTCTAACCGAAAATGAACAACGATGATGACGACGATAATTATCCGGGCAAACTTCTTCATCAGGCAGCATTATACCTAAATGTCGATCTTCTCAAAGTAAAACTCAACGCAAAGAGTCACCCGAACTCACGTTTTCTCTCCATTAGGATCTACTCACAGGTGACGAAATTAACAATATCGATGCTACCGATCGTTTCGGTTGTACGCCATTGCATACAGCATGTATTTCGGCAGCACAAGCAACTCTTCAAAATGATACCAAAGTACTCGATTCATCCTTGGAATTCATAATGGCATTGATTGATCATGGAGCTGACTTGAATATTCAATCTGGTGAACGTTACAATTATCAAGTAAGGATACATTGAGTTCGTTTTTATATTGATTTTCGAAGTACATTTTCGTGAATAATGAAGGATCTTATTCTCTGTTTGATCAGTTGTGCGTTATTTACATAGATCGAAAAAGGAAGGAAGTGTATGTAGATATAAAAGTTAAGTCTGACAAACATATTTTCCTCATACGAAACGAAATGAATATGAATATGAAGTCGTTTTTACTGACAGTAATAACTATCGTGATGCGTTTGGGAAACAGCCAACAGTTGATTGTTGGCTGTTATTTTACAAATTGGTCTCAATATAGGCAAGGTCTCGGATATTTTGATCCGTCAAACATTGATCCATCGCTGTGTACACATCTCTACTACGCATTTGCGAATATCAACGTTATGACACGAAGTCCAAGTCCATTTGAACTCAATGATATTGAACCAATACCCAGTCGAAGTACCAATCTAACAAAACCGCGTGTATCTAAAGGAATGTATGAACAAATCTATTTGTTAAAAGCAAAAAACCGACGATTGAAAACATTGTTGACATTGGGTGGTGCGACAGTCAATTCGACACAATTTCGACAAGTTTTTCAATCGGAAAGAATACGACAAGAGTTCATCCGAAATACGATAAGATACTTACGAAAGTATCGATTCGATGGTCTAGACCTTGACTGGGAATATCCCGAAAACGACAATGATCGACGAATATTTTCATCGATGATTCGTGATTATCGTATCGAATTCCAAAATGAAGCTCGTTCAATGAATCGAACACGACTTTTGCTCACTACAGCGGTCGCAGCCTATCAACCAAAAATTCATATTGCCTATGACATTCCGAACGTCTGCTCATCCGTTGATTATGTAAATCTAATGGCGTATGATTATCATGGTTTGTTGAAATGAAAGACGACTTGTTCCCTAGAGAAAACCGATCGATTTTTTAGGTAGTTGGAATTCCTATATAGGTTTCAACAGTCCACTATACCCACGCTCGACGGAAACGAATGATCAACGTCTTTTGAATCAACAAGCGACTGTCGAGACATGGATTAACGGTGGATGTCAAGCAAAAAAACTCGTTCTGGGTCTTGGAATGTATGGACGAACATTCAAGTTAAAACAAAAGATAAATCCTGATGTTAAACCCTATGCACCATCGATAGGTGCAGGTTCATTGGGTAATTATACTGCGAGCAAAGGATTTTTATCGTACTATGAGATCTGCAACCTAATTACCAAAGAAAAATGGTCTGCAGAGTACGATCGCGAGCAACAAGTGCCATTTGCATATAAAAACGATCAATGGGTTGGATACGATAATTTACAATCCATCGAACAAAAATGTCGTTTTGTTGTCAAACAGCGGTTAGCGGGAGCGATGGTTTGGTCATTGGATTTAGACGATTTCAGTGGAAAATTTTGCAAACAAGGGAAATATCCGTTGTTGATGAAAGTGAAGAAAACTTTCCAATACCTACAAATGTCAAAGACTACTCCGAAAATGTTATCCAACCGGGGAATGATTAGAAAATTAGATTGTATTTTTTTGTTAGTTAGCTGTTTTTTTATATTGATGTATTTCTTTTAGACACCGTTGCATATGATTGCCGAAGTGGGAAACGAAAAGATTTTGGCTCTGTTGTTATTTCATAAGGCAGATGTGACGATCAAAGATAAACACGGTGAAACTGCATTGACATTAGCACAAATGAATCGGAAAGTTGATTCAGTGGAGATGATTCAGAATGAGATTGAACTTCGACAGCAAGTTCGACAAGAAACTGAAAAGAGTAAATGCTGCTTTTTCAAAGGGAAAAATGAAGAAACGAAAGATCATGTTATTTAGGACTGCTCGATGCTTGCTTTGATGGTGATGTGGAGAAAGCAGCAGAATGTTTAGCACATTTAGGTGCACATGCGAAAGCTGTTTTGAATTCCAGTCCAAATGGAAGTGATACATTGAACTTTTTGTACCGAGCATGTCGAACGGGGAATGTGGATTTAGTTAAATTATTATTAAAGCATGGCGCAATTGCTAAACCACATCGTCAAACATCGTATTCACCACTGTACATTGCCTGCCGGATAGGAAATCTCGAGATTGTTCAAATGCTCTTAACTGTAAGTTGAAAATCTGGTTCCCATTAACTAATTTGCTTCCTTTATCGTTCTTTTTTATTTAGCATTTTCCGCATTTAGTCTCTGTAGCAACCTTGGAACAAATTCTTCCGTTCGCTGCTGCTTGTTCACAAGGACATTTATCAATTGTACAACTTCTTTTAACTTATCCAAACTATCCATTTGGATCTTGTTCACTCTTCGCTGATCGTTTGCAACGATCGTATGTTTTCCCATTCAATCTTAACGGTATGACCTTATTTCATTGCTCAATCAGTCAGTACAACGAGAAAGAGAGATTCAACAGTAGATTAAGTAGAAAAGTATTCATACCGTATACTATTACTTAGCATGAGATTAAGTTCTCACATAAACAGCGTGTAAGTTGCGTAAGCAGATGTAATATCATAGAGCATTGTCAAGGTATCAGTTGATCTACTTTATGTTTATTTTTTGCAGCACAAGATTTGAATGATCAAACCAGTTTATACTTAGCTGCACTTGGTGGATATGTTGATCTTGTTGAATATCTTCTTTCTTTTCGTGTCCATGGATTAACCGCTCAAGAAGTAGAATTATTCAAACGTCGATCCACGCATAGTTATTTCAATTCCGAAAGTAACTACCTTTACGATACGAAAGAAAAAAAACTAACTCGATCTCATCCTTAGGTTCAATCACCACTCTTGCAGAATTCAATGCAACGTTACAGAAGACGACCACGTCGTTTTGTCCATTCAATCTTGATGTGTATTCTATCAACGGTCGAGCTGCATTACACGAAGCAGTTGAACAGCAAAATTTTAAATTAGTCCATTTGCTTGTTTCCAACGGTGCTAATGTTAATTTACCATATGAAGAAACTGCAAGTCAAGCATCCAACGAAGAACGATGCTTTGTCACTCGTTCTACACCTCTGTCGTGTGCTTGTCGTCTTGGTAATATTCAATTAATCGAATATCTGCTCAATTCTCATGCAACTGATAAAGAGTTTCTCGCGTTCAATTCTTGCAAACAATCGTACCTCATTGGTCATTTGCTAAAGTATCGTGTTTTACAAGATAATGAATTCAAGTTAACTAAACGACAGTTAACATCCAACGTTCTTTTTCCGTTCGATGAACAGTTTTGGTCATGTATCGATCTATCCAAGATCTGGATGAGTACAGCTGAGGAGAAAAATGTCGATAAGAACAACAATATACCCGAATCGAATTATTCTATGGAACCTGTATTAAAACGACGTCCGAGTAAACGATATCAGGTATTAACAACAGGCTTTGAACAACTTAAAAATCGGTTTTCTACGCGTTCGATTATGACACCAACCCAGATTCCGTTATCATCACCGATTCCATCAACACCTGTAGGTATTCAATGGCATCATTACGGTCCATTGAAAAGTGTCGATCCTCTTTGGTTCATTCAAGCATCGATCTTCGTCAACAAAGACACATTTATTCAACTATCAGATATCACATTATCGAACCGCCATTTACTCTTGCATTGCATTACACGCATTGATTTATCAGATAACTCACTAGAAAATCTACCAGTGTTCCTTTTTCAAATGTATTCTTTGAGAATATTAAATGTGTCGAATAATCAATTAGGAGAATTACCAAACGGAAACAATGTTTGGTTATGTCATCAATTAGCCGAATTAGATGTATCGCATAATGCATTGATTTCTTTACCACCAGCGATGTTTCAACTTCGATCACTTCAAAGAGCGTACGCAGGTAAAATAACAGCGATTGATCTTCGATAGCATATGAATTCGTGACATTTGTAGCTCATAACCAACTTCAGTATCTGCCAGTCGAAATGTGGTCAGCGCCGATGTTGACTGATTTGAATGTAGCGAATAATTCATTGAAAGAACTTCCAAGACCATCTGTTGTATCCACAAAATATGCAGAAAAATCCGGCCGACATATGACATGTATGTAAAACTCTTAGTAATGGAATCTTTCTTATAGAACTCTTTGTTTACTATAAGCACGACATTTGGGCACACAAAACCGCACAGCAAGTGAATTACGTCCGCAGGCAAGTTTACTTTCTGCGATAAAACCAACACATATTGATCTTAAATCGTCAACAATACCATCATCAATAACAACTGTTGATTTATCCACACTGTCTCCTCCACTTTCTGCTCCTCCACGTTCAACAACATTTGTTCAAATGCCAATAGATGACATACCACAATCACCTGACGACGACGATGAACTTGAACGCCGAGCTAAGTTGAAAATCAGTTATCAGAACTCACCTCCATCGTCAGCATCACAATCCATTCCAGTAAAACGACTCTGCCTTTGGCAAAATCACATTGCTCCGTCAACAGATGATGATCCACAAATAGGACCAAATGTCAAAGCTTCCGCTTCATCTTCCCCTTCGTCCACAGTCAGTCGGTTAACTAATCTTAATCTTTCCTACAATCACTTCGAAACTCTTCCACCAATGCTCTGTTGTCTTGTTCCATATTTAACATCTTTAAATCTTTCACACAATCTCCTCACCGATGCATTGAATGTATCGTCCTATCCTCCACGTTTAAAGATGCTTGATTTATCATTCAATCGTCTTCAATCCAGTATTCTCTCGGAATCGTCAACATCTTCGTCTCGCAAAGATAATCGAACACACCGAAGAAATCGTCACAATGAAACGATCTCACCCGACAATATCTGTTACCGGCCTGAATTAAAAGAGACTACTAACGCACAATTAGACGCCGCAAAACGACGTCGAAGTCGATCAGTATCTCGGCATAAACTTCTTGCTTCAGCAAATCTATCCATTGGACTAAATTCTCCATCGAAATCCGATCACAATGACCAATGCTGTCCGCATCGTCGACACGTCAAGTTAGAATTTCTGCACGATCTAAATCTTAGCGATAATCTTATTGAAGAACTGACATTATCTGTAAGTAGACTTCCTTCTTTAAAATGTAAATTCTGTTTATTATGTAGTCAATACCCAAACCATCGTCTGGCACGGATGCGTCGTTATTACGTGCGGCATTGCTATTTCCAGCAATAACACGTCTGAATTTAAGTCAAAACAAGTTAGTATCCATTCCAACCAGTATTGCATTGTTGGATAACCTTGGAACATTGATATTACGTGATAATCTCCTACTGCGAGAGGTTTGCTTAGACTGAATGAATCGGAAAGAGAAATTTTGTTTTGTTCTATTCTAGATTCCTTTGTCGATTGGTTCGATGCAAAAATTGTGGAATTTAGATCTTCATGGTTGTGGGAGAGCGAGTAGAAAATGATGATTCGACCTCTCGCATAAGATATCCTGAGATATTCAGACGTTGTATTACGACAGTCTGAATCGATTGAACATTGTTTTCGTAATTTATTGAACAAATAAACATTCAGACAATCATTTTCTTTTATGTAAACTACATCTAAGGTACTTATTCTTTTAGATTATTTCCAACGTGAAAATAACTTGGTACACAGTCAGCGACTATGATTGATATTACAAAAGAGCCTCTATCGTCGTTTATTACGAATAATTATCGAACTGCAGAGATTATTGGCTATATGAAAAGTTTATGTGATGAGTAAGATGCAAATTTTCGCTAGACTTTGATTGAATTATGTATCTTTAGCACAAAAATCTACAACAAGATGAGACTAATGTTGCTTGGAAATGAACAAACAGGGAAAACGACATTGTTTCAAATTTGTAAACGCGAGAGTACGAACACTACTCCACAGAATCAGCGAAAAGTATGTACTTTTCCAATTTTTCGAAGATCGTTCTCCATGATTGCTTAGAAATCTTCAACATGTCGAAATTTTCCAATTCTGGACATATCGGAATGGATTTACGAGAAAACACCACGTACGTTGTTAGGGCCAATCACATTTCGAGTTTGGGATTTTGGTGGACAGGTACATGGATCCAATTCAAAATTCACTATGCTCATCTTGCAGGTTATTTTTCAGAGAGAATTCCATTCGATTTATCAGTACTTTTTCACACGTCGTACACTTTATTTAATTTGTTGGAAAATGACTGAATACGACCAAAACGAACAAATCTTTGATACAATTCATAAATTTCTTATAAATATTCAAGTAAGTCGATGTTTATGCAATAAGTCCATGAATAATAATGACGAACTTCAACGTTTCACTTTCGATTTCTAGTGAGAGCATATCATCAGTTCGAGAATTCCACAGACATTGATTCATGATCAAAATATTCTCTTCCAGTTTCTTCGGATAAGCGATCACTTGCATAATTGCCTTGTAATTCTCTTTGATGTGTTTGTAAACGAGACGCTTTAAGATTTCGGTTATTTGATAAGTTAAATCTTCCATTGCACCATCGGCAGTAAACGAAATTTCGCTGATTTGTGGTAAATTGATGAATTCGTAAATTTCGTCTTTGACAATCTGAAGAAAAAACAAGCAGCTTTTTCTTGTTTCGAAGATGAGTTTGATTACATACAGTACTGAACAGATCATCGGCAAACTTAACATGTACGCTTGACATTGCTCGAATTCCCGTAAAATGATGTGAGCTTCTGTTTTTTCTTCTTTCAATTAGATGTAATAAGGTTGTAGTGTCATAGAACGAACCTTCCGGAGTTTTTTTTTTCTGCGCACGCAGTGCAATGTATGCTCGAGAGAGAAGGAAGGAATGTGTCACCTTTCAATAATAACAAATACGAATGGATCAATGTGAGAGAAAGAGAAACAAAGTCTATAATTAAGAACATTTGAAAAGATTCTCTCAAGCTAGGAGAACCTATTCGTACCATCATCTGTCGCACGCGAATGACACCAGATTGTATAATCAAATATGTTTTAGACTGTCGCGCCGGGTTCATCTGTGATTATTGTTGGTACACATCATGACCAAATAGCCAAATTGAAAAACTATCGACAGTTGTCGGAAAATTTTCAATCATTGATCTACCAGCAATTCATTGATACATCTCAAAGTGAAAAGTTAGGTTATCCGAAAGTTTTGGATTCCATCGAAGTCAGTTGCAAAACAGGCCATAATATCAAGCAACTTTGCACACTAATTTATGATATCGCTGGACAATTGTTAGCACCGAATAGTAAAGACCAAACAATATTTCAACAACGAATCCCGGCGAAGTATATTTATCTCGAAGAAGCGCTAGAAGGACATCGATCGAACAAAAAAACTTTCATTTTAAACGATAAGGAATATCAGTAAGTATCAAAGAAAAGAAATCCGAAACGGCACTTATCTACTCGATTGTTCCAGAGAATTGATTAAAGATATCTCTGCACACGTTCAATTTCGCGATTCACTCGATCTTCACCAAGCGAATAAGTGGTTACATGAAAACGGTAAACAGAAGCAAACAATATATGTGATTGTTCATCGTTTGTGTTTAGGAATTATTCTACATTTCGAAGATACATTATTGTCAAATTATTATTTTCTCGATCCGCTATATCTCGCTGAATTGCTAGCGCAACTGGTCGCCAATGAACAGACTAATGGTCTTGCAAGACATGGTAGTTTCATAGCTTTTAGCCCACGGATAAATTGTAGCATTGCTTATCAATGTAGGATTGATGAAAATCAATGAATTACCAAATACATTCGACGAATCAAGTGCATTTTCCACAAAAACTATCTCCATTTTACTTCCACTATTACAAAAATTTGACTTAGCTCTCACATGGGATAATCAACATCTAATTTTTCCATCATTACTTCCCGTTCAACTCAGTTTAGACACTATTGTAAATCCACTAAACTGCATTCGACTTCCTATTCTAATTATTCATCTGTTTTAGTCCAGCCATTGTCGTGCAGCGATCATATCCTCATCGAGTGTGATCCAATTCAAAGAAAGCTCTACTAAACATTCGGTTGCTCAATTGCCCGACGCCAGTTCGTTTCATTTGAAGTATTTAGCGCGGATTAAAAAAGACGACAAGCTATCATTCTCATACATTCGTCGCTTCTATCATTTAATTTTCGTTCCGACTTGCTTTTGGTCACGTTTATTCACGCGTTTACTCGGTGATAAACAACTACAACAAACATTTACTCAATATTTTCTTGTCGACGCTCAAGCCAATGAAAAAATCAGAAATATTCTTCTCGCTGAATGCTCGTGGATCGTTTGTCAAACAGGTTTAGAACTTCGTTATTATGATTGTTGTCTTCTACGAATCAATCAAATCAGTTTAACATCCTCGACGAACGATGAGGACGATGGGATTTCGTATTCCTACCTAAATGTAATCTTCCAATTCGACACGGATGAAGAACAGAAGAAACAAATCCTACCATTTAACGATGCAGGTTCATTGATCGAGATTCTGATCTGCACAAGTGATTTACAGATGATGATCGATTCAAATGCTGAAGAAAATAACCCATACATAATCGAACTTCTCGTTCAGCAGAATACGATTGCAAGCATCTTAACGACTCTAATGGCACATTTCGATACATTATTAGAAGATTGGTATCCGGAGATGGGTACGCGATTTGTACAGAATTCCAAAGGAGATTATTTAGTCAATCGATTTATTCCTTGTCATCAATGTTTGTACGAAAATGAGTTGCCGGAAAAGTATATCTGTCAGACATTTTGGTTGGAAGCATTGATGATGTCCGTTGAGAAACAGATGGAGATCACATGTGAAAAACATGGGCAAATCTCAGTGAAAACAATCGCACCTGATTTGGTTAGTTACCGAATGGCAATAAACAACAGATTCGATTAAGATCTTTGTTTTAGGTTTTTGTTGATTTAGCATCGAAGAATTTCATCATCCCATTCGATGTGATTCGATTGAAAAAGTTGATCGGACAAGGCACATTTGGAACTGTGTTTGCCGCGACATCATACAAGGTATGAATGAAATGAGAATAACTTCACCTTGAGACAATCAATTTCTTTAGTCTACTGTGGATCTTGCTTGTAAAGCATTTGTACCAATTGATCCAGCGATTACGAATGGCCTCATCGAGCAAATACAGAGTGGCAATCGAGATGATGAATCCGAGAAGAAACTATCTTTGGTAAGTAGAAATGTGAATCAAGAAACGAAAGATTTGACGCGTTCAATATTTCAGCGTGATATCGCCAAAGAATGGACTCGAAATCCCATGCGAGCAGCATGTAAAGCCTACATTACTTGTCGTCAAGAACTCTCCTGTTTGCTAACAACGGGATCACATCCAAACATTGTACCATTACTTGGCCTATGCACTCATCCATTAAGTTTAATCTTACACTACGCTCCTATGGGATCACTGGAAGCGATATTGAAAGAGTACAAACGAACGAATACTCAACTAGGGTTTACGATCTACCAAAAATTGATTGTTCAAGTTTGTGTTTAATACTGATGAATGTCTGCAACGTGATTGTTCGTGTTTAGGTAGCAAGTGCGATTGCCCATTTACATAGTAATAATATCATTTATCTGGATTTGAAATCAGAAAATATCCTCGTTTGGAATATGCCACAGCCGCGTTTGCCATCGAATGGTCAAGTTCTGGTTAAACTATCAGATTTTAGTATCAGCCGATTTTTATCACCGATTGGTAAGGAATTTCTGTAGAATAATTTCTAGTTTCATTTCTGTTTCTGATGATTAATTAGGTACGAAAGGTTTTGCTGGAACGGAAGGTAAAGAAGTTATTCAAAAAGAGAAAAAGAAACTTTCTAACCATCTCTCTTTCAAGGATACATTGCGCCGGAAATCGTGCGTTTCACTGGCGACGAATTATATAGTGAAAAGGTTTGTTCGAAACTTTCGGTTGAACACGTCTTCTAATAATATTTACTTTAAGGCTGATATATTTTCCTTTTCGATGCTTATGTATGAATGTCTGTCATTGAATCATCCATTCAGTCGGAATAAACGTGATCATGCAAGAGAATTAATTCTACATGGTTGGCGACCTTCGCTTACTGAACAAGTAATTGAAAACGATCAAAGCATATTAGCGAAAACTACATCGATTTGTAGGAATTATCATCGCCAACATTAATACTTGACTTAATGGTGGCTTGTTGGTCCGAATATCCGAATGATCGTCCATCAGCGAAAGATATCCATCGATTATCTAGTTCTTTGGAATTTCGACATTTAATGGATGTTATCGAGCTTGGTCCACGCAACTCCAATGATTCTGATGCATTAGCGACAATTTCCTATCGAGAAAGTAAATCGAAACATGAGTACTGGCAATTGTTCTACAGAAACTTTCTTGACTAGTTAATGAAAGCTTCGAAACGGACAATTCGACGGCTGATGACGACGATATCGGCATTCCAACTGCTGATTGTTGGTTCGTTCGACAATCAAAACAAGATGGTCAATCAACTCTGACCGTTGTTGCTTATGACCAGTTCAATGCTGTAAATCAACAGGTTCGATTCTTCATCTCTTTCATCTTTATCGACCATAACTTCTATTTAGATCATTGATCTTGGCCAATGTGAAATACGCGTTATATACTATCATCAACGTGATCGCATTGTTCTCCTTGCGGATCGTCAAAATCTGATTCGTGTCTATTCCACGCAAACATTTCAAGAAATTAATCAATTTCTTCTCATACCCCATCAACAAAATGGTCATCCAGTCCACATGACCAGTTTAGCTGAAACATCGATTGTGTTTCTGTTATTATCAGATAATTCTATATATAGCATTGATTTATCAATACTTTTACATGGATCTCGAAGTTCAATATCTTCCGCGCAAGAACTTTGTTATCGTTACGTTGCGAATGTTTCATTGCCAACATTCAAGCTTCTCGCATTACCAACAGCAAGCGGTCGAAAGTAAGAATAGCATCTGTTCTCTTCTATCATTCGATGACTTTTACCGTTTAGTATGGAAATCTGGTGTGGTTGTTCATTAGGAAATTTACGCATTATCGATGTTCGTACAGCTCAACTATCAGTTCAATTGTCACATCAGTTAGTATCTGGTTCAAGTGCTGTACAATTACTTTGCGCGTCAAAAGATTCACCGTACCAATATTCCATATGGACAGCGATGAAAACAGGTACTATCATACTCATTTAGATATCACGCTAAAATTCTGTCTCATTCGTTCTTCTAGGAAGTATCGTATGCGTTTGGAATCATCTCTCTCGTCGCATATCTAATCAACTTGATTGTGAACAAATTCTTAAACGATCGAAAGGTATTCATTTTTCTTGTCGCTACTTGATCAACTTATTCTTGTGTTTAGATGAGTCCAATGATCTAACCGTTGATTCGATTTTACCTACACGAATATTGGTATTTATTGGTCTCAGTTCTGGCCATATTCTTATCGTCAAATCAACATCTATTCAAGTTTTATACATCGTACATGCTTACGATCAACACGTTCTACATTTATTCTCTCTGTCATCGTCAGCTTTCTTATCATCAGCACCGTCGACGACAACCGCCACAACAAATGATGTATACGATAATCGATTTCGGAGTCAATTCAAATTCTTACAGGAAAAATTCGAACAACACCGATTCCAACGGGACAGTCTTCGCTCTACTGCACTTTTGGCTCGATCTGATAATTACGAAGCTGATCTCGATAATATCTCCTACATGTTAGCCATTGGTTATGGAGCTAAAGCGTGTCAATCCATTCCTCAATTGCAACACTATTCTTCAGATGCAATTTTCTTACAAGCATGGTCATTGGATGATTTCATTCTCTAAATGAAACGATTTGAACTAGAACAGTGATAGAGCGAGTATTGAATAATTGTTTTTGCTTTTCTCTGTGATACTTGACACTGACGTACTAAGATGTGAATCGAACATAATACTTACACATTTTGTGTTTTCTAGTCAATGTTATTCTTTGATTGTGAATATCAATTGTTTGTTTAATCAATAAAACAAGTTTTGAACTAATTACATTTCGAAGCGATTGTCTCTCGCCAAAGAACAACTATCGAGTGTTCATATGCAAAATAGACGATCACATCGTGTGAATATTATTCCCAGAAAAAGAATGTTCTATTCGAAGGCAATTACTTCAAATTGAGCTTCGCTCTCATCAACAAAGGGCCTCAAGAGATTACATGACATGAACGTTGAGATCAGAAGAAATACTTTGCCTTTGGCTTAGTGTGACAGAAGAAAACGCATTTTTCTTCAAGCTGCTCATTCTATCATTGAGCATCACGAGCCGGAAATCAGCAACGAACGCCAGATGGTTAGGTTTTTTTTCACTCGCTCATAAATTTAAATACATACGAATAGTTTTCGAAAAATGGCGACATCTAGTGCAACTGACACATGTAACATTTACAATTGGATATTCGCGTCTCGTAACAGAGTCTCCAACTCTCTTCTGCTTCTACTCGATTGATTACATTTTCGATCCAGTTTTAAAACAATTTTTCATTGTTCTTTTTCTAAGACATGCACATCCAACTGTTTTGTCTCAAGTGCGCGCCGATGTTCTAGATGAATTCGCTACTTCCAGTTCTATTAGTAGCTTTAGTTAATCTCAATTTCTGTAGTCAATCCAATCCTGGTCATTTGAAGCCGTTTGGTTCAGTTGGATCATTAGTTAATATTGAAGAAATTCGTGGAAATTACGTTGATGTTTTGAAGCTTTTTACGTATTACTTGCCCAGATCTGAACCAATCGTTTCTCGTCGAGTATTGATCAATGAAGAGTCATTCTATATGTGGAAAACAGATGAAAAACTTGAGAATGAAATTCGTGGATTAGCAAAAGTAAATATTTATGCCGACTCATTAAGTAATTCACAACGAATACAAATGAAATTCGGAGAATTTCTCGATAGATATCAAAATGAAGCATTATACTTTGCTGATAATGTACCTGATATTTTCCGGTAAACTATATTCTATTGTGTCTATAGGAGTTTTTCGTATCAAATACTCTTTTCTAGATCACATCTAACTGTTCCACAGCCTTTACAATGTCCAGCTGTTTTACCTGTCTTGCAATCCGCTGTTTGTATTCATTTTTTTTTAATTTGAATATATGTAGTTCTTCTTGTGTAGATTCTAGTTATGAATGGAATCAATTCATCACCATTGATGATCAATGAAGAATATGATTCATTGGCTTGTCTGTTTCGAGGAAATAAACAATTCGTTCTTGTTAACACAGACAAACATCCTGATACACGTCAAGTAACACAACGCATCTTCTATCGTTATATTTCAGTTGTCGTCCGTAGATCGTCATGACGGACAATCAACAAGCTGGTGGATCACATTTCAATCCTGACAAGTAAAATTACTCGTCAGATTTCCATTGTTGTACGCCTCTGTTTCATTTCTTAAGAGTGAATTTCAATCAGTTCCCTATGCTGAAAGATGTCGATTATCATGTTACCAATTTAACTGCTGGTGACTGTATATTTATTCCTGTTCATTGGATCTTTCACGAACGATCTTTCGATAGCACGATAGCTGTGGTATATAGTATTCACCATAAACAAGCATTGAATGTCGATTTGAATGAAGTACAAGCTTGTTCGAATAGTAATAAGTATGATCGATCATTTACACTTGATCAAGTTGATTTTTCAAGCACTGGAAACGAAGCGCCAAGTTTGAAGTATTGTATATGGAATCTTTGATCGATTGAGAAATTCGCGATGCTTTTTTTGTAGAGATGTCATCATCAATTTGGTAAAATCGAATTCAAATACCTACGACAAATGGTTGGAGACGCTTTCTCGAGTAATGTATTGCAACTGACTCGAATGTTAATGTGCATTTATCGATTATGTAGTACCTCTCATTTGATATGAGTTCGGATGTTGAAACCGCTGCAATTTTTGACGAGGTAAATCGGACGAATGAAAATTCATTGTTTGAAATTTAGGGATTTATTTTAGTTATACGGAATTCTTGATCATGATGGAAATGGTGAGATCGTAATGAGCGAGATTGATCTCATCGACGGACCGGTAAGAAGCTGTTGAAGGAGTATTCTTTGGTGACAATTTTGTATTCTTAGCATCAACATCACCTATCGGACCTTCTATATGAAATGTTTGAACTAGTTGATAGAAAACAAAAGAATAAATCAACAAAGAAGCCGCCGGCGCAGAAAGAAATTGATGAAACGGATGAACATTTACATTTAGAAAATTATAAAACTGATTTGTGATTTGAATGAAAAACAAACTGTTTTACTCACCACCGAATGTGTTTTTTTCTAATTCGTTGTGTATTTCTTCTGTCTTCAGATAGTTTACTCATGACTGAGCGTTTTTTTCCAAATACATTTCCGGAGTATAATGGAGAACAATATCTCAATCAACAGAATCAAGTTTGTTATTTTGACTAAATCGTGTCGTTTGAAATGTTTTTCTTCGGTCTTAGTTGAACTCAGAACTCGGTGCGAATATTCTTCGATGGATTGAACACCACACGCAACGACTCGAACAAAATCTGAGCCGGACTGATCCATCAGATGGTTCAGTTTACACTGGCAGTGCAGGTAAATGGAAATCAACATTGTCATTGCTGATCATTTCCCTGTTAATAACACTTAGGAATTGCATTGCTCTACATAAGACTGGCGTCACTTTTTCCGGATCAAAAAGCTCAATACTTGTCAAAGGCAAAGACATCGATCGATGCAGCATTACGACAATTGGATCGTAGGTTCTTTATCTAAATTTTTCAGAAAACAATAACAATTTAACGTGTACTTAGAACATACAGTCACGTTTCTATGTGGCGCTCCAGGACCGCTAGCAATAGCAGCAGTCATTTATTCCAGCCTTGATGACCAGCATATGGTGACCAAATGTATTGAAAAGTAAGAAAAGACTTGTTGTGCTAGTTAAAACTGGTTGACTATTAGAATTTTGTCGATGAAAAAACAGGCTATGAGTCGTTCAACCCCAGACGAACATTTATATGGTCGAGCTGGTTATCTTTATACATTAATGTACCTTCGACGGGAGCTCGGTCATCATGCTGTCGATAATCAACACGTTACTGATGTAAGACGAACTGTTTGACAATATTCTATGGGTGAACCTTTTCTCTGTTGAAGATCTTCGAAGCTATGATCAAATCAGGAGAGAACTATGCACGAAAAACACGTTCGCAATCACCATTGATGTACAGTTGGCACAATACTGAATATATGGGAGCAGCACATGGCGTGTCTGGAATAGTCTATCTTCTTCTCAAAGTAGAAAACACTGACAAAGTTTTCCTTTATTTGCAAACGGTTGTAGGTTACACAACACGAATCATTTGCGCATCTTCGTCCATACGTTCATTCGCATTTAATTCCAACAATTGAATTCCTCAAATCACTACGCTTTCCAAGCGGTAATTATATGTCATCTAGTGACAGTAAATCAGACAAACTCGTCCAATGGTGTCATGGAGCACCGGGTTTCGTTTATTTATTTGTTCGAGCATACCAAGTCAGTTGTGATAGATTTCCTTAATTTGACATAGTCGTCACTTTTATAGGTGACAGGAGATGGTTCGTATCTCGAATTAGCCGTATCCGCAGGTGATGCCATTTGGCAACGCGGAATTTTAACAAAAGGTTATGGTATTTGCCATGGTACAGCTGGCAATGGCTATGTGTTTCTCAATTTATATCATGCAACAAATGATCTGAAATGGCTTCATCGCGCAATACAAGTTAGTTGATCTCGTCTTCACGACACTATGATTTCGTTTTCATTCTTAGTTTGCGAACTTTTGCTTCGACTATGGAAAACATAATATATCAAGAACACCCGATTCACCATATTCTCTCTTCGAAGGTAATTCTCCTACACTTGCAACACAATCTATGAGAAATTAACGTTATTCTTATTTTTCTAGGTTTAGCAGGAACAATCTATTATATGGCTGATGTTTTAACTCCGTCTCATGCTCGTTTCCCTGCATTTGAATAAATCAAACGATCTGACTTGATGCCATGTACTTTTTTTAGTAGCATAATTAATCTCTCAATTTTATTGTAGATATGACTACCTCAATGGAAACATCATCCGAAGCAACAATTAAACGAAACGACTTGACGACAACGTCAACAACAGATTACATATCTGGGTTTGATCTAATCTCAATTGAAGGTTATCGACAGGATGGGCGTAAAGCAGATGAATTACGCCATTTTCGTGTTTCATTCAATGTTGTTCCGGATGCTGATGGATCCTGTTACATGGAACATGGAAATTGTAAACTATTAGCCACTATCTACGGCCCGTACGAAGGCGAATCACGATCGAACCAGGAGCAGGCGGTGATCACATGTGATTTCAGTATGACATCATACTGCGTTAGTGAACGCCGTTTACGAACGTTCGGCGATATGAAAAGTCAAAAGTTACAAATGGCCATTCAACGTGTTTTTCAGCAAGCGGTTCATACAGAGACATATCCGAAATCACAAATTGATATTCATCTAAAAATTTTACAATCGGATGGTAATGATTATTGTCCATGTGTCAATGCAACAACATTAGCGTTCATCAATGCAGGTAATTGAAATACCGATCATTTCCCTAGAGAATCATTAACAATGTTACTTTTCACATGCCTTACGATAAGAGATGTCAGCCGAAATAACGAGTTTAGCTTTTACCGGAAGGCGTTATCATTTTGTCTTTGTACGACGATAGTTCCGATGTTTTAGGAATTCCAATGAAAGATTTCGTGTGCTCATCAACAGTTGGTTACGTTCAAAACAAATGTATCATTGATCTCAACCAACAAGAAGAACAACAAAAGTCACCTCAATTGATACTAACATTGATGCCTCAACGCGATGATATTGTCGCTCTCACATGTGAATCGCGTGTTCACTATGATATTTATAACGAAATGCTAGACGCTGCTACGCGTGCTAATTTACAACTGTTTCAGCTAATGAAAGAAGCAGTTCTCACACAATTAAAGACTGCTCTTCACATGTGATTAACATTCAAAGAAACATGTTTTTTTGTTGTTTTTTTCTCCTTCTTCTTTCAGATATGTAATGTTTTTACTCGGTAATAAATTTTATATCATTTTCATTACACTATGGATATTTGGATTATACATCGTTTTCACCACATTTCGTACAACACCAACGAGTGATCGAGTGCTAGAAGATCGAATCGAATACCTACAAGGCGAAGTAGAAACATTGAGACAAAAACTTTCACAATTACAATCGGGAAGTAAAACTCTTGATCAAGAGTCAAATGGAAAGTGAGTTCATATGATAATAAGCATTGATCTGTACATTTACAAGCATGTTCTAGTAATAATGCCGAATGTCAAGCTCTACGTAATGAATTGAAAACTGTTAAACGTAAATTAGCTTCGAAAACTGGTAGTACCACACCTCAACGTTAGTATAAAACTGTTGGCTCGATGGATATACTATGTAGTTATTTCGTTTTCAGAAGGACCTTCATTAGAATATGAACAATTACGGCGAAAAATCCAAACCCAGACACGTGAATTATCGTATTTTGCACTGGATCAAATGAATAAAATCGCAGAGAAAGTACCTGATCCCTTTAGAGGCAATTGGCAAAAAGTTATCGATCGATTTGCGGATCAGTACAGGTTTGTTGATTTGAAGCGTAATGACATTGAACTGAGCTCTCTGTTTAAAACAGGGTTCTCCTTGCGGCTATTCGAAATCTAACGGACGTAGATGGATATCAATCATGGCGTGAACAAGAACATGAAAGTCTTTCAAATCTGATGCAAGCACGACTAAATGCTTTACAAAACCCATCTAAGCGGTGCTCCGATGTCAAACGTTTATCGTGTAATATCAATAAAGGATGTGGCTACGGATGTGAAATTCATCATGCAATGCATTGTTTTCATGTTGCCTATGCACTTGGTCGACCACTGATTCTTTTTTCTGGTATTTTGATAAGACTTCTTTTTTTCCGATCTGATGATCTGTTCTAGATGGATGGAGGTACAACCCGCGCGGTGGATTCGATGAAATATTTCATCCATTAAGTAAAAACTGTACACATGCAGATGTTGTTGGTGCTGAAGCTTGGGGTATGAATGATGTGAACTTGTTTTGAATAGAGAAAATATTGAACTGCTCGATTTTCTTAGCCCGGTATAAGTCTGCAGATGTAGTTGAAATTCCTCTAATCGACAATATTCATCCAAAAGAAGATTTTATGCCAATGACTGTTCCTGCCGACTTATCGCAAAGGTTGACTCGTTTACACGGCAATCCATTTGTCTGGTTTACAGGACAACTAATGAAATATCTACTAAGGCCACAACCGTGGTTAACTGAATTCCTGGCGAAGAAGCTCGAGTCTATTAAATTTGAAACGCCAATCGTTGGGTAAGGAGAAGAATTAGTTCAAAGAGAAACTTAGTTTTGTTTCTCAGAATTCACGTCCGACGGACGGACAAAGTTGGCAGTGAAGCTGCTTTCCATGATATATCCGAATACATGAAATTTGTCGAAGATTATTACACTACTTACCAATATCAAAATCCTGAGTTAACTTTCAAAAAACGCGTTTATATAGCAACAGATGAGCCTAAAGTTTTCAGTGAAGCACGTTCAAAGTACGTAGAACAACCTTCTGATGAAATTATAGTCAATTGTTCTTTCAACACAGATATCCAGCTTACATATTTTACGGTGACACAGCCGTCGCACAATCTGCTCAATTGAATTCCAGATACGGAACCGAATCTTTAAAAGGCGTTCTCTTAGATATCCACTTTCTTTCATTATCAGATTATTTAGTTTGCACGTTTTCTTCGCAGGTTCGTTCTTTCCACTTTCTTGCTCCATTCAATTCAACGAATATCTTTGCAATCTTTAGATTTGTCGCGTTGCTTACGAAGTCATGCAACAGCGAGTAATCGATGGTGCATGGCGTGTTCAACCACTCGATGACGTCTATTATTTCGGTGGTCAAAATGCTCACAACCAACGCGCAGTGATTTCGAATACTGCTGATTGGCCAAACGAATTTAGTTTTCAGCGCGGTGATATTATCGGTACCGAAGGAAATCATTGGGATGGATTTTCTAAAGGAACAGACAAGACCAGTGGTCAATCAGGTCTATACCCTTCGTATAAAGTAGAAGAGATAGTTGCTACGGCTGAAATGTACACATATCCTGAAATAAAAGTGAAACCTGATAATCATAACCTATAATTTTAATACAACTAGACAAAACAAACAACTGAACATTCCGTTAATAGAACTTATTTTACTCGTATGATAAGAATGGAGAAGCGAGCTAAATTATTACATCGCTTTACAAGCCAATGTTTGTTTTTAAGTGTCACTCAGTCAACTACTCATTTTACTCTTTTGAACCTGTTCTCTGTTACAATTTGAAACATTTTCATTTCTTTTTTTTTCTTTCTCTCGCTCTCTCTTTTCGTTAATAAATTATACAAATAAACTGGTGTCTAGAAAATATCATCATCGACTCCTCCTTTATCTTTATTTTATACAAAATTAGAACCATTCAACTGTCCGCTAATTGATAAACTTCGATGTCATTGGCTTGAAAGAATTTACTTCCAGTAAACGTATCCGAACCGCGATGTGTTCGATCACTATAAGACCAAGGAAAATAACAATAACTACCACTACTCGATTTACTATCATCACACACATGTAAATCATGACCACAACCGAACGTTGGTCCGAATTCTTTCTTATTGTAAATCGCATAATTCTGTTCTAAAACTGGATATCTCGTCGGAGGGATACCATGCGGATTTGTTAATGTAAACAAGAATGGACCGTAACAATCTTCAATGTAACCTTTGGTTGATCTCCAAGAGACAGATGTATATCCACCGAACAGATAACCACTAGGTTTCGATTGGATAATGGTCATGGTTGGACCACGATGATCGCAATGTTTGTGAAAAGCAACACTAGAAAATCCATCTCGAGTAGCTTTGTAGATCAACGACCATTTCTGGGTTTCCTTGCCGTAAAATTCGTTCAATTTGGCTTGTTGTTCATATGATAATAATGTACCATCACCGAAGAAGAAATCTTTATTTAATAGATTGGCTTTCAAACCGGACGATTCCAGACTGAAATTAATAAAGTTCGATTTTTGAAAATGTTTATTTTGCTTTTTGATATCGTCAAAATCTCGTTTCAAACTTTCGATTTGTTTGAATGATGCATCACCTTCATAGACTAATTTCGTGACTTTTTTATTCAACTCAAGTAGTTTATTCAATTGTAATTCACGTTTGAGATCAACTTCAAATTGTAACTGTCGTTTCTTTTCATCGTATAAATTATCGATGTGTCGATGGCTCATTTCACGTGATTGTTCCAGTTGTTGAAAAGCTTGATGCATTGGATTTGTGTACTGAATTTTATTAATCAATGCATTCAATTCATCGGCAATTGGTACTAAATCTTGATTGGCGTTTTTTACATGTGACACATAGTGTTTCGAACAGAAATTCGCGTGACAATGCGTGCAAACCGTATCATAGTCACGTCTACAACCGGTTACATCGCATACTAACGCAGACATTCGGATAGAATGAGTTAAGTAAATCGAAACACATGTAAACAGTGCGACATTGAATTTGTTTTCTTTTAAACATTTTCAAAACTTTCATCATGATTGCTTTTATGTTGCCATAGGTATTGTACGGCTACTTTTTCTGTGAGTACTATTTTCAAATAGGTGAACGTTTATCGAACAGGGAAGTGAACAGCAGATGATGAAGATGAGTATCACTAATGATAGAAGGAAATGTCCGAAGATTTCTAGAGTCGACTTAATTGACATAAAGCGTCATCTTTCAGTGTAGTGTCGAATTGTTATGCTGCTACTCAATCACAACACTCTTTTTTAATCCAATATCCGCTTCACACACACACAATGAGTACTACGCAACTCTATAAGTCACAAGATCAGGTTTATTCTTTTTTCAAAAATTAAAAACAAAAATTTACACGTTATCCACTGCAGTATAAGTTAATTTGTGTTGTCGATTGGAATAAATTTTAGTATGACATGAGGTACATAAATGAAAGGCCGCTTGACTCTTGGCAATCTGTCAATATCACGTTCGTTACTACATGGTTCCAATTGATAAGTGAGAAGGATACGCGCAATAAGGAGCTTGTGAAGAAGAGGCACGAAATGTTCACCAAGGCATCGTCGACTTCGTCCATTACCAAATCCATGCAAGGCTTTACGTTGTTTATCATTTAAACATTCAAAGCGTTCTGGCTGAAAAGATAATGGGTCAGGCCAAACATCCTCATGCCGATTCAACGTTTGAACATCGTACATCACTAATGTATCCTTTGGTATTGTTACGTCCTTCAATGTCATTTGACGGCTGGCTAACTCAGGAACATTGAAAACAAAGATAGGTAATAGACGTTGGCATTCAGACAGAACATGGTCAAGGTATTTGAATCCGTCGAGATCGGCTAATGTAATGGTTTTCTCGTTTCCAAATGCTAGTCGTTCACGGATTTGTTCGCGTGCTTTTGTTTGTTTATCAGGATTCAGCGCTAAGAGGATAAGTGTGTTTGCGAATGTAGCGGCGACACCATCCAGTGGAGCGAGAAAACCTTCAATCATCGTATCCGATAATTCATCGAATGTAATTTCACTTTTGTCATTTGTCTTCTGCATTCGAATGTAGTGTACAAGTATTGAATCGTCTTCTGCACTTTGTTCTATATTTCCCTCTTCCTCATATTCACGCATAAGTGTACGAAGTAACTCATGCCACTTTTTCCGAAAAGTCCAGATGTCATATCGAAGTCGATACGTCTCCGGCAAAAACCATTGTAAGCCGGGAACATTGATATACCGAGCATTGAATGTCACAGTCATAAGTGTTGCTAATTCATCGACAAGTTCATGCAGTTGGTCTAAATATTTCTTACCCTTCGCTCCCACAAATAAATCTATACTGGCATCGAGCGATAAGTAACGAAGTTCATTAGCTACGTCCACAGCTGCACCTTTTGCTTCAGCCACATGAGAGTCAAAGCGTTGCATGAAAAGATCAATCTGATCTTCGTAACTATTTTCAAAGTATTTTACTTGTTTTATTCCGAAACAAGCGTGGAAAAATCGATTGATACGGTTCCGGTTTTGATATGCTTTGAAACCCATACCTTCGCCCATAATCATTAATAATGGCCAACCGAGTTTGACAATACGGTCAATCGATGTTTCGTCATGTTGTTGCCAAAATTGTCGGACAACATTGGGATGAGCTAACATTAGTGCCGGTGATGGGCCAAACCAAATTCGATAGATTTCAGGTGAGCCGAGTTTCTTCCATAGATTGAGCAGATAACGTCCATCGGGACTTTCTTGTATTGCTCGTACATCACCGAAAGGAAATCGATAGGTAGTTCCGGTTGCATTTGGCCAGTCTCCTATCGCTTTTACCTTTCGATACAAAAAATAGCATAAAATACCCAAGAAGATGCCGAGCAGTACAACAGTTGCCACCGGTATTTTGGACAGTAGAAAACCAATCAATGAACCCATGATAATTAATCCTACGAAGTTAAGATTCACGCCTTTATCGCCTATCAATGAATGTATAGCATCATTGTTTGGCCAGTGTTTACTAAGTGTTTTCAGTTCTATCATTTTATCTAAAAATAAATCAAACTAGATCATTTCGGTTAATTATATTTGTAAATAGTATATTAGTAAAATTTTCCTCTTCGAGTTTAAAAAACCATGACAATCGAAAAAGACTATATGGTATTAGTAAACAGTGTCACTTAGTGTATAGATTAAACGGCTTAAAAGCAGGCATAACGATATCATAGACATCGCACATATGTACTTTTTCGATTAGATCTAAATTTTGAGCAAGTTCAGTAGAATTTCGAATATAGTTCAGAAGACGAAGCATCACATTTCTTTGATCATCATTTTTTTTATCATCGGATGACAAAACCGGATGTGCAATGATTCGATAATGATGATTGTCATACACAATACCTTGTGTTAAAGCAGGTAGTTCGTTGAAAACGTACTCTTGGAGGGTTAAATGTTGTTCGGCAGTGAAATGATTAGTTGGTTTGCGTACTTTAATAAAGATTTTTACCACATCCTCGACGAGTTCAGCGAATTGTTCATTGTCCATTGTATGTCGACGAAATATCTCAACATATTCTTTGTATTTATCCGTACAGATGTCATGCCAGCGAATGACAGTGACGCATTGAGCAAGTTCAGGTTCTAGTTGCCGCCGCGCCTGTTCGAACACATCAGCCAGCCGATCTCCTTCTTCTAGGGCGTATTTTAAAGCAGTACCAGTACTCAACAGCTTATTGTTGAATACTGCAAAATTATACTTCTGAATGGCATCAACAATAAGTACAACGAGAGACTTGGAAGAGTCATTCGTTTTTGTTTGGTTGATTTGTTCCAGTGTATATTTGAGAGCCATATACGCGTACAAGATGGCTACACGAGGAAATGTTTGAGCAGCATCACGTTTCGACGGTAAGAGTCGTCGAAATTGACTAGGACTAATTCCAAGGCAAATATGTAAATTTTCGTTCTGATTACAACCTATCGCGAGTTCATCTTGCCATGGTACTTGAACAATATTAGAGTAAACTTGAGCGATGATATCAGCATCCATTGTCGAAGATAGTGTTTCATTCTTTTCCGTTTCACTGCTTCGTCCAGTTAAAGGAGCCCAATCTTCGTCGATGATGCTGCTGCAATTACTCACCGTACTACCTGAACGGCTTCGTTGGTCAAGATCAAAACTTTCAATGCAACATGGCACTGATAGAAGAATATCTTTTTGAAAGATGTCCGAGGCCATTTTTTACAATATTACTATTTGTTGTCTCGAATGTTATTGACAGATATATCTAACGCTAACTGATTCCACTCCTTATATATCGCATGTTACTTCCGCGCCATATTCGTAAAAACGTCACTGTAGAATCATGACACTGAGTCGACTGTGTACTCAAAACTGATGTTTCGTGATTTCCAACAAACTACGTAGCCTTTGTCACACCCGATTTCAAAAATAACTATATGAGTCGATTGGTAATGACATTTAATTAGCAATACCAGATGAATAATCAATCAATCGAGCAAGTGTCATTACATCCTACTCGATTAACTCAATGAGTAACTAGGAAGTCAATTTATCATAGATACTCGATAGCATCTTCTATTATGCTCTTGGCTTTTTCCCATCGACACAGTCTCGATGAAAAATCAGTTACCAAACTTAGAGAAGTAATGAGAAAGCTACAAGTATGCATGTGGATGAAATGTGTCTTTTATCAATTAAGGTGTGATTATTCTATTTTCGTTTTATTCACTACTATATCCCTTATGTATTTTTTCGTAATATGTAATGCGTCAGTATACGTTGAAGTTGTTCTATTCTGTTCTTTTAACTTTGATCGTATCTCACTATTTATGTCGTCAAATTACCGTGACGATGCGTGACATGACGTCTGCACATATTCATGACTTCCTAATTATCACAAAAGCTTTGACTATAAATAAATGTAGTTACTTCTAACATGGAAATAACACACAAAGGTTTATAAGTAAAAATGTACTGTTGCAATTACATATCGATGACGCTATATATATGATAAAGTTGAAAGCAATAAATAGCTGTATTTAACTTGTGGTTAATTGAAATGACAGAATACGAGTGAACGAAATTATCGCGAATTTCTTTTCTAGAAGACGATGCCGTCGATACATCCTAGAAAGCAGCATGGTGATGTTGCAAAAACTGCGAATCAAACTAACACATATGGTACGCTTGAAAGTCAAGCTGTCAAGGATAACGAAATACTAAAACACGCCAGTATTAATCTACCTGAACAATTGTAAGTAAAGTTGCTTTTTTTATCTGATAAATTACAGGTAGTGAGAGAACTGTATGATAGAAAATCAGTGAAATTTTAGTGCAGCTTTTGAGAATTTTCGTTCGTTTGGAATAGTTACAAGCAATTCGATGTTAATTTGTATTTTATGTTGAAATAGATCGTCCAAACAAAAATCATCTACTAAAAAACCAAATAAATTGAAATTCTATCAGATTGTAAGTGGAAATAGTACGGTCTATATGGTTTGACTAAACTTCTGCATGTTTAGTATCGTTTTGCGAACAGATGGGACGTAGTTCTGATCATCATTGCTTTGATATCAGGTACGAACAAGAATTATATAATGAATTCAAACAGAATGGCTCTTTGTGGTTTTTAGGATTGGCTAGTGGTGCTACATTTCCTCTCATTTTCCTTGTTTATCAACGCGTTGTCAATGGCTTCGTAGCTCTGGGCAGAAGCACAGCAGACTACAACGAAACATCTAGCATATTTCATGGCTGGTGAGGGATCTCGTTTACTCTAGTAGGAACAAATCATTATCATCTCTCATTCCTGTTTCTTTTAGTCTAGCTAGTACCGCATCATCGGTATCAAATGGAACTGAAAAGCTATCACCCTATGATGATATCATGTCAGTCATCAAGTGGTATCCGATTCTAGGTGCCTGTTGTTTTATTCTCTATTGGATTTCGTATACATGTTGGATCATCACAGCTGAACGACAAGTGCGTCGCATGAGGTAGCTAGTGATGGATTGATTATTTCGAAATGAAATACCTGCTTTTTTTCTCTTATAGATACGCTTTGTTCAGCAACATGATGAAGCAAAACATCGGCTGGTTCGATACTCAAATATCCAGCAATCTATCCAGTGGATTGTTAATCGAGTATGTGCACTGCATTTGAACGAATCAACTATTCGTCATTGTTTTAGTTCTTTAGATACAATTCATGATGGTATTGGTGTCAAAGTAGCAGATTTCGTTGCTTTGAGTGCTCGTATTCTGGGTTGTCTTTGCTATGCGTTGTATGTTGGCTGGAAGCTGACCTTGGTTTTTCTGAGTGTCTCACCACTGATTGTATTGACGTTCAATGCAAGTGTAATGGTAAGGACTGATCAAAATTTTTCATAAACAATCAATATGCGTCGGTTTTCAGATCATGAAAAAGTATACAGCGAAAGAGAAGGCTGCTTATAATCAGGCGAATTCTATTGTGCACGAGGTTCTATCGGCAATACGAACTGTAACTGCTTTCTGCGGACAACAGCGAGAACTAAAGAGGTTAGTGAAGATAGTTCATACAGAAACTGAAATATATGTAGTCTGATATTGTAGATATGAAGATAGTTTAGTAGAATCGAAGAAAACAGGTCATAAAAAAGGATTATTACTTGGGATTAGTCAAGCATTTGTTAACATCGCTCTATATGGTTCTATTGGTTTGATTTTTTGGTATGGACCTCATCTAACTCGTGTGGAATGTTGGAATTACAATGCGGGGATAGTTATTATCGTAAGTAGATGACTACCAAAATACTTATTTTACTATAATATTAATCTTACATGTAGATCTTCACATCATGCCTTGTCTCTAGTAACAATATCTCGACACTCATTCCTGCTGTGCTGGAATTTGCCGAAGTATCTATAGCAGGTGCACGAGTTTTTGCCCTTATAGATCGAGTATGTATCGAATTCTACTTAAATATTTCGATTTATTCAAATGTACACATTGGAATAGAAATCACCCATTGACATCAGTGACCGTAGTGAGCAACAACAATCCAATATTCAGTTACATGGTGATATTGAATTTCGTAACGTTATCTTCAACTATCCAGCCAGGAAAGAAGCTCAACCGGTACATTAAGTGTTCTCTGTTGTGATCTACTAAAACGAATCTTGATTGTAGATTTTGCAAGGATTAAGTCTCATGTTTCGAAACGGTACGACAACTGCTATTGTTGGAGAGACCGGGTGTGGAAGTAAGTGCTACTTCCTTCTTTTCACTGCCGGTATTTCTACATAGACTCTTCATTTTATCAGAGAGCACAATTGTTCAATTAATTCAACGATTTTACGATCCTGATCAAGGCCAAGTATAGGACAAATTGACGAAAATCGACTCAGTATTAATCTGTCGATGTTTGCAGGTCCTGATTGATGGAGTAGATGCACGACAATTGAATTTGGGATGGCTACGATCTCAAATCGGAGTTGTTGGACAAGAGCCTGTGCTCTTTTCTGGTACTGTTGCGGAGAACATTCGGTTAGGTAACTTATCGGCAAATGATGCTGACGTGTATGCTGCAGCTAAACTGGCGAATATTGATGAATTTATTCAAAGTTTGCCGAATGTAAGTCTTAGCACATTGCTTTTTTACTGCTAAGAAGAATGAATTCATCTCTCGCATATTCGATTTGATACGAAGTTTTAATCTGTCTTTAGAAATACGAAACGCAAGTGACAGGCCGTGATTTTTCGGGTGGACAAAAGCAGCGGTGAGTACAGCACATTAATTCATTGTGTAATATACATCATTGTTTTCTCCTAATGAAATTTTTAGCATAGCTATTGCCCGAGCACTTGTGTCCAATCCAAAAATTCTTTTACTTGACGAAGCCACGTCTGCACTAGGTAAAATTTTTCCTCAAAGTATCTGATAATATCGATACTCTACGTAGATACGGAAAGTGAACGCGAAGTACAGAAAGCACTTGACCAAGCACGGCGTGGTCGAACAACAATCGTCATTGCTCATCGCCTATCAACCATTTACACTGCTGATCTTATTGTTGGTTTAGAACGAGGCGGCATTGTTCATGAGCAAGGAACCCATGCTGAATTGATGGCTCGTAACGGAAACTATGCGCGAGCAGTTATTGCGCAGCAAATGGCCGATGGTACTCCAATTGAAGACGAGATCGATGGTGAGATTGATGACGCACAACTAGAAAACCACGGTCAGTCTTCCTAGAAATGATGTTTTCTTAAGACTATGTTAGTATTCTTTTATGTAGATGTGTTCGAACGTCACATGTCCATTCGTTCGACTCATTCAAATCAATCGTCAATAAGTGCAAAGACAGAAGTTTACACCGATGACGATAATAATAAATTGATAAAGACATCAAGACGACCGCTTTTTCTTGATATTCTTCGAATGAACGCACCCGAATGGCTACCTATCTTGTTAGGTAGTATTGCTGCATTATTTTTCGGTGCCGTCATGCCATCGTTTGCTTTTACATTTTCGCTCGTTTTCGGCTTATTTTCTGAACCAGATGCATCGGTGGCTGAACGCAATGCACGCAATTATGCTATATATGTCTTCTGCATCGGTCTAGCGGGCGGTCTTTGTCAGTTCGTCTCGTCATTGGCCTTTGCTTATTCGGGTGAAGCATTAACCACAAGAATGCGAATGCTTTCTTTCGCCACAATGCTCCGCCAGGAATTATCGTGGTTTGAACAAGAAGTCAATCGACATGGAGTACTTGTCACACGACTTGCAAGTGATGCAGCTGCGTTGAAAGGCATGACAGGTGTGACGATTGGCGCCTTCCTCAATGCAGTCGGTACACTAGTCGCAGGACTTGCTATTAGTTTCAGTGCCGGATGGAAACTAACACTGGTTCTTCTCTGTTTCACTCCGTTTATTATCATCACTGGAATAGTCCAAGGTTCGACATTGGCTAAAGCCGGACAGAAACGCAATGTGTCAACGAATGCAGAAACTGCTGGCAAAGTAAGAGCTTTCGATCAATAAAGAAGGTGTAAATTTAGTGAGCATTTTCACAAATTTTTAGTATGCGATTGAAGCTGTACAAAACATTCGTACGGTTGTTTCACTACATGTCGAGAATTATTTTATTGAACTTTATAAAGAAACGTTTGATCGTGACTTCAAGTAAATCTATCGGACAGCTATTCATTTTTCTATAAAGAAATTAATTCTAAATTATCTGTCCTTGTAGACATGCATTAAAACAAAGTCAACGCACAGCTTTTGCTAACGCACTAGCGAATTCATTGATGTTTTTCATTCATACTGCGGCATTCGGGTACGGGGCACAACTCGTTCGCAACGGCGAAATGACTTACGTGAAAGTTTTCCAGTAAGTTATCAATTGAAATATATCTATTATTCAAATTTACTATTCATGAAGAGTATTCGCTGTCATCACTTATGCTACCGTAGCGTTCGGGCGTAGTGTTAGTATGGTGCCGAATTATAATCGAGCTAAACAAGCAGCTAAACGTATCATTGAACTGAATGCACGACAATCTCGCATTGATCCCGACAGCGAAGATGGTATAAAGCTAGTTAGTATATATTTTAGCGGTAGATGAAATTGATATGTTGTATATTTCTCGCAGGAGACTGTTCGAGGTGAATTGCGATTTCGCAATGTTACTTTTGGTTATCCATCTCGACGCAAAGTATATGCTTTGCGTCGCTTGTCACTGACTTGCGCAGCCAATTCACAGACAGCCATTGTTGGTCCGAGTGGTTCTGGAAAATCAACTTGTGTTGCATTGATACAACGGTTCTATGATCCAGTCAAAGGTTCCGTAGAATTGGATGGACATGATTTGCGTACACTCAATATCAAATGGCTCAGATCAATAGTAGGCATTGTTCAACAGGAACCAGTGCTTTTCAATCTATCCATTCGAGATAATATTGCCTATGGAGATATTGGTCGAACGTTTTCGAATGAAGAGATTGAAAATGCTGCAAGAGAAGCAGATATTCACGAAACAATTATTCGACTCGAACAGGTGAATAATATGATTGAATCTAAAATACCATATACTCTTTTTCACATCTACATAGGGCTACGATACTATGTGTGGTTCTGAAGGTCAAAGTAGATTATCCGGTGGTCAAAAACAGCGCATTGCTATAGCACGAGCACTTATTCGAAAACCTAAACTGATTCTGTTCGATGAAGCAACTTCGGCGCTTGATGTCGAAGTAGAAAAGGTAAATACTCTCACGCTACTACCAATTCGTGTTCTATTGTAACTTTCTGCAGAAAATTATGGCCACTATAGAACGCACTCGTCAGGATCGTACTTGTGTGAAAATAGCCCATCGCTTATCCACCATTTACAACAGTGATAAGATTGCTGTACTAGTACAAGGACGTCTCAATGAGGAAGGTTCGCACGAAGAACTAATGAACAAAAGAGGCACTTATCGTAAAATGGTCGATATAACTGAATCATAAATAGATGAAATGTTTGTAGATACATGTCGTCATTTACGGAACTTGTACTGAAAGTCTTTCTTTTTGTTTTGTTTCATGTAAAAATATATATATAATTCACAGAAATACATTCGCGTAAAAATTCAATCTCCTATGTCATTTTCTATTCTGATTGTTTTGATCTTAAAATGTATTTTTCAGATGTATGAATGTAAACAAGCAAAGCATGAATTGTAAGGTAATATGAGATTCATTGTATCAATCGAAAGGTGAATATCTGAGTATTTGATAAACATCGATCTACGTTGTGAAGCGTAAACGTTGTCGAAATGCATTGGTGTGTCATTTTTACGCAGTTAAGACAAATGTACGATGAGTCAAATCGTCTTGTAAACAACATTTGAATTGCGACTGAGAATAGTTTTATTCTACCATAACTTCTCAATTGCTACAAAATCTAAGAATTTCAATATAAACTATTTCCGTTTGTATTACATTAGTATGAACTGAGTTCAAACTAAGCACAAGTAGTCTTCTTCGTAGATCACTTTCAAGAGAATTAAGAGTTCTCTACGACTTACACAAGCTTTCAAAACCAACATAAAATGATTCGAGTACCAATAATATAGATGTTTTTCTATCTATCTCAATGAATAGAGGATATTTCACTGCACGCTATGCGATCACTAAGTTTTGAGTTTTCTTTCGAACCAGGTGATGTCAAAATTATGATGTACCTATTTGTGATTAAACAAGAAAGTCACGTTTTATGATGAAAAACTGAACTTAATGTACAGATTCGAAATAGAAACGAAGTCATATTTTCTTTGATGTTAATTACCACATATTTCAATAAGTTTAGAAGTCAAAAACTGGGAGAATAGCTACGACGAGTTCTGTCTCCTAAAGTTATGGAATATTTTCAGATTAAAAGTAAATGACTACAATTCTTCGTCGTTGTACATCACTGCTGAGTATCATGCCTAGTCGTGCCGCTCACAGAATCGTTCAAAATAATATAACACCCAGATCTAAAACAATTTCCGACAGAATATTCGATCTAAATACTACCACAAACACGGATCGTTGTGTTTGTATACAAAAATCTGCTGTTAGCAAACGACATATATCAACAACGACAATTGCAAACAGCTCCAACAATAGAAAAGGTAACCCAGTGCAGTTTTCATCTCCTTTGAAGAGAAGCTATATGCCATTATTCATGGAAATCTGTATTCTTTTTCTGCAGATCAAATTTCATCCGGTGAAAATACTGCTAGTAGTAACCTAGCAGCTAAATATGCAGAAATCTTGAATCTGAAAGAGGGAATAGCATTGCCGAGTATTGAACTCAAAGATGGAACACGTGTTCAAACGGGCACTGTTGGTTCTATGCTCAAAAACATCGCACTGTATAACGAAGGTCAACGCGGTGAGGTCGAGCAACTATTAGAACAATGTGTGCCAACATTAATACAAATCGGTTTTTTCGATCTATTTTCACCTGAAGAATGGATCAACACATCCAATGCCGGTCGACAATTTGTCGGGAAAAAAGCTCAAGAACTTCTCGCTCGTAAAGACAAATGAATAGTGTTCGGTATACCTTTCGTGTATTTTGCTTTTCAATATACATTCGACATAATCATGTATCATTTATTTGTATTTTCAATTTATCTTTCAACAAAGTGCACTCAGACGCCTTCTTCTGTCATCGTTCTTTAGCATCTGATCTTGTCTATGTACTTTTCCTCATGATAGAGTTTATCTCTACGATCAAAATGAATGTTGCATGACTAGTCGATTTCATAAATCATTTCTTTTTTCGAAAGACGACTGATGAAAGTGCAAAACGTCATTATTTTCCTATTTGTTTCTTATCAAATCAAAGACAGAGCATTGAATCAATGATTGAATTGATTAATAGACATGCAACCTTATACATTAGCAAGGTTTGCTCTCTCCAGTCAATCACACGAGTTTCGTCGTGAACTCCGTTGTTTCAATATGTTCTCTTCGTCTAATTTATCATCGAAAAGGAGCGATGTTTTGCATTTTGATATTTTTATCAATATATCTATTTTCACATTCTAATGAACTATATATTATTATTAATAGTCAGTCGATAACACATCTTTTTTTTTCGATAATAAACATTTCAATCAACAAACGACGAGCATCCTTCGAAATTTCGAAAATACGGGAGAAAGTAATTATGAAATAAATTACTAGAACAACAAAATAACTGTTTCATTTCGCTCGTTTGAATATTGTCGATAGTCGTCGAGGGATTTCTGAGAACATACAGATATTTTCTTCTTAATCATCCGTCACACCGATAGGGTTGATTGGGCGTGTTCTCTCTCGCGACTCAATGAAATCGAATCGTAAAGATTCAATGTCTCATACTCGAGAAATCATAATTACGTATTTTGTTTTTGTTTTCCAATATAATAATCGAAAAATGAATGATAGATGAATCTCATTGATGAGCTGTCAGAGCAAACGTGCTGTTCTCTTCTGTCTCCTTTACTTCTTAGAAAAATGCTTTTTTTGTTTACGTGGATGTGTTTGACGTATGCAGATGATGCAATCGCAAACGATATTACGCACGGGCAATCTTAACGATGTTTACGTCTCGTTTGGTCGATTATTCATCGATGTCGGATTACAACGAGTTATCATCGATCAAATCTCTATTCGCGAAAATAAGAAAAACATGATTTTAATGATCGGCCGGAGCTTAGGGTTTTTTTTATTATTTTAAATCGTTTTTTTTTTGTTGTTTTCATATGTCTTTTTTTGTTTCGAACATTACATATTCGAAATTTGCATAACAAGTTGATCATTCTTTGTTTATCAAAAGTGTTCATGATCGTTTCAACCGTACCATCGGATGACCAGGAATACCAGAAATATTCCACGTTGTCATGTCGATAACACAGGACACAGATACAAGAAAAAAGTGATAACAAGTGAATGACTTCCCGAAATACATATTTCACGCACAGAAGGAAAAAAAAAGTCAAAGATCGAACAAAAAGAAAAATAGAAAGAAGTCGAAGAATATAAGATTATGAATAAAATGAACAGCTAAATAGATTGATTGCATCCTCGCACAGACCACCGTTATTGAAGATTAATATAAAAAAATAAATTATCTATACTCATCATACAAAATACATATAAAGAGAAAAAGGAATGTTTATGTCATGATGAATGCCTTTGTTTATTGTAATAGTGATGTAAGACCTAGACCATTTAAAGTTTTCTCAAGTGTGGCTGCATCAGGAGCGTTGCGCACTTGAACATTTGGTGGTGGAACTGGAATGGCCGGTAAGACTTTAGTTAAATGAGTTGTCTAGGAAAGAGAAAGATGAAGATAGAGATTAGAATATTGTTTTGCTGCGAAGGCAAACTTACTGGAATTTGTTTTGGTCGTGGTGGTGGAGCCTCACGAATGACTATTGGTGCTTGTTCGGGTGGTGGTGGTGGTTGAATACGAACAAAGAGTGGTGGTGGAACTGGTGCTTGAGGTGGACGAACCTGAAATAAGATAACAATAGTCAACGAAGTGACAAGACTTCGAAACGTACTTCTTTGATGATAACTGGACCGGGCGCTGGTGGTGCAGGTGGTTTATAATAAGCTAAATTGATCTTTTGTACGTAGGTAATTGGTTTCGATTTCTTTTGAATGACGACTGGGTTAGGATCATGAAAGAATTTATCGTTACCAGGTGTTTTCAATGGGCCAAAAACTTGAATGAAACCACCGCCAGGTGTTGCGAATTGCAATGATGGATTGTTAGCAAGGCCGAATTGTTCTGGTGTGATTTTTTGCATAGCATCACCATTCATCACACTAGCAACAGTATCATTAAATGGTACGCTACCTTGTTGAGTTGGTGTAGCTAAAGGTGCTGGCTTTTGCGCAAGACTAAGCATTTCTTGAAGATGAACTGAAGGGTAGACATATCCAACACGATCAATGGCAACCATGATTTCGGGAGAAAACGAAAAAACCGAGAAAAGCAGGGGACTAACAGAATATCAAGCTTCAAATGAGAGCGTTTGAATGAAGATGTGCAGTGAGTATTTATACTTGCTAGTTGCCACCGAAGAGAGAAAACGTTGGTGGGTAGCCCTCTTGTCTTACCTCTCTTTTTCGATTTTTTTCTCTCAAGGTTATTGATCAACGATAACCATACCTGCAATTGATGAGTATCTCCATCTCACCGCATGTTGTGCTTCACACAAAACCACTATACTTTGCACTTTACATTGCTTTTTTTTCGCGTTCCGAACACACGTTTACATGGTTTGATGGGTTAACCCGATGTTCGTTCAACCAGAACCGGCATACGAAGAGAAAAAAAAAACATGATGAAAACCGCTTTCATCTTGGCAATATTGATGATTTTTTTTTTATTTTTTGTTGATTTGAAAATACACAAAGGAGCGAAAAGGGAGAAAAAAAACTATTATCTACAAAACAAGTTAGACCAATCATTATGTAATACAAAAATTACAAAACATGGTATTTACGATGCAAGAATTGCGTCACAGTTGAGTGCCTTGTTTTTAATAGACGTACATTGAATCGGCTAGATGTATATACGCTAAGACGATGAAAAACTGATAGCGATCGATTTCGTTCGAGTCAAAAAGCCGAAAGTATTATGAAGATTCAAAACAAGATAAATTCGAATTAATGAAGGCATAGTACGTACGAACAACTATTCGCTACGAATGCTGAATTCAAAGTTAGAAACATGAAAATAATCGAAATCTGATCATTTCGTTTTCGATTAATCACGCCACGATCAGCATAAATCAAACGATGTTTATCAGATGCAGTTTCATGCAAGAATAACTGACTTTTCGGATTTGACTAGTGATAACTAATCTAGAAAAATATTATCGTGACGCGTGCATATGTTTTTGCATGTCGTATCTTATCCATCGCCGACCAAAATATGCATAATCGTCAATAACAACTTTGCCGTAGAACAAACCTTCACGAATGGCAACTATCAGAGACTAGATGATTCGGTTAATTAAAATTCTCAAACATAGAGCAAACTCCTTCTTTCTGTATAAACAAAAAACAATGCAAACGAAACATATCAAGATTTTCATTTAGATAGTCTATTAATAAATAACGTTGCCAAGAAAATGTTTGTTCATTAATTAGTACCGTAGTAGAAAATAGACGACGAAGAAGTGTTGCATGTCTAGACAACGGCACTAGTAGCTATTTATAATTGAATTTTGAATATGCATAGAATTTCTGATACAGTTATTTTTATCGTCGTTCGTTTTTTGTTCATAATAAATAAATAGACAGAAAACATTTTTCTGTATTTCGATTTCTCTCAAGGCCTGAATTCAAGTTCTCTTCGTACTTCAGTGGACAAGAAATTCAGATGGTTCGATATCGCGATTATTTCATTCATTTGCTTCAACAACCAACGGCAGATAGATTTCTTCTTTACGTAAATAAGATCGAAATATCCAATGATTAAGCAGATACATCTCAATCAGCAAGTTGCACCTTTGTCGAAATTTTCTCAACTGAACGGTGTTTTTCTTCGAAACAGAGTGTCAAGGTTACATGATCATAACAAGTGTATCAGCATACGCTTTGCTTATGTTAATAAATCAAATCATAATAATAACCGATCTAAATTAGTTTTTCACATGGATAATAGGAAAAACAACGTGCGCGACGTATCATGGAAACATTGACAGATTATAAAACACGGAACGTTGATTAAATGGTAATTTCGGTTTTCTCGGTCAGCACGACATTTTCTCATAGATCAGTAATCAAGCTGGAGTATTGTTCACCAATGAATTAACTGTGTGACGATGAACGTGGCCTTTCGCTTTCACTGTACATATATGTATTCTTCTCTTTTCTTTCTCATCGCTCAAGTTTATTCTCGTAAGTTCTGTGCAGTATTGATCTTCATTCGATGTGCTTCTTATTCTTCCAGCATATTCTTGTATGCTGAATGAACAACTTTCTTTTTGTATTTAAAATGTAACAATATGTAGTAGTGTTACTGCTAATGAATGACGAACAATTTCTTTCTTCTTTTTCCTCATATCAATTAAGAAACAGAGGTAATTATTAGTGTGAAACAAGGTTAATAATGTGCAATAAGGAAAAAAGAAAAGTGTTTGATTTTTTGAAATCTTCGCAACAATAGCGTCGATTCTTTTCATTTTCTCGACAAAAGTGTCGATTTGTAGACATGAAGAGAATTTTTCTTCGCTTGTTTCGAGGCTACATTATCTTTTGCGTTGCAGTTTTTATGTCGCATTTACATTTTCGGCACGTTATTACTCACGTTTGTAACGCTTATTAAAGCGAAAGTGACATAACAAATAAATAAAAAATAATTTCATAGATGAAGTTTTCTTTTTTTCGAACTTTATTCAGTTTGAAAAGTTTATTTTTAGTATAGAAGACAGTTGTTTTACAAAACGACGTCGAACAATCAGTTGTTCATTTTTTTTTAATTTTTAAAGTACATCTAGTGTTTCGCACGAATTTCTTCGACAAAATCTTTTCCCTGTTGAAAAACAAAATTCATCAGATTACTTTCCTTACGTATTCTCTTCTTCCTGAACCACATGAGAGAAAAACAAATCAGGTATTATTTATAAAAACTTATATAAACAAAACAGACAGGTAAGTATATGCAAAAGAATTCTTTTTATTTTTCGTCACACGAAAAGTAAACAGCTGAGGACGTAAGTAATGGCAAATGAATTTTTTCCCAAAATTCAATGACAGGGAATCTTCCTATTACGTTCCTATATAGCCTGTGTAAGACGTCAAAAGATGTCGTCATTCATTGTTGTCTTTTGCTCGATGCATACGCATCTCTTTTCATCCAATCATAATTCTTACCTTTCTTTCGAAAAATATCGAAACGACTAGTCGTTTTTCTTCCTCCTCCTATTACTATCATACCCTTACGCTTTGCTTGAAACAAAACAAACCATTGAGTATTTGCGTATATGATAAACATACTTCTATCTATGAGAATTGTTTAGATATTCTAACTCAAGAATCGTTCGGTAAGGGGAAAAATTTCACCTAGTTGCGCAATTTCCACACCTACTCAAACATGTGTCATGACTCATGAGCTGTCTACTTATTTGTCAATTTTTAGAAATTCGAAAGACATTTTTCTTAACAATGCATGTCGCACCAGTTTATTTAACTCCGGAACAAAACGATAAATTACGGCGGGTATTAATCCCGACGATTCCTATTTATCCATCACCGGCCACATCATCATTTCCAACGTTACACATTACTCCAAAAGATTTTCTTCGTAATCTTCTCATAAAACTCCGAGAACATTCAATTGAAATCTCGTCGATTCGTTTACATGGCGGAGCAGCATCCTATGTACTTGTCAATGATTCAGATTTCGTCTATCGTGATATTGATATTCTTTTTCTCATCAAAACATCGTTATCATCTGAACAACAAACAACACTTTTCTCTTCCAATAATGAACCTTATCTTTGTGATGTTTGGACAATTATTAAATATGTTATTTCGTCTTGTTTGATGGAACATATTCCAAATGCCACGTCGTGTACACAATACTTTATTTCCTTGGTCCTTGATACATATTCGAAGAAGAATATTAAAATTACGTCCGATCAAGATTCTTGGGCATTATTATCCTTACAGAATCTCCTCGGGCAGAATCTTGAATTGAAGTTTGTCGAAAGTCTGAAACGCCAATGGCAGTTCAGTGTCGATTCCTTTCAAATCGATCTTCGCCCATTGCTTTTCGAGAAAATCAATTCCAAATCAGTAACGACCAAGATTGACACGAAAAATTTAGTCATCGAAGCTTTCAGCGGACTAACAATCATCAAGAAACCGAACGACGAACAATCAAATGCCAGTACGAGTCCATTACAATTCGGTTCTTTTGCTCCATCTTCTTTACCGGATGTAAGTGAACAAGAAAATCCTATTCAATGTCAAACATTGGCAACAATAACAACGATCGAAGTAGAGAAAGCTAATTGTAAGTACAGGATGGTGTTGACAAACCAACATCTTGCTTATGTCAAATCAATGAATATTTTTCTCTGCCTTTTAGCAGCCTGCGAATCCCGTTCTCGTTCATCGAAACCATCGGAAGCAACGCACGACGATAATCAATCGAATTCCTCACTTCAATTTCAAATTTCAATCAATGAAGATGTTGATGATGGCATCGAAGTTGATGCCGACGACTCCACGAATGAAGATGATGATCAAGTATTTCCTTCATCGGTTACCGATAAAGAAAGTTCGACAACCGATGTTCTATCATCCTCGTCATCGTCGTCAGCATCAGCGGCAGTACCATTATTGAGTGAAGTTTTCTCAGCCTACAAAGATCTACATCAAGCACTGGACCATTTAAATAAGAAATTGATTTGTACATATGAACCAGAAGCAATGCGTGGTGGAGGTCTATTGGTAAGTTTGATCAAACTGAACCAGATCGGTACGATTCTACATATTTGTTTTTTTTTTCTGGTATTTAGAAATATTGTGATCTATTAGCAAGAAAATATGAACTTTATGACATAGCTATTATGGTTCACATGGAACGGTACATGTGCTCACGCTTTTTCATCGATTATAACAGTAGTGTGGAACAAATTCATGTTATTGCCCAATATGCTGCTACCCATTTCTTACCATCGTTGATTATCAGTAATTTACACATAACTAACAACACGAACGAAATCTTTCATCAACGAGCATACACACAAACTCAATTGATGAATTCCAAATATGATAGCAAACAAATCGATCGATCTGATCTGCTGAATGCTCGATTATGTTCATTATTTTTCGATCATTTGAGTTATGTTATTCACCGAAGTACTGTTTGCCTCACGTATGAAGAACAACAGTTCTTGTTATCCAACATTTATTTTCTCAAAGAATGCTATCACCGCGAATATGGACCGTTATTTGAAGGTGACAATGAGCATTATCAAAAATATCATGTATATAATCATCAATATCCTTCTCACAACCACCACTATCATCATCATCATTATCGAAATTATAACACATCAATGAATTCCAGTCAATCGGTTCGTTACAGTTATTCGTCGTTCTTAGTAAAGTAGATCCCTTTCGTTTAGACATCGCCCTCAAAATCTCATGGAAGCCGTGGAAATTCGAACCGAAATTATCATTCACAAAGACAAGCAAACAATACGTTCCATCGTGGCCATCGGTCATACGTGCAACCACAAACAGTACATCATCGAAATTAATATCAATGAAGACAGTAATTTAAGACTATCATTATTTTTTTTCTAAGAGAATCTAATTAATCATGTACAACTTATATTTCGTTCAATCCAGATGAAGAGAAATTCTGTGTGGTCAGTCTTTTGTTTTCTTTTTGAAAGAAAATTTTATAAGTAGTTTAAAATTTGCCCTCCCAAAAAAAAAAGAATAAAAAAGCCAATTCTCTGAAAAAAAAAGTACTTTTCACTCAGACGTTTGATTTTTTGTTCTCTTTCGCGTGTGTGTGTGTGTCTTTCTCTCTATCTCTCAATTATTTATATATTGACAAAACGCATCTACAAACACTTTAAAAAAAATTGAAATCTTTCTTCGTTTGTTTTTCTCGTGACATTTCCATTGAAATTGACGATTGTCAATTTTCTTTTCTGTATTATATTGACGATTTTCTTTTCTATTGTCGATTTTCTTCAATAGTATTGTTCCTGGTGATGATTCTTCTATATGCATACATATATTTCTCAACTACAAAACGTTTTTCTGTGTGTCTTTCGCTTGTTTTTCTTTGTGTTATTGTACGATATAGTGTTTTTGTTCTCGTGGTTTTCCTTGTGTGTGAATAAAAGACAAGCAGGAACTCTTTCTAGCAGATTAGAACTCGTCATCGTTAATTGCGCACTTTCACGACGTTGTGCCATGTTCGTCAGATTAGCGTATATCTAGCGACATCTATTCCAGAATGTCAAATGGACGACTGTATCGTTCGACGTAGCATAACGGCGTACATCTGATTGATGGAAAATCTTCTTTCAATCAAGCAGATTGACGAAATCGGATTGTCCTGCTTAATAAGAACTTATTCATTAATAAGTATTGATTCCGAAATGTACTTCAATGGATATGACATAATTAATCACATGACAAAATAATATTCCTTTTTGCACATGCAAATGAAAGAGAAAGCGAGTTGTGATGTATTCAGTTATTTAATTAAAATAATTGTCTCATTCGTCACATTTCATGGAGGGAAGCACTTTCATGACAGTGGCCCCACGACATTTTGAATCTCATCGACAGTGAATCTAGGCAATATATGTAAGCACCATGTAGATTTAGATTAAATCTAAATTCTTCCTTTCGAAAGAAAAAAAAATGAGAAGGAATGACATCAAGCTGATTAGATTCTTGTCTTCAATCTAAAACGAATAGAAAATTCTTTTCAGAAAAGTATAAGTTTAATTATCATCATGATAAGGACTATACACATCTTTGTTGAAAATTATACTTGTAAAAAGAATACATGAGAGCACACTTATCATCAATGAGAGACTATTTTTAGACAGAAATGTTAACATGTTTCATCAACTATTCTATTATGTCGTTACTAACAAATCGAAACGATCAAGAATATATGTCATGAAAAGAATACATATGATTTATAAGCCCGTCTGATTAAATCGATATTCTATGTTGCTTGTGCGAGAAAGCTGGTTCAGAAACATGATTGACAACTGGATGATGATATTGATTTGAAATCAATGATCGACGTACGAGTTTTAGTTTTTGATTATCTGAATATAGTAAATGTTTGATATTTTGCGGTGAACGACGCAGGTGCCAATGGCGTCGGCGTCGTTTTCGACAATAGAATACGGATAGACATGAACAGCACGTGTTTTCATGCAAATTCGCGTGTATATCCGACTTTTTATCGTGCGATGCGGCTGTTGACGACGACAACGACCATTGTGAATTGGTTTTCATGGAAAGAAACGGTGTCAAGTTTTTGTTTGTTTGACTCAGAGTGTTTGAATTAGAGTTCGAACAAATGCGAGTACGTTGCTGAACACACATCGACGCACGATGCTCAGCGATGGCAGCCGCGATAAGATCTTCTTCATTTCGGCCGAGAAATGCTGATATTCCGCCGATCCCATTCTCCGAATGAAATTGTGCTAGACGAAGGACGAGTAAATTCAATGATGAAGCAACTAATGCAAGTCCAAAAAGAATAAATGATATGGTAAAGATAAAATACCCCCAATGAGAGTACAATGATTGTCCAGTACGTTGTAAACTCGCTAGTGGGACTAGGTCACCGAAGCCTGAAAAGAAAAGGGACGAGTGAAACTCGAGAAAATCGAATTCAACGTACCGATAGTCCAAAATGTCACAAGAGAGTAATAGATCGCTTCGAAATATGTCCATTTTTCTTGCCGACTGAAAATAAGTGAGCCACCGAATACAAGCATTGTTGTCATGCAAAGTTCGACAGCGATTAATTCAAAACCGGATACTTTATGCCGACGAAAACCGAATAGACGTTTAATACGCGATAAAACAAATGAAATAATTGCATTCAATCGTTCACCAACTGATTGAAACATAATTAAATTAAGAGGACTAAGAGGGAAAAAAAAGAAACGAAGCACAAGATCGAGAAAGATCAATATTCAAGTCAACATACACGCCGGCAACGGTATACACCATACAAAAGATTTTTCCGCCCACTAGAAGACAAACAAGATTTTTTTAATTAAAAAAAAAACAAGAATAAACTTTTACTAGTTTTGGGTGTTGTGTGACCGTAACCTGAAAAGCCGACAAATGAGGATTATGAATTAATGGTCAATCGAAACTTTACCAATTAACGTCACAACTAGAGTAGAAAAATAGAAGGCACCCGGAAACGTCCATTGTTTGGTCGTTCCTGAACGAAAATGTCGGCTGTCGAATATGGCTGTTGTTAAAGAAGTGAACAGAACTTCATTATGAATGGTTTCGTTTTTAAACAAAATCCGCGAGATTCTTGCTTGCAAAGCTTCACGTAAATTATGTTCTTCTTTGGATTCCACTAGAATGAGAAAGTTTAGTGAAGACAATCAATCATAATTTGGTGTAGATATCTACTTACAAGCATTGAAAACAGCAGCACCGAAGAGTAAGTACATCAGCACAATGAACATCAGTGCAACTGTGCGCACGTTTTGCGTACCGATAATCATTCGAAGAATGTATTCTCATGACATTTTCAATAAGAAGTCCATAAGATTTCGAACGAAAATCATACTTCTGTCGTATCTAAACGACATTGATGTTAATAGAAATATTAGTTTTCAAGTGAAAATAAGATTTTCTAGACAAATAAAAAGAAATTTTCTTTTCTTTTCTTTCTCTCTCTCTCTCTCCCGTCTACTTAGCGTGTCGTAGTCAGTTGTATGTCATTTCAAATAATGAAAAAGTGCCATTCTACTCATCATCAACCGTCATAGTAGCTAGTCAGTCACACATAGAGAACAAAAGAGAACGAACAGGACGACAAGATAGAGAGAGAGAGAGAGAGGGGGGAATAGGGGACAAAGATAAAAGTACACAGAACATGTTTCTTTGATTACTTCTTTGGCAAGCAACAACAGTAATATTGTTAAAAAAAAAGAACTAAGACTGAAAAACACTTTTCTCTCCAACAAAAATAATCAACATGTGTTGCATAGGCATTTCAACTGACATTGTTATGTCAATTTAACTACTCGGCAAATGTATTGTTTATATACATGTACGTTTATTCTAAATAGACATCTGTTATTGTAATCGAACATTCCATGCAATCAAAGCCCGGATGTGATTGATGAGTTAAGATGTGTATTTTCTTATTGTTTGACTTAAAGGCTCAATTGTTAACAATGATATTCTCTTTTATCTTAGTTGTTTCTATCTTCCTTCTATTTTCTGCTTATAGTCTCAAGAGTACTTACACAATGTGGCTGTTGTCAATGGAAGACAAAAAAAAAGAAACGTTAAGTGTCGTGTTGTCCAATCTATCTCATCCAGCCGAGCAGATGAAGAAAAAGAAAAGAATTCTCTCACTGATAGTATGTAAAGAAGATCTCTGGTTCCATCGAACGAACTGTGTCTGTTGTTGGATATTTGAAAAGACAATTAATCAGCTTATCAGTACCTTGGCTTAAGTCGAATTGAACTCAATTTGCTCCTGTTAATTCTATGAAGAGAAGGAGACGAACAAGAACAAGAAGATCGCATTGACGACGTGCTAGGCATTATCAAAGAACATAAAGAAGAAGAAGGAGAAGAAGAGAAAATATTGGATTGTTTCTGTTTCTATTTTTCTTACTCACTATCTTCTTGCTTTTCCTTTCATTGAACAACTCAATGCGCCACAAGAGTTTCTTTCTCGTCTCCACTAATCAAATTATTGAATGCCTCGTGATCGCGCGTCAAATACGTCTACATCTCTTCTCCATATTTGTATATCGTGGATGAACTATACCTGGACTTCATCCATCCATTATTAAATACCGGAAGACGAACGAACTCATCACACTTGTTAAACATACGTACGGAAGATGGTCGATGTCATATGGGAAATTGATAGTTTTCTTCATTGAAGTTAAATCTTAGTGCTTCGTAGTATTTCCCTATAGAAAGACATTTTATTCTGTTCCTTATTCACGGAAATTATTCCATGTAAAACAGTACGATGAAGAAGAAGAAGAAAAACTGCATGTTCATACGAGTATATCTCCTTGATTTTTCTATGCACAAGAGTTTTATAGCATCATCAGAAAAATTTCCAATTGAAACAACTTCGAGTTATTATCTACTCGTCTTAGTTAAGTGCCATTCACATCGTCGAGAAGTAACAAGTTCATTTATATGATCTGATGTCATATATTTCTCAACGAAGAAGAATAAATGCTCCTTGTCGAGCAACGCGCCGGTCAGATCGAAAAGATCAAATTAGAAATCATTAATCGTCATCACTAAATGCAAAGAAAAGGACATGAATATGCAGAAAAGCTAGCCGGCTGTTTTCTTTTCTTGTTCTTCTTCCTCTCCTCGAACCCGAAAGAATTCATCTTACCTAATTGAATTCATCGTGCACATGATTAGTTATATCAACAAAAACAGCAGTCAGACTGAACGGTGTGAAACACCCACATAGAAATGCCTCGAGTAAATCTACCATTTGACAAATTTCCTTTCTCCTTCTTCTTCTTCTTCTTCGTCTGTTTCTTCCTTGGCTTAATGCGTCCTTGTATTTGTTAGAAATGGAAATGGAAAGGCTAATATGAGCTTGCAATAATGATTTGCTCAAGTGTTATACAGATTGACGATCGAGTAGACGCAGTTTTAAGCACTTGGATTAGAATCTCGAAGATTTCATTCTGATCACTTGTCACCGCGGTTTTTCGTCACAATAAACATTTCCTTCTTATTGGATTACAAAGCAAATCATTGTGAAATTTCCACTGACAACAAAATCAATGTGTCTGAGTAGTTTTTACTTGAACGATTCCAACTTAATGTGAAAATAATTCTTAATCAAAAACTAATCTGCTTCGATAGAACTTCTTTAGCTTCTGCTTGACCAATCTTTTGAGAATATTTTCTTCGCAATACCACTTTTTCTGCCTTCCACGTTCAAATCGCAATGAAGACAGTGTTTTAATAAAGAATAGCCAACCTTTTTTTTTGAGATATGCTTGTCAAATCCTCTGCTACACTATTTGAACATGATCCGACGTGTATTTCATACCTGTCAGAATATTAAAGCGAAGCAATAAAATCAACAGATATAAATAATGTAAGCGAATCATCGAGTTAGCCCGATGATTACGAACGTAACTAGAATGATTGAAGTACACTTGTTACACAAGCGAGAATATGATGTCGAAAACAAATAGTTGCAAATTGCGTGTCGAAAGATTGACGAGATGAGAAGTTTCTCAGTTGGATGAGGATTCTTTTTTCTCATATAGTTGGGAATATTATCGATTATGTTAATGGCAGGAAGAGGAACAAAGTTTCCTGTGAAAACGGATTACATACTTTTTCCGGCTTTCTTTATCTTTCTCAAAAAACGATTAAAATTCTGTTTGATGAAGTCAATAGTTTTTTTTTCTTTAAAACAGTTCTCAGGAATTAAGCAAATTCGTGATAAATGTCGGGATTGTCTGTTGGAGGATAAGTGCGCTTGAAACAATTCTTGTATTGACGAATCCACTTCTCTAAAACAGCATCGGGAATGTTCGCACCGAAAGAGATATCGAGAAATTCTAAATGTGGACATTGTTTGAGAACTTGTTCGATATTGTCTTCAGTAGCAGCACGCACGTCAAGTAGATCGAGTTGACGAAGTTTTGGACAATTTTTACTGATGGCAATGATGTCTTTCTCCGAAACATCTATTTCATACGAAAAAAAGAAAATGAATTTATATGAAAACGAATGCTTGCTTACGTCGACAAGCGGTAAGAACTATTTTGATTAACGAATGGCCTGCTTGTTGAACAAGAATTTCAATAAATCCTGCCGGCGGATCTGTCCATCCAAAATCAATCTCACTCAGACACTTCATGTGAGTTATTGGATTGGCTGCAACAGGCATGTCAAGTGAGGAATAGATCAACACTAGATCATCTTGATATTCGGACGGTATTTGTGAAAGTCGATCTTCTTCATTAGCAAGATCGCACGGTATACCGACAATTGATTCATAGATATCACGTATCCGCAAACGCCAGAGGTCAAGCGATCGAAGATTCGAACAACGTGCAAACAGTAATCGCACAATACCAGCAACATCAATCAATTGTAGACAATTACCTAGATAGAATACAAACCAACTTTAGATTAATCTTGTTTATGAGATATTAAAGAGTTTGTCTGCGAGGAACGTTCAGCTTCTAAGTTGCTCCCAATAAATGTCAATTTCCGATTTCGTTTCCGGATGTTCAGACAACATGTGTAATAATAGCTCACAACGTGATAGATTTTTGACAGTATATACTTATTCAAATGTCTATTTGTCTTTGAAAGGGAGTGAACTTTTTACATCGAATGTGAGCGATTTAATTAATTACAGATGAAACTTCTTTCTGGAAAGGAATTTTTCTTACCGAGATTGAGATGTTCTAAATGTTCTTTATTCTGATTGATCAGCGGCAGTAAAGTTCGAAAGTCAATCGCTGTTCGGTAGACGTTTAACGATCGGAGATGGGTGAGTTTTGTCAAAGGCAAAAAATCATCACTCTCCAAACATCCACAAGCATCTAGATTTAAAATCTCAATATTTGGACAGGTGTTGACAACGACCTCGATGTACTGTTTGGTCAAATACTGACAACACGCTAGGTTTAGTTGTCGAAGATTACTGGAACATTTATTTAACAGACAAGTGAATGACGTCAGTTGAATATTCCTAGTCCATGCTAGGGAAAGATACCAGGTTTGTTCGCAATAGTTCGAGAAGAAACACTCAATCGAATCATTCGTTATCGTATTCCAATAGGGTTGTAAGTTGAGCGATTTAAATTGTAATGAATCGAGACACTGCCGTTGAAAATATCGAGATGTCGATGCGAAGCGCGCCAATGACCGTAAATCCAAATAGGAACAAATTTGGAAAAGTACGTCAAATGGAAGTTTAGTTAAGTCCATGGACGATTGATTTTCAACGTGTTCGTCTCGTTTCGTTTCACCAACAATTGATACTGAAGGTGAATGATCTTTCAGACGTTGACCGGTTAACATAATCGTATCGATTTCAATGTAATAGTTCGCTGTACAGTGATCGAATTCCAATCGGACGTGTCGTGTCGGAAAGGATATTTTGTCTTTCACAGGTATTTTCGTTATGCGCGGAATACGTGCCGCTGGCGGATACGAATGGCGAGTATAAATTTTTGATATTCCGGTATGATCTGTATTCAACTGAAGAGATTGTAGTGATGATGTGACAACATCCATATGTTGCGGAAATATATCATGCATTTGTTGACGACCTAAAATTGTAAGTCAATATCAGAACAATAGGTACAATGCATTTACGGAAAATCAATGATGTATAAGGAGGAAAGGTCAAGAAAACAATGAGAATGTACTTTTGTTCTTACCGTTTTCAATGAAGATTTCTTCTCCGTTTCGTAAAACAATACTAAATGGATCGGGAAACTTCCAGACTCGGTGCCATGATATTTTTCCGGGTTCCTCTTCTTTTCCTACATAAGCTGCTTCCAACGAACCGGGATTGTACGTTTCGTAGATATCGATTGTTAGACAAGTAAGCACTAAAACAGGATATTCAATCTCGATGAAGTCTCGACTAGTAAATTCTTTTTCAGGACGTTTGAACTGCCGTGTAATTGTTCTATATGACGGAAGGTTTATCCACCATGGGCCATAAGTGCGAAAAACCAGTGCATTTGTAGAATCACCATAAGACGGATAGACTTGTGGTTGAGTACAAATATTGTCTAAGTTATAATATCGCGACCCAAGTGATCCATATTGAGATGAATTATCTAACACTTTCTCTGGAATGAACGAAACAGTCTCCAGCTCTGATTGATTTTGTTCGGTCATGTCTAAAGAGAGAACAGAAAGATATTCAACCTTGAGAAATCATTGATGAGTAAACGAAACAACGTGTTTGTTAGGTATATTACAAACCTGAAGAGTCAAGGATAGAAGATGTCTGATTGCTTTTTTTCTTTACTGCTGATAAAGGAAGAAGAAGAAGAAGAAAAAAGAAAGAAAAATCATTCATGTGTCTCTTTAAATATATACGACACCGTAACATATTCATACAAGGCACAATTTTATGGTAACTTTGACAATGGATGATGAAAATCTTGCTCAAGCGGATGAAGCTCTTTACGAGAATGGAAATCTAGTTGATAACGAGCCATTCTATGAAAATTTTGCAGCGATTCAAAATGATCTTCGACGTCAAGATGAACAAATACAAATGAATACAGTAGGTTTGACAAGCATCGGGTAAATCGAATAAATGAAAATTATTTTTAAACGTAGTTGACAATCGTTGACATATTAAGAATGTTTACGCAATAATATTGATAAAACTGTAATGATTTTATGTTACGCATTAGAAACTGTGACTATAGTGAGAGCGAGAGAGTGAAAACATTTTGCCGCATGAATATGGTAATTTTATGTAATTGTTCCAGACTAAGCAATACCAATAGAACCGATCGATCAGAAAGTGCCGTACTAGATCGAAATCAGTTACGTACTTGTCACAGAGAGAGAGAGCGGTAAGTTTTTGCTTTGTCTACAGAGTCGCTCGCAGTAAGATCGAAGATAGTAAATTTGCTTTTATCATGTTCGAAATAGATTCCAGGTGATCTGACGATTGTTGTTACTACAGTTTCAGTCAATCTCTGAAATTCGAAGTGATGACAACTGATTTATATTCATTCTGCTTTGAGTTTCAAATCATCTAATCGATGCGGATTTCAACTGAAGACTATTTTTTCATATATTGAACTAGGCGCCAATGAAACAATGATAATTGTTCGAGATAAGAAAAGTTATGAATTTCAAAATTGCCAATTTTAGTGTCTGAACTCGATTTTATTAACCTTGAATGTATAGAACAATTTTTTTGTTTCAAAGATACAATCGGGACAGTTTCGATAGTAGAAATTTGTCCATGAATTTCTCTTCGGTGCAAACGGTGGTCTACAGAAATCTTTTTGACCTTACAACGTGTCAACTTGTCTTGAATATCGTCTATTTAGTCTTTGCAGCTAATCAATCGAAAAGATCCAATAGAACGTATTCAAACTGAACCTTTTCATCTGAATGAACCATCGCATGTAAACCATTCTAATTGCTTGTGACTAATCAAACTTTATCGTTGTTTTCATTCAATATAGACTGTTACCAACAGTGATCGTCGTTCGAGAAGCAGGAGCAGTTCATCAGATCAATCAACCACGTGCAGTGTAAGTCCGGAACGAAGTATTCAACAGGCTCATACCAACATCAATAAACAATATTTTCAAAACTGGTATTGTGATCGATATCTGCGTGCTGCACCTCCAACTCAGTATAATCCAATAAATCACTTTTATAAGAAAGCAACGCAGAAGTTAGATAATTATCCAACAAGTACTGTTAGTCAGCCGTCCGTCAACACGATGAACATAGTTAATGAACCATTGGATGAAGAAAGTTTTGAAAATCGAATTAGTCGAATGTATGGGTTTGACGATGCTGAAAGTGCTAGCTCAGTGTCCAGTCGACATTCGTCTGTTGAGCGAGAAAGCTCACCTATATTTTCAGAACGGTCTATAACACCGAGAGACTTTAAACCTGTTCAACAATTAAAACCCAAGCAAATCACGATACGAGAATATTTTTCACGAAACGATTTACAATCATTGACAGTCAATGGATCGATAGGTTCGCCTTCTCAACGAAATCTGGAAGAGAATTGCTGTTACGGACGAGTCTTACGCGATCATCCAGATGTACTCAGAGATCCCGATCCAGAAATTGTTAGAAGACCGAATCCCGACGACATTATTTACAATCGAAACGTAACTATTCGTTATCTGTGTCCACCAACACCTCCTCCTCCGGGTCCATTGATTATTCGAGGTAAATATCGCTTATCATCGAATAATCCAACTAATTCATTTCCTAGAAATTTTACGTCCATGTGATCGATCACCTTCTCCATTGGTTATCGAACACGATCAACTGGAGCCGCCTACACCACCTCCTCTGATTCTTCGCGAGATTCCACCGACACCTCCACCTCCGGGTCCTGAAACCAAAATCATTACGAAAGTCGTTGCCAAAGCACCTCCACCACCGCAACGTCTCTTTGTTGAACATATGCCTGCAGTAAAGTCACTATTTATGCTGCGATCGACTTACTTCTCCCTTTTTTTCTTAGTTACCCCCGAAACCTCAATCAATAATAATCGAAAAATGGCTACCCTACAAGCCACAACCGCCACGAGCAGTGATCTACGAACGTGTTGTTGACTCTAATATTCAATCGGAATTTCAACCTGCTGATAAACCGGTTGTTCACAGACGTCGTACTTCGAGATCAACGTCTCGTGCACCGATCCCTGTTCATATTGAAAGGCATAAATCGTTCGATTGTATTGCGAGAGAACGACCCATCTCTACGTTCGATGAATTCGCTCGATCGACGCAACAAGAGTTGGAATGTTTACAACAACGATCTCGAAAACAAATTCACGCTCAACAACAGTGGATGGCTAATCAACAGCAACACATGAACATGTGCGCATTGTTGCCATTAGTTACTCCACCACTTGTGATCAATCATGCTCCAGTTACGAAAACGGCAAGCCTGTATACATATAATGAAAACTTTCAGCAACCATTTTTTTGTGCTCAACCCTATATGTATCCATCCTTCATGTAAATGATATTCTACGGATTAAAATTTTAAAAAATAAATCAGTTTCCCATCGATCTACTCAAAAACACAAGTCATCTTTACGATCCAAAAAAAACTGGTACGAATCTGTCTGCCAGTACACACACGCGCTTTTTCGTAACCCAAAGGGCAACCCTTACCTTTCGTTTGACGTTCGAATAAGAAATGATTCAGTTGTGTTTTGTTAAATTTTAGTAAAACAGTCATTAGGCAATCATTTCATTATTTATGCAAGTACTGTCATTGCCATCGATTGAGTAAGGTTTCTTCCCCTCGGTAGTTTCTACTGCATAATCTGGTTTGAAAGCAGCCATGCGAGAGAAAGGAGAAGAAGAAAACGCGTTTTTTAATACCTAGAAAACGGTGACTGTTACTTGTCTGCCAAATATTTTCCAAACTCGATTCGTTTATGTGTTAGCCAATCATTTTCTAGTCTCTCTGGTAAAAGAGAAGCACTTCTCGACGACGTGCACACATACGTGTGATACTATTGTCTTATCATATCGTATTCTGTTTTTACAAAACTAGTCGTCGTTAAAGCACAAAATTTTACTAATGTCCGATGCAACTGCTTTTCAAGAATCATCCTCTGATGATCGACGTTTCCTTCATTATACAATGAAAATAACCGACCGTTTGGCCACGAAGAACTTCTTTTGTAATATATTAGGAATGAAAATTCTACGTCATGAAGAAATGGACTCTGGTTGTTCCGCTCAGTGCAATGGTGATTACGAATCTCCGTGGTCGAAAACCATGGCAGGTTATGGACACGAACATTCCTTCTTCACATTTGAATTGAATTACAATTACGACGTTGAGGGTTATATATATGGGGATGATTTATCTGCAGTAACAATCTATAGTCGACAAGCAGTTGCCAACGCTCAGCAATTTCTCGATAAGAAGTATATTGAGAGCGATAATAAAGAATCGTTGATTATTCATTCGCCCGATGGTCATCGGTTTATTTTAATTGACGAAGATATTTATCCTGGCCAAGATCCTGTTCGATGTCTGTCGCTGAATGTTTCGGATTTGAACAAATCCAAAGATTATTATACACGTTTGTTAAAAATGAAAATCAATGAGAAGGAATCCAATGATAAACATGTCAAGTTGTACTACGGTTTAACAACATCGCAGGACTCACAAGTAAAGAGCAAATCCGGCTTTCTCTTAGACAAACAATGTCAATTGCAACTGAACGGATTGAATAAACACATCGATCGAGGTACTGGCTACGGTAGAAAAGCGTTCTCGTGTCCCAAACATGACATCGATTTGATCCAAAGTATGATGGAAAAGGAAGGATTCACTGTACTCATACCAGCGATGGAATTAGGAGGCTTATTGGACTTCAATAAGCAAAAAGTCGTTATTTTATCTGATCCTGATGGACATGAAGTAGGATACGTTTCACATTAAGATGTAAAACATTGTCGTGTTTCGTTGTAGATCTGTTTTGTCGGCGAAGAAAATTATTTTAAAGGTTGTGAGACTGATCCTGATGCGGAGAAAAAATTTTACAAAGGCTTAGAAAACACACCCGATGATCCGAATAAATATCTAATTGGTGAAGACGAATCAACTAAACGTACAACAACGTCGTAAAGACCGAAATCAAAACGTCATTTTCTTGTATTTTCTTCCTCTGCTCGTTTATTCTCTTTGATATTCCAGTTTTGCTGCATTCAATCTAATTTTTAGCTCAGCTTATAACTATTTCTAGATGGAAAATAAACTTCTTCTTGACTTGAATGAACAATTGAAAAGTATTGATGTTGATAGTAAAAGATTAGATGCAATCATTCAATTAAAAGCTTGGCAGAAGAAAATGACGAGTTTGATTGAACAAATTTATTCGAATCGTATGAATGATATTGATATCATGGCAGCGAACATCGAAGAAGAAATTAAGGAAAAACAATCTGAACTCGAACGAACACGAAAGAAGAATACACACACACTTTTGAAGTTACAACATCAAATCGATGAGCTCAAACCGAATATTATTGTCGAACAACAAATTCCGGATAATCTTCATGAACTTCTCGAACGAACTATTCGAGTGCAATGTGACGATGTCTCAATAGACGACGATTTAGTGATTATCGATATTCATAAACATGAAGAAAAATCTAGCGAAAAAATCTATGTTGTTCTTCCACATTCTACGGCAAACAAACCGGAAAATCCTGTCTCGAAACTTCTCACATCCGAACCTGTCCAACAAGCACTAGCCGTTGGTATCGTCAAAACTTTAACTCATGTGGGCACTATAGCTGCAACAAATACGACGACAGTTGCTGCAACGACAATGGCCAAAACAGCGCTTTTAACAACGGCTTGTGGCTTGAGCACTATAGCTTACGGTATGGCAGCGATTGCATTGGGTACAACGAAAAAAGTCTGCTCTTTTGTACTTTCGTCAAATAGTTAATCCTTTCTTTTTATTTCTTTATGATCACTTGTCTTTTATAGTAAATAATAAAATAGTAAATTCGTGCGTATGATTCATCAGATACAGAAAATAGGTGTGTAGTGACATCTGAATGTTAGTCGATCTGATTGGACAGATTTCTTTTACATCTATTAATCAAGAAAAATGATCAAATAAACAAAACAAATAAATAATATAGGCGTTGTCGACGTTCTTGACAAGTTGCAAATCTCTATTTTTTTCAGTGTTCTCCAGGATTTCTTCTCTAGCATCCTAACTTATGGCTTCCGACGATCCATTCAATAGCAACAGCAATAATCTCGATGAAAACACAACAAATAATTTCTACAATTTCAATGATGAAGATCCAGCCGCTGAATTCATTCAGCGTGAACAACTTGAGCTAGGTGATATCACTGGTCAAGAAAACAGCAATCCGTTCATGACGCAACTGTCAAACAATGCTCTTTTGACGAATGGTAACAAAGCATAGCTATCTCTCTGTTGTTTTTCTCCAAGGATTCGAGATTTTCTTCGCTTTAGGTAGTCATTCACCGACGATGAATCAAGGTGCGAATGCATCACCAACTCCGTCGAGTGGTTCACAGTATCAGGCTTTATCGGAATTAAATGAACCTGAAACGATCCGAAAATGGCGAGAAGAATTCGCTGCACGTATCGAAAAAAAAGATACCGAAGAAGAAGTAAAGCGCAAAGAAATGCGCGAACAAGCCAAAAAAGAATTAGAAGAATTCCATAAACAACGTGTCGAACAACTAGAACGTACGAAAGGACAAAATCGTACGAATAATCGTGCATTCGAAGATGATCTCTTGAACAATGGTAAAAGCTCCAGCACATCCAATGGCAAAGTTAGTGATTGGGACAAAATCACCAGTTTATGCGAATTCAATCCGAAAACAAATCGTTCACAAAAAGATCTGACACGCTATCGAAGCGTTCTACTCCAATTAAAACAACAGCAAACCTCCGGAAAATAATCTCCCATCATATGAATGATCAACATGACTGATTCGCTTCCTTTCCTTTCTATATATCTGACCTCTTTTATTTTCTTCTTCATTCCATATATAATTCTATTTATTTATATTTAAGAGAAAATCTGATTTATTTATTATCTCATCGTTAATTCCCTCTCTGTTTCTCTCAGTTTGTGCACACAATATCAAATCTTCTTCTTTTTTTTTTAATAATCTGTGTTCTTTCTTTTTGAACCAATAGTCGTGGCAAACAGTCGTTGTCTGTTGTTCGTTGTTGTTGTTGTTGTTTGTTGTTACGATCGCGTGTATCTTATCCGAAATTTCATGTGTTTAACGACTCCTTTTCTTTTCCCAAAATATACACCAAATAACTAAACGTCACTTCGTCAAACACGTGCTAATGAACGCACTTCCGACCAACAATAGCAAAAAACACGACCAGATCATACCGTTCGAAGTCCATACGAGTACAATCCGTATTTGTCCTTTATTTTTAATATTACACCAGACAGTCGTTCATCGTAAGTGTTCATTAATGTATTCGGTTCACGCAAAGTATTATTTAATATCACGACAACTCGCTTAGCTCTTAGTTCTGACGAAGTTTGTTTATGGTACTTGAAGTACTGCATCGATTTTTCATTACTATCCACATTTCTCCGGAGATATTTTTATCGAGGTATATTGTTTCGAATAAGTGCAAAATCTCTCCTCGCAATTATCAATTCATTAATATTCATGGAGGTTTCAAGGATGTTTATTACTACTGCTTGTCGTAATAATGGATTTTACTTGCCTTACGGAATGAGAATGGCGTAAACCAATCCCATAATAAGTCGTCTATGAACATCAACTGCTTCGCTCGACTCAGCAATTCTTTGTACTCAGTTTGAAATTTCAGAATTCCGTTGTATTAATCTCAGCTGAAGATTAATGCGCAAATAATGGTAGTTTTCTTCAAACAGGAAGGACAATGATGCATTCACAGAGTAAAACACGAAGAATTAATTAACCGCGACACGTAGGAAATGTTCGTCCTTGATAATTCCAGGAGTTTTATGAAAAATTTTATTTGTAACACCACAAATATCCGAATTTCCAACCACACAGCGACAACTATCCACTAAAAATTGGATTACATTTGCTCATGATTTCTCGTTTACCTTTCTAAAATTAGCAACACGAATGATTTTTCACTACAACGTAAATCTTTTTAGATATATCATGAATACATGTTATTCAACGAGTCATTCTTCCGATGTTTAATTAATTTCTAAAAATAGGTTTCTGATAATTATCCTAAGAGTATGTTTGAAATCGATATATTTCAACCTGTATAATATTCACTTTTCACTAAATCTCATCCGGATGTACAGCTTAGCTTATTTCAATAGAAACATTAGTTTCCATTTGTTCATATCCTGAATTTTATGGCAACGAAGATTCTTGTCATCAATGCATCCGATTTCGATAATTAAAGAATTACATATATATCTACATATATATGTAGAATTGTACGTACACACAGACAACACGAATGAGTTATTTCGATTCTTCATACATAGGTATTGGCGCGAGGTTTGACATCGGCAGGCTCGTTTGTACGAGTTGCTGACAGGGATATTTGAGCTAATTCAGCAACTGAATGTTGTTCTTCTTCGGAAAGATGTTTTGGTAAAATGCGATTGTTTCGTGTTAACAACTGACTTGGTTTAAAAGTTGTTTGACTGCTTTCCGTGGACTGAATGGTTTCGTTGGAACGATTCTTTCGCTTATGTTCAATATAATCCGATAAGGTATTACGGAAGATAGCAATCACTTGTTCCGGTGTGCTTGCTTGACTTTGAAAACGTAGATCTCGACGAAAATGGTTGACCACAGTTGTACAATCTTCCGGTGAAACTCCTCGAATAAGTTCACTCAATTCCATTTTGATTATATCCGGTAGTTGATACAATTCACTTGGTGCTTGCAGAAGATTGTTTTGAGGAGTTAACCAAGAATAGTCGACTGATGAACGTCGTTTCGATGGCGAGTCATATGTTGAAGCTAATAAACCTGGCCGATGAGCTAAAACATCCGAATGACGTTTTGTTCGCAAGCTTGTTAATGTTGAACTACTCCGACATTGTATTTCAAGTTCATCTAGTAATGTTTCAGCGATGGAGTTTTCATCTAGACACGCATAATTCGCTCCTGGAGGTTCATGAGAAGCCGAATGACGTCGAAATATATTCGAAAATGCCATAAGATTGGAGGATGAAGTTAACTTAGCGATCTGGATATAGTTTTCTTTTAATATGAGAGGAATGGTTTTACATTTGACTTGTAAAGCTGAGAAAAGGAAAGAAAGAACGTTACAAGTGAAACACTCTTTTTGACGTAGTTATTTTTCTCACATCTTCGGAGTTTTTCTTCTCGTCGTTCAAAGAGACAAGATATACGATGTGGAAAAAAAGAAGAAGAAAAGAAGAAGAAGTAGTAGTAGTAGTAGAAGATGATGATGAAAAGATTATTTCAATGTCAAAAGTAACGGAAATGAAGACATTGAGTTGAGAAAAAAGGAAAAAGAAAATTTGTGGAATAATCAAGAAAGAAGAAGAGTTTCGGGATGATTCTACTGCGGCTCTTTATTTCAGACATGAATCAAATTGTATCAATTGTGTCATTCCTTTCCGCGGAAGAATATACGCATCGAAGATACTTTGACTCTTCCTCCATTCGCTAGAAAAATCCATTTCTTACCGATTTACACTGATCTCGTATTCATTGAAATCAAATCTTAATTAGATTAAGTGTCTATATATAGGAACATTACTTTTTCCTCAAATGAGATCATAGTTATCATTAGTACTAAAAGCTTTTATTAGAAACCTATATAAATATAAACACGATATTGCCGATGGGGTGTCGAAGTAAATTTTCTTCATCGCTTCGAACGTACCATATGTTTCTTGAGATTATCTTTCACAATAACTAACCCTAATCTCTATTTTATTGTTCAAATATGTTGAAGAAAGTGTTCAATTTAAATACGTCGATACACTATACTTAACCCAAAGAGCCATCTGTAGGTGTTAACAGGAAATTGATCCGATCGAGTGCTGATGAAG